TATATAGTAGAAGCCTAAATAGAATAATTTTCTACTTAATTTAATAATATAATATAACTTATAACTATCTAATATTAAAAGCTAATATTTACCTTATTAATATAACTTAGAGTAGGTATAGAAGTATTTTAGCTATATATATAAATACTTATTATTACTATAACTAATAGGGGAAACCCTAATAACTATTATATTATTAAGCTATAAGATAAGATATTAATATCTAAGATAAACCTTTCTATAAGGATAAGGAAGGCTAAGAGGTAATCCTAATAGCTAATATACCCTTAATAGTAGTAGTAGATTTATAGTTAGTTAGAATACCTAGATAAGCTAACCTAGATCTATATATAATAACTAGCTAGTTAGAAGTAGTTCTAATTTAGAAGCTAGTTTTATCTATATTCTAGATATCTACTAGCTAGATTCTATATTAAGATATTATAATATATAACTTATTAAACTATATTATAATAGTTAGAATATCTTTAGATATCTATTATTTCTAATCTAGAACCTTCTAGGATATATAGGAATATTTATACTATTTTAGAAAGTATAATACCTAGTTAGTTTTAATATAAAGTATAGAAATATTAGTTCTAGGAAATATCTTAGTATATAGGATCTAGTTAGTAGCCTTTTAGATAAATAACTAATATATAGCTAAGGAATTCTTCCTAAGGTAGTTAATATAGTTATAAATAGCTACTTCTTCTTTAAAAGTAAACTATAAGCTTATTCTAGCCCTACTAATATATAGTTTTTATCTATTTACCTAGCTATATAGTTAGTAATATAGGATATTTAATATAGTAGTGATATCTATAAGTAGGAACTAATTAGAAAGGTTATAGCTACTAAGAGCTAGCTATATTTAAGTTTTAATATTTAATATATAATCTACTATATTTAATATAAAAGAATATATTTATAGTAGTAATATTTCTAATAGATCTTTTATCTTTATATCTAGTTCTTCTTAAGATATAATCTAAATATAAGATTTTAGTTCTTTAGCTTATTTAATTATTAACTTTAGAACTTCTATTTTAAGAAGTCTTTTATTTTTATTAAAAATAATATCTTAAATATTAAAAACCTCTTTTATAATTAGTTTTTAAATTTAAAATATATTTAATACTTTATATCCTATTAAATCTCTAACCTAAGCTTTTAGATATAAATAATTAAGTTAATATAATTTTTCATTATCTCTATTATTATTATAAATACCTTATATCTATATATTTTAAAATATAAAATATCTAAGATAATTTATTTTCTAGATATATATATATATATAAAACTTTATATAGTATTTTCTAGTTTAAAGTTTTCTTTAAGATATAATTAAAAGATATATATTTACTTTTAATATTTCTAGTTATAAATAATTAAGTAGAAATAGGAAAACTATATTTTTATTAATATTATTATTTATTATTATATATTAATTTTTTCTGAATTAAATTTTTAGAATATTTAGCTATATTATTTTACTTTTATATATAAAATATTAAAAGGTTTATAATAAAACCTTTTTATTTAAGCTATTTTTAAACCTTTAAGAGTTTTTAGGTAATCTTATTATCTATCTTAATAACCTTAAACTAAAGATTATATTACTTTTTAAGATATTTTATTAATATATTAAATATATATATTATTATTTTAGTTATTTAATTTATTAAATATATATCTTAAGTTATCTTTATTATAAGATTATAAGTAAAAAGTAAACTTTTAATCTAATATATCTTTAATAAAAGTTATAAAAATTAATAATAGTTTAATCTATTAGTTTATTATATATAAAATAATTTCTTAAAATATATCTAATCTATTAATATATTTTTCTAAAAGTATATTAATTATATTTATATATTTCTAAAAGGTTAAAATATATTTTTTAGATAACTAAGTTATAGATATTATATCTAGTTATCTATTAATAATTATTTTAATTTTATTATATTTTTATTATTAAAATAATATAATAATAAGATTATTAATAAAAATATATTTAATAATATATTAATTATAAAATAACTAAATTTTAATAATTAAAGCTTTTTACTAAGAGATAATAATACTTTTCTTATTTAGATTATTCTTTTAATAATATCTTTATTAATAAAATCTTCTTAAAAGATAAGATTATATATAAATCTTAATATATATATAATATTAAATAGAACAAATAACTATTTTCTTCCTCTAACTTCTATTTAAATATTTACTTCTCTTTAATCTCTAAATATTAATTAGTTAAAATTTAGAAATTATTAAATAGTATAGAAAATATAAATTATTAATCTAGAATTAAAAATAACTAATTATTTTAAAAGGTAAGTTATATTTAATATTATTATCTAATTTCTATATTTTTTTATTATTTATCTTTATTAATTAAAAGAATTATCTTAACTTTATTTAATAAATTTATAATCTATTTTTATAATTTAAATAAGATCTTCCTCTTAACCTTTTAATAGTAAACTATAATAATAAGATTTAAGTTAAATTAAGGGCCTAGCTACTTAATATACTTTTTAGTCTTAATAGTATACTTTTATATAAGTAGTCTTACTTTAGATTATACTAGTATATAACTACTAAGTCTATATATTATCTTTTATAGTAGGTAGGTACTATAAATAGCTCTTAAGTTACTATTTATCTATAATAGCCTAACTTATAGATCTATTACTATACTATTATCTATTAATTGATTAGTATACTTAATATTATTACTCTTTTAATTGGCGATCTCTTCTATCTACTTATATAAACTATATAGTAATTAATTATAATAAGGGAAAAAAAGCCTTTTAGAAGGCTAATTACTTTTCTTAAGAATTCTATATTACTAGTATACCTTAATATTATTTTTAGAAGCTTTCTTAGCTATAAAAGTGAGGTAGGTAGGTTAGTGTTTAGTAGGGTAGTTATTATATATATACTACTACCTTATTATATAGGGCTACTTATATAAAAGTATACTATTAAGACTAAAAGTATATTAAGTAGCTAGGCCCTAAATTAATTAGGTTTTTCTTTATTAAAACTATATAATATTCTTTTAAAAATAACCTTTTATATTATAAACTTAATATTTCTAATTAATAGAAATAATATTTACTTTTCTCTTCTTAAAGTTATTATTAATCTAAAATATTCTTTTAAGATTAAAGTTTATAAAAGTTAAACTTTTATTTTTACTTTTAATTTTAGATTTATTATAAGTTCATTATTAATATTCTTAAATATAATAAATTTATAATTATTAATTAATTTTATATTAAAAATAAAGTTAAAAACTTTTATTATTATTTTTAGAGAAATTTTATAAGGAAAGTTAATATTTAAAACCTTTTATAAGTTTTAAACTAGATCTTAAATATTATATATTTTATCTTTAATTTAATTTTTAAATAAGTTAAAAATAGATAATAGCTAATAATTAATAATCTATTTAAATAAACTTATTATATTATAATTTAATATTAAAGATATAATATTATATATATATTGTATAATTTAATTTTAAATATAATTATTTCTTATTTAATAATCTATTCTTTTTAAATTTTAGTTTTTTAAAGTTAATTTTTTTAGATATAAATATAATATTTATATCTTATTTTTATTATAGGTTTATTATCTACTTTTTTAAAAGCTTTCTAAAAGCTAATATACTATTTATAAAGATTATTATCTTTTAAATAATAAGCTAACTAATATTCTTTATTTATTAAAATAATAATAATATCTTAAATTTTCTAATAATTATTTATTTATTACTTATAGATAGATAGCTTATTATAATAATCTAACTTTTCTTTTTAAAAAGGTTTAACCCTTTTTAATAAGAAAGTTAAATATTTAAGTAAATAATAGTTTTTATCTTTAGATAATAAAGATAGATAAAGCTTCCTTTTTAGAATCTTAAAGGTATTAATATAAGTATTAGTTAGGAAGTTATAGAATTAATAACTTTTTTATATTCTATTAATTATTATTTTAGTAAGTTTAATATCTTTAATATATAAATAGATTATCTAATCTTAAGGAAACTAATCTTTTATATATTTAAGCTAAATCTTAGGTTTATTTCTTATAATAAAAATAATAGTTCTTAAAAGGGAAAGAAATTAATAGTTATTAGAAGATTTAAGACTTTTAATTATTATATTTAGTATAGTTAGGCTAAGGATATATTAAAAAGGTAGGGGTCTAAGAAGTAGATAAAAAAGTAATTAAATTAGGAAAATTATAAAAATTATAGGTAGCTAATTTCTAGTTTTTTATCTAATTACCCTAAGGGGTGCCTTATAAATCACTATAAGAGAATTGATTATATAGATAATTTTCTAAGATTTGACTGTCTTTAAGCCTTAGAGTGATACTGCTAGGTACTGGTCGATATGATGAGCTGAATTGTGATAAACCAGCGCCGCCTAGGGTATGCAAGCCTTCCAAGCGCATGCAGCCGTATCTATTCAGCTATGCTCGGTGCTCCTACCGAAATTCCTGTGTTGGGCATTCCGCTAAAGTATCGCTATTTGTCGGTCGCGCAGCCTCATGACGCGATGCTCGTAGGATGGCCGCAGTCAGGGAATGCCAACGGCCTGATATCTAAAAACTTGCTGAGGAACCCCCAGCCATCATCCTCGGCAAAGGGTGGTAGCGGCCTTGGATTCAGAAAAAGTCTCGATTGGCAAATTCCCAACTAATCTTTTCGTCCGAACGTCAGCCTTTTTGTCCAACGATTGCCGGCTGTAGAATGTCTAGCAGCTTGCAAAGTCATCTGTATGGTCCCAGTAACGTGTATGATATTGCCATCACCACTCCTAGCGACGGGACCATTTTCTTCGACACGGAGATTGATCACATCAATGAAAGAATGTTTGTCGATAGCATCAGACTTATTAAATTCTGTTACTCTTTCGAGCAGGACTTCAATTTTGACTTGTTGGAAAGTACATCGTATTGACTCAGGTCTAGGACCAGGCTTGAGAAACTGGTGCTCCTCGCGTGTCGAATTCCATATGAATCCTTGAAAGGGGGTCGCCACATAGTAACGGATATACAAACTGCTGGTAATCCGTCATTTTTGTGGCGTTTCCGACCGACAACAATGGAAAATCCTTGGGGCGCTTGGGAGCCATAGGTAAAGTTGTAAGCTAAGAACTCACCTTCCTGCTGGCTACATACCCGAGCCACCATCTCTCGCTCGAGCCGGATACTAGGGTTGATCACACATCCCCAAAAGGACAATTCCTTGAGCTCGATGACCTCCAGCTCGCGTATGACAATGTCATAGGGCTGTGGTTGAACTAAATGCTCTTCAGCAGCTACGTGTAGAGGCTGGTGCAGGTTCAACAGGGTGGAAGGATCTTCGTTTTCCATGTCGATCCCATCACTAGTAGTGAGTTCTTCAGTTCGGCCAAAATAACCATCACCCCACAATATGAGAGGTAAAAATATGAGCCTTTTACCATTGGGCGTAGTGCAAAGGAGCACGGAATCAACGGCACGACGGTATTGTTTAACTGGAGAGTGTGGCCAATAGTAGCTAGACCAGCGCTTGGCAGGGAGAACGGGAAGGTCAATCTTGATGCTCCTGCCGATGCAGACTGGGGTGTTGCCGCGGGTCTGCTCTTGCTCCATGATCTGTAAAAGCGGCCAATCCAAGGAACCGGGACCACATCACCTGAGTTAGAAAACTGACTCGGTGACTCTGCAAGTAGACCTAATAATGGGTTGAAAACAGGGCCGTAGCATTTTCGCCGCCGCGCTTCAACATGCTCGATGGCCTGCGCTGTGCCAAGAGACACATTGGACGGCTGGTTGACTATTCCCCATGCGTAGATGGAATGGTCCTCCGGGGATAGCTTGATTATTTCCTCTTGTAGCCTTCGGAATGCTTTCTTGCCCTCGCCGTAGATCATAGGCATATTGACGTCAAATATGCCTAAAAGGCAATATGCGATGTCTTCGACTCTGGTGGTCTCCCTTGAAGCGGCCCATGACATCCTTTTAGCGATACTCGCGGCTCGGAAATTGTAGGTCCCGTTCACATACTCCTTCTCGATGTGGCAAGTCTTCGAAATGTGGTCGCAAAGCGTTTCTTTTGATCCAATGTAGGACCAGTCGCCTGCGAAGAACTCCATTTTCTTAGGTGCGATAAGTTCCTGCAGGGTCCATCCTCGTGTGAACCATCTGCTAGAAGACAACGTTGACCCGACAGCATCTAGGTTTGAGACATCCGCAAGGTACGCGTAGCAAACAGCGGCTCTTTCGTACCATTTGAACATTGAATTGATCGCCTCGGAGAGTTCTGCGCTGCTGGATTTGTCGATACAGCATCTAGGGTATTACTAGTGGATCAGTATGGACATATCGTAGGGGCGGCCTTTTGGGGGCCATCTTACGTATCAACCCAGACGTAAGCATACCCGGCCTCCTTGGCTTTCTCGCAACACTTTAGGATCTTCAGTATCCAGACTTTCTTTGAATATTCGTCCTGTTCGTACCCAAGCTGTCTTTCCATTCCTGTAAAGACACCTCGGAGTCTTCGTTCCAAGTATGTGACAAGATCGCGTAAGGTGGGATGCCTTCCTCCCTGTTAAAATGCTCAAGCCTCTGGCTTTCTAAATGGATGAGATACATAGCTTGGGGGCAGATCAGAGTTGGATATTTCGCTGATCGTAGACGATACAATCCGGAAGGGCAGACGTTCATAACATGAGTCGATTACACAATGAAAGAAACGCTTGCGGTCCCAAGACAAGTTTCGGAATTTCTATATATATATATACAGGAGGGCAACTTCAGACTAGGCCACCCCAGAGCGGCAAGTTATATGTTAAATATATCTTTACGAGTGCTTGCGAACTACGCTGTAGCCGCCAGGAGGTGAGATGGCGTGGCGCAGACTCTCCTTGTGTGACATAACGACATATCTAACTGGACAACCCTCTGCCGAGCTGAGTTGTGATGCGCCAGGCAGATGGTGAAGTCTGCATGTCGTTCGGAAGGCGAAATGATTGAGACTTGTGTGCAAATACGCGGATATATATAGGTATTAGCGCTGCCCAACGATTTCTGGGTTAACTCACTCACTAGCCATATAATGGTACGCGCAAAGAATTGTCGCATGCTCGAAACATGAGGAACAACAGGAAGTCACCACTGGAGACCATGCAAACCCTCTTCATTTTAGTAATGCTCAGTGGCCCTCACAATTTCTCCCCGAATCAGAAATACCAACAGGCACGGAACATGACGCATTGCCAACTCCTGCAAAAGCCGCACGGTTTACACGAAAATGCCTGTGGATATCTGGCGCTGTAGTGCTCGTTGTGGCCCTGTTCATTGGTCTGCTAGTACGGTTCGTTCCTAAAGCGAGAACCAGGTATGTCAGGGACTTGCAGATAGCATTGGTTGTGTTGCTACTAACCAACCCACCAGCACCCATCGCGATATAATGTCACCCCAAGTGCTCAGCAGCGCGAGTCTTGACGGACAGATGTTCCTTTTGGCCAGAGGGTCCGACGGACAACTTCGGTACACAACGAGGGAAGAAGGTATATGGACCCTCAGGTGGAACACCACCGGCCGACAAGTGCAAAGTCAGCCCGCTAGCATCGTTTGGGGAACACCCAAGAGATTGAGCATATTTTACGTCCGAAATGATAATATGGTTATGACGAACTCGCTACGGAACGGCGCATGGGGAAACTGGGAGGCACTCGGAGCCAAGGTTAGCAGCCCTGTGGTTCTTTGTCATGAGGCTTCAAGGGACATAATACACATCTGGGCTCGCGAGAACACGGATAACAAGCTCATCATTCACAACTACTGGGAGCCTAGTCGAGACGCTTGGTATACTCTATCGTCCGATTGGGAGGTAGGCATAAACTACGAAATGGCTAAGGGGGCTAGCAGCACACCGGCCGTCGTGTGTCGCAACACTAGTGTGTCTAATGACGTGGTTCTATACGACAAGGATTTCAACTCGGCACTGCACAAGCAATGGAACACCTCTCGTCACCTATGGGAGCCCTGGCAGGACCTTGGCGGATCATATGCTGGCGATCCTGTTTTGGTGTCTCCATCAGCTGACCGTATCGACTTCTTCGGCATATCCAGGACCAGCAAAGCTTTAACTCATGTATCCTGGAACAAGAGTTCAACCTACACTAGCCTCTACGAGTTAGAAGGCGCGTGGGCCAGTGTTCCATCAGTTACCGCGACGACTACCAGCCGTCTAGACGTCTTCGCTCTTAGTATCAACGGTACGGTCTGCCATCGAGCTTTGCTTGGTTCAACATGGAGTCTAGCTGGTCTGATCTAGACATTTTGGGAACTAGTGCACCTCTAGCTACTCTTCTCGACACTCAACCACAACGAATCATAGTTCAGGTTCTAGGAGGTGAGGGCGACGTGTTGAGCTCGGGTGGGAAGTGACAGACGATGGTTTGAAGAATGTTGTTCCTGTTCAGCGTATTGGTAGTAATATGAGTAGCAGTTGGATGGAAGTGGACTGAGGACTAGTTCAATCGACGACGCACATTGAATATCGAACACTAAACGATGCCGAGACCTCCGTGGGAATTTATTTACCAGTAGAAAGGTCAGTGAAATGACAACTACGGTGGGTGAGAATACGATACGGCCGCGCCGTCTAGATCAACCGCTGACAGTGTTTCTAAGCCAGGGTTTATTGAAAAGTTCTTTCGCTGACTCTCATTCCTGAGGACGCCATCTGAACATTCCTCTTGCAACCCTGATACCAATCCTAGCTATATGGCAAAGAGTTGCCAACCGGAAACACCCCTACACAGTATGAAATCCTGTTCCCTGATTTGTACAATTATTTGCATACGCCGTCAGAAATTCGAGCCGGAAAAGGTGCTACGACTTTCCCAATCGGAGATATTGATACCTATGACAAGATAAATCATGCCCACGTGTCAACTTGCTTGAGGACGTCGAGCTCCTGTTTCACGCCACTATATAATCTCGAATAGAAGTGAACTCATTCTTGAGGAGTAATCTAGCTGCGTTCCTGCCGTCGACATAAAAGATGAGACGCGGAGGGCACGGTGGCAGTGGTGGTGGGGGGCGGAGTGGAAGCTGAGCGCTAGGATAGCGGGATAGCCTCGGAGAGGTAGGGAGTAGGATAGAAGTAAGGAGGAGGATATCCCTAGCTAGATCACTGCCTGGCTAGGGAAGGAGCTATCGGGGTCGAGGGGGCAGTGAGCCCATAGCCATTTACCGCTGATGAGAGCAGACCTATGACATGACGAGCGCAGACCAAGGGCACCACAGGGGCAGGTAGAAGCTAGGGGTTAGGGGTTTTAGCACCTAAGAAGTTTTTACCGCTAGGTTAAAGATAGGACTATATATATAAAGGTGCCATCTTATAGAGCGAGGAGGTATAGTATAAAAAGACTATATAGACTATATAGACTAGTAGTAAGGGGATAGAGAGTAGTAAGTAGAGAGTAATATATATTAGAGAGTATAAGGTAATAGAGTATAAGAGAAATATATATTTCTAAATTTACTAAATTTAGTTTATTTTCTCTATAGATAGACCTCTAGTAAGCCCCTTATTAGGCTCTTTCTATACTTAGTCTTAGGTTATTAAAGCTAAGGCTTATTAGTAACCTTTTAGTTCCTTTTTTAAAATAATATATTATAAATAAAGATAGTAAGCTAAAGTAATAAAAGGTACTAAAACCCCTATCCCCCGTTTTCTACCTGCCCTTATAGTGCCCCTGCTACACTCTCGGCTCGTCGTAGGTCCACTCTCATCAGCAGTATATAGCTATCAATAGGTTCGCTACACTACCTCCCCCTAGCTAGGCAGCGATCTACCTAGGGTCCTACCGCCACACTACCTCCGCTATCTCCCTACCGCCCCCACTATATGCTGTTCCGGCCCTCCAGCCCCCGACCCTCTAGTGGCCCCACCGGGCCCAGCTGTCCGCCCGCTTGCCCCGGCGGGGCGCGGTTGGTCGCGGTCGCCTCCGCCCCTGGGCTACTTTTTTATATTTTATTTATTTATTAATTAATTGACTTTATATATATTTTATATATAAATATAAGTTTAGCTTATTAAGTTTAAAGAAATTTTGAAAAAATTAAAAAGTAAAATAGCTAATATAAATTAATACTTTAGGCGTGTAGGGAGTAATAAGTTTGTGTTACGACAAAATGTCGTGCCGCTTACTTATAGCCAGCCGAGCTAGCTGCAAGTAAGTCAGTAAGGTAAGGCAGCGCTACTGCCTTTTCAGGGTGATCGTGGTTCCGCTAGGTAGCGGTTACTTCCTTACAAAATACCATAGTCACTAATATAAGAAGTAGAAGCTAGGTATCAGTAGTAAGTAAGTAAGTTAGTTCTACCTTCCTAGCTACCTATCTACTGGATGACCCTCTTTATCCTCCTGGATCCCAGGTGGTGATCACGTGGACCGTCGGGTAATCTTCGGCTGATACCCATCGGCTGCAGCGGAGCGCTGCAAGCCAGCCGTGGCAGCTGTAGCCATGCCGGCTACGGCTGCCAGGGAGTTTTGGCGTAACAGTTTGGCTCTACGGAGTTAAGTTGGTATCCATGAGACCGGGTCCTTGGCCCTTGTAATAGTATTGTCGATAAACAACCCTATAGGGGAATATATACTTCTGTTCATTGAATACTGAGACCGTGATAAAAACCAGGCATTCGCTGGTTTGCACAATTTATAAGAGGCTCGGAAGACTATATGTGTCATGGGCAAAGGGTGCATGTACTCATGATTGCGCAAACTCGTTCTTAGGGTGACTGAGATAGGCTGGGTTCTTCTTCGTTGGGTACGTTGCTTAACACTCTTAATTCCAGCCTACGACCACGGGACCTCATAACTCTTGTTGGTCAAACCTGGAGTATCGATATTTGACCTTTAGTGTAGCTGGCGACTTTCCTTACTTACAGGAGTTCAAGGTTGAATAGCCTTCCACTTCACCGCATTTTACATGCAGTTAAATGTGTCGACACCTCCGTGCTTGTAAGCGAAATTTGAGATTGTGTTCCATCATTATTGGGGGTTCTGAGGTGTGTCTAGGAGCGCATTGTCTTGGATGGATTTTGATGGAGCTGGCAGAGGCTCAGGGACGACGGCCTGAGAGAAATTAAACGAAAAATCATTTTCGGTGGGGACGGCGGGAGAGGGTTTGAAATGCTCGGATTTCAGCTGAATGTTAAATTGGCTTCTGCAGGCTCTTTTAAGGCTCGGTTTTCTTGGCATTGGGGATTGTCCATGGGTGCTCCAGCGGATCATCTCGAGCCGCTCCTCTTCCTCCGTATCCTCGTCTGTCACTTGAGTCTCCTGCGACATTCTCTGGTGCTGGGCGAGAAGTTGCACACTACTACCCGAACTTCGGCGATGTGGAGACCGCACTCGGCCAGGGACCAGGGCGGAACTTTGTTTTGATGACGTTCCGCTACGATAAGCTGTGAGAGACCTTTGCCATAAGGCCCGAGAAGGGCTGCTGGCTAGGCGCCTTAAATCAACCTGACTTTCCGAAAAAACGACGCGCGCCCGGAGAGCATGCACCGCCCGGTCTAAGGCAAGTTCGATGGCACAGCGGTCGCGAATTCTGCTGACTTTAGGCCAAGTGGCCCGTTCCCTGCAAGGCAACATCGTAGCATAAAATCGCTCGTAGGGTTAGAGAGGATCTTTGGCAAATCTTGTATCGTCACCTCAGGGAGGATGTTGACGTCTCCAGAATATTTTTGGCTGAGGATACTGCGAAGCTTTGTGACTAAGTTTGGGAATATCCCTAACTCGGCGAGGAAGTGCATGCGGTGAAGTGCTTCCTCCTTTGCTAAAGATGTGACCATATATATCCAATCCGCGTGTTTATCCGGGGCATTCAGATCATCTGAGCGTGCGTGACCCTCATCAGGTTTGAGGTGATCATCTTTCGCAAGAAATGGGACGACGTGGGGATTGACTTGTGACACAATGAAGTGATTCACGTTGAACATCTCCGCCAGCCTAGTCATGGGTAAATCATTGTCCACGGAGCCATCTATCCAACGCTGAGGACTTGGATTCCAGGGAACATGCTCTCCGCTTACCGGATCTTTGACAAGCAAGGATGCAGCAGTAAAAACTAGCGGCACGGAGCATGATGCCGCTACTGCAGACCATATCATGACGTTTGGTGCTGTGACGTAGTTGAGAAGCCTGGGAAGTTCGTAAAGGGATTCTGTAGAGACCGTGATGTTTAATATCCGGCGTGTGCGGTTGTAAGCTTCTTGGAAAGTAAGATCCCCAAGGAGACCGCGCATAACCCTAGTCAGGTGCTTTATATCTGACCAGCTTCCTTCTGTAAGCAGGCGTCGTAAATGTGATAGCATGTTATCCTCAGCGCCATCCGCCTCGAACACATTCAGGTCGCCATAGGGAAATTCCTCGATCAATGCGGGAATTTCCTCATCAGTATGTGTACAAAGAACAGCAGAGACGATAGAACCGGCGGAGGCCCCGGATATGATGCGGGGAGTAGGTCAACGGTAAACAAAGCCTTGAGAACGCCAATATGCATCATTCCAAAAGTGGCTCCTCCGCTTAAAAGGAGAGCACTCCGACCAAAACTTTGCCTAGCGAGAAGCATACCGTCAAGCAAGCCTTTGTAGCTTATATCGGCCGGCAGGGACTGCATGCACTCGTGTACAAGGGATTCAATAGTTTGGATCGCCGACTCAACGTAGCGCTCGATAAGGTGCTTTGTGCCAACGTACGAGTGGCGGTAGAGGTCAACGTTGTTCATACCCCCAAGGTCTCTCGAGTGCGGTGCGAACCAGGTACATCATGGCGCGCACATCCCGAGATGACCGTGCATTATCAAGGTCCCTCAAGCGAGACTCTATTAATGTCACGTTGAAGCCACCAGTGGATACATCATCTTTCCATCTGTTATTGCCCTCAAGAACGTCAAGTTCTTGTGCCGCTGTCTCCCATTGCTCTAACGTCGTTGCCTAGGAAGGAAGGTAGTTAGGTTAGCTAGGAGCTTTTATGAGGGAAAGTTCGATGTTTAAAAGGGTGAGCCGGTCGTTACATTCTTTAGGCATGCTATGAGTGCTTCCTGGCGTCCCCGAAGAGTTCTTCTCCTCTGCTCTTTCTCGTCATCTTCAGTGCCCCAGTGAAGGGATGAGAGAAGGCTATTGGCATTCTCGATGGCGTAGGTAAGCGAGGAGATAACGCCATTGTTTAACCTTTTCTTTTTGGGTCGACAGGTAGCTTCTCAGGGAATCTAGTACCGGGAATTGAAAGGGCCGTCTTGCGAGGAATAGTGCCTAACAAGAGAGTGTTCATAGTGTTGACTCATGTAGCTGATATACGGGAAGGATAGTGCACCCTGGAGAACAAGGCAGATGGCTCAAGATGAACCTCGCTCCATAAGGGTTAGTCACTTCGGGGTTGCCCCGGCTGGAGGGGCAAAGGAATTTGGAGCTGCAACAACTGCCCGTCAATTTGTCGCGCTGCGTCGGATGTTGTCAAGCCTCCAAACTAATGGATTTAAGGAATAAATCTTAGCGATTGTTCGACGGTGCGCATTCAGTAATATACCATGGCGCAGAGTGATGTGCGAGAAGCTGACGGGTGGGCTGGTTCTTTGGTGTGAAACATAACTCCGGTAATTGATCACATGCCAAAAATTGAAAGTTTTGCCAATTCCATCGTGTCCAACCACCAAGATAGTGGATGACGTTGCGAAAGCTAACATACGGCTAAATTACGGGGTAACCATACACCAACGTTGTGATGACCAGAAATACTCAGCATTATGTGTGTGTCGGCGGGCGCAACTGATTCGGAAATCATTTTGTTTCCCCCATTACGGAGTACTCATGCGCATTTCTTCACTGCAAGGACTAACGGCTAAAGCCTTAACTAGGTCAATCCTGTTTCCCTTCCGATAATTTTTGCAAGCTCAGCCTATCTACAGCAAGCATTCGAAACGATGGTGCTAGTGGAACTCGTCAAGTTTAAATCAATCTCCAGGCTTTGGATCCGTGGGCGCCGCAAAGAAGTATGGCTGCCTTGCAACCGATGGAGCCACTTGAGCTTGTATTCCTACCACTTCGTCATCGAGATGACAGTTTCGGCTGATCGAGGTCCGCTCATCAGGTTTTGATGACAAATGATACTTGTGGTCAATGTTGTAGATGGACGCGGCCTCTATAAGCCTTGGGCCACGACACTAGTGCCTGCCCTGGACTCGACTAAGGCAAAGATGCATGAAACAGCGTCAACTTTGATAACTTGGTTAGCTTCCCTGGCTGTTCTTTGCTTCAGGCACCCCGTCGAGCCGACACCCACACACATACGTGTATGTATAAGGGATATCAGTGACGTCTCTTGGGTGATGCTAGTCTCGCTGCTCTGGATAAGGTTGTTCTGTGATATGGAAAATCCTTCCTCTCAGCCATTTAAATTCGTTACAATCGCTCGCTGAGTATTCGGAAATCTAATCTCCTCAACCAATACTTCAGCGCCCAGTCGCGAGTTCACCCGGGAAGCGGCAATGTTGATATAGCAGCTACTATAAAGGTGTGCGGTTTCAGCGAAGGCTGCGTAGGCGCCTGTTGATGTTAGCCCAGTGATTATGGTGGTAAGTTACTCGGAAGTGACCCATGTCCTCTGCCCCATTGCTATCCGAATACCCGACAAGGCTTCCCTTCAATGACCATGACTTGTTCCCGCTAAATGCTACTATGCCAGAGGCGTGGGCAATGTCCAACAAACCATCGTAGGTGTCCTTGCTCCCTACAATCCCATCGAATGAAAAGGCATATTGGTCAACCCAGAGGTGAGTTGCGCCGTCAAGCGCAAGAATATCGCATCCCTCTGGGGCTTTATGAAACTTCATATGTCGCACGACCACGTTACTCGCTCTTCTGATGCGGAAGCCATAATTCGTAAACCTAATCATAAGTCAATGATATGAAGATATTAAGAGTTAGAGCTGAGGGCGGAATACTGGCGCATGCCTAAAGTAAGATCGATACCGAAGATCGTAGTATTACTTTGGAGGTCAACAACACCGCAGCCGAGCAAGATACAGGTGGCCTTGATTACACCCCTCATGGCGATGGCTAGAACCGGGGAGGCGCACGAATTCACAGGGATTCCTTCACTACTTCCGCCCCCGGTCGTCCCATGCCCGTCGCCTACAAGCTTATCTACACTGGCCTTACAAGATTGGCTGGGAATGGGATGTAGTGGACCTTCAATGAGAGGAACGTCAGGAATCCGTGGCAATACCAGAGACGTGCGCTCCACGAAGGCGGCACCAAGGACTGTAAGGCTGAAGGGGGCGGGGAGATGCATTATTGGCGATAGATGTATCTTTAGATTGCAAGAGGAGAAAGTGATATACGTCACAGAATGGGCCAAAATTAATGGAATAGTTAGGTGCAGTCCGAGGTTGAGTGACAGAACAAACCTTGTTCTTTGCAAGTTCAAGAGAGGTGGCCATCCTTTCTAAGCGCTTAAATTTGGCCGCCATGACACAGCGACTTAGCTACCCACTTTCCTACGCCATCATTGATCGTGGAACTCAGGATACTTGAACTTGCAAGGGATTGAAAGGGCCTTTGAATGACCATATTTGGCGGCTGCATTCATACCAAGTCCGGATGGAATTGGCACTACCCATGTCGCTGTTACGAGTGCGGAATGTTGCTGAGCTTTCGCTTTGGTGGGCCTAGATACCTGATAACAATACTATTACACGGCAAAGCCCGTTTCTTCCCGATGCATCCCCACAGTCTCGGGTTATGTTCGTCTGAAGTTGATCCGCAGTCTCCCCTGTAGGCTGCCAGTTGAGAAGTGAGCCGATCAGAATGCCTTGCGAAGTTTGCCGTCCCACTAGAATCTTCACTGGGCCGGAAGAAAAGTAGAAAGGTGTATTCTTCGCAGAGGGCACCGATGTTTCTGTAAATGGGTGTTGTCAAAACGGCTGGTGTTCGACATGCATTTGGTCACTTGAAGGCGCTCTAGCCACCCTTCTTTCGGCTCTGATATTGACGTTAGAAAGACCAATGTCCTCTAAACATAAAAGAAGAGGAGTATGAGCGCTGTATAAGTCCTCAGTTATGTTTCAGTTCGACATTTTAAAGTATTGGTGAGGGATGGGAGTTTCAACGGGAAGCCTCGAATGCCATCCTAGGACTGGTTGTCACAGCCTTAATCTAAGGTGAGCGGTGCAACAGGAAATAGAGTGGCGATTTGGTGCGTTCAGGTTGGGATGGAAAGACGAGGGGAGTGTTTAGTAGAGTGAGGGGCGGAGCGGCCACGAGATGTCCCACCAGGATATACCACTCCTGAACCTCGTTGATGGGTAATAATTATCCAAAGATATAGATCCCGAAGGCAATGGGAGCTCTCACATCAGGTAGGGCGTTCCTTTCTCAATCCCATAATCTGATTTGTCCATCATGGCTTCCGGTGAATACTTTGCTCGTCTCTTGTTCAGACCACCTCACACATGTGAGCGCTTCCGTCCCTGCTTTCATTTTATGAAGCATTTTGCAAGTTTTCCAATCCCAGACCACCAAATAACCCGCAGAATCGCCACTCGCAAGGAATTGTCCGTCCGGGCTAACAGAGATATCGATGGCTGTTCCAGCAGTATGGTGACCCCTGAAAAATTTCTTCCTACTCTGGCGAATCTTTTCACCTGTTGAATATACGAGGGCTTCGTTGTTGGAGCTTTGATATATCGCATATTTTCCGTTAGGGTGAAGCGTGCTGCGCGTGAGCGGAAAGCTGTCGACTTCGGGCATGATATACTTCACGGGAACGGGAATGCCCCAATCCCATGCCCTCACCGATTTGTCGTCTGACGTGGATAGGAACCGCCCACCGCCTTCAATGAACTCAAGGGTATTCACAGCCGCAAGATGATGATTGTAATCCTGAACAATCTCGTTCCCCGACCGTACGTCGAACTGTAGAATTTGACCCGATGACATACCCGCCAGGAATTCATTCCTATGATCAACGGCATTGGTGTTAAATTTCACCACATGTGGAGTCTTCCCAGTGGTAAACTTTGAAATGCACTTGCCCGACTCGGTGTCCCAGAGTTTGATCAACCTATCCCATGAGGCAGAGATGAAATTCGTTCCGTCGTAACTGAAAGACAGGTCTGAAAGAGCTTTGGTATGGCCGGAGTACGATCGCAACAACTCTCTGTCATGATAGCAGTCCCAAATCCGAATTGATGTGTCCGCAGAACCGGAGAGTAAAAGGTGGCTCGACCTAGGGAAAAGGCGCAACGCAGTGATAGCTTTGGTGTGAGTTTTCCAAGCATATATCTGTCGTTTGGGTATGTAATTCGTGATGCTTCCAGGCTCCTTGCGCAGATCGACATCTAAGTCTTGGGGGACATGCATGTAGGTGCGACCCTGGTAATCAAATTCCCGCGAACCGTGGAAGATAGTTGCTTCCTTTCCAAGCTCAGAAATATCTTTTCTTCGCGCGAGGGAGTCTACCGGTGCCTTCAGGACCGTACCACTTTCAACCACATCACCCCCGCCATCATCTTCTTCAACCACTTCGTACTCTTCGTCGGTCGCAAGATGCCCGTGCTCATCGACTGTCTCAAATTCCTCCCTCTTGTACCGCGCCCAAGGGCCAACATAACTATCGGGACCTTCAGCAACCGTAGATTTGCCTTTGCTTTCACGTGTTGACCGGAGCTGGGCGTTGGTTTGCTTAATCTCCATGCCACTGAGATAGCCCCGCTGCGGGCCTCCCCTGCGCTCAACTAGCTGATGTTGGGATCGAAACGTGTGCTCACTAACATACGTTTCTGTCGCAGTGCCCGTAAGGACGTTCTTTTTCCTCTTCAAAGGATTTGTCTGGGAAGTTGTGAGAGGGTTTTGGGGACCAACCATTGGTCGTAAGAGGTCGTCGCCCATGTATGTATCAACGGCATGGGCAGGGTTTGCATCTTGACGAAGAATTAATGCGTCTTTCGGGGCCATGTTGGCCGGGTATTCGTCGAGGTTGTCCATTTCGCGTCGTGTTCTCGAAGGCTAGCCTGAAGTCTCCCTAGCATTGTTGACAATTAGAGATTGTCGGGGTGTGGACTACAACTTGGGTTCTTTATGAAGGATGGAGGGAGAAAGCGAGCAGCTTTTCGCAGCCGAAAGCAGCTGTGGGCGGCCCAAACATCAAGGTCTCCGAGGATACATTGGTACTGTCCCCCAAATGGACAAGTGCGATCCATGATATCAAATAAAAGACACATCATCCTCGCAGCATCCGCTGATAGTATATTATTTTTGGGATAAGGGAAAACGTTTCGTATCATTTTGCACCGCTGAGCTTATCGCTAAGCATGCGAGAGTAATTAAGAGCAGAAGGAAACCATGATGGGAACTCGGAGCAGACCAGGCGCTCAAACATGACCACATTTACACCTATGACTGTTTCCTGAAAACTCGTACGAGGCAAAATACAAGCATCTCAACCATATCTCCCGACCGTTGTGAATAGAGACACCATGAACACAGATGTGGAGCCACATATGGCACTCTGCCTCCGTACTACTTCAGACTAATCTACCCCGGCAGTTTGCCAGGAGGCAGGCCGCCTCGTCAGGGATCATCACACTGGTTTAATTTGCTTCATCTTTGATGAGCGCAACAATCATGCTGTAAAGGTAGAAGAAAAACATAACGAGGTGAAACGCAAGCTTTCCGAACGACTCCTAATGAAGGGACAAAGGTGCAAATCAAGACACCGTTAGAGGGTAGCTAGACGAAGGTATTAGGACTGCTCGTACCTTTTTGTGAACATTTAATTTGCGGAAGATCTCGGTCGCGTCTAGCAAATGGGTATTTTCCACGATTCTGTATGAATGGTTAGTGCTGTGGGGATACTCTCGATATGGCTCACGACGTACTTCTTGGCGTTCCATGCCAGCAACGGCAGGTTAAGGATGAGAGGCAGCCAGTAGCCATTGATGAGGAAGAGAAAGGTCAGGAACACGTGGACGGCAGCCTCGGGAATTATATATGTGTTAAGACGGTTGCACAAGTCGATCGGGTTAATGTAGTCGCTAAATATGAGTTAGTAAGTGCGATACAGCTTGGGTAGGCAGGAACCATATTTCCCGCCTATGTATTCATTCTGGACATCCTCAACAAGAGCGGTGGAGGAAGAGGAGGCGGGGGTGGAGAAGGCGAGCCACTGACCATTCAAGATCGCTATACATTATGGTAAAGAATACCTGGAGGAAAAGGTTGACGGCATTGATCAATACCGCAAAGAGGTACAGCCAGGCCTCTCCCGACATCTTGAAGACAAGGGAGTCGAAGAAATAAATGGAAATGGCAACGAGGCGAGGTAGGAGCACAGTATTTGCCTGGACGGCCTGGGAGATAATGTCTGCCGCGTTTGTAGTGTCGAGTTCCTTGATTGTTGATGGTTAGAATCGAGGGGAAACGGGGTGGCTGAAGCAAGGAAGGTTATGCAAGTTTTTTGTTGATTCCTCCGCGCACTTCCTCAGACTATATGTACTCACGAAATTCGCCGATGATGAGGAATCTCTAGGCCAGAATATGAAGAGAAGGCCCGTGGTGTAATTACTTTCGAGCTAATAAGTCTAGAGACTTTAAAGTAGTCGCGGATAGGTGAGTTGGGAAGATGTAATAGAATGGCTAGATGGTGGCGGTCGAAGGTGTCGGTAGCAGGATTAAGAACCGCGCATTCAAAGGTCGAGCCTGAATGACGTGAGCTTGGGGTTGGTGCCTCCAGATATTTTACTGAGCTTGGGAGCTAAGGGCATGCCTCGCATTGTGACTGTCAAAGCGGATTTCGGCCCGTTGGCAGCTGTGGGTTGCAGCCTCCAACTGGAGCTCGAGAATGTCGATAAGGAAATCTATTCAACTTCAAGAAACCACCATTTTTCGGTTTATTTGAATGTTAGTAAATAAATATATATTTATAGGTGCGGCTTTCTTCAGAACTCTGCAGTGCAAATCGAGTAACATTTTGAGAGCATAAAACCGGCCGTTCACAGAAAAGATGACTTGACAACTTTCAGCTTCTTCCTATCTATCCTCGAAAAATGTTCTCCAGAATTTTCATTCACGCTGCAGACATCGACTTTACAAATAGAGGCTTGCTTGTACACGCGTAGATCTGAGCAAGCACTTGAAGCTATCCGGCGGCCCGTAACTATTCTGGGTGTCTCGGCGAAGCCTGCTCTGGCAAGGGAACCGGTCCGCCAGGGAGGTCGCCAATCTTGCCGTTAATACTTCTACTCCTGTGTCCGTGACGAGCAGAGTGTGTTCTACAAAAGTAAGTAAAATTAGCCGCCATCAGCCGATTATGTTATACCAGGCAAGTTCCAGTCGCCAACTTACCAAATTGCGCGGTCCTCTTCCCATCGATTGTCGTGCTTGTCCAGTTGTCAGGCCATGTCACGTCACGATATGAGCCCAGTGCAATCATTGGCTCGATAGTGAAGGTCATGCCAGGTTTTGCTTCGCCAGGGGTTTTATTCTTCGCGTAATGGGGGATATCTGGCGCGCAATGGAAGAGCCTATTAATGCCATGGCCGCAGTATGTTCGAATCGTACTGCAGCCTCTTGACTTCGCATGCTTCTCAATAATATTGCCGAATTCTCGGAAAGGAACACCGGGCTTCACCGCTTGAATGGCTAATTCTAGACATTCGCGGGCTGTTTCAACAACACGCACGGAGTCTGGATCTGCTTTGGCTTTACTACCAACATAATATGTTTCGTTCAAATCGCCATGAAATCCCTCATGATAGAGGGTGACATCGATGTTTAAAATGTCACCATCCAAGAGAATACGTTGATCAGGGATCCCATGGCAAATAACTTCGTTCGGGGACGTACAGACTGACTTTGGGAAGTGATTGTAGTTTAATGGCGAGGGATAAGCCTATAAGAAGCAGGATTAGAAAACTGATATAAAATCCTCCGGTGAAGCGTACTCCAAGTCGGCCTCGACCAAACTTGGTCGGGTTCAGCATTGAGAGGAGCCACCAATGTCCCGATTTACTCCCTGGCCTTGTATCTTTTACTCACATCTCTCTCCAAGCATGCATTGTGGACGATCCGGTCTATTTCATCTGTTGTGATGCCAGGACGCAATGCCGCCGCAGCGACATCTAGAACCTCTCGAGCGAGACGGCAGACTTTGCGCATTCCATCCTGGGCCTTTTCATCAAGAATCTCGATCTTCCGGCGTCCTGGCATCGATCGATATTTAGGTACGCCATCCTCAGACCATTCGGGATGGGGGATGCTCTTCGGAACAACGCGTTTAGACGATAGCGGATAGACAGGGCGGAGTGAACCAGTATAGTTGAACGCTGGGAAAGGATTGAAATTTCCAGTTGCTGGATCGGGTTCAGAAACTACCTTTGGAGGGAGGATATGGTGGAGAATGTTACTCTGAGACTTGTGAAGCACCTTGTGTTCGCTCTAAAAGCTTCGTTAGTTGACCCGCAAATCAGTGCAAATGACGAAAAGACAAGGGAAAGGTAGCTTTGGAACACAAAAAGTACGTGAGGCTACCATATCGCCGGCTAACGCCCCCTACGTACCCAGCTTTTCTTAAAGCATTCTTGAGAGCAGAAGAAGCTATCCTTGATGCCGAGTTTGATACAAGTAGGACACTGGAGAGAGTCGGCGTCTTCTTCACAATTGACACCCAGGCACTCTCGTGATGGCAAAGCCATTATGGCTGAACAAGGATGAAGGACTCAAACTCTCCACTTGTTCCGTTGAAAAGAATATAAAAATAAAATAAAAAACCCCCAAAGCAAAAGAAGAAAAAGAAAAAGGAGAGAAAAAAAATACCCCCTTCAGGGAAAAATAGAACAAGATTACATCAAGTTCGGGCAGATATATGATAGTCAATTGCTCGAAAGATGGCAAGATGCCCTATGAATGAGATGAGAGTGTGCGGGCAGTTGGTGGGGCCAAAGGCAAAATCGCTGTGTGGAGCTAGACAGCTTACTTAAGCTTGCGAAGGATCCCTGGCCGTGCAAGCCTAGATATTATAAGTCGTCAGGCATCGAGGGCAAGACATCAGACATCTATCCTGATAACCTTAACATTCGAATCAAGATGTATAATACCTTTTTCTCACCTTTCAAGCATAAAAGTGGCGTTTCTTGATATATCCGGCTGGAATGGACTTCCCATTCCAGTATAGCATCTCCTTCTTCAAATTGATATGTGCACGTTTTCAACCCATCCCAGCATCTATGAATTTGCCGTCGTACCTCAATGAGCTCGGGGTAGACGAGAGTGGGGGCCGGTTCGGGATCGGCCCCGCCGCTTTTGATGGACGGATGGTTCCATCTGGGCCTATTAATAAGTACAAAGTCTTCAGCCCCTCCAACCAAAATTTAGAGGTGAATTAAGATCTAGTTTACCAACTTCCCCAAGCTCAACCTACCACCACGTTTTAGCTGAAGCTCCATGCATCATAGACAGAAAATCATCGTTGTTGGGGCAGGGCCTGTTGGCTCATTGGCTGCTCTTTACGCCGCTCAGAGAGGTCACGAAGTCGAGATATATGAGCTTCGCCCTGGTATTGTTCATCTTCTATCACACCTATGAGGCATTTCTAACCGATAACGGCTAACGGTCACTGACAACTAATATAGACCTCCGCAACCCTTCTACTATCCCGTTGAATTTTACGAAATCAATCAATTTAGCTTTGTCTGAACGGGGAATCAACGCAATTCGGAATGCCGGGCATCCTAAACTCGCGGATTCAATCCTCAGTTCTACTATACCTATGAGAGGCCGCATGATTCATCTCGAGAACCCAGATGGAAGTCTGTTTCAGGATGTTCAGAATTATGATACTCATGGGAGGGTAATTCTCGCCTGCTTTTTAAGACTATACCCATTGCCTCCCACTTACGCCAACAGTACTAATTCTAGCATCTTTCTAGGCCATCCTTGCCATGGACCGGGCGGGCCTGAATAAGAGTCTGCTTGATGCGATTGAGGAGCTGCCTAACGTGAAGTTATTCTTTGGTCACCGACTTACTGGCGCTGATTTCCGAAAACGCCTCGCATGGTTTGAGCTCAAAAACGAGATTACTAGCGATGATGCAAACGAAAGGCCTCGGGAGATACAGGTTGAATTTGATCTCTTGATAGGGGCGGACGGCGCACATTCTGCTGTGAGATACCACATGATGAAGTTCACCAGGATGAACTATTCTCAAGAGTACATCGATACTTTGTGGTGTGAATTTCAGATAATGCCTCGCGAAGCCAGTGCGAGTGACGATCATTTGGCCAAATTTGCCATTTCTCCAAATCACCTTCACATTTGGCCGGGCAAAGAGTTCATGTTCATTGCCATACCCAGTGAGGTTTGTTTAACATCTCACAACTAGTTTCTCTGCTGATGGATGCTCTCTTAGGACGGTTCATTCACCTGTACGCTTTTCCTCCCAGCCGCCACCTTTTCCCGCCTTGAAAACGACCCGTCTTCCCTACCCTCTTTCTTCGATAAGCACTTTCCCGGGGTTACGGGGTTGATCCCACCCAAAGCCCTTGTCCAGTCTTTCAAAAGCAACCCCCACCTGCCCTTAATTAGTGTTAAATGCGGGCCTCACCATTTCGGCAGCTCCGGAGTAATCGTTGGTGATGCTGCAAACGCTATGGTCCCATTTTATGGTCAGGGTATGAATACTGGCTTAGAGAGTGTCAGGATCCTGTTCTCGATGATAGACAAATATGCAGAATCCGTGGAGGACAATAGCCCTCTCCTGGACTCGGATTTGGCGGTTGTATGCGCCCATCAGAGGACCTTGGCGTTATCCGAGTATTCTAATTACAGGGTTCCGGATGCCCATGCAATCATTGACCTCGCCCTCCAAAACTATCTAGAGATGAGGGCCTCCGTCCTCTCGCCGATATACCGCCTCAGAAAATATCTCGAAGAGGTTATCTCTGTCTACCTGCCGGGGTTGGGTTGGCGCACTAAATACTCCCGGGTGAGTTTTGGGAACGAAAGGTTCACAGATGTGATCAGGAAGAGTGAGCAGCAAGGTAAATTTCTTGTGAGGGGATCCATCGCATTACTTTGTAGCCCGGTGGCAATTGCTGTCATGGTGCATTGCCACCGCCGCTGGCGAGCATCCCCGAAGTTATGGGGAAACATCTTCAGCTTCCTGGGTCACTCTAACAAACCTGTCCCCCTGAACGACAGCTCCCCGTCTAGTACATATACCACGCAAGCTCTTATATTCTAGGACCCCTATCAGTCTTGCCCTTCCCCATTTTCGCCTTTTCTCTCTATCCTCTTCCTACACTATTATCGTATATAGCACCATACTCTTTAGTAAGATCCAAACAACCGCTTTGCAGCGAGCCCCTATATATACATGTATATCTTACGCGTAATACCTCGGTTTTGGATGGAAAACCTGACCTCTTGAGCTAGAGAATAGTATCGAATCTACATGTAGACACAATCTAACGTAAATTTCTCCTTGCCCGAGCGAGGTAGGCCGTACCGCCCCTTGGGGCACACCATCCCAGATAAAAAACATCTTTCCACATGTTTTAAGGAGAAATATTGGAAGGATGAGCAGGGTTTTTAGTCGGAGGACGCCGGGTTTCACGTATGCCTACCATTTAATTTTATATATAAACCCATTTACACATCGAACTTTACGCACATGCAGCCATTGGAGGTCTCTGCTCTACGCAGACTGTCCTCCTCGAATCTGCAAAGGATAGCAGGCTCACCCGTTCAAAACCGAAGAGTAAGAACCGTGACCAAAAATTAGGACTTGATATAAACTGTGCAGTATTTCAAAGCCAAGGCCGCCTAACGCCATCCATAGCGAGGACCAATCTGGCATTCTCTCTAGCTATCCAGGATGGCGCCTCCTATGCCCATATAACCGATGAAGAACGAGCAAGAAGGGCCAGCATATTTAGAGCCTTCATCCACTCTCGGTGGACAGGACTTGTCGCAAATTAAACATTTCAGCCACGCAGACTTCGGCCATGCCATCCTACAGCTGCATACCCATACCTCCTGGTTTAATTTGGTGATTATGGAATCTCCTGGCGCGTGGAGGTCAAGCCTCAGGCCACACTCTATGCAGAAGCGACGGGCGCTCACGAGTTTGTGGGTAGTTTTCGGAGCGGGAAAGAGACCGCTAGAGCTAGCCAGATAACTGTTCGATGTCGGGCCTAACACTTGGGCGCTTTTTGTGTGACTTTCTCGCCCTTTGTGTCAACATAGATGGAAAGTGCCTGGCCCGCCTGAAAGTGGGCTGGCCCTCGCACGCGAAAGCAGATGTAACAGGCAAAATTCCCCGGTTGCTCCTGGCCATGTATGATAATTGGGAAATGCTTGGGAAAATAATTCTCTGCCCGCATCACGAAGGCAAATTTATCTTCCTGTGGAGCCATCTGGGGGTCGACGGTCCTCTGGAGGTAGCTGTTCACACAGGAAAAGGCGATCAGAGATTGGTAATCCATATAAGATAGAATTTCTCTTGGATTTCGGCGGGTAGCCTCTCAAATTGGAAGCGCGGTTGTTTTCGACGGGATGATGGAACAGGACGTTGTAAGGAGACCGGTCCCACTAGGGCTGCCGGAAGGAAGGGCATAGTAACGGAAGCGACAAGTAAGGCGACTGCTATAGCTATTGTAGGTGGCTCTTAAACCGGTAGGTTGCTGGAGAGGCTCTGCTAGAGGATGGGACTGGGGCTTCTCATTGTAGGGCAAACGAGCACGGGAAAGAAAGCGAGATAAAAGGTAGAGTGAGGCCTAGAAGGAGGAGGGGAAGCTGGAGAGATCGACACCTTTGCAATCCTTAGTACGATATAAGACCCTCTTTAGTGGCTGGCTTAAGAAATTCATTGCTATCTACTAGAATTGATTCAAAGGAGGGTTCCTAGAACTTGTATTGATTCTAAGTGGAGTAGAGGTCGGATAGTTTCTCAGCCTGGGGGGGTTTAGATGGCTGATCAAGTAGAGTGCGCAACGCTCAGGGACTACATACATGCATACATGTAATATCTATCAAGTCCAACAGATATGGATCTATATTGCAGGCCTTTATTGAGCTGAGGGTCATGTCTTAGACTTTGGTGGGTTGTCCGGGCCCGTTGTGAGGGGCTGGGTCTGAGCCAAGGTGGGTTGATTGGGGTCTGCGGATCCCACCCCTAAGCTCCAATGGAGTTGGAGTGTGAGACTTGGAATAAGAGACCTATCCGCTCCCATCCGCTTTACGGAGAAGGTTTAATAGGAAGTGATAGGGATTGGTGGGTTGGTAAAAGCTTGCTCAGTCGCCTCCTGCGATCGAGTTGCCTATGTAACCTGGGAAGAAGGTGACTTCTATTGACATCCATCTATCAATGAATATCAGTGATGTGCTAGTCGCTCGAAGGCTTCTATAAATCCACTCAACACCGCAGATGTTGATTCTCCTAGTCGTGAGAACTATAGCCCTCCTAGAATTCTATAGATGCTATGAGATCATTGATCTTACTCATTGATGTGCTGATGCTGCGCCTAGGCAACGCACTCTTGACCAGGCTATCAGCTTTGACTCTCTTTCATGAGGGAAAAGATTGGGGTGTCATGTTTCTTCCTCTATTTTTTTCTCTTAGCTGAGGGGTTCCAGTTTCAGCAATTACATCTATAGATCTGTATATGCTGCTGTGGTATTGTCATATCGATGCCCTGGTGAAGAGGTCTCTCTTATATCCAGATGCTCTCATGATCGACAGTGGGCTTTTATATAGGACTTCTCACATGAAGAAGGAAAGCACTGCTTGCTCCTACAGTTCTATAAAACCCTGTGTAAGTCGAGAGAGAGGCTGAAGGTAGTACATGTATTGGATATTTAACACACGGCCAACTGGCAGATACCAAGGCTGAAGATTTTGCCTGTGATCTCTGGATGCCACATGACACTCGAATAGCTGGTGTGTCTTCACCACATTATCGCGAAGGGCATCGCGACGCTTGGCAGAACTTTTGAGGATTGTGGTAGTGGGAAAATCGGATTATTGAATTGGTGTTGACGAATTTTAGACATGCTTCACTTGGGGTTAGACATGCTTCACTTGGGGGCGGACAGCAGAAGGAGATACGGGGGCGACCTCTTTTGAATGCAACTGATCTTCGAATTTTGAACTTAATCCCGATTGATTTTCGCCAGACACTAGCAGCACTTTGTTCGGCTCATAAGACTACACATTTGGTGGGCAATCCACAGGGACCGTCTTTGCTAGGCTCATCGTTTTGGTCAGCCAGGCTCCGAGGCTCGCTTCCCTGTACCTTAGACCCATTTTCGTGTGTAGTACCGTCCGTGGCATTGGTTGCGAGATGGTTAGTACCCGTTTCAGACTCAGATAGTCAACCGAAATGTTTAGCGGTAGTCTGGAAGAATTCTTGGCCCTGAATCTCGGCGACCTCCAGCTCCTTGGAACTAGGCTGCCGAGAGCCGTCTGCAGCCGCAAAGGTGCCAGCACCCCAAGGGGAGCCCCCGCGGACCTCTGTGACGTCAGAGAATTGAGGGAATGTGTTTTTGTACCCCAATGGCACATAGATTATGCCGTGATGGACAAGAGTGGACATAGCGGCGATACATGTAGATTCCTGACCACCTCCCATAGTGCCAGTGGAGACAAAAATGCCAGCCAACTTTCCATGGAAGCCACCCTTGGCCCAAAGGCCGCCTGTCTTATCCCAGAAGGCCTATTTCCGGATTAACATCTTCGCATTAGTACGATTTGGGATATGGGAAGGGCGGCATATCTAACCTTCCACTGGGCAGGAAATTGCCATAACGGGTGGGGATTCCGAGCAAAAATGCATCATAGCCGGCTAAAGTGTTAGGATCGTTGAGAACCGGCACATCGGTCGCCTTAGGAGCCGCATGCATTTTACCCAAAACCTCATCGCTGAGAGTCTCTGGAATCCTTTGAACTGGTCAGTAAGGCTACTAAGAAGATGGATATCGTGACGATAGGACTAGAAGTCTTGGCGGGTGTAAAACCCGAAGGCGGGAATAGAGAGATACACATGGGAAAGCCGCGGTGGTGTAGAATGAAGCGAGGCTGATGCATCGTGAATTTCTTGGATCCGTCAAAGATCATAATCGGCTCTACCAGCCCCAGCTGCGCCCTGGTGCAGGCTTCAGACGCGTGTTGGGGGATGGTGGGGTAGTGGGGTAGCGGGGTAGCGGGGGGCTCTTTTTTCTTTTTGTTTCTTCTTCTTCTTCTTCTTCTTCTTTTTTTTTTTTTTTTTTAGTAGCTAATAGATCGAGGCGGGGTAACTATGCCTACCACCTGTAGCTGAGACGGCTCCATCGACCATTGTACTAGCGCTGACAAGGCGACAGCGGCATTCTAGGGATGGAGCAACGTTTTCGACCGCTCTCAGGCATGCCTCGCGCACCACACACCCTTGCGAATGGGATAGGAGAGAACATAAGTGTGAGGGTGGGTTGTCTTACTGGTACAAGTCGGCCGTGCCACCCGCCTTCTCAATGCCTCGCTTCTCTGCCTCGGCCAGCTGCTTGATGTGGCCGTACATGGAGTACTGCGGCAGGATAAGGCAGGTTAGGTATAAGTGTCTAAAATAAGTCGGTTACGACTTGTCGTCATAACTTACATATACGATAGCGATCTTCGGTGCCATCTTCGCTTGATTTTCCGGTGAATATGGTGTAGAGGGGGTTCTGTGATGTTGTTGCACGCGTGTAAAGGCGTCGATGAAAGTAAGAGGACGAAGGGGTGGTAGAAAGAGGGAGACGGCCGGGGAGAGGGGTACGGTGCAGCAGCTAGGTCTATATAATTGTCCTTCTTGTGCTGCCTCTTGGTACGGGCTACTAGAGATGCGGTGATGCAGCCGCCCCCACCTGACCTTCGCCTTCTGCTACGACGATGGATCCTCGCCAGCAACGGAGTTTCGCCGATCGTGCGGTACTTGGTCGGGCCTTGTCTCGGCGAAGTACTCCGTACAAAGTACTTTGGGGTCTCAGTGGAGTTTGTCATATGATTGACAGCGCTTCCCTCGTTGAACGAGAGTTCTACCTATCCGAAGACTTGGACGCCTATTGAGAGTTTCCATTAAGGAGCCATGCCTGGTGTGCTCCGCTGTCTGCGCGGGCCCCCATGCTACTGGCACATTGCTCACCTCAAATCTTTGTAATATCTTATGTCGGAATTTATAAACGCGAGCTGCAGGTTCCCCATTGCGCAACACCGCATGTACCTGCTCATTTTTCAGCCTGGATTGTCGAGAATTCCCCGTTCAGTCGTATCTAAGCTCGCCTCTCGGCCAAGTGCCCCCTTGGGAACTCCCACCAATTTTTTCAAATTGCGCATTACGGCGTCTTGTTAGGAAGGGGGTGGGGTCCTGGGTGGGAATGAGAAGTCTTAATGTTGGGGTATTGTAACCCCGTGCGATGGCTACTTGTTAATGTACTGGCCGTTTTGAGATATTGGCTATGAAGGAAAGGATGTACTTAGACCCGGCAGCTCACATCCTCCATCATGGTAATCAAGCTCCGAGTCAAATAACGCTAGATAGCGCCGTCTAGAAGGTTTTAATGGAAACCAGTGTTCACGGGTTGTGCGTCGCACTGCTGAGTAAATTGTCCTCTGGCCGGCGTTTGACCTGTTTGGCCAGCATTGGGCCCGTTCGTCACAATCTGGGTCCTTTCGTTCTTCTATTTTTCTCTTCTAGGTATTGTTTTGCGGTCTGAGAGTTTGAGGAGAAGCGTGACTGTGGGATGGGGATCTCCGGCAATGGCCCGAATCAGAATGGATGACTTGCATCTGACAAACACCTTATCAACAATTATCGAGGGGTCCTCTTTCCTGTCTGTCTCGAAGAGCGAGGTGGGGTGCGGGTCCTCCCATAAAACTGGCGTCCAATGGGATGATTCATCAATCTGGAGCCCGTTCGTAATACTTCAACCGCCGTCGACAAACTCCCGGGTCCATTTTTCTCAGAAGAGGGATGACACACTTCATATCTAGTCTTGATAATCAACTGGGGCGGGCATTTCAGAGTTATTCGAGCTTTGGGTAAGCACAAGGGACCACATATTCCAGAACTAGAGAGCTTGTGTTTTCCTCGCGTCTTGGACACCCGCGCGAGTCAATATCGCGTCGAGGGTGGTGACGTCAACTACACAAGACTCCCAGCCTCACCTCCATCGGTGCTGCATTCTTCATTTCACAATTGATCACCTGGCTGTGGATACCTCATGTCGTAGATACCGCAGCAAAGAAAGACGCCAGAGCATCTGTCAGGTAATAGAATCTCGCTACTTAATTGGGAAGAAGGTTTGATATGATCGTGTATCCGCTCTACCACCCAAGAGTTCCATGTCTCAATGTCAAAAATCTAAACTTCTTGGCAAGCCCCTGCTCTGTTTCCTAAGATGTTGTAGATGCGATTGAAGTGGGTTCGGGTCTCTTCGCCATACTCATCACCCACCTTGCGTTTATCTACTTCTTTTCCTGCTGCTATCTTCCGAGATGCAAACACCGTCAGCCTCTCCAAGTTCGATCTCTCCGGAACAGGACATTCCTCGCGGCAAGCAACACTAGCCCCCCACAAAGAGCCCCGCCCCGCTGAATGCAATAGCACCCATCCATCCCTGAGATTTACCCGTGCCCACAATGGCGCCTGCGACCGGGGACCCACCACCACCGATATCCCCGTAATGAAGAATAGCATCCCCATGCGTGTGCCGACAACCGCAAGATTGGGTGTTAGGGATACTGCAGCACTGGGCGTGACACTTACCACTGCCCCAGATGAGGCACCGTAGAGTATAGCAAAGACGACGAGTCCGCCTAGGGTGCGGATTCCGAGCCATGTGAAGCACAAGATGCCCGAGATGAGAGCGGACAGCGAGAGAACGTTGAGGGTACCGACTTTGTCTGCAAGGTAATTCGGTATCAGGCGTCCGAAAATGCTACCCACCCCAAGGAAAGTGACGAGGTAGGGTGAGAAGTCTGCCGACGTGATGTTGAAGAAGATGGCGTATGATTGTATATAAAAGAAGCCCACGTAAATTGTTAGGAAGGATAAGAAGACGCCAGCTGTGCAAAGAAGGAAGGGGGTATCGACAAAAGCCGATTTGTCGATCAGCGACCTCACTTGCCCAGGGGCAGGCCTACACCGCATACGCATGAAAGTGACGGGGACGATAGACAGTGCGAGCATTATAAAGGCAAGCAGCCGAGTCGCCCAGCCGAAGCCTATCCTTGGGATGAGCCTTCCCAAGAGAATGGGGAAAACCGCACTTGCAATTGGGGACCCTGTTGATGCGATGCCGAGGACGAAGGACCTCCGTTTGTGGAAATACTGACTGAGGATGGCTGTCGAAGGCAGAAAAACTAGACCGAAACCAATGCCCATGCACAATCCTTGAGAAAGTAATATTTGCCAGTAGGCTGAGCACAGTGATGTCATGAACTGCCCGATCACAATGAGAAAAAGCCCCACACAGAGCATCTCCCGAAAAAGCCAGCGTCATACGCCGGCCCGGCGACGGCACCTATCAACATAAGCAATGATGCCTGCAGCGACCCAACCCATGAGAGATCAGAGGCGGACCTCGATGGGAGTAGATCATGCTCATAGTATGTTTGAAAGACGCCGTAGCTGTTTACAACCCCCAGGTGACCACGGCGATAACCCATGAGCCCAGGACCTGTAGCCAAGCCGTAACGCCCCTTCGGGGGTTACATCATTTGCATCGATTATGGCTGCCTGGCCGACCTCCGCGGCCACTGGCCAGCCATCTGGCCCATAGGAACCAGGCGAGGTTCTGCCAGGAGGAAGGTTGCAAGAATTTAACACAATCCCAGAGATAGATATCTTGTTTGTCTCAGAACCGGAAGCTAGTTCGTCGTTTAGCCTGATAGAGCGTGGGCTTGTGGTACAGGTATCGTGAGGGGTGATATGGCTGGTAGAACCCCCTGCTTGGATTTGAGGCCGCATCAGCACAGTTACAAGTGCGCACGATGTAGTGGGTGAGGTAGGAGTTACTTCCTCCCTTCTTTGTAGATCAGGACATTCCTTGCCTACTTTGTTCGTAAGGAACAGGGAGACAGGAAGAGGGCCTTGGAGAGGTTAGAGGCGCTGTATGAAATGCTTAAACAATGATCCCTCTCAAGGCATCAAAGAGCAAGTTTCGGTGACACCAGCGGGGACTCAGTGGTTAAGGTGATATATGTAGAAGGGCGGGCTTAGGAAAAAAAGATTCATGGGAGAGGGGCAAGCTTCATTGGGTAAAGTGCGCAAATACGAAAGGCAGCACCCGAAGGAAAGGATAGAAACTGCAACAGAGCTCTAGAGATTGTGCACGGGAGCTGGGTGTATACCATGTCCTTATGAGCTCTATCATCGAGAAAGACCTTGCAAGGGTGGATGGTGATAGATGCCGGCTTCGGGACCCGAGACCCTCAACTCTTTGCTCCCCCAGATTTCTCCAAAGCCCTCACCAATGATTACCAAGGTGTGTTGGTGCCGAATGCCGCGTGCCATTTCGCGCCGGGTTACATTCGGCGCGAGCATTAGTGCGGTGCTAATCCGGATGGGGTAGTCTAAGATGTGGCTGGACGCGGGAGAGGGGTGGCGAGAGGACATGCGCGATGCTGATCAATGATTGCCCCCTCCGCCCAAAAGGCTCTTGAGACCGGCGTATTGGCTCCGACATAATCCGGACTCCCTCTCACAGAAGCCCGGGATCCTCGGAGGACCTAATTCGAAGGACTGAAGTCATTTAAGACTCGGGCACGGGTGTTTTCTAGGGGCCATCGATCTACCTCGGTAGCAGTACTCCGGATGGTAGTTATGGCGTACCTGTAGACACGGTAGTGAAGATAACCCAAGAGCCAGTTGTTTGTCCATCGTGGTGACGGCCTCTACTGAGGAGGATCGTTGAAGTGCAACATAGACAGACGTCTTATACCGTGCCTGTGGGCATATAGATTACTGGCGTGGTTTTTCTTCACTCCTCGCGACTCCGTTTAAAGCCTTGTTTTCTCGAGAAGGTATTTACCACCTTGCTTCTCAAGGCTAGATAGATAAGGGACCATGCATCTATCCTTGTTTATGTTGTATCATTGATATATGTGCAATTGCCTTGATGGAGTTTCCGGCTAGGTTTACGAGACCAGTGATGCATCCCAATGCTTACATGTATGCATGGATGCTGCGTAATAGTTCTCGTGGCGGAGAAGGTGGCGACGTATGGGGGCTTCACCAAGATATGGAAGCAGGCGTGTATAGCATCATGTATAAGGGCAATATAGCGCCTGTTCTGATCTAACCCTTTCAAATTAGAGGAAGAGTGACACTGAACGGTGAGAAGAGGAAAACTCGGAGCGCCTGGCCCTAGATTGGGATACGAGGAGCGACATTATTTTAGAACACGTAGCCTTGGAGCCGAAGTCGGCGAGCTGTGAGAAACATTTACCTAACCCTTAGTTTCTAACATCATACATAATCATATATGGCATAAAAGTAGAACGACTATTAGTCATTGCTCATCTTTGGATGTTTGGCATTATAGGTTCCGTGTGGGGTGCCAGGGAGTTGTGTGTTATGAAGGCCCCCTTCGAGCCGTGGTTGGATTGTCGCCTAACGGCTCGATGACTATTTGGGGTATCTGGTTTAGCCGAAGGCTTGGTAGTTGTGGTGCTCCATCCACACCACGACGAGAATTACGTCTATCGCTTCGTTCGCCCTCACGAGAAGCAGCGTCTTGTACTCGATTTTCAGACTGAGAGGTAATGGGCGGAGGGCGGGGTAGGTGACCCGGATAACCGGGCGGGGACTCTGCGACCGGCGTTGTGCCGCCGGAGCGGGTGTCCAGTGAGACATCCTCGTAGCCTGGGGGTGAATATGGTGGCATCGCCAAGTCGCCTACATCGGCTTCCCCAATTGCTGACCCGGTTTGTGAGCTCGCCCTAGACCTCGGCCGCTGGAGACTTGGCGAGGGAAAATCGCTGTCGATTGTTAAAATAGAGCAGCTCCTACCCCTTTCATCTGGCGAGCGAGCACCCGAACGGTTAGATACTGCAATGCTTGCAGCGTCAGATAGGAGCCCGACCCTCTCACTCTCGGTGCTGTTGGCTCTTATTCTTGTGCCATCGTGACGAGCGACACCTAAATCTGCATATGATACACTAGAGACGGTGCGTTGGCGCTCGTCGCGTATTCTCTCATGATCTTGGCGGAGAACGTCGACAACGGAGTTGTTGCTGGCAGCACGTCCACGAGCTCGAAGAACCTCTAGAGCGACTACATCGTTTCGCCTCCGGGCTTCGCGACGTAGCCTTCGGCGCTCCTCCCTCTCCTCAATCTCTAGTCTTCTCGCCTGCCGGATGTGGTACATCGCCTCCATCTCGTTGTCACGGAGTGCCTCGAGATCCTCCTCCGTCGGGAGTTCCACAACAACGTCAACACCATCTCTTTCCCCTCGCGTGCTATCACCTGTTCTGAGCTGGCCGGATCGACCCGGTATGGCGGCAGTGTCATAACAGAGCGGACGGATGTATTGCGGTCAGGAAGGCGGGTGGCCTCAGTTCGCGAGCTTGTCGTTCCACGTCGAGTTCCATTGGCTGCATTTCGAGGCTGCGAATTCGTTGGCTCGCTCGCGCCACCCTCAGGAGCACCAGGCTCTTCTGATCCCGCTGCATGGTATGATACCTTTGGGGTTGACGGTTGCCAGTTCGACCAAAGCCGTTTCAGGAAGGGGTGGGAATGTATGAGGGATTGCTGTGTCGGTTTCGGAGGGCACGGAGAAGGTAGAAACAAGAAAATGAGACTAATACTGCCCCAGCGATCCCGAGCAATACCTGAGAGAGGGTGACCTATTAGCGGGAGAGTACTGGGCGTATGCCAAAGAATATGGCCTAATTCAGGGGCGCGGAGGAGGGAGCTCGCGACAAAACCACTACCGATACACCTGGTAGACGGGAGGGGTGGAGAAACGCACAATAATCACTATTCTAGTGGCATGATTCGAATTTTGTGTCGCTACTAGCCTGGGGATAGGGCGTGAATGAGTCGAGTAATCCGTACCAAAGGGATATGGAGACATCTTGGATGGCCCTGGGGACAAAACGGTATAGAGTCTTGTTTTCGGGAAGAGCGTGGCGAGGGCCGTAGGAAGGCCAAGCCAGAGCTGTGGAGTGGAATGATCACAATTGAGAAGGAACTTCGTGGTAGCTGGACATGGTAATGTTGTGGAGGTGGTCTCGTCTCAAAGGGGCCTGTCGCTATAAGAGTATGAGACGCCTCCTCGGTAAGAAATACGCTTTGGGTTGAATTGCGCGATCTCCTGTTGCTTGCGCGTATAATCTTCAGTTTCTGGAAGAGGGAGGACTTGTTCGGCAGGGTCGATTGGCGTCGAAATCCTTGTCGTAGGTTCGTAGCAACAGGAAGCGCTGGCTGATGGCCGTGTATGTGAGGAAAAATGAAGGAGGAGGGGAAAAGAAAGAGTTGAGCCAAACGTGGAGGACGATACGACCGGGATGATCCAACGCTGTGCTGAGCTGAAAGCAGTGATGGGACGGTAGAAACTGCGTTGCGATGGACTGTTGGATCCATCAAATGGATTGAGTGGATGTCAGCTCGAGCCGTGGTTTTTAGGCTAGGTGGCCTGCAGGCGATCATCGCAAAACATCCATTGGATCCCATTACAATTGATCAAAAGTACTTGTCCTCACGGTGCAAAGAATAGCAAAGAGCCAGCAGCACTGAGCGATTGCTATTGCATTGCCACTCTTCGAACATTGAACATTGAGGTTTTCAATGTTCCGCTTGGGACATTCAGCTGGCCAGCCGTGGCCCTCTACGGGCGACCTTTTATTATTACTGGTCGATTGGTTTGTCTCAGCAGCCTTTGAAGCTCCCTCAAGTGCAAGTTAACCTTGGAGTCCTGAAAGTGATGTCTAATACCATGGATGACATGGAACATTCAAGTTTTCGGCCCGGCCGCACGACTAGGAAGATACGTGTAATATGCCTTGTCTCTTCTCGAAATTTGCATTCTCCTCGTCTTCGAGATCGCTGCGCATTCAGTTGTTGTGAATTGAACACAATTGAGGACTCCAGTCATTTCCAAGGGCGCATTTCTCTTTTAGTGATGGGGGCTGTGGCGCAGCCTAGGCGCAGCTCCCACCCACCCCACATCAATTGATAGAAGAAGACCTCAAGTGTTGTTGTTGGTATCGGGCTCGCCTGGCTTGCCTAGGCGCCCGGCGCTTGAGTATTGTATTGTGGAAAGGTCGCGAATGCCCGTGCCTTAGGAATGTGTCACCTGGGAGAATAGATAGGTCAATCAGGGTCGAAGGATTATCTCAAGTTTACAGAAGATGGGTCCCTCGCTGACGACACTTAAGAGAGAACGTTGAAAAATCATAGAAAAATGAAGCCCGATTTATTTCTCTATTAACTGCTGAACGGAGCCTGATTCATCGCGCCTCTCTGATTCACAAACGGCCGTGTTGAGTCTCACGAGACGCGCTTTAAACATACTTGAGTTCGGTAGCAAATGGCAAAAGGTAAGGGAGGTGACAAAAGCTGAGCTACTGCGGCAGGTGCGGGTATATCCAATCTATATCTTCACTTTGTCCTCACCCAAACCTCTTTTCAAACTTCTTGAACATCCCGCCAACTCCGCGCTCGAGACGACCGGTCTGCTCCTCTAGCTTTGATTTCCCGGCCGCGAACTTGGGCACCGGCTCACCTTCTTCAGGTCGGTACATTTGTTGATGGACTGAGTAGTCATGGCGTGGAGGACTAGCTGTAGATTGTGAGGCGGCTTGGGGTTGGTACTGTGGGTGGCCTTTTGTAGTTGGGGGAGGAGGGGGGGCGTGGGGCCGGACGACCCAGAGAAGACATTGGTATAAGGATTATGGGGCGAACCTGTCGGGACTGGCATCGTAGCTGACCTCTGCAGCCCTGGATGTGTGGCCCCTCCGAATTGATTCGCCGCAGCGGCCGGAGGACCCGGCATTCTAGGACCGCCTGGCGGTGGAGGGGCGGTGGGAAGCCGGCCCCAAAAGCTTGCGGTTGTGTATCATAGGCCATGGCCATGGCGAGCGGATTTGCAGCCCCGTCATCAGGGGTGGGGTCTTCTCCCGGTGCTGTAGGACCTCTGGCGCTGCGGGAGCAGCTGGGTTGTAAGCCATTGGAGCGAAATCCGAAGCTCCTGATAGCTCAGGCTGCTTTCCGTTTGCCGATGATTCCGTTAAGACTAGTCTTTCGAGCTGCTGGACAGTCGAGCTCGATTCCGAGTTGCGGGCGGGTGGAGCAGGCTCATCGATAACTTTGACCTGCCCCGGCGGGAGCCCTTCGGATACCATTCACAAACTGCAAAGCATCTCGCTGCGTCCAGAAGTAGATGTCCAGAGAGTGAAGCTTGTAGTGATACTTGTTCTCGTTGTGAGGGTCGTATGTGGCGAGGTGCCATTCGCTGGGGTCGTTCGCTTCGGCATCGACGGTCAATGAAACTACACAGTGCTGCTTATACGAGTATCGCAGCCGAGCCATATCTAAATCTAAGCAGTGCAACACCAAGGTTAGGTATATCATCATCAAGATGTTGACCAAGACGCGGAGCCCTAGTAGGAGCGATACAGAAAATGGAGTAGGTATAGTAAAGGGGACACGAACATCCTTCAAAGGCGTCTTGATCATCCGTTCCTACATTATTGGCGATCTCGATGCGCGCCCGTTTCTCAGCGGCGCTCTCAAATAAATAGACATAAGACCCTTTGTCAAACCGGTGATGCCGGGGACTCTGTGTTGGGGGCCCATAAAAGTAGTGGATATCACCATAGCTGGAGTGTAAAGCACGGTTATTAGTAGCGCCTCACTCTCTCCTGCGGACCGGCGATTGCCAAAGAATCGGGGAAAATGCGAGGAGGTGCATCACAGATTTACTTACAGCGTAGCAACATTCTCTTCCCCGGGGTTTGAGGCCATGTTGGTGAGGACGGCTGGATAAGTGGCGGCGTGAGGTGAATCCCCTCCAGGAGGGGAAGAAAGGGTGGGGGCGGGTTCCTGTTTCACGAAAGCAGATGACAGAAGCAAAGGGCAGGGTGACAAAATATATTGACTTGGGAATCGCTGTCAGAAGGAAAGCCTGGGTTTCTTAGAAATGAATACTGTCAATTGGTAAGGTTGGCGCCGTCCATGAAAAAAAGGAGGGGGAAGCTGGGGATGTCACATATTAGTCCCCCGCGGTTTCGTTGACTGGAGACATTTTGTCCTAGGGGACATTGTTCAAATGCCTCCAGCTCCCATCATTGATGTGATCGAACCGCCAGCCCGCGTTGGTTGCTGCTCATAGTTCCAATTCAAGAAGTTGGGCGCTTACCTGCTCCACTTACAATTTGACCAATCAACTACCATTGACATTCTCTTTAAAAGACCTACATATTAGTCATCCTACTCAATGCTGCGCAACTCGCATGTATGAGCTTCAGATTTTTTCCTTAGTTTTATTTTGGCGTCAACCGCATCGCACCACCTTATCTCGGCTCGTCATTCAACCCATCTTTTCACAACCACCCTTGACCGACAATGATCTCCGATTCGACGGCCCAAAAATATAACTGAAAAAGAACCTAGCGTACACCTAGACTGGTTGCTCTGCCACTCCCAGTTTGAGTGACGGTAGCGGATTGCTTCTGTCTCGTCATTGTTCACATCTATATCGGAATCCCACCTATTGGCTTCTAACTCGTGAAGTCCTTCGTAATGGGTATTCGAACGATTGCCGACGCATGCTCCCACCTTCAAAATGCGTCACGCGCGCGACTAGGGCTGACCTCGATCCCGAATACCAAATACAACCTTCTCCTTTCCCTCGCTCTTCACCGCGCTGGGTACATTTCCAGTATTACGCGAGGCGGCCCGGCTCCTCCAGACCCCGAAACAGCCGGGACCCTATCGCCAGAGCCTACGACCCATGCGAATGTTGCCACACGGAGGCTCTGGCTAGGTCTCAAGTATTGGGATGGCAAACCGGTCATGTCCAACCTGAGGCTTGTGAGTAAGCCTAAAAGGCTGGTAACCATGAATCTTCAAGGCCTCGAAAGAATCGTTAGGGGTCTTCCCTCTCAACAATTCCCCGGGTTAACTCTGGGTGAATCTCTCTTCGTTTCGACCGACATAGGTGTTTTGGAGGCAAGAGAGGCGATAGAAAGACATCGTGGCGGGTTGGTCCTGTGCCGGGTGTCTTAGAAGATGGTATTGAAGTGGAGATGCAAATGTGATGGAGTCTGAGAAAGAATTTGCATGGTAGCTAGTGGCAGTGTCCTAGTTATTGGAACTTGCATTTAGGATTTGACCGCCTCGATCTGATCTCGCTGGTGGTAAAATGGTTGTCAGATTACCCTGTATTATATATTCGGACATAGTTGTCATATCTAGTTAGTTGTATGCTTGATAGTCATAAACAAGGCCCCTGCGGCTTAGAATGAGGGTGTGGGGTTGATTCATGAGCGAGAGAGTGTAATGATAGGCTCAATGTTCATCTTGCGGGTCAGAGAGCCATGTATCATTTCTCTTGGAAACACGAGAAGCCTCGCCACGAAACAACCCGGACTATCGCATCCTAGCAACCATTTTCAAGTTTTCTACGTGAGAAGATGATTTTATCTTGACATACCTAGCTTTCCTTGTATTCATCATTGAGAAGCACTCCGCTTGAGTGACGCAACTCGCCTGTACACTTCCGTATAAATGTGCAACAACGATGGAGAGGGAGAGCTTGGCTACGCCTGATGTGCAAATAGTGGTAGTCCCGAAGGAAAAAGAAATGCCATTTTACCTCAATGAGTGCGCCTCGCTTCCGTGCAACTCGAAAGGTGTCACTGAGATGGGGTGTGTCTTCCACTTGCTACATATTTGAAATCCAGCCAGTGCAGTTTGCCCTTCTATTTCCAGGATATATAAACAGATGACCAATACGGCTCGAACGCACAAAAAAAAAAAGAAAAAAGAAAAGAAAAGGAGTGAGGACGCTCAATGAATGCATTGCTGACCACGAACTTCGTGATTTCCTTCCTGAGCCCGCTAACCGTCCACGTTCGACTATAGGAACTCCATAATTCTCATTCCCCATTAGGAACCTTGCTCGACATCAGTGGTAGGGGTGATCACTGAGTTCACCACCCCAGTAACGATGGGCGTGGTTTGCTCCAAAATGATAGGCTCGGGCTGAATAGGCACAGTATTATCGGGTTCATCGATGCCAACCGACTCATCGATGGCAACGGGCTCGTCAACTCCGATAAGTTCATCAAGAACGGGCCCCGCAACATCAGGCACAGCTGTATCCTCACGATTGAGGCTGCTTACTGCGTTCGAACCCTCGTCTGGGGGCGCCTGCTCATCGAAGTCCGTCTCTACTGGTGGGAGTTCGGAGGAGGAAGATAGGTCTCTAGTAGGTCCGAGGTTGGCATCGACACCCGCCATAATTCTGGGATCGGTGCCCTCGCATGTCACAGGCGCGATGGCAACGGCATTAGAGGCGGCTTCTTTGGCGGCCCTGACCATATCCTCAGTGATCGGCTCTTCCTGCAGTGGTGCCTTAGAAGAACTGCTGGGTGTACCAGTCCGCGAAGGACTCACGGACCGCGAAGGGAGCCTTCTCGTACTCGAGGCTCTCCTCGATCGGCTTTCCGAACGCTCTCCCTGTCGAGTCGATGCGCGTTTGGTGGAGGCCTTCTTGGGGGTGTGATAGGCAATTTTTCCGTGGTCTTCGATTGAGAACTCTGTGTTGGGCGCATCATGCGAGCGAGGAAACCCTCATCGACTTGCTTCTCCTTCTTAGCAGCCGATTTGTCGTGCTGAAGTTTCGTGGGTGGGGTCCCACGCTCGGTCTTGGACGGCTACCGCCTGCCGAGGATTGACGCTTCAAAACCGAGGTTGTGGTAGACGTGCTGGCTCTACTTGTGGAGCGAGGCGCAGGTTGCGTGACCTGAGAGGCATCTCCCGAGCCCGTTGGCAGGCGTGAGGGGTTGATCTTAGAGCCGGACGCAGCGGTCGGAGCCATCAGGCTAGCGGGTAGTCTGACAGGCTTGGTTGGGGACTTGGGCTTGGGTTTGACAAAGCCAGCTCCTGATGTGATGTTGTTGGATGGGGATACGTGAATCGGTGGGGGCGGCCTCCTGGCGCTAGAAGACGGTGTTGGTTTCTGAGAAGAGATATTGGAGGTTTGTTTGAGAGGAGTGAGAGACACCACCGTCTTCTTCTGGACAGGTGCTCCCGGTGAAGGTGGTGGCTTTGCAGCTCGGCCCTCCCTTGCTGAGGGGCTGAGGAGGGGCCTAGCGACCGAAGGTGACTTTGACCCAGCTCGCCGGAGGCTTCATAGCAGGGGAAACTGCCAAAGTCGCTGGGCGATTGCCTACTTTTGCCTCCAACTTTCGCTTAGCGGGGGCATCACGCGCTTCCTTTCGAAGCGAATTTGGTGGGTCGGCTTGGCGGCCATTCACATTCGCGGCGGCGTCGGGAGTTCCTTCTCTCTTCGGCCCCGTCGTAGCCTTGCGCGGCGAGGCTGTAAGCACAGATACGACCGGTTCGTTCGGAGGCCCCGACTGAGCGGGAGGTTGGGTGCTTATGACGGCAGGCTCAGATACCCTGGCGGGGATCGATACAACCTTGATGGGATCGTCGATCGCGGCAATCGACTCGGTCCTTTCGGCGACGCTGGTAGCAACCGTTTCAGCACCTTCAGTGGTTTCGGTGCTTAAACGGCGCCGAGAAACGCTGGATTCACCACTGTGATCTCTCTGGAGGCCAACCCTCCCGTCCTTTTCAATCGCTATGAAATTAGTGCGCACTTTCGAGAGCGGCTTCGAGGCCTCTGCATTATCTATGAATGGATTGTATGATTAGCCTTTTCTCACTGCCGCAAAGCAAGGGCCCAGTTGAAGAAGCTTCTTAGGCATCTTTCGAGACGATGAACAAATCTGGCACAAAATTCGGCTAAGAGTGGAGGGAGCGGAGGAGAGCTTACTCGAAGGGGTGAGAGTACGCCCGCGCTCAGGTGGATTTGGGGCATCTCCTTTATTCTCGAACATGGCCCTGAGGTTCTTAACTTGGCTCATTTTGACGGAGAAGGGAGGCGCCTCGGGGTTGAGTGTCGAGTGCGGACCAGGGCTACCTGATAGCCGCCAAGTATTGGATATATGTAAGTTTTGTCAACCCGATGTTCAACCTTGGCCGCTGGTCATTCACGGATACCGGGCTTTCTGATTCCCAAGGGTGGAGTATGCGGACGCCGATGGACAGCTGGAAAAGGGGAGGTCGAGGGATGGAGGTTAACGCGAACGAAGAGTTGCTATAGCTGAGGCATACCGCGATTGGATACCTGCAGCTCCTGATAGATCTAAGGCAGGAAGGCGGAGAAATATGGTGCTGTCGCGGTCACGATGCGCAGAGCACACGGAGGCGAGGTTAAAAACTATCAACAGGACAGGATCTGAAGGTGGGGAGATTCTGAAGAAAACAGGCGGGAGAAAAAGAAATGGGTGGGCGTTGAACTTGGTGAAACCCTCAAGACGAGAGATTTGGGGACAAATAATGGGGTGTTGACAATGGAAGCCAGTGAGCGCCTTTCATTAAACGAACTCTCAATAGGCTGTCAGAGCAGAGGTAACTGTACGAGTGGTGGAGGAACGGTGGCAAGGCTCGATCCATCCATCGTAAATAATATGAGTTGGTGACGGATGGGTCCGTTTGATTCGGATGGATCCATCCACCTGTAATTACATGGGTTTGTTCCCCGAGAGCGGGCACTAGGAGAGCCCTTCCGTAAATTGGACATGAGGGACCCATCGTGAAATCCAAGCTGTATTATCCCCCTTGTATTCTTTCAAAAACAGCCCCTGTGACGGAGACCGGCAGGGGCCTGAGGTGGAAAGGACGTGCCTTGACTATTAAATTGTGGATGGATGGATGAATCCGAGCCATCAATAGCTATGCGGCACGATGGTATTGGTACTTGCATCGCCGCTCGTTTGAAGACGACGTGTTTGAGGCAGACCTGGAGGCACAAGAAGAGCGCACGGATTGGAAGGGAACCCCTGACAGGTATGTGTAACAAACATAATGGGTTTAGTTCCGACCCAACCTCCTTGTTGAGGGGCAGATCAAGGGGACACGCCAAGGAGATTACGCCTCTGCTTCACTGCACGATCAACCGTTGTTGTACGGGTTGGGGCATGAGCAGAGGAGAAACAACCCAAGCCACGCCTTGTTCACTCATTAGCGGTGTTTATTTTATTACAACGGTTTACTCGCCCTAATGACGAGGAGCAACTTGGTGGTTCGTCGTATTATTATGAATTACACCTATACAATGGATCAATCTTCCATCCATGGATGGATGTATCGGTAGGAAGCACACCGTCAGGCGCCAAATTCCCAAGGGGGTCGGGTCCTTAATACCTCCAAGTTGTAAGGAAAGGGGCCTCCCTACCTCGGCAGTCAGCCACATTTGGCTGAGGGATCAATGTTGGAATGGATCCATCCATGGATGTAAACCAAGAGCCCCTTTAAAAATAAGGAACCTAGGCGTTCATCCGATAATCAATATTACCGGCTCCCAGGCTGCTTCCATTGGGACGGATCAAGTATTAATACACGAATAGGTCTTTTGCCACAGCATCCATCATGTGAAGACCTGGATGGCACGTTTGACAGAATGGATCATCTCATTATGCAGTTGTGGAATTCTGGTCTATCGGCGTCAAGATTATCTCAAGTTTGAGGTTGCTGAAAAATTGACTTCTGTCTGGCTGCTCGTAGTCAGACCATTCAATTTCCGTGCAACACTCAGAAACTAGTGATGGGGTAACTTCGCCCAATTCTCTCAGATGGGCCTTCGCGTCCCGTCCTGTGAGATGGATGCTCGCTTTGGGGAGATCACGCTGGTTCTGTTTCGGTTCTTAGCGTTGGAGACGGAGAGTACAATTGATGTATGGATGTGTTTATGGGTGACAGTTATAGAGACGAAGCTACTGAGTTATCTCTTCGGCTCTTTACGGTCTTCGCAAGGTCTGGGGCATTTTGGAGGAAGTTAAGGTGTATACCCACTGCTAAGTATGTCGAGGGCAAGTTTGGGCGGGATCTCTCAAGTCCGACATAGTCATAAGGCATGTGATCAGCTCTATGATGCCACAAAGGCTGGGCGATTTTCGTCTCTATGGATTTTTCGTTAGGGCGGGTCAAGCCAATAGGAAGAAGCCGAGAAGCTCCCCAACTCCCCTCGGGTGAAGGAAATATGACCTGCTGTTTCGGTCCATGGAGTTTGCCAGGCTTGAGGCATTCCCTATCTCGAGACTAGATATATCATTATTGGGATTAGGAGAAAATGAAGTGAAGAAAATTTCCACGAGAAGAACGAACCCGATTGTTGGTGGATTGATTGAGGCATATTGAGCTTTGGCGCATGCTCGAGACTCATCACTGCGCTAGCTGGTGTGCGCCGATAGCCGGAACAGAACCTTCGGCTGCATCTCAATTGATCGATCCTTGTCCCGAGAATAACTTTTTCCCACACGCATAGTCCTCAAAGCACCACGACTACATCAGCCCACCACTCCCACAATCTCGCAATGGCTGCTAGGACGCTCCGAATTGGTATGTAATGTTGAATTGAAATCGGCGCCCTGGAACGGGGGAAGCAAGTTATTTTAGGGTTGTTCATCATCATTGGCATTGACGACTGACATCCGATCTCGCAGGCCTTATTCCCGGCGATGGCATCGGCAAAGAAGTCATTCCGGCCGGCCGCCGCATCCTCGAGGCTCTTCCCCTTTCTCTCGGTCTCAAATTTGATTTCGTCGACCTCAAGGCTGGGTTTGAGACCTTTGAGCAAACTGGCGCTGCTCTGCCTGATAAGACCGTTGAGATCTTGAAGAAGGAGTGCGACGGAGCGCTATTCGGCGCCGTGAGCTCCCCACTAAAGCCGTCAAGGGCTATTCCTCGCCTATCGTGGCTCTGAGGAAGAAACTCGATCTATATGCCAATGTTCGCCCTGTCAAGACCGTTTTGACCGCCAAGAAACCTATCGACATGGTCATTGTCCGCGAGAACACTGAGGATCTTTATGTCAAGGAAGAGAAGACATTTGATGCTGCTGATGGCTCTGGGAAGGTAGCCGAGGCTATCAAACGTATCTCAGAGAAGGCCTCCTACCGAATTTCTGCCATGGCTGGCGAGATTGCTCTCCGACGTCAAAAGATCCGTGAGGCTGGCGCATCCAGCATCCACTCTGCACCCCTTGTCACCATTACTCATAAGTCCAACGTCCTTTCACAGACTGATGGTCTCTTCCGCTCTACTGCGCGTGCTGCTCTTTCCGAGGCCCGCTTCTCTTCTGTTAATACGGAGGAGCAAATTGTAGATTCTATGGTCTACAAGCTCTTCCGCCAGCCTGAGGCTTACGACGTTATTGTTGCCCCCAACCTCTACGGTGACATCCTATCCGATGGTGCTGCTGCTCTCGTAGGATCTCTTGGTCTCGTCCCTAGTGCTAATGTTGGCGAGGGCTTTGCCATTGGTGAGCCTTGTCACGGAAGCGCCCCTGACATCATGGGCCAGGGCATTGCCAATCCGATTGCGACCCTACGAAGTGCCGCGCTTATGCTTGAGTTCTTGAATGAAGAAGAAGCTGCCGCTAAGATATACGCCGCTGTCGATGGGAATCTTGAGGACGGAACTATCGTCAGTCCTGACCTCGGCGGCAAGGCCACTACCGAGGAGGTTCTCCAGGACGTGCTCAGGAGGTTATAAGCCGCACGAGTAACTGCGGTCATCACGTCATGAAAAGCTAGGTCATGTAGGATTGGAATGTCAGATAGATTTGGTACTCTCTCTTGTAGCGTCTCTTCAGCATCGATCTTTCCATGGTTGGTATAGCCATCAAAAGTTTTCGAGAGCCCTACCCTGGCTTTGTTTCACCGTTATCACAATCAAGTCTTACAATAGTAGAGCCATCTTTTAGTTCATGTTAAGAGTGGATGTGTGGGGGTTAAAGTACAAGTCTATAGTTACAGTGCTCGCGTCACCGGGACGTCTAGTCTCTCACCTTTTAACGCTCTATGCTGCATCACCCATCGTTCACGGACGATGTTCCCGTTCAAAGATTGCGGGTATGAAGCCATCCGACATATGCACCTGCAGTCCTTGGAGCAAAGGTGCATGAAGGACGTTGCCTTCTTCTACCTTTCCCTTTACAAGCCCGGCCACAATCATCCCCGCTGCACCATCAGTCCCTCCACCTGTTAGTAAGACATATGACGAGAATTCGTTGTATAATACAGAAATAGCCTTAGGGAGGGCGTGTTCTCGGATACCACCGAAGAGACGGGCCCACGCTCCATAGATATCGGCAGCCGGAAAGGTCTAATGTCTAAACCCCCAGTCTATAAAAAAGAAGCGGCTATTGCCAACTTAAGAGTGGAAATTATTTGGTTCGCTTTGCCTCGAGCTCCTTCTGATACTTGGCGACCAGCTCTTTCCTATAAGGGTTGTGATTAGCAAAAGACTCTGCAGCAAAGAAAAAGAAAATGGGGTATGAAGCGAGGTAGTTTGAAACGAGGGATGAAAGGCATCACATACTGGAGATGAGGAGGCGCAGGAGCATAGTGGCTGAACTCCATGTTAAATTCACCCTTGCCTTGGGTGGCAGCGCGTAGCTGAGTGCTGAAGCCGAACATGGAGTTGAGGCTGCAATCCGCCACGCTCGTGAAGTCTTCTGGTCCGACCTCGGTATCATGGATGGTCGCACTACGTTTATTGAGCAGCATCAGAATATTACCTTGGAACTCGTTAGGCGCCGTGATGTGTGTCTTCATGAGGGGCTCAAGGACCTGGCCGTTAGATTCCTTGAAGGCCTTCTCAAAGGCCATCTGGGTGGCTAAACTGAAGGCAAAATCGGATGAATCGGTGACATGGGTTGCACCATCGTTGATGACCATCTTGACACCAATGACCTTGTGGCCGAGAAGAGGGCCCTTGTTGCAGGCCTGCTCGAAACCCTTACCACAAGCGCTCAGGAACTTTTCGGGAATACTGCCTCCAACTACTTGTTCCTCGAAGACGTTGGTGCTAGGGTCTGAGTTGGGTTCGATCCAGCCGGCTACGCGCGCATAGTCACCAGGACCGCCAGACTGGCGCTTAAGAAGGAAGTCGAACTCAGTACGTTGCGGAATAGTCTCTCGGTAAGCAACACGAGGTTGGCCGGTCATACAGTCGACTTTGTACTCGTCGGAGACGCTCGACGTAAATCTCGAGGTGAAGCTCACCCATGCCAGAGATGATGGTCTCCTCGCTCTCCGGATCAACGTGGAGGCGGAAAGTAGGGTCTTCGCGTTGGAAACGGTTCATAGCCTTGCTGAAGTTGTCGGCGTCACTCGACTTCTTCGGCTTGATAGAAAGTGACATAACCGCATCAGGGACGAACATGGACGACATAGTGTACGGTAGGTTACCATCCGTGAAAGTATCGCCAGAAGCGCAATCGACCCCGAAAACCGCGCAGATTTCACCAGCGCCAATCTCGCTGACATCCTCCATCTCGTTGGAGTGCATTCGTACAATTCTGGGGATCCGGACCTTCTTTCCATTTCGGGAGTTGAAGAGATAGCTGCTCTTCCTCAATTTTCCCTGATAGACCCTGATATAAGTGAGTTGGCCATAGTTGTTCTCCTCAAGCTTAAAGGCCAGGCCCACGAAAGGAAGAGTATTGTACGGCACCAAAGCGACGGGCGCCTCATTCTTGGAGCTATCGAGACCCATATTGGGCACTTCACCAGGGTCGGGGAGATAATCGCAGACCGCGTCGAGAATAGGCTGGATGCCTTTATCGCCAAGAGCAGTACCCATCATAACGGGAGTGAACTTGAGGTTGATGGTGGAGCGCCTGATAGCAGCTTTAATCTGCTGCACCGTAGGCTCCCTCTCATCAAGAAACATTTCGGCCATTTCATCATCCACATCGGCTAGCTTTTCGATTAGGACCTGCCTTTTCTCAGCGGCGAGGTCTTGGAGGTGGGCGGGTATCTCGGTGGTCCTCCTCATTTTGGTTCCCCTAGGGCCTTCAAAGTATATGGCTTGCATTTCGATAATGTCAATGACCCCTTCAAACTCGTTCTCGGCGCCCATAGGGACCTGGATAGCGGCAGCCGGAATCTTCAGCTTGGTGTTGATCTGCTCCACGGCTTTCCACGGGTTTGCTCCCATTCGGTCCATCTTGTTGACGAAGCTGAGGCGCGGCACATTGTACCTCTTCATCTGGCGATCGACGGTGATGGTCTGACTTTGGACAGCACTGACGGCGCAAAGAATCATGACAGCGCCATCGAGGACGCGAAGAGCGCGCTCAACCTCGATAGTGAAATCGATATGGCCAGGAGTATCGATAAGGTTGATGTGATATTGTTTGTCAACGCCATCCTCCGTTTTCGTCCAGTCGGCAAATGTAGCAGCAGATTGGATGGTGATGCCCTTCTCACGCTCGAGATCCATTGAGTCCATCTTTGCGCCTACTGAATCCTTCCCTCGAACTTCATGAATGGCCTTGATTCTGCCAGTGTAGTAGAGGATCCGCTCGGTGCAGGTAGTTTTTCCACTGTCGATGTGCGCCTGAAGGTATTTCGTTAGATAAGGGTATGCATGTGCGTGATACAGCTAGTCGAGCGGCGGGCGACCTACAGCGATACCAATATTGCGCACGGTTGACAATCTCGCAGCTTCTTCGGGACTCATCTTCGACGCTGCGGCTTCGGGCGTGAGGGTAGCAGAGTCCTCCTGGGCCATGCGCAAACTGTAGGGAGGAGACAGGTTAACGGTGACAATGCTCCAAGAAAGATGCAAGAGGCAAATTGGGATGCTGAAGGACGTACGCTTCGGCGGCCGCTGAAGCTCGCAATCTCGAGAATGTCGATAACGTACGACAAGTGGTCACCAAGGGAAGGCGTGCACGAGGAAGGGCACTGAGCCTAACATGGTAGGCATTGCAGAAGCTCACGCGTTGAGCCCGACTCGCCAAGGACTGAGAAGGCGTCGCAAGTCCGCCATTGACGGCCCGAAAGGCTCTTACTATCCTCATTATGAAGTTGGGCCAGCTATACGAACCAGGCTTCAAAAGTGGTATGTCGAGAGTGGAGAAGGAACTGAGATACCGAAATCCAGACCTGCGGAATTCTTTCACTTGGGTCCTTTTTTTTTTTTTTTTTACTGCCACTTCAAAAGAGATGCGTCGAGACCCACAAAATCAAGAGACGCGCTCACACGTGCTCAGGCCGGGTATACCAAGTGACCAATCAGATTTTTCTTTTCGGATTTAAAGATTGACATCTTTAACGACACAGGCTTGACAGGCTGCAAATTCCCTGAGTTGATGGCAAGGACTAAGAGGGTCTCACCAGATCTTACGAGAAATTAGAAATTGGGGGCGTGAACAACGTAAGCCACCCTCCCAACTAGGGAATGTCATAAGCCAAAAACCGCGAAGACAATACAGCTTCATCATGCAAGTTAATTAGATAATATACAAAGAGGGTATCACCCGGGTGCGCTTCAAACCAGGGTGGAAAACGCGTAGATATCATCGATATACTCCAAACGCCTTAAAATGCCCTCGTGCTTGCTATACGAAGCTCAAATATTAACAACACGGGCCGTGGTGTCCGCCCGTGGTAAAGAGAAAAGGCCGGCTACAGGTCCCCTACCCTTGAAGGATGCATCAAGAATCAACTGTATGATGGATCCACCATGTGTTGAAACTGCAGCACGTCGCTCAAAAAACCGTCCAAAATGCCGCCCCAAGGACGAGAAGGGCCGAGGCTCGAAACGCTGCTGGTGTCCATGCGGAGTTTTGGAACCCATCTCTCGCATTATAGGCAGGCAGAATAAGTTGGGCTGGTGTATCAGTCTGGCCCTGATTTGGTGCCTCTGTGGCTGAGGGGATGGTCGACCCATTGGAAGCGAAAGCGATGATGGAACTCTCTGTCTCGTTGAAATCCGTTTGCGCAATACCGATCTCATTGTTGGCAAGGTCATAAACCACGTACGCCGAGCGCAAGAAAGTTCCGCCAAGGATATAAGGCGGCCCACCGAAGTCTCGAATACCAAAGAGGCACGCCTCCTGGCCTTTGTACTTACTACTATCCGGGAAATGCGGAGGCTCGCCCGTACTGAGGTCAAGGACAAGCTCATCCATTGGTACAACGACCTTAGGCCCGCCTGGGCCACCGAAGCCAAAGGTAAACTTCCCCGGACTGTTCCGACGGTAACAAGGGATGAGGGGCTGACGTAGGATAGAAGAGAATTCGGCACCAGCCTCTTCCCACATTTGGTCCACAAGGTCCTGTGGTAGGGAGCTAAGTGTCGTACCAGAATCAAGAATAACCTCGACAGGGAAGCTTGCAGTTGTGAGTGAGTCGCTCCCGGAGGGGCTCTCTGCGGAGATGGATGTCAAAGGCACTCGAAAGTGGTTGTACACTTCCCGACCAGAAGTCCTGACCGGGATCACCTTGACCTTGATCATGTCCCCAACATATTTTTCCGTGTCAACGCCGCCAAACAAGATGCTGCCCATGGGCGAACCTATCCGGAAACCAAGTGTTGGGGTCAGCATTTTACCCCTTCTAATATAGAACCTCCGAGTGTTACTTACTCAGGTCGTTCAACCATAGACTATATGCGCTCGTGGCCGTTATATTGTTGCGCACAAGGGCAATCGGCAGGTTCTCGTATTGGATGCCAGCCGTCTCCATCGACGCTTCGTTAATGGCGTAGCCAACACCAATGACGCCGTGGCTTAGGGTGGCGTTTAAACCGAGGCCCATGGTGAAGTTCGCGACTTCTATATCGCCAATTCCAAACAAATCGCGGACATAGTCTCCTCAGAATAGTTCTTGTCAAGATAGTCGAGTTTGAACGATCCCGGGGCGAGGAACTTTGAACTGGTGCTCGAAGAGTTGGGATTGACTACACGGACCATTGGCAGAATTAATTAGTTTTTGCATCGACAGCGCAAGGCCAGATATAAAAATGTGGTGGAGGGAAACGCACAGTTACCCAAGGGACACGGATTCAAGGAGAAGTTGGGGGAGCAAATGGCTGCGTTGCTAGCTGGAACCCATGTGTCACTACTTCCAGTATCGAGCAGGAGCACGACGTCCTGAGGCGGCGTGCCAACGGTACATGTTGAGAAATAGCCGCCGCGTTGCTTCTCGTTGGTGATCACTTCTTCTACGGTTTTTCTGCTCTGCGCCAAAGGCCCGGCACATCGAAGCTTCGCCTTTCTTCGAATTCCAGCAGTAGGACCCTGGTGCGGGCTGCGTGCCAAGCGCGTGGACAACGAAGGCACCTGTAGTGACGAGATACGTTTTGCGCCTCATCTTCTACCCGTCTCCCTTTACCTTCCGCTGTCCGAATACAGCTCGATCGCGTTGAATAGCGACACCCAGTTCCACAGCAACGGGGAGCGAAGTGTCCAGACAATACCTCGGTGTTTGAATTTCGGAGGGTTTGGGTCACTGAATGGCGTTTCCCAGCTTGTGGTCAAATCGAGTGCTATTGAGGGCGCAATGAGGGAGAAGATGACTCGATTACGACGGCGAAGTGAGACACAGCGGTCGTTGGAGGGAAGGTGGAATCGCGAGTTGAGGGGTCTTGAGGGAAGGGGCTCGATGGTCGTCGTGCGAAACTCCCATGCTTGAATGGGTATCCGGGACTTTGTTGTTGGGCAAGGGTGGGTGGAGCTGCCAAGAGAGCCAGCTTCAACTCCTTGAGGTATCGTTAGAAATGGGCTATGGTAGACTCTAGGTGTCTTGATCCCGACCGCTCTGCACTATTTAATTGAGCGTTTCTTCTCCCCGCCGTTTTTTATCTTCTTTCACGTTTTACCTCGAGCAACCCCAGAAAGCCCGAGACGATAATCGTAGAGTTAATAGGAGGTTTGCGGAAAATAATCGGCGGTACTGGTCTGGTCAATCCGGGGCTGAGCGTTGTATTATCAAGTGTGCCACGCGGACCACACAATGTGAGACGACGAACGGGGTCGAGAGAGGTTCGACTGAGGGGGACGACCCGCAAAAATTGAGTCGAGAATGCATTGCCATACAATAGATGTAATATTACATCAAACCAGAGGGACCATTGAAGTCATCCATACTTGTACGGGTGAGGTACCCTGGTACTTTGGAGGGACGGTCCGATCTTCTGCCAGCCTGCGGACACACATTTGGCAGAGAAGAACTTGACACGATGATGGATCTCGTGTAGGAGAGACAGACCCACGACAAGACGGGGCAAGTTAACTTGGCGTTTGGCAGCCCGCTCCGCTCCCATCCCATCCAAATAATAAAAGGAACGAAAACACGCCTGGCCTCTGAACCTGCCGGCTCGGGGGATAGGGTGGGGTATTGTCGGTTCAATGCCTTGTTGCATTTCTCCCTCCCAAGCACCACATATAGGAAAGGACGCAGCGCGTTTGACATGACACGGAGCGGTACTACAAGTACATCAAGGACGTGAATGGATGAAGGGCCCGCTCCATGAGAATTGGGATAAACCACTGCGATCTGGATGTCCACATTTAGCCTCCCGACTCCCATTAGCCCACCCAAATAATCCTCGGCGCAGCCCTGCCAGGCAGTGCCCTCATCTTGGAATCCAGCCTCTTGTTTGATCATCAAGGTCCCATTGCTGCGGATAAGCTTGTGCATAATGTCCCTCTCTTGACGTACCCATTTGCTGTGATTGTCAATATCGCCCGCTATCTGACTTTTGAGCTTGATTCGTTCCGGGTTGTGATGATTCTCTCGAGATCGAACCTGAGCTACATGCAGTATCAAATCCTTTCCTCCAAGATGAACGAACGCAGGGGTTTTTTTCTAGTTCGCCCTGGATTTCCTATGACAGAAATATGCGCAAACCCTGACATTTACTTTACTACCCGGAGGGCTCAAGGGAATCCAGAATGCTTTAGTATATTAATAGAGTTAGGTATTATCAATGGAGTTAGGGTACATGGAGGATTTATCCCCCGACGTGCACCGCGCCCTGACTGTTCCCCAAACTAGGATCCTGCTTAGCTTCACATTCTGATTAACCAGCAGCTATACCTCGGTAGAGCTCTTCTATCTATTCCTTTGCCCCGGATTGCTCAGAAGAAAACTTTGCCCCGGGCCATTGACGGTTTGATATCGCTTGCATTATCCACCCTTCCTGCCCCTGAAGCCCTCTCCCGTAATCCTCGCCCTTGGTGACCATGTGCGCTACAGTCGTTACCCTCTCCTAGCTTCTGAAACTAAAGGATGTTTTGCTCGAGGTAAGAGCCAAGTCTCTGCAATGCTTCGGCGAGGATCGGTGTTGAACAGGCGTAGCCAATCCTTACATAGCCCATAAAGTCCCTGTCTTCACCAAAGCATCTTGAGCCAGGTACAAGCATAACGTTCGTCTTGGATAGGACGTCAAGGCAAAATTTGACGTCATCTACGGGCTCTCTGCTCTGGCCACCGCTGGTAAACCGTATGAATGCCATTGTACCCGAATTCGGCTGGACCCATGAGCATATGGAAGGGTAGCTCTCGACAAATACTTTTAGAAGTGCAAGGTTTTCCCTTGTGAGTGCTAAATTTCGTTGAAGTAGCCGGGAGAAGACGCGCTCGGATAGGGCGTATTGCGCAACTTGGTCGTCGAGCTGAGAAACGCTGATGGCGGTGTAGTCTCTCGCGGAAAGGATGGCTTGAAGGATAGAGGCATCTTTGGAAGCCACCCATCCGACGCGGATCCCCGCCAGGGCGTACGCCTTAGACATGGAGCCTGTGACTATAGTCTTCTCGTACCCAAGGGAGGCGACGGAGGGCGGTACACTCGTCCCGCTGACGCTGAAATCATGAAAGATGGGTCGATATACCTCGTCGGAGAAGACAATAATCCCTGTACTTTTTGCAAGGTCTACGATATTCCTAAGAGTTTCGGTAGGTATTTGTGCTCCTGTTGGATTGTTCGGATTATTTATAACAATCATCTCGAAGATGGGAAAGTTAGTTGTCATCGAGGCAAGAAAACGGTTCAGTGTTGCCGTAATGTAAAAACGCACCTTTGTGTTCGGCCTGAGAAGTTCAGCGAGTTCCTCGACGGCCGGAATGAATTCGTGTTCCGGTTTTAGCCTCCACAGTGATACCTCAGCCCCAAGGCTCTCCGGGACGGTGTATAGCTGTTGGTATGTTGGGTATACACACACAACGTGATCACCCTTGCCGACAAGTGCATAAAACACGAGAAAGTTGGCCGAAATGGCGCCTTGTGTGATTACTACGTCGTCTGCACTGCTCTCTCCACCAATGTGAGTTCTACTCACACTCTTACGGAGAGCCTCCGAACCCCGTATCGCGCCGTATGTGAGCGGGCGCGAAGTATCGATCAGCGGCATCCTCAGGTCGTTGTCTGATAAATCTTGTAGCTCGTCGAGGCTAACGGAAGACGCACACGTCTCGGCCACGTTTAAAACGTCCGGCGTGGTTTCGTACTGATCCATCCATTGCTCGACTCTGAAGGGCTGGATCCTGGCCATCGCGAGGGGAGAGGTAGCGTTGATCAAGTGCGGGTAAGCTATGAATGAGATATAACTGATTCAAAACTATTTATAAGAGCCGATTTCTATACTTCCCGAGGATGACCTGCGCTATTTGTAAATGCACAACCACTACACGGGGTTGCGCATGTGATCTTGAACAACGCCATCATGCGTTAGGTTTGTGGGGATCTGAGGGATTAGGCCCAATGGGATTGCGGATCCAGCCCTGACACGATGACATGACCGACTGTAGGGCGTAGAAACATTGACAGCACATCGAAGGGCGTCATCTTCAGCCGATGTGCTCCCGCCATTGGCACCTTGTCTTGTCGCATTTGGAGCATGTATCCGCGCTGGTTCCGCGGATTAGCCCTGTTTAGCGGTTGTTGGCCGCACTCGCTTTTCTTACATGTACTAGGCGGGAGAATAAGACTTGAGCCTCCAGAGATAGCAAGCATGTGGTGTAAACAGGCCACAATAAAAGGGAAAGAGAGGCCTATTGAATGAATAGATCACTTCATCCGAGCCGAGTGTTTGTGAATTCTACAGACGCCCACTTCCGCCAGCAGCTTTTGCCTTTAGCTCCCGGATAGCTGTGCTGCTGATCTTGGCAGCAAAGTCTTCCGTCGGCGTAGTTCCATGTTCCTGGATGCCCTGAGCGTCGAGGACGTCTACTTCGTAGACTATCACCTCATTCCATCCTTTCTCCCTCCTCTTATCATTGACTGCTTGACCACCCGACCTTGTCTCACCCGAGACAACTAAGACATCCATATCCTCAATCGTGATGGTTGGTCCGAAGGGTTCCTGAATCTCAACACATTCGACAAGGACCCCCGTTCCGATATGTCCCAATAAGGACTTGTGGCCCTTTGAGTATATTTGCACATCTACCTGGTTCTCGCAGTCGATAAATGTGTGCAGGAATTCTAATACGCCCCGGGCTCGTGTATCCCAAGATTGCACGTATTCAGCGTACTTTTGTTTCTGAGAAGCTCGTCGCCAGTTATGCCAATCACAAACCGGCTGGGAGACGAAAGGTCTCCGGAGACTTTGAGCAAAGCCGCAGCAGCCGAAAGTAGGAGCTTATGGCCAGGATGGAGGTGATCAAAGGTTCCACCGAGACAAACGATGCGAAAACCGGCCGTCATAGTAACATTTGAAGAAGTCGAATGCACGGGTATCTCAGCCTTTCCTGGAGGAGAGGAGTCTAGGCTGATGATCCTATCCTTGGGAATTAGACCCCCAGCGGCGTGGGCGTAGGCATCTAGTAGCTCACGGCCCTCTCGGGAATTGAGAACGAATATCGAAGACCACAGACTGCGTATCCGTGCAAAGGTGTCGAGGTCACGAATAATTGTACCGGTTGACCCCGGGCCACGTGCTTGATCCCCGGGGCCTCTCGGGACGGTGTGCACAAATACGACACGCACATCAACCGAATGGGGCCCCGCATTGGTATCTGCCGGTATGGATTGTTTCGCACATAGAAACGAGATCACCGAATAGAAGCTGCTGAGGACCGTTTGAATTTGGGACCAGCTGATCTGCTGGTGTTGTTCAGCGTCATCTCCTCGCCCCAAGAATTCACCAGCAACGGCAAGTATGAGGACTGCACCGCGGTCTGGGTTGCTAAGTTGGGAGAGCACCGAGGCCAGAACCTTCTGGTACCGCTCGGCAATGACTTGATGGGTGACAGGCCGCCTGGGGTCGAGCGGAATGAGGAGAAGGCTTTCCTGAGTCATGGCGGATGGCAGGAACAAGATCAGATAAAAGCAGGGATTGAAGTGAAACAGAGAAACAGCCCCTTCGTCTTGAGATTTTTGTGAGCTGGTAACCGAGTTTAAAGGTTAGGATCTAACGCGGGGAGCCAGATGCAAAAAAACTGACATGAGAGAATAGAATTGTTAGGACGTAGCCTCGGTATACAATGTTCAACGTTGAGAAAGGACTTATTGAACAATACAATCGCGGGGGTACTTTCTGTCAAGCTAATGCACAGATATTTACTGAGGTACGAGCGAGTAGTTGCTATTGATGATTCTGGTTGTGGTCAGTGGGGTCAGATTAAGCGAGGCCGCCTCTTTCGCAAGCATCAACAGTGCTAAGCGTTTGTTATATCAAATGGCAGGCCACAAATCTCGACTTTTAAATGAAACGATAGCTGATGGCTGCACTTCCTTCCAAAAGCTTGACAAGACGTGTCATCCTGTTAGATGTACGGACAGCCTTCGGAATGGGCTTTCGCGAGTGCGACAACCGGGTTGGCCGTTCGTGATCCCTCGCTGAGAAGCTCCCAATTATTATGATAGGAATTGTTCCTGGATGTACCTCGGTATGCCGTCATGGTTCAGGTGTGTTCTTGAGCTAGAATTCGAAATGATTTACAGCCGATATCAGCTGTCAAGTGGATGTACTCAAATAGTCATGACGTGAACCTGTTTCACTAATGGCAGTGGGTGAGGCGGGTGACGCAAGGGCCTGCTGGGAGGATTCATATTTATGGGGTTCTCTCCAATCTTAGCGACCTGGTTTGACCGGCAACCCCGCTCCCTCGAGCCAGTCAATTTACTTCGGTGCCTGACCTGGTGACGACGGTTGTGCCAGACTTGATGCGCCGCCCAGGAAACCTGACCTGCTGACCTGTGGCTGACCACCAGCAGGAGAGGTGACCAACGAGAAGCTTCATTGCAGCCTACTTTCCAACTCCATCACAATCATCATTCAACAACTCCCCAATCTCTCTCAACGATCAAACAGATCCTTTCTTGTTCTGATTGCACGTCACGGAATTTTTAAGACGGTCGACGTCGTCAACATCTCTTGAATGCTGGCGCCAACGTTCTGCGACCAATGGCTCCCCGTTGCTGAAAGGGTTCCTTCTGGGTGCTCTAGCAGCTCTGGCATCACTCCCCACCATGTCGAGAGCGCAGAGCAACTATACTGAAGTTGACGTTCTCCGAGCTCACCTCGCTCTCCTAGGCGACCGTCCACCTGAGTGCCCTCCATGGTTGGTCTCGCCTTGTTCCTGAGTTAGGCTCCTCTTTAACCGGTGCCCACTAACTGCTGTCAATGACTATAGTTTCAATTGTTTACTCCCAGCACACACATGTACTCAGTACGCTTCCTGTAACGAATTCAACGGGAAATGCGACTGTCCTGAAGGTTTTGGTGGTGATGATTGTCTTGATCCATGTGCGTCCCCCTCCTGGACCTGCTCCTACTAGCTTGCACCGCCCTTGGATACTAATCTGCTTTTGTTTATAGTATGTGGTTCCCTTGCTAGAGGCCGAGACCGACCGATGCGATCAGGCGATAAATGCGACTGTGACGAGGGCTGGACCGGAATCAACTGCAATGTCTGCACCACAAACCAGGCTTGTAATGCACTGATGCCAACCGGGGATGGGGGTATCTGCTACCAAAACGGCGAAGTCGTGAAGCACAACTATCAAATATGCGATGTTGTAAACAAAAAATCACAAGCTTGCTCGGTGACCAGAAGCCGCAAGTCACCTTCACCTGCGATAAAGAGGATGCGACCTGCCAATTCCAATGTTTGTTACTCTCACCTCAGCCTTCTTCTATTTCTTCATGCATATAACAGTGCTAACGTTTGAATAGTCTGGGTGGACCAGCGCGAATCGTTTTACTGCGATCTCGATCAATGCAAATCCTCGGCCGAGTTCGACGAGCACCAGAACAGCACATCTTACGTTTGCGACAACATCAAATGTAGCTGTATTTCGGATCGTATGCTTTGTGGACAAGATGGCTCCGTCGACATCAGCGATTTTTTGAAGGAGTCCATTCGTGGCCCTGCGAAATTTGAGTGTCAGCAGGATGAGGGCAAGTCCAATGACTGCCAATTTCGAGAGCCACAGATGGATGATCTTATCTCGGCCCTTATTGGCGACTCCAGCATCCTTTTAACCTGTCGGTCTGGAGAATGTCTCTACCACACTGAAGTTCCTGGATATGAGCGGCCCGTCAAGCGCATCAACACACCACTCATTGCCGGAATTATTGCCCTTTGCTCTCTGTTCCTCGTTGCTGTGATTCTATTGACATGGTACCTTTCCCGGAGACAGTTCAAGTACGGCCCTATCCACCTCGATGACTCGGACGATGAAAATGCCAAGCTCATGGCCGACCACAAGCCCGCTTCCTTGTATTTCAGGGATATCTCATACGCGCTTAATGGGAAACAGATCTTGAAGGAAATTGGCGGCCTGGCGCGACCGGGCGAGATAACTGCAATCATGGGTGCGTCCGGTGCTGGAAAGACCACGTTCCTTGACATCCTAGCGAGAAAGAACAAGCGCGGCCGAGTTGCCGGCGATTTCTACGTAAACGGCGAAAAAATCAGCGACTCCGATTACAAAAGCTTCATCGGATTTGTGGACCAGGAAGATACGATGCTGCCCACCCTTACTGTGCACGAAACAATTCTTACGAGTGCTCTTTTGCGTCTCCCTCGCAATATGAGCCGGGCAGCGAAGGAGCAAAGGGTCGTTGAAGTTGAGAAACAGCTTGGCATCCACCATATTCGAGACTCCTTGATCGGCTCGGAAGAGGGCAAGGGACGAGGTATATCCGGGGGTGAAAAGCGCCGAGTCGGAATCGCCTGCGAGCTTGTTACAAGCCCCTCAATCCTGTTCCTCGATGAACCAACAAGCGGTCTCGATGCTTACAATGCCTACAACGTTATCGAATGTCTCGTTACGCTTGCCAAGACATATAACAGGACTGTCATCTTCACTATTCACCAGCCTCGCTCGAACATTGTTGCTTTGTTTGATAGGCTTATCCTCCTAGCTCGCGGCAATACGGTTTATTCAGGCCCCTTCCACCAATGTCAAGACTACTTTGACAGTATCGGTTACTCATGCCCTCCTGGATTCAATATTGCGGATTATCTGGTTGATCTCACTATGCATGCTGGCTCCGTGGACGATGTGGATGACGGAACCATTTTCGCAGATAACTCTAGTGTTGGACCTAGCAGTACACGGGCCGTTAAGTCCATTGGAACTGCCTCGATCGTCAGCACTAATGACGATGGAAATAACCTACCACCTACGCCATCACGACCAAAGGGTAGGCGCCACGACTCAGTCCGCAAACAGCAGGAGCGGGAGCTCTTTACAAGGCGAAGGCAACCTGTGGATACTGCGGCCTCTTCTGATGCTGGTCTCGAGGATCCCGGGTCATTCAGACTACATAGGCAATCGCCTCACGATGACCCGCACGACCTCCCTCCGGCGGCTCTCCCTCTAACGGCTCTCGACGAGATTGTCCAGGCCTTTGCCGAATCTGGAATTGCTGACTCGACCCGTGATGAGATCTCGCAGTCTATCGAGGCCGCTTGCCTTGCGAATGGAGCCAACGCGACTGAAAACTCGGCGCATAGTTCCGGTATCAACGTGGGTGCTATGGGTAAGGGGTATGCCCGTGTTGGATACCTTACCCAATTCGCTATTCTCTCGCAAAGAACGTGGAGAAACTTGTATCGGAACCCCATGTTGATGCTTACGCACTATGCTATTGCGATCCTCTTAGCTGTGCTTTCTGGGTACTTGTTCTACGGCATAACTGATGATATTGCCGGGTTCCAGAACCGACTGGGTTTGTTTTTTCCTGCTAGCCTTGTTTGGCTTTAGCACCTTGACAAGCTTGAACGTTTTTGCAAGCGAGAGGCTGTTGTTTGTCAGGGAGCGGGCTAATGGCTACTATTTACCGGTGACATACTTTGCTGCCAAAGTCCTCTTCGACATTGTTCCACTTCGGATCATACCTCCTCTCCTCATGGGCTCAATCATTTACCCTATGACCGGCCTGGTGGCGGATTTCGAACACTTCTATAAGTTTATCTTGATTCTCATCCTCTTCAACTTAGCGGCGGCAGCTATCTGTCTCTTCATCGGCATTGTATGCAAGGATCACGGCGTTGCAAACCTGATCGGATCTCTGGTCATGTTGTTCAGCTTGCTCTTCGCAGGACTGCTTCTAAACCACAACGCGATCCCTAAAACGGCTGTGTGGCTTCAATCACTGTCTATCTTCCATTACGCGTTTGAGTCACTGATTGTCAACGAGGTTGTGCACCTTACTCTCGTCGATAACAAATATGGCATCAACATCACTGTTCCGGGCGCTGCCATCCTTAGCTCCTTTGGCTTTGACAACAATGCTCTATGGTCTGATGTCTTTTGTCTCGGAACATTTGCAGTTTTATTTATTATCCTCGCGTATACAGCCATGCATATTCTTCTTGTCGAGCGGCGGTAATATGTAGATTGGAAGACTGATGCAGGACAGGTTTGAACAAGGGTAGAAGAATATGGAGAAGGGACCAGCGCCCTTGTCAACCCGTGTTTGTCATTACTATTTTCCTAACGTCTCGTTTCTGTTTCCAATGCAAAGTTGTAAAGCATCAGTCCTCGTTCAAACCCCCTCCCCTTCCCTGAACCACTTGTTTACTATTGAGCTTTACCATAAGTACCACACTTTCTCTCCCTTTTCCCACTAGGCTGCCATACCTAGGGCAACTATTTCATGCTCCATACATGTATTGTTTGGGTGTACCGAGGTATGGGGAAAGGGAACTATTGTTTAACATAAGCATCCGAGCATCTCATGAGCCGTTGATAACAACAAGCATCAGGAGCAGCCCACGCTCTGTTGAGGCCGATGAGCGTCAACCTTCCATTTGTTATTCTTAAGAATAAAAGGTGAAAGAAAAGATAATCACCTATATAAAATATACATGATCAATATATAGTGTACATTCCAACTAATACAACTCGTCTTCATAACCTTTTTGGGCAGAATATTCCCAGGTGGACTTTATCGTAACACGCTGTTCCCCGGTAAGATATCCCCTAACATGTTTGCCTTGACTTTCTGCCTCTTGTGAGACTGTCAAGTTCAAATATTACAGCTTCAATCTAGCCGAGTAACCCCAAGAGCTTTGGTATTACTCCATCTTTCCTCCCGTGAGCTCTTCCGCAACCTTTTTCTGTCTCTTCATATTCCTGGTATAGCCAGCTGTGTAGTTATCTAGAGTCGGGGCAGACTCGCGTACAGTTTGACCAACCATGTCATTGACTCCAGACTGCGAACCCCATTCCTGCCACGCGCTGTTTTTGGAGGGTGCTCTCCAGTAGTTTTCGGAAAAGAGGTGGTCAACTTCAACCTCGAGGTCTTTCTCATCCACAATGAAGTGATTGGCGTTAACATAGAGCTCCATGAGTGAGTGAAGGCGGGCATCGCGCCTCTCCTCTTCGAGTTCGAGCGTTCTTTTCCTGCTGACCTCAGCCTTTTGGAAACGATCGGGGTCTGGAAGTACTTCGGTGTTCAAGGTTTCCTGGAGTATGGTGGAGAGAGTGAGGAACTCATCGGTTCGCTCGGCTGCAAGACCAGCCGCCATGTGAGCCTTGTGCTTGTCCGCACCGAGCGAGGCATCTCTCTCATCACGCTTGAGCTTGCGTCTCCAGAGGCCCTGAAGGCCAGCACGGAGATTCTTGCGACGAGAGTCGGCCATTATGCGCTTCCAATGCTGAGGGTGATCTTCGATTAGGGTCGCTGGCGGCTGCGGCTTTTCGGAGCGAGGGTACGTTTCGGCGAGGTAAGACGGATCAAGCTTGCGGGAGTCGCTCGGCTGAGGGAAGACTTTGCGCGGCACAGGGAGGCTGCCCCGGACACGGGTGGGTTTCGTCTCATCGGAGAGAGGAGGGACGGGTACGGGAATGTAGGCAGGCGACTCTGGGGGAAGAGAACATTGTTGGGCGGTGGATGTGATGGCCCTAGTAGATGAAGGGATACCAGCGATGTAAACAGAGGGTAGATGGTGAGGGTTGGAGAGGGCGAGCCGACTCAACCGTAGGCGGGACGCGCTGAGGGACATCGTACGTCTTTCGCCTGGCCCTATAGGGTTGTGGAATGGTGAGGTAAACACGCTCCACGAACAAATGAACGAGGGCCCACGTTGAAATTCCGCGCTGAACCAGATAATATTGTGAAGAGGTGAAATTCGGTATGCTGCTTTGACCGATCTTAGCAGAGCAGGCTGTCTTGCCGTGGGTGAACAACTATGAAGGGGACTTTCTCGAAGCAAAAGTCGTGATGTTTAAATTTGGCCAAACACGAAAGGAAAGCCACACCTGTAACCGCCACATTTAAAGCCACAGTGCCCCACATTGGAAAGACCGAATTCACGGTATTGGTCCAAATATTGATAAGATAGCGGGACAGTCTAAAGAAAAAAATTGGCAAAAATTGGTCCCGCCATCTTTTTGTTTCTCTCATTGCACTCTCGCCAACCCAACTCTTCCTTCACAACCCACAACCCACAACCACGGAGGTCTTATACACCACTGGCCGCAATGGGTACTTTCAAAAGGAGAAGAATAGGAGGTCTCGCGATGGGACCTCCACTGACGGCATGGCGAACGTCAAGGTGAAAGGGGAGAATTTCTATCGGTAGGTTGTGCTCACCGGCGAACACTGCATGTTTCCACACGTTTACTGATGACTCGCCGTTTCCTATAGCTCCGCGAAGAAAGCCAAAATTCTCAACATGTACAAGGAGGGAAAGGCCCAGAGAAATGCCAACGGAGAAATTACAAAGGCAGCCATTTATCAGTCGAGAGATGTTCCCCAAGCGAGGATTGAACCCAATCGGAAGTGGTTTACGAATACTAGGGTTTGTCGAAAGAGTGGTCCCATTTCCGAGCCGAAAGATTTCTAACGGACTTGTAGGTAATCTCTCAAGATAGCCTTAGTGCGTTTCGTGAAGCCATGGCCGAAAAGGCTACCGATCCGTATCAGGTCTTGCTCAAATCGAACAAACTGCCAATGAGTTTGTTGAAGGAAGACAAGAACATCAACGGCCTCAAACAGCATAAGGCTAAAATGACAGTCGAAAGCTCCCCATTCTCCGAGGTATTCGGTCCCAGGGCTCAGCGAAAGCGCGTTGTCATGGGTGCTGGCACCTTGGAGAACCTCGCGGGTGTTGCTGAGCAGAGCTTGGACACATATCATGAAAAGGTTGAAAAAGCCAAGTATCTGAGAGGCGAAGGAGAAAGCGGCAATACCCCGTTGGCTCTGGAACCTATTTTCAGTAAGGGGGCTCTAAACGGATATGGTGAGCCCGCCCCAACAGTCCTATCCCCTTACTTCAACGCTAACTGTGCCCCCTCTAATAGGAACGAGCTCTACAAGGTCCTTGATTCAAGTGATGTAGTTTTGCATGTCTTAGACGCCCGAGATCCTCTGGGAACGAGGTGTCGGAGTGTTGAAAAGTATCTAAAGGCAGAGGCGCCTCACAAACATCTGGTATGAACCCCTCAAACCACCAGTAGCGTAGTAAGGATGCTGACCGGATGAAGATTTTCGTCTTGAACAAGTGCGACCTAGTTCCTAGCTCTGTAGCTGTAAGTTTCTTATTCCCGTCATCTCACACCCTTCCTACATGCCCAGTGTTTTAGTCAGGATACTTTCCCACACCTTTGTGTTTGGCAATGGAAGATTATCTGTTACACGCTGGGCAGATCAAATGTCAATCTTGCCTACCTTCCCACCATCTGGTCGGAAGGTCGGTGAACGCCGTTCTGGAGTTCGCCATAAGATACGACGTTGTTTCAAAATGAGTTGAGGCTGCCCCCGTCAATATACTGGGTTTAGTGGCAGTCTTTTTAGTACTGATTCATACATACTTTTCCCCATCTTCTTCCCTCTTTGTTTCTCTAATTAAGTACCCCTACATCAACTAACTTCGACAACAAGGCTGCGTGGGTACGGAAGCTCTCTAAGGATCGGCCTTGCCTTGCATTCCATGCGTCAATCACAAACTCTTTCGGAAAGGGATCCCTGATCAGTCTTCTCCGACAATTCTCAACTCTCCACGCAAAAGACAGGAAAGAGATCTCGGTGGGGATGATAGGGTAGTAAGTAAACTTTGATGGCATCTTGCGAGATGTTCAAACTTGTTCGACCCAATTAGCTAACAGTTTACGTAGTCCGAATGTTGGCAAGAGCTCTATCATAAATACTTTGAGGAAGAAGAAGGTGTGCACCGTGGCGCCGATACCAGGCGAGACAAAGGTTCGATACTCCTTGAAACTCTCAGCTACCCCGGGTCCAGTCTTCAATCTCCCTGGAGACCGGCGTTGTCGACTGATGCTAACGGTACACTTGTAGGTGTGGCAATACATCTCGTTAATGAAGCGGATCAGTAAGTCGTCGACAGAAAAAAGACCGTGGCTCTGCTAGCTGGCTGCTTTTTATAGGCTGAAACTGACTACAAATTCTTGCAGATTTGATTGATTGTCCAGGAATTGTTCCTCCAAACATGAATGATACCCCGGAGGACATACTTCTGCGTGGTGTGGTGCGGATAGAAAATGTTGAGCACCCATCTCATTATATCCCGGCGCTCATGAGCAAGGTCAAGAGACATCACATGGAAAGAACGTATGATTTGAGAGGCTGGGATGACTATATGACTTTTCTGGAACTCCTTGCCCGTAAAAACGGGCGATTACTTAAAGGAGGTGAGCCCGATGTTGAAGGGATTGCGAAGATGGTAGTGCACGACTTCCTACGAGGAAAGATACCTTGGTTTTCACCATGCCCCTCAGCTACAGACTTGGATGGCGCTCCGGTAGTCGCCGGTCGCGAGGGGAAACTAGGCGAGATGCCCAAGAAAAGAAAGCGAGACGCGCCCGACGCGGATGAGGCTTCTACCATGGCGCAAAGTACGGATGGACATGTGGATGGCGATGAAGATGGCGAAGATTTCACCGGATTCGGCAGTGTTGAAGAGTCGGAAGATGAATCCGCGCCAGGGCGAATCAACGATGATACCGAGGAGCGAGAAGATGAAGAAGCTGAGGAATGGATATCCCTTGGTGCATCAAGCGACGAGGAAGAGGTGTCAGGGGGAACCAGCAAAATGCCGAATCCGTTGAGCTTGAAGATGAGTCGGATCCAGGTGGCGCCCCTACAATACCCAACGAGCACAAGGCGGTCAGGTCTAACAAGCGAAGAAGACGTTGATCGGGATAAGTGAGGATGATTAGAAGTAGGGCATTAGCTGTTATTGATACATGTAATGACCAAGCATTCTACTCCCTCTTCCTATGTTTCCTCTCTCCAAGTTTGATGTGGTTTAAAGTGGCATATCTAATGAAGGCACTACTACCCTATGATAGCTGTTGGCCCTCATCAGAAGATGTCCTAAGAAAAGTGTACTTGTCACCTTCGGTATTTAATACAAAGGTTTATAAACCAGTATAGATGTCTTCTTTATTAATGCTTACCCACTTTAGCTGCCTCTTGGTATTCTTCCACTGTTTCCTGAGGCTATTAGGGCCTCTGGCGAGTGCCTTTGATATAACCATGCATTAGCAAGGTAGGGTATATATGGTCTTTGAGGGTTGGTCCTACTATTATGACGCCTATGAAGAAGAATCCTTCCCTTTATGTCCTAGTTGTTGTGAAGCAATACTCAACTTTGGAAGTCCTCTCACCTTCCTACTCCTTACTTATATATTAACCCTTACTATATTCTCTCAAGTAACTGGTCTCCTCAAGATTAGCTGCTGAAAGCGAGTCTCAGTCATACTTAACCCTCTTCTCTCGAGGTAGCTCGACTCTTCAGGGCATAGGTAAATAAGGAAAGGAAAGTGGAGGAGTATCCTTAACACTTATTGTATCTAAGGTGAGTATATATGCTAAACTGGTCTCTTCGATTTCTACAAGGTAATCTGTAGGCAGAAGATCAGATCATTAGCATGGCCTATATATATAGTAGCTTACCCGGGATATCTTCTTTCTTTCTATTTGAGATACCACTATTCTCACATTTCAAAACAAGTGTCCCCAAACTGAGCTTCAAATATAGATTTGATATAGGATATACCTCGATGGCGAGGCTTGTAGATAAAGGCTTGCGTCGACAGAAATGGAAGGTACGACCTGGTGCTCCAGATGCGATGATTATCAACCACCAACAGCTTTCTGGTAGATCAGCAGGACCATTCCAAGCCCTTATATGTTGACAGGCCTTAAGTGAAGGGATTTGTGTTGAGGGGTTTACTCTCTCTTTTCTCCAAAATTTCAGCTTACTCTCACCTCCACTCAAAACCGAACGTACAACGGACAAGATTATGGACAGAGACAGTCCCACAGCAAAGTTAGAGGAAATCTCCTCTTTAAGTTTGTTGGCTCCCGGGGATACGAGCTCAAGAAGGGTTCCTGAGGATGTCCATACTGGCCAAACTAGTGAGACCCTAAATCTCAAAAATACTTACAGTTTCGGTAACGGCAACCCTGGAGTCGCCGGAGTAATAAGCATAAAAGCCTTACTGATGGATGTTTAGGGTCGACGAGGGAGGTTCACTTGCCAGTCAACAACAGCCTAGCCAGCCAGGCACTTCAAGGGCTTGCAGCGCCCCTGATTCCGCATGAAAGGAAGACCGAGGAGGTCGCTGGCAGAGCAAACTTTTCTCCACACAAACTTCCCCAAGTCCGCTTTGATGGGCCACCCTCAGGTCGCGTATCCATTCCCAATGAGCAGTCATTGAACCACCTATATGAGAAAGGGCCTCTTCCTTCAGGGATAGAGAGAGATGGCGGCTGTTTCATCATGGATCAGATTCCGCCCGCGGTTAATACACCTGGGCAAACTATTCTTGAAACCTCGACAGCCAAAGATGTGACACCAGTGTCTAACGGAACCCAAGAGCAAGTTCATTCCCATGCCACCAGTCCCTACGATGCTCGTAGGGTCAAACGTATGAATTTGGGGAATGGTGAGAGAGGCGTGGACGAAGTTATCGGCCATATAGATGGAGATAATCTAGCCTGGAGCCAGAACGCGCAGCTTTTCCCAGTCGAACCCTCGACGGCTGCTAGATCCGTAGGCACTGACCCAACCTACGTCCACAGTGGTTCCAACGAGTGTATGGACGAAGGTCCTCTAACAATGGTCTTGAGCTCGTACCCAATCCTACGCGAGAGTTCCAGTATTATCACGGCGGGGTTTCAACGGCCCGAGCCTCCAAAGTCTCTTGATGACGAAATGGAGAAGGAGCGAGCGTTAAGGGTGGCGCGAATACAATTTGAACTAGAGACTGTGCGACGGCTAACGCGTGAGGGTATGGTGGGCCCCTTTCGAGTTGGCGACTTTCTCGTGGACATCGATCCGCAACATGGCTTCCCCATCCCCGTTGCTCGCCGGGTTGGTGAAGGCCAGCCTTGGTTTATTAGCCAAGCTCAAGCAATCATACGGGATCCCATGGCACCGATTAGCTTGCGGGAGATATGCCCGCAGGACGTTTTCCCACCTCCGGACTAATCCGTGAGGAAGCACGGCGCAATGCGTTGCTCCTCCGAAACTTGGCCTGATTCGGCCGAGATATATGCCCCCTTCTTTCACTGCCTTCCCGTCTGACCTCATACCGTCACCCACCTCCTCCGCGGCTTCGTTGAGTTTAATATCGTTAGGAGAACGACCTCATAGTAGTGGGAGCCAATAGTGAGTGGGCTTGATTGATAGAAGGTGATGACTTGGGGGCGACAACCCTGTTAAACTGAGCTATGAATGGGTGGGTTTCGGAGTAGCACGGCGCCCGGGAGGTTGCGGATCTCGTTCGTTCTAGACTGCGAATATTAGAAGACGTCCTATTTTTGAACCATTTCCGTTCCCCGACAACTAGTTGTATCATTGGTAGGTACGGCCTGATCAATCCGGCCTAACGCTCTCACAACTGATTGGTGCCCTCAAATCCGGGGTTGCTACTGAGATGCGCTTGGTGACATCGTGTAAGGGCAGATTGGCAAAAAGATCCAACCCCGCAAGTGACAAAGGCAATCGGTGGATGGAGAGATGAAGACAAACAAACCAGACCGGATACATCCTCTTTAGCCTTTGGGCTTGGTTCATGTCTATTCAGTTTGGGATAGTGAAGGGGAGTGGAGGAAGTAATAGTGTGCGCGCCGTGAGCAGGGCGATCGAGCACCAATGGATCTAATGGATCCATTGATGGATGGATTGATCTAATGGATGGATCATTGATAGGTACCGAGGTTTGTTACGGGGCACTTGAGCCAGCGGGAGGGGAAGTGCACAGACAAGAACAATAAAGCTGGGGAAGAACTTTCGAGCACTATGCTCTATCACATGTTAGTCCCGGAGACAGCCGGTGGGTGATCCCTAGTAACCTCCCGACTTCTCTTTGCCATATGCAGGCCGGCAAAGGGTGCAATGAACAGATGGAGGCAGATTGACATTCTGGACCCAACCTTCATCAAATCTTAGTAGTATGGACCTGAGCCGGCCGTTGTGCACTCGGCTCCTAGTATTGGTGTACTTCGTATAAAGCGCTCCTGGAATGTGGGGCGCCTGCTCCACACGTGATGGAATGGGAGCTGAGGCTGTTGGCATCGATTGCGGAATGTCTGTGGCGCTGCTTCAGGCCCAGGCTTGGCTTGCCCGGACTGGAAAGACAGAAACGCTGGGACCGCTCCTCAGATTCAAGAGGATTAAAAATTGCCGAGGTAAGTTTGGCCAGCCCGGAACACGACCGCGTTGTTTTCACAGCAGCCATAGCTCTTGGTACTTCGTCAAATTTGATGTGACCGGAACTGTGCGCACGCAACTTGCTCTTCAATGTTCCAGACGGAGCACTAGAGCACAATTAGTTTGAGAACTTGCAACTCCAGTTGACTGTTTAGTGGGGAACCACCGTCATCTATTGACGTCGTCAGAACTTGCCGACCCGATCTGATTTCCCCGAGGGTCCGGCCGTACTTTCTCTCCCCTCTCTGGATGCTACCAAAGCTTCCAATTCGTGAGACTTGCCAAACTCGGAGCGTGTTTGGAAACCGCGCGCTAGTCGAAGCTGGGGCTTCCTCCTGCCCTGATGCTGGAGAATCCATTGCCACTCCCCTCTTTCACCAGCTCGATTCGAACGGACCCTTCCTTGCCATTTGCAGTAGTCACTATACCACTTTTTTGACAAGTGTGGCAGATTCCCTCTCCTGTCTCTTGGTATAATACCCTCTCGTGCTCTGTCACTTCCCCACCCCCATCTCGAGCTGTTTTCATTCCCAGTGTCCCACACTCTCAGCCTGTCCTTTGCCTGCCAACTCGCATCGATTAACGTTCAACCTTGCCCCTTTCTCGAGAGTGACGACGTGGCTTGGCCATACTCTTCTTAAAGACCCAATTTGGTCCTGAGCTGAACAAATTAATCGCCCCTTACCGAGCTGCCGATGTGCAACTAGCTAGGCACACTTACAGTTAAGACGATCGCCCCTCTACGTTCCACACACCTATTGAGCTATTTTGGACCTCTTTCTGTCCGAGTGAACATACGCCAGGGGACCCGCGCTTTCATCTTGCATCTTGTACCTTGTATCATCTTGTCCCCCTTTCCTTCTTGGCTCAAGGTCGCCCTACTGAGGTTCTATCGTGTTCGGCCGGCTTTCTTTTTCGCTCACTATCGCATTCGTTTTTCTCGAGCAGATACGACAGCGGCTTTGGGAGAGATCTAGTATTCACGCGGAGGGCTCTTGAAAAATTGCTGATATGTCGTGTAAGTCCACAACACCGAAATCAACTGGGCTTTTGAGGGCAGAGAGATGTTCCCTTGTTGGATATGGCCTTGCCTCGCCATCGATTTCGTTGAATCTTTCCCCTCATCAGCCAAATCCATTTGTTTCCATCTTCCCCTGCGCATTCGGTTGTCTGCTGAGAACGGATGCTGATATATCCTAGTTCCCCTCACTCTTGCTGCACCTGCAGCCATCGCCGGTCTCAGCTACCTCAATGCCAAAACGTCTTTTGGTATGACTGGCTTCTGATAAGGTCTCTCGCTCCGACTGCTATCACGGCTAGATACCGTGAAATGAGAGACCGTCTTAGCCCATTCTATGTCCTCGAATCGAACGCAAAGGGGGCATCAACTGCGCACATCCCCTTTCTGAAATTCGAGGGAAGGTGTACACTTACGCCCAAACATATGACATAGTCCTTCGGTATGGTGCCTGGCTACGCCAAGCGCACGGGGTGAAACCGCAGGATATTGTGGCCATGGACTTTGAGAACTCCGATATCTTTGTTTTTCTGTGGATGGGGATCTGGTCGATTGGCGCAAAGCCCGCCTTTATGAATTACAACCTCTCCGGCCCGACTTTAACACACTGCGTCAAGACTTCGAACGCATCTCTATTGCTGGTTGACCCAAATGTTGCTTCTAATGTGACTGATGATGTGAGGAAGGACCTCAGTCATGTACGCATTGTGGAACTTAACCCCGGTTTGGAGCGCGAGATTTTGAGCACTGAACCCCAGAGACGTCCGGATTCAGAGAGGACTGAGGAGTTTGGACACGGCCTCGCTATCTTGATTTATACCTCTGGCACTACTGGAATGCCGAAACCTGCTATTGTATCCTGGTCTAAGTGCATATCAGGCGCTGGCTTCGTGTCTCGCTGGCTTGGCTGGAGACCAGGCGATGTCTTTTACACCGTGAGTTTGCACAAAACCTCGCTCCTTCGCCTCCACTCCCCGCTTGAGAATCTCCTCTTCGTCTCTGTACTGTTACCATCCTTCTCTGCTCTTTTTCACCTACCGTGTTCCTGGCTAGATCCTATCACCCCGTGCTTGCTTGCCTTGGCATCATTGTTGCTAACAAATCGTGTTTCCACAGGCGATGCCTCTCTACCACAGCTCAGCCGCCATTCTGGGTCTCCTAAATACTCTTGAAGCAGGAAAGACGATTGCAATTGGTAGAAAGTTCTCCGCCACTCGATTCTGGGACGATGTTCGAGCAGCCGATGCTTCAATTATCCAATATGTGGGTGAAATGTGTCGCTATTTGCTCAAGGCTCCTGTCCAGACTGAAAAAGACACTGGGGAAAACTTGGACAAGAAACATAGAGTCCGCACTGCGTTTGGTAACGGCCTGCGCCCCGATGTCTGGGCCGAGTTCAAGGAGCGGTTTGGCATAGATGCTATTGGCGAGTTTTACGCAGCGACCGAGGCGCCACTCGGCACGTTCAACTTTAGCAGAAACGACTTCACCATGGGTGCTGTGGGAAGGAATGGATGGCTTTACGACGCTGTCATGTCTTTTGGGGTTGCCCTCGTTGAAGTCGACATGGATCTTGATGCGCCCTGGCGAGACCCAAAATCGGGGTTTTGCAAGAAGGTGGCGCCTGGCCAACCTGGAGAGATGTTGTTCAAGCTACCAAAGGACACGGAAACCAAGTTTCAAGGGTATTACAATAACTCAAAAGCGACTGGCTCCAAGATATTGCGAGACGTTTTTCAAAGGGTGACGCATGGTTCCGCACTGGCGATCTCGTCATCTGGGATAAGGATGGTCGCGTGTTCTTCGCTGACCGCATTGGCGACACATTCAGGTGGAAGAGCGAGAATGTCTCCACTGCAGAGGTAGGCCAGATTCTGGGTTCGCACCCAGCGGTCCATGAAGCCAATGTCTACGGTGTCCAGCTGCCTCACCACGACGGCCGCGCCGGCTGTGCTGCTATCGTCGTGGACGGTTCGCCTGACGACGTTCTCTTTCGTAGCATCGGAGAACATGTGTCGAGATCGTTGCCGTCATATGCAAGACCCATATTCCTACGTCTCATGCCGGAGATGCAGACAACTGGCACTCATAAACATCAGAAACACAACCTGAGAACGGAGGGGTTGATCCGTCGAAAGTTGACCTGGATACGGTATACTGGCTGCAGGACCGTGAATACGTCCCTTTCAGGGAGAAGGACTGGAAAATGATTGTGGAAGGCGCTGCAAAGTTGTAGATGCGGACAAAGCAGGCAAATGACTTGCTACAAGTAGTATCTCGGTAGCCTCACTGATACTTCTCTTTTGGTTCCCTTCACATCATTCTCTTAGCTATGGGGTTCAGTATGCCTTCTCCTTCATCGAGGAGAATGTTTGACAAACTGTATAGTATAGATGTGGACTTTCTGGTATTCGTGGTGCTTTTATTCAGCTTTAATTTTCCCTCAACCACAATTTCAGCATGGAACGCTTTCGCGCGCGACCGTCTTGCCAGCGCCTCAACTTTGCAGTGCCCGAGAAGCGCTATCGCAGGATATGCTTAGTAATCAAACTCAAGGCAATTTGCATGTGCTTCACGGATGTGGAGGGTGGTGCCCTTGGTCAAACAATCCTAGCATCGAGGCTTAGCCACGTACGGGATTGCGTGTCTTTGGCATAGATCCGGATGATAAAATCCTCGTCATTTTAACTCAACGAGGGCCTTCCCAGGCCGACTAATCTATCTTGCGCTTGAGGCTTGACGAGCTCCTGGCAACCATACAGGGGCAAGAAACGCGTCAGAAGGGTCGCACGAACTAAGCCCGTCAACCTCGAGAAGCCTTGGACCTAGAAGAGGCGTTGCTCTGGTTTTAGCCTTCACCCCCTCTCTAAAACTCAACTGCCGCTCATGCATATATAAAAATGGAGACCATGCTTCCCGAGCCAACGATCGCCTTTACCATCCCGAGCTACCAAGATGCTACCGTGCTGTCGTGCCGGTTGTACCACCCGCTGTCCTTGACCGGCTCCCCTGCCGCGCCTGAATGGAAGAGGCACGCGGCGGTTTTTGCGCATCCGTATGCGCCTCTGGGAGGTAGCGCGGATGATCATGTTGTGGATGTGGTGGCGGGAACTTTGTTGCGGAAGGGCTATCTCGTGGGGACGTTTAACTTTCGGTATGCCCCCTTCGTTATGAGCTTTTCGTTGACCACGTTCCCTGCTCTATCATGTTCTTTTCTTCTTTGCCTTTCATTTTCATTCCTGGGTCCTTGTTGACTACTTCGGCTTCACCCCAGTGGGATCTCTACGTTGGTCACTTTTCCTCAGACAGTTGTTTAGTGGGATGGGAAAAAGAGAAAAGGCTCTGGTGCTCCTCTTTCCCCCTAGAATTCCTCTGATTTCGTTTTCTTTCAGCTAACTAATAGGTAATGGCAGTGGGGCTGGTGATTCGGGCGGGAGAACATCGTGGACGGCAAAGGCTGAGAGGGCGGATTACATCTCCGTGACTGCGTTTCTGGTGTACTATACTCACTACCTGGACCCTTTAGACCTGCAGACAGCAGCATTGCGAGTACCATGACGAGAGAGCCACCTGTACTTATATTAGGAGGCTACTCGTACGGATCAATGATCACTATGCAGCTGCCACCGTTGGTGGAAATGTTGCGACCGTTTGTGTCACCCAAGCTTGGGACGGCGGCGGCGGAGATTCGCTTACGGGCGGAGCACCTCGCAGACCATCAAAACATGATTCTGGCGAGTGCCAGGGAGGTCTGGGGTCATGGATCAGCACTGAAGTCACCTCTGCGAGTGGGAGGCACTGAGTCCGGGGAGGTAAGGGGTTCTGGGGAAGGGAGGAGATCTTTTATCATTGAAGCTGAGGAGAGGGTCCGCAGGAGTATTGGGGATGTGGTGGCCAAGGCGAAGCGGTCTGGGAAGAGCATCGGTGATGCATCAAGAGAGAACAAGGGGAGTCAAGGGGGACTCCACTTGCACCGAAGAAATTACCGACCTCATTCCACCGAGGGTGGCATATCTTCTCATTTCCCCGCTCCGAGGCGTCGTCTCTCATCTTGCGAGCATGTCCTTGATACCAACCCATCTACCTTCTCTCCCGAAGTTTAGGCTCCCTTTCCAACCAAAAAAGAGCAGGACGGGAGTAATGATTTGCGCCCGAGCCTCGATCATGCGCCGGATCCCGCAGGCTTCGATTCGGAGGTAGAGAGCCTCGCTGAGCTTAAACTCATGCGGAATCCCACTCTCGCCGCCTTTGGTGACCACGACGTTTTCGTTTCTTCTCACAAGCTGCGCGCTTGGACCAAGCGGATGCAAGAGGTGCAAGGATCTAGGTTCCAGGCCGTGGAGGTCTCGTCTGCAGGCCACTTTTGGGTCGAGGAGAAGGTCCTGGGAAAGTTGATAGGGCTCGTAGCTGGATTTTCGGCTGGCCTGGTTGAGGAAGGGGGCGTGTGGACTGGGGTCGAGGCGGAAACGAGAGAGAGAGGTACAGGATGAAGAAGAAGGAGAGTTTGGTAGTCATGGCTCTGACTTACCGTGTTCTATTATATTACTTGACAAAGCGTTGCTGTCCCTTTTTCTCCTTTACTGGAGGACGCTTTATGATGTACATGTAGGGCGCGCATCACTTTTTTTTTTTTTTTTTTCGAGTTGGTTAAATTTAGGTAGCGACTCTTCCTAGCCAACAAGTTTATATTATACAGGGATTGGGCCCCTCGACCCCTGATGCATATACATTATTTTCCTTCCGTTCTTGAGTTCATGATACTCGCGCTTTGTGATCCACTGTACATGTATCCTTTACTACGGGGTTGCGCTTGGGCTTTCCGGCACAACAGTTATCAGGGTTGTTGGCACGACGGTGGTAGCGACGTTTTCCTCGAGCTCGTCTGTCTCTGGATCCTCGGATGTCGGGTTGGCGCCGGCCTCATCGGTGGCTGTAGCGACGACTGTCTCGACAGGGGTGGAGTCCGGCGCAGCGGTCTTGGTTTCGGCAGCGCTTTGAAGCAAGCTAAGGATGCTGTGGTAGGCTGGTTTCTTCTGCAAGTTTCTATCGTAGAGGCAAGCGTCTCCTTCTCCAGGAAACTCGTTGGGGATCCAGGAGTACTACAAAGGAGGAGGAGAATAGGCAGATTAGCTGGCGAGCTTCGGAGAAAGCAGGCAAAGGTGAGGCTGCAGAGAAAACGGAACCCTTATCGGGGCGATGAGGCCATACCTGGTCAGTAAAGTCCCAGACCGAAATTCCCACGCACTTCTCCGTCTCGAGGCAGGCGGCGACAACCTCCATGTAGTCGAGGGCCTGCTGCTCTCTGTCGGCATCGGTGACGGGCATCTTTGTGTGGCGGATGTCCACCTCGGTGTAAGCTAGCTCATCGACAACCTCGGAGAAGAAAGCCATGGTGTCCATGAGCTCCTTTTTGCTCTGGGCGTTGCCGACGCGGGCGTGGTCTTGCATGCCGATACCGTCGATGCGTGCACCGGCTTCCTTGGCGCGCTTTACGAGGGCGTGAGCGGCGCGGATTTTATCGTTGATGTATCGCTCGATGTTGAAGTCGTTGTAGTACAGCTTCACAGACGGCTCGACTTCCTCGGCAACCTTGAAAGAGAAGGCAATGAAGTCTTCACCCATGGCTCGGAACACTGCAAAGCCCCCGGGGAGGAGTTAGTGGATGGCTAGACCATTGGGCGCCTTGAGCAACTACGGTGCTCTGAAGGACGGGAGATGGGAGGCTGGAAGGGGGCGTACTCGGGCTTTGGCGAAATTTGCCATCATCTTCAAGAGCCTCGTTAACAACATCCCTGAATTTCGAGTCAGAATCGCAGGCGAGAATTGGCGAGAATGAGCGTGTTATGCCTCACCAGGAGTAGCATTGGCCTTTGTAATGGTTCATGACGTTGGTGATGTGGCTGCGAATGACAGCCTCCATGTCCGATTTGCTGTACACGCTGTTAACTGTGGGCATGATAAGTTATACGTTAGCATGGCGACGAAGAAAGAAAAAAACTATAAGTAGCGAGGGACGTGAAGGGTCCCTACTCACCCCAGCCAGGCAATTGATTATGCCATACCAGAGTATGGCACCTCATGCTTCTCCCAGCGCCCACGATGCCGGCAATGGCATCTCCCATGCCGTAGTTGAAGCCTCCCCGGCTACCTTCCGTATTAGCCCACTTCTGTCCGTTAGCCGGCGTGATGAGGCCAAACTCGTCCGGATCGCGCGCGATGGCCATGTATGCCGCGTTGCCAAGCGCCGCATTGTCAACGGCTGTGCCAAAGTATTGGAGACCGGCGGCTACGGCATACTTGTGGAGCTGCGCGTCCACGCTCGCGAGGAGCAAGGCCGAGGCGAGGATGTTCTTCGCGTGCATCATGAACTTGGCAACCCTGTTTTTTTCCTTCTTCTTTTCCCTCTCCTTTCCCTGCCAACTGGGACGCTGTACTACCTGGCGGGTTGCGCGAAACGTAGACGGTGTTAGTGGGAATGATGGAGAACAAGGCGAAAATACGGAGCGCCGCGATAGAGGGAGAAGGAGGAGGGAGCGTGAGTATATAAGAAGTGGGAGGACGGCCTTGATATAATGAAGCCACAAATAACCCTGAGGAAACGAGTGTAAGAATATCTATTATATATATCTATATGTATATTCATCTCCACATGTGGATGATTTCTAGATGCGGGATATGGGCGGCTGTATGCGCGTTCCCCTGGGGTATAAAGTACTGGTTGCTACCCTCTCCATATAGTCATATAGTACCTCGAATATTCCTGGATCCGTTGTGGATATAATAGATTGATCCATAGATCATACTCAGTACCATGATGTGGAAGCAGGCGCTGGGTGTGCGCCGGCATTAAGCGACACGAGAGATCCATTCCCCGGCTTAGATATACAAGACTTTGGAGTTTCTAAGTATTCATGTGTATATTGTAGTATATTTGATAACTAGAATTAAAGAAAAGAAGAAAAAGGGCTAATAGGTGTAAAAGGAGTTAAGGTTGGACCAGGAGTGTTGGGGATTTCGCCCTTGTGAAAGGACTACATCTAGTATTATGGATTTTTTACTTCTAGGAATTCTAGGTGACAAAGACAATCTTCCCCTCCCCTTTGTATGTGAAAAAAATTGAGAGAGTGAAGAGAAGAGAAAGCCCAAGCATTTCCCCATTTATTTACACTTATAGGCAGAAAGGGAAGTGGGGTGGAATAGGCTACATGTAGGTTCTAGGGACGAGGCAAACACTGTAGGAACCTGCAGCTGAATTGATTGAGGTCTCTCATTTCAATGTTCTGTGAGGGTGTGAATGGCGTGTTAAGCCGGAGAACCAAGGTGAAGAAATAGTGAGTTCCATTATTAGGCTGAATTCGGGAGGCTGCTTTGGAGCTATCACTAGTAGTATATCTTGGCCTTTTCGTGGGCAAGCCATTTTGTTTAGCTACAATGGAGAAAAAGGCCAATTGAGCTTAAAATAATGGATCTATATATTTGATCGGTTCCCTTACACGATGGTTGCCCGCTTCCAGGTTGGTGAGGCAGAATAGAGCCACTTTTACTATATTTTCAGGAATAGGTGAAGTCACGCAGGCCGAAAGCGAGAACACAACATGCCACTGTAGCGACCGCAAGAAAATAAGCAAGGGTAGGTCAAGAGCTAGTATGGGTTGAAGAAGGGGGTAAGCCTCTTGCTTTTCTTTTTATACAAAAGCTGGCAGTCAAGGGACGGCCCAGACCAGAATATGTACACGGAATCTGTAACCTCTCTCGATCTCTTATACGTTCTCATCACCGTCCAACCTTCGTTGGTCATCGCAATCCCCATCAACCACACGGTGGGCTAATATTTCCACCCCACGACCTGGCCAGCAGCTACTCGGCTGAACGAGCGGGCCATTTTCGGACTGTTCCTAGAAACCCTCTAGCACTCATCATCACCGGGGGCGGAGGAGGTGCTGGTCGGGGACGGGTGGTGGTGGTGGTCGTCGAAGGGGAGCGGTGGTGCTGCTCGACTTGGGAGGAGCAGTGGTGCTGGTCTTGAGGGTGGTGGAGGAGGGGGCGTTGGGGTCGTTGCCTGAGTGCTTGTGTTAGTCTGAAGCTCGGGGATCTCTGCCTTGCTCCGAGATTCGGGATCCTCGCGGCGGGTGGCTGGCGACGGATCGCTTGCGGGAGACGGGAGGAGACCAAGGACAAAAACTCACCAGGAATGCACTGGAAGTACCAGTCATTGTAGTGGATGCAGTAGGAGCCAGCAGCACAGGTGGTAGGACCAGTCCAGTTGATGCCACCGCACTGTCCCCAGACGGCCTGCTGAGCGGAGGCCAGGCCGGCGAGGACCATGGCGCCGACGATGGAAGCCTTGACCATTTTGATTGAAGAGCGGGAAGTACGGCTACGATAAGGAGCGGATATGGACGGCGAAAAGAAGGGTCTACCGAGTTGGAACGGGTGATTGAATCGTTTGATCGAACCGAAGGGGACGAGGACGAGAATGCGAGGAAGGAGAGGGATCGAGATGGAGATATATACATCCATCCATTCTGATGGTGAAGAGATGGCAGCGGCGTACTTCCCGGCCACGCCCGTGGCCTCTCGCTGCCGATACTACCTCTCTGCTACACTGCTCGCCTCTCCCTCTTCCCTTTCCAATTCCAATCCCCCACATCCGCGGCAACGGCCCTCTTGGAAGCCCTCCGCTGCGTCATTGGAACCGAACCTTTCAAATTTCGCCGTTGCAACCGGAGGCACAAACTGCACACTGCCAAATCCGACCTCGCTCCGCCCATGCTTGCCCCGGCGTTAGTCCTAAAGGAGGCCATCGTCTGGTCTTTCATAGCAACATCGATCCGCCTGGGCATGCGAGGAAAGGAACATGGTCCCGGCCACGCGGCGATGGTTTCCGTCCTGCCAGATCTGGGATCTGGGTTCGTGTGTATTTCTCTGGGGCTTGCTTGGGGGTGCCGGGGGATTCAAAAAACGAGTGAGGGAGAACAGAAGCTATAGGACCGCCAAGGTGGAGAAAAAGAGCAAGAGGTTGCAGTGGGCACTGGGGCAGCCAACGGAAGATTGCAACCCGCAGACGGTGGCGGCGGAAGGAATTCCTGCTCCCCTCGTCTTAGCTTAAAGAGGAGAGGATGCGATGCGATGCGATGCGCTGCGTTGTGGACTGGCCTGGGCTGTGGGAGGCATCGAATGTATTTCCGTCCACACAAGAGGTGAGAATGCGGCCCCGCCCGTGGCCGCTCAATGTTGGAAAATTACCCTCCGACCTCCACTTCCTGAAGCGGCTCGGTGGGAACGGCTCCTTGTTGTCGAGCAGCAACACGCGTGGGCCATTAATTTTCCACTGCCGCCCTCTCTCCCCTTGGCCTCTTGTCTCTTTGCTCTTATCTTTTCCTTCTCTCTAACTTCTGTATTCAAGGTTGTTTTTCTCTTTTACTCCCCTTTGGACAACATGAATCTTCCGACGTGGGTATAATAATAAAATTAGCCAAGGTATACCTCAGTAGAAAGGTGGAAGAGCCTCATAATTGAATGTGGCAGACCTTCGATCAACTGGATGTACGAGTCTCTTTTCTTCGGTGCTGGGTCCTGGTCAGGAGAGATGAGCACAGCTTGATTGATCCATTGGGTGGATGCACTGGGGATTACATGTAGAATTAGAAGGGGTTCACCCTCCCCACTTTGAAGCATCCATACACTCGCAACTCTCGTTTCACGGGAGGAAGAAAAGGGATCGGGTTTGCGCTAACCAACGAGAGAATGTCGGGCGTCTTTGGTGGAATCCATACTGCCGCATCGACGGCATCTTCTACCCGCACTTCTTTCCCTCCACGTACTCCCAAGACCCGGGTTCGGCCGTCTCGCCTCGTTCGACGGTGCCCTCCCATTTCTGGTAATTAAGGGTGCGCGGCGACGGATGCAGCCGGATCGGCACCGTTGATCCCCCTCTCCAACGGTATATGAGCCGTCTCGAGAGGGTCCGTCAAAATCCTATTTGACTACACTACAAGACCTCCCGAGCGTGAAAATGACATTAGCACGGCTAGAAATGATGGTGGATTGTGTTCGTGGACCTCCAATCCCATGTTAACATTCTCTGCATTCCTTCCATTCTTCGGGGTCGGCGTGGAATCTTCCGCAGTGGTTGGGATGAGTGAGATCTGGAGGACTGTATCCCCTTGACGCTCTGGCATATATTTTCAAATCTCACTTGTCTCTATTTAGAGGATGACCTCTGATGAATATCATTGTGTTAGGAAAGGAGATGGATGAGATATTAGTAGTTCCAGTAGGGCGAGTATTATTAGCCCCAAGCAGTAGGCAGTGACAACGGCCGAAAAGCACCAATCCAGGAACGGAAACAACCGTTGCTGACTAACCACAACCGGACCTCAAACCCCCACATAGAATTCATGTGATCGGTATCTTCTCGGTAGATTGTTCACACAGCTTTTGTCCTTGGCCATTCACCACCAAGAAATGCCCCATCTCGAGAAACACGTCTAGCATCGTGGCTCGTCGTCTTACACCCCTGTCAGTGCTGCTGAGACGGCCCACGCCTCCACGTTCCCGACTTCCTCCCACCCGATCACAAGATCCCCTTCTTGACACCTCCCACGCGACGGGGCTAACTCTATGCAACCGAGCGCCGACCCATCTTTGTTCTTCGCTCATCATGGTTAGCGGCAAGGCCACCGAGGCCGCTGTCACGCCCGTTGATGCCCTTTCCACACCACCTGTCACTAAGCCTACCGGCGATGATGACACACAACCGCCCCGGAGAAGCCTTCCGAACAACGGCGGCGCACTTATATAATACTCTCATTCTGGGCGCTGGTGCTATTACTGGGTCTTCCGATATGGTGGAAGACGACGAGTATCTACCGGGCTGAGCTACCCCTAACTGACATGCTAAGCTGGGCCGATGGCAAGGTGAGATACAACCGCTCCCCTCTCGCACCTAGAAATAGTTGTTTAGGCTTCCTTCAAATCTTGAGTTTTTCTCTCGCTGACCGGTAGCGTAATCGAATGAAGGCCTGTAAACCCGTCTTCCCCCTCCAAGTCACACTGCAAGCGGATTCATTACAGGAACAAGAGGCCCAGACTCTCCTTCGACAGACTCAGCATGCTCTTGATGACCTCAACGACTTCACCGCCCACCATCTCCGCCTCCAACTCGCCTCGAAGTCCGCAAAGGAAACGCCCGATGCCGATGCCGAGTCTCAGTCCGCCGTTACCATCCGACTCGCCCCTAGCGGCTCCGCCATGTCCTCTTCTCTCGACCCTACCCGACCCATCCTCGATATCACGTACCCCCAACTCCGTTCCTTCTCACAGCTCTTCTTCTACTCCCGGCGCCCTAGCCTCATACATCGCTACCGAACTACGCTCCACCTTTGCTGAGGAGCAAGCTGTCTTGTCCTATCTCCTCTCCTCGTCGTCCTCCCATGCCTCCGAGCCGCGAAGCACCGCGCTGAGCCCCGAGCTCCTAGGCACGCTCGAGAAACGCACAACCCGCTCCCTAAAGTATTCCCACACGTATCATCTCACCTTTTCTCTCTTCACCGCCGGAGCCTCGCCCAGCACCTGGGACATTGATGGCGCGCTGAATGACTACATACGACCCGTTCTAGAAGTTTTGAGCCCGATCCACAACTTCACCATTGATACCCAGGTCCAGCTTTACGCCACCCCCGGCGTCCAGTCCGAGGTCCTCTCTAAAGATGACTTGGTTTCTTTCATCAACGCCGCTGAATGGCCGCTTTCCCCTCTATTGGCGGTGCTCCAACTGTCAACTTCATCATCTATATTGGCAACCAGACTGTCCGCCTTGACCCAGGCACCGAAGCCACTTCGCAGTCCTGGCTCGTCCCCCAATGGGGCTCCGTTTATCTTCTCCCTCTTGTGTCGACGACGGCGCACATCGACGCCCCCGCTTTGAAGCAACCCCTCCTCACCTTCTCCTCTCATCTCCTCTCGCTCCTCGGCACCCCCGAGTCCGGCTCTCTTCCGCTCCGCCTCTCTACCTTGAGCCGTATCCGCTCTGCCGACCTTCTTCTCCGCGCCTCCTCCACCCTGGGTTCCCTTGCTCGCCTCTCGCTCGCCCTCCCTTCTATATCTATTCCCCGTAGTGTCGCGGATGGCGTGTCCAAGTCCCTCAACCACCTTGAACTGGCATGCTCAAACCTTGCCGCCCCTACCGCCCTCAAGCATGCTCGTACTGCCGAGTCTGAGGCCGAGCGCGCTTTCTTCGAAAAGAGCATGGTTGGTCAACTTTACTTTCCCGACGAACACAAGGTTGCCGTCTACCTGCCCCTCCTTGGCCCCGTCGGTGTGCCTCTCGTCATGGGCCTCCTTGCCGAACTCAAGCAGTGGATCAAGAGACGAAAGCAAAAGGCCGAAGACGCCAAGAGGAAGGATGAGTAGGATATGCTACGGCACTGTTTCCTTTCTTTCCCTTGTCATTGGCTCTCCGCGCTTCCTGCCCACCTTTCAGTGTTTCCTAGTCTTGTCGATACCTAGAAGAGAGAGACTGATGATATAAACGAGGACAAACATGGGGAAAACGTTTGACGCATCTATATGTGGAATACCTCTTGTACTCCACGTTTCGCCTTTCTTTTTATGCTTGCCCTATCTCTTTCTATATTGTCTGTCAAAAGGCGTGTACTATAGATTTCATCGTACAAAAAAAAAAAGAAAAAAGTTCAAATGCACCATTTATGGTTAAATGGTAGTGCCCGCCATCTCAAGTCTGAATCCAGCAAAACAAAGTTGAACACCCAGACATCAAGACTGGAATTTCAGGATATGTTACTGGGAGAGTAGGGAAGAGGCAAACTCTAACACGACATATATATATACCCCTTTTGGTGGGAAGATGGGGGTGACGAGCGCTTCGAAATGTGAGCGTGCCTTGTCAAGGATTCTGCGAGAGAGCAGGAGAAGAATGGCCAGGCCGAAGCTGTTCAAAATGACCACAAGGCCCAAACTTAGATGATCGATCAGAAGAAGAAGAAAAACGAGGCTACATACATAACATTGAATCATCTTTCATTTCCCATCCCTCCCGCATCCACACAGGAACAGGATACACAGAAAAGCGTTCTCATCATACAAGTGTTTGCTAGCCCTCCCCTTTTTATTTTTATATTTTTGAAAAAGACGAAAGGAAAAGACCCCCTTTCGTCGTCCTTGTCTCCTACTACCCATGTTCAAGAGTGCCAAGTCCCCAATCCAATAGGGAAAGGAAAAATAGAAAGAAAAAAAACTAGGTATGCCTCGTTGTATCCCCTACCCTAGCACAATGAATGAGGCGCGCCAGAATAGAACCAGCCTCCTCTCTTCCCCTTGGGAACATTCGTTTCCCCGTTTCTCTTTCACTCGGGGGTTTTTCTTCTTAGGAGCCCGCAATACCCAGACCGACCCTCGCCTGGCCTTGAGGATTGTAGCCTTGGCTGGTCACGCTGGCATTGGTGCCCGTCCGTTCCTCATTCGGCGGCCTTCCATAAGGCCACGGAGGCCCTCTTCTGCAGACCGATGACGGAGCTGAGCTCACCGCTCCAAATTTCGCGTGGGCCTGCGCCTCCAGCACCGGCGCCCCGTTCCGAATCCCCAATCTCGGACGACCATTCTGAACCCGAGACACTCGTTGCCGCGCTCATATCCTCGCTGGCTGGCCGGCCACTTGACTGGGTGCTGGCGACGCTAGGCACAGAGGTATTGATGCGAAGTGTCGCGGTGCGGGAGGCAAGATTTTGACCCGCGCTATCGCTAGCGCCCGAAATGCTGCTGCCAGCCCCGCTTTGCCCCAGCTGAGACATGTCGGCCGTGACAGGGGTGACGGGGGATGTTAATGTGGGATCGGTAGAGGGAACGAAGAAGTTGGGATTTAGGGATCCGTCGATACCACGGCCACCACCTGCAGCCATGGCTGTCGCATTGAAGACCGCGGCGGCATTGCGCGAATCAAGGAGGGCGTGGAGTCTCTCGACGACGGCCTCGAGGAGGCCGTCAATGCGATAGGGACGAGCAATTTGTAAGAGGGAGCACAGGATCTGCGGGGTGCAGAGCTGCGAGGAAGGTGGCGCGAGCGAAGATGTGTATAAGAAGTGGATGAGAGCCTGCACTGTGAGATAGGTGTGGGGTAGGTAGAGGCACCTTGGTCGGGAGTTGGGCGGGAGGGTTCTCGGGGTCGGCGCCGTGTTGATGGTGGCCATGGTTACGGGGTCCACCGTACCGGGAGATAGGACGCCACCCGAGAGGCTGGTTGCCGCCGTGCTTGGAGGCTTAGTTGATGACGTGGCCGACACGAGAGTGCTGGCCATGGAGAGAGTACTACCAACCGTGTTGCGGTCTGGTCCGGCGGCGACGATGCTTGAACTCCGGATGGGATTGGTAAGACCGGAACGGAGAGTCGCGGCATCGCTTCCGTCCTGGGTGGCGGTTCCTTCACGAAGGAGCTGTACAAAGTACGGGCCCCAGCGGCGCGCAATGATCCTCGAGTTCACGGGGATCCGTTCGCCTGTGATGCACAGTATATCCATATCCGCTAGCTCGCGCATGCCGAGGGCCTTCTCGCCCAACTCCTCGGAAGCTCGAGAATGAGATCGCCCCCAGCCGTGGAGCCTGCTTTGCGGGCAACGCTCAGACCAGGGCCCGCATAGGGACTGCTTGCTGAGACGAAACCGGACATTGGCGATGTCTTCCTGGGATTGTCGTAAAACCCGAATGCCTCGAGTTCCACCATACAAACGTTAGAGAAGTTGATCCGCCGATGATTATAGTCGTCAACTAGACTTCGCTTTCGGTTCCCGAGGATCACAAAGGTATTGCGCCGGCTCCAGAGCACTCCTCGGTTCCAACTGCCCTGGCTGAAGACGGAGCCGCCCGCATCGATGCGAGACCACGTGAGCGTCCGCAAGTCCAACGCCCACAGTGCGTACTCTTGCTTGCTCGAGGTGAGGTATGTTCCACTGACAACGAAGTGGGTATCGATAACGCCGCCGTTGGGGAAGCGCAGACCGGGAGGCGAGTAGGTACTCGCCATGGCTTTCTCGGACAGGGTGCCGTCGTGGGCGCGGATCTGGAGCTCTAGCTTGACATCGAGAAAGTTGTAGTTGGAGTAGATCAGCATGGACGAGCCCGGTTCCCGAGCCTCCTGGCTGATCCCGCCCTCGGGTCGTTGGGGGCCCGCTGACTGTGTCCTTCCAATTTTGGCCGTCACAGATGGTGGGAGTGGCGCGACGACGCTCCTGTATGCGCCGCAGCTCTTGCCGAGGGACTGAGTAGAGGTCCACTTGAGGCTGCGGAGGTTAAACACACTAATCTGCTCAATGTAGTGGTTGGCGGCATCTTGCCCGCCGACAACAACCATTTCCGCGCCCCCAGTGCCGTCGATAGACACGCCTAGGCGGCCCTCATTCGGGTTCCCGGAAGAAGGGTTATGGTGAAGGGCGGAAAGGGGCGCCTTGCTCGACGAAAATACGGCGGAGGAGGGCAAGACACAGGCGCAGTGGGCGTATCGGCCTTCCGGCGCGTCAGGGGTATCAATTGATACCCACTTGCGCGAGGGCACATCGTAGATATAAATGTCCGACATGACTGTCATCTCTGGTTGCTGGTCATTTACCGACGGGCTCGATGGGTTCGTCGCAGGCGACATGCCGCCATAGCAAACGAGTTTGGTATCCCCCAAGGCGCACATGGAGTGAAAGTAGCGGGGTGGCGGAACATCACCCGAGGTTTCAAGCTTGGTCCAGTGGCGGCGGATGAGATCGAGCTCGTAAAGGTCAGAGGTTAAAGGTGCAGGGCGGCTCCTCGATAATATTCTGCCTCCAAAGACGTACAGTTTGTCGCCCAGAACGGTGGTTGTTGCCCCGACTAGCGCGTGAGGCTCACGGCCGGTGGTGCGGTGAACGTTGCACATTAAACCTGAGAGGTGAGCTGAGGATGCTGAGGGAGGAAGGCTGGCTGTGGCGGGGGTGCGAGGTTGTTGATTCACCGAGGGCGAGGGCCCGGCGGACATGGGCCCGTTGCTCCTCGGGGTTAGGTTATCCTTGGAGTCAGTAGACCCTCCCGCGCCGCCGACATGCCGAGGGGTCTCGCCTATCGAAGGCAGACTGCCTTGGCTGCTCGTCATATCATAGCCATCTTGGCCTGCGCCGCCTGTTCCGTACATGGCGGAACCGGGAGAGGCATTCGGATCCATCGCGCTGGAGAGACCGTTCTTCGCGGATGACGAAGGGAATGAGGCTGCTGCGGACGCAACAAAATCGTCTTCGTTTCCACCGTCGTTTTCACCGTCGTCGTCGCCGTCGTTGTCGTCGTTGTCGTCGGCAAAGGGACTATCGATGATGGCGTCAAGGGGTGCTCGAATCGGGGCCGTGTGCGGGGAATTGGAGTGAGCAGGGGCTCGCCGTCTGGGTCGATCGAATCGTCCGGCGGGGGTTTAGGAGGCAGAGGCTTGGCGAGGCTATCCTGTAAGCTCAGGCTGCGACCATGCTGCACGAGGCGGGGTCGAGAGTTTGTGAGGGGAGGATTGGCGGTCGAAGACACGAGGGGCGAATTGGCTCGAGGGGGCTGGAAGGTGGTGGAATTGAGAGAGGAAAAGGGGCTAGAGGAAAAAGCGTTGCGACTTAGGAAGGAGGGCTGTCGCCGAAGGGCGGACGGGTCGTCGCGATTGTTGCTGCTACTAGGAGCAAATTTTTGATTCCTCGATAGACACCGGAAAGAATGTCGGATGGCGACTTGACGGCAGCTGGGATTGAAGCAGAGGAGGCGGTTGCAGCGTTGGAGCGATCATCAGTTTCGGAATCGGAAAAATAAGAGGGGCCGCTGCGTTCTGTTCCTGGGGTTCCAAGTGGAGGTGGCTGCCATTGTGCTTGCGTCTGCGGTGGTGTGGGCGAAAGAATGGGTGTCTGGGCGCCGCTGCTCTGAGGTAGAGACCCTAGAATGGGGGTGCCTGTTGGGGTTGACATGGTGGCGCGACGTCTCTGTGCTGGTGTGTTTGCCAGTTGAGCGCTATTGGGGAACCAGAGGCGGGTGAGTTAGCACTGGCGGCTCAGCACCACGCAACCAGTCAAAAATCGTCGTCCACTTGTCGAGGGAGGGCAGCGAGCTCCTGCCTGAACCGGGACAGTGATTCACCGGAAAGGGTCAGGCCCAATCGCTCTCAACCCTTCCCCCTCCTCTTGACTCGCGGGAAATGTGGTTGCGGGAATGGATCGAGTTCCCAAGCCTTTCATCAAATCGGGGGTTTTTTCCCTCCTGCACTTTTCTTCCTTTGCTAACCCTCTTTCCCAACGCCAATCCTAGCTGGGGTCTTGGCTGCGTACACGCAATGGCCAGAAGCGGGAGAAGAAAAAAAAAGAAGAGAAAAGAGGAGGACTTGAGAAAGAGAGACGAGGGCGTCGGAAGCCTAGCTCTCTTCCTCCCTAGTGGGACTCTGTGATAGGCAAAATAGGGAACAATACTGCCGCCAATCCGGAAAGAAAGCAAGACTCCCTTTCGGGGTGCCACTTTCTTGAGAATCGAGGACCGGAGATCTGCGCTCTGCCAACCAAAAAACGCTTGGCCAAAAGAATTTTCCGGTCTCTAGCTTTCGACGGGAGCTTCGATTTTGACTGGGTATATTCTACCAAGATGAGAGGAGGAAGGTGAAAAGAGGAAAAAAGAAAGGAAAAGGAAAGGAAAAAAATTGCCCCCAGGCACAGGGAGGGTAGCAAGCAGGAGAAAGGAGCTGGAGGGAGTGAGAGAGATGGCGGACCCTGACTAAAAGAAAGCTGGAATCGTCATAGGGGAGGGTCGACCACGGCGTGGAAACGGGAGGAACATTGAAGAGAAGGGATCAGGTGGCGGGTCAGTGCATGTGGGGTGCGAAGGCGACCAAATATGAGTGGGAATGTATTCTATTCAATACCGAGGAGCGTCAACATAGTTCAAGGGAAGCCAGGACGGTGAGATCATGTAGGTTTAGACTGACCGGGAGTGTGGGTGTTGACCCGTCTTCGTGGACCCTGGTGGACTCAGTGCTGGTCAAAGGTACCAGACGTCGCATCGTCCTTGACAAAGGTCAATCCGCGTCAATTGGGATCTATGGATCCATTGGATGTAAGTGGGGATTAGAAGCGCAAATAACCACAGGCGGCTCCCAAGAAAATTACCCGTCAGCGAAGGACGGGGATCAACACCAGGCAGCATTACACTAGACACCCCATCAATGGCCTCAACAGTAAGAATTCAGGCCGAGCCCAGGGTTGTCGTCAGGCGTCTTTCCACAGCTCCACACCACAACGGGGTAATCTAGCTGGGACAAACGCGGATGGGGTATTCATCCTGGCCACCGGCGCCTGAGGGCATGGCTCGAAAACAGGGAATATCGGACAGCGCTGGCACATATGTAGTATGCTGTACGAATCTCAGGGTCAGGGAGAACAGGGGCAGCATAGTGTAGTGTACCTCTCGATGGCGGCTCCCGATGTTGGGGCCCGCGGACCAGGGGCGGCACCCGGGCTGAACAAGATTGGGACGAGCATGGATGTGAGCAAGAAGACTGTGTGGTCAGCCATGAGGCACCCTGGCGGCGGGGGCACGGAAAACGTACCTCAAACGACGCTAGAACAAGGAAATGGACGAGGCACGTCGCCGAAAAGCACAAATGCATCGATTGGCACTATTAGTTCGGGAAACGTGGCTTCCAAGCACAACCAAGGAAAATAAAAACTGAAAGGGAAATTCGGAGAGGAACAGGGGTGCTTCTAGAAGGCTTCCGCATTGCCCAAACGACAGCCTTGACAATCATGTTCCCGATTTTCCCCATTGTGGACTATTCATACGAACTCGACTAAGCTCTCAGGCCCAATGTTCCATCGACGCCTCAGGTTTAGATCGGAACGCAGGGCTTCTCGAACGTCAAAACCTCGTGATCCTAGGGCGGGGTTTTTATTTTATTTTCGGGGGTTTCTTCTTCTTCAATACGGTACATGTACCGAGATATTCGTTGGTCGCGGTATTGAGGGAAGGGGCCCCGCGGCCACCATAGCGGCACACAGCAGCACATCTACAAGTATGCCCTCCGACAAGCTAGAGAATACTCAATGGATGGCGCCGGTGCCGCATCAGCCTGGCGTTTTCTCCATGTAGCCGAGCCAAGCATTCCCTCTGCTTGGCCCTTTGTCTCGCCATTTACGGGCCATCTTCCCTGCCTCCTTGCTTGATCTCAACGGAATGAGGGGAGACAACCAATACAAGAGGCATCAATGGACCCAAGGTTCATGCTCGATACAAGGATTCGCTTGGTCAGAGTTCGCCTCATACAATTTCAGCCCCGTTGATCGTATGCTCGTTCCCCCTCCTCCCCTACCAGGAGAGGGGCCGTCGAGGTCTGCACCATCCGCCCATGAGCACCGAGAGCTGGAGGCCGGAGGCGCTGGCGCTCGCGCACGCACAGAGGGCTGGTGCGCCCGTTTTCTGAGGTGCCGCATCCTCCCCAAAGTACATCTCGCTCCATCCCGACAGGAATCAAGACAGGAATGCGGTGGCACTACAGGTATACAATTTGGCTTCGCCTGAGCTTTGCACCCAGCTTTGTGCAGGGAAGATTTTCGATTGCCCGTGGACCAACAAATTCACTGGTGAGACCAATAATGTGGGAACTGTGGACGACGCACAGACTTCGTCGTCACGTTAAGGCGGATCGGGGGTGTCTGAGAGTCGAAGGGAGGGAATCATTGGCGTTCCTTCCTCCCTATCAGACGATGTGCGGATTATCGCTCCCATTTTAGTAGCGCTTTCGGACGCAGAGAGGAAGCCACGTTGTGCGCCTTTCCGCTTGGTTTGGCTCTTCCGCTCACCAGGAAGGCTCATCGGAAATCCAATGTCAAGTTCCCCCTCCTTTCTTCCAGTCGAGATGGCCAAATCCCCCAGGCTCGGGGAAGAGAGGAGGAGGAAAATACCACTAGATGAAGCAACATAAGCCCATGCCTCCGGCAGAATGCATGATTAGGGAATACCCCTCACATCAAGACATGTTAGTAGAAGGCAGCCAAGGGAGTCCCAAGTAGATAATGGGCTTCTCGCTTGACAGAGCCTGTTCTGTGACCAACTTGTTGCCCGGGCATCTCACATGGCTCGATCTCGATTGCGGGGAGAAAGGGCTGAGACACGAACTCTCGCCATCTTAGGGAAATAGGCCAGCCTTTCACGGCGTGGTTGTCAGCCCGAGTGCTGAGAAGCGTTTCGAGTGACTCGAACTGGTCCTATCCTATAGACGGAGACCACTTGGATTTAACGCACCATCAAGTTCAATGTCACAGGTAGCAAAGTCTGACCACGTCCGCCAAGCTTAGAGTTCGCACCTGGTCACCCCACTCATTCGAGTTCACATCTCATAAGTGCATTGCAGCTGCTCCTTGACGATGCAACGAAAGGGGGCGCCCCTCTTCCTCTTTCTTCAACTTCTTCCCCCGTTCTCTCATCCCCTCAAGACGAAGAGACCTCGGTGCTTTTGTTATCCCACTCCATCCCGCGCTCCCGCTATCAACATGTTCAATTTGAGTATGGATATATAACGGAGTCTAGAAACATAGTATGTTTTGTTTATACATGGAGGACTGCCGAGGTGGCAATCTGAATACCCTCAAATTTAAACCGTCGTGGAGCCACTAGACATACATAGCTGCATTGGTACTTGTATAGATAAATCCCCTTGAGTTTGCCTCAAACATGTTTGGTCCTTCGCCCTCATCTCGAGCCATCGTCACCACCTCAAATGCTACATGGAGATTAAATCCGCTATAGGGCTTCCTTGCAATAGTAATTTGACGACGATTTGGTGCGACAGGGGGCGGGGCTCTCCGATGTTTCCGACAGTTTTCCAACCCGAGCAAAAGGATTGCGATCCGCGAGCATGCACTTCGGGTGCAAGGTGAAAAGAGAATGGATCGTCAAGCTCGGCACCATCCCAGGGGCCAACTTGAAATCTCCACTTGTCAATAGCATTCACTTGAAATCAATCTGTTTCCTGGACTCAGCGTCGTTAGCAGAACGGTGTCCGTTGCATCCCCCGGCCCTCCTTGTCCTACGCATTCCTACACTATTACATGTAGCTCAAAGGGGAGAGACGAGCTTTCAACTGAAACGTGGTATTGGTGGTCGATAACTGATTTTCTCCCTCCTTAACACGAGCCTCTCGACGAACCCAGCAACCACCTTGACAGGCACATTCCGCTCCATTGGGTTCCCACCCGTCCTGACTGTGTGCTCCACCCCAATCCGAACCAACAAATCAAAGAGGTGTAACATCATTCAGAGGATTGGTTCGGTGTCACGAAAAAGAAAGGTAGGCTTGGTAGGTTAAGTTTATTATTATTGCGTCGTACCAATATGGCTGGCCACCAGAGTCACATTTGCGCTGCTAGTCACTGAACCAGCATGAGGGCAATGGACTTGACAGGTCCTTTTCTCGGATTGAGCCTGCGTCTTGCCGAGGGTTGCTTCCAAGATGTTAGAATGAGAGAAGAAAGGCGCGCGCGGGGACATAATAAAGGGATTAACGCTTCCTTCAACCGACAAACTCAGGAACTCTGTCATTGTTGTTGAGGCGAGACCATGATGCGATCAGGATATGGGGATAGAGAGTGCTTTTACTGAGTCTCGTTCTTGGAATGATAGCGAAGCAAGCCCAGAAGCAAACTTACATTACTAGCATACTACTAGCACAACGCACCCTCGGAGCGTATCACAAGTTCCGCAGGGCCCAGTTGGTTTAATAGCCTATCCGGGGCACCCGCTTCGCCTTAGCCCTCGACCTGTTCCCGGCCCTTTCAGCCCCAGATAACGGCGGCAATCCATTGTTGTATCTCGTAGACTAGTCAGCCGGCCGGAGTTGGCTCGGCCAACATATCGTCGACCTATACTACACAAGACGTTCGCAGCGTCTACCCTGGCTTTGTATGAATTTGCTTGCGGGAATCGTTTTCATCGGCGTACAAATCGTCGGCCAAAAGCACTGCGGTTACCGGCGCAGGAATGCGGAAACAAGACGTAGGACTCTCAGGTCTAAAGAAGACTCGATCCCCAAATGTATGTCCGCCGGGGCGGGTGGGGCATGCCTGATGATACCCCTTCTTCCTATCGCCAATTTTGTCTTCCCTCACATCACCAGGTGATCGAGGCAAGTGCGGCGTAGAGCAGAAAGTGAAGTGCTCATGGGCAGTCACTTCGATCCCTAGCTCGTACCTACCTTCACTTGGTCTCTGCAAACCGGAAACACAACAAGGCCCATTAGCGCTTTTGAGAAACTCGGAAGATGTGTATATTATGTTCATTCATTTCTTCAATTCATTGACGGCCCTAGATAGACATAGCTAGGACTATTGATATCAAACATAAAGCAGGAGGAGGATGGATTAGGCGTTTTCCCACTCTCATCCTCACTTAGCCGTTACCATTACACCTTGGAAATCATACCCCAGTACCTCATCCCCAACAGTATTCTCGACGCTAACAACACGAGATATACCGTTTACTGCTGACCAGTGACCTTCTCCTTGGGGAGAGGGGTGAATCGGAGGTAAGGCTTGACGATGCGGAAGTCGGGGAAGAGTTCCTTGGCCTGGTCGTTGTTGACGGAGGGGTGAACGATGACATCATCGCCGGGAACCCAGTTGATGGGGGTGGTGATCTTGTACTTGTCACCGGTCTGGAGAGAGTCGACGATGCGGAGAACCTCAGCCGCGTTACGGCCGGTGGAGGCGGGGTAGGCGAGGATGGTGCGGATGGTCTTCTTGGGGTCGATGACGAAGACGGATCGGATGGTGAAGGCAATGCCCTTGGAGTCGACGTTGGTGGTGTCTTGGAAATCAAGCCTGTTACAATGTTAGAGACGCGGTTCCATCCTAGATAAAGAGAAAAGCGTAGCCTCTTTTCCTGACTCCTTTTCTTTTCCTGCCTGTATTGTCCTGAGCCTAAGGGCGAAGCCTTCGCGAGAAAGCTCAAAAGAGCGCGCTTGCGTCTCGACCTTGCATGTATGCTAATGGAGACTTTTGGGGGAGGGAGCGGCGTTCAGGGTAGAATGACTTACATGTCATAGAGGAAGGCAACCTTGCGCTCCTTGTCGGCGATGATGGGGAACTTGACGTCACCACCGGTAACCTCGGCGATGTCCTTGATCCAGCCGTTGTGGCTGTCGACGGTGTTGGCGGAGAGGCCGATGAGCTTGACACCACGCTTGGTGAACTCGGGCTCAAGCTTGGCGAAGGCACCGAGCTCAGTCGTGCAGACGGGAGTGTAGTCCTCGGGGTGAGAGAAAAAGACGACCCAGTTGTCACCGACAAACTCATGGAAGTCGATGGGGCCGGCAGAGGTGTCAGCCTTGAAGTTGGGGGCAACAGTGCCGAGGCGGAGGCTGTCACGTCACACGCGTTATTTTCATGCTCTGGCCCCTTGCGAGGATGCGATGAGAGGTGGGGGTGGAGAGCTCTGGGCTCGACGAGGGAGGCAGTCACTTACGGTTCAGCGCGAGGCTCGGCCATTGTGTTGGTGTATTGGGGGAGTTTGGGAGAGTGAGGTGGTAGGGTATCAAAAGAGAAAAGGTATCACGATCACGGTGGTTATGCGTGGTATGGGAAGGAGAGGAAGAGAACCAGAGAGACGAGAAGTGGGGGAGAGGGGTAGGAGAGATATATGTACTGTTGAAGCTCCTCGGAAAGCTGCTTCGAATAGACTTGACATTGCTTCCGTGTTACAAATACTGTCCCTGGATGGTCTTTAATCCTCTCATTTTCTCCCCCTTTCCCCCTTCCGAGCCCTTGCCCCCTTTTCCTTCGTAGTTGCACCTGGGGCAACTTTTTTTCTCTTTCACCCTCGAGACAGCAAGAGGCTGCCTCAAAGGTGGGGGAGAGGAGGGGGTGTGGGCGCAGCAAGCACGCATTGCTTCAAGTCAGAAGGAGGGGCAGACCAAACTCCAAAGAGCTTGGCGGGGGTTAAAGAAAAATTGTGTGATCGGGATGAATGGACAATGGCAACGGCCGTCCAACGAGATGTCCTCCGCCGCTCGCTATGGCAGCGAGAAACGGAGAGGCAATGGGGCCCGAGGGGGTTGCTACGAGAGATTGACGAGCTTTTACGAAATCCCGCTGGGCTTGGCCATCTTCCCCCTCTCACACCCCCTCCTTCCCAGCTAGTTGCCTTTTGTTGCTGAGGATCTGTCCTCGAGGAGCCACACTCTAATTCCGCAGGCAGTGGAGGGGCAGAAGGCACGCCCAGAGCTTGGGAGGCGGATGTCCAGTACAGGGAACATTTGAAGGAGAGGACTAAAATTTCTAGCCATGGTTTTGCTTAGGCGAACTCAATGAGAAAAAGGTTCAGTCTTTCTTCGTAAAGGAGGAGTCCAGGTGTAAGCCATTGACTGCAAGAGATCCAAATATGGGATCAGAGGAAAAGAAGTAGGAGTTGCGGTATTCCTGATGGCTCTGCTCGTCTACATCTCGTACCCTCTGATCCTATAAACCCGCCTTGTTGGTTGCTCCTATCAACCAGCTGGTATGGAATCATGTAATAGAAAATGGCAAGTAACGAGGAGGGGTAATAAGAATTGAAAAAGAAAAAAAAAAGAAAAAAGAACGGGATGTGATGAGGAGGGTCGTGCGGCAAAGAGTCGAGAATGTATTGGGTACAGTTTTCTGGGGTTGTGACAAAGGCAAGAGAGACGGCACAGCTCAGGTACAGGTTGCTCTCGAGATACAAGCGGGGTACTTGACGAGGTGCCCCTCCATTACCAATTGATCCATTGCACCAGCCCGGAATGGCATTCCTCCAGAGACTCTCCTTCTCACTCGGGCATTGAAGGATGGGAGAGAAAACTCGTCAAAAGACTTTTCGCCTAGAACAAACGCGCTTCCACGAGGTACTAGTATCAAGGGATCCGTCACCCTGGGAGATGACTGCCACATCACGCCACTCCAACCCAGCGGATCTACAAATGGATCAAGGATCAATGTTATCAAGGGGTTGGGTTCTTGTGGAGGAGCTGGAGGTCTTGGGATTGGTGATGCTTGCCTTGAAGGGCACCTTTGCCGAAGGACATGGTACGCGTTTACGAAGGGGTCGCTGGTGGTTACCTCGCGACACGTAAGTGTGGTAATAGGTCTTTTCCTACTCCTCAAGTGCTCAATAGTCGCAGGCGTCGCGCTCCGTGTCTAGGATCCATCACGGTAGCGGCTTCACCATCGACGTTACAGTGATGTGTACTTTGCGCCTTTCCTTTGTGATCCCGCGCTGGCTCGCGCGCTCTGCATCACAAATCATAATCATCTCAGTGGTTCGGATGACCTTGAGAATCAAGTCATCGATCGATTCGAGTTTTGTCACATCCCCTCGCTCACCACACGCACACCACACACCCGTGCGCCCTGCCACGCACAAACGCTCTGCCCCTCATTGTACAGCGACTGGAGCGGAGACTGAGAGGCGTGGGAAAGGGACGCCACCCAGCAATTGCGTGCTGCGGAACGCTCATGATTGGCTAGGACCGCCCTAGGCGTTAATGATGTCATTTATAGCTTGCTTTTGCACAAGGCCGAAACCGCCGCTCCCACGTTCATTCACCCCTCCATCGCGTCGGCCCTAGCCCAGAGGGGAGAGGAATCCATGGAATCCGCCACTGGCCTGGTGGGGGTCTCTGTCGATAGAATGAGGGCAAAGGCTTTCTTCTGCGCGAACTACTGGAAGGCGTGCTCGCCGTGGTTGGTGGGGTGGGTTTTAGCTGCCACCTGCCCGCTCCCACTAATTGATTACTATTCGAACTTGTTGAGCTGACTCAGGGCAAGGGCACTGGTTATAAGGCGAAGGGAGCACAGGGTCTGAGCCTGCCCGGGAACCCAGCAGGTACAGTTGCCAGTTTGGTCGAGATGCAGGGTCCCCATTGGAAGCAATATTTGGCTTGGGGGAACACGTACATCTTGAGTTGGTCTCGAACCTCCGGCACACGTAGCAGGGGCTTTTTTCGGACTTTCCTCGGAGGCTCAACTCGCAGCGAAAGACAAGCTCGAGAGACACACATATAGCGGTCCACCTCTCTAATCCATGTAATCATCGAGTATCAATTACATCGTACGCCCTAGATATGCGCCCATTCCGACGAACGAATTCTACGGGGAATCAAGCTTGATCGTTTAACATCTTCCATTCTCCATTTAGGACGGAGCTCAAGTGCTGGCTGTGAGGTACCCCGCATGGTCCGCTAGATCATGGGCATTGGCGGGAAGACGCTGCCTCTCTTTTCGCATCACATCGGATGGGCTCACCTTCAACAGGATCAACGGATTCTAACGAACTCAAGTTCCTTCAAGGGCTCTTCTCGCCCATTCTCTGACCGAAATACCGTCGTCTCAGGAACTCTCGCATAACAGTGATTCCAGTCTTCTAAAGAGGCCCCCGGTCCTCTCCTTGGGACACAGCGCGATGGTTTATATAATCTCAACGGCGCCCATCACATGGTCGAAATGGTTTAAAGTGAAAAAAAGACCGATATTCTACGTGATACACGCCACGCTCGCTCTTCAACTTTCTAAATCATCGAATCCCGAGCTGGGGCTTCAGGAAGGCGACGAGCTCATCAATGTAAAGGTATATTTTAGCGCATTCTTCAGTTCTCGTCTACATAGGAAATGCTGCGCCTGTCCCATCTCCTGACAGGTGACTTAAGAGTGAAGCCCGATCAGTCCCACTACGAGCAGACCGGCCCCCCTTTCCCTAGGGGCTTTAGACTGCGTGCTCGGCATGTTCGCCCTTGCTCCTCTTCTCGGCCTCGGATCCGCTGCCGTTTCCTGCGCTGGCCAACTGATTCGTGAGGATGGCGGTGAGACCAATCTCCGAGTTGATCTCCTCCATGCGTTCGAAGTCAGCTTGAGCCGTGCCTTCGGATCCAAAGATGATGTCCATCTCCTCAAGAGTGAGTCGCTTCGTCTCGGGAACGATGAACCAAATAAAGGCAGCGCCTAGTGTAGTCAGGCAGCCAAATAGAATATAGGTGCCGTACGTGATCTTCTGGAGCATGTCCGGCGTTACCTGTCCGACAATGAAGTTGTTCATCCAGTTAGACGAAGCGCCGAGGGACACACCATATGGACGAGAGCTCAAGGGCCAAATCTCGGCGACCTGCCAAGGAAAAATCTCTAGTGTTAGTTGGCAGTTCTTTCGGGTGAGGCCTCGCGGCTGAGCCATAACGGGGCGATTCTTACCAAAATCCAAGCACAGGGACCCCAGGAATATCCGAAGTGGATAACAAAGAGCCAAACCATAGCCACGGCAGCCCAGCCAGCGCGCGCTGCTGCTCCCATTGGTCCGAATTCTTGGCGAAAATGACGGCGATAACGAAATGGCAGAAGCTGAGCGTGTGTTAGTGGTTAGCCTGGAATCATGAGATTGTTTTGACAGGCGCGGTTCATCTGGTAACTTACGCCATGCCGATAGCTCCAATGGCGAGGACGGGCTTGCGTCCAACGCGGTCCTGCAAGAAATGGTTAGGAAATTCTTGTTATCTCTAGTTTCCCGAAGAGTAGGTCCACTCACAATCCACAAGACAGCCGGGATGGTGAAGAGGAACATGACTACACCGACAACGCCGGTAGCAAGGAGGGAGATCTCAGTGCTGTCAAGACCAAGCTGCCCAAAAATGACGGGGGCATAGTAAAGAACGCTAGAGACAGGTTTCAGGGTGTTAGCGGGGACGGCCATGGGGAGGCGCCACGAAAGAGAGGGAAAGACTTTACGCGTTGATACCAGTCCACTGTTGGAAGAACATGGTTACGGTGGCGACGATGACACGCTTGAACATGGCTTTGCTCTGGAAAAGTGACTTGATAGCCACGAACTGGAGCTTGAAAATGTTCCAGGCGGTCTCTTCCCTGAGTTGAGGGAAGTTTTCGGCAACTGTACGCTTCTCAAACAGAGACTGCGCCTTGATCTCGAGGAACTCGAGCTCAACGAGCTCGTGGGTCTCGGGCAAGTCTCGGAGGCTAGCGAGAATAGCGCGAGCTTCCTCTTCTCGGTGGTGGTGGACGAGCCAACGGGGAGAGAAAGGCATGAAAGCCATGCCAAAGAGCAGAACGAGGCAGGGGACGATTTGGACGCAGATGGGGACTAGCCAGGCGGCGTCGCTCTGCTTTCCGAGCTCGGTACCGCCGATAAAGTTGGTTCCGTAGCCAATCCAGAAGGAGATCATGATGCCGAAGGTAATGGCAAGCTGCTGGGTGGCGACGAGAGCACCGCGAACCTCGGGAGGGGCGACCTCAGAGTTGTAAATCGGGACAATCATGGCCAAAGAACCGACGCCCATACCGGTGATGAATCGGCCTGCGAGAATGGCATCGGGTCCCACTTGGATAGCACACTAGCACAAAGTACGCCATCAGTCTCTGTTGCCGGGCCGCCGGCACAGCTTGGATGCGGTGCAAGACAAGAGGTTCTACTCACAGCTTGGATAATGACACCAAGGAGAAAGACGAAGCAGGCAACGATGATTCCGTATTTACGCGACAAAACCTCAGCCATGAAGCCAGACAGAAGGGTACCGAGCCAGGCGCCAAGTTCGAGAATGGCAGTCAGCCAACCCTTCTTGGTCATGTTTGCGGTCTCATCAAACGGATCGTACTCGCCCATATCTATAAGACCCAAGTGAATTAGACGGAGAGCGATAGGAGGCCCAAAACTCTCCAAGTTGACGGACCAGGCTAGGAGTTCCTTGGCGGCGGCATGGGGGCTTTGGCTGGTACTTTACTTACGCGACTTGAACGAGTTCATGGCAAGGACGCTAGAAAACATTCCCTGGTTGTAGCCGTAGAGGACACCTCCGATACACGCAAAGGCAGCAACGCGGAAGACCTTGAAGTTTTCCAGAGAGCACGGGCACCAGAAGCTCCCATGAGCTTCTGACGCCGCTGCAGAGCAGCATCGTAGAAGGCGCCGTGATCAGCACCGCCACCAGCCATCTTGTCCAAACGTTCGTCGTGAGCTTAGCACAAAACCAGGAGCTACAGTATTCCAGGTGTTAATTGGAATAGTAAGGCGATGGTCAATAGAAGCCTTATCCCTGGCGTTGAAGGCTTATGTGGGCGTGTTGAGGGGAGCGGGGAAGAGAGAGGAAGAGGAAGCAAAGAAGTCCATGAGGGGGACGAGAGGGGACGAAGGGGAGTAAAAGGAAGGCAAGCACGGCAAAGGAGACCCGAGCTCCTCTTCCACACTCCCTCGATTGTACGCGTGTGGGAGGCGAGGGGGCCCTGCTTTGGGTAAATTTAAGGCGAGGTTGCATATATACATTATTAACCTAGCGTATCTAGTCATTGGCGAGCAACCGGCGGTGATAGTACCCTGGGGACTGCTTCCCATTTGGGGTAACACTGGGCCCAGCGTGTGGTTGAGCGAGTCGGCGGAGGCTCCTCTGTGCGGGTTGAGGTGAGCGGAGGGGTGAGGTAGGGTAGAGACATTGGGGTATCGGAGGAACGGATTGGGCCCGGGGTTCTCCCCACTACTGCGAAAGGGTGAGTCTGAAGTAGCTTTGATACTAATACATCTACTCTTGTTGGTATCTACCCCAACTCCACATTTCACAATTGCTACGTTGTCCCGCACTTGGACCGGAGCCGGGCCCTGCAAACCATGCAAGAGGAGGACGGAAAGAATGCAGTGAGCTTATTAAGGGTTCAAGAGCTATTTTCTCCTTGCTGGATACCACCTTGGTGGAAGAGGAAGGGCAACGCGAATGGCATCATGAGATCCACCGGCTCTATGGGCAGGAATGGATCTCTTCCCCATTCTCTACCCTTGTCTCGTCCTTGGTTCTCTATGAAGCCGGAGGAGGAAACGGTTGGAAGGGAATATGAGAAGAGAATGGGAGCAAAATGTTGGATCCAGTATGATAGCTCGCCAAACTTGAATTGCAGAGAGGAGTTTAAGCCGAGCGAGATTGCGGACCCTAGAAGCATAAGAGTATACATGGAGTACATGTTGCTGGTGTTTGGATTCAATGAATGTTTACACGTTACTTCCTCGGTTGGAGGTGGTAGAAAGGAAAACAGGAGGGAATGGTGGTTATGATCGACTGCCGGGTGGAGGGTTGAAGGATCAATTTACACCCAGGGAACCGTGGATATATTGACCGAAGCGACAAAAGTGGATTCCCGCATTTTGTCTGGACGTAGAAGTCACAAGTAAGTCTGAATAAATCCTTTTCCCTCTTTTTCACTTCTTTTCTTTTTTATCCTCTTTTTCTTTTTCTTTTTCTCTTTCTTCTTTTCATCCCTTTTTTTCTGCTTATTTCCCTTTTGGTCTTCTCCTTTGGCCAAGGGAAGAGACTGGACTTTTGGGTAGCCGGGGTCTACTCCACCATATATGGATGTACATACTACGTGTATGCAGACAAGGTTCCCTCATCTCTTTCAAGGAGTGATGACGGATCATCCATCTCATCTACCCCATTCACACTTGTTCCGTGCGCATGTTAGCATCGACTGTGTACCGTGACCACCCCTCTCTCGATCCTGAAAGCTTTAGGGGTTTTTTGTTTTCTTTTGGAATCCTTATTTTCCCCTTTACCTTTGCCTGCGTTGTTCCAGACCGTTTCCGATGACATGGGCCTGGTGATCGTTTGCAATCTCGAGTATATCTGCGCTGTTGTTTTTGGGAGACTGAAGGGACGCAAGATCCCATCGACCAGACTTTCCCATTGATCCTTCTCTTTAGTCTTGGGGTTCTGGCAAAATAGGTTGCTGGAGGTATCTCGTGCGAATACGTTTCCCTCGATCAACTGGATAGGCTGATCATAACCTATTAAGGAGAAAGATATACCCCTTCACCCTTTTCTCGAACCACATAGCTCCCTCTCTTTTCTCTACCTTTTCACTTCGGACCCCAAACATTCATAATTCCTCTTCTCCTACCTCGGCATGGGATCGCAGGAGAGGAAGGGAGAATGAGAGGAAACCGCGCCGCTTGCTGCAATCCCCAAGCTTTCATTGTCGTTGCAATCTTCAAAAAGAAAGAAGAAAAGTAAGCCTTAGCCAAGACGGGCGTCGTCGATCTAGCTTCGGCAGAAGGGTTGCGGAGGCGAACGCCACGAAGCGGGAGGAGCTTTCCCTCTTGGCAGCCAAGGTTTAGATGGGTGGGGGAGGAAGAGGGTGCCCATGTGGCTTCGATGTTTTTCTTGAATGCTTCGGCAGCCCGTGTCCGGCACAGTACCCCAGGCAACTACACTGGAAATATGGTGTGTTAGTGCGTGTGCAGCGTGTCTGTGGGCTGTTCGGTTGTCTCGAGGAAACGTGGGTTGGCAGTACAGGGGTAAGACGGATAGGAACGTGTGTGTCCGTGTGTCTGTGGCCGGATTGGCCCTGTTCGAATGCTTGTTCTTTTCTGATTAGCCTGAATGTAAGCCAACTTTACAAAGTTCCTACGGGAAGAGGGGAGGAACCACAATGGTAGGGCTTTTCTGCCATTGGAGCGGACCGAACGCGCGGGCAAGGTGCGAATGGGTTGGGGGACGATGATTATTAGCATAAAAGAAAAAAAGAAAAAGAAAAAGAAAAAGAAAAAGAAAAAGAAAAGGAAATCGCCGCGGTTCACTGCGGGCGGCATGCAGTGCAGCATCGGGCCTTTTCTCGGCTTTCTTGTGGATGGGGCGACATCGAGTACATGGGGGAGGGAGGGGACGGTTCACAGATGGATGGATCTATCAGTTACAAGTACAACAAACATGGAGGCATTCGAGGGCGAGTGAGTTCAATAAGAGAACGGGAGAAGAAAGAACGAAAGGAAAACAAGGGGAGAAAAAGGATCAAACTGGGAATTCGAATCGGGGCCATGTTTAGAACTGCCGCTCCCGTTGATTATCCCCTTTGTCCCCCATGCCTCCCTTCCCATATCCCATGTCGCGTGCCGTGGGAAAAATCGAGGATGCAATTGAATTTGACGCTGGAAAGGGATAGGCGCTTCGGAGTTTTGATCCATCGAATATATCCATGGATATTTTCCGAGAGAGGAAGACTGGTATTTCCCAGCGAGATAATACGGTACATGTAATTGTTATCATCTCGCTTGGGCCTAATGGACTTGATTGAAGGGATCAATCATCGACTGATTTATTTGTCAAGCTCGGCTGTCGACGACGCTTCCACTGGTCCTCCGGAAGACATTGTAGCGCCTGAAGGGTATGGATCTATGGATCCGCATTGAGATCAATTGATGGCTGATGGGCTGCCACTTTTCGTGTTAATCGACACGCTCGCTTCTCTGATAACCCGGCATTTAAGTTCCGCAGGAACCATCTATGGATGTATATGCTTGCTCTTTTGGGGGAGGAGGGCACAAATGGGGCATCGGAAAACAACCGCAGGAAAACGCGCCTCAAGGCTCCTGGCTGTTCATCGTTTGCCTCCGCATTTCAGGCTCTTGAAAGCCCAGAATTTCTAATTCCTACATTCAATGTTCCTACCGCGGCCCCTCCCTCCCCGTCTTTGCCTTTGTAGTCGAGAAAACGAGTGTGGAGGAGGGGGCGGAGATAACATAACGCAAAGCAGGTCTTTGCTTCAAAAGTGTAGAACCAGGCGGCAAATTTGAGGATGAGAGAGCTTTCGTGTTTGCCAAGGACGCCGAGGCGGGCGGCCCTTGCTTAAGCTTATTGTCATAGGAGCGCGATCTGGAAGACCTGGTTCTGAAAGCCCTGGGACGGCTCACTGTGGAAACCTTGTACGTTAGGTGCTCTCTACATCAATTGATAGGTATAGGCAATTGATCCTGCATTTGATTCGGATGGACCCAGCACCCAGAGCAATTGAAGGGGTCTGTAACTTTCGGGCCTGGTGTAGAGAGCAGCATCTACAAGGAAGACATAAACCAAGCGAAGATTTCAAAGAAGAAAAGAAGGGAACGACGACTACCATTTTTGTTTGTATCCAAAACAGCATGTGCCAAAATCGAGTCTTCGGTTCACGTAGAGAACATTGAATCTAATGGAATCGATCCGTTCGTCCGCGGGACCAGGTGGAGTTCTGCCCGGGGCAGAACCGCCTATATTCGCGGTTGATTTCGATACACCAAGCGAAAGAAGCGTATACAGTGAGCCTGCGATCCGTGGGGTTCGTGACTCAGTGAGTCTAGCTGGTGGTCTAAATGGCCTGGCAATCTGCCAGCAGCACCCATTCGAGGGAATCACTTCCAATTGTAAGGGGAATTGACTAAGATTCAGCTCGGTACAGAGGCGGAGGTGAGGTGATGTGGTTTTGGCCAGAGATATCGATTCGTAGAAAGGGAGAAACAAAGCGAACGAACCATGCCGAACATAAAAAAGAAATAAAGGCGCAAAGAACCTCACCTCATTGTCCTGCACATGTCGACTTGCCATGGAGACCGAGTCAGAGCCCTCCCTAACGAGTTAGGTTACCAATTTGTTGGGTAAAAGCCATGCTCTAGAAGGACTCGGCGAGGCCTGGCCTTTTCTAGGGCCAGGCCCCATAGTCAGGGGAGAGCCTCACGTTGGATAAGGCTACTAGGAGATAGGTTCAGCTTCGTTTCAATGTTACTATACGGAGGTCGTTGTGGCTTTTTCACATGTGCGGTTACTGGGAGCTTCGGCGTGCCGAGGGAGACGGGGCTTGGGCCGGTATTCTTTGTTCCGCTTCCGCTCAATATTGTCATGCAAATACCGGCCGACCGACAGCCCCTAGAGACCTCAATGTTATCAATGGGCGACGGATACTTTGGCAATTCAGTGAGAGAAGACACCCACGGCTCCTTGTGTCTTTGGATGTGCAATCCTCATGGCTTCTTCCCTTGGCCACCATTCTCCTCAGCCATTCCGATGCGCGTGGGGGAGATCCAGCTCCTTCCAGGTAGCCTTTTCAGCTGAGGATCGCTGGCATGTTTCCGAATCATGCAAGGCATCGCTTGGTGAAACGTATCATTAATGAGTTGAGGTTTTATAGGTGCACACGTAGGAATATTTTTCTACGCTGGACGGACAAGGCCTTGATCATTTTTGGAAGCCAAGACAAGAGAACAGGGGTCGCGCACTCATTTCCCACATTTCGTTAGCCCGCCCTACCTAATTGGCTGGAGCTCCTTCCAACCGCGCGTTTATGCCAACACCTGACTGGCGGGGTAGAGCAGAGATGGACGGAGAGAGCGCTGGACGAAGCTTCTGCATGCAAGGAGATTGAAGTGGTGGCTTGTGTATTTGTACTTGTAAATTAGGGGGCAAATTGTTTCAAAGGCTATCGCCTAGATTAGTTTGCTCAAGGCGCATCCTTAGATTTTTTCCTCGCGTGAGCGGATTACGGCTGGCGCTCTGAGTAGCCACATGTTGCACATGCTGGTCTCGTACTGAGGCACACAGCATGAAGCTGAGAGAGCAGGCTTCGGGGTCGGCTTTCAGCCGTTCTGTAAACATTTAGAATTCTCCGTCAAGCTGTCTATACAGACAGAAAACACTGAACCCTCGTTTAGGCTGCGTTTGACTAGGTTATACATCGAATGCAAGCTTTTCGATGTTTCTCGCCCGTCGACTAACACGCGTTTGCGAGGCTAGTTGGCTCGGCTTGAGATTTGACGTACCACGAGAGCTTTTTGTAGATCCCTTTGACAACACGGATCGCATGACCAGACTTGAGGAGACCAAATCCCTGGTCTGGGATGGTCGCGAAGAGCTGCCCTGAGGCTGGGAGGTAGACTCTCTGGATCAACTTTGGTGGTCGTCGATTGATTATGTCAACTCATGGGACCTCTTTCCTTTCGGTGGATCTAAGAATAGGGAGAAAAGCAAATCTCCCATTGATCAATATGTTGCCACTTTCCTTTTTGTATTATATGCGAGGAGCTTGCGCTGAAGGAGCTGCCGGTGTCTTGCTCACTCGTCTAACGCCCAAACTCGAGACAAGATTCTCCAGTTTTCAGAGAGCCAACACGAATACCTTGGCAATGGAACCAACAATTATCTGCGAGCACTGACAGAATAGCGACTTCGGTCTGATCGGCATGCAGGCTGCTCCACCCGCCGTGAGCGTTAACTTAGGTTGACCCCGCCAAAATGCTCGAAGAGGAAATACGGCGGCAGGAAATTATCAGCCAAAGAGCGCTAACCGCCCTCCAATGGTTCAAGGACATTTACCGCTCTGCCCCTCATCGTCCCATCCCATCGGGCTTGGCGACTCTGGGGAAACAGCACTGACAGTAACACCGCCCGCTCCTCAAACCCCATGAAAATTAGTAAAGGCGAGATTCGCTAAAAACTTGGTCAATGACAGCAAGTCGGCTGCGCTACGAGTCGGCTACCGCGCTGTTGGCCGTGTTTGTTCTCGGCCCATAATCTAGCTGTCGCTGCTTGCCGAAACCGCATGTCCAACATCGGCTCCATCATTGATCCCTTGCCCACCGTCGGAACACCACCGAGGCTTTAGGTTTTGAACCCCAGGAACGCATCTGGCTTGCCCCTCTTGTTCCTCGTCGTCATGATTGCGAAACGCGCCCCGCAAAATTCTCGTTACGTGAGCCGCCGCGCGCGGGAGGGAACCTAGTCTACATGAAGGGCGAACTCAGGCGAATGGCTACTACTGTTTTAGCGACGAGCGCAGGTTGCAGTCCCTAACTTGGGGTAAATAACTAAGCGATAGTAGAATAGCTCACGAGGACAAACCGTAGGCGCGCGGTCGTTAGCGATTGATGGATACAGTTAGTGTCTGTTCCCTGTTTAGCCTCCCATTCTCGACGTAGCTTTAAATTGCCCATTGATTTGGGCCTTGGCTGTCGTGTGCACCTGTTTTCCTGTTGATCCCGCCTTTGGTTGCTGGAGGCGTTGACGCCGGAGCGGAGTAGCTAGCCGTTTATCCTCCCCTTTCTTGGCCGCTTTTCTGCCTCTAGCTGTCGCTTTCAGGCGCATGCCTTTTGTTTGACATGTAGCTCCTTTTGATCCCTATCCCCCTTTTTGCTTGCGTTCTTTTTATGTTTTCATTGTGCTTTCAATTTTTGAATCCTCTATGTTTTTCCCCTCCCTCGCCAGCAAGGGAAAGGGCGTCCCTCGATTCCTCACAGATTGCCTCATCTCGCTCACCTCCAGTGTTAGAGGAAGGCACGTTCTGTTGGAGGTTGTGGCTGCGTCAAGCAGCGAATCACAGCCCGCAGCCCCCACCTTTGCCGCCGGCGCCAATTGCTTCGCGCTGGGTCCCAAGAATTCGGATTTGTCCCGCTCCCCCTGCTTTTCCAATGACCGCCCCTTGCCCTTGCTCGCCTCTTGTCCTGTCAGTTCATCAAGAGCAAGGGGATCCTCTGACCAGTTGCCACTCCACCTCCACAAGGTGTCAACTCAAGATTGTCTGTCCATGTACTCGCCCAGCAGGCTCGGGCTAGCATGGACTTGGGCTTTGACATAATTTCACCACTCCGCATCTCCAAGCGCTGCCCCCTCTCACTCCCCACCCTTTCCTTGCTTCCCACACCACCCGCCTCGTCTTGTACCCCGACACACAACATTGAAGCCTGGCGAACTCTCTCTCTTTCAAACCAAGTACCTTGTTACCCTTCCACTCTTCTTCGGCGGGTGGAGCTCATTTCTTCCTCTCTTCCTTCCGCCGTAACCTTGGAGGTTAGCGCCCATCCTAGTCGAATTTACGCACGCGATGTCGAAGCGGATACAGTACCCCATTCTTTATTGTACCTGGATTATGGACTGGGCGCCTACTCATACTCATACTCGGGCCAACCTTCATTCCGCTACTACGAGTAGCTTGGGCCTATGATGCCCGTCTAGGATGTAGGCTAGGTCTGTCGAAAGACAATGGATCTCTGCAAACCTTTGCCCTCGCACTCAAGGGAAGTCGCCCAAAGAGATATCTAGATGCGGCTTTTGCTTCAATTTATTTCTTAGCTACCAGCTCAATCGGGGTTTAATTTCTTTTTCACTCTTTATAGCTTTCCTTTTCTGTGACGCCTCTTGCCATCTTGATCTCTTCGTGCAAGGCACCGTTCCTGCGTTCATCATCCTTGCGGCTACCCGTCCTTGTCCCGCCTCACACCAACCATCTATACCCATCCCCAGTCAACCCCCAAGCGTTGTTCCCCACCTCTCTCCACCCCCTACCGTCATTAGCACCCATATAGATCCATCGATGGATACATTGGTGGGCCACCGAAATACCGGAACCAGTCTAACCGCCCTGCACCAACCGCCAACATCCCTCGACCTCTCTAGCCGCCGGTCTTCAGCCAAACCACCACACTCCCATCTTCGACCAATATCATCATTCACCCATGTGGAAACCACTCTTTTCAGACACACGAGCATGGTTTCATATCTCTTAGTGGCACCACACCATACCCTTGAGGCTTCGTTTCAAATCTCGGAATCCTACCCCATCGCCAACGACCCGTTTTGTATGGTTGCGGCCGAGGTCAACCTCTTTTCTGGCCGCCCAGTCTGTCTTGGGACCTGGCGATTGAGTCAAGGACAGCCAGTATATTAGACACGCCCATCCCCCACATGGCCGCTATCTAGGGCCCTCTCTTGTTTTCCAGTCCATGTCCCTCCATTAAGCAACTTTCCTACTGTCCTCTCTTTTCCTTTTTTCTTTCTTTTTCTTTTTCCTTTTTCCTTTCTCTCACTTTTTCCTACTCTCTGTTTCAGATTTCATTCGTCTCTTTCCTATCATAATCGAAGCTCTCTCCGTCTTTCACCTACTAGCTTGAGAAGTCTCCCACACTCCCCCAACTTCAAGTTCTAGTCACCAACCTCGCTGGGCGTGGGTTGCCGTTTTCTCTTGGAATCTCTCTTCGTTTTCGTTGTTACTACCCCACCATCTCGGTTATCCTCCTGGAGAGGCAGCTTATCCACCTCCCTTCGCTTCTTCTTTGCCTTACTGCTCGCCTCCTTACTGAGCCCTACCGCTCACCGCGCTCGCTCATCCCGTCTGCCGCTCATCCCCGACGCGGCCGCCTTCCACGTCTCTTTATCGAGCTATGCCTAAGCATACACGAGTCAGCAGCGCAAGCCACCACCGCTTCAGTGCTCTTCCCGTCCCGCTCCCTTCTTCCTCCTCGAACCCCGCAGACATGTATAACACACGACTTTCCATGCCTAGCTACTATTCAGAGGTCCAAACCACCTCGGGTGCCATGCAGCTACCACATGATCACCAATACGAACAGTACATATCCGCTGCCTCTAACGCGGCTTCCTTGCACGACACAATTCCCACACAGCAGACTATGATGCGACATCGTGCCTCGTCCGGGGCATGGTCAAAGGAAGACGACGATACCTTGATGAGCGCACGCGCATCTGGTCTCAACTGGAGCCAGATCCAGATGAAGTACTTCAGCGGCAAGTCCCCCAACGCTTGCCGCAAGCGCCACGAGCGCCTGATCGAGCAGAAGACGGCAGACAACTGGAACAAGTCGGACTTTGAGAGACTGTCCATGGAGTATATCAGATTGCGAAAGGAGATATGGGCACCCTAGCTGCCCAGATGGGCGAAAAGTGGAACGTGGTTGAGCAAAAGGTATGGTCTCCTTGCCCTATCTCTCTTGAGTAGAGCATCCCTCAAAGATACAACTCGAATGATGGTGAAGAGAAATAAGTACTAACGCCGCATGTCGCGAAAATAGTGCATGTCGCACGGCCTGAAGAACCTGCAAAGCGCTTCCAGGTCTGGCACGAGGCGGCAACGTCTCGAGACCGGCCAAATTCAAGGGTACGATGATGATAGTGGTATCAGTGGCATCGGCCTAACACCAGTTGACGGCCTAGACGCATCGTACAGCAGCCCCGAGACAACGGCGTCCGGCCCGCACTCTAGCAGCGGCGTCAGCACCGCCTCCGGCTACCAGATGAGCGCTCATCCACAGCTCCACGCCCTCAGCCACGGCCACCCTGCTAGCCACTACGGCTACTCCCACTCCACGGGGCCGCACCACGGCTACACCTCTTCTGTTTCGTCCACGGGCACTTCGGCGGGGGCCTATGCCAGCAGCGGACCCCAATCGCACGCATCGAGCGAGTCCTCATTCATGAGCCATGAGCACCACATGGGAGCGCGGCTCTCGAGCGCCGACATGGGTATCGAGGCCATCATCAACAGGAATCCGGGCCACGGGCCATGTAACAAGGTTTCCAAGTCCAAAACGGAAAACCCCCAGCCCCCTCTTTCCCTCAACTCTCTTATTATTTCTGTCCTTGCTGTTCTTTCTTTCCTTTCCCACCAAGGTTCGACTCTTCAACGGATCGAACGTCACGAAGCCTCCCCCAATAACGGTCTCCTTTCTCGGTTACTACCATTTCTATTCACGGGTTATCTTTGCCACCAATTCAGATTCACGACTTTTTCCTTTCAAGTTTTCTTGTCTTTCTTGGTCTTTTCGGCTGCCCTGTATTTCCGGCTCCGTCATACACTTATACCCCCTCATTCCTTAATTATTGGTCCGTCCATATCCCACCCGTGCCATATTATTGGTGGTATCAGCCACCTTACGCCGGGTTGGGTAGGCTATCAGTTGACCCAACTTACATTCCTTCCGTCGACACCACCATCCCTCTCTCCCTCTTCCCTTTCGGAATGAGGCCTGCTTCTTTTATCATCGATTTGAGACTTTTGTCCCCTTTTCGGTCCAGGAATGTTTGTCTCATATCTTACGGGCACGGCGCGAATACTTGGAGTTCTTGGTTCACATGCCCGCAGCTACACACACTCTCACGCACACTCGGCGTTGGCGTTTCTTCTTTTTCTTTTCGGAGCCGAAAATCTAGTTTCACATTAGTGGAGAAGCCGCTGGTATGCACAGGATAGAAGCGTCCGGGTTTGAAAGTACATGCTTGTCTCTTCAAGCCTCGTTTTGTCCCTCGAGACTATTTTCTTCCTTCCGTTGCTACCGCTCAATCTCGGTCATCCCTTATCCCAAGTGTATGTTTTCCTTGTTCTGCAGGATTCAAGTTAGAGAGGGGCAATTTCTTTTGGTTGGTTTCTCCTTGTTCGCTTCGATGCTCTATATGCGGGTGTTTTCCCCACGTCACGACTACTGCTTTCTACTTGTCATCTGGGTTTCTTCTATCTTCCCTTGTCCTGTCTGTCTTTTTTTTGTTTACTTTTCCTTATAGTTTGGGTTTTCTTTTTGTATCATGGAGGCAGTTGTCGGTAACGGGAAAATCGGGATACCAACTCAAGGTGAGGCCGAAGCACGCCTCACCTATGAAATTCTATAAAGCATTCTATCTAATTGATACTTCCGAAGAAACGCATTCAAAATCGCTTCCCTGGTGACAAGGTCTTGCGAATCGAGGCGATTAACGCTTTAGAAAGTGCAACGCCGATGGGCTGGGACATCTTTGGAGCCCCGCACAAAAGCAGTCGGCGGTGTTCCTATGTTACGTGAAAGTAAAACAGAACACTATCTTTGAGTTTGCGAGATGATGGATTTCCTGTAATCTTGCTTGCATACATTTATAGATACATGCGTTAACCTCCACAGCAAGAGCTATATGCGACAGCTCTAATACCTAGTCCTGAGCGGCTCTAACTTCGACGGAGCCTTGGCCTAGATAGTGGGGAAGACAGTAAGACAGAGAAGGTTGAGAGAATATATGACGAAAAAGAAAAACAAAACAAGGGTAGATGCGGTGTTATACATGGTTTCTCTCTCTATCCTCCTCCTCCAACCTTTTCTCTTTTTAGTATATGGTTAAACTGAGCCGCCAGTTTCCTCTATGCATCCACGTCACAATATCAAACACTGAATCCCACCTTGATACGAACAAAAGCGTAAAAAATAAGAGAAGAAGAAAAGAATAACATATGGAAGAAGGAATAGGCGGAGAATAAAGCGTTGGAAAAAGCCTTTAAATACCCAAAGGAGGGCAGTAGGTAAACAGAGGTCAACATCAAGCGTTGCGGCTCTTGGCTACTGCGGCGTGGGTCTTTTCTTCGCTCGAGATGTCGACTAGCTCATCCTCGTAGTCCAAGTAGTAGCCGTCCTCATCGACATCCTGGTGGTCACCAACGATGCTTTTCCATACCCGGGACCACATGCCCTTCTTCTGCATGACGGCGAGGACAAGGATGGCGGGGAGTTGCCAGACGCTGGCCCAGAAGAGGCCACGGGCGGAACCCTTTGGCCCTCGAAGCGCCAGAAGCGGACAGCCTGCCAGGCGAGCCAGGCGTTCACGGGAAGGGAGGTGGCAGCGAAGGACCACTCCGTGACGCCGGCGGCGCAGAGGGCGAAGCAGATGGGGGCGAAGAGGAGGGAGTAGCGGAGGGCGACGCGAGCGTTGCGGGCGGGGTTGGTCCAGGCGAGCATGCGCAGGCCGGCGGCCTTGTAGTCTTCGCGGATGGTCCAAGAGAGAGCCATGAAGTGGGGAACTGCCAGGCGCAGAGGAGGGAGGCGAAGAGCCAGCCGCCGATGGAGGAGCCGTCCGAGGCGAAGAGGAGCTCGCGCCAAGAACCGTCGCCGGTAGCGGACTCGCCGGCGGCGGCGGCCCAGCCCATGAGCGGGGGATGCCGCCGACCAGGGCACCGATCCAGGTGTTGATGGGATGGAGGGCCTTGAGCGGGGTGTAGATGCCGGCGTAGAGGACGACGTTGGTGGCGCCGAGGAAGGAGACGGTGGGGTTCACGCCAAAGTAGAGAGCGGCGACGCCGCCGGTGGCGGTCAGGAGCGCGAAGAGGAGGGCGCCGGGCCGAGAGACGAGGCGGCGGACGAGGGGTCGGTTGCGAGTGCGCGACATGACGGCGTCGGTGGTGGCCTCGTAGAGCATGTTGAGGGAGTTGGCCGAGGCGGCGCACAGGGCCGTCCCCGTGGTGAGGAAGAGGAGGGTGAGGGGCTGAGGGAAGGGGTCTCGGCCGCGAGCGTCGGGGAGAGGAAGGCGGGGACGGGGTAGAGGGCGTAGGGGGCCATGGCGGTCAGCACGACGAGGGCGCTCAGGCGCGGCTTGGCGAGGGATAGGTAGGAGGAGAAGATGCGGCGGAAGGAGTTGGCCGGTTGCTGCGCGGCGTGCTGCGCTAATAAGGCCGAGGCGTCGGGTGGGGGGATATGGAGGACTCTGTCGCGGGGGATCCGGCGTCTGAACCGGCTGTCGAGGTCGTCGTCGTCGTCGCGGAGGCGGCGGTGGCAGCGGCAGCGGCGCGCTTGGCGGCCTGGCGGCGGCGGTGAGGTGAGAGCTCCTTGTTAGAAGGGGAGGAACCGGACGCGGTGCCATCTTTCGCGCGGTCAGGGCTGGGGGCCCGAAGAAAAGAACTCGGACGCTAGTCTCGCCGAGGAAACGGGGGCCGGCCGAAAGGAGCTCGATGAGAGGAAGCGTGTTTGCCGGCTCTGCTGGGCTGGCCCACGCTTAGCAAAGGGGTGCGGTATGTACGCGTCGCGGCATTGTGAGCGCACGACGACTTGGAGGGCGCGGCGGGCGGAAAGGGGCCGTAGGCTCGGTGCCGTGGTTACCGGGCGAAGCATTTTGATCTGTGCATGTTCCGTGGCCGTCACCAAAGGGAAAAAGAAAACCCTATTGGAACAGGGGGAAAAAATAGAAAACGCGAATTGGCCCTTATTCGCGGTTGTATTAGTTCATTGCTGCTCCGGCAAGGTAAGAATATAGTGACTGAGAGGCGATTGAACGAGGCTCGGCCGATGCGTCGCTGTTTTCTGGTTTGGCTTGCTTTGCGGGTTGCTCTCGACGAAGTGCAAGATGGGGTGATGGTGTTCGCGGGCCCGGATCTCGAAGTTTGGACGCCTTCGATTTGAGGCTGACACTGGGGTTCGGGCAAAGAAAAAAAAAAAAAAAAGAAAACCTGTGACGAAATTCAATCAGGACACTGGCTGGTTGATTCTGGGGTCTAAAGGGTTACATGGTACAATGCGATAGGCCGGTTTTTTATTGCAATTAACGGAGAATCCCTTTTACCGCAAACATGGCGGGGCCAGCAAGGGCATTTCTGCAGTTCATGTCCTATGTGGTGGGGGAAGCTTGCTCCCCACCAAGAAACTCGAAGACAAATTGGGAGCTGTCCGTTCGGCCTGCATCTTGATACTGCAGGATCCGCGGCCTAGCATGAAAGCAGTAATTTTTCTCTGAGCGCGGTGTGAGCTCGGGGGTTTGCTGTTGTAAGAAAATTTCCTAAATGGGCAGCCCTCGACTATCTGGCGTCCTTTGGCGCACCTGTCATGTCAAAGACCGAGAACGGGCGAGCTTCAAGCCAAACCAAACCCCACTCTCTTGCTTTTGCCCTTGGCAGCTTCCCAAGGTCCTTCTGCGAGAACAACGAGAATCATGTTGGGTCGGCAAATACGAAGCTGCACCTTGAATCCTCAGGGAGAGCCTGACGGAGACCACATAATGGCGTCCAAGGGGACCAACTTACCAATTTGAGCAGCAAGCCCATTCTTTTTTTCCTCCGCCCGGGCGACATCAGGAGCTCCGTTTCCGACCAAGCACCCTTTGGGGCTTTTCGCCTCTTGCCTTGCGATGACGTTTGATGCCTCCCACTCCACCACGCGGTACGACGGGGGACAATGACGCCCCCGGCTCGAACAGTCCGGGTGTAATGTGTTCGTGTGGTATATCTCGCTACACACCTTCCACACACCAACCTTTTTTAATGCAAATACGGAACCCGGTCAGAGGGCGGCACAGCTCGATTGGCTTGACGAATTTAAAGGGGCCAATCGAGATGGATCGCGCGCCCGCCGTGGATCACCAAGGTGGAGATGTCGCCCAAAAGACGGGCCTAAAGAAAACAATAGTAGACGAAATAATTACCCTGTACGGAGAATGAGCTCGGCCTGACGTTTCGGGCTTGGGACAGGAATCTGCGCGGGATTGCGGGGTCTTTCTGAGGACCAACGACATCGCCCACTTGTAAATGGTTATATGTACCGTGATCGCCTCAACCGACGTGGAAATCCCCTTCCTTCTCCTCCCTCCCTCTCTTCCTTTCTATGTGTATGCATTGAATACTCTGAACGAAGCATACGTTGCTCCTACCTACCCATAACAACTATCTGTTGCCTGCACTTACAATTCCCCACCTCAACCAACCAAACACAGCAAGATGGCGACGAGAAACGCATCCGATCTCCTGGAGGAGCTCTGCCAGCGCACGAAGCTCGACTGCGACACAATGGACCTAGACTTTGTCAAGGAGTTTGTCGCTAAGCGCGGTAAATTCGCCGATTGCACGTCTAATCAGGTAATCTTTCTTCCATTCCCCCATCATGGCCCTCTTCTTCTTTCCGATTCACCATAGTGGTCTTCAGGAAGCCTGGATGGTAGTAACTAATTTTTGAGTTCCCTAGTCAATTGCATACGCCGAGGCGTCAAAGACCGATTCGAGTGGCAACTATGTCCACAAGGACCTCATCAAACAGGCAGCCGAATACGCCCAAGGGGTTATCGACGATCTCGGCTCTGCCGGCATCTCTAAAGAGACTCTCGCCGTTGAGCACTTGGTATGGGCCATCTCCTTTCCCGAACGTCTCAAATCATACCCTCCCAGCAACCAAACCTGAGGCCTCGACGCCAAAACTTGTTGGTGGTGTGTCTTCTAACAGTGAGCTATGGAAATAGATTGCCAAGCTTCTGCTACGGTTCATCCCTTATCTGAGCGGCTATGTGCTCCTCCAAATCGACCCAAAGTTTGCCTACGATACTGACAAGATTGTGGCGACGGCTGAACGTAAGTCTTGGAGAGGCGATGGGGGAAAGGCCGCGTGTTTGGTTTGCTTTAAGATGAGTTTTGCTTATATGAACGGTACTAGGTATCCTTGCGATGGTCAAGAAATCCGACCCAGATTTCGACTCGAAGCGTATTTGCTTCAAGATCGTGTCCACATACCCCGGTCTTGCGGCGGCTAAGATTCTCGAGGACAAGGGTATCGCTACCCTCGGCACTGCGTTGTTCTGCATGGAGCAAGCTTCTCTAGCAGGGCACTCGGGCTGCACATACATTTCCCCCTACTTCAACGAACTCAAGGTGCATTTTGACAAGAAGTAAGCAATTTATCTTCCTATTCCCCTCGTAGATTCCCCCAGATCCTCTTGGGGGTTATCATCTTTGCTTTTATTTAAGAAGGAAGAGAAAAGCGAAGGAAACCCAAAAACGAGAGGCGTTGGCATCATTACTAACAAGCCCAAAACAGCTTCCGGGACGAAAACAAGGCCACGGACCTCTGCCGCGATGCGACCGCCTATTACGAGGCGCACCACCAAAAGACCAAGGTGAAGGCTGCCAGCTTCGTCTCTGCCGAAGAGGTGATGAACCATGCGGGCGTAGACTACATCACCGTGTTCCCCTCCATCATCAACGAGCTCGCCGAGAAGCCCATCCTCGACATGCAGCTCAAGGACGTCGGAAAGTACATGAGGCCGCCGCCCATCTCCCCGTCGGTATCTGGAAGGGCTACGAGGAGGCGGCTGCGAGCAACAGCCGGGAGAAGTGGGAAGACGTGTTCAACAAGAGCAAGGACGGTGACAACGCGAGGAAATTGAAGGAGGCAATCGACACTTTCTCGGGAGAGCAGGACAAGTTGGAGGAGTTGATCAAGAAGGTTGCTGCTTGAGGGAATCAGGCTAACGCGGAAAGGAGTGGTGAAACGGGGGAGGGACTAAGAGGACGAGGTGGCGCCAAAATCCAAAAGAAGGGTTAGACGAGACCATAGATTTCACGATAATTCAACCCCATGAACATCAAAAGGAACGCGATATAGCCACGTAAATTCAGGTAATCAATCACTGCGACCGACCCATCCACTTCTAACTACGTGTCATAGGAGGGACGGAGAGCCATTGAACGTAACACCGTGCGGAAGCGCCGTTGCTCCGGGGCTGGACCCACTCAAGGCCGGAGAGGAAAAAGGCTCGGAACAGAGTGAGGCTATGGCAGCAATCTTGTTCTGAAGAACATGATAAAAATAGCCAAGCGCAGATGCTAGTATTGTCCGTTGATCTATGGCCCACTGGCCTGAGTGCCGGGGCATTCCACTTCTATTGCGTCATCCAGGACTGCGCGAGAATAGATGCGAGAAAGAAAATGGAAAACAAAGGCGAGCTAGTGGTATAGACAAGACCTTACAATCCTTCCATTTTCGGTGGTGAATGTTCTTTCTAGAGAAAGGGTGGTCGCCTCCTCCGTCAACGGTAGTGTTAAATTTAGCAAGCGCTGGAATGTCGTGGCGCATGCTAGAAGTTCCGCGCTTCATGACAGACCGGCAGACCGTCATGTCTTGATTCTTGATTCTTGATTCTTACGATACCGTTGGAATAGTTCACAAGGTGAATTTGGACCGCGATACCGGTCTAGCTGATCATGTCTACTCGGCAAGTGAACCAGATCGCTGTCGAACGGGTGGTGATAGGAGGCACGGCTCACACCCAAGGTTGCTTCCCGCATCAGCGAGATCTACTTCTTTCATTGTTTCGAGAGAACGGCTCGAGTAAAGCTGCTAAGCATGTAGAATTGACTAGCGAAGAAAACATAGGCCCAGCATTGGCATCCATCTTGATCGCTGCCTCCTGTTCCCCGATATTGCCTTGTTACCAGAACCTACCATCGATAGCATCTAGACAACGCATGTCGTGACCTCGCACTTGTAGGTTTCTGCTGTATGCATCGGGCACAGACTTGCTTATTCTATGTCTTGGTTGCCTTCAAGGCTGTTACAAACGGAAGCGTCCTAGGTCATGGCAAGGCACTGGAATGTCATTGATTCCAAAGCGAGAACGGGGCACCTAACCAATCGAAACTATACATAGCAAGAACTCAAAGAATCAGATAGAGCAAGAATTCTTTTTCCAGACAGCCATCAGAAAGTCCAAACTTGAGACAAGAATGGAATGGATCAATAGGTCAATCGGCTGATGGAGAGTATTGCAATTGTAGGCTCGGGAGGATTGCCATATATGCCACGACCGACCCCCAAAAGACCATTATCTCTCTTAGCATTCTTCTTCTCGATATCATGAAGCATGGTTCCCATTAGACTACCATCGCATGGCATTGTCTTTCTTTCACCATAGCATCACGCTGTCTTTTCTTCTCTTACCATCATCTTCGCCTCATTTTGTGTTCTGCATTCCGGCCCAAGCCAACAACCAGACGCTTTCCCTTGGTCTTGGGAGGCCGAGCCACTTCGGAGGCTGCGGAGTTGAACCCTTTCTCAAGCAACATAGGTTCTCGACTCTTTAACACTTTACCTCTCTAGATCTGCCGTTTCCTCGGGGTCCGACCCCCAGGCGGGGAGAATACCCCGTTGTTCCCCAATCAGCCACCAGACCCCTTTGACACTCCGTGGTAGACCATGGCGCCATCCGAGCTGACGCCGTACGATGCCCGAACGGTTGGTGATAGGTACGATGCGCGAATAGGCCCCGACGCCTCGCACTGGATCGCCGTGAGGGACCAATTCCAGGAGCTTCTAGACGACCAAGACTCGACCCTCGACTCCATCCTAACTCGCTATTTCTCCCCACGACCGCGAGCTTCTCATGCCCGCGACTTCACCACAGTATCTCGTCGCCATGCAGCAGGACAACACGAAGCGGTACCATCAACTTATCAGCCACCGCTTCGCCTCGAGCGCCCGGGCATCGCTCTCAAGCTTGCCCTCGCCTACTTTGGACATCCCGTGGAACCCGTGCACGTGGAGCTTTTCCGCGTCATTGACGAAGACATAGCCATGGTCGATTGCGTCGACCTTGCTCCACACAGCACGAATCCGCCGCTGCATTTTTGACCGCCCATGACGAGAGAAATTGGGGGATAGAGTCGATGAAAGGTAAGCAAAGGACTACCCCCTTTCCCCCATCCACCTCCAGGCCACCTCTGCGTCATTGTGTTGTGGGCTATGCAGGACCTTTTGGTCTTCTTTTGGTCTTTCCCCTTCTTACGGCACTTCTAACGTTCTCAGGCCGCGAGGAATACTATAATTACATGCCGGTGCCCTTGGAGCCCATCTCCGCGCTCGGTATCCCCCAGGCCATGAGTCCTACCAGCCCCGAGCTCCAGGTGCTACCTCCGGCTTATGTCGTCTCTTCCACCGCCTCTTCAAGCTCAGGAATAATCAACTCGGATACACAACCTAGTAATCGCAGTCCTCCTACTTTATCCTGCCAATCTAGTCGTCGGGTGAGTAGCAATCCCCGTCCGCCCCCAGGCTTGCGGGGAAACTTGCGGGGAGGCTTGCTGGGTGGAGCGCCAGCCCTCGTGGACGAAGAGGCCAATATTTGGGTAAGAGGAAGCCTATACACCGTAAAGGCCGGGCGAGCCCAGATTGGCGACGCGCTGCACTTCAGGACCGACGCCACGATTCCGGCAACGGGGCCTTGGCTGTGGATGTGTGGTTATCAGGGCGGACATCCTTTCGTGGCCACCAGCACGAAGTCCATCAGCGTAGCCATTCGCGCTATCTTATCTCTCAGTGGACTTCAGGACGCCCAGATTGTCCTGAACCACTACGATATCCAGGCCAAGACATGGAAACCCCCGTTTACTCCTCGATGCCGCTCAGGGGTACTAGCGATAGTTTTTACCAGGCCCTGGACACTCACTTAAAGGCCGACCACACAATCACCGACCACAGCGATTGCTGCGCTTGGTTCGTCCATCTCACAGGCGAATCCGCGCCCAACGATATCCTCCCCGAACCCAACCGGTACGAACGCGCCTCTGACCTAGTCGTCCTGACCGCCGCTGAAGAGACTTGCCCAAATGCTCCGAGGCAGCCCGTCGCCTACTTTCCCTTGCGCTCCGACGTTGGGCCAGTCATTAGCAGCGCCTGCGGTCACAGCGTGTACTCGACTTACATGATGACCGCCATCCGCCTCCTTCAAGGCGGTTACCTCGGCCCCGGCGACAACCACAGCTTGGTCGCCATCTACGATGACAAGAATATGCACAAGGACAGGGTGGTCAGAGCCTACGGAGGCCTCCTAAACTCGGACAAGGTTTTCAAGAGCCTACATCTGGGGCAGCAGACTATCGTCGGCGCTGCTCGCAATGACTGGCACGTCGATATTCAGCAGCTCCCTGACGACGAGATCGTATTCTGCCTTCCTGGCTACGGCCTGGGGCCGCGCCGTACTTACGAGACCCACAGCGTTCGGGACCCCGACCCCATCCCCGCAGCTTGGCTCAATAGTTACTCTCGCAGGTATCGCGCGGCATTCGAGGCGGTCCATCGCCTGCTCACAACCCACCTGACGCCCCAAGGCCTCCGCAGCACCAAAAGCATTACTTTTTACAAAGGCTGGGCCGTATGGAACACTCGCGTGGGGTACCATCTCAACACGAGGGAAGCGTTCGATGTCCAGATCCAGCCCTGCGACGAGGACGACGATGGAAATTTAGTTGAGCCGCCCTGGGCCGCGACGCTCGCGGACCACCTCTTCGACGTCATCGAAAGAGGATACCACGGTGTCGAAAGGCTTCTGGTTCTGCAGCCACAATATGCGACTTACAAGATTTTCGGCAAGTGGAGCTTGAGTGTGAGCGGCTCCGCGGGCAGGATGATGTACCCGGACAATACCGACAACAACGGCGTCCCCTACACCGAGATAGCGGTTAATGGACTCTTAGGAGAATTTAGAGAGGCAGTGAAAGTCCTTGTAGAACAAAAGAAGGACAGCAAAGGCAACCCAAAGACCCCCGCAGACTGGAAAAATGTGTGGATCGAGGCCCTCAGCGTCCCGTTCGACGGTGGCTTCGTGGTTGAAGGGGAGGCGTGGTCATCTCGCCTGACACCAACCCGACGGAGTGGGCCATGATGAGGCTGCAGCTGGTACACTCCAGAATAATGATCTCTCTCCACGAGAACTGCATTTTTGATTACTGTAAGTCACCCTACCTGTTCCCTTTGATCCCTCTCCTCCACTACATCCCTTCCATTCATTGCGAATTTCTGCTCGCAATCTTGCTTTTGTTTCGCAAATTCTCATGAGTAATGAATCTCCCTTAGCGACCACCACACCGAAATGCGCTACATCGTGGGGGCCTCGATATGGACACGTTGATAGTTTTGGCTATCGCTCCAGAGCCCCGGTGGCAGCCGTGGTAGACCAAAGGAGACCTGGCCCGGGTACCCCGGCCCGTCCGGCAGAAGCCCCAGACCGAACTCGGTTCAACTCTAGAAGGGCGCCCCGGGCCGAGGATATCACCAATCCCCGGAACGAGGGAAGTTGCTTGGGCGAAGCAGCCAAGTGTGTTTGACGGATCACCGCAGCCCCGCATCCCGACCACCGCGACGCCGCTGGAAAGACTCATTCGCGTTGGTGGGCCGGGCGTACCCCGGGTCAGTACGGCAGTCATGACCCCTACGGAGCAATATAAGCTGCAGGAGACCCTGGCCCAGGTGCGCAACTCGCAGCTCCAGCGCATCACCAAGTGCCACTATGCGAACTGCGAATTTACTTGCCGGATAGATCATGAGCACGTGATGCAGAAGCACCTGCGCGACGACCACAGCACAAGACGATGCCCTTGGTGTCCCCTGATTTTCCCTTCTCACTGGAAACTGAAGCGGATCGAGGAGCACATGGTGAAAAGACACATGGTTGGGAACAGGCCCTCGAGAGCCCAGCCATCGGGGATCGTCGAGATGGATCTTCGCAGGGGAGCCAGCGTCCAGCTACCGGGCTCAGAGGTGGTCAAGAATCAGAGAGCGGTGACCAAACATCATCAAGCGGTGTTCTAGCATCATCAAGCGCTGGCCAAGCATCATCAAGCGTTGGCCAAGCATCATCAAGCCTTGGCCAAGCATCGTCAAGCGTTGGTCAAACATCAACAAGAGGTAGTCGAGCGTCAGCAGAGGGGGCCGTGGTCGACCGATGACGCGGGAGGAGCGGCGCGCAGAAGCGAGGGATCTGGATGCCCACTGGCCACAACCCGTCATGGCCCAACAACGGCGAGATCCGGAACCGGCAGAGGTGGAGCTGGGAGAAATATATTACCTGTTCTGCGACCGCTGCGGCCGGAACCACCGCGCTTTATCCAATGTGGCCGACCGCGAACGGCACGACCAAGTCTGCGTCCCCGCGGCGCGGGCTGCGGCCACTTGTCGTGGTGCGGACAGTGCGGCAAAAGGGTGTGGGAGAACGCCGCCGCCGCCGCCAAGTACGAGCCGAACTCCCGGTACCCCCACACCTGCGCCGGTGGCACGAGCACGAAATGGTGTAAGAAATGCGGTCTCGACCGGACTTTGCTGAACCCGACCGAAGTCGTCGTGCACGATAACGAGTGCAAGGGCATCGGCCACAGGGTTGGTGATTTCTGCGCCTTTTGCCAAGCGACGCTCAAGGGTATCGCGGACTGGGACGTCAGGGAGAAGCATATGGACGAGTGCGCGCGGGCCGCGTACGCGGATCCGAACGGTACTGCTGACGATGACCCGGGCTTCATACCAACGCCGTATACTACATACCCCGCCACCTACTACGACAACCCGCGGCAAACGGTGGACCCCGCTCGGGACCGGTTCTACGCGGGCTGGGGGACAGGCAGAGGATACGTGCCCCCGGGCCGGACAAAGTCGGCGTGGGAGATGGCGATTGGCAAACGCAGGCCCCGGAGGGGTGACGAGGATTATGTTGAAGGTGCGGGTAATGCGGCTGTTAGGAAATTTCTAGACGAGGTCCAGAAGGAGAGGGAATCCCGCCCGGGGTCAGTCTCCCCTGGACGAGGAGTACCAGCTCCTGCTCAACTGGGGCCGCAAGAGGTTCCCGATGCAGTGGGACTTTTCTACGACGGCGAGCAATCCGACTTCGACGGTGAGCGACCCCGCGCCCTCGCCCACGCCGCCCACGGTGATCCAAGTGGTCCACACCCCGACCGTGGAGGTGACCGTCACAGAGACAACGCGGACGCCAGATCCGCAGCCGTACAACCAGCCGTGCCCAGAGTGCAGCCAAGTGGGATTCGCCAATCAGGGTGCGCTCATCACACATCTCGAAGAGGATCACGGCATCGACCCCGAGCACACGGTCACGCGCCCCGACGGCTCCGTTGCCGTCATACCCCGCCCCGGACCCATCGGGCCAGTACTGCCCCCTTTCCGCGCAGTGCAACAAGACGGAGAGGTTCAAGACCGACGACCTGCGGGAGCACCTGATCAAGGATCACGACACGCCAGTCGCGGACATCCACACCAGCGGGCAAGGCATCATCACGATCAGCCCGCCGCCGCAGCCCGTGTCCCACGACGATTGCCTGTGGGGAAAGACTGCCCGGAGAAGAACTTCAAGGACACCAAAGCGCTGGTGGACCACTTGATCAAGGCGCACGGGCAGGACCCCACGTGGCTGCGGACGGACGAGGCGGGCAACGTGCACATCGTGACCCGGCACATAAGGGACTCGAGGCTCGCACGGGCGGAGCGGATGGTTGACCAGCTGAACTTGGTCCGCCGGGCGCGTTCGCCGGACTGGAACGCGAAGCTCGGCAGGGCGCCTGACGGCTGGAAGCCGGACGAGACGATGTACTGCACGAGATGCCTGCGCAAGTACCCCAAGAGAATTCACCGAAAAGATCCGACCGCGGAAAAGCAGATGGGCGTAAGCATTATCCCCCCTTCCTTCTCTTCATCCTCATCCCTCTTATTTTTCCTGCATGCCAACTGTCTCGTCCTGAGGACGGGTGATGTGAGAGGGGGAGGGGGGGAGTGTCGCCTTGACAGGGTGGGGGAGGGTGGCAAGGATAAGCAGGAGAAAATAAAGGTATTTACAATAACTCTCTCCCGCTCTCTCTCTCTCTCTCTCTCTTTCTCGTGTTCATTCATCCAGGCATCTATAAGAGGGAGGGAGGGGAAGTGGATGGATGGATACTTCGCTAAAACGAAACCTTTTTCTTCTTCTGCTTTTCTGCTTCTTCTTCTTCTTCCTCTTTCCTGTTCAATTTCCTCCATTTTATACCGCGCGCCTTGGCTAACTCATACATGCGCTCGCCCTCCGGCGTCCGCGCTCGTGGCAAAATAGTCTCATATCACCGGATCTGGCGGGAGCTGCAACACTAGGAACGGGCCCGGGGAGGTGGGAGAAGGAACGGTCGGGCTGCCCAATAGAAGCGGGTGGATCACGGCCGCGAATCTCAACGCCGCCGGGCTCAAACTAACGAAGCTCAAGACCGCTTTCGAAGAAAAATACCCAAAGTACACGGCCACGGTGTACCCGTCGGTGGACAAGCGGGCGACGACGTCGGTTTGGTCCAAGGACCCGAATAACGACATCATAACCAAGTACCTACAGCGGGTGTGGCCGCCATTTGAGGGACCGAGCCCGCCGGATTGGTTGCTAGCCGAGGCGCTGTTACACCATGATAATGAAGATCCTCGCGTGCCGCGTCGGCTGATGCAGAAGATGATGATGATGATGACGATGGCAACGGTAGCGGTGGCGATGATGGCGATGATGGTGGTGATGGTGGTGATGGTGGTGATGATGGCGACGACGGAGGCTCTGGGGATGGTGGGGGCTCTGGAGGTGATGGAAGTGGCGGCGGTGATGGCGGTGATGGCGATGATGGCGATGATGGCGGTGATAGCGGGGATGGCGGTGATGGGAACGACGATGGGGGTAGTGGGGATGGTGATGATAGTGATGACGGCGATGACGGTGATTACGGTGATGACGGCGACGATGACGATGATGATGAAGACGATGGAGATGACGGAGGTGATGACAGCGATGGTGATTATAATGGCGGCAATAGTCTCGGTCAACAGCAGGGTCAAACGACTAGGAGAACCAGAGCTGCGACGAGGAACACCGCGGCGGCGAGGGCAAGCAAAGCGGCAGGGAAAACCACTTCTGCGCGGGCGGGAGCGACCACTTCTAGAACCAAGCCCAAGCCCAAAAGGTCGAAAGGCCCAACTCCTCGATCTCCTAGACACGCCGCTTCCAGGCCCGCCAATCCCGCGACCCGGACGTCTCGGAAGAAGGCTGGCTCCACAACCTCCCGCCCGAGGACCGCCAATTCCGGGGTACAGCTTCCTCTCAGAGCTCGAATCGAAGCACAACCAACACCAGGGGCACAACTTCCTCCCAGGCTCCGAATCAAGCCGGCACCAACACTAGGGGCACGACTTCTACTCAGAGCTCCACCTCTCACACCACAAACCCCCAAGCTACCACTCCCCTTCGCAACTCCAACCCCAGCACCGTCAGCGCCAATATCGCAGCTCTCTCACAGCCTAGGTCTCAACACTACGAACCCTGGGGAACACCTTCTTCTCCGAGCTCCACTTCTCGCACCACAAACCCTAGAGCTACGACGCCCCCTCGTAATTCCAACCCTAGCACCGTCAGCGCCAATATCGCAGCTCTCTCTCAGAGCCTAGGTCTTAACACCACCAACCCTGGGGGTACAATTCCTTCTCAGGGCTCCGGCCTCAACACCACCAGCCCTAGAGCTACGGCGCCCCCTCGCAATTCTAACCCTAGCACCGTCAGCGCCAATATCGCAGCTCTCTCTCAGAGCCTAGGTCTTAACACTACCAACCCTGGGGGAGCGCCTTCTTCTCCGAGCTCCACTTCTCGCACCACAAACCCCAAGGCTGCGATTCCCCCTCGCAATTCCGACCCTAGCACCGTCAGCGCCAATGTCGCAGCCCTCTCTCGGAGCTTAGGTCTTACCGGGGCCAACGCCCAGAGGACAACTCCTTCTCAGGGCTCTGCCCCCAACGCTCCAGGTGCAAATAAAACGAATCCTGCGAATAGAGGCCAACGGCAACCCATCGCCGCTCGCACGAGAAGTCCGGACGAAGGATACGCCGACGATGAACCTCACACCTCGGGTGACGTAGGGACTAGGTCGAACAAGCGCAAGAGGGGGCGGCGCAAGACCCGGCGTGGAGAGATCCGGGGGCGGTATACTCGGAAGACGAGGAGCCGGCGTCACCGGAGGTGTCCAGAGATGCGTTGGACCTACAAACCGACCTAACCGAGGCCATGGCGGCGGTTGAGAGCGGTAGCCCGGCTAGGAGTACGCGCCCCGCAGAGCCTGGTGCCCGGGGGCCGAAGCGGACTCGATTATGAAGGAGCGCGGTGAAGGCTAGGATAGGGATGGATGCAAGCCAAGGGGGATGACGTGGAAAAGGGTGTTTCGGGATGGGTGAGAGCTTTCTGCCGAGTTAATTCATGTACGGATCTTTGTCATGTTTCCGATGGCGTTTAGGTTGCGGGCTCTCTGTTTTCCCTTCCTTCTGTGTTTTGGATCCAAGTTAACTTGTGTTTCTGTGTTCTTGTTGGATACGGCTTTCATTTTGTATTTGCAGCTCTCTTTAGCCTCGTTGATAATTCTTGTTTGATAGTACGTGTTTCTGATTAGATCCTTGCCCAACTTTCAACTGCTACATCCCCGTGCAAGTTCATCACCGGTTGTGATGTTCATACTCTGTTTTTCCTTTTAGCTGACCGCCGGTTAACCTCCGTCAACGCAGTAGATTTATCGAGGTATCCATCAAAAGGTCAATTCAATCCTTGCACGGTTGACCGTCAACCAGCAGGCTCTAGAGGAGTTCTTCTCTTGCAGGTAAAATGTATTGGAGAGGAGCGGCTCAAAAGGAGAGCACCAAAAAAATTGCTATCTAGGCACCTCGTAAGTTGCCCGGATCGACCTGTATCGTTGCAATCAGAAACACGCGCCATTGGAAAATCGGACACCGGAGAGGAGAGATCCAATTGCAAGGCCAAGGTCACCCACTCTTTCCCCTTATCCGGGCCGGCGACTCGGGCGTGCATTGTCGGAGGGATTTAGCCAATGGGAGATGAGCCTAGAGGAAGGCCTGGTTCCCTTTTGGCCTTTTGGGGGATTGTGGAAAAGGAAACCCTCCGACACTTTGACTGCGGGGGAGGGAAGGTACATGCGGTGATGGCCTGAGAGCGACCGGGGGAAGGAACATTGAAGAGTAATCACGCAGACGGCGACTACCTCAATACACAACAAGAAATCGGTACTGCGCTAGAGCTAGGAGCTTGCATGAGGCTCGTCTGGTCTGGCAGTCACCAGCCAGAAGGACTGCGACTCGATTGGGTGCTGGTAGAATCAATTTCCTTCACCCTTGGCCTCTCTACTTCACTACTTCTTATTACTTTCTTATCTGGCCTGGACAAGAGTGTGTCTACGGATGCATATGCTTAAGCCGTGCATGTGCATGAAAAGTTGCTTGCTTCTGATCAGGTTGAGCAGTGATGACCGCTCTTTTGATCAAGCACAGGGGAGAGTAAGGACCATCATCCCTTGACATGGGGTCTGAGCGCGTGAGCCTTGGGAGAGTGTCTCTATATTCATAACATATGTACCTTAGTTGAGCCTACTTTGTTTAAAATCTGGCTCGAGTATTTGCAATGAATGAAGAAAAGCCGGCCGGTGATGGGTAACGAGTGACGGGGAAAAGAGTACGGTCCCGGGGATTATGGTGTGGGCCAAGTTCGCCGATTGGCGGTCGCCCTTGGCGAGTTGACTTCCCCGATCGGGGTTGATCTGAGATTGACTGGAACGTGCTGCTGCAAGTTTTGGGAAGGGAGGCCCAAAAAGGGATCGAATGGATCACTAAACATCCCTGGGTTCAAGCAAAGTCTGTTTACTAAACAGTGGGACATGACTGGTGGCGGTGGACCTTGAATTTCTTATTTTCTTTTTCCACGCCGTGCTTCTCTCGCGAGATCCTGGCTTTGGCCTGGGGGATAGATCGAGATGCCTGCACGGGACTAGGAGCAGTGGAGGTATTTCGTATACTTGGGGTTCAGCCGCTGGAGAGTTCTCGTCACCTGTTTCAGTCCCGTCACGCTTTCCCAACTCGGAGAGATTTCTTGGTCCTCGTTGGCGGGAGCGGCAAACGTCGGCTCTGCACAACAAAAATACTGTGCTTATCCTCGCTCGTGGGCCACCGCGTTCCCCCAACAGAGGCCACCCAACAATTGATTCGGCCTGGCGTCGTCAGTCACACGTCGTGGCACGGTCCACGATGAGCCAGAGATGGTTTGGATCTAATAGGGGTGCGCATTTCCTTGGGTCAAGTGACCCCGATGGATGCAAACAAGGGAAACAGGGCCAGCCAGCCAGGGTGGAAGGACGGGGGCGGAGGCCACGGGGAAATTCTTTTCGGTTTTCTCCACTAGCCAATATGCCAATACCTGACGGGAAAGATTATATTGTTTTCACGATAGAGAAAGGGTGGCCCAAAGTTGATGATAAGAATAATAAGATGGGTCAAGTCAGCTCTGGGGCTGGCGTCTGGAAAGGTGCCGGAGAAAATCTCGGTGTGGAATTCGGTGGATAGGTTTAGATGGGTTTGCGCTGGCTTGAAGGGTTGATCCATTGACGTCGTCAAACACTGGAAGAAATGGATCCTGTCTCGGAACGTGCCCTTCAGGGCCCTTATCGGTTGGTAGTGACCGGGAAGGAACTTAAGGTACGTATTTTCAATGTTAGTTGACTGGATCTATCAATGCCTCCAGTGGTTTGACCCATTCTGTACACTGGCCTGGTTGCTCCTTGTCAATTGATCCATCCTCTTCTCTCGCAATAGTTCAGGTATAAGGAGAGAAGATTCATGTCATAGATCAATTCATTGAAGTTCAATGTGAACAGTGCTCAAGGTCCTTGTGTAAATTGTAATTGTATAGAGTACGGAAGTACAGTACAGAGACGCTTGCTCCTGCCCAAGTGTTCGCTGGGGCTTGGCTGAAGCCCGTCGTAAGTGGGTCTCATCCAAGGACTTCCCGGCCCTGGGTGGGTCCGGGAAGGTACATTCCTCGCCAATCTTGTTAGTGACAAGCCCGCATACGAAGGCGAAGCTTGCCCTGCGGCTTTGGCGTCGCCTTCCCCTTGAACTCAGATGTCATGGCCTCGTACCACGCGGGTTGCAAGTGGCGTTTTCATATAATAAAAAGGTTGCTCGCCTTTGCGCGCTTCTCACGCATATTCTCCCACCCTCTTCGCTTGCTTTATATGTGTGCGCGCTACTACTGCCCTTCCATACACAGATACGCCTTTCTTTTTCTTTTTTGGTAGATCGTGACGAAGCTCGTTTGGCGACGGAAACCATCCTGCACACCTTTGCTTTTTCTAACGCTCTTTTGGTGCAGCTTCTGCGTCACGCTCTCTTGTTCACTACGGACGCCCTTGCCGTACGTTTTTGTGTGTCAACAGCGCCAGGCAGGTGCTCAACCTCTTGTTTCAATCTCACGATATAACGCTTGTACCTTGCACATTGTGTCCTCAACACTGGGACCGTACCCCTTGTCAGACGCTCCATGATTGCTGAAATCTGTCGGAGCTCGTGACCTCGAACATTTCCCAACGCCTCAACGCCTCATTCCTCTATCCTTTATTTTCTAGTCACCACGGTGGTTCCCAGTCTCCCCTTGACACCCTCGAAGTTCTGGGTAGAGGCTAGCCAATTATCGCAGGGTCCGACGCTCGACTTCTCTCCGAAGGTTGAGTCAGACCTGGTAATTCTTTCTTTACATCTATCAGACGCTGCCGAAATATCACACCTATTCAGTGGTTGGGGAGCGAAAAACGCACCTTGATCTTCACCTCACACAAATTCGTTTCTCAAGAAAACCCCTCTCGATTTACACTCACTCCAGCCTTTAGTGAGTTGGTGGACAATGGCGGTCCCCGGCAGGGCTTGCGTGCTTCTGTCCCGGGTCGTTGGCGCTGGTGGCGCCCAAGCTCGGAGAAGCTGCTGTGATGCTTTCAGGACGACGCATATAACGAAACGGCGGCCCTTGTCTTGGTCAACGAAGAATAGCGCCTCAATCAGTCACCCATCCCCTCGATCCCCTCCTCCCCGGGGCCAAAAACGACTCAAAGGCGAGGGCCAAGATTCCCTTGCTGGCCACTAGCTGTGTCATTGTTGCTGTCGTTGCATATACATACCTCGCCCGTCCTCTCCGCGCGGATGCAGCATTCGCTCCACACTCCTCGCTTAACCCCAGAGCGGATTCGGATGGCCGGGACCCGAGCCGTCCGCGATACCGCATCTCGGAAGTCAGAAGCCACGGCGCCGATTCTGACCGGCCTTGGGTGACGTATGGGGACAAGGTGTACGATATCACGGACTGGATACCTGCCCACCCCGGTGGCGAGGTTATATTAAGAGCCGCCGGAGGCAGCATTGATGTCTTCTGGGACATCTTTGCTATCCACAAACAGCCCTATGTTCGGGATATATTAGAGACCTACCTGATTGGTTACGTCGCCACCGAGGATCTTGTAGATGGGAAGCTCCCTCAGGATAAGATTGAAGATCCCTTCTTACAAGATCCCGAGAGGCACCCTAGCCTCCTCACGCTAACTCAGAAACCCCGCAACGCCGAAACTCCCGGAGATGACCTGGCCGCTAGCTTCCTTACCCCGAATGACCTCTTTTACGTCCGAAACCACATGTGGGTTCCCCAGATTGACGGCACTGGAGCTGACCATGCCGTCACCATCGAGTTACCCGACGGAGAAATTAAATCCTACACACTGCAAGAGTTGAGGGAGAAGTTCCCAGCTTACAAAGTTACGGCTACGCTCCAGTGCTCGGGAAATAGGCGCAAGCATATGACAAATGCAGGTCTGAAAACGAATGGCCTTCAGTGGAACGTAGGTGGTATCTCCTCGGCCGAATGGGAGGGCGTTCGTCTCGTCGACGTGCTCAAGGATGCTGGTTTCCCCGTGGAGAAGCACCGAGATGGCGGCGACACCGGCGCCAAGCACGTGTGGTTTTCTGGGCTGGAAGCCTATGGATCGTCGATACCGCTGGACACCGTCGTCGATCCTCGCGCTGACGTTTTACTCGCCTATGGCATGAATGGAGAACCCCTCCCCCGCGACCATGGCTTCCCCTCCGCGCGCTCGTTCCTGGGACGGTGGCTGCGCGATCAGTCAAGTGGCTAAGCAAAATTGTGCTTTCCGACGAGGAGAGCCCTTCACAGTGGCAGCGCCGGGACTACAAGCTCTTTGGTCCCAACGTGGGCGGTGCCGCCGACTGGGACAGCGCTCCTGCCATCCAGGAGATGCCCATTACGAGCGCCATAACCTCCATCAAGGTCCAAAACGACGGGCCCGTGGACTGCAGCGATCCGGACTTGCCAGAGAAGATTGCGACGCTACAGGGCTACGCCTTTTCAGGGGGCGGCAAAAGATTGTGAGGGTGGACGTCTCGCTGGACAACGGCAAGACGTGGGACCAGGCTGAACTAATTGACGATTGCGCTCCTAGAGGAGACGACGGCGAGTCGCCCTGCAAAGGGAGAAAGAATTGGATCTGGCAGCGGTGGCGCTACGATACCCAACTGCCCATGGACGAGCAGCGGGGTGATAAGTGGTGTTCTACGGTCGTGGTCAAGGCTACCGACGAGGTCTACAGCTCCCAGCCCGAGCACCACGAAGGCATTTATAACCTGCGAGGGAATTTGGCGACGGCCTGGCACCGCGTCTCTGTCTGCACCGAGTGTAGGAAATAAAACATGCCCCCTACTCACCCTTCTATCGGCTTTCTTTACTTTTATTTTTCCTCCCCAGAAGAGGCCCGCAAAAGGAGCCCCTGATGACTACGACGATAATGAGCAACGCGTGTACAGCAGCTGTACTAGCCGTTTTTCTAATATTCACATTTCTTTATACATAATAGATATATACATATACACCTTCCTCCTATCTCCTTTTTAGTGTTGCGTCGGAGTTCTGGACAGCGTTTGGCTATAAGACAAGCACCTCCCTGCTTTTGTATAGGCGAGTGGGCATGGTTCAGTGCAGGTGAACTGCTTATCAGTTTAACATAGCTAGCGAAGATGAAAAATAGTAAAATAAAGACTATATCCTTCCAGCGACCTAACTTTTGAAGTGCGCGACAAGTCTTTGGTGCATTCCGTTAAAAGAGAACCTTGACAGTCTCCATGTTACGTGTAAGGAGAGGAGTGTGTTGACTTCGGAGACATCGAAAACTCCTGAAAATGGACATCAGATCAAAGCTTGGATTCAATTACGGAGATGGGAACACAGAATTGATCTTAGATTAGAACTGTGCTTGATTTCTTTCTCTTCCTTGCGTGATCTCCAAGGCATGGATATCTCTGGTATCAGGAAACAAGTGCTGAAGGCGGAAAGAAGAAGGGGAAAAAGGGATTCTGAATCGAGGAACGGGATCGAAAAGAACTAAAAAAACTAAAAGCACCACCGCTCCCTCGACACCACTTCCTCAGGAAAACGAAAGGTGAATAGAAACTGAAAATAAGAGGGAAGGGAGGATAGCCAGGGCCGAATCAGAAGAGCATACAGCCATGGCGATAGAGAAAAGGGATGGTATCGCGAGGGGGAAAAGAGGCGAGCAAAGGGTGGGTAATGGATATCATGGATATATATATATATATAGAGGAAGACAAGGAAAGAGCTGAGGCCCCGAATAAACCCACGAGGGGGAACCTAAAAAGGCGACACAGCAAGCAGATTGTCAGACTGTAGAGGCGCGGAAGAAAAACAGACAAGACAGGGGGAAGTACCTAGGTCATATCAACATAGGCGAAGAGGAGAAGATGAAGTGCAAGCGGAGAAAAAAAAAAAGAGGAATAATAATAATAAAGGTTAGAAGATAGATTTAACGCAAAGAAAGCCAAAGGCGCAAAAGACCGATCCGATATAGCCCCTCCCTCCCAGTGTTCCCATTTGAGAAAAAAAGAAAAAAACAGTTCGCCCAACTTATCCTACCACACCCTTAGTCGCACCCCTCCGTTTCCAAGAAAAAGCCAATTCGAGTCAAGTTGGAGGAGTAAAAGAGAACAAGAAAAAAAGAGTAGCTAGGAATGATGGTTAAGAGGATGAAAAGGACGGAGAAGAAAAAGCGGTCGAGAATAATGTGAAGAAGTGAGGAGAAAAAAAGACAAGTAAACCCCCATTATAAGAAGATGAGCAAGCTTTTTTCCACCCATTGCGATGTTGTTTCAGAAAGAGCAGGAATAAAAACATGATGGCGGAAGTGTGAAGATAATGGATATTCTGTAGACAGACGAAAGCGAGGAGTACAAGGAGGTCAAGAGTGGCTAAGGTAGGCGGTGTGGTGACGTCCGCGCAGCCAACTATGTCATATAGAACGCGTATCTCCGGTTCCCTTCCCCTTGTTGGGGGTTTGTCTTTTCTATCATCGTCTGATGTGCAGGTTGGTCCCCGATCCGCGAGATAATATACATATAGGGTGTGTGAGGAAGGAGAGGGAGGAGGGGGTAGGTTTCGTATGGGGGAAGAGGACAAGCGCGAGAATGGACAGGAAGTTTGACCATTGCGTTTTGTTTTGCTTCCAAGAAAAGCGGGGAGACGCGGGACGAGCTCGCCATGGGTGATGTGAACACCGCTCATTCCCCGTCTCTACCGCCTCTCGCCGACAAACTCGCCAGTCTTGCGGGAGAGGAGTCGGATATTGTCGACAAAGGATTCGATGAGCTCTGGGTATTTGTGCGGTTCGTGGGCCATGATGCGTCGGCCTTGTTCGAGAACGGTGCTAGCCTCGAGCTCGATCTCAAGCTCGTGTTCCTTGCGCTGGGGGCCTAAAGAGAATCAATCGCGTTAGTTGGAGCGCCAAATCATCAACGAAACGAAGACAAAGCCATGATGGGGCGTGGTTCCGGTCGGGGAGAAAAAGGATCGAAGATCAAATGCAAAATAGGTAGAGTAGAAAGAAAGAGAGAAGGTGGTGAAAAAAAAAAAAGAAAAGGGACAACTTACGCTGTGACCGGACATTGGCGTCGTCACCTGGGTCAAGTCCACTTGTATGCTTCCCTGCGCGTAGCTCAGTCGATCCTTTTGCCTCGGAGGAGATCCCCTGTCCCCCCGCCGCCAATCTGCTCCAGCTCCTCGACGGGGCCAGGCCAATCCATTTCGAGGTTGATGCTGATGCGGCAGTCGAGAGGCGAGTTGGGCATGTGGATGTTGAGGTCGGCGACGCGCACCTTGACAATCGTGGCCACCACCTTGCGCGAGCGCTGTTCGTACGTCACCCGCACCTTGGGCGTGTGCCGCGGTCGCATGAGCGCGCGCACGCAGCCGGGCAGCGTGTCGCGTAGCTGGGGCGGCAGCTCAAAGTAGCAGTCCTCCTCCCGCCGGTGTTTATAGTGCACCTGCACGCGCGCCGCCGCGCCGGGGGCGGGGTTCCGGGGGTCGGCCTCGATGACCATGCGGTTGAGGTAGTCGTTGAGACCTTTGTGCTGAGCCTAGAGAAGCCACCATAGTTAGCTCGGTTCAATTGTAAATTGTGGGCAAGGGTACAAGACAGTGGTGAACTGTCACAGGCCAAAAATATCGCCTTATTCCATCGTTAAATTGTACGTACCTCTGTCATGCTGCTGCGGAAAGCGAGCTGTCCCCGGTCTTGCAGCAGACACTCCGACGCAACCATATACGCCACCCGCTCGTTGGTGTCCTTATCAATGATCGTCCCTAGCTTGGCCTCAATCTCGAACGCGATTCCGAGACTCGCAATCTCCACAGCATCCTGATTATTGATCACGTTGAGGAACAAAAAGTCCGCCACGGCCTTGTTGAGTTCGTCAATCGGCTTGACATTGGCAATCGTCGGTTCCCACGGTCCCAGTATAGCCGTCATTTCCGCCTTGGAGTCAGATGGAGGCGGTACCGCGGTCACGGGGGCAGGAGGCCCGGGTTGGGCGACTGGGGCATTTTGTTGGGTGTTGCCCGGGGGCCTGACTACCTCTGGCGACGTGTTCCGGCTCTTATGTTCTGCTATGAAACTAGGCGCCCGCCCGTTCAGAGATGGGGGCTGTGAGGTGGGTTTCCGCTTCGGGAACTCGAAATTGGCGTGTCGCAGCTTTTGGTGGTTCTTGAAAGTCTGGGCCCAGACTGGCGGTTCGCTGTACACCTTGCGCTTGGGATTCTTCTTCTTCTCCATCGTTGGGGACGCTGAGGCCCTGGGACCGCCGCTCGACATCGGTCCGGAAGACCCGACAGCGCCGGAAGAATTGCTCCTGCTTGTCGGTGGTTGTCGTGGCGTCACGGGCACAGATTTGCCGTTCGCCACAACGTCGCCCTGACGTTGGCGAACCTCTCTCCGATCCGAGTCGTCATCCGTATCCCTGTCCTCCATCTTGCGCTTCGCGGGCGTCGTAACGGGGTCCGTTCTGGCGGGCACCGCCACGTGCCGGGGGTTCAGAAGAAGGGAGAGCCATCATGTGGTTGTTTTGGATCTTGTTGTTGACGTGCGTCTTGGGGCTTACGCTCACGCTGGGATCACGGTCGCTCTTGGACTGGGACGTTCGACGGACTTCCTAGCTTGCTGGATAGGTGAAGTATGTGCGCTTGGGATCCTGTTCGTTATCACCCCCGACATGGGCGTAGGCGGCGCGGGAGAACTGTGCACTTGGGGTTGATGGGGCGGCGGTGGCGGAGGGGAGCTGGCTGTTGCTGCTGATGTGGGTGAGGTGGCGGCGCCTGTTGCTGCTGTTGCTGAGGTGGGGGTTGATGCTGCTTCTGCTGCTGAGGCTGTTGGGGAAGCGAGATGGGGGAGGGCCGACCGACGACATGCGTTGGACGCTCGGGCTGGGAGGATGTGCAAAATTCGACATGTCTGACGATTGTCGATGAGGCGGCGGGGCAGGATGGGGAGGGGGCTGAGAATGTTGCCTGTTGAAAGGTATCGGCGGCCTGTTGGTGGGTGCCGGGCTTCTTTGTTGGGGTTGTTGATGGGGAGCCGGCTGTTGTTGCTGATGAAAAGAGCCTCCGTAGGGGGATGCTGGCTATGGGCAGAAGTTGGCGTGGATGTGTTGGTGACAGAATGAGTTGACTGAGACCGCTGGTGGGGATAGGGATGTGAGGCCGAGGAAGGAGCGCCCGGGGTTGAGGGTGTTTGTAGGATAGGCGATTGCTGTTGACGGTAGGGCCCACCTGGACCGTGAGGTCCCGGTACGGGCCCCCAGGTTGGAAACCGTCTCGATGACCGGTATATGCATTAGGAGGTGGGTACTGTTGATGCTGTTGGATGGGACTCTGCATCTCTGTCGGTGTTCGTTGGCCGGGGCCGGAAAGTAGCTACCTCCCGCCCCGGGAGGACCGTTAGCCAACGGTGTGGATGACGCACGATTAAACGGGTTCGGCCCGGACATCGGCGTAGCGACGGGGACTGCACATTGGCATATTGCGGATCCTGGAGTGACGGAGGGGCGGGTCGGGCAGGGTACGGCGCGGGAGACTGATAAGGCGACTGGGCCGGATAGGGCATCGATTGCTGCCTTTGGGGTGGCTGGGGGTACTCTGGGTGTTTGCCCGGAGATTGGTGAGGATGCGGATAATCATATTGAAAAGGTGGCTTCTGTTGAGATGGCGTTGAGGGAGATTGCGCCATATGCTGGTACTGGGGAGGCGGTGGTTGTTGGAGTTGGGGTTGTGGTTGTGGTGGACGTGGTGGTTGCCGCTTGGAGCGGTCGCCACCGTCTGACGTGTTTAATATGCCTCGGAGATCCATTGTGTCGTGTTTCTGGGAAATTTCAAGTCATCGCCCTGCCTGCGCTTGATAAAATGGGCCTGGCCCAGCTCGAGATGCGATCGCCCGAGGGTGGTGTTCAATGGTTGCGCCTTGTGTGGTGCTTCGTCTCGCGATGGCGCCGCGTCGTCGTGCTTTGCAGCATAAAAGCTCTAATCGATTGGTCGTGATTAAATAAGAGGGGAACCCGAAAAAAAGCGCCAAGTGGACAAAAAAGATTCGCTCGCTATTTATATCGAAAGTGCAAGGCCTTTTTGCCTCTGGTCGGGGGCGTTAGGTGTTGGAAGCCTGGGAGAGGTAACTTCGTTGAGTGTGATAAGGAGGTTGGTAGATATCAGGGAACAAGCTTGCCCAAATCGTCATGCAACAAAGCTCAATATCGCGTCGCCCTTCGCTACCGTAGGGAGAGGAGGGAAAAATTAGTCGAACGTGATGGTTCTTGAATTAATACGCGACAACTGAGTCCGGCTTTGGGCTCGAGTTGTTGCGCAGCAAACGGTGAGAGCTCGTGGTCATGACGCGGCTTGGGCGTCGAGCATAGAACCGGGAGTCTCGTTTTTAGATTTTGCGATTGCGGCCGTCGTTCAAGGCAGCCGTCCCGGCGGAGGTACAAACAGACAACACAACCTAGGCCGAATGAGCGCTTCTTGATGGCGCAAGGGCACGAAAATGCGTTGGGCGAATGATTAGGTGATGGAATTCGTGCGGACAGACGTTTTGGCGACGATGCGATAGAAGGGGAGGGCACGATTGTGTTGGGATGGGCGATCTGGTAATAATTTTTTTTTTTTTACCGGGGGTGGGAGGTTTTTCTTCAGTGAGGAATGTTGCAACCTGTTCCCGAGCGCATGGAGCAGCCGTGTGCGTGTGCGTGCTGGAAGCAATGCTTTTGGTGGTTGGCCTGTCCTCAACTTGCTTCGGTTCCAGGGAAAACCAACTGGCCCAAGGACAAACGCGACTCCAAATCCAGAGTGTGTGGAAATGAAGAGAGAATTCTCAACGGCCAGGCTTCTTCAAAATATTGCAAGCATCAATTAGATCGGGTTCCGGGCCCGACGGTTTGGCGTAAATCGGGCTGGCCTAATATGCGTCGCGATGATGAGAGTTACGCAAGGTTTCCTTCCTTTTTCTTGCTTCTTTTTTTCTTTCCTCTGGCTGCTCTCTCGTTGCTTCAAATCTCAATTTTCAGTCGGATTTTTCACTGCGAATTCTTTTTCTCTCCTTTTACCTAAGGATCAGTGCGAAACGGGTTGGCTATTTCATTGCACTGTGTAAGGGCACAGGTCGTATTTTCAAATGGAACATCGGAGACTTTGTAAAATTATGTACTTGTGACACACAGCTAATTTACTTTTGCTACCTATCATGGGTCGGAAATTGTTAATGGCGCCCAAGCATCTACCTCTTGTCCACTCTTCGGCACTGTACGAAACACACGCCTTCCCAAAGAACAATACTGTTTGAGCGATCTTCCCCCGTGCAACCAGATCAACCGGGCATATCGACGTGTGACGAGGCTGAGATGTGTCGGAGGATAAAGACGGCTAATATATATTGACTATCAATCTAACCACTCCTCGAAAAACTGGAACCGAGAGGCTCTCATGGGAAATGGGAAAGGAGAAGGGGACCATGGCAAACAGAGCCTCCGATTTTTGCTCATCATCGGGGCAAGCTTGTGCGCGCGTTGTGTGCCAAAACCCAACGTGTCTTCATTGCTCTTTGCGGCGGAGCCAGCTAGCTCATCAAAAGGCCCCTCCATCCACTCCATCTTACACTTATACTCCTTTGACGCCGAGACACCTAGACCCAAGCGCGAAGGGTGAGTCGGCCAAAAAAAACAGAGCAAGCACCTCTCTTTCCTTTAAAAAGGTTGGAAAGGGATCAAAAACAAAAAAGTCCGTATGCCCTCTGTCCGGCAACGTTGATCCACATGGTGCAAGGACTCTCTCAATTGCCGCGGACTCTCCAATGTTTTAGATGTCGCGGCCGTGCTTTTCCGAGTCGTTCATCGCTCGTCCTTCATCCCCTGTGGGGAGCATACGTAATGCTGTGTGGGCACGCACACAGAAGGAGCTCTGTTTGAGTTACTTTCTCAAATTGAGAGCTAGGTGTCAAGACGAGGAGGGCGCAGCTTCCTTGTCTGGCTTAGTCACCCATCCACGCAGGCCACCACGCCAGGTAAGCCAAGGAGCTTTGTGTCTTGTTGTGTTGTCGGACCGAACTTAATCCGGAAAAGCTTTGGCCACCAGGCGTCAAGCAAGCCCAGTGCTGCATGCAGGCGCGAGGCACCTCCAGGCAAGCTGTTCCTGACGTGGACTCGCTCAGCTCAGAGATTGCCTTGTTTCTCATCTCCCATTGTCACAACCCTATCCCACTCAACCATCATCACAACATCCTCATCCCCCTTCCATCCATCGGCAACTTCTCCACCGACGCTTGCGCCGGATTCAATCTATTCTACTTCCTCTCTTTTCCCCTTGTCAAAGAATAATTTCGTATCACAAACCGCCTCTCGTCGGCATCCGCGTCTCGACCACACAACCAGGCTCTTGCCGAACCCGATCGTCGATAAAGGAGCATCAGTTCATCAGCTCTATCTCGTGCCAAAATCTCATCAGAATCCCCCTTCATCTCTATTTCCTGCCTTGAGGCAAAATTCACAATGCCGGGCCTCGTCTCCGCCACAGGCGTCCTTGCCTTTCTCGCCGATGAGGAGCCTGAACTCAAGGTCTACGCCCTCCAGACCCTCAACGATGATGTTGACACTGTTTGGACAGAGGTTGCTGGGTCTCTGAGCGATATGTAAGTAGGGAAAATATTGCGTTTCGCTTGGGTTTGGACGGTACCCGAAACCCGCAGCCATGTCTATTGCGCTTTCGGTGCACTGAAACGACGTATTTTGCGTTCCTTGCAACTAACTTTTGGCTTTCCACCCATGTCTATAGTGAGGCGATTTATGAAGACGAGACCTTTCCCGAACGCCAACTAGCAGCGCTTGTCCTTTCCAAAGTCTACTATCACCTCCAAGCGTATAATGACAGCATGAACTTTGCGCTTGCCGCCGGTGACCTCTTCAAGCTCGACGCACCCGGCGAGTTCGAGGAGACCATCATCTCAAAGTGCATCGATCAGTACATCGCGGTCAACGCCTCCGAGCATGTCCCCAAGTCCTCGCGAGTGGATACCAGCCTCCCTCTCCTTGCGGATACCTTCACCGGTGCCGATGGCTCTTCCATCATCTCGCCCACGACCCCTTTCTCCCAGACAACTCTTCCCCCAAGGTCGCTGCTCTCTCGGGCATCTGTGGACAATGCCATGCTAGAGCCCTCTTTCCAGCCAATCGGAAAGATAGGTCGCCTTGGCTCTATCGCGCAAATATCCGATCGAGGTACTCGAGAAGCACTAGAGGGCGTGATAGAACGGCTATTCTCCAACTGTTTGAAGCAAAGAAATACCGTCAAGTAGTGGGGATCGCTGTTGAGGCCAAGAAGCTGGACGTCCTTCAGCGCGTCATCAAGCGCGCCAAGGAGGACTCTAGCGGGGATGCCGCCACCTCAGCCGAAGAGTTGATGGATTATGCCCTTAGCATCTGCCTAGATATCGTTCAGGAGAGGAGCTGGCGTACTGAGATACTTCGCCTCATTCTTGAGCTTCTCAACGACATCCCTAACCCGGATTATTTCGCCATCGCCAAGTGCGTCGTCTACCTCGACGCTGACGAGGAGGCATCTACGCTCCTCCGGACGCTCGTTGAACAAGACGACAAGGTGTCCGTGGCCAATGCTTACCAAATCGCTTTTGACCTCTACGATAATAGCACGCAAGAGTTCCTTGGCAAGGTTATCAAGTCCCTGCCTAGCGGCGAGGTCAAGCCTAAGCCCAACCAGGCGAGCGTCGTAGACGAGGCGGCCGCCGAGAGCGAGCCCCTACTGTCCGAGGACGCCCAGGACAGCTCTTCCGCTGACGTTGAGGATCTCCCCGAGAACTTGGCCAAGGCGTACAAGAACATTCGATCCATCCTTACCGGCAGCAAGACGATTCAACTCAACCTCGAGTTCCTCTACCGCAACAACCACACCGATCTCAGCATCCTCAACAAGGTTCGCGACAGCCTAGAAGGACGCAACTCCATCTTCCATACCGCCCTGACCTTCTGCAACGCTTTCATGAACCAGGGCACGACGAATGACAAGTTCTTCCGCGACAACCTTGAATGGCTCGGCAAGGCTGTCAACTGGTCCAAGTTCACGGCCACCGCCGCCCTCGGTGTTATCCACCGTGGAAACTTGAGCCAAGCCCGCAAGCTTCTCGAACCCTACCTGCCTCGCGAAGGAGGCCCCAATGGTGGTTCCATCTTCAGCCGTGGCGGTGCGCTCTATGCCTATGGTCTCATCCACGCCAACCACGGTGCTGGTGCCCTCGAGTATCTTAAGACCAAGTTCATCCAGGCTGAGGAGGAGGTCATTCAGCATGGTGGTGCTCTCGGTCTTGGTATCGCGGGTATGGCGACGGGCTCTGAGGAGATCTTTGACCACCTCAAGAACGTCCTATTCACCGACTCCGCCCTCAACGGTGAGGCTGTCGGTCTCGCCATGGGTCTCATCATGTTGGGCACCGGCAACGTATCGGCCATTCAGACGATGCTCAGCTACGCCCGCGACACGACGCACGAGAAGATCGTGCGAGGCATCGCCATTGGTATGGCTCTCATCATGTACGGCCGCCAGGAGGGCGCCGACGTCATGATTGAGGGCCTCCTCAATGACCCCGACCCAACCCTCCGATATGGTGGCATCATGACTGTTGCCCTCGCCTACTGCGGCACGGGTAGCAACAAGGCCGTCCGCAAGCTTCTGCACGTGGCGGTGAGCGACGTGAGCGATGATGTGCGACGAATTGCGGTGATGAGTCTTGGCTTCATCCTCTTCAGGAAGCCCGGCAGCGTGCCTCGCATGGTCGAGCTCCTCTCCGAGTCGTACAACCCCCACGTTCGCTACGGTTCGGCCATGGCCCTCGGTATCTCGTGTGCGGGTACCGGCCTAGATGAGGCCATTGACCTGCTCGAGCCCATGATGAAGGACCCGACCGATTTTGTCAGGCAGGGTGCTCTGATTGCACTATCGATGATCATGGTTCAGCAAAACGAGGCAATGAACCCCAAGGTCGGCGCAATCCGAAAGACGCTGAAGAAGGTCGTTGGCGACCGCCACGAGGACGCCATGACCAAGTTCGGTGCAGCCCTCGCCCTCGGCATCATCGACGCTGGCGGCCGCAACTGCACTATTGGCCTCCAAACCCAGACCGGTAATCTCAACATGGCGGGTATTGTCGGTATGGCTGTATTTACCCAGTACTGGTACTGGTTCCCCTTCACCCACTTCCTGTCACTCAGCTTCTCTCCCACATCCATCATTGGTCTCGACCACGATCTGGAGATTCCCGACACCAAGTTCTACTCGGCGACCCGCCCCAGCCTCTTTGATTACCCACCCGAGCAGGAGGCAAAGGCCGAGGAGGGGCCCGCGCTCATCGCTACGGCCATCCTCTCCACCACGGCGCATGCCAAGAGGCGCGCTCAGAGGAAGGAGAGGGCGATGAGGCGGGAGAGCATGGATCTTGACATCCCCGCTACCAAGGCCACAGGCGCTGCCGGAGGCGAATCTAGCGAAAAGATGGATGTTGATGAGGAGAAGGACAAGAAGGACGAAAAGGAGAAGAAGGATGAGTCCAAGGATGAGAAGAAGGATGGCGAGGCGGCCGCTCCTGATTCGAAGAAGAAGGCAGAGAAGGAGAAGGTGGGCTACGATATGGACAATATGTCGAGGGTGTTGCCAGGGCAGCTGAAGTACATCAGCTTCCCTTCCGGCAGGTATAAGCCCGTCAAGAAGGTACGTTCTTTTTTTATTGCTTTCCTTTTCCTGACGCCTACTCACCCCCCACCCTTCATCTACTGTCGCCTTGATCGTGCGCTAACTCTACTTTTTCCTCAAAGCCTACTGGTGGTCCCATTCTCCTGCACGACACTCGCCCTGACGAGCCCAAGGCCCTCGTTGAGGAGAAGCTCAAGAAAGTAACGACGGAGCGCGCTCCTGTTGCCCCCACGGGTGGCGGTGGGGCTCGTGGAGGTCGCTCTAGCCTCGGCGCGAGCAACCCCTTCATCGACGCTCTACAGCGCCAGGCGGGCGGTGACCTAACCCTCCGCGAACTCAACAACCTCTTCCGGCCGTCCCGTGATGGCGCTGGTGCGGGTGGTTCGTCGGACGCTGCTGGTGCCGCAGAGCCTGGCAGCGGTGCAGCAGCGGCTGCGGGCGTGTTGACCGCGGTGGACGAGGATGGCGAGGGAGATGAGGAAGCCACCGTCCCCAGGGAGTTCAACTACTACACGGATGATGAGGAGGAGGAAGAATAAGAGGTCGGGCTAGCAACGGATGTTCGATGGGCTCGCTCCCTTGCATTCTCTTCTTCTTTCTTTTATCTCGTCGCGTTCCGGTTTCATAGCATTGTTTAAGCTACGCATTTCACTGCACAAAGGGTTGCAGCGAATAACTTGGTGCCCGTCGCATTCCTGAATAGGTGCACGTTTGGTTTGTGTTGTGTGGGTTGGGCAGGAGTGGTAGTTTTCTTCATTTCTTTGTTTCGTACTTTCTCCACACCGGGAAAGATAATAGATGTACAATACTTGTATTGAACTGGGGAAGTAGAGAATATATGTGGTCAGCAACTCCTTTTTCTTGACTTTTGTCCGTCTATTTACGCCCCGCGTCAACTTCCTTTACCCAACGGAGAGGAGAAGGGACGTATCGAATGCTCTCAGAGATCAATGTCTTGCTTGCCCCACTTAACCCTCGCTCTGCAGGGTGGGCCAGGTCGTTCCTGCATTTCGCTGGGGAACAGAGACGAGGAGAGCCCATCCATTTTGCCCTTATCGTTATCAGTGCTTATCGATAAGCCGGCAATAATTTTTCCAGACCGCAGCCAGCGCATCCAGCGCAGCCCGCCCTGCTCGAGGCCAGAATGACAGCTCGTAGCCAAATTGAACCGCCTTCCTTCCTGAGTGCTCTTCCTCTCTGGCGAAACCAGCTTCTAGCTTAGCTTTTCAGGCCCCTCTACGCTACTCACTGTCCGGTTCAATTCGTCAATCGAGGTCCTCCCCAGATACGGTCTAGAATCTCCTCTTCTTTTTTTCTTCTTCTCACTCTCTCTCTAACCCATTGTCATTTTTTCCCCGCCCGCCAACACAACGACTCCCCTCGACAGCGCGGGGAAAAACAACCATGTTTGAGAGCGTGTGCAGTCTTCCGCTCTCCGGCGATGTCTTTGCGCAGGCGGTACACCCTACGGAGCCGCTCGTGGCCGTGGGCCTGTTCAATGGCCGGGTGAAGTGCTTTCGGCTGCCACCGACGACGGGCGGAGGCTCGAGCGTGTCAGAGGATGATGCGGAGACGAGCATCTTGTCCGATGGACGGGCGACGATTGACACGATTTGGGAGACCAAGAGACATAAGCGGAGCTGTAGGGCGTTGACGTATTCCCCGGACGGTGACTGTAGGTAGCTTCCTTTTTTTAAGAAGGTTTGCCCCAGGAGGGAAACGTGCTCGCTAACCAGATTCTTTTTCTCCATATGTATAGTCATGTTCTCCGCAGGAAGCGACGGCATTGTGAAGCATTTTTCGTCGAGCTCTGGACGAGTAGCCTCCAAGGTATTAGTGCCCAAGTTTGCAAACCAAGAAGACGCGCCTTCGATCCTCCACGCCATCGACCCGCAGCATATCCTCCTCGGAACGGACGCCGGCGCGCTGCACATCTTCGATCTCCGGCAGGACGGCCTAGCAGGCAAGGCGGCGCGGACGAGCTTCCCGCACACGGACTACATCTCCTCCATTGTGCCGCTGCCGCCCAAGGCGGCGACGGAGAAGGGCGGTGGTGGTGATGGGGCGAGCGTGTTCCCGAAGCAGTGGGTGACGACGGGCGGGACTACGCTAGCGGTGACGGATATACGGTCAGGGACGTTGGTGCGATCAGACGACCAGGAAGATGACCTGCTGTGCGCGACATACGTGGCGGGGATTGGGCCGAAGAAGAGTACCAACCGGGGCATCGTAGCTGTCGGAGGCAGCACAGGGTGCTGACCATGTGGGACCGGGGCTCGTGGGACGACCAGCAGGAGCGGGTGATTGTGGATACGGGTCGCGGGGGTGGAGACAGCATCGACGCGGTGGCGCTGATCCCCGAGGAGGCGGGGTACGGGAAGAAGCTGTTCGCGGCGGTGGGCGACGGCAGCCTAAGGCTCGTGGATCTGATAAAGAGAGAGGTGGATATCACGGCCACGTTGAGGCACGATGACCAGGAAGGGGCCATCGCGATAGATTTCGACTGCTACGGCCGCATGATCACGGCGGGTGGCTCGATTGTCAAGATTTGGGAGGACTTGACGGAGCTGCAGATTGCCGACTCGGACGATGAGGATGAGGATGAAGAAGATGGCAGCGAGAGCGATGATGATGATGACGACGATGACGGCGATGACGATGATGAAGAAGAGGGAGATGACTCGTCGGATAATGGCAAAGCCGCCAAGAATAAGAAGAAGCGGGCGAGGGAAGAAAGCAGCGACGACTCGGATGACTCGGACGACGACTCGGCTGACGAGAGGGAGCGCGAGAGGCAAGAGAAGCAGCGGAAGAGGCGAGAGGCGATTGCGGCGCGGTTAGGGCCGATGGGGGCGCATGGGGTGCTCAAATTTGATGGTTTGGATTAAAGAGGCAAGGCAATAAAAGAGAGTCAAAGGGTCGCCCAACAATGGCCCGTCCCTTGACTTTTTTACTATTTGCTTGTTTCCATTTCAACCCGCGATGCCATGACCATCGCGGGGGCTGTACAGATGGGCCTTTACTAGGGGGAAAGCACGCGGAGAAGCAGAATAAAAAGACGAGATCTTTTGATACCCACGTTGGGAGAGAATTCAGGCCGGAAACGGATCCGTCTCGAGTAGAAGAATAAGAATATACATAGTTATCAAGTCGAACAATCTTTTGGAGTGACTGGATCGCCTCTTTCCCAAATGCGAGGCTCTCCGCGTGTGTGCTGAACCGCGATCTAGACGGATGTCCTGAGACTGAGCCTACCTAGATGGATCGAACTGTACAAGTTTCCCTTGACGAATTTCCACACTGAGCATCTTGAAAGAATGTCCCGTTGGCCACCTGCTCGTCGTCCGTTGGCCGGCTTTGCGGGCTCGGTGCGGATGGAATGGTGTCGCAAAGCGGGGAAGCGACCGATGGATAAAGCAGGACGAATTAGAACTTGGAAACAAAAAGCAATAGCTCAAAGATCCGACTGATATCTCAATTCAAAAGTAGATGGATTCCAAGATAGTACTATTTCCACTTTAAATCAATGATATTTTCTTTCACTATGTGGCTGTTTAGGTCCTCTGGATAGTGGGAGTCTTTAAAGCCTTTCTCCTAATGTGTCTTATTAGTGTGGTGTGTTCAACCCCAGCCCAGCCACCTTGTTCAACCTATGTTCTTTTTGAGCCTCATACCTGCATCCACATGTATTTGAAGCTTATCCGCGTCTCATCATCAACCTCACCTCCTCCATCGCAAAAGCCCACTTCAGTGAGGATCGCGATCTTCAAGGCAATTAGGTCAGGCTTAGTCCTCTTCCAATAGAGGCTGGGTCCTCTCCCTCTTTCTTTTGTTTCCTTTCAATCTTGGCTTAATCAAAATTGCTTCCCTTCTTCATCATCCATCCACCATCTCAGCAAGGATAATACAAGTGTAATTTGGATCAGTATTGGCTCCATTTTCCCCCAGCAGCTTCATCATCACTTATTCTATTTTATCCTCCTTATTCCTAACCCTCTTCCTCTTTTGATTGTTCATTATCTCTCCTGCTTGCCTCTTCCGCCCAACCCACGCCATCCATCGCCATGCGGTTCTGGATCATCTTCATCTTGGCCCTAGCGCAGATTGCGGCCGCCGGGCAAAGCCTCCGGCCCCGTTGCTTGATGTATCTCACAGGGTATGATACCATTTCCCATATCCCTCCGCCTGTAGCTTTTCCTCCTAGAGCGACACGATGAAGACGAGCAGACGAGAATCAAGGCCATGCCCCGCTAACCTACGACACATCTTATCCGTCCTCGTCCATCTTTGTTAGGCAACATCCCATTGTCCCTGAATACCGCCTCACCCAGCACATCACGCACGTAGCCCTAGCATTCCTCAACTCGGATCTCTTCAACGAGGGCCACGGCCTCAACACCGACCAGCAGCCCGAGAAGACGGAATGGCCCTTGTTCGCCACCCCGCGGAGCTGAGGCCCAAGTTCCACCCCAACACCAAGTTCCTCGTCGCCATCGGCGGATGGGGCGACTCCAAGGGATTCGATACGGCCGCGCGGGACGAAGAATCGAGAGACGCATGGGCACGCAACGTTGCTAGGATGGTGGACGATCTCGGAGCGGACGGTGTCGACGTGGACTGGGAGTATCCAGGGTACGTTTTGCTTCTCTTCCCCTTTCTCATTATCCTTGTATAAGCCCTCCTCGTCATGTCATCACTCTTCCTTCCTGCACCAACCTCTTTTCAAAGCCAGAATCATAAACAATTTCCTAACGAGACATCACCACAGCGGCAACGGCGAAGACTACAAACAAATCCCCAACTCCCAAAAAACCTGGGAAATCCCCGCCTACCCCCTCCTCCTCCGCGCCCTCCGCACCCACCTCGCGGCCCCCAAGCTCCTCACCGCCGCCGTGCCGGGTCTCGAGCGCGACATGCTCGCCTTCACCCCCGCCACCCTCCCCGACATCCTCGCCTCCCTCGACTTCCTCAACGTCATGACCTACGACTTGTTCAACCGCCGCGACACCGCCACCGCCCACCACACGGGCCTGCGCGCCTCCCGCCATGCCCTCGAGGCGTATATCCGCCGCGGCGCCCACCCCGGTCGCCTCAACCTCGGCTTCGCCTTTTACGTGCGCTGGGCTCTCACCGCCCCGGGCGTCAACTGCTCCGTTTACGACAACAACAACAACGGCATCGGCTGCCCCACCGGCCTCCTCGAAGATCCCGACACCGGCACGGACCTCGGTCGCGCCGGCGCTTTTTCCTACCACGACCCCGTCCCCGCGGAGCTGCGCAAATCGTACGGCCGGGCCCTCGCCCAGGGCCGCTACGACGGCGATGGGTTCTCGTACTGGGATGCGCAAGAGGGCCGCTTCTGGTCGTTCGATACCCCCGAGGCGATCCGGCCCAAGTTTGACGTGCTCGTTCGGGACATGCACCTCGGAGGCGTGTTTGCGTGGGGGTTGGGAGAGGACGCGGATGAGTTTGAGCACTTCAAGGTGGTGCACAAGGAGGTGGGGATGCTGTGTAGGGAGAGCGAGGGGAAGAGCGAGTTGTGAAGTTTGAGTTTGGGCCATGGGGGCATTCGTTGAACCACGCCGTTCATTTGCATGGCATCAGGGGTCAGCTGGAGTAATTTTCCTTGTTGCTTTTTCCAAGATACGCGTAATCGAGAGATTCAGAGAAATTTCAGGAATTCGTTCAGATTATTGATTCAGGTGCAACGCGTGACTATAACGGCAGCTACAATTGCTCGCATGACTCTTATCCGGCTCGCCCATCTTTACATCGCGGAGAAGCTCTCCCTCCTACAATCTTTGATACTTGAGATCAAAGTAGGCGCGACGGATATGAAGAGTGAGAGAAGAAAAAAGCCCATCACACCTGTACATCCCCCTCCTCTCAAATCTTTCCCTTCCCGCTCCATCTCCACCACTTGCATTGTGACACTGAAACTGCATCCACTCAGTCAAAACGTTGCAGAAAAGTGCAAGACTCAACATGGTATAATATGGAAGAACTCCCAAGAAAAACTGAAGAAAAGGAAATAGATTAAATTTGGGTATCTCCAAGAAGAAAGAAAATAAACAAAAAAATTAGGTGCGGACCCTAAATCTCATCTTGTGGGTGGTTATTTTTTTGGGCGTTTTTACTGTTCTTTTCGATTTTCCCCTCTTTGGTTTTGGGGGTTTTAAGGGTGAGACAGCCGTCGTGATCCGATGACACTCTTGGTCTCCTTCCCATCCATCAATCCAGCCATGAAACGCTTGGGAAAGAAACAGTAAGAAAAAAAAAGATTGAAGGAAGGAATAAAGGCAGTCGTCGTCGGTGATCAATCAAAGAGCTTCCATCAAAGGAGGAATCCGTGCGCTAGCTCCCGCGCATGCAATGCAGAGCCAGCGGTTGTGCATGGGCGGACAGACGTAGCTCCCTTCCTGCGTGGCGCTCAAGGGACTAAAAACGCCCCAAACTGGGAAGCGGGAGAAAAAGAACCCTAGCAAAAAAGGCACGGGACCACCCTATTGTCGTCACAATATGACGACGGAGGGGCTCGTAGACGCCACGATGTTGGATTTAGACGACGGCGGCATGGGGGCTGGTCTTGGGGGCAGCGACCTCGGCGGGGCCCGAGTTGCGGTTCTTGTGGGCGTCGAGGCCCTCGATGGCGGTGATGCCGGTGAAGATGATCCTGTTTTCGGGGAAGGGGAAAAAGTCAGTTACGTCATTTACATTTATTATTGTTATATGTGGAGGGATGATGGATTAATTCGGCATCTTTTGCCAGTGCTGAATGTTGCGGAAGAGTGTCCTCGCTGGTGCCTGCAAAGTCCCCTTGTCGAAATACCCGGAAGGGCGGATGACGTAGAGTCGCCGCCCGCAGCCGCGCCGAACCGCAGCCCTTTTTTCTTCTTCCAGAAGCGGCAAAGGGAAAAATAGGCAGGTAAAAAGAAAGCAAGAAAAAACCATCCCTCGTGTACGAAGCACGAAAGGGTACGGAATGGGAAGGACCCGAAAAAGAAAAGTCACAACATACCAGATGAAGAAGGCGAAAGCAATAGCAGCTTGCCAAGACCTGCACCCGTTCCAAGAGCTGCACCCGCGGGGACGCCGAGGGCAGCGGCCATGGCGATGGAGCCGGCGAACCAGAAGAGGGTGGTGACGGCGAGGAGGCCGAGGCCGACGAGCTTGTGGAAGAACTGGGGCGCGAAGCGGGGATGGCGAGGAAGTACGCGACGACGAGGAGGGACCAGATCGTGTTGAAGATGCAGAAGGCTACAGAGCTGGGGGACCAGAATACGTCGGCGACTATTGCGGGAGAAGTGAGGAGTTTCTGTTAGCTTGTGTGGTCTTCGCAGCAAAAAGACAACTTGGGAAAAAGGGACAGAGAGGCCAAGCTTACCATAGGCGAGGAGGCCGAGCTCAAGAACATTAAGCAGCGCCAACACGATGAAGGCGATGGTGACGAGACCGAGGGCCATGGCTGCTGTGGGGGCACGAAGCAAAAGCTAAGGTTGTTCTTTTGTCGGAAAGTGAAAATAAGTCTTGGGGAGGCGAGCTATGGGCGGGAGCTATCACAAAGATGCGTACGAATCGGTGGTGTTGCGGCGGGGAAAAGTTGTCGGTGAGCTGTTGGAGGGAAATCAAAAAAAGATGGATGGGTCAAATCTACTGGATCGAAGAGGAAAGGGGTTGTTTAAGAAAGAAGGGGATCGACGTCAGGTCCTTGGGACGAGGAGGAGGGGGACAGCATGACATGTTTTATTCGCGATGGGACACAGGTTTGGGGGAGGGGACCCGAAGCAGGGTACCATGGACGGAGCCGAGAGCCAAGAGCCAAGAAGTTGGAGATACACACCCCCAGGTTTCCCTCCCCCAGACACCACCAGCACAAAGGGAGGAAAAGACGAGGCGACGGAGCAAGTATGAACCAGAGGAAACTAAACTAAAATAAAAGGGAATAAAAAGGTAGAACCTCGACTTTTTGATGTTCCCTCTGGAAAATCTTCACGGCGTCAAGAAAGAAAGAGTTGTGGCGCCGATAAGGAACTGTGAACAAGTTCGAAGTCTTGCGTTCTTGTGCTCTTTTCCTTCCTTTTTTTCTTTCTTTTTCTTTTTCTTTCTCATCTACAAGTACGTCTTCGGTCCAGTACCCGCTAATTCATGTCCAAGGAATAGGCGGTGGTGACGAAAACGCGCCAAGAAAAGGGAAATAGCACATGAGGTGAAGAAAAGAAAAAAGAAAAAAAGAAAAACGGAAACCCGGGAAGGTGAAAGGGAGTGAGTGGAAGGGGAAGGGGTGTGTGATGTGTGATGTGTGATGTGTGAGAAAGTGGGGCCTAGAAGACGTACGGAAAGCGAAACCCGCCAAACTACTTCATACGTTGCGGCAACTTGGGTTGTGGGCGGAGTCGAGCCAGAATATAATCATCAGAAGGACATTTCTCAAAGGGTCTGTCCTTGTCTGTTTGGACCGGGAATGACCCACGCTGCTTTCTTAATTAAACCAAGCACGGGAAGGAGGGACCTTGAGGAACGGGACGGGATTTCTTCCAGCCAGCAGCGTGGACCATTCTGATAAGATAGGGTAATCCAGGCTCCCTCTTGGTACTACACACACACGCACACGCAGCGTGGAGGGCACACACGTCAAATTCGTCAACCCTGGGACCTGGAAGGGTGACGATCAACCATGTCATCATCCGGGAAAGGGATGGGATACTATATGCTCGGATATATTGCTGCATGTCGACAGGCAGAAATGGATCCTTCTCTCACTTTCTCCATCTTCACTCGCCCCTCTCTACACTCTACACTAGCAAGACTAGCTCTCTCTCCCTCTCTTTCGCCGAGTGCCGACATGAAAGGTGATCCGATCCTAGTATGCTTAAAACCAAAAGACACCACATGTGCTGCACACACTCTTTGTGATTGAATATCCGCCGGTGCCCAAGGGTTTTTGTTCTTTTTCCTATGACGTTTTACACCCCCTTTAAACCCAGCTTGTCAGCCACCAACGCCTGCGCCCGATTTGACGCGAAAGCTCTTGAGAAAAGGTATCAAAGAATGTTTGAGTTCCCAACATGCGCGATGCTGGCCAAGAGGCTATCATTCCAGCTTCAGCTCAATCTCCCCCTGTTCGCTGCCCACTCTGAACAGGTATTCACTGCGAATGCGAAGGAGGGAGGGGAGAAAAAGGCCAAGGGAGAGGAGAGAGAGAGAATGCGGTGCCAAGCCAGCAACGGCCTAAATCGGTTGAAGTGTGACCAGATGCACATTCCCATGTGGTGCTGCTGCAGAACCTAAATCGGTGCAAGACAGCGAACGAGGGGCGTCGAGTAGAATTACGTCGGCGGGGCAGAGGAGAGGGGAGGGGAGGGGAGACACGCAGGAAGGGGATAGAAAAGGGACATATAGACCAAAACCTTGACATGCGCCGACAAAGGACTTGGGCCTTGGGGAGTAGGAGAAAGTTTGTGCCACGAGATAGTACCTGAGGGTGTGAGATCTTACACCTTTGTCGAGAGAGTGTGCCTGACAAATGCCAGATGTAAATCGTGGGCTCATGCGCTTGCCCTCGAGTGAGCTTTGTTCATGGAAAGAAAACGAAAAAGAAAAAAAAAGAAAGGAAAAAGAACAAGAACAGGCCCAAGCTCTCCATCTCCGCGTATTTGTGCAGCGACCCCACGCTTCGCCAGCATCCCGACTGTTTGTGTCGTATTGGAATGCCATCTTCACCTTTGTCGCTACGACCCCCGGCCGCCACAAAGATCCAGCCATTGCTCAGCCCTGGAGGAGGGGACCCGGAAACAACCTAATCTTTGACAGAAAACCCCAAAAACACAGCGTCATTGTGCCACGGATTCGCGCCTCCACTTTTCATCCCCTTCCGAGCCATGCGTGCGGCTCAGCGGGCTTGCGTGGCGCAACCGTCGTTGCTTTCCCTGCCAGGCCAGTCTTGATCTTGGGCACCAGAGCTCTCTCCTCGCCGAGCCGAGTTCCCCGGCTGCGTTCTTGCCTCTTTGGTGCCCAAGCAGCAGCATTCGGGACTTTTTGTGTCAGCTCAATTGTCAACTTTTTTCTTTTTCTTCTTTTTTTTTTTGTACGTTTTCCACGGAGACTCGTATCCTGGCCTGGGGTTTACCCAAAAGTAAAGAAACGCCAGTCCGCGTCATCTCCCCCAGTAACTTGCACCAAACGGTTTGGTGGATCAAAATCCTAAGGAAAGCGCTTCTTGGCTGGCTCAAGCCCAGCGTCATCCGGACTGTCCGCCAAGGCGAGTCGGCCCTCGGAGTACTTGCGCCGTGGATCTAGTCTTCTCTTACTAATAGGCCATGTGCTCTGTACTCCAGCGCGCTTTTGGCAAGCGTGGATGGTTTGAAGTCTGACTGACCTTCTCATTCTTAGCGCCTCTTGTTTCCTCTCGCTCATCCAAAGGAACACCGACTATGTAGTTAGGTACTCTTTGAGTCATCACGTGTGTATGTACATATTGTATTCCGGGAACGAGCAAGCGATCCAAAGACGGGCGAGATCTGTGAATGGTCTCCTGGTCTCCCCTCCACACCAACATGCACAGTCTTTTCAACCGCTGCGCGAGAAGGGAGGGTCACAAGAGGGCATCTTCTTCGCACTACGCTCTGCACACATGCAGCCCGCCTGCACGGCATTTAATTTCGAGGGGAGTGGGGTCCCACATTCACATTGTGCTATTTGTAAGATACGCGGATTCGAAATGGAAGAGCTCTCGCCTGGTCCAGCGAGGTTGTAATAGACTGAGGTAGACGGCCAAGGTTCCTCCAGGCCCGGGCGGGGCCAGGTTGCATGCTTGCGACTCTACGCTACCATCGACGAGCGGGTGGTTCAGATGAGACTTGTTTGAGATTCCCGTGTCTTCGATGTGCAATTTTCCCAGGGAGTAGAGTAGCGAAGAGTACATACAAAAGAAAAATCCACCCAAATCCCAAAAGAAGCTCTGGAACCGACCAGGCCCTCGGACCCGCAGATCATTCATTGACAGAGGGGGCCACCTCCAGATGAGACGACGATGGGGGTTAACCGGTTTTGTCAAAGTCTATCCTGGATCCATCTGAATGTCCTTTGTGTACATACCACTGTAGGGATAGAAACAAAAGAGGAATAAAATAGCGAAGAAAACTCTACTGGGAATAGCTTCAGTCTCTTGGCTTGAAGAGAAGGAGCCTCGCGATACATGTACAAAGTAGTCACATTGGCCCGGCCTGCATGGCGTTTGTGCATGTGCCAGTGTTTTGCCTTGAGTGCGCGCACTTTTTAGCTTGGAGAATCCGGGATGGAGCGCGAGAGCGTCGAACCACCTGTGACTATTTTTTACATGGAACCTGGAAGCCTTTGGTCCCTCCCTTGGCCTCCTTCCCAACGTTCAGCTTCTCATCTTTCTTTCTTCCCGGGCTTTTTGTTGGGAGGTAGTCTGCGCTAGAGAGACTACACTAGAGCCAGCGCCGGTAATGTATTTTTGGAACCAACAAGCTTGGTTTTTAATCTAGGAAATGGCAAGGTTCTTCTTGTCCCTTGGGTCTAATGTGTTGATGGTGAGCCGAGGTGAGATGCTTCTCGTAACTATCCACCAGAGGGCCAAGATGAAGTGCGCAAGCAGCCCTATTATCGCCCCCGGCGATTCTTTTCGTGATGTGATAATCTAGATATACGGCGTAGAGGCGCGCAAAGACAACATGAGAAACTACGGCATAGTGCTTGCAGCCGTGCGTGCGCAGTAACGCTTTTGCGCAAACGCTTGCCCTGCCCTTCCTTACAAGGTATTTTCGGCTCAAGTCTCGTCCGATCGTGATCGCCCATCCACCAGTCCCCTGTTCATGCACGAGTGATTCCCCACAATGAAATCCTTTGGCAAGTTTGATGAACGGTTTTTCTTTTCTTTTTCTTCTTTTTCGCTTGATAAAAACCTTCCGTTGGAACGCCAAGCGCCGAGTCCCGAGTGACGCGCAAGCGCAATGGGGCTAATCAAATGTGTCCACTGAGTAAAGAGAAAACAGAGACTTGGCCCTTGTCTCGAGGAATGGAAGCAATGATCGATCAATCTCTGTACCCACCTTTGGGGTAAACATAATTCGCAGCTGATGCCGCCTGACCCTTTAGCTTGTTGACCACACCTATGAACCTTTTGATAAAGTTGCGGTGTGAAGCGTTCGTACCTAGTACGGAGTAGGGAACGCTAGTCACATCATGACCCAACCCGGCACCGGAGCGCGGACTCGGGACCTTCACCTCGGCCAGCGTCGGCCCCACTACGACGGATCAAAGACGTTGCGGACGCCAGCTGCTTCAAGCTTCACTTGTCTTCAATTCACGAACCTACAAGATCAATCAATCTAATGTAGCCAAATATAACGCTCATGGGTGCTGATCCACAAGCGTCGATCAGGACTCGGTGCCCTGTTGCGGGCACGCAGCTGGACGCCTGGTGCAATGGACCACAGACTGGCGCGCTGTACAGATTGAACCTCCTCCTCAATCAAGAGAACTATACAAAAACCGTGTAATATAGCGGACGTTTCTCAGCTGTTAAGCTGTGGGTGTGGTCCTGAAGCCGGCAACCCGACCACCTTGGGCCCGTCCGGCCCTACCAGGGCCACCAAGACGACTTTTAACGTCGACGACGACGGGGCATTGATAGGATTTGAGATGGCATAGACAAGTGACCTGTATTCCGGTGGGATCCAGAGCACCTTGCGCCCAGCCCGTAAGATCCGGACATGGAGAGCATCTAGGCAACAGAATCAGAGTTGCCCCTCAGGATGCGCAAGAGGGTACCCGTCGCCGCGCTCCAAGGCCTCACGTCTGTACCCTTCGAGCCTGATGCAAGTGTCGTAGAATCCGGTGAGAAGGCTACCGAGTTCAACCCATCCGGTGTGACCTTGGAGTGTGTGCCAAACGACACCTGTCTCTATCTTGCAGACCTGAACTGTCCCCTCACTCGACCCCGATGCGACAAGCTTTGAATCGGAGGTGAAGGCGACTGAAGAAACCTGTGTGGTCTCGAGGCTTAGTCGCGACACCCCATCTCCCAGTTTAAGTTATTTCTCTATATCACGCCCTGGTCGACTGGAAACGATAAATTTCACGTGGGGAAGCGTTCTCGTGACATCCACAATGGATTTTAAAAGGTCCGGCAAGTTCTCTTCGCACTCTTCGAGAGCGTCGACCATAATGTATGTAGTCAAGGGACTGGTATTATGTAGAATCTTGGTAAAAATATCGGACAGAGCGGTGAACGTATTCTGGCCTTGAAATAATTCTGAACCAACATCGCCATACCCCTTCCGAAGGCTTGAGATCAGTTTCGGTCGTTTACTGATCAAATGATGTATCAGTCCCCTTAGCACTCCCGTACCGGTCTTCAGGTTCTCGTCGGTGCCCTGGCAGAAAAAGTAGGAGAGCAGCAGCGGTCGAACATGGCGATATGCTCTTGTACACTCAAGGTGGTCCGCAATCGTGATCATGAGCATGGTTTCCGTTTTTCCTGGATCTCCGTTAATCCATAAAAGCCTGCTTTTATCGCTTTCATACCATTGTACAAAATCTTCTTGAGCGAGAATCCATTCAGATGCATCTGAGATGAGGCCACCCTGGGTATTTCGGATGCGTTCTTTGTCGTAGTAGGTGTTAGTTATATACAACATAAGTCCCTGAAGTACCGCTTGTCTAGGAGTTCGTTTTTCTGTGCGGTCCGGTCAAGAAGTGCCTGGTGGATCTCTGTCGATAACTGTTTATGGGAATTTTCCGCCGCTTCTGCGAGCTGGGGTAGCCAAGAAGGATGTGATATAGATGCTTGACTGATGCATGTCTCGATATGTGTGAGAACGCGGCATCGGCCTGTTTGAGAGCAGCGAACTCGCTCTTCCACTCATCGGACTTTACAGTACCTCGCCAGAAGCCCGGCCCTCGGTTCCGATAATAGAAGCAAAAGCTTCTCATCTGGTAGGAGAGGAGACTTTTATAAAATTTGACGATATGCTTTTCGAGTTCGCCTTTGACGTCGGTAAATTTGCTGCTAGGCTCATCTTCGAAAAGCGGAGACGATAGACCACTCGACCCTCGGAACAACATATGCAGTACCGTCTCGATTCGCAACAGACTCGTCTAGAGGGTCCTTGAGGATCTTTGCCATGTTAGCAGAGACTTAAGAGAGTGTTCAAAGCCGCTTACCGGAGTCAATAGGCACACACCAGCCCACACGATGCTCGCCGCTGGAGAACCCTTCACGGCCTTGTCTACTAGTGCCTTGATCAAAGGCAGGATTCGCAAGTTCCCTCCAAGGGTTTCCTTGGCGGCGATTTCCTCCTTAGTATTCTCTTCCCCGATTTGGATGATTTCTCGCATTTGAGCCCTCCTCGTATCCGTGTTTCCCTGTTCGATGCCATTTTCCTGGCCAGCCTCGCCTTGGGATGCGTTTGACAACCTCAGCTCTCGAGTGAGGATCACTTCGTACGCACCCACCAGATTCGGTTCGTCAGCTTTGAGACCATCATACGCTCTGTCCCAAATTTTGTTCTCGCGGATCTGAGGGCTAAGAAGCTGTAATACTAGTCGATTCGAATCGCTGACGAATAGTTAGCGGGGGCTCCTTTTGCTTTCTCTGTGCCGGAGATGCCTTTGGGTGTAGGGTGGGTTAAGTATTGACCCGTTTCCGCCGTTTGAATTTGGCCTTGAGGCCCCCATCTACCAGGCTTTATCATGCGTAAGAGTGATTAACAGGCAGACTAGATGGCCCTAGGAATTTCATCGTTTGCAATTTAGAGCCCTCAGTCGGCTGGATCGCGCTCGGCGATGTTGATATATCATTTGGAAAGCATTGGCTTGCATTTGCACCTTGCACATCCCCTCGTCTTCGAACAAACATCCAGATCTGATGCCATTGGCCCAATCAAGAATCTGAGTAACATGGTAGTACACTCTGAGGCTGTCTGCCTCAGGAAACCTTCACGAAGGAGCTTGCCTCCTCAACGGGCAACTACTTGAGACTAAGACGCATTGTATGAACGATAAATTTGGGTTCCCCCGACCTGAGAGCAAGTAGACTAGCTGATCGAGCTGGCCGAAGCAATCTCCAGGACTATGGAGCTGTTAATGAAGCGCACCCCACCCCACCGAAGCATTCGTGGGGAGTCAGGCTTGAGAACAGAGGTCCATGCCGAAAGCCTAGCGGGAACAGAAAGCTACGAAGTAGCTAGTGGAATGAGATTGGAAAGGAACCAGGGGCAAGGAAGAAAAGAAGGACGTTTAACCCTGCGGGAATCCAATGGCGATCACGGTGTGAGTACGACGCTGTAGCCGTTTAACTGGTCTCTCTCCAGGTACGAGCTATCATGGCTTGCCGACGACCACTTCCCCATGCGGTATGAAAGCAAAAACTCGAATCTAGTAACCTGGGAAATCGTGACCGCCGAGCTGGTTGCTAATAGTAGATTGTCTAGCGTAATGAACCATTTTTACTAAGTGATAGCCTTGGGGCTCGCAAAAGTTTCTTGGCTCTTACGCTTCGTTCTTGTTTTTTTTTTTTTTCCCTTTGTTTTCTTATTATTTCTAGAGTATTTTTTACATTTCTTTTTATCGCCCACGAACTTTACAAACCCAGAAACAGGAACTGCGCCAACGGTGGCGGAGTGGTAGAAAGAAAAAGACAAAAGGCGAACACCACAAGCGTCAGGTACAGCTCCTTGTAAGACGCGAAAGTTACATATGGACAAGCTATCTCGTCGCTGCCTGGCGACAACCATGGCTGTGTGAAGCATCAACGCCACCCCGCCTACGAATTGGAGAAACCTCGAAGCTCGAGCTCGTGAATAGAATGAGGCCAAGGTAAAACAAAGTCGATGAGCATGAAAAGTATCATATAAATCTCATCAGCCTTTATCTCAATTGACTCGGACCTAAGGATAAGCGCAAAAGCAGGGCCTTGGCAAAAGAGTCTCGAGACGAGACACTCTTTCCAGAGGCAAGGCCTTTCGCCTTCCATGATGACCATACGCTTCAATTCGCACCTCCTTCATTCCACAACAGTTCATGTCGTCATGCTCACATAGGTCTGCATCTACAACAGAAAGAGGGTCCAGAGTCGGGATTTTTACTGCGGTTTCTTTTGCAAACGGTGCAGGGACCTGTCGAGGTAATTAACCGAATTTTGAGAACCGCCCTCCCGCATGTGCCGAAGGCCCGGTGGTGAGGATACCGACTTGGTCGAGAGAGGGAATCTGAAGCTGGAGTCTTGTCTGGAGCACTGATGGATGATGTCATCTGAGCGTGGCATGAGTGCGCTAATACCCCCGTCAAAGCGGATATCCCCGCGGTCTCTCAGGCCGTTGCTGCCCCACCATTTACAGCTACTCCTCCCCCCCAGTCAAACCCAGCTTAAGGAAAATCTTCCAAGGCCATTGGCGTTTCGCATTGGTTCAATCACCGCACAAGGCACAAGGCAGGCACTTGGGGAAATGCTCAGGAAAAGCTCAGAGGGAAAGGTCACCCGCCAAGTAGTTCGAAGTTAGCGACACCCTGGAGGTGCTGAGGTCATACATATTCTCGACGTACATTGTAGCACAGCCCACCAATGACAACTCGGATGAGCCCTGCCCAGGCCAATCATTTTCCATGCCTATGCTAGATTCAGCATGGAGTTTAACCCTCTTGGGCTATGACGACAGTTGATAGCTTTTTTAGCGTCGACTTTGGGGAGCTCCTTCTCCCGAGGTGACCGAAGGTGTAGGTGTGACAGTCGGTGACCACGCGTTCGATAGAGTTGCGCAGCCTGTGCCACCTCATCTTGTCGTCAAGCAAACCACGCCACCTTTGCCATACTCCCCGCGATATAATAAGCTGATGATGGCACCTGCCTCCCTACGAGAGAACCCCGCACTCCCCTCGCATTTCTCTGGCATCCATCAACAACTCAAACAGTATATAGACCCCGAAGTCTCAGAACAACAAACGCTCAATCCACGTTCCGTCCTGCCTGTTCAAACATCACAGAGTCCATCCACGACTACTACAGCTTCCACACCAGCCATCACTTACAACCAAACCTTTGCAAGGGTAATATAGCCCAGCTAAAGGAATAAAAAAATACCCACAATGGCCAACGCCGAAACGCACCGCAAACTCGTCAGCGAGGACTCGATCGACGAGTCTCACATCTCCCCGTCACCTCGCGCGACCCCGTCCGCCGCGACTCGCTCGAGATACACCTCCAGAACCGGCCCCAGCGGGAGGACCTAGTAGACAGTGCGTCATCGCTTTCCTCATCCCCGCCCGCGCCTCTCTACATCCACTCTGTCAACATGACCAACACCAACACCAACACATCCTTTCCCTCTTACTCCACATTATCTTCATCACCCTCCTCTTCCTCTCCGTTTCCCCTCAAACGACGGCGGTCACGTCCCACAAGTTATGGTCCTCGGGACCGCGTCTGGTGGCTCGGGGGCACGTACTGATCTCGCTTGCCTGCGCGGATTAGAACACATCCTGCTCGATAGCACGGCCGCTCCAGCGCTGCAGGCCCAGCAGAAGGAGGTAAGATTAACCCTCTTCCTTTATTGTTCTTGACGGGCTCGCCCGTAAGCTCCCCTTACGAAATTCACGAAGTTGCTGACAGCCTGCGTAGCTTGAGAGAAGCATGCTTGCCGATACCCTCAAGGAGAAGATTGCTCAGCGGCCTACGCCCGCCGAACTCGTGAATGAAGGTGTCCTCCACCAGGATCCCCGGACCGCTGAGCAGAAGTACGAGGAGGCCATTGAAGATGAGTACGCCAAGCGCGAGGGTGGAGCTTGATTGTGCCACCCTGCGATAATCGCATTTATGGGGTTTTCTTTTTCGAGTTCATTCAATACCATTTTGTTTTTCTTGAGGGAGTCTTTTTGTAATTTTCGTCTCCACCACCCTATCGGCCAACTGAGCCGGAGACCATAGGAGGTGGATACATGTAGCTTAGAAATATAACTAAGAAGGAAATAGTGCTTTGCCTTGGCTCATGCGTGAAGTTGCTCGTTGAGCTTTTGGTGTAAGTGGGGTTTAGATGGAAATTGAAGGTCCGGCACTCAACCATCCCGTACATTCGGGATTGGTCAATTCTCGCCGAAGCTATACATGATCAATTGATGCTGGATAGATGGAACCTAATGGTTAATAATAGCCCACACCTGGGCAGAATTACAAAAGTCACTAGACGCAGAATGTCAGTTTCATACTTGCACATTCCTGAATAAGGTCTATAGCACGGGAGAGAACACTGAAGGGACTGGTGGTGTAAATGTGAGAAATTAAATTGTTCGAGCCCAAGTGAGATGCGCCTATTCCAACGAAGAGCACAAAATTGATGATAATGATACAAGGATGAAAGGCCGAAAAAAATAAAAGGAAATATAGGTGTGTGTCCACCTCCAGCTTCTGGTCGTTCATATCCATTCCGTGGCCATTGGGGGCCCGCAAAAATCTTATCCAAGAAAGACAAAGGAGAAATAAGATAGAGAGGAGGAAAAGAAAAAAGCCCAAATATATCGTCAAGTCATAAAACACCCCGCTCCTTCCAGCGGCGCCGAGCGGGTTCCGTTGGCGCGTATCAATACAAGCAGTCGCCTTTTCTTCTCTTTCAATTTTCCCACCGCGCCGAGTTACATGTGTCGTGAGCGGGAGGCAGGGGTAGAAGAAGTCCGTAGAGAAGAACGCTCGCTAACGCTTGGAGGAAGACCTCGACTTGGATGAGGATGAAGCTGTGGAGGTGTAGGCGTGGGAGCCGTAGGACGAAGGGCTAGGAGCGTAGGGATCGTCCATTCCCTGGTTGTGGTTGTGGATGACGACTTTGCCCCTGGTGGTAGACGTGGACATGTACGCGGCTAGTGCACGGGGAGGAGATTGTGTTAGCTGGAGGTGTGCTTTGGAAGGTTCTTGGCCTTGAGCTCCGGGCGGAGTGCGAGGTGAGGTCGGGCCTTGCCCGGTGATGAGGGGAGAAAGCTTACCTGCGTTGTATTCGCGGTGCTCGCGGTCGTAGGAGGCGCCTGACCGGGACCCGGAGGTCGAGGTGGAGGAGTATTGGGACGAGTTGGAAGGCATGGTGGATGGGGGAGATTGTCTTGTTCTTTACTTTTCGTTTGTAAATTTTGCAGGCTGTTCCTCGTTGACTTTTCTTGTGAGTCGAGGAGAGTCGAGAAGAAGGAGCTGTTGCGTGAAGCTTGGAGGTGGCTGATAGGAAAAGATGGTGCGGTTGCGTTGAGAGATTGATAGCTCGCGGGGTTTAGACTCGGAGAGCTGGATGGGTTTTATGAAAGAGTAAAGAGGAGAGATGAAGTGCTGAGAGAAGGGAAGACTAGGAGAGAGGAAGTAGTCTTGTGGGTTTCTTGTGATCTTGTGGATGAGGATGAGGATGAGGAGAAAAAGAAGGCATCATGAGAGGGAGGAGCCCAGTTCCTTTATACAAGGCCGAGTGACCATTGTAGGTACGTCAAGGTAGGCATCTTTATCTTCCTGGGCCTTTTAGACTTGAGAAGACGAGGTGCAAGTCATGGCTTGGGGGTGGGGGTGGGGTGGGAGCCATGACCGGCCCACCTTTGCTGGCTTCGCCAGAATGCATCGCCGAGTTATTGCGAGGTATCCAGGCCTAGATTCTAGCAAGGGGAGGTACGGGGAAGAGAGGTATCATGACACGATGTCACATGGGGAAGGAACATAACCACTGAAATGGAAAAGAAAGAAAGAAAAAGAAAAGTAAAAGGGTTCAAGATGAAAAAGAAAAAAAAGGTGGGAAGGATCTGGTGCTGCGGCTTACAAGAAGAATGGGAGGCAAAAATCAAGTGTCGAAATGGAGGGGTCGAGGCTCAACAGGGGTGGAAATAGTGGCCAAGAAACAAAAGGGGAAAGGAAAAAAAGAAAGAAAAAACGAATCCAACTTTGAACTTTTGCGCGACGGAGCGAGCGGCGCGCTCCAACTGCGACTGGGCGGCATCCCAATTGCGATGGAGTGCGCTTACCCCACTGCGACGAGTGCGCGAGGACGAACAGCTCAGGCTGTTCCCGAATTGGTGGGTTGCGAGTTTCTGCTCCTCTGCGCAGGTGGTTCGCCTTTTTTCTTCAACAATTTTGAACCTTGTCCTACTCGACACGGCCAAGCCTCAGGTCCTCTCGTCGTCTGCTTGCTTGTGGCCCTGGGATGGAATTTTGGCCAACCGCGACGTCCACGCCTCACTTGCGAGGCCACTCATCGCGCAGAGCTTGGCTTTCCTCGCAAAGTCGCAAAACATCAGCCCTCGGGCAGTGCCAGACACCCATTTGCCATTTTCTTTCCACTTTACAAGCTTTTTTCCCTTGTTCTTTTTTTTTTTTCTCTTTTTCTCTTTTTCTTTTCTTTCTTTTCCTTTTCCTTTTTCCCCCTTCTTCTTTTTGCCTGTGGTAATGGATCCCGTGGATGCCTAGATACCCCAGGCAGAACTCCACACTAGCTTCTTCAGAGCTCCAACAAATGTCTTGCTTCGACCCGTTCCCGTTACTGGTTCGCTCCGGGGTGGTGTGGGGCCGTGGTTGCTCTTTAATCCCGGACCAGGGGTTAGGAGGCCCAAGGAGAAGAAGGGGGCGCTTGTCAACGCAGCGAACACAAAATTTCAATTAAAAAAGGTTTATTGTTCCCGAGAAGGGTGTATTTCGCAGAGTGGAGGGGCATGCGAAACGAAAACTAGGCAGAACAGTGGTAGTTTTCCGTATAGTTTCGTTGTAATCTCCATTGTTGACGATCCGGAGCCAATGCCAAAAAACAAAGTGGCTGGTGAAACGAGGCATGTGATGCTCTCCTCGCGCTGATTGAAACAACGTCGCGTAATTTCTTTGAAGCCATCTCGAATCGGCCAACTCACAATCTTTAAGCCCCCGGGAGGAATCGGCTACTTTGCTCTTTTTTCCCTCCTCTTTTGTCCGAGTCTTTTCTTAGGAATCCGTGAAGCATGACCCTGGAAGCAGGAAATATCGGTCCGTGACGGGAGCCAGCAAGCAGGGACAGCTGAATGGAGCATAGACGTGCAGGATACCCCTCCTCCCACCCCTCCCCCACCAAGCTACCAAGTGTCTCTGGGGATGACGGCACTCCTTTCCCGTCCCTCGGCCCTCATACTTTCTGTGCTCGCTTCCTAAACTACTCGCGACCCCGCGCGCGAATGGGTCAACTTGCACAGCGTAGGGCTGGCGCAGGCAGCCCAGCAGACGGGCCCCGGGATTTCGAAAAGAGGGTGGTCGCCGGCTCGTTCGAGGAGTGATGTGGTAGTTCCTCAACTGAGGTGAAGTTATGAGAGGGTTTAACCCGGGGACATATGGTGGGGAGCTATGCAATGATACTGTGATTGAAGGGCTCAACTGCCGGGTAACGAGTAACCGAGAGCAAGTACCTCTGGTCTCGCTCGCAGGTAGACTGAAGTCACTATTAACCTCCCGAGCGCTCGCCCTACCTTTCTTGGTCACCCATCCTTACGCCTGTCCTGGCACGACATGGGCTTCTGGTGTGTACCGATCAATGCAGGAACCAAGCGCCGGAGACTACGTTAGCTGCGTCGTTACACCAATACCTTAATACGCCGCGGGCGCTGTCTACGCCCAAAACAATGAGAAACAGAAAAGAAACGGACCGGTTCGTCAATCTCGCGTCAGTTCAAAATGTCAACATGTCAAAAGAGATGAAATACGCGAACTCCATGTAAAAGGATTCAAACACCCCGTTCAAGAGGTGGCAACTCCAGGTGAGCTTGAGGAAAATTTCCACTTGAAACTGGAGAAAATTGGCTTAGCCACTGTGTGTCACGGAAGGCGGAACGCGCTCTCGCAAAGCCACCTCATCGCTCAATCGAGGTGGTTGCACACCCGCATCGCAGTGTCATCGCACAGCGGTGCAACCTGCTTTGGACGTGAAGCCCCCTCGACGCATCTTCGAGTCATCAATGGCAACATTGAAAGTTGGTGGGGCTAACGGTACCCTCGCTGGGGCAGGTTGACCCCACAAACCCCCGCCATCGGCCACCTCCGAAGGGCTCTTATTTTTGTTTCTGAGTGACTTGAAGGAGGTTGGCTCATTCTGGAGAAATTGAATGAAAATGGACAAGCGTCGAGAACGAAAAACGACAAGAATACACTCCGAGGAAACAAAGAATCCCATGCTCGGGATTTTGAGAATGGAGCATTTCTGCCTGAAGGGTGGGGTTAACTCACCTGACAGGGGGTGGGGCGGGCTGCCAGCCGTGCCTGCCTCACCTGAAGCTCGGGAGGGCATCAAAACAAGCAGAGCACGAGAGACAAGAAAAGACAGAACAAGATCGGCTCGATTATTACTGGCAAACGCACTCGGCCATACTCATTCTTGAGCAATCGGCATGAGCCAATGAACGATGGGTCTCTGAAGGGTCTCTGGGGAACATGCTGGAGGTTGACGTGCTTCGCCAGGTCTCCACACTCACCCGTGACGGTCCTTTGACATGGGCAGTTCCCGTCACACCTTGATTGCGATGTACTGGCGACTCTTCCCAACCCCTTGGCAAACCCGTTCATCCTGAATGCTTGTGACAAGCCTAGGATAATTATCGAGGAGCATGTGAGTGGGAACCGCAATTGGGGGAGGGGTAGGAGGAAAGAGGGTGGCTTGGAGCGTTGGCCGCCACAGCTTGTTTCGATCGGAAGGCAAGGTAGCACGGATAATTAGGCACGCAGATATAGGGCTGACGGATGCCTGGATTGTCCGGACCGCTCGCCGAACGAGATTGATCCATCCATCCACCATACATCCATCGACGGCTTCACGAGATGCTGGTCTCGACCACAGGGTTTCTACATTCCCTCAAGTCCCGGGGACAAGTTTGGACTCGGGCTAGATAGATTGCGGAGGAAAGAGACGATGTCCGAGGGGGGCTCGGCGTTAGTTCCCCAATTGTCTACATTTTGCTTCTTTTCCTTTTTCTTTCTTTCTTTCTTTCTTTCTCTCTTTCTCTTTCTCTCTTTCTCTCTTTCTCTCTTCTCTCTTTCTCTCTTTCTCTCTTTCTTTTTCTTTTTCTTCTTCTTTTTACCTTCTCTTAGCTGCGGCCGCGGATAACCGCCCTCAAGCATGCAGACACACTGCCTAGTCAAGGACGGGCAGATACGACTAACCGATGCTTTCCTTCAGCGATTGTGTTCCCGCTGTGCCATCATCCCCCGCAAACTTTCGAAAGGCGCCGGAGAAGGAGCCGCCCTCGGTGAGAACTAGCAGGAGCTAAAGGCTACAGCCCACTGCCAAGACAAAATAGAGTCACCATCTACTGAGTCAGTGACAGTCCCGTTCCGCCTTAGGTCTAGCTATTCCCGACCAAGTTTCATAAGGGAGAATCGAGGCCGCTTTGAAGAAAAGGACAAGGTCGCGCACTAAGATCTTGGAGGAGATGTTCTCTGGGCTGTACGAAATGTTGGCCGGGTCCACAGGGGCAACCAGGCGAATGCACGTCGTTCTGGGGTTCGAGCCAGATAAGAGTGTACTAGTAGCTCCCCCAGCAGAGCCATGCCAAGACGGAGGAGCTGAATTCCTTACGCTGGTGAATGGCAAGTGAAATGGTTTATGATAGGTGTTGCGGGTTGAGCCTGGAAAAGACTCATACCACGAAACGAGCCTCCTTTGGGGACAAATTAATCATATAAAATTCGGTTCTGGGCGTCTTGGAGCTATGGGACTTGCTGGATGTCGAGATCTGCGGAGGATATCATTGACGGAAGATTCAAAGCCCCAAACTCCCACTCCTCAATCTTCACGGGCGCTGTTAAGGTTGCAAGCGACTGGAAATTCCGAGGGTGGGGAGACCCCAGCTGAATTGACCAATCAATCGAGAGGTCATTGTAAATTGGGGAAGAGGTGGAGGCCACATTGCACCTTCCCCAATGTTGGTTGCCACGAGGTACCTAATTTTGTATGCGAGTGTCCTCCGGTTCGAGGTATCCTTTGATTGCCTGAGCTGCAGACCCGCCCCTGGTTGTGCCGTGCAACTGCTCAAGCAACGGAGGCAAGGCCAACAGACCCAAAGCAGTCTCGTCTATAAACCTTCTCCTTCACCAAACCTCAAACAGCCTTCTTCCCCCACCTGCCATCGCCACTACCCTTCCCAACCCATCACCATCCAAACAGCCACATAAAAAAATGAAGGCCTTCGCTTACCTCGTTGCCCTCGTCGCCTCGTCGGCCGTTGGCGTTCTCGCCTCCGACAGCGCGGAAGGTGTCAAGATTGACGTGACCAAGAAGGTTGAGTGCGAGCGCAAGACCCAAAAGGGCGACAAGATCCAGGTTCACTACCGCGGCACTCTTGCCTCTAACGGCGAAAAGTTTGATGCCAGTGCGTACCGCCTCCATCGCTCACCTATCGATTGATGACTTGATCGCTAACGGCACACTGTCTCCACCTAGGCTACGATCGCGGCAGCCCCTTTGCCTTCTCCCTCGGCGGCGGCCAGGTCATCAAGGGGTACGCTCACCAGATTCTACTTTCTATATAACGGACGCTGACGAATAGAACAGCTGGGATGTTGGTCTCTTGGACATGTGCATTGGCGAGAAGCGGTATGCCCTATCTATCCAGCCCCCAAGGCTCCTGGCCGAAAACTAGGGCCGTAAGCTAACTATTTGTTTACCACATAGCACCTTGACCATTGCCCCCGAGTTTGGCTACGGCGACCGAGGCATCGGCCCCATCCCTGCTAAGTCTACTCTCAGTACGACGAACCACCCTTTCGCCCGTTTATTATTCTCTTCCATGTTTAGCGATGTATGCCCGTGAACAGTTGGAAATACTGACTAGCATATAGTTTTCGAGACCGAACTTATGGGCATCGACGGCGTTCCCAAGCCCGAGCCCGTCCCTGAGCAGGACGCGTCCGAGGAAAAGACTGGCGAGGAGAAGCCCAAGGTGAATACCGACCGCACAAGAACCTGACAACTCGGCCTTCTCGGCCAAGCTGCAAATCGTTTTACTAACCACGCTCGATGCATAGGATGAACTCTGACTGATTCCCATCCTCGATCGACACCGGCCTCCTACCGGCCTACCCCAGGCGCATCGTTGAGAGCATAAGGCTGGCTAGATGGCGGTGCCCAGCATACTGACTTCTTTTCCTCTCCCTGCCACAGATATAAGTTTGGGCGGAGAAGTATACATGACTGAATGGTGGCATTGCTGATGATGTCTTGGGATACCCTTGGACGTGTGATGCTGGACGGGGAACAATGAATGGCACTTGCCGCCTTGGCTAGATTCGACGAGTCGGATCTGGCTTGATGAAGAATGACAAAGTCGGAAATGTAAATCTATGTGTACACACCTTATAATTAAGATGTAATTGAACGCAGGGACATGACCATGATAATTACTACCGCAGCGACCTTGCTTCAACTCACCAAGAGTATGCGGAAGCTCTGCACTAGAAGCTTTTGTCAAGCGAAAGTTGATCAATCATTCACCCAATGGAATGGAATGGATCAATTTGATGTATGCTCCGGTTTGCGGGCAAGTTGGGGGTCCTCAGGGGTCAAAATTCCAGGTACAGCACAAACAGAGGTACACATAAGCAACAGAAATTTCTACTAGCGCCTCGTACCTGGGATATCGGTACCTACGACTGCACAACTTGTCAAGCAAGACTCTGTGGATCAGATTACAGGTCCTAATCGTGCTCGTGTGTCTCTCCCTGCTGGTTTCCTATCGTAGGGCGCAATAGCGGAGAGACACGCGACAGCGGAAGGCAATACCGCCCTGCACACCCCTTTAAAACCGGTGATTAAGTAAAACACGACACGTACGAAGTAGTTTCCGGTTGCCGGCACATCATTTGATCTTATCTTTAATACGTCGCTTCCCACCGTTTCTCCCCCTTCCCTCTCTCTTCTCCCCTTTTGGAAAAACAAGAATCGAGCCTACAATAAGAGCATCATGGAATCCATCGAGTATGAGGGACTATAATTAATAGTTTCCTGGGTCAATTAGGTATTAAAAAAACACTCACAGCACAACGGGCCCGGGATACTTCGCCAGATAGGATCACAGTCTTTTTCCAGCCTTTCGCCTTTTTCGCTTCCACGTTGCAGCGACGATTTTCTCCCAGCCCAACGGAGCTGGCTACAACCTGGCTTGAGGTGGAGTTCGCTCTTTATTGATCTGCCTTTCTTTCTACCCTCTTACTCGACTACTCAACGGGATAGAACCCTCTCGTCCTAGTAGAGCTCCTGAGATCCTGGGCCTCTTTTCCACCAAAGAAGACGAAGAAAAAGAAAATCGGGAAGAGAATAGGCCGTAAACGGAGCTACAACACTGAAGACCTTTTTCCACGTGATGCCTACGAAAGCGGTGCCGCCCAACCGAAGATGGCTTCCAAGTCGCAGTCGCAATCGCGCATCATCGACGCCTGGACCTCGTTCCTGGATCGGCACCCCGGGCTCGAGGCCCTCGTCGACGACGTGCGCCCCTGGCTGCCCCCGCTGAATTTCGTCACGCTGCACTACGGCTACTTCGTCGTCGTGAGCCTCATCTTCTCCGTCTTCTTCTACGCCTCCTCCGACGCCGACGAGCGCGAGGACGTCAGCTACGTCGACAGCCTGTTCCTCGTCGTCTCGGCCATCACCAACACGGGCCTCAACACCGTCGACCTGAGCGCCCTCACCGTGGGCCAGCAGGGTATACTATGGGTCCTCATGACCTTGGGGAGCGCCATGTGGGTGTCGTTCTGGACGGTGCTCGTGAGGAGGCGCAAGCGGGCAGACAGGGCGCACCAAGCCAGGGCCAGGAAGGGCCTGGCGGGCGTGGACGGCTTCGCCCTCGCGGATTTGCGGAGCTCCGGGCACGCCAGAGCGAGGCAGAGGGGTAGCAGCGGCGCCACGGCGACGACGCTGAGCAGCGTCGCGGAAGTGCCGCCCAAGCTGCTGAGGAAGATTCTGCCCAAGGAGCCCAAGGAAAAGGTCGATTCCGAACCCGATGTCGGCGCCGATAACCCCGTGGAGAGTACGGTACGCAGCGGACTTTCCTTTGCCGATGGCCCCGGGTCGTCGTTGACGGCGATACACCACCACAGCCAACCCCACGCACCCGGACAACACGCCGACGATCGCAACCACCACCCGTACCCGTTCGATAACATATATGAGAACCGCCGACACGGCAAGCCATCGATGAGCGAGGGCTCCTCGCGGTCGTCGGCTAGCCGCGGCTGGTTCAATTGGCGGCGCCCTTTAATCGCAAAGATAAGCAGGACGGAGACCGCGATCCCGCCGCGCAGCTTCTGCTGTTGGAGGGCACGGCCGACGAGTCGGAGCGCCTCGCCGAGCGCGAGCACCAGGCGCTCAACCTGTTGGCGCTCATCATCCCCCTCTACGCCGTTCTGTGGGTGCTTGTGAGCTCCATTGTCCTCGGCGTGTGGATCTCGAGGCACTATGCTTCCGCCGTCGAGGAGTTTGGCGGCTACGGGGTGGGCGCTTGGTGGGCCGCGTTTTCTACGCCGGCTCGGCCTTCAATAACTGCGGCATGTCCCTCCTCGACGCCAACCTGGTGCCCTTTCAGTACTCCTTCCTCGTCCTTTTTCTCATCGCCTCCCTCATCCTCGCGGGGAACACGGCCTTCCCCGCCTTCTTGCGCCTGATGATTTGGGTCATGCTCCAGGGGCTGAAGCTCTTCACCCCGGACAAGTACTTTGTCTCGGAGAAGGCGACGCTGCTGTACATTCTCAAGTATCCCAGGCAAGTGTACACCCACTTGTTCCCGGCCCGGCAGACCTGGCTGCTCGTCATCATGCTCATGGCCACCATGGCTGTCGATTGGGTGGCGTTTGAGGTGCTCAGCATCGGAAACCCGGCGGTGGAGAAGATGCCCATTGGTCCTAGGATTCTGGATGGACTGTTCCAGGCCATTTGTAAGTTTCCCCCTTTGTCCTAATTGCCCTTCTTCCCTCCCTTCGACTTTGCTAACTTTGGAAACAGCTGTGCGAGGAACCGGCTTCTACGTCGTGCCCGTGTCTGAACTCTTCACCATCCTCCAGGTCCTGTACATGGTGATGATGTACATCTCGGCCTTCCCCATTGTCATCGCCATGCGTCACTCGAACGTCTCGGAAGACCGCGCCGGTGCCTTGACCATGCAGCCCAAAACAGACGCATACTCTAGTGCCAGCAGCGATGTTGGCGGGGGTGACGAGGATCCCGAGCTCGGCCACCTCCTTCCCGGCGGCAGTGGCAGTGGCAGCGGTGGCGCTTCTCGGACCCCCGAGCCCGTCGTGACTCCCGCGCGCGCTGCCCTCCACCGCCTCGCCTCCCTTTCAACACGGCGGCGCGCCCCTCGTCCCGCCGCGGCGATGCTTCCCGCCCGTCCCTCCTAGGCCAAAAGATCCGCCGCCAGCTTACCCACGACCTCTGGTTCCTCCCGGTCATTGTCCTCGCCATCACGCTGCTCGAAGCCTACGGCGGCCATGCGTCGGACTCGGACCCCATGGACCACGAAGAGTTCCACCGTCCCCCGTCAACATCTTCCACCTCGCCTTCGAGGTTGTCTCGGCGTATTGCTGCGTTGGTCTGTCCCTCGGCCTGTCCCGCGCGTCCGTCAGCCTCGCGGGCGGGTGGAACGCCATGAGCAGGCTCGTTCTCGCGGGCGTCATGCTCAAGGGCCGCCATCGGGGTCTTTCCGTCATTTTGGATCGTGTCTCGGGCGTGGGGAGGGATGGAAGTTGGGATGGGGAAGACGATAGCGATGAGGGTGGTGATGATGAGGATGGGGCGTTTACCACGTGAAATCTTGATTCGGGGTGACGTCCAAGTATGTGTATCGCAATACGTTGTTGCTTTCTCACAATCTACCATTCTGTTATTGGATTTTATTTTTAAGCGATTTTTGTCTCGTTCATTTTCTTTTTTGGCGGATTGGAGCGTTTGTCTGCCCCCTTTATTTTTTAAGCGTCATGTTTGTTAGAATTTCAAATTATTTTTGGTGTATAAATGAATCTATTGTATCCAGATATTTTGTGGGAATAAGAAAAGAAAAGATTTCACACCATGATTACTTGACCTCAATCTGGACGTCGGGTAGTAACCAGAAAAGAAAGAAAACTTGTCATTCATAAAAATCGTGAGTTGCTCATCTCTAAACATCCAACCATATCCTTCCCTTGGTCATCATCTATCATCATCCAAACCTCAACTTCATCTGCCTCGGATCCCCATCACCCCCTCGATTTTTCCTCTCTCGCTCCGTCCCCACCGCGGCACCCGCACTCGTCGCTCTCGGCCGCCCCCTCTTCCTCTTCGCATCCGAACCCATCTTGCCCGCGGCACGCGGATTCGACTCTGGCCGGAGGGCGACACGCTGCTGCTGCTGCTGCTGCTGCTGCGCGTGGTGCATCTGATCACGGGCGTCGACGAGGTCGCCCTCGTCGTGAAGGGCCTCGCGAATGGTTTGGCGGGAGAGACAGAGGTCCATGTGTTCGTTGAAGAGGCGCTCGTCGGCGGGTTGGGGGCGGGCGCAGACGGGGCAGTCCCAGCGGCTGGGGGCGGGAGGGGAGCGGGCTTCTTCTTCTTCTTCTTCTTGTGGGTTGGGGGTCGTGGCTTCCGGGGAGTCGAGGGTGGTGTCTGGCAGGGGAGGTCGAGGTCTTGCGGGGGCCACTTTTCCCAGCCGTCTTCGTCGAGGTCTGGGATGAATTTGGGGGTCGTTGTTGTGGTTGTGGTGGGGGTGGGACTCGTCGTCGGTGCGGAGGCCGAAGAAGGCCATGGTGTTGGGCTTTTTGTCGGAGACGAGGTGGGTGCAGCGTACGCCCATGAGGCGGATGCAGAGGCCACTGGTGACGGGTTGCGGGGCACCGCCGGGAGTGGTGGTAGCGGTAGCGGTGGCGGTGGCGGTGGTTGTCGCTGAGGTGGTTGGCTGGCCGGCCTTGGCCTCTGCCTCGAGCTTGGCGAGGATGGGGAGGGCGAGGGCGTAGAGGTCGTCGGCCTTGTGGACGGGCCGGGGCGCGACGACCTGGCGGGTGAGGACCTCAAAGGTGTGGAGCTTAACCTTGAGGACGACGGTGCGGCCGCGGACGCCGGCCTTGGCGAGCTCGGCCTCGAGGTCCTCGGTGGTCCTGCGCAAGCGCTCGCGGAGCTTGTCGGGGCCGGAAATCGCGTGAAAGGTGCGCTCGGTGCCAACGCTCTTGCGGACGTACTCCTCGGCGGGCTGGATGCGGGTACGGCCGAGACCGAGGTACGCGTGCATGAGGAAAGCGTAGGCCTTGTCGCCAAAGAGGGGCTTGACGAGGTCGCGGCGCGCGTAGACGTCGCCGAGGGTGGCGATGCCGACGGCGGCGAGCTCGCGCTCCATGACGCGGCCGATGCCCGAGAGCTTGCGGGTGGGCAGGTCGGCGGCGAAGCGCACGACGTCGGCGCGGTGGCTGGGCAGGACGTATTGGCCGTTGGGCTTGTTGAGGTTGGAGCAGACCTTGGCGAGGCGGGCGTTGGGGGCGATGCCGGCGGACACGGTGACGCGGGTACGCTCGTGGATCTCGCGGCGCATGCGGTCGACGACGGCGGCGGGGTCGGCGGGCTGGCCGGTGTCCGGGTCCGGGTGGGCGGCGCAGTAGGCGGTGACGTTGAGGTAGGCCTCGTCGATGGAGGCGCTCTCGAAGCGAGGGTCGTAGTCGGCGAAGATGTCGCGGACCTCGGCGGCTTTGGCGCGGTATTTTTCGTGGTTGTTGGGGATGAGGATGAGCTGGGGGCAGAGTTTCATGGCGACGAAGGAGGCCATGCCGGAGCGGACGCCGAAGCGGCGGGCGTGGTAGTTGCAGGTGGTGAGGACTCCTTTTCCCTGCGCTGAGGGTTAGTACAATTCTTTAACTTTTTTGGGATCCGCTGAGTCCTGGATACGCATGCTTCAACGGTTTTTAACCCGCTTGTAGGGAAGAGGAAGAAGAAAGAGAGGAAAAGGGAGAGGATACGTACTACGGCAAAGGGGACGTCCTTTAGCTCGGGTCTGTCGAGCTCCTCGACGGCGGCGAAAAAGGCATCGCAGTCGACGTGGACAATGTGCTGGGACAGATCCCGGGTGAGCTCCAGCTGCTCTAGATAGGCGTCGGCCTCGCGGCGGTAGCGGGCGAGCTCCTGGGGTGTGAGGCGGTCCTTGCGCGCGAGGATCCGGTCAATCTTTTCGGTGAGGACCTTGTCGCGGGACTCTTCGTGGTTGAAGAATTTGGACCCGCGGGAGGCGTTGTAGATGATTTCGGCGACCTAAAGCGCCAAAAGAACAAAAGAGTTTGGTTAATATACGAGTTCTTTTTCTTTTTTATTCGTCCCGAGAAGGGGGTAGTTATTAGGAGTAGGACTCGTACCTTTGTCTGGTCGACAGAGTCTTGTCCGGCTTTCGTTAAGCTGGGCCCGAGGAGCTGGTACTTGAGGGTATCGTGGGTGTCCTCTGCCACTGTGTCTTTACGCTCCGATTCCTGGCCATCCTTGCGACTGTTCAGTTCCTTGGCAATGAGACGCTCTCCGCCGTCGTCGGCCTCGAGCGGATCGGCGAGGGGACCGTCTTCTTGCTCGGTTCCGGGCTCCGCATCTTTGCTCATGGCGAAGAGGCTGATAAAGACATTGGATGTCGAGAGGAAAAGAAGGCGCTTTTATCCCTTCTTTTGTAAAATTATCGTCACCGTTCCCCCTTTTGTTACTAGGGGCTTCCTTAAATGAGCGTATGATGGCGATGAGGGATGGGAGACGCGACGGTCGAGGTGTTTTTCACGGAGATAACGATGAGGATGGCGGGGAGGAGTGGAACGCGAGGCCAACACGAGGTCATGTGATTTACACTCGCCCCGAACGAGCCGCTGCAGGATCAATGATGCGTTCTGTGTATGTCGAGCTCACCAACAGGAAATCCACTTCTCCGTTCAACCTTATCACCATTGTACAGGGAATCACTTGTAGTCACAAGCCGAAAATTGGCTTAGATGGTAAACCCAAGTTTCTCGCATTTATCTCCCTCGCTCTACTCTTGGGAGAAAGTCATTAAGAAAATTATACTATATCTCGCCCGAGAATCCTGCCTTGATCGCATTCTGTAAGCCATGTAGTACTACATGTACACCACATCAAATGTATCCTCAACGCAAAGCAAATCCCCTTTCCTAGCCCTTCTTCTTCCCATGCCGCTTATGCGCCCCCGGCGTCGTCGTGACCGAAATATCAAAATTCTCCCCCACGCTCGAAACAGCATGCACCACAACATCCTCGCCATACTCCCACTTCTCCCCGCCGCTGCCCTCGTCCCGCTCCGCGTACTCGTCGTAGTCCGCCTTGTTCAGCAGGCCCTTGGCCGCAATCATGGCGTCCCCCTCCGCACGTAGGAACCCTGCACCTGCGTCTCCCTCGCCGCGCCGTTGCGGTCGCGGTTGTAGTCGATGCGCGTCTGCAGCACGTAGTGTAAATGGCTCGTGCCGGGGGCAGCCGGGGCTCGGTCGCCGCGTCGCCCTCGCCGGCGGGCAAACCCTCATTGTTGGCGGCGGTGTCGAGGGCGACGTTGAAGATTTGGCCGGCGGGCGCTTTGGCGTGCACGATGACGCCGTCGCCGTGGGACCAGCCCGAGGTGGAGGCGGCCGAGGCTTCCTCGTAGGTGGCGAAGTCGTCGCGCTCGTACCCGAGGTCTTGGAGCGCGTGCTTGGAAAAGGCTTTGGCGGCGGGGAGGTCGGTGTGCGTGCCGAGGACGTAGGTGGATTGCGTGCCGCCAGAGGGGTCGACGTGGTAGTCGATGACGGTGAGGAGGGTGTGGAAGAGAGTGTCGGGGGTCCGCCTTGTTCAGCCATGATGGCCTTTTTTTTTTTATATCTCTTCACAATTGCTTTCAGTCGTAAAAGGTGTGACAAGTGTCTAAAATCTGCAGCGTATAGTTTAAAAGCTTGTTGGATGTGGAGTTGTGAAACTCATTGGGGGTGTTCTCTTCTCTTGCCAACATCGAGCATCACAGCAGGGGAGAGTGCACCTGTTTATCTATACGTTGATCCCCCTCCTAGAAGTCTCCCACTCCTACTTGTCCCCCGTCGTTCCATCCTACTTCTTTGGGGCTTACATGTGTTTTTTCAATGGGCCGAGAAGACAGGGAAGCGGAGGTGGTTTGGACCACGGGGCGGCGCCCTCGTCATCCTCAGTCTCCCGATCGGTGGTGTGACGGAGACGGAACAAGATTAAGCTTCCCACCTTTCCTCGCTCCACCTCTGCGCCCGCTCTCTCTCTGCCCACTCTTTTCGTTCTCTCCCCGCCTTCGTCACCACAAACCTTTTTTCTTTCCGGAAAAGAACATTCGTTTACCAGAAGTCTTGCCTAGCAGTCAATACAGTTCTTTATCGGCATAGCTCTTGGCCAGCTGACTCTCCCTTCCCCCTGAGCTTGCTTCCCTTGTAAGTGATGCCGGAGCTGCCCGCCTAAGCTCATGATCGCACATCCATGGATGAATCAGCTGTGGACAGTAAGCGAACCGCGTGCATGCGGTGAAGGGAAGGGGAGATGACGTAAATTTGATGCTAATTGACTCGGCCGCCCGTCACGCCACGACCTTCATGACGAGAGGCATCCCGCCTCGAACTTTGCCAATGTTCTCATATCAATTCAACCAATGCCAACTCGCTTGGGTGTGCTTACAAAAGCATTCCTGTGTACACTACACTGAGAAACACGCGACAGGGCTGAAAGCTTGTTCGTTGCACCGACCTTGATACCTTTCACGCCCCTCCCCGGTATCTTCAAGACAAACCGAAGCAAAAACCGAGACATCTGTCTTTCACTCACACGTCACCTCTAGGTTGTACTATTCAACGTCAAGAACATTAAGTATTACCCCGCACCATCAAGATGGAAGATGGGCGGGTATTATTAGCTATCTAAAAGAGGGGAAGAGTTTATGGGGTAATGGTATCTCGAGATAGTACATGGAAATAGGACGAGAAAGAAAAGGACAAAGGGAGGAAACCCGACATGCCGGTCTTTTTCTTTCCCAATGGTAAAAGCCACACTGATGTCGTGTGCGTGCGTCGAGTTTCGTTACAAGAGGCAGGTAGTGAACCAGCTCAAGAGAAGAAAAAGAAATACAAGATCCCACACAGCTCCTTCTTTTTTTTTCAGCTGAAAAAAGATAGGGCAGAGGATAATGTGAAAAAGCAAAGAAAACGGGGCGAGGAAAAAGAGAAAAAAGGATTTGAAATGGAGACGGCGCTCTCTGCTCCACCGCCGTTTGTCCGTTCCCACCCCCGCCCGCCTTTCCTTCCTCCGGTTCCTCTTCCCCGGATGTGGGTACATTGGTGAGAGAGAAGATCAGAGTCGATCAGGGGCGGGGAGAACGCACTCTGGGAGTGAAAAAAGAAAGCACCGCACCTCCGCCGCCGAAAAAGCCCGAGATAATGCGCCAAACTACCGAGTGGGTGCGTGATTCTTCGTTAGAAGTCGAGTGAGAGGGAGAATAGAAAAGAAAAGAAAAAGAAAAAGGGTTCCCCTTCTATCCCGGTGCCGTCCGCTTCCCAGAAAACCATCTCCTTGGCGTCATCGCTCCGATTCATTCGTCTGCCGCATCTGTCCCGTGTGTGTGTGTAAAGAAAAGTGTATGCGTGTGGTCGTGTGTATGTAGCCATGTGTAGCTGTGTGTATGTGTGAGTGTTGAATCGCTCCGTGGATGCGTTGTACATCCGTCTCTCTCTCGCCCCCTTCTCGCGTAAGAGCAGCCAAGGTCGTCCCCATCATCACTCCTGCTGCAACAGCGCAAAAGTCCAATTCGCCCTCGCCACGTGCTTCAGCCCAATCGTCCCCTTGAGCCAGCAGCGAAACTTCTCGTCCTTGTCGCCCTCGATGAACCCCCACCCGCACCCCTGACACGCCGCCAGCTCCGCGCAGCTGCCCACGCACTCCTCCATGCTGGCCGCCCGCACCTCGCCCAGCTCCTGCGTGCCCTCGGTGTAGTCGATGGCGCAGAACACCAGGAACGACTTGTCCGTGTCCGGCACCGGGTACGCCCTCCGGTCGGATTTCGGGCACGAGAGGGGCTCGGAGGCGGGTTGTGTGGATACGAGGAAGCCCGTTGTTGTGCTGGTGGGTGCTGTGCTTGTGGGTGTTGTTGTGGCTCTATAGAAAAGGGCGAACAAAACAGGTTAGCACAAGAACCCTCTCTCTTTGCGGTAGTGAAGAAGAAGGGAATATATGTGTGGTTGTAAAAAAGATCACAAAAAAGATAGTACTCACGATTCCGAGTTCCCGCTACTCGATTTGGACTTGGTCCCAAGCCCTATGCCCAACCCAGCCGCCGCGCCAGCGAGTATGATAATCGCCACAATGGCAACCACCCACGTCGCCGTCCTCGACATCCCACAGCAACCCCCGCCGCAGCACCACCCCGTCTCCTCCTTCCACCTCGCCTCCCCGAGGACCCCCATCGCTACCATCGTAATCGTAGTCGTCCTCGTCGTCGACCCGCGCGCGCCCCGGCCGCTCAATATACGGCACCCCCACCGCCGCGAGCGAGAACCTCGCCCGCCTCGACACCCTCTTACTCCACCGGCCCTTTTCATCGCCCGGCCCGAGTCCCCGCCCGCCCCCGAACCTGCTTCCGCCGTCCGCCGCCGACCGTTCCGACGGCGTGGGCGTAGGTTCCCTGTACAGCGTAAATTGGGACGGGTGCTCGTCGTCGGGCCGGAACACGTCCCCGGGTTAACCTGCGGCTGCTGCGTGCCCGCACCGCCCCTCGCCCGCGGTTTCTCCTCGGCGATTAACCTAGGCTTCGACTGCTGCTGCTGTTGTTGCTGTTGCTGCTGCTGCGGCGTCGACGTCACCACGTGTCGGAGCTCGCGGGCAACGTTGGTCTTGCTAAAGTTGATGGGCACGCCCTGCAGGTGCGCCGGCGCCCGCGGCTCCATGCGCTGCGACTCAAACGAGTTGAATTTGCGCCGCTCTAACGTCGGCGCGGGCGCGGCGGGGGCTGCCGAGTTGGCGCTCGCGGGCCTCGGAGGCCCATAGCTGTTCGCGGAAGGGTGGAGGGCCGAGGTGGGAGACGGGGAGGGCGTCGCGCGGCCGGGGAGTCGCTTGTTGGTGATGGAGGGGAATTCGGATTCGGTGGCGGAGCCGACAAAGGTGCCCCCGGACGAGGTGCTCCGTGTCCGGTCCATTCAAAATGGTTGTGGCCACCTCTCGGTCGTGGGGAAGCTTGTTTTTTCGGCTTCGCTGTAAATAGTTTCGGGTGCTAGGCGTCGTGTCGTGTAGCCTTGTTCTGATTTTGTTTCTTTCGTGGGTATTTTTATTTCGTTTTCCTCCTTGCGAAGTGATTATAGATTATATATAAATCTTGGTTGTCTTTTAAGTGAGATAAGAGAGGGGCGGTTCAAAGGGGGGTAGGATGAACCAAGAAAAAACGGCCGAAAACCTTGGGAGGGGAGGGGCTATATTATTCTTCTTAATTCCATGGTCGGTCGGGTAAGGGCGGGAGAAGCAAAAGATCTCGAGAACAGGACCGAGAAAATGGGTTGACGGGTGTTGAAGGAGCCCAACTTCAGCTTCGTCCAATACTCGGATTTTGGGCGCGACGTGGCGAGCGGAAGCCAGAGGGGGCGTTCAAGAGGATGAGCCAGACGCGAGCGAGAGAGAGAGAGGGCGAGGTGGGCCCGGTCGTCGAGTCGTCGAGTCGTTTGGGGAGCCGAAAAGCAAGCTCGTGGTGTAATTGATGCGGTGCTCTCGTTTATGCCGCCGCCCCTTTTCTTTCTGCATGCCCCTTGACTCGTGTCTCTTGAGGAATATCGCGAGATGGGCCACGAGAGATGGCTGATGGAAGGAAAAAGAAACGACGGATTATTGAACTCGGGTGGAAAAGAAAAGAAAAAACAAGGAATGGCGAGCAATGGGACCGAGAAAAACGCCTCTTCGCAGGAGCTTCTCAATCGGTTATCGCAATGGAAAAAGATATGATATTAGATAGTATGAGAGAGCAAAAGTAAGAAGGGAAAAAGAAAACGTGGTATATCAACGCAAAGAGGAAGGAATCCACGACGATCTCGTCAAGCGGAAATTCAGCGCACGCCCAAGGTGATCACGAAGGAATCAGCAATGGATAGGGAGTATTCACCGGAAGGGATTAAAGAGAGTGAGTGAAGGGAAAGGGGGAGACGAGGGTGGAAGGAAAGGAACGTGAGCGAGCGTGTGTGCTTGAGCGTGTGTGGTGTGTGTGCGATGCCGTGGGAACCAGGGAAATTGGGCACGTTAGATTTCCGAATGGCACCAAAACGCCAGGGTTCAATCTTTCCTTCCTCTGTGCGTTCGTTGCCCACGCCCTCTTTCGCGCTGCGCATCCTTTTCCTCTCGCTCCTCGCGTGGTATTTTACACTAATACGTTCCGCTACCTAAAAAGAACATTGGTGTGGGAAAAGGAAACAGCGAATACGTTTCCGTGCCTGTCTTGTGTCCACTTTCGAGTATGGAGAAGGGCAGCGCGCGCGCGCTGCTCCCCAAAGCAGGTAACAGGGTAGGGAAATAAGATTGCGGGTGCTGCTTCTAGCAAGGGGGCAAGTCGCAGGAGAGCGAGCGATGGAAGAAGAGTCAGTGCAGGTCCGGGAAAGCATTCACTGCAGCGCGCGCTGAACAGAGAGACGCAAGCCCCGGCTCCTCGGCCACCACGAGCCTCACGGGCTGTCCCTTTCTGCTTCTTCTTCATCTTCTTCTCGTGTTGGCGATAGGTACTTCGTACAACAGCTGGCAAGATCCTTGATCCTGGGCACCTTTGGCTCAGTCTGACAACCGGCACCAGCCTGCGCTTCCCTTTTTGTGCTTGCCACAGGGGCCAACGTGTGCACCAGGTTGGTGGGAAGCGGGTGCGCCGGGTTCCCAAGCACGGAGCGACGCCAAGCTCTGTTTTTCCAAGAGGTACGTGCTTGTACACGGCGAAAGTGACAATGAAGATAACAGAACAGAGTGAGAGGGAGAGAGATTGAGAGGGGACTAGCCACTTGGACCCGCCATCAATTCCAAAGACTCCCAATGCCTCCCAACGCCTCCCCACGCTAAACCGACAATGGGGGACCGAGTGGGTCGGAGATGGACGGGGAGTCGGGGAGCTTAACCCAGAACGGGAAACGACCCTGTCTTTTCACCCCTGCTCCCCTCTTGCTTGGTGACTTTTTTTTTTGTTTGTATTATTGAGTTGGGTTACAAGCTGCCCATGGCTTTTGGATGCAACGGTCATGTCCACTGATACACCCATCCTTGTTGTACCAACCAACTGGCGATGGGAAGTGTACCAGGTATTCTTGTATTCTTCTTCCCTTGCCCGCGGTGCTTGTGAACAAAGGGAACAAAGGGGGCGAGCTGGCCGGTTGTGTTCAAAGAGGGAGCTGGGCATTAGTATGCTTCATATAGCCTCAGCACTATGGACACGACCACTTGTATGTTGGCAGATGTGCAACGTTATGTATCCAGCGGGCGAGGAGGTGGCATCGAGGTGCACGTCGAGCCTCGACTCGGCCTTTTTCCCCGAGGAGAGAGAGGAGAGGGGCGATTTGGGTGGACGACTGAAAATCCGGTTCTGGCTCTCCCGCCGTTGAGGGGGATGGGTCGACGGGTGGTCCAAGGCTGACCGTCAATGCGGCGGGCGCCCATCGCAATTGGAACGTCGCCGACCCTTTCTTTTGATGATGTCGTTGGTTTGGATCACGTTGACGACTTCCGGGCGGGCGTGGGACCGTTGCGAACGGGAGAGCTGCCGCTCATCATTATGCGATGATCAATGCAATTGGGGTCACAGGCCGGAATCAGGTGATGAAGGATCTGAGGAACAACCGTTTGTGACGCCGGCGATCTCCTTGCCCTCCAATGTTCACACACTGTAGCGAGGGACTGAAGGGATTGGCCTTCTCGGAAAAACACACGGACCTTCGTTCGCTCCTTCCGTGCCTTCGGCAATAGTGCATTATATTATTATCAGGTTGACATCGTCTTCATGAGAGAGCGGGAAGCCGCGATGCACAATTGGAAATACCATCAATTCCTGTACAAAACTCGAGCAAAGTGGTTCAATCACCCAACTGTTCCGTTTAATCCGTTGTATTGAGACGAGTCTAGGATCGGGCGCAGCGCTCGTGCTGGAAATCCAAGTGCTGACAAGGATCGATTCTGCCCGGTGGGCCTCTCGTCATTTTGTTTTCTCCCACGAGTCGGTGACTAGGGAATAAATTCTGGGTCCAGATGGGGAACAGAGCGTCATGTTCCCTGCTCACCTTGTTCAATACTGCAACCCCAAGCTGATCAGCTCGGGACCAACTTCCCCACCACCCAGCGAAGCGGTCTCTCCCCAAGCATCATATTAACTAATGATTATCCGCGTCTTTTTGGGGTCATCTCCATTCAAATCATTCAAATCTGGAGATGTCGACGCTATCGAGATCTCACTGTCTCCACACGTCAAGGTTTAATCTTGAAGCCCCCTTTTGCCCTATTTCCTTTTCTTGCCTCTGTTCATTCTTCTTTTGGAGAATCAGCTCTTGAGTGGATAGGGGAGAAACTCCCCTAGCTACAAGGACACGAAGCAAAACAAGGACACCATTGATAGAAACGGGATCGTTGTGGAAGAAAGCCGGAAGCAGTGAGAAAAAAAGTCAAAGAGGTGTGCGTGGCGATGCAATGCAGCATCTGGTCTCTGATGGCCAGGGTCCCTGAAGAGAATGACGCCAACCACCCTGGCTGAGGTTGAGGCCCAAAATTACATCTCGAACATGCTCGGGTGCCCTGGCCTAGGCCTATCATCAACCATGCAACTCGCTTTCCCCGAGACCACGAGACCCTATCAAACCTTGGATCTAGATTTCGGGAATGAAGAAACAAAGCACCTCTTCGACGCGAAAAGGCCATGGCTTCTGCGGGCTCCGCAAGTCGAGGGAACACGAGGCTGAAAGAGTCACGAACCTTGCAAGGGAAGGAAAGATGGGGTGGGAGATTGTTAAATTTCCGATCTTGGATCAGGATCGATGCAGTGCAAGATAAGCGCAAATCGTCCTTCCTAGTAATGAGTGGTAAGTCCAGGGTCGGAAAAGGTGGCTCACGACCGGCCCTGGGGGTGTTGAATAGAAGCCAGCGCCGCTGACTACAGTTCAGGCGCTGGAGGCCACGACTGAGCACCACATACAACCTGCGGAAGTCTCCCCAACACACCGCTTGAGGCTATCGCGACTACCCCTGGCATGAAGACAAGGCCACATACTCATAGAAGGCCCAGCAGGATTCAGCTAGGCCTTTTTCAAGCCAGCTAACAGGTGATTTTCATGAGAAGGGTCACCGCAAGGAGTCTTGGTGAGTGAACCCAAAGCAGCAAGTGATGCCGACGAATCCACCACAGACTCGCGAAGCGGCCAAGCTCTCCCTTTTGGGCCCTTTGATATTATTCGGCATTTTCTCTTGGGTCCTATCTCTTCCAGCAGCTATACACCTGCCATTGGCCAACTTGTAGAAGCTTGCTTTTCTCGCCAAATCAAGAATGCCGTCCTAATCCCAATCTACCAAGATAGGGTTGGCTGCCTAGTTTGTTTTCTCCTCTTCCCGACCTACAGTTGGGGCTCATCATCCCCACATCCCCCATTGCGGTCCAGAAGATCCAAGTGATTGAGCCGGGTTCGGATTGGATTCTCATCCTCGTTTTGGTTGCCTGGAGCCCGATGCTCAGTGCGGGTTTAGGTCAGCATCGGGGTAACCTGAGCTGTCCAGGCACCAAGATTTCCTTTTCCTCGACGCACACGCTAGAAAGGGAAAATCATCAAGCAAAAAGAAGCATCGAGGAATATAAATACCGAATTTTCGCTACTCGACGGGACGGAGCAGATGAATTCTATCCTGATATACAAGCCATTAGATATCATCTTTAGTTTCCCTTCAAACATTTCTGCATCATCTCTCTAGATCTCTCTAGACCTCTATTTGTGCATTACCCCCACTAGAAAAGGAGTCTAGATCGCACTCATCAGCGCATTACAGACAGAGCCCCTATTTCAGCACTCTATCAAACGATCAAAAAGCAAATTCTGTAGAGAAGCACAGAGATAACAGTCTTTTGCTACACATATACAGACAGTCGCACCCGGGCATCCCTCGCAAGTATGGCTAATGATACCTCCAGCCTTCCCTTTTCCATACCTGCAGACTTGCTGCCCTTCACCGAACCCCTCCCAGTGTTCCGCTCCAAGGAGCACCCCTTCATCTCACTCCCCTTTACCCACTACATTGCGAGCTCACTCGTGTTTGAGCCCAACGAGGGCCGCCTGCTCATCGTCCAGCGCAGCGCGACCGACTATGGCGCGCACATGTGGGAGCTGCCAGGCGGGACCGTGGACCCCCACGAGAGCGTGCTCGAGGGGCGGCGAGGAACTCCTAGAGGAGTCTGGACTGCGGTTGACGTCGGTGAAATGCGCCGTAGGACCGCGCGCCCTGCGCCGCTCCGACGTTTTAGGGATTGCCGTCCCGTCTGCTCCTCCCCATCCTTCTCCTCGTACTTCTTCTGCTGCTGCTACTGCTACTGCTACTGCGACCAACTCTGTTGCTAACGGAGCCTCCTTGCCCGGGGGCGACGAAGACAAGGACGAGGAACCGCTCGTGGACGTGGATACCGAGGGAGCCAAGTACGACCCCGCGCGGGCCAGGCGTTTGGCGGCGGCAGGCCCGAGGAAAACACGCTCTGGTGCCGGATCGCATTCATGGTCGAGGTGGAGGACTACGCGCGCGTGACGCTCGACCCGGAGGAGCACCAGGCGTACCTGTGGGTCACGGAGACGGAGGTGAGGACCATGAGGACACAGGCGGGACGGGAGCTGGAGTTTGCGTCGGAGCCGATGAGGGCGACGATGCTGGAAGGGTTTAGGGTGGGGAAAGCGAAGAAGAGGGTCGCTGCGAAGAGGAGGGCGGGGGCGGCACTGCAGGCGCGATGAGGGCTCTTTGCCGAGTTGATCCCCGTGGTGGATTACTAGAGGGAAGGGTTTGAAGCGGCGTGTTGCTCATCTAGAGGGAGGAGAAGGACAATATCTCCTTTTATTTTTGTGTTCGTTTCATGTTCTCGTTATCTTCTCTTAGCAAGGATAGCCTCATATAAAAATAGAAGACTGCGCTTTCGTGTTGACGTCTTCCAGCTATTTTACCTTGCGTATTTGTTCGAGGAAGGATAGGAGGTCGTTTGAAGGGGCTATTCAACCGAACGAGAGTTTGAGACTCGTTTTTCTCTATTTCCTCGATTATATCTTCGGATTAAATCAGCATCAACACAACATTCCTAATATAGCTTTTGTGCTAGTGACTATCCCAGGCGAGGTCTAGGAAACGCGGACAATACTAGAGAGTATCCTTCTACTAATGTCTCCGGGAGAGAGCATATGGACGAATCCTCTAATTATTTCTCTATATAAGTCTATCTCTTTATCTCTCTTGGGGAGTGTTGATTCCGCCAAAGGCCATGTGTAGAAGAGGCGTCTACCAGTGAAGGGCATAACTCAGAGCCCGGCATCCACCTGGTTTGGCGGCAGATACACCCAACCTTTACCTTGCTACATCGGAAAGCCTTCCGGAAAGACGGAGAGAGAGCGCAGTTCGTACGTAGGCGTAGGTTCGGTTACGCAAGGAAAGAACTTTTATTTTTCGCGGCGGGGCATTGCAGAGGTGGGCGCACGAAGTGGCCGTGTGTTCATGCTGGATAAGTTGCATGCAGGTACGGAACGTATTGAGCTCTGACGAGCAGACGCAGCCGAAATGAGATTGTAGCGTAGCGAGGTGTACGTCTGCGGAGGTCCCTCTTGTGTTGTGGTGTTCTGTCTTTCCTCCCTCCTCGAGGTAGGTGTGTGGCATTGGTTGGCGCGGCGTTACTCGAAGATATGGAAGAGGGTGGCTCAAAAGGGGATGAAGCAAGATCCGAGTCAAAACCAGGAGATTTTCCATTCCAAGGCAACTTCCTCGGGGAGGATGAAACAATGATTTCGCGAGCGGCGAGGTCAGTTGGCTGGAAGCGCACCTCTATAACGGTGGTGGCTACACTCGCGGCGTTTCTTGCTACTAGAGACACCAAAACTTTGATAGGCTCCTGTCCACCCTCTCCTCGAACGCGGGCTTACTGCGATGCCTTTCACCTCGGGTCACGCTGGGCTAGTCCTATTGCTGCTCCCCGTCGAGAGGTGCATGTGAAGGCGTACACGGTTTCCATTGGGTTGAACGCCAAGTGCCTATCGCTGCTTACTCGACGTGATCGACACGATTTACAGGTTATGAGGGCACCGCACCTACATGTACGTGTAATCTCTTGTAATCACATCGATTGATGAACACCACACACTCACGGCGGCCTGCCCAGCCTCGCTTGCAAGTCTCGGGCCCGCAGGCTTTTAGCACGCGCTTTTCCGACCTGATTAGAAAAAGGGAAGAAGGATGGAAAGAAGATCATGGAAAGAAAGGCCCCCAAAAAAAAAGAAAAAAGCCGGGAGCTATGACGCAGGAGCTAGGCGGAACCCAGATCCCAAAGATTATCCTCCCCTTGCCCCATGGCCACACGGAACGAAGGGGCATTGCTTCCGTATGGGACTGTGGTCGCCAAGAATTGCATGCTTTCCTTGCCCTACTCTGCCTCCTTTTCGCGGCACAAAAATGTAAGACAGCATAGTGTGTCTTTTCGGGGCCGAGATGCTTCACTTGATTAGCAAGGGAGAAGGAGATGAAGAACAAAAAGAGTTTATTGCAAGCCCCATATATTTCTTATGCTTCAGTGACCACTCATCTGAAGAATCTATGAATCTTTGATTCTTCTCCGCACTTGGCACTCTCTGGTCCTCTGCCTCCCCGGTTAAGCCGGAACGAGTAATTCGGAACCTTCGTATCCCCTCTTAAATTTCATTCCCAAGCAAATATCAATCATGAGATTCTCTTTTCTCTTTTTCCTACTTGGCAGCGGGGCGGCATTATTGGTCCCAGCGGTCAGTGTGGTAGGTACTCTTGGTACTGTTGGGGGAAGGGGGACAGAGACACGGGAGCGAGGAAGGGGAAGCTGGGCGCTCCCATCAAGAAGAGAGGGGAGCAAGGCACGACAAAAAGGTGTAGATTGCAAAAGAATTTAGCCCAAAGGCGTGGGTAAAAACCCGTGTTAATTAATTCATTGGTTCATTGCGCGCCTGGAACGGTGACCCCGCCCCTTGCCACCAAAACGGGAATGCCAATATATTTTATACTCTTTGGGGCGGGCGGGCGAGAATTGAAAGGATGAGAAAGCTCCACACAGGAACGAGGCTTTGTTTGGCATGGGACGCGAAAAAATGGAGATGACGGACGGCGATGAAAGTTGGGGGAAAAAGAAATCAAGAGGGAGCAAAAGACAAGAAGATTGAAAAGATCGAACATCGTGAAGATCAATTGCGATGAAAGGTTTGCAAGAAGACACAGGTGAAAGCTAAGAATTAATAAGCCCGACTTCATCAAAAAGGACGGTTTGGCCCCACACAAACATCCGCCGAGACGGACCTTGGCCGATGCGGGATTGCGGAACCGAACCGGCGGGGGCCCACAATGTGGAAGATCAGGTCCCGAGACTTCCATGAGAGAGCTAGCCCACAGGTCTGTCTTGGAGATTTTTCTTTCTTTTTACAGGGCCCCAGGAGGTTCCAAAGTTTGGTTTCCCCTCTCCGCATTATGAATGGAATGGAATGAATCTTTCAATTGATTGCATAGTACTCACACGCATAGCAAAAAACCTCTACCGGACTGACTTATCGGTCCTGCCTGATTTATTACTCTTCCGGAATTCCACACTCGATTTCCTCAGGCGGCGGCAACGCCCGTAATATATAGCACTTGCTTGGAAAGCTGAAGGCCCCAGGTGCAGGGGCGGCAGCAGACGAGCGGTGGTGGAGTGATGTTTCTGCTCTGGCCCCCATCTCGTCATGTTCGGGACGAACTCCCAGCGCGCGCGGTACTGCCGCATTACCGACGATAGAGTACGCAAGTAGAAACAAGAACGAACGGAAGCATAGAAGAGAAGAAAGGGAAAAAAACAAGTTGACGAAGAGGGAAGGCAGATGAGGAGACTAGAACAAAGGGCTGTCCCCGAGCGGAATTACACAGGCGGTAAGCAAACATGTGCATAAAGATACCCTTAAAGCGGAAGAAAGAAGAATAATAGAAAGAACAAAGGCGAATTGAACGAGCGAAGCGGAAAAGGAAAAAAAGAAAAGAAAAACCATAACCAACGATCGGGACGCAAAGTTCCTCTTGGATTCCCCTCCGTTCTGTACCTATGGGGCTTGCCGTAACTATGCTCGCCTGCCTTGCTTGCCGGCCATTCTCCCCCCTCCCCACCATTTGTTCGCACGCTTCGCCTCCGCAGCCGAATATCTGTCGGTTCCTGGGCCGAGAGGGCTAATATATTGCATGTATATATCCTAGCACCATACCCATTCATCTTCCTCCGTGGAGAGCAGTCGGTAACAAAGGGAGAGCAGTCCTAGCTTTTTATCCTCCCCTAAAAGTCCATCTTCTCCCCCTTTCCTTCATCCTCCCTCCCTTCTCGTTCGGTCCCTTCTTTTTTGTTGCTACGTGTTGGTCACAGGGTCTTCTACTTCTCTGCCATTCTTTTGGGTCCATTCCTCTCGTTTTTCTTTTCTTCTTCTTCTTTTTACTCTCCCTTTGGGTTTGCTGATCATCCCAGTCTTAATCTACGAGAAGAAGTTAAAAAAACGGACTAGACCTCTTCAAGATGCGCAACTTCGAAGTCGCCGTCATCCTCGCCGCGGCCGGCGCCCTCGCCCAGACCGTCGGCACCGAGCACAACGCCGTCATCGTCTCTGACAGCCCCGTTGGAGCCAAGTACATTGCCAACTTCGAGGGTATCATCACCGGCCGCGTCCTCGCCGGCTCCGACGCCTTCGGTATCGGTGTCACCTTCCACGTCGCCTTGACCGGTCTTTCCGAGGCCGACGGCCCTTACAGTAAGTTTTTTCCAACACTTTCACGTAGCCCAGCGTCGTGCCACTTTGGCTAACCACAAATCTCTTCTTTCCCAGAGTTCCACCTCCACGAGTTCCCCGTCCCCGCCAGCGGCGACTGCGCCGGCACCGGCGGCCATCTCGACCCCTTCGGCAGGACTCAGGAACCCGCCTGCGAGAGCGATTGGCCCGAGAGCTGCGAGGTTGGCGATCTCTCCGGAAAGCACGGCACCGTCGAGGGAACTAGCGACGAGTACAGGTAAGCTTATGCCCCATCCCCCTGCATTCTTCCCTCAAGGGAAAAGAGAGGTGCAAAATATATGTAAAAAAAAAAAAAAAAGACCACTAGCTAACACATCTTTTTTTACTTCCCCAGCTTCCACGACCTCTTCACCTCCCTCAACCCCGCCAACGACGCCTTCTTCGGCGACAAGTCCATCGTCCTCCACAACAACAACGGCGACCGCGTCGCCTGCGCCAGCTTCGCCCCCGTCCCCAAGGAGACCACCGGCGAAGAGCCCGTCGAGGTCATCCCCGAGCTTCCCGCCGAGGAGCCGGAGGAGGAGACCCCCGCCCCCGAGACCCCTCCCGCCGAGGAGGACGAGGAGTGCGAGGCCGAACCCGAGGAGCCCGTCACCGAGACTCCCCGCCGAAGAGGACGAGGAGTGCGAGGCCGAGCCCGAGGAGCCCGTCACCGAGACCCCTCCCGCCGAGGAGGACGAGGAGTGCGAGGCTGAGCCCGAGGAGCCTGCCGAGGGCGGTGAGGTCGTTCCCGAGGAGCCCGCTGAGGGTGGTGAGATCGTCCCTGAGGAGCCCGTCGAAGGCGAGGTCACCCCGAGGAGCCCGTCGAGGGCGAGGTTACTCCCGAGGAGCCTGTCGAGGGTGAGGTCACTCCCGAGGAGCCCGTCGACGATCCCGAGATCATCGTTATCGGCCCCATCGAGGGTGAGGAGGAGGAGGAGGAGGATGGCATGAGGCTCGGACCTTGAAAAGATGGGCGCACATCTGGCTGACGGTCGTGTCCGAGCTAAATATCCCCCAATCTCTCTCCCTCCCTGCTCCGCCTACAACTAGGCCGAGATAGGAAGTAATAAGAACTTCTCACCTTATCAAAGAAAAGGCCACATATCTTTATTTCAATCTTCACATGTATTTACCGTTTTCTCTTGCCGCTCTTTCTTGGGCTTTTCCGTTTTTCTGTCTCTCTGGGCAGAAGCGGGAATGACCGAAACGAGCAACAACTTCTTTCTTCTTCCTTCTCTATATAGTTTGGTGTTTACGTAGTCAAGAATGTATGATTATCATGAAAGGACCGAAAAAATACGTGCCAGTGAGGTATGACCTGGCTTCTAAAAGGCCTGAGGGCTCAGTCACCGTGAGGGGATTAAATCACTTATTGACATGATGGCATTAATCATGGGGGACTATATACTGCGCGTGTGTGCTAGATAGCAGTGAAAGGGTGTAGATTTTCGTCTCCTACTTAGCCAAGTAATATGACTAGGATATATAGAATAAAAGAAAAAAAGAACAAAAGAGAAAAACCATCCAAAAATGGCAAAGAAGAAGAATAATGGGGCTTAATGTACAAGCGGCTTTGGACATCCGGGTTGGCTCCCGAGATTCCTGCCGGTGGAGTGGGTCTAGGTCAGACCTGCGGGGTTTCCCTTCCCTTTTGCGCTCACTGGCGACCACGGAAACCGCCTCGGAAGCGACCCCGGCCTCCGTTGTTACCACCGTTGTTGCCGGCATTGTTGTTACCGCCATTATTTCCTGCATTGTTACCACCGTTGTTACCGGCATTGTTATTACCACCATTGTTTCCGGCGTTGTTGTTGCCACCGTTGTTCCCGGCATTGTTACCGCCATTGTTTCCAGCGTTGTCGTTACCGCCATTGTTTCCGGCGTTGTTGTTACCACCGTTGTTTCCACCATTATTGCCACCAGCGTTACCACCTTCGGTGACCTCGAACTTGACACAGTCGTCCTGCGCACCGCGCTGGGCAACGGGCATGAGCACCGGCTGGTGGTTCGACGAGCTGACCATGGTGCACGCTCGGTAAGCGCCGGCGGGAAGACCACCGGGGACGACGGCGGAGAGTAGGCCGTTGTTATCGACGGGGTCGTTCACGCCCTTGAAGAAGGCAAACTGCCTCGGGTCAGGGGGTTGGTGCTTCGCAGCGTGCCAATATCCTGAATGGTAATGTGGGCGTGGCCAATGATGTCTCCGTTACCAGCGATCTCCTGGGGAGACGAGTAGTACGTCACAGTCGGGTTGGTGAACGCGCCGGCCTGGAGGTGGTCCGAGCGGAAGGTGACGGTGAAGTCGGTGCCGGCTTGGACAGTGTCGCCGGGTTGGGGGAAAGTGATGATGGTGGAAATCATGTTATCGCGAGCGGGGATCTGGCCCATGGGCGTGGGGTTGCAGGATCCGGCCGTGTTCTGTTGGCCATTGGTGAGAGTCTGGCCCGTGCAGAAGTTGATGAAGTTGTTGTCATCACTGAAAAGGAAAAGTTACTCGTTAGCGCTGGCCTAGCTTTGTGAATCATGCGCAGAACCTGCCAAGGGAAACTTACGTTGTGGCGGCGGTTTGGCCGGCGCCGATGCCTTCGGTACCAGGCTCCTGACCAGTGCGACCACTGTTGGCCTGGATGTTTTCAGCCCGGATACAGTTGGCGGCGTTGTTATTGTTGTTCCCGCCATTGTTGCCACCGTTGTTACCGCCGTTGTTACCGCCGTTGTTACCGCCGTTGTTGTTACCACCATTGTTCCCGGCGTTGTTGTTACCACCGTTGTTTCCGGCGTTGTTGTTACCACCGTTGTTTCCGGCGTTGTTGTTGCCACCGTTGTTCCCGGCGTTGTTACCACCGTTGTTCCCAGCATTGCCACCAGCGTTACCACCGGCATTGTTTCCGGCATCGCCGCCGGCATTGTTTCCGGCATCGCCGCCGGCGTTACCGCCAGCATTGCCACCGGCGTTACCACCAGCATTGTTTCCGGCATCGCCGCCGGCGTTACCACCAGCATTACCACCGGCGTTACCACCAGCATTGCCGCCGGCGTTACCACCAGCGTTACCACCGGCATTGCCGCCGGCGTTGTTGTTGCCCCCGCGATTCCCACCACGGCCATTGCCCCTGTTGCGACCGCCGAAGCGGCCGCCATTGTTTCCTGTAGCAGCACCACCGGCCGCCTGGGTAGGCTCGGCAGCCGCTGTAGAATCGGCGGCGGCTTCAGTGGGCTCTACCACCACGGGCTCTTCCGCAGCGGCAGTCTGGGAAGCCTGTGCCGCTGTGGTTTCTTCGGCTGGGGGTCCTCAGTCGCGGGATCTTCGGTAGCAGGATCCTCTGTAGCAGGGTCCTCAGTAGCGGGATTCTCAGTGGCAGGGTCCTCAGTAGCAGGATCCTCAGTAGCGGGGTCCTCAGTAGCGGGGTCCTCAGTAGCGGGATCCTCAGTCGCGGGATCCTCGGCGGCGGGGTCCTCGGCGGCTGGATCCTCTGCTTGACCTCCGCCCTGTCCACCATTGTTTCCCTGGCCGTTGTTTCCACCACGGTTGCCTCCACGGTTGCCACCGCGACCTCCACCCCTTCCGCCGCTAAAGCCTCCAACGCTGGTCGCGCCACCGCTCTTGTTGTTCATATTGCGCCTGCCGATGAACTTGGGGATGACCTCCCGCCCTTCCACGACATTGCTGGCAGGCATAAAGGCCTGAACAGCGCTGGTGGAAGCGAGCAGGGAAAGGATGAGAGCTGAAGTCTTCATGGTTGCTACGCTTTTCTTGCTCTGCAGATTCGAGTTTTATTTTGGGGTTGGTTGAAAAAGAAAAAGTGTTGAAATCGTCGAGCTCTCAGAGCTGTCGAATAGAGGCTTGACAAAAAGAAGTCAAGAAGCCAAGAAGGAAGTTAAAATGGTTTGGTTTCCCTTGAGTTGTTCGGGTATGCCCGTTTTCGTCTGGATGATACCTGTGGCGAGGGAGCGTATGAAGTGAATCGGTTCAACCGGTGGTGTTAGTTCAAATGAATGGAAAGAAAAGAAAGGAACTAACACAAAAAGTGAAAAAAGAAAGAAACGAAATGCCAATCACTGCATCCTACGACTTGACGGAAAGTACGTGATGTAGATTACCACGGGAAAGAGAGAAGAAAGAAGAAGAGAAGGAGGAGCCGGGCAGGGTGGGCTTGGCCAATCTGATATATGGAATGTGAAGGCGAGAGCCCCAAAGGGAGGGGACCACCGACGATTCAAGTCGGACTAAGGTTTAGACCACGATGGGCGGAGAGTGGATGCAGACGGTTGAGCCGGAAGGGACCCTGGTAGCGCCAAGCGCCTTGGTCCGCATCCATCCTCCTCATCTCGTCCATCCTGGATTTCTTCATGTGGGGAGGGGTGAAGGCCGCGAGCAGGAGCCCAATGTTCCAAAAGACCGAGAGGTCTTTCCTTCGTCTCTCGACGTCAGAGCTCAGAAAGCACCTACTCTTTGTGGATGTCTGGGTTGGGAAGGGGCGTGCAAGGAATCGGGAGGGGCGTGTGGAGCCCTACCGGGGCCTAGCTCTTGCCTCTTCGACATTGGTATGACACACGAGCAAAGAAGGGTTGCTGGTGCTTGCTGATGGGGGAATTGCACTGGCTGGACCTTCTGACAGCGAAGGAGTGGGAGCAGTTGCGCTCTAGGGGGCGTGCGGGTCTTGGGATGGTAGGAACGAGCCAAAGAAAACAGTAAACTAAACTTTATGCCATCCCCTGCCCCACCCCCTTCCCTTTGCCCCTTGGTTCCTGCGTTTTGCGGCGCAGTTTGGGTGGGAAGGAACAAGAAGGAAATGTGGTATCGCCTGGGGAGACCCTTGCGCGATCTGTAACCACAAGACTGGAGGGGCCTCCCCAAAAACAAGCGTAATTTCCCTCAGGAGTCTCACAAGTCAGCGAACGATTTAGGGGAGGCTGCACGTAAAACCTCTACGGAGCTCCTTCAACTCTCAGGAGCAAAAGATGACTGGCCAAAATCCCCAAAGTGCCATCGAGGGTGCTGCAAGGAGACTGTTGCCTTGCATGAGGGGAGAAACAGAGTGATAGGGGCCAATGCGACTCCACGAGCATGCTCGGCAGGTCTGCCGAGGAACTGGAACCCTCCCCCTTGGGCAGCACGTCACAATGGGCCCCGGAGTTTCCTTGGTGAAGGGAACATTGAACTCGCCGGCCCAAAAGGCGGTAATTCGCAAGATGGACAGACAGAATTAGAAACCCCGAAAATATTCTCCGCGGCCAAAGCCCGTTGCCTGCGGGTTCAAAAGGAAAAAAATATAGGCAAAGGACCCGGGATTGGTCCTGGAGCTCTCGTTGAGAGATTCCCATATGTGGCGGGCGTGGATCTTCATAAAGCGCCCGATCTTGCTGGGCGGCTACAGGGCTCGAAAATGGGCAAATGCTCGCGAATGGACAGATGCTGGGGAAGCTGATGTGGGGAGCATTTGCCGGGGCGGGTGGAAAGCGCCTGGCTCACTGGGCTGGACGAGGAAATACAGCATCGATGATGTTAGGTAATCAGTTCCGAAACACCTCCTCTCCAGGTCCAGCTGCTTCTTCTGCTCTGTGCTGGGCCATCGCATAAGTACCAGGTACCTGGCCACAAGCCTTCATTCACACAGAGATAATTGGTATATCTACCGAACCACGAGGGGTGAGCCACCCTTGCAGCACATCTTGAGGATCCAAACTCCGTTTCACAGGTGCACAGGTGCCATTGGGTGAAACTGCCAAGTCTCAAGGGTGCGCCTGCTTGGGGTCTCTCCATCCCTGACAGAGGAAAGAAGGCAAGAGAGACCAAGACAAAGGCGAGAGAAAGAGAGTGAGAGAATGAGAGAAAGACGAGGCACATCACCGATCCTGTCGCTCATGGTTTGCAAATCCTCCGCTGGTTCGGCCTGACCTGCGTATTCGGGAAAACAGGTATCGTCATTTGAAGATTGGAGAAGTCGACGTCGATCTCGACCACGATACCTAGGGCTCTGAGAGAGGGCGGGCCAAGACATGCGGGCTGCCGCCTCTTCCAGCTTTTGGCATCGCATCAGTGCTCGGGTTTTCTCCATGACAGCGCACTAAGGCCCGTCAATTCGTCAATCGGTGGTTACGATGTGGTTGATGGACCCGTCAATCGACCAGTTCCTTGGCTTGACGGGCATACTATTCCCTGATCGGAAGCCGAGAATGGCGCTACGGCAGGAACCCAGCGGCTTGCCTTCAACAGATCCACTAAACCGAAGAGCCTCTCCTCCCGCTGCATGAATTTGGGATGCCAGAATGGAAGAAGCATCAATGGGCTTGGGAGCCCACACATCTCATGAATGAGCGAGGCCCATTACTTCATGGCCTTTTTCTTTTATGCTTCTTCTTTATTGTTATTTTCCCTCTTCCAATTATCTACGTAGCGCCCTCATCCTCACCCACCCAGCGCGTGGGTGATTTCGGGCGCGCTTCAGGCCAGCATTTCGGCGACCCATTTCCTGTGCCACCATGGGGGCGTTTGCGCAGAATGTAGTGGTGATTGGCCCCGGGCTCGTACCACGAGCGGTTCTTTCTTCCTTGCCATAATGATATGTTGGGAGGGATGAGGAAAGAAAAAAATTATGCTTTTCGGCATAATTGATGATCGACAAGGAAGAGCAACGATATCCACTCTTCCTGTAGCTCCCATGAATTCCCCCGACGCCGAATGGCCAGCACAAGGAGCGCCGAGTGCAAAAGGCATTCTCCAAGGATCGGTGCGGTTCGTGCGCCCGTGTTCTCCACCACCCAGCGCTGACCCCCGGCTCAAGATGAGACATCGCATGTCTCGAGAGCGCTGACTGACTGCGCTCCCCTTTCCCTCCAAGAGCATCCTGAGCTTCCCAATACTACATTCTCTGACAAACCTCCTTTCGTGCGCATCCCAGCCCTCACACTATCCTTTAATTCATTTCAACCTCATACTTTCTCACCAAGACAGGCCCCTCTTGGCTCGGTAGCTCCTTGCCGAGTCAGCCTTGGGCGAGGAATGCCCCGCCGAGTGGGTGGCAGTTCTACGAGCTGAAAGAGCCTTTCATCAGGGGTTTCGCTCTACGAGTGCGAAAACAAAACACACTTTTGTTTGCCCATAATATCGAGGTGCCGAGATAGAGGAGAGGAAAACGATGGCGAACCCTCACTTGATATGTCTTCCAAAAGGGGAGGCTCAGCTTTCGAGACCTCGCTTCTGCTTGGGCAAGGGGAGGCTCGCTCGCACCCTTGGGATGAATGAATGCTTCCCATCCCCGCAAAGATGTGCCTCGAACCAAGACAGAGGGAAGAAAGAAAGGGGGAAAAAGAAAAGAAATCTATGGCCCTCGTTCCAGACTTCGCGATAAACCGGGTCTACGATGCTGTGATCTGCTTCCTCGAAGATCTCGCGGAAAATCGGATCGCTTCCTGGGTGGATCAGTCCCTTGGCAGGTGCCCCGGACGGACGAGCCCAGCAGCAGCCAAGCCAGCTCGAGGGCACAGCCTCTGCCGTTATTCATGCTCATTGTCCGTGGGGATCTTCGCCGCGGGCCTCGAGCGTGGTCATGGCCCATTTCTCCCCCACCACGGTTCACCACTTTAACCCTTTCGTGCTGGTACGCGACCCGCCCATCCTCTCTTAGTGCCAAGTCAAACGGGCCCTCCGCTTCTCCTCCTTCTTCTTTCTTCTGTCTCTTCTCTCCTCGTAGCCTCCTTCTCCTCCTCCTGTTCGACTACCCCCTGCCTTTACTCAAGGTTCCATTCCAAGGCCCCCTTCAAAAAGGTCCTACATCCATTGTGTTGGTCAAAACCAGACTAACCTGGGGAGGAGCACGGAGCGAGGGACCACTTGCCAACATCTTCTATGACCGCGATCTCCTTGGCACCCCTTGCTTGCTCGCCATCCTGTCTTTCTTTCTTTCCTTTCCTCTGTGTGTGTTCTCTTCGCCCACCACTTTTCTCTTTTCTTTCTTCCTCTTTCCCCAACACCGCGTGGTCCCACCGGCCGTGCCGCTGTCATCTCTACTTGTAAACGCACTTTGTGTGGTGTTCGAAACAAACAGCGAGAACCAGCCAGACCGAGAACTGCGTATTTGTCAAATCATTAGGTCGGACCTTTGTGAGTCTTCCCGATACGATTTACCAAGCCTCAGTAAAACAGAGATGTTTCATTGTCGAATGGGCTTGGTCTTGGTGACTGGCCATTCGAACCTACAACGCGAAACTAGAACGAAGGCGACGATATAAGATTGTGCCAATTCCAATTCTTCTTTCGTATCAAATGCATCCCATCCGTTCTCTGGACACTCAATCAGGTAGTGTCTCTAGTTTAGACTTGATACATCCCACAAAAGACAGCGCGATGATGGAGCACTCATCTCTCTCCCGGACCACACCTTCCCGTGAAACATCCGAGTATGTGTTCTTCGCCGGAAGCAAGCGTGAGTTGTCACCGAGTAACAGATAGCCAACAGCATTGGAATAGTGTTGGGATACGCATTGGCATGAGGTTGTTTTCCCATCATCATCTCATATTCATTAATGACGCGTTGTCTAACTACAAACAAATCCAAAACTCGAGGTCAACGCCCGGTGCTATGTGAGCCGGCCACAGACCTCGGAGAAACCGCATGCCAATATCAACAGTGCTAGCAGACGGGAGAATTCCCGCCAAATAGGAAAAGAAAGCGTGAAGAAAGGATATCAGAAATCAAACAAGTTTCGTATTCATACATGGCCCGTAATCTCCCTCTCCGGAATGGTGCTTCCTCCCCACTTCCGGGTGGCATCACTTAGTGAACAATGTAGCTCTCCGCCTGCTGCGCAGTCGCTTTGCGCTCGGCTCGGATGCGTAGGCCTGTGATGATGGCCAAAGTCACACTGACTAGCCTGTAGTGTCCGTAAATTCCATGTTAGCATTCTAAATAAACTGGGGCCGCACGTTTCCTGTCCACGTAGAGGGAGCATATTGCTACCACCACGTTCACGTCGCGAGCCTGAATACGGGGAAGCCAAAGAACTCCCCGCGCCTTCGGGCTCCCTAAGTGGTGTGTATAAAGGCTTGCAGGGAGAAGGAGACGGAAGATACTGATGGTAAAGGGGCAGGGCGATACTGACATTTGCAGGCCGAGCAACCAGCCGAGCGAGTTGGACGAATTGAAAAGCGGTTGGGACCGGCTATCCCACGTCTTGTTCAGATACCAGACCATGATGGCGAAGCAGGCTATCGAACCGATGGCGAAGACGAGCTCGACAGCGAACAGGTAAAAAGGCGTCGAGGGTCCGCCGGTGCGCTCTGAGCGCCTTTGGATACCGGTGACTACGCAGGTCCAGACGAGGGTGGTGACGGCCTAGTTCGGGTAGTCGAGTTAGCGCCAGATGTTCGTGGTCATATATGTGATTTCGCTCCTTTTCTTTGTTCTCCTTCTCTCCAACGCTCAACCTCAAAAGGAATCCAACACGGAACCAAAGCTCCACTTACCAAGGGAAGAATAGTATATAACGGCGTCCAGATGGGAGCGCTCGGCGGGAAATCCATGCTCGACCGCTCGTGCGCCTCCCGGATATACATGTACGCCACGACGATAATCATGACGACGGGTAGCGCCATCGAGAACTGGCGCAGGATGGATGTGGTCCTGTCCCACCGCCTCCTCTCCCTCCGCGGCTGGGTAAAGGGCACCCAGTGCGATGGCCTGTGGCCTCCATACCCTTGGTTCTGGTGCGGGTTCGGTCCCAGGCCCGGGTGCTGCTGGTACGCGGGCGGCTGGTTCTGGTAGTAGCTGGGGGAGGCGCGCCCGGCGGGGGCTGCTCGGCGTAGGAGCCGTACCAGTCTTGCTGGCCCGGAGGAGGGTTTTGAGGGGCCATGGCTTCTTGGTTTTTGCCTTTTATTTCTCTCTTTCTTTTCCTTTCGTGGGTGTTTCCTTGTTCCCTTTCCCTCCTCTTTCTTCCGACCGATTGTTGCTCGCTCGCCCGGAACTTGCTTGATGAGTCGACAGCCCTTGCGAAGAGCTGGGCTCGAAAATCGTGGGAAGGACGGAGGGATTCGCCGAGAATGGGTTGGCTGGCGTGTAGGTGCGCCCGTGGATGTCGGTCGGGGAGGTCGATCGTTGCGTGTTCGGTGTTTAGCAGGTGGAGCTCTTGGGGGAGGGCGCTTAGAACGACGTCTCGCTGGCTTCAATGCGTAAGACGACGTTTGTTGATATTCGCCCTAAAACTTAAAGGCTACCGCGCAGATCAAAGGTATACCGCAATACTCTCGTTTTTTATTTCCTTTCGATGCGGGAAAATAAAATAAAGCTCACTGGTTCGGGAGGGGGAACGTGGAGGTGACGTTGGCCTGTATTTTTGCCGCCGAAGAGAGGAAACCTTCCTTTTCCCTTTCCCCCCTTGCCGCCGTTTCTTGGGCCTCAATCAGCCTCATGGTCGCTCTTCGCAACGGGCGCGCGGCAGTGATACACTGTCATAATAGGTTGAATGGAGCTTCTTGGCAAAAAAGCACAGCCCAGGCGCAAAACAATGCCATCACGTGATGGCCCAGAAACCCGTCTGGAGGACTAAAGTTGTCCGTAAATTGAGAAGTGGACGGTTTCGAGTGTCGATGGGGGATTTGTTGGACAAAAAGACGAGGGTTTTTGCTTTTGGGGTTCTTCTCTATTTCTTAGGGTTTCAACTATCCTATGCAATAGATTGTTGGGTATTGGGAAGAAAAGTGTGGGATCGTTCAGTTAGTCGCCAGTTGTTTTTTGCTTTTAGACGTCGGGATCTGCGGGTTGACGTTGGCCGGCAAGGTGCCAATTGGAGACACAACTCCAGGCGCCGAGCCAGTGCTGCAGCTTCTTTGCTTGTCCGGAGGCGACTCCGGACCTGGAGGCTCGATGGGAGGCTTTGGCCTCCGATGGATAGGTTTTCCGATCCCTAATCTTGTCGATGAATGGCCGAGCCCCTCCGCTGGTGACTTCTGTAGCTAGCAATAAACTGACACTGGCCACACCGTCTCTCCCTTTTGGTTCACCAAGGGCGTCGCTTTTTCCTGCCCAGGTCCCGATTATTATGGAGGGGCTCCACTCGAGCTCTGGAGGTGGAACGTTTGTTCAGCGGCTTGATCCATTGACAATCCATGGTCTCTTGATGCAGCCCACACAAACAAATCTGCCCCGCCTGCCAACACAGCGCAGCCATACAAACACGCCATCCCTTGGTGGACCCCGTCAGCGAAATCCCCCACCTCCTTCCTCCAAGTGTAGTGCTGGATGCCTGGGGACTCGAGATCCCCACCAAGCAATTATGACTAACACAACCGGATACTGTTTAATGTCTGTTATTCCCACCCTTGTGCATAACATCGTTAGACGGCTCCGGTAGCACAATTGGTTAGTGCGTTGGACTTTTAGGGCAACCTAAACAGGCCATCCAAAGGTTGCGGGTTCGACCCCGCCTGGAGCGTCGATTTCTCTTTTTGCTGTTCGTCATCCCGATCAGAAAGAAAGACTGAGTCGATCCACGGATTCTTTTTTATTTATTTTTTGTGCTGTGCTTCTGTTTCTCAGCGTCCCTACTTCGGTATTCACTGCTGTAATCAAAGTAGTTTATTATGCTCTTTGCTTCTTTTCACCCATCCGGTTTCTCCTTTCTTCCTCGAAGAGCACGTGAGGCACCCCTTCCTACCTATCCTCGTCCGGCTCTAGTTTTTATAAACGAAAGTATGCTACAGCACTCCATTTGAGCAGGCTCGCCAAAATGAGATTGTCTCAATCAGTCAGCTTTACGATCATATGGTTGGTGACCTGCCCGACAGCCGAGCGGCCGGTGACGTGACAGCCGATGTTTCTGCCCAGTTGGTTTCGGCTAATATGGCACAAGAATAGCTTTGATAGGAGTCAAATGAATTCACTATCCATGTTCCTTTCCTCTCGTGCACATCGCCGAATTAAAGTGGCCCCAACTCAAGATATTATTATTCATGCAAACCGGCTGGTTGTAGGTAGTACATGGGGAGTTAGAACCTAATCATCTCCGTCCCGCCCGCCTGATAAGCTGGACGTTTGATAGTGTTCCATCAACCGGTTCACATGGGGACGCCTAATAAGATACCATATCCACCGTAGAGTACATGTAGTAGTAGTGTTTATTATTGCAGTGTTTGTTTGTACTTCCGAGCCGCGGGATACCAGTCTCGTTTTGAACTCCACTTTTGACAGCGGCGCTCGCTCCGCGCGCTCACCCGCTTGCCATCCCTCCTCCCCGGGAAAATGCGAGGACGAGGGTACCGGATAGGCAAAAGGGTTCTCCTTGATTTTTTATCTCGAGGGCCACTTATCGAAAAATGAATATTTCTTGAATGATTATGGTTGGTTTGTATTAGTAGCATTCCCATGCCAGTTTATAGCTAAGTAAAGATAATAAAAATGGTAAAGATGATAGAAATAGTGAGAAACCAGATATGATGGCTTTGATGAGGAGACATGAGAAAACCAACCCCAAACGATGAAGCAAGCTCAAACGCCGGTTTTCATTCCCCTGGATCCGCTCCTACAGTTACAGGAGAAAAAGAGAAGAAAAAAGGAAAAGTAGATTAGGAAAGAAGGAGGGTGGGTCTGGCCCGGGCTCTCTCTTTCTTTACGCCTCCCACCGCTTCTCCTTGGGCTGCCTAGGCTGGATAGGAGTGTCGGGGATGACGGTGATGGTGACGGGAGGCTGAGGGTTTTGAGGCGAAGGGGCAGGCGCGACTGAGGTGTAGATGGTGATGTAAGTGGTGACGACGGTGGGGCTGGGTCCGGGAACGTCGAAGATGGTGGTGAGGATGCGGGTCTGGATATCGGGATCCTGGTTAAGAGGAGGGGAGTCCTCGTGGTCGAGGGAACGCATTGAGAGTACCACTCGCTAGAATTGGAAGATTCGATGTTAGTGACTTGAACAAAGGAAGAGAGAGGAAGGTGGAATCGGAAGGGAAAAAAAGAACTCACTTCTCGCCGTCGTTGTAGCAGTAAGAATCGTGTACGCAAGCAGTGGCGTACTCCCAGTCCCTACCGCCGCACTGTCCCCACATGCTCTGGGTAGAGCCGAGAGGGGAGGGGAGGAGTAGGGGTGGGCGCCGGAGTGGGAGCCGGGTTCGCGGGGACGGGGGCCGGAGGCGTCCACCTGTTGCGCTGGGCGGAGGCGCCGGCGGCGAGGAGAGCAAGGAGGGTGATGGGGAGCTGCATGGTGATGGCTCTTTTTGTGGTGTGGTGAGTTGTTCCTGTTAGGGACGGAAAGAGAAGATGGAAAGAAGAGAAAGGCGGCACCACTAATTGGTAGGTGATGGATGGTTTCTCAAGAGAGACGAGGAGAGAATGTCTCGAGATAGGATGAGATGCGAGTGTGGATGAAGATGTAAGTCTGGAATGTCAAGAGAGAGGGAAAAGAAGAACCGAGTTAGGCAGGGCATCTAGGGATTTATATACATCTCAACCAGACCTCATCCTACAATGTGATCGACCCGGATCCGAAGAGAAATCAAGATATACGACGATAAAAAAGTTGATCAATTGCCTAGCGTATATTGTCACCTTGTCCTTCAGCAGTTAGAATAGAAACAAGCGGCCAGGGGGAGGGATGAGAAGTAGAGGAGGGGGCGTGAAGAAATGGCTGACAACGGGGGCGTGCAAGTCCATTGAATCGACATCTCTTTCTTTGAATGTTCCGCAAGGGGATACAAATCCCGGAGGGTCCTCGCTTTACGTTGCGGCCGGTGCTCGCCTACCGTTGTCTATGTTTGTCTGCCTCCCGTCTCCCGGACGAGTAAAGCTTGCTATCTACGACATTAGGTAGACAGCCGGCCGGCCGTGGGAAAAAAAAAAGAATGGTGGTGGTGGGGCGGAGGGGTTACTCCTGGAGGTGAGCTCATGTTTCCGTTCTTTTTACCACCTCGCGTGGGTCTCGTTGTCCCCTTTCCGTGTTCTCTACGACTTAGCAATGGCGAATGTGCCTGTTAATTACATGAAAAAAGGGAAAAGAGAGAGGAAGAGAAACATCCCGTCGGAGAATAACGCTTGTGGCGAAGGAGGGGGAGGGAGGACCGAAAGAAGGGAGGAGGGGCGTGGAAATCACTTTCCTCCGGCTCTCTCTCTCTCTTTCGCATCCACTCCCCCTTCACCGCGGTTTAAGTTGCGAATCGAGCAAAATCAGGGACGAAAAGAGAGAGGGAAAAAGGGGAAAACACAAAAACGGGGTTGTTGAGCTAACCGAGTGGAAGACCCATCGTTTCTCCCTCGTTGCTTCGCCCAACGTGCTTGCGTCTTCGTGCTCCGTGCCCGCCCCGATAAATGAGAGGCGAGGTTGAGGCACGGCGAGCCCGTCATGATGAACGCGGGAATCGCTGTCGATCTGCCAATCTTCTCGGACGTGCAAGGTAGCAAGATCGGTCCGCTGAGGGTGCCTGGGTATTCCGCCAGGCTTTTTGACATCATCTCCTATACTCATTCCGAGTGCTCATCATCATGCCTCGTCCCCTAGCTAGTACCTAGATCGCCCCCTCTCTCCTCTTCCCGGGTCCACGCCCTCACCAGAACGAGGAGTGGGCGCCAGGGGCATGGACCTCTCTGCTCAACGAAAGCAGGAGGTTGAAGCCGGTTGAGAGCTGAATCAGTAGAAGTGACAGATTAAAAGCGGTGGCAGAGAGGGAGAACAGGAAAAGATCAAGGTAGAAACAGATGGCAAGTGAGCGGCAGAGGGGTGGTTCTCCGATTAATGTCCTGCCGCTGTTATTTTTACCCTCATCGCCTTTGCGAAGATAGATTAGGGAGCTGGGAGCTCTCCGTTCTTGGATGTCCGTGCAGGGGTATAGCAACTTACGACTTGACAAGACAACTACGCGGATGATGCGGGAAAGAGGGAAAGAAGACGAGGGACGAGGAGGACGAGGGTAAAAGCAACCGCGAAAGGGGGAGGGGGTAAGTCCAGCCCTGGACTGTTGGAAGGGGAAACCTTGCAGCCCAGTCTATCGGGTTGTGTTTGTTAGGCCGGGGTCATTCGTCTCTACCTTTTGGTCTACTGCATTCCTCTCACCTGCTCCTCCTTGATATCATATCCAGGCACGCGTGAAAAGAGAGTACATGTAACCTTTATCCCACGCCTGCGGTCGTCGGGCCCACGGGCTATCAAGGGATGGCAAGATATTAAAAACCTTTTTTGTAGCTTGGCGTTCCTTGTTCCTTTTGGTTCCCGTCTGCATTGAGCTACCAAGTTGGCCCCCTCCCCTTCTCTCGGCTGTGTGGGTGCATGCGTATATGTGTGTGTCCTGTTGTGTGCTGATGTGCTAGGATGTCGTGTTCCGGACCGGCGGGTAAAGTCGAGGAGCTTCCGCGCTCTTCGTCTTCGTCCGTGGGCGATACATGTAGCGCTTTTTGTCCTCTCTTTTTCGGTATCAATCTCTTCCTGGCGAGTCGTCTTCACATGCGGTAGAGGGTGCGGGCCAATCACGTCACTGCTAGTCGACTTTTCCGGCTCCGGTCCGGTGACATGGGCGATGTTTCGTTTCATGATCTTCTTCCACCTCCCGTGGAGGTTGCGCGCAACGCAAGGAGTGGCATGAAGGAGGAAAGCGATTAACACTACTGGGTAGTCTACTTGACAATGAAGAAACGTAAAAAGGAGAGAGACGATGGTAAATAGTAGAGAGGAGGCGGCTGTTCCTGTTCAGCTACGGGTACAATAGCCAGATCAATGGATCCATCTCACTTTGCCGTATCCGCTTTCAGCCGGGCCAATCCACGCGGCTCGTGGGATTGCTCGGGTCGGTATACGTGAGGCTTTTCACTTTACGCTGTACCTCTTTTTATATTTTCTTTTTGCCCCTTCCGTTTGCCGTCGTCCAAGGTGTGATTCCGTCCTGTGATGGCACGCTATAGATCATTTCCCTGGCGGACAAAGATTCACTACGACCTGGGCTGTTTCTTCTTTTGTCCTCCTTGACCTTGAAGCTTAACCGTGACTTATCCGCTAATTGGGACCTCAGTAAGTGGTTCTGCATACCCGTTTTCTCATATGATGACTCTCACGATGACGCCCGCGGCCTGTGATCCTTGGATCATGAATCGGTGCCATGGTTGGTCCAAGAGTGGCTATCGATCCGCCAAACTGATTTGGGACTGAAAGCTGCCCAACAAAACCGAAAAAGGCAGTGTCCAGAGGGTCCACGGCTGGTTCGGCGGGACGATTTTACCATCTCTCTTGCTGCTTCTAGTGTCGAGCCTGAACCACTTCCCGGCCCACGCGAAACAAGCCCACCCACCATGGTATTCTGCACTCTGGTCTGGAACTGGCGAACTCATGTCGGCAAAGAAAAGGGTAAGAAGGGGGAGAGGCTAGGGGGCCACCTGCGACGATTGCCGCATCGCTTACATGCTAGTCGTGCGTTCAGCCCCCATCTGCCAAAATGGAAAATTTGGGCGACGGACCCTGGGTGTACCGGGCACACACTTCACGGCCATCGCCCTCTGCCCGTTTCTACTCCCCTCACACATTTATTGTGTAAAATAGAAAGGAGGTAAGATAAAAGGGGAGTGGGTAAAACGAGAAAGGGAGGGGGAAAGCGGTGGGTGGGGGTATAGGCTGGAAGCCTCGGGCCGGGAAAAAGAAACTACGTGAGCAAGACACCTCTCCAAGGGACGACATGCAGGTGAATAAAAAGAGGTAAAACATCCGATAATAATCCAGGCACAGGATGAGAAACAATAAAGGGGATAAGAGACAAAAGAAAAGGGGACGGATGCTTGTACTAGGAGTGTCCATGGCTACGGATCTCTCAAGGGGTGTAGGTTATGAGCGAAAACCGGATGTTTTACGCATGGTCCCGCTGTAGCCCACTATTTCCCAAGATGATGGGTCTTAATCTCGACCAGCCTGCTGAGTGAATCTCAAGGGAGAAGAGAGAGAAAGCATGAGGCCTCGAGCTGGCGTAGTGGGAGCTAGCCGGGGGCTGGTTTAGAGTACCGCGATATGAGGGACACTTTCCTTGTTGCCAAAGTTAGCACACGGCTCGAGGACCCAGCTCAACTGGTCTCCCATGACTCGATGAGTTGCGGGATTAGTGGGGTGCCATCGTAGGAAAGCTTAATGCCCCTGGATCGAGGTAAGAGCTATCAAGATTGCCTGACGCGCGGTGGCACCCCGAGGATTACTGTTTTCAGAGGGAGGAATGCACCGGCCGAGTTGAAGACATGTGGTAAGGCACAAGGAAAAAGAGGAGACTAGGGCTGGAAATCAGGGCCGAGGAGAAAAGAACACCGAAAGCGAGACAAGAGAGAAAGAAAGAGTAGAGTAAGCAGGAGCCTAGGGAGTAGAACCAAATATTCATCCAGAGCAAGAGCGGCGTTAGCGGGACGGTATTTGTTTCGACGGCTCGGGGATTGGATATGTAAGTAAGCGGAGCGCAGCGAGTGAATACTAACAGATCGGTGTCTGAGCAATATACAGCTGTATCTACGCATATATGGCTCCCCTGGGCGCGATTCGCAGGGCGCCTTCCGGCAGGCGGGAGAGATTTCCGGGAACTCTGGCCGCCGATTTTCAGTAGTTTTGCTATGTTTAGAAACGGTAGTTGTGGGACGGCTCTCATCGTCTGCTTCTTCCCTATACACGACCAGGGGGCGTGGGCCCAACCTTTGTGGGCAGGCAGAGGGAGCCCTAGGCCGAGTATCTGGCCATGGTGCCTTCCCCTTCCTCAAAGTCGAAGGAAAGGGAAACCAGGCGAGGAACGAACATATGGTTGTGTGATTTGATGACACTCTCAGATCTTATCGCCTCCTTTGCAAGGGACCCTCTCTTTCGTGAATGCTCTGGTACTCTTGAGATGGGATCTAAACTTTGAGCTTACCGGGCGACAAACTCTCGCCTCATGCCATGTACGCCACATTCAAGAGCGTCCTGGTAACGAAGCTTCCGAGCCATCGGAAGGAGAAAAGAAAAAGGAAGCAGATAAAAGGAAAAAAACCCGCACCTTTGCGAAGCGAATCGACTCGGTAGTGAAAACCTCCGAGAGAAGGCGAGGTAATAACAGAGGCCAGATGGTGACAAAGCACTCCATCTAGTGCAATCTATTCAACGCCGTGAAAACGGAGGGAGGGGTTCCTGGAGCTGGCATCGTGATATCGACCGGCAGACAGGTTCCTATTTTTAGCGGGACACATGGCCCGGCACTTGAAAGATTGGGCAAGATCCCAAAAACGCGGAGAAGGTGAGGATAATGCGGATGGTCTTGGCTTCCAGCACCGTCTAGACTAGAGCGGGAAAAGAGGCAGGTCATAAAGGGGAGGAGGAGGGGAATGTGGGGAGAAGCCGGGGCCAAAGAGAGTAGGAGGGGGATGAGTGGGAATAGGGTCGGGAGCCGTTCCAGGAAACTCGATCTAATAACTGGTCGGGGAGGGTCCCGGTGGGGGAAGAAGCTAGGGAAGGGCGGGATGATCTGAATGTCTGGATGGATAAGATAAATATAGAACTCGATGGTATGTTTTTAAGAAGGTTTTAGCATGAGAAGGGGGATGGAGATTGGGCTAAACAGGCACGATAGTATGTTGGAGGCAGGGAAACGGAGGACCATAGCGGAGTCCTGATATTGGAATTCCCCGGTAAAGACCCAGCTCCAGTCTTGTTTTTGTTTTTTAACGCACTCGAGAGTCCAATATCCTCTCAGCACTTGAGTTGCGTCAAACAATTCGCGCTGGCTAAGGGCCGGACCTTGCTCGTTAATCGGGAAAGACCGTGACCGGACAGCCTGATGATTCTTTCCTCGTTTCTTCGTTGCTACTTGCCGGTTTAGGCTTCTCCTCTCAGGCGGAAATATCCTTGTTTCTCTCTCTTTGAGGCTGGAGTTCCTATGGAGCTCTTACCCTTGTTATATTCATATATTGCTCGAGAACCGGACTCTTCTTGATATCATCTTGATCTGGGAAAGGATTTTATTTTCTCCGGGCTGCTTTGACGATCAGGCGGGAGCTTAAAGTTCTTCGGTTTCTTGGAGCGCACGGCATTTTGGCTCGTGGCTCGTGGCTCGTGGCTCTTGGCCTGTCGTGTCGCAGCATCAAAGACGCACCTTCCACATGCTCGCCCCACTCGCTGAGCTAAGAAATTGCGGGGAAGCTGTACTGGGTTGCAGTGCATCATTGATCCAAATCCACTGAAACGCCCCGCTGACGCAGTGACGAGCCATGCTATGCTCTCTCAACTCCCTTTGGTCGCTGGCGGGGAACAGTTGAAGTCAATGGTGAGCCACACTCGGATTCTCGGAAAGCTTCCAACGCAATGGACCAACCCAATTCCTGATGCTTTTTTGGGCTGGCACCTCCCTGAGCCCCAACGAGGCTGCGCACCACAGCCAATCGAGATGCCTGATTGACGCCTCATTCACGAGTTCGACACACCACAACCTGTGAAACCGAGCTCGATCAACGATGCCCAGCAGGTCCGCAATCCAAGCCGTCAGCCACCCCTTGCGCCAAATGCAGTGAACAACGCAGAGGAATAAACCCTCATAGCACCTGCCAATCGCCCAAGCAAAAGGAAGCTCCGGAACAGGAACGAGACGACCTCGAAAATCATCCCCAATAAAAAAGGAAAGATAGAAGGGGTGTCGATTTTCTGCGCGACGCACTTCTCGACATAAAAATGTCTCCCTCGTCAGGCCGAGACTCACCCTCCCCATCCGATGGCCTCATGGCCGCCTCCCCGCCGATGACTCCGATTCCGAGCTCAAGCTTCCTCCACCCCGTCCACGGGAGCGTCCGACTTCCGCATCTCCGGCTCCGATGACTCCGACGATGACTCGGGTCTGCACCTCGGCCACGCCGGCCCCATCGATGGCGACTCCGACGACGACAATGACGAGTGGCAGCTCCTGCCCGCCTCCCGGCCCCGCAAGTCCATGCACCCCCTCGCGCGTAAGTCGCGCGCCCGCCTCGCCGAGATGGGCCGCGCGTACGCCGAGAACTCGGTTGGTCTGCGTGACGAGCACGAGATTCGCTACTTTGTGATGGGTGCTGTCGCTGCTGGCCTGCTGGACCGCGCCAAGGCGGAGGGGCCTCGCCCGGCGATATGGCGAACCTGTACGACGACGTGGACGGGCTGGAGGAGACGGAGAAGAGCATTCTCGCAAAGGAGGGGATACACAAGTGGAGGCAGCCGTGGATGCTGTACTACGTCGTTGCAGGTGGGGCTTCTTCCACGATCCCATAATGGGCCTCTTTTGTGGGAGAGGGTCCAATTTGGCTAACATTTGGTGCAGTTTGTTCGGTATGCGCTGCTGTGCAGGGCATGGGTATGTCGTGTCTTCCTCACGGGCGAATAACACTCTTATAGTGGGTGGTTAGCTAACGGGGAGCAGATGAGACGGTTGTCAATGGTGCGCAATCCATATACAAGGACCAGTTTGGTATTGGCGGCGATTCCTATCGCGATACCTGGCTCCTAGGCCTGACCAATGCCGCTCCCTATCTATGTTGCGCCGTCCTCGGCTGCTGTAGGGCGCACCTCCCTTATTCCTGTGAAGCTCGCTCAAAGCAGTCGTTGCTAACTGTGCCGTTCTACAGGGCTCACGGGGCCGATGAACAGCTATTTCGGAAGGAGAGGCACCATATTCATTGCCTGCGCAAGTATGTCGGAACCCCCGATTTGGCCACGCCAATTTCCCGACTTCATCTCCCGCTAACTTCCTCTCGTCCCTTTCCCTCTAGTCTCTGCGTTTGCGTGTATATGGCAAGCTTTTACGCATAGCTGGTGGTCCATGTTTGTGGCTCGTTTTGTGCTGGGGCTTGGTATCGGGCCCAAGTCCGCCACTGCGCGTAAGTTTCTACCCATATCTCCCGTGTGGGTTTTTCAAGCGTAGCGGGCTAATTCAGAGTAGCCATCTTTGCGGCAGAGTGCGCGCCCAAGGAAATTCGAGGGGCCTTGACCATGGTAAGGATTGATTGTACATGCTGGAACTGCCGCTTTTCGTGACTAACGAGCAAAACGTAGCAATGGCAAGTATGGACTGCCTTTGGGATCATGGTATGTCAAAAGTTTCCCTCATGAATTCTAGATCAAAGGCCTCTAACACTTGAAAGCTGGGTTACGTCGCCGACCTGGCGTTTCTCGACGTCCCCGACAACGGAATCACCGGCGTCGCCTGGCGTCTGATGATGGGCAGCGCCGCAATCCCCGCGGTGATTGCCTGCGCCCTCGTCTACCTAGGCCCCGAGTCGCCACGCTGGTACCTGACCAAGAACCGTCACGGCGAAGCGTACCGCGCCATGGCCAAGATGCGCGCATCCAAGGTCCAGGCGGCCCGGGACCTCTTTACGCGCACACCCTCCTCGAGGCGGAGCGCGATCTCGAGGGGGCCAAGGCGAGCAAGATTGGCGAGATGGTGCGGCACCAGCGTAACAGAAATGCGCTGCTGGCGTCGGAAATTGTCATGTTTATGCAGCAGTTTAGCGGTGTCAATGTAAGTAAAAGCCCTGGTGAAGACGTGCTTCTCGAAAGGCACGAGGGTTCAGGGGCGAGTAGAGGGGAGGAAGAAAGAGGCTGGGCAAAAAGCTAACAGGATGTGTGTGTCAGGTTATTGCGTATTACTCGTCCGAGATTTTCCTGTCAGCCAATTTCTCCCACCGGGATGCGTATGCGGCGTCGTTGGGATTCGGAATCATCAACTTTTTCTTCGCCATCCCTGCCTTTTACACCATTGACACATTTGGCCGGCGAATGCTCCTACTAGCCACATTTCCGGTATGTTATTCACTTTTCGTCTTGGCGCGATAAAACGACTAATCTTTGGACCAGATGATGGCCGCTGCCCTCCTCTTCACGGGGTTCAGTTTCCTGCTTCCGCAGCAAACCGTCGTACAGATAGTGTGCATCGCGGCGGGCATCTACGTGTTCGGCATGGTGTACTCGCCCGGTGCGGGCCCGGTGCCGTTTACGTACTCAGCCGAGGCGTACCCGCTCCGGCTGCGCACGCTCGGCATGTCGGTGGCCACGGCAACCACGTGGTTCTTCAACTTTGTGCTGGCCGTCACCTGGCCCTCGCTGCAGGCGGCCTTTACCAACGTCGGGGCGTTTACGTGGTACGCGGCCTGGAACGTCGTGGGCTTCTTCCTCGTCCTCTTCTTCGTGCCCGAGACCAAGGGCCTCACGCTCGAGGAGCTGGACGCCGTATTTGACGTGCCGCTGCGGGATATGGTGCAATATGGAAAGGACCAGGCGCGGTACTGGGTGCAGAGGTGGTTTTACGGACGGAAGGAGGCGAGGGCGCCGGCTGTGCCGAGGAGGGGGATAGGAGGACCCATACCCACGGGGCCTGAGAGGGAGATGAATCCCCTGCTTCCATTCCCATCTCCGTTGCTTCCCTTTCTCTTTATTATTTCTCTCTTCTCAAGCTAGGCTGCCTTGCGCCGCATCGGAGGGTTTCTTTTCATTTTCTTTTTCGACCTGGCGTTTCGGTATCAAGATTGGGTTTTGTATATTTTGGGAATCTGGTTCTTCAAGGGACCCTTTTAGAGTGGATCAACTGCATCATAGCATGCATGTTTCGGGACGGCATCTATCAACATCTTTCGCCATCTGAGAGACATCACCCATGTCTGCAATCATGAACAACTTTTCAGACACGTTATTTTCTTTTTCACCACGCGAGATTCTACTTCTTTAGAAGTCTCTGCGGTGCGTCGTCGTTCCATCACGTGATATACGTCGAATATATTGCTTGTGGGATAAGAAAAATAAATATTAACGGGAGGTTGTGGTGAGGTCGATATTGAGGGCTATCGCGGCGGGTGTGGTGACACTGGACGGAGGATAGAAAAGGATGGGCAAAATTTTGTCGATTTCTTCACCAGCGTGGCCGCTCTAATTTTTTCTTCGTCCTCTGTGAAAAGCCTCACATCTCTATATAGTTTTTCCGGCACCTACATGTAGGCGATTGTACCAGCTAGTAGACGTAATCGGGCCCATTACCTTTTTTACGATGGAGCCCATCTGCGAATGATCCGTTCTCTGAGTTTTTTTCTCCCTCAAAACCACTTTTTCCGATCCATCATAACTTCTCACAAACACCGAACCCCTCCACCCCGAATTTTCCTTGGCCACCATGTCCATCTCGGAAGACCTCCTCGAGTGGGCCGCGGCCAAGGGTATCGTGCTCAACGGCGTCGCGCCACAAGTCATTCCCGGCCGGGGCATAGGCGTGTGCACTACCCGCCCGATCAAGGTGAACATCTTTCCCTCCCCGTTACCTCATTCCCACGTAAACAACCATTCTCTCAAGAAGTGTTTTTTTTTTTTGTTCATTCTAACATGGAAGCCATGGGGAACTCGCTCCCCATCATATCCCGTCCCCAGACCGGCGAAATCCTCATCCAAGTCCCCTCGCCGCCTTCCACACGCGCGAAAAAGTCCCCGCCCACATCACGCGCAAGCTCCCCGCATCAGCGTCCACGGCCTCCTCGCCGCCTCCCTCGCGCTGCAAGCCGCGACCGACGACTACCCCACGGCTCCCTGGCGCGCCGCCTTCCCGCGCCTCGCGGACCTCCGGCGCAGCACCCCGTTTTTCCCGCCGGCCCTGCGCGCGGGACCTTTGCTGCCGGGCCCCGCGCGGGACCTGGTCGCGGCGCAGGATGCCAAGTTCGCGGCGGATTGGGGGTGGTGGAGCCGGCGTTTGGGGCGACGGTGAGTCGGGACGAGTATGCGCGGCATTGGTTCTTGGTGAATACGCGGTCGTTTTACCACGGGGGCGGGGCGCCGTCGGCGCGGGTTGCGGGGGCGGCGGCGGCGGGGTGGCGTGGCGCAGCGGGATCGTCTGGCGTTGATTCCGGTGGCGGATCTGCTGAACCACGCGGCGCGCGGGTGCAAGGAGCGGTTCTCGTCCATGGGCTTGTCGGTGGCGGCGGAGAGGAGTACGGCGCCGGGGAAGAGGTGTACATCTGCTACGGGCGGCATAGTGGGGATTTCCTGCTCGCGGAGTACGGGTTCTCGCCCGACGAGAACGCGTGGGACGAGGTGTCGCTCGACGAGGTGGTGGAACCCTGGTCGAGGCGGGGGCGGGCCCGGGGGCCGACGGATCCTCGAGGAGCTGCGGCTCTGGGGCCGGTTCCGGCTGGATGCCGAGACGGCGGGGTGTTACCGGACGCAGGTGGCGCTACGGATCGCGTGCGGGGCGGGGTGGCGGGCGTTTGCGGACGGGTGGGAGGCGGATGACGGGGTGCAGAGGCGGGTGGATGCGTTTTTGGAGGAGGCGCTGGGCCGGTATTTGGGCGTGGTGGAGGAGAGGATCGCGGAGGTGGAGGGGGGAGGAGGAGGTGGAGGGGCAGAAGGGGGTGGTGGTGGGGCGGTGGGTGCAGATTGGGGATTTGGTTGCGCGGATGGTGGAGAGGCTTGGGGGAGGGGAGGTGGCCGAGTAGAAGGGAAGAGAAGGGGTGGGATGTGGTGTGGTGTGGTGTGGTGTGGTTGAAGGGTGTGGACGTCTAGACATGTCTATTATTGGTTGTGGGAGAACATATACATATAATAATACTAATTGACGATATCAAGAAAAAGAGTGGGAAGATGGTAAGAAACACCAACAGGCGTCATTGTGGACTGTGATGGTGGTTTGAAATAAATGCAAGACTCTACTCCTGGCTCTATGCTAAGACGCTCGACATGTATGAAAAAATGGATGAAGTACAATATGGTATACCGCATCATGCAAATCCAAATCTCTCTCTCTCTCTCTCCCGTTCTCATTAGATATCTTGGGTATATTCTTCTTACGATTTAGCTTCTCCTTCTTCTTCTTCTTCTATATGTATTTCCCTACATTCGCTGCGTTCGGTTCCGTCGCTTGTAGGCCTTTTTCTGGCGCTTAGTCTGCTTCCTCGAGGCGCCAATGTACCGCCTCTGGACAAACGAGTTGCCCCAGGAGTAGAGGAAGCTTCTCATGAGGACGAGGGTGACGGCGGCGACGGTGGGAATGGCAATGATCCAGCTGTCGAGGGGGTTAGAAAAGAGGGTAATTCTAGGTTCATGGCTAGTTTCTTGTATCTAGACTTACAAAAATGTGGTACCGCGGTATAACTCGTCAAAAGGCTCGAAATTCATCCCGAAATACCCGGTCAAAAAGGTCAGGGGCAAGAAGACAATGGTGGCGTTGGTAAGCTGCTTCATGGTCTCGTTCTGGGCGGCGGAGATGGTGTTGAAGATGAGGTTGATGAGGTTCTCGGCGGACTGCTTGCTCTGCTGGAGAGCCTCGCCGACGACGAGACACTGATCGAGCACGTCGCCGAGGTAGGTGTGTGTCAGCGGGGTGACGATGACGCCGGTACCGGTGTTTTGCAGGACGACGGAGGCGGAGGCCTGCTCCTCGGACATGTCGGTGCGGTGGTCGCGCAGGACGGAGACGAGGTTGTCGATGGGGTTGAGGAAGGAAAGCATCTTGTTGATCTCGCTAATGATGATATAGAGGCTGCGGGACTGCTTGACCGAGGGCTGGTGAGCACGTCGAGCTCGAGGTCGCCGATGACGTCCTGGTAGACGGCGGTGAGGGGCACGGCCAAGTCGATGGTGGCGTCGATGATGGCCTGGACGATGAGGGAGGCGTCGCACGACTGGCGCAGGATGGTGCCCGGGGTGGACAGGCGCTTGATGATGGGCTTCTCGACGTCGTCGGCCGAGAGCTCGAAAAAGGAAATGACGGTGTTGTCCGAGTTGAGGAAGATGGCGACCTGCTCGGCGGAGACGGCGAGCCCGCGGCTCGAGAGCGAGGAGTGGCGCTCCATGAACTCGGAGCGGGCGAGGTTGGAGGCGCGGTACCGCTGTAGGGAGCGCAGGTTGGGCATGACGTCGATGCCGGACAGCACGTTCATGTTGGGGGTCGCGGTGCCGGATACGCGGACGCCGCTGCCCGCGGCAGCAGCAGCGGCGGCGGCAGCGGCCATGGCGTCCTTTTCGGCGTCGATGAGGGATGGGCGACGGCGACGGGTGGCGCGGAAGAAGCGGCGGGTTTCGCGCGCGAGGCGGCGAAAGGAGCGGCCGGGAAAGGATTTCATGGAGGAGGAAGACGAGGACGACGTGGAAGAGGCGTCGAAGACGGAGTCGAAATCGGAATCGGAGTCGGAGTCGGACGACGAGTCCGGGTCGACCATGCGCACGAGCTTCTGCAGAGTCATGACCATGAAGGCGTGGTTGGGGTACCAGTCGCACTTTGTCCGATTCATCTTGTTCATGATGTCCTCGATGGCGAGCTTGTGCAGGTTCTTGTGCTTGCCGACGGCCTGGATAACGTCCCAGCTGATGCCGTTGATGTTGATCCAGCGACACTTGGCCCAGGCGGGCTGGGGCACGCGCATGAAGTCGATGAAGCCGTCGTTTTCGAAGCTGCGCGTGTCGACGCGCTCGCGGGAGATGTCGACCACGGTGATCTCGCAGAGGGTTTTGAGGGCGGTGAGGGACGGGTGGCCGCCGTGGGGCATGTCCGGGTCGAAGCCGGGCTCGCTGCCGGGGTGCCAGCCGGGCCAGTTGAAGTCGTTGTCGTCGAAGTCGTCGTACGGGCGGAAGAGGGTCGCGTTGGTGCCGCGGCGGCGGATGCCTGATGCGTAGGCTGTGGGGTCTGAGTTGGCGGTGCCTACGGGCGAGGGGCGCGCCTGCGCCAGCGCCTGCGGCGGCGGCGGCCGTGGTGGTGGCATTGGGGTCGAGGTCGGCGTATTGTACGCGCGAGGGGATCGTGGTTATGCCGGGGAAGGACTCGCGCGCGGGGCTGCGGGTCGAGGTCGCGGCGGAGGAGGTGCGCGAGATGGGACGGCTGCCCGATCGCGGGCTCGGGTGTTCGCTTGCCATGTTGAGAGGGGAGCAAAGGTATGTGTATGGCGATATGGCTCCGGTGTCTGGTTTTGTTTTCGTTTCTCCCTTTACCGCTTTTCTCTCCCGCTTACGGTCTGGGGAAGGGGAGAGTGGCGGGGATTGGAGTGCCCTGCGCGGTATGGTTCCCTCGAGAATTTTGAGCTGGGACCAAGAGAAAAAGGGGGTGATTGTCGAGGCGAGGGTTTAATACTCGATGCGGGGACGCAGGTGGGCAACACGCGAGGATGAGCTGCCATGGTCCGGGCTCAGCAGGGAAAGAAGAGAAAAAAACAAGAAAGGAGGAGAAGATTGCAAGTCGCACGAAGAAGGGCGCGTGGGGAATAAAACGATGGAGTGGATTTCGGAATGCGTTTGTCACGACGGAGCACGGCCCGACCGTTGGAAGCGAGGAGGAGGTTGTTTGGGCTGAGATTCTCTTTTTGCCGTGTGCGAGTTGCGTGATGCGGGAGCCGAGAAAATAATACTCGGACGGGATGCGGCGGCTGCAGCAAAGATTGACGCATCGCAGCGCAAGGCTCTATTTTGTCCTGCCTTGGTTGGCCAAGTACCGAGGTACCCGTTCACACTAGGTTTTCATCAGGGCCTTGGTTCTCACTAGTTGACAGCGGGCCACACAACTCAAAGTTTTAGTGTAGTTGAGCATCAGGAATCAAGGACACAATTGACCAAAGGTTGAAGGTTCAATATTAGGAGTGGACCACCGACAATCAACAAATGCACTGTGACAATGGGCTTGATATCTTGTCCCAAAACAGTGCGCTTACGTCGGATGCAGTCGAGCCAAGCGCTAATGCCTCACTCTTGCTTATGCTATCTTCCAGGATTTGGCTCCTTGCGTCTCATTCTCCCACGGAACACGGCAAATAAGCTGAGAACAGCGACCGTGCATCACTTCCCTGCATTTCGTATCACAAGCAAATCTCAAGCCGACCCAGAGTGCCAGGCCCTTTCCTCAAGGAAGAGATAATTAATTCGGGGCAAGATGATCCTCTAGGTCTCCTTGATCGTACTAGAATGATATATTTCCCAACTTATTCCCTAGCAGCGATCAATTCATCTTTCCAGACTGTTTCTTGGTTTTTGGCCGTGCCTGGATCTTCAATTAATGGCAATGACGTAGTGCTTGACGCGGGTCTGCACGTGGGCTCCACCAAAATGTCTCTCAACCCCTCCACTGTCCGATAACGTGAGGCGGCCGACTCGACTGGCAATTATCGTGACCCGACGATCTGCTGCTCTAATCTTGGCCTTTGGGTCATAGGCCAGATGTGCGCGAGTACTTTGCACCCATATATAACTGCTTATATTTGTGTGTGCTGATATATATACCTACACATGATTTAAAGATTTCCTTGGGTATTAGCTTACAGGACATTGTTCGGGACTTGAGCTCGCATCAATTGATGTTTGCGCGCGATTCACGAACCTTCTCAACCTCGACCACGGCAAAAGCCGCTTCCGCATATTCTGTAAATATCGAACTAACTCAACCACTCATAACCAACGGGCAGAGGCTAACGGTACTCCTCAACTCCATGTCAACTCGTAAAGGTCAAGCTCAACTGGCTCAAGTATATCTTGAAAACGCTTGAAAAGTGATATGTTCAAAGACCAACCACACGGTAGTTTGTCTAGTGTATAAACCAAAAGAAAATAATACACAAAGGCCGTATCCACGACCTTCCAGCCCCAAAGGGGAAGAAAGAAGGAGAAAGAAAATGGCCCGGAGCCTAGCTCCTCGGCCCAAGAAAAGAAAAGAAACCCCAGCTGCTGTCCCAGCCCTGATTACATCTACTATCTCTTACATCCGTGCGTGTATGTCCCGCATCTCCAGCCTACAGCCTTTGGGTATATATAAACATGCTTGCTTTTCGTCACCATCGCACCACATGCCTGCCTAACCCTACGCGTTCTCCTCTTGCGCAGCTTTGGCCTGGGCCGCTCGTTTTCGCCGAAACCACCAGATGCCTGTAAACACCAATGCAAAGCTGCCTGTGTTGCAGAAAAACAAATCATGTTAGTCTATTCCCCACAAGATAGAAAACCAGAAGGATTCAGCGTACCTGTTACACCGCCCACTATACCCAGGGCTTGCCCGTTGGTAGTCTGCGTCGTGACGCTGCCTCCGCCCGGCGCATCCACCGGTAGCGTCGAGGCCGGCGCCGCGCTATCCACTGCAGACGTCGGTGTCTGGGCGCCGAATAAGTCCGGGAGCGGGGACCAATGTTGATAAAGGTCATTTGGGCCGGTAGTAGGGCGCCGACGTTCACGGGCACATCGGCCGGGGTGGACGGGGAGGCGGGGGCGGGACCGGGGAGACGGCAGGTACGGTGGCGACGGGTGCCGTGGGAGCGATGGCGGGCACCGATGTTACCAGGGACGGGGCGGCGGGGAGGAGAGACGGGGCGATGGCTGTGAGGGTGAAGAGAGGCTGGTTGGGTATGCTGGATAAGGGTATGGTTGTGGTGGGCTTTTGTTCTTCTTCTTCAGAGTCTGAGGACTCGGAGGAGGAGGAAGAGGAAGACGAGGAGGATGAGGAGGAGTCATCGTCATCGTCCTCCTCCTCGCCCTCGTGGTCGTGCTCTTCGCCGTCTGCGTGGTCGTCGTCCTCTTCTTCACCATCCTCGTGGTCTTCGTCGTCGGCATGTACTTCGCCGTCGGCATGGTCATCGCCATCATCACCATCCTCATGGTCATCGTCGTCCTCGTGATCGTCGCCCCCTTCATCGTCGTGTTCGTCGTCCGCGTCCTCCCCATCCTCGTGGCGTCGGAGAATCTGGTCCCAGTATTTCCTGGGCCGGCTCGAATACCTCTTGTTTCGATAGCTCCTTGCGGGGACCATGATCTCTCGCCGCTCGTAGACAGGATAGCCGAGCATGGTGAAGGAAAAGAGGAAAGAAGAGGAAAGAAGAGGAAAGAAAAAGAGCTGAACGAGGGAGTTTTAGGGAAGATTATAGTCGTGAGGGATGAATTGCGAGTCAGGGCTGGCAGGGAAAACAAGCCACAAGATGATGATCTCCTCCAGAGAAGATCACCGGAGAATATGGGCGAGAGGGCGTTTAAGAGATTGCCTTTGTCCGGAGATGTTGCCAAAGGACAGAGAAAGAGCGGAAATGAACTAGGAAGCAAGAAGAAAAAGATTGGCAAAAACCTCCAACACCGCTCGAGAACGACCGTCGATTAATTGCGATGAACACGGGAAGAAAATCAGAAGCAAGACGTCGGATTCTTGCAGACTGTTCAACTCGGGACCCTTCTCTTTGTAAGATTGGACGTGTATCCTCTCCACATTCTCCGTTCACTAGGCGGGCGGATGGTTTCCTCGAGCTAGTGTATCAACGCCCCTAGAAGAGCGCAGGGGGAGTTGGCGGCGTCCTTTTGATCGTGGCAATCTTTCGCGAGCGAACCGTCTCCTTGGCCCCGCGTCTTCTCGCCCTGCGATGGTGGGATACCAGAGACTTATGGAAAACGAGGAAACGCTCCCAATTAATAAATGGTATTTGTTTCACGCCCCAAATCTCAGCCAGGGGAAGAGAAGGAAAAAGGTGTGGGGGATGGAAGAGAGAAGGCGGGGGTGTTCGGTTCAAAGGCGAGCAACCAGCAATGAGAAAATCTCGGAAGAGAGTCTGGCCCATTCTTGGATGGTCGTCCCTGGTATGTATACTTCAATGATATATACCAAGCGATGATGTGCCGGCAAGGCGAAGAGCGGGCCTTTTTTTTTCTTTCGCTACTTGCCCTGCTCTATCTTTCCTTGGCTTGGCCTCGCCCCTTTGCTCGTCGTTTCGAAGATCTCGGCGCGGGCGGGCGTGTTTCGGACTTGCTTGTTTCACGTTGCAGGTTGTTGCCCGGCGTCTGACCGGGAGGTGCTCTGTGCGTGCTCTGTGCGGGCAGCGCTACCCTCTGCCGTTCGTGGATGGGACGAACGGCGGGCGAATCAACGACGAATATTCTCATATTCTTCTCGTGCGCCCCTATTTATAGACTACCTCTCCTCGACAGAAGAGGCAATTGGTCTCGTGTTGAGCTTGGTCAGTGGAGATGTGAAGGAGCAATTGGGGTCGTGTTTTTTTCGTCTATACATAGTCTGATGTAGTAGTTTGTTTCTTGTCGTCTGTCCTAAAACCGTTTTTGCATAGAGTCTTTCTTTTTTATTCTTTTTCTTATCTTTAACCCTATTGATCCTGGAGGTTAATAACAAAAAAAAGAGGCCAAGTGTTTGTGCTAACCCCAAGCCAAGAACACGGAGACGGGAGCGCACCGAATTTTCCGGTCACGCCAAGTCCGCCCCCTCTCTCTCCCGGGCCCTGCTCAACACCCACCCCCGTCTTTTTCGCACGACCGGCCAAGACGAACCGGGGGCAAGGGGCGGGGAAAAGAGAAGGCGCAGAGGCGATCATGGACCGGGGCCGGGATTCGCTTTTGCCGCCAAGGAGGCTTCCTTTTGCCTAGAGATCACCACTGATCTCCCGAACGGCATGAGCAGGCTTGGCTTTGGGCGTGGCGAAGTGCGAAGATCGTAAGGCCTGGACCTCGTTTGTTGTTCTTTTTACGGGTCTCGATAAAGATGCCCCTTTTGCTTATCTCCTGCTTTGAACAAGATATCGTGCATGGGCTGCCGGCAAAGGGTGGGAATGAGTAGGATAGGTTCCTTGAGGTTGAGAATCTCAATGTCGACTCTCTATAGAGAGTCCTCGTATTCTTCTGTCTGCAATTGATCTTGCCACTCTCTAGTTGCGTTTCAAGCGTGAATATACCCTTCATTACAAATACACAGCATCCTCATCCCTTCTCATCGCCATCCCCAAAAGTGTTACCACCTCACCCGCCCGTACACCTCTCTCTCCCCCGCCCCTCCCTCTACGCTCGCAGCACCTCCCTCGCCCACGGCTCCAGCGTCTCATCCACCCACGTCCCCAACTTCCTCAGCCCCGCCAAAACCCTATACATGCCCACCACGCTCCTTGAGTGCCCAAACACCAACTCCCCGCGAACCGCATCCGCAGCGGACCCGGCCCCTCCTCCGGCCCCGGCGTCTCCTCCCCGTCAAGCCACGCCCACGAGAGGTACCAGTCGTGCCCGACCACCCGGATCGACGGCAGCGCCGGCACCTTGGCCCACGGCGCGAGCCGCCGCATCCGCTCCATCCACGCCCACTGCCACACGGCGGCGCCGGGCGTGCCTTCGCCGCCTCCCGCGATGCCGAGCCCGTTAGGCGAGACGGCGTCGATGGGGAGCGCGACCAGGCGCGTGCGGAGGGGCGCGTAGAGCGTCGGGTTGATGGTTTGCGTGGCGGGGGCTTGGTTGAGCAGGAGTCCGTGGATGTAGTCGAGGGGTTCGAGGGCGAGGACGAAGGAGAGGGGGCGGAGGCGAGGGGGCGTGAGGATGCCGGGGGTAGGAAGTCGGGAAGGATGGGGGTGCCGGTGCTGAGAGGTTGCGTTAGCGTTCCAAGCTTAACAGGGGACATCTCTTTCTTTCTCTTCTACCGCTTGGTCTTCAAGCCGAGAGAAAAAGAGAGGAAGAAATGAAGGGATTGGGAATATAGACTTACACATTCCATGCGCTCAGCTTGATCCGGGACTCCATGTCCCTAAACGCCAGCGAGATGAGCGGGTGGTGCACGCTGCTGTTCCAGTCGGCCGCCGACGCCCCGGCGACCTGGCACCTCTGGCCCTCCTTCACAAGCCAGCGCAGCTGGTCTAGCTCTCGCAGCGCGATGCCGTCGGGAAGGTGGTAATTGCTGAGCAGGTCGATCCTGGGCAGAACCTCGAACCGGGTGGCAATCTCATCCTAAGAAAAGAAACGTGTCAGCCTGTGCCATCAATGTGCTTTGGTGCTGCCCGCCATCGAAAGAGGAAAAAAAAAAAGAAGAAAAGAAAAAAGCGGTACGAACCCTCAAAACGGCCGGGATGCATCGCCTCCCCTTGGACAAAGTAATCATCTCCAAATGAACCCTGTGCACCTCGAACGGCAACTCCTCCGGTATCAGCGCCCCGGACGTGATGCTCGCGAAAAACCGCGTCCCCGACGTCGGACCCCGACCCCCGCCCACCCTCGGCTCCTTGTCTCCCTGATCCTTCACCTCCGCCCTCCAGTCCATCAATGTCGTTGACGGATGCTGGTGGTACTTGGCCGGAGCCGACGACGCCGCCACCGACGCCGGCGCCTCGCTCTGCTGTTGTTGTTGCTGCTGCTGCTGCTGCTGCTGCTGCTGCGGCTTCCGTTGGTTGTGATTATTAGAGTGCTGGTGCTGCCTGCTCGTCTGCGACAGAGCACCGTAGATAGACGACGCCTGATCGTCATAATGCGCGCTCGGTTCAGCCGCATTCTTGCCCTTCTTCGAGCCCGCCTTCTTGAACGAGGCCACCGACGCCGGCGCGGGCACGGATTTAGCCTGGGGCTGCTGCGGCTGAGGCGTTGGCGGAGCAGCATCCTCCTCCGCGTCCTCGCCGTGCGGCTGGAATTTTGCCGCTGGTTGGGCGGCACGTACTGGAAGGGCGGGCTTTCCGGCCGCCACTTGGCCCGCTCGGGCTTCCACCCCACCGAGCCCGCGTTGCCCGCGGACCAGGACACGCGCTCGACGTGTTCGTCCGCGTCGTAGCCGTCGGCGCCGTACTCTTGCCCCTCGGCGCCGTTGCCGTAGTAGTCGTCGTCGTCCCCGCCGCCGCCGCCGCCGCCGCCGGCCTGGTGGTCGTAGCCGGGCCCTTCGTCGTACGGGGCGTTGTCGTAGGAGCCGTTGTCGTACGGAGCGCCTTCGTACGCGGCATTGTCGTATGCGGGCCCGTTGGCGGGGCCCTTGCCATAGTCGCTGCGCTGATTGTAGTCGTCGCCGTGGGTATAGCCATCGTCCTGGTTATACTCATCTGGCTGCCTGTAGCCGCTTCGATCTTGGTTGTAGTCGCCACCGTGGCTGTAGCCGTCCTCGGGGTGATCGTTACCCTCTTGGCTATAGTAGGTCGCACCATCGTAGTGGTGGCCGTCGGTGGCGTCGGGGCCATCGTAGCCGGGCCCTCGGGCAGAGCTGCCCGAGGGGTAAGCTGGTCGTGGCCCCTGTGGTTTTCTTCTTCTTCTTGTCCTTCTTGGGCGGCATTGTCGCCTGGAATGGAATAGTGCGCATCGTCACCCTGGGGGTGACTCCGCGAGGGTTGGTTTCCCTCATGGTCGTGAGGCTGTTCGGGCTTTGCCCTAGTAGCCGAAGTAGCCCGCTCGGTGGGTTCGCTCGAGGTCTTGGAGACTTGGCCACTCAAGACCTTGCTGAGCAAATCGTGACCGCCGAGGCCGGGAGGGTCGAAACCGTCGCCCAACCCCATGCCTTCGTGTGCTCCCGGTGGCGCGAGATACGGCTCGCCTAGATAATCGGCGCCGTATCCGTCAAGCATGCCGCTGTGATGGGCGAATTGCTCGAGATCGTCCGGAATTTCATGCACCGTCGACGGCGAGCCCAGCACCAGCGAATCATCGGGGTCGTATGCGTCCCCGACAGACCCCTCCTTGTTCGAGCCCTCTCCCTCGTCTCCCCTTGATCTTGATCCGCCCCTTTCTCCTTGTCCTCCGCGTCCGCGTCCTCCCTCTCAGTAAGCTTTTCCGGCTCCTCAGTTCTAGGTGCCACCTTCGCCTCCCCGGCGGCCGCTGCTTTGGCCTGCATCCACGGAAGCGTAATCTCCTTGGGCTTCTCTCCAAAGCGGCTGTGTGGCGGCCCTGGCGAGATTCCCTGGTTTTGCTGCTGCTGTTCTCGCAGCTTCCGGGCTGGCTGTGTCTGTTGGGCGTCGCGCTCCCAATCATACTCCACCTCCATTGTCTCGTCGTCGGCGGATTCGTCCGACTTTTCGCTCTGCGAGGACATTTGTGAGGGAGGGCGGTAGGGCGCCACCGTCTCTGATTCGATAGGTTCTGGCAACGGCACCAGAGCCAGAGCTGGGTCCGGAGCCTGGGCAGCAAAGGGGGTGGAGCCTGAGGGAGGGCCTCCACCGGTTCATGAGCCTGAGCTAATGGAATCGGGTCTGATTCTGGAACGGATGCAGCAGAAGCTGGGTTGGTATCCCGTTCAAGAGTAGGCTCAGAAACCCCCAGAGTCGAAGTCGCAGCCGGGACCGCAGCCGAAGCCAGATCTGGAGCTGATGGAATCAAGTCCGGTTCAGCGACAGAAGCAGGAGCCGGCGAGACTGACGAGGCCGAGCCAGGATCCGACATCTCCGTGGCAGCCGGCACAGCCACAGGCACAAAATCGCTCGCCATCGGGTTAAAGTTTGCCACCGGACTAGCGTCGCCCCCAGGCGTTCAGCTCAGGGGTATCCGGCGCCTGCTGGGCCGGTACAGCCGGGGTGACGGCCTCTGCAGGATCTTGACGGGCGCCACCTCGTGATGGGGGACTGCGACTGGATACCGGACGACGCCGACACCGACGCGCGGCCCGCGGATCCAGCGACGGACGGCGACCTGGACCCGGACCCTCCCTGGGCGGCGAACGCGGGCGACTTGGTCCCCGACCACCCGTTGCTTCCCGTATCGGAGCCCGGCCTCGAGCTGGCGGCGGGCACACCCTTCTTCACGTTTGGCCACGGTTTCTTCCCCATGCTGGGGCGCGGGGCTGCGCATCCCAGCCGCTGTCGTCGCCGCCGCCGCTGCTGCCGCCGCCGCCGCCCCCAGCGCCGTGGTTTCCTGAGACCAGCCTCCTCCTTTCCCCTACCGCCGCCGCCGCCGCCGCTAATTTCCTTGCTGGCAGCTCGCCATGCGTCGGCGCCTGTGATGTAGATCTGAGGCTCTTCCGGTCCCGGGTCGGGGGCCGTAAGGGTTGTGCGATTTCTTATAGGCTGGCGGTTTTCGCTTCATTTCTGTCTTTCGCTTATTAAGAGAAGTCGTCGTTTTCTGATCTCTTGCGTTGATTCGTCTTCTCCCCTATCTTTCTTCTGTTCTGTCTGTTTTTGTTTTCTTCTTCGTTTCTTCACCCCCTTACTTTTTGCTTTTTTACCGTCTCTCGTGCTGGTGTCTGGCGAAAGAAAAAAACGAGGGTTGGCCCCCGCCCTAGGGCAAAGAATGATCGTCTACGGTATCGAAGTCGGCCGGTTTATCTCGGGGCGGAGGGGCAGGCTGGGTTCGGGCTTCGTCGAGATTTTCTTCTGCGTTTGCTCGTCGAGGTTGGTGGCTGACGCGCTGGATCAATTCCAGAAGTGCTGCCCAGCCAAACGCGTTCTTTGGACAAAAAGTGTGCTCAAGTTTCAAAAGTGGAGGGGAAAAGAGCTCCTACAGCTGAAGAAGCTTGGACCAATCATAAGCCATAACCATCAGCAATCAACAGGGGTAGCTCCTTCTCTAGTGATCACCATACTAATTCCATAACCTTCCATCGTTAACTACTATTATTTATACAATCTTAACCATAACCTGCTCCTACCTTCCTTATGTTCCTTCCCTAACTATTTATCTATGTTCTAGTTAAATTCTTCTATCCTAAAATCATCTTAGATATAACTTTTATTACTTCATGCTATATTCTAGCAACTTTAAGCCTTCTTTACCAGGATGTTAGCAGTCACCTTGATCTTTTGACTCTTGATGAACTTCTCAACCATCACTTACCTTCGTTTGTATCTACATTATATTAGTACACCACCATTCCTTCAAAGATCATCAGACTTGAAGCCTTCATTTTGCCTATCATCTCAGATAAGTGGAATAGAGGTTACGTATCTTTTGCCATTGTAGTGAAGTTGGCTCTAAGAATTTAGTATGAAGAGAGCCTTAGAAGATATATACCTAGGCTCACTGAATATCCTTCAGACACACTATTATCCTGATAACCATATCTTGTCCCCCGCGCGCTAACTACTCTAATAAATCTCGTATTTCCTCCGACGCCGCCATATCCAGTGGTCTTCGTCCACCCAGATCCTTCAACGCCGAGTCTGCCCCCGGAGTAATAATCTCACGATGGCCAGTTTTTCTCCCCAGGCGGCTAGATGAAGGGCCGTGTTTCCCTTCTCATCGGCAGCATTGACCTTTGCGCCGCGACGAATCAGAACCCTAGCCTTGGCTAAAGAAAGATCACCGTCGTTCCACCTCCAGTGATCTTCATCATGGGGACTCAGGACGTGATGGAGGGCCGTCATGTTCACATCATCGCTGTCATCGATGCTGAGACCTTGGTCGAGCAACAGCTCCAACATCTCCCCGTCGGCTGCGTTGGACAAAGCAGCCATGTGGAGTGGGGTACGGCCGAAATCGTCCCGCTGGTGAAGATCGCAGCCCTTATGCAGAAGCCACTCGACGGTGGAGACGTGACCCGACCCAGCGGCTACGTGAAGCACCGAGGTGCCGTCCTGCCCTTTCGTACGCATGCCCTCAGGCCCGCCAAGGAGGCGATCGAGAATGTCAAGGCAGTGGCAGAGACGAGGATTTGTCAGCGCGGCATGAAAAGGGGTCATGCCCAACACGTTGCGTGTAGTGATGTTGGCACCGCGATTGAGAAGGAGCTGGACGACATCGCTAGTAAGTCCCGAAGCTGCTAGGTGGAGAGGTGTGTATCCGAAGTCGTCCTGGGCGTCAATATCGAGACCTTGGTCGAGAAGGTAGCTGAGAACAGAGGTGCCGCGGGTATTGTAGATGGCGAGGTGGAGGAGATTGCCGCCCGGGTGAGTGGCTCTGGGGGTGGGGAATGTCTTAAATTTCTTGGCTAGGTACTGGATCGACTGGAGAGAGGATAGGGTAACAGCGTGCTCGAAGAATATGCAGACAAAGAATGGGTTGCTTGAAAAGGCGCCGATGTCATCCATATCAATGATCCGGCGCAGCTGGTCCTCCTTGCAGCCGGTCAGGATCCAGATCAAGCAGGATAGGGCAGGGCCATAAGACCCCGTGTCAATGGCGGTAGTGGAAGTGATTAGGTCGGGCTCGCTGGCTAACTTTTCCAAAAATTCAAGAGAATTGGTGCCCCATATCGACGAATATTTCTTCTTGTGCGCCCGTTCACGATTCATCGACCACCCCACTACTAAGCCCACGAAGACGGACTCCTCTATGAGCTTTCCAGGAGCGGTGTCGGAGACAAATTTGAGTAATGCGTGTGCAGCATCGGTGTTTCCATTCGCCCCTGCTATGACTGCGTTGAAGTTGATTTGCAAGCCCTTCGAGGTGATCAGGTTGTTGAAGTAGGGGTGGTGGAGGTTGGCCCCGCGTTTGAGTAGTATTGTGGTCATCTCAGCATCCTCCCAAGCAGGCCAAGGCTAGAGGAGTGTCATATTCCTTGTTTCGCATGTTGGGATCGGCCCCGAGATCGAGTAGCTTTTCGACCGCCCCCTTGTTCTGACTTCCGACAGCGAGCAAAAGTGGGAGGTAAGTATCGCGCAAGAGAGCGTCAAGCTTAAACTTACCGCCATGATACAAGTTCTCGATGACGCTGACGAGGTTTTCACAGATAGCGACCCAAGCCAGGCCGCACCCGCGATAGGTCCCATGCCATGGATTTATGTAGCTATAGATCTCGCACCAGTAGTCGAGGGTCTGCTCCTGGCCCATGTGCATCTCAATGAGCTCCGCTTGCGAAGTGCCCAGTTTTTCAGCCTCGCTACAGTGTTTAACCCAGTTTTCGGCAGCGTATCGCAAGAAGGGAAATTCTTCCAGCAGCAAGGGGCCCTTAGTGCCCATTTCGCGCCGTCGCACCGTCTCCCGCACGTCTGTCAGGGATAGGTACTGTAAGCAGGTGCGCGCCAGCGTCGTGTGGCCTCGAACCTGGAGCTCCTTGGCCGCTAGCCGGCCACTACCACCGACCTCTCTATGTTTCGCCAGGAAATCTTTGACAGATTGGTGAATGAACTGTACGATGCCTGAGTTGACATGGTTACCCGTATTTCTTAGAACGGGGTCACCCAAGCTGTCGTACCTAGCGCTCACTTCTAGCAAACCACCGCAGCGGGCGCGGAGGCGGCGGACCATGGCTTCGTCGTCACGGACGACCGTGTTAGAGGTTTGGAAATCCCGGTGCGATGATACCGATTCCTCGGCACCGGCGAGGGCCATGGCGAGCCGAAACTCGTTGAGCGTAAGGGGCCGCACGGCAGTGAGTACGATGCCAAACATGGTGTTAGACTCCTCCAGGTAGCGGTCACTTATGTGGCTTAGAAGCACATCGAACATGCCCTCAAGCTCGCTGGGTATGTCCTTGATGGTGTCTTGCAACTCCTTGACAGTAGCACCATCACGCGCGGCCAAGAGCACGCGGTCGAGGGCCAAGCGGGCCCATAGGAAGATACCATCCGCCTTGTGAATTATGCCCCTCTTGAGATTAACCATCTCCGTGGTCAGAGGTCTAAGTGACGCTTCGCTTTCCCACCTGGCGTTGATAAAGTTCGTAATATCTGACTCGTTGCGCGAGTCGAGCCGGAATCCCGCCATCTTTGTGCGCAATTGGGTAGCCGGTATGTCACGGGTAGAGAAGCAGATCTTGAGATTGGTCGGGAACTCGGGGTGCGCGGCGTCGACCAGTAGTCCAATCAGCCCCCAAACACCGGCGTCGTCTTGTAGCTCGTCAATCGCGTCAATATAGATGAGAAACTTGAACCGGAGCGAGCCCTCGCGCAGCAAGTTGCGAACTGCGCGCTTCAGTGACCGAGTAGTCCAGCGGGCGGGGTTTTCGCCGCCCCTTGCTACTCCGTCATCGTCATCGTTCCCGAGACCGGCGCGAGAAACGCAGCGCCACTCTTCAACAACGGTGGTAGCAAAAAGAGTTGGTTCCTGTCTGAGGGCCTGGCTGAGGACTGAGCGTAGGAACCCGTCGAGAGAGTACTCAACAGTAGAGCGACGGTTGTTGAAAAAATGGTGCATGACAATATGATCCGTGTTGCGCTTGCGAGCTCGGGAAGTGAGGGCGTTCATGAGCACCGTCTTGCCACTGCCAGGTTTTCCAGATATGGCAAACATGTTACCGCCCTCAGCTAGCCATTTGAAATATTCGCTGTCTCTTTCCCACACCCAATTAAGGGTGCGCTCGTGGGGATCATCATAAATGTCGAGACACGTGGGGAGACTAGGGTCGCTGAGACTTTTGAGGCATTCTAGGCACGTCCGGCTTGAGCTTGGATGTTGGTAAATACGGTGGGGCTCGTAAATTTAACTTACCAGCTGCCATACGATTAAGACGGCTAGCATCTGTAAGCTTCTGGTTAGCAAGTTGATCGATGTTACTGACACCTCTATCAAGGCGTAGATTTGGTGGAGGGTGAAGATATACTCTTTTTCAAGATGGCTTCCTTGGAGTCTTGGGCCTCGGAGATTTTGCGGATCAAAGTCTCCTTAAGATTCGATATGCGTCATCGGCGGCATCAGTGAAGCGGACAAGCGTCCTGTGATCTCGGGCGACGGGTATATTCTCGGCAAGGTCGCTGTCTAGGACGGCCGAATCCTTATCAACTACCTGCAAAGATGCGTCAGGGCTGCTCTGGTCCAGGTCACATCTAGCCTTCAAAATTTACTAACTAGATCGTTCAAGCCTGGTAGTGCTATCTGTTCATAAAAGTTGACAATAGCGATCCGACCTCTGATTTTAACAAAGTTAGTATTCATAAAAAAGCATCGTCGGCCCGAGGTTTGAGGACGCCATTGACACTTTGAGGGATCGATCTGTTCGCAAGCCTCGCGAGCTTCAGCCCCAGCTGGGGTATGACCTTTTCAAACACATGGCTTCCGCGGTGAGGGGTTCCCAGGAAGAAAATAGCCTTGGTGGACTCGAAGACCTCTGGGTGTTGGGCCATGGAGGAGAGGACAAGAGTCTAGCTTCTCATTCAGTAGCAGATTCCATGTACGAAAGATGAGTGTCGGCTCTATGGCTTTTCCATACCTGTTTTATTACAACACCACCGAGACTGTGGCCAAGGAAGATGATTGGCCTTCGGGACTATAAAGGAGGCGATGAGCATCGATCCATTCCATTGACCTTTCCGTCGGAAGCAAAGGCCTTTTAGCACCGACTTACTAAAGCTCCTAGCCGATTGTTCTTCAGATTTGTAAGAAGCGATTCGGCATGCTGCTGGACGCCGAGACGATTAACAGATCCGTCTGTAGTATCAGCTAGGTAGCCAAAGACTGTTATGCGCGCGTTGGGTATGAATCGAGGCAGGTCTCCCGGCCAAAAGAAATTGGTCTCTTCATTGTTAAACGTTCGAAACGGGTGTCCGTTGAGGCCATGAGTTATGACAATACTGTATCGGAACTGGGTCAGCTGTCGCTCTGTCCTCTAGTGTCATAATCTTATGTTGGAATTAGAAGCCATGGCTCGAATAAAGTCTTCTAGAATAGGTTGCTTGGGGTGGGCGGTGGCTTTAAATTACTAACTCAAGCTTGTAGGCAGCCTCCGATGGTTCGTGGAGCACGGTGAGACCCTCGCGTCGGATCAGTTTCTTCCAGTTATTCGACATTGGCTGTCTTGAAGAGTCCGCTGCTAATGAAGACATGGAGCACTAGTCGGAGCATGTGAAGAGCCAGCCGTCTAGCTGATGCCGAGGATGATGTATCCCACCGAGCTCGATCTTGTTTCCCGTACGTATACATGTACTACTTTGAACTGCCATTTTCTCAATCTGGGGCTGATTTTCCACCCACGCTTCCCCGCAAAACCCCCTCAACTTCATTCTCGTGGAATTGAACAGGTCGAGCGACGCCTAGTTGCCTAATCAGGTTACACACGCGCCATGCAGTCTGCAGGCCCTGATGGCACAGAGCTGCCCGTTCGCACCCCGCACAGTAGCATGATGCCCAATATATTCTCGATCAGGAGAGTGCGATAGGAAAGACGGTTGCATAGTCCCTCATTCGAAGCAACCCAATGCGCCTCACATACTCTTGTTCCTTTGTGTGGCTTCGGTTCCTCGCCCCTTTCACTACCTGTTCCTCTGAACTTTACCACCTTTGACGAGACTATAATAAACTTAGCTTATAAGGGACCGTCTCCGCTCTTAGCGATTGTCTTTCATCGACGGCTGCCTCATGAGCGGGCCTAGAACGGAACCCCGGATTCGCCGTCACAAAGGCCCTTCTTCGTCCCTAGCCGCTACCTACCCGTCAGCTTGGTGCCACCTTTGGAACCCCGTTTTCTCCAGCAGGCTCTCAGACGGTTTGGCTTCGGTATCCGTCCCTGCCATTTTGATCCAAGAACGCACCACCTATAGCGCCGCACAGCCATTGTGAGAAGGGGGAATGTTCAGTGACCCTAACCATAAAGGAGAAGAGAAAATTGACGGGGAAAGATGGACCAATCTAAGATATCGCTAGCGCAAACACGAACGCGAACACAGTACTTTGCCAGGTCTCGGGCAACGAAGCCTTCCACCCACCATATAGGTCGAACTGCCGGGATCCAGTTATTCTACGAGGGCCCTATCACCAGTTCCAACGACGGATCCAGGGCGGTAAACTGGGTTGAGTGGACCTCACCCTCGCTACCCGAACCCAAGAAAAAAAGTTTGAAGGCGCTGCCGTGCAAGTATATCGGTGTCGAGTTAACGCAACAATCGAGGGTGTGGCCTCGTCGGAAAACACCGCCTTTTATCCGTACCTGATCCGCCTCCAAAGTCCCTTTCTTCGAGAAGCCCTTGAGGTTGCCTTTAAAAGCAGGGCGTCACGTACGATGCCAAGGGTTACCTAGATTCGCGTAACGGCCACCATGGCCTGTTCCACCTGCGCGACTTCATCGCCCAGGTAGCCAAAACATCGCACGACGAACTCACCCGCTCCCACTGCGGGGTGCTCATGGACGTAATTGAAGACCATCTCGCTCCAGCACTCGACGCAGCCGAGACCTACGACTCGAGCCAGACAATCACCGCTCGCCACTTGTGGATCCTCTTCCCCGTTGGAAGCATCTTCGCCACGCGCATCGATGGGAGATTACACGCCTTCCGTGTAGAGAAATGTCAGTACGATGGCATCAACAACGGTAGCCCCGACTCTCATGGGGACCTCTTCGTGACGTGTCATGACATTGTATTTGACGGCTCCGTTTATGGGAGAAGAGAGCGTGAACTGCACTTTCCTACGTTCAAGGGGAGTGTACATGTGTCGAATCTTGATGGGTATCCATTTATTGACCTAGATCTGAACCCGGGTCTGGAGGAATCTTTATATATTCGCGGCCTTCGGCTACTGGATTTTCAAGCGCCCCAATACATGTCCGGACCGGTTGACAGCATACGACCCTCAGCGCCCATAAAAAACAATGAAGACGAAGGCGATGACCACGTACGTTTGTAAATACTACCCGTCCTATCTCTCCATTCACCCTTTTCGTGTGTTGACTCACCTGCACACTATTTCTAGAACATTGAGCGTGTTATGATTGATTATTTTTGCACGAAAAAGAACAAGATACCACCGACATCCTCAAGTCACTTGATGTCCCTGAAAACCTGGCCGAGCCGACCAAGGTACACAGTAAGTTACACGCCGTGATATTTATCTCCCATTGCTACACTTGGCCGTAAATCTCTCACATGTATAATCTAAGTAAGTTTTACACGACTCCAAACGCGGCCGCTGACAGTCATCATACTCTAGGCACGGATGCCAAACGTAAAGCCAGGCGTCCCACAGACGAGGAAATGAAAAAGAATCGTAACCAAGTGCTTCGAGATAAGGAATTGGTGCTGCTCATGAACCCATGGCTACCTGGCTACTCTCTTAGTCGTGGAGAATGGAGTATGTAAAACATCAATGATGGATACTTACCGCCCCCCCACCAACGGCGAACCACATTGGCACCGCTGAAGGATCCCTAACTAATTTTATTTTTATTGTCGTTCGAATTACTTGCAGAATGGTACTTCATTGAAGATCTCAAACCCGTGAGGGTGGAGGCAAGCGTCCTAGACAAAGTAATCTACGACGAGAAGAAGAAGAGGATCGTGCGGGCCTTAACGGAAAACTACCTCGACTCCAATGTTGAGAAATTCGATTTAATTCTGGGAAAAGGTACTCTTTGGCTTATATCTTAGACTTAAACTCCGAAAGCTCATGTCTACGACAGGCCAATGCTTCCTCATCTTGCTCCAAGGCCAGCCCGGAACGGGAAAACTCTAATGGCTGAGGCACGTAAGTGTCATGTCTTAGCTATGTTGTTTCTTCTTACCCTTGGAGATCACGACAGGAAGGACACAACGTGTAGATTAACACATTTCATGAACCTCCAGTTGCAGACCATCTCGGTCGCCCCTTATTGCGTGTTGGGAATATTTCGGACGATGCTGAAGGCCCACGGAAACAACCCCCGAACTGGCCAGGAAAATTGAAAAGGCTGAAGCTTGGGGCGGCCTTGTCCTCTTTGACGGTAAAACATCCTTGATCTCGTAAGGGTTTGGGGACGCAGCAGGCAGGCTAACTCAATGTTTTCAGAGGCCAACGCTTTCGTTACAGACCGAGCAAAGCTGGACATGGATTCACTTGCTGGTTTGGATAACCATTCATTAGTGCTGTGAAAGGTCGAGATCAACTAGCTGACTGTACCATCGTTCTAGCGTCCTCCGCCCTCATCCGGCATATCGAATACTTCAAAGGTAGGGCTGCACAACAAAAACCAAGACTGCTTCTATCGCCGCTAAAACCCCCGTTTCTAGGCATTGTTTTCCTAACGACAAACATCACCGATTCCATCGATCCGGCCATCAGGTCGCGCGCCCAGATCCATCTTGAGTTCCCCGACCTAACGGCGGATATGCGCGCCAAGGTATGGGAGAACTTCATGGAGCGGCTACCTGAGGGCTTCCCTCGTCTCGGCCCAGCCGACGTGGCCCAGCTAGCGCAATGGAATATAAATGGACGGGAGATCAAAAACGTGATGAACATGGCAGTGTCGTGGTGCCACAAGTCTGAAATTCCGTTCACTTTGGATAGTATAGAGGACTTGTTGTCTGCCGTGAACCCACGCGCGAGGAAAATGGACGAGAAGAGTGGGCAGAAAGCTGGTGGTGGGAAAGGGTTCACAAACGGTGGTTTGGGCAACTTACTTGATCTCTGAGGACCGGAGGAAGGGTAGCGAATCGATCTTGAGGTCGACCTTGAGGAAGTTTGGTTAACAAAGTGGTGCGGTGACGAGAGTGCGCAAAGCGTGGCGTGTTTCACCTTCCTTTTCAGTACTCCTGTTGTCTCGACGACTTGCGTTGGGGCATCTCTCTCTCTCTCTCTATATATATATACATATATATAATATATTATAGCCTTAATATTACATATAGTCTCCTTGTATTATATGCCACCCCAACTGAGAGGGAGTACCTTTGTTCTTTTCTTGCGGTGGTTTGCCCAGACTTGTACGATCAGCTTGCTCATGTCACACGGGGAAGAGAATTACATTGAACTCACGACATTGGCAAGCAATCTTTAGCCTCACGGCAGATTTGGATTGGCCAAGCTTTGTCCGTGACCCTAGACATGTCATCTGTGTGGGTAAAAAGAAGGGTATATATGTGATGGCTTCATAAGAGGAAGCCCCCAAAACTATCCTTGATACAAAGAGAGGAAAGAAGAAAAACGCTCGCTGTAAATCGAGGTACTACACGCCGACACCAAGTAACGCTGGTACTCCGATTCCGTATTCACAGTCCAAGACACGGAAAACAAAGAAGAAAGAAAAGATTCAGTAGCACCAAACGCGAACATGAAGTACGAGAAAACCAGGCGATTCCTTTCCTGAAAAGAGCAACGCTGACCCCCACCCGTCCTGATACATCCTATCTCACCCCACCCGTTGGTGTAGCATACTCTCCTCGTCGGTAGGCCGCATCTCCATATCCATACCACCTTTCGTCACGCGCACGGGGTGGGAGATGGTCTGGCTGAAGTGGAAACGGTCACTGGAGAGGTGACTAGGCGAGGTGCGTTCACGCTTGAATAGGAGGCGCAGGTTGGGGATGGAAGCGCCAACAATGGTCATGGCGGGCTCCGCTGTGCCAAATATGAAGAGGTTGACGTTCGTAGCTGGGCAATGAGGCCGAATATTAGCAGTGAAATCGAGGGGGAAATATAGAGATGGACGAGTGTGACAAGGACTTACAGACGTCCGGGTGGCCGATGGCATAGAGAGTGCTGATTTTGATAAAGGACATGGCGCCAGCACTAGAAAAACGGGTTGTTTAGCTCAATGGGAACGATGGGAGTGGTGCTCATGATATTGATATACCACCAAGTAGATAGGTGAGGAGGGGGTTAAGAAGGGAATGAGCTTACAGCAGACCCATGCTCATTGCAATCAAGGCTCCAAGCTTTTCTCGCTTCCTGATCTGAACGCTCCAGATAATCTTCCATGGGAGCAGAGCTAGCAGGACATCCATTAAACCAGAGAAAACTACAAAGGGTAGCAAGTAAGTTTTGTTAGAATTGCGAGCCTTGCTTAAGACAGGGGTAGAACCCACTTGACGCAAAAGTGTTGTACTTCTGGACAATCTCGGGATCCCAGCAGGTCCTCTCAATCTCCCAATCCCACAAGCTAGGGGTAGGCCAGCACTGAATCCACTGAATAGTCCCGTTGGCACCGAGGACGAGAGTGATGGCGGCGATGATGACCCACAGGAACACACGCGGCCAGCCGGTGGAGATGCGGATGAGAGTCAGAGCAAAGGAAGTTTTGGACCACGCGAGAGCGAGGATGCTACAGAAGCCGCTGGCGTACGAATACTTGGACATGGGCTTGACGTTCTCGATGGGTATGTTTGTTGAGTGTTTGCCGATCCCGAGCCCTACAAGGACGGACTGTAGGATGACTGAAGCAAGGAGGGCAAGCTATATTTGAAGGAAAATCAAACAAGGAGAAAGAACAGAATCAGCGCTTTGGTATCGGGAAGCGAAGATCGGAGGTCTCTGAGGTTTGACCGCTGGGGTGAAGGGCCATGCTCGGGATAGAAGGTAAAAGAAAATAAGAGGATAGCAGTGACTTACAAAGGCGATGATGAGAAAGTAGTCATCCCACCATATTCCCGGGTCTTGCATATCTTGCAGTACAGCCTTGATGCAAGGAACAGGCCGGCTACCGCGGTGAGAGCCCAGATGGCACCGTTGAGACGTCCGCCTAGGTCTTGCTCGGTAGTCGGGGTGTCCATGATCGTTTTCGATAGGCGTTGAGCCTTCCAATGGTAAGACACCACCTTGCAGTAAGAATCGATGGTAGTTTCAGGACGGGAGAGGCGATATTGTAGTTTCTCCCGGAACGCGCTATAGGCGGATAGAGCAAAGCAGCTCGAGGTGGGGCATTTGCATTCCTTTTCCTACTTTGGTTGGCTCTTTGATTCACAGCATGATTTATCTTTGTAGGGAGTAGGCGGGGGGAGCCGAAGGAGAGGGTCCAGGATATATTATAACCAGAACCCTGGGCACATATAACGGCCTCTCCTTCGAACGACTCCACAATTGGAAACAGAGATGGGAGAAGAAAATCCGGGGAGGGGTACAGGACCCAAGTCGCGCCCCCGCGGACAAATGCGTTTTCTCTACTTAGACTACCACGAAGTATTGACAATCCATCAAGAAAGGTGGCTAGCCGGCCAGCCTCCCTTTCCCCTTTCTCTCCCGGAGCAGATGCCAAAGTCGGTCAACTAGCGCGTTCCCAAACCAGAACAAGATCCAGGTACACCCTAAAGGAAAGTGGAATAGGTAGTAAGAAGACAAGAGGGAAGAAGAAAATAAAGAGGCAGCGAAATCCTGACATGCATCGCACCAAGGGAACCCGCATTTTCTTCTGAGCTTGGCCAAGTGACCAACGCGCATTAGTCTGGGGGTGGGGCGAGTTTGATGGCTGGCAGAGAGAGAGACATTCGCGGATTCGTGGGGCCGGAGGAGGGGTGGGAAGGGGCACAGAGGGTGTGTGGCAAGGCACCAAGGGGGAAGAGAAGGAGGGTAGAAAAGGATGCCCTGTTGGAGGAAAGAGTGGCGCCTCGCACTATCCTGAGGATCGGGTGTGCGTATCTGTGTGTGTATATGTATGTGGCGAGGAGGTGTGCAGAGGAAACTAGCATAGGTAAATGAATGCTTCCCACCTATGATCTTGAAGGGTGCAAAGTCTTGGAATCTACCAAGTGGGCTTCCTTCCGGTGGCCAACGTCACATCATGCCTCCTATTGGGGCTTGTGGCGGGAAGGAAGCGGAGATGGGGGATGGGGTAGAAAACCCTGGTTTCCAGAGTGTGGGAAAGTGAGTCTGGGAAGTTGAGGAATATGCAGGATACACAGGACTAGTCTCGACTCGCCCAAGGCTCCGGTTCGTAACCGTGTGAAGGGGGAGGACGGATAAACCCTGGCCTAAGTGGAAGGGCGGCAGGACAGGGGTTGAACCTTGTTCACTTCGGGATGTAGCCTTGATCTTGCTCGTCTACAGCATAGATTCGTTCTCGCTATTTCTATGCTGGCACCCAGGCGGGGCAGGAAATACATTTCAACCCCCGAAAGCGTAGAGGGATCGGTTGTATTGATCTGCTCTAATCTAGAGAGAAGGGAACTTGGAAATGCGAATGTCGTCGTGTTTCCAGGCTGTGACACAAAGGATGGAGGAGCGAGGAGTGGGCAGCGCCACCGGAGACGGGAGTGTTGGGGAAGAGAAAACCGGGCGAATAGTCGAACATGATATTGTGTATCCTTGGATCCTAGTCTTGGGGCTTACGTCTTGGCGATGGCGCGCTCATGTTTATGCACACTTCGGACTAGACTGTGGAGTCAACATGTACTCATAGGTGGGTTAGGAGATAAGAGTCATGATCATTCCCATAGGCAGAGCAGACTATACTCGCTAGGGGTGAGTTGTAATGATTTGCTTGTTGATCCTTCCCTGGAGAAGCGATAGAAAATAAAAAAGAAGAGAAACATGGTGAGAAAGCTGGGCAAGAGATGGGCCTGTGTCGACATTCATCACCTTCCAGCAACATCATGTTGCGTCGACGAGGCAGTCTTGTCCGCGGACCAAGTACTCCCCGAGCCAAGCCACGAAGGGAAGTGAAGAACGCAAAATTAATACGTCAGGTCGACCGAATGACCAACGATAGCCTGACAAAAACGAGTAAGAAGAAACGATAACATTTTTGGGGGCGCTCTCCATCAGCACCACCTCCTGCGGAGAGCGCACATCCGCCCATCGGCTTATGGAACGCAGGGGTTTCGTCGCCACAACTTGGAATCGACCATCCCATCCCGTTTTGGGAATGGCATGGCCCCGTTCGCTTGGACTAAACTGGTTGGCGCGGGTGCCAAGGCCTTCCCTAAAAGAACGACCCCTGATTGACGGAGCGGGAATCCCCGTTTTCCGCTTTCAGTCCACGACAGCGAGAAAGCGTGCGGTGCACCACCAAGATTTCTTCAGTCCTCTTCTTTGTTCTTCTTTTTTTTTACCCTTCTTTTCTCCCCACGGGCCGCTTTCCTCTACGTCGCACCCCAGACACACAGACAGCGAGGTATACCGAGGTACATGGCTTGGGTGCGTAGCCGTACGCACAGGCACGAAAATCAGTGTGGAGGACATGCTCGGGGAAGGATAGCCCATCCTGGTCGATCGGCACTCGACAAGCGATGACGAGGGCCGCTTAAGAAAAACAGAATATCAAGGATGTACATGTATCTGACGAGAGGACTGTCTCCTTGACGTGGGGCGTTCTCAAGGTCCACTCATCTCCGCGGTTTAGCACATCTGGGAGGGGAAAAAAGGGTACCAATAAACACCTTGGTAGAAGAAATCAGTATTGATTTCGTTAAGAGTTCCAAACTTATTAAAGCCGTGTGGCTTATTTTATAGTCTCTGTGGACTCTAGGCTTACAGGGTTTGTTGGACGTTAGCGAGGGAGAGGCATTCGATCACCGCTGGGCATGATGATAGTAGACGACATCAATCTACTAATCCTATGCCCTGCGCTAAGTACAGGAATGAACCTAGCCGCATGCCAGGCGTCGAGCCTTACTCCGACTAGTCCTTATACCTCCAGAGAGCCTAAGAATTCCCTTGCTCTGATCAGGGATCACCTCGCTTAGCCATGACCAACTAAGCAGAAGAGGAGAAAGCTGGCGTGGAAAACGCTCTAAATTTGGCGCCACGCGCTCAGACTTCTGTAAGGGTATCATGATTATTTCCTCTCATGGTGCAGTAGAGCGTGGGACGGAAGGGGATCGGGACTAAGGTGGAGGGTAGTACCTCATTGTTGAAAAAGAGTGAACCGAAGCTACGACCTCGCTCGGCGAGAGAACTCTAGCTTGCTGATGATCCCCTTCATCGCACCGCTTGAGTTACCTACGCAGTACCAAGGCTGCCTGCTTGACTTGACTCCATAATTGGCATTCTTGAACCTGAGATCACGCGAACCCTGCTGGCTGTACTCGCCTCCGAATGCCCAAGCGCGCCCTGCAACTGTCACTAAAGCTAGGAGGAAGGGAGCATGGACGCACATAACGATGAAAATCCGGAGGCTAGATGTATATCTTGGTGTCCCTAGCACCCCCTCAACGGCCCAGCCTCCTCCGCGTGAGATACTTGGGCATAGCCAAAGCTTTGACTCGGGCTAAGTTAGCGGGATCCTGAAGGACATGGACAAGCTTTTCGTGTATAGCCCCCTACCGTGACTAGAGATGATCCATCCTGTTTTGGGACAGAGCTGGCGTTATATGTTCACAAGGCGCCAGCCATATTGTAGGGGATCACCACTGTTTTGGTATCAGATCAACGTCAAGCTTCTCCCAATCTCCTCGCCACTTCCTCTGCCGCATCAGCACCACTAGTACCACCATTACATTTCCCTTGCCAGCTGTGTGCTTTGGCCATTCCACGACGAGTCTTCAGTATTTTACAAGCGTAGGCGGAAAGGGACGGTTATTCAAGACTAGAAATCCGTTTGGAGTTCAATATAAGAGAAAGTCTTGATGCTTCCCCATTAGTCGGGCCACCACTCGAGTGATCTCCACCCCTCCTTTGCGAATAATGGTCGCATCCTGTACAATAAGAAATAGATTTAAATTCTATATCTAAGCCTTTCGGCGTCATATCCCAAACCCTAATGAACCGTGGCAGTAAAGGTCTGAGCTGGCCGACCACGATGTGAAACCCACCGAGTATGAGCCACGGTGTGAGCACAGGCGACGTCCACGAGTCTGGCCCGCCCTGTAGGTGGACGGGCGATTTCGTCCCGGAAGCCAACACGTTGCTGGTACCTCTGGGCATCGCATGAGTCAGCCGGTGGTCGCCGGTTTCTAGAATGGGGACAGGCCGAGTACGACAGCAAAAACCAGACGGGCCATCGAAGAGCATGCCGATGAGGTTGAGATCTTGCACCAGGTGTGGGTTTAATCCTAGGTTCCCTCTCGACAACGTCGATATGGGACTACGTATGAAACGTCCTTTCCTATTCGAAATTGGTACTAGAGTAGGGTAGAACATGAAAACCGCGGTCCATAGAAGCCAAGCTGTAAAGGAACGATAGCTCAGCTCCGTAGAAAGAAATGGCAAAGACGACCTGGGTGAATCGCTTCGCCCAACCAGCCCCAAAACCATTGATGAAGGCAATCCTTTCAGTCACCATAGTGCAACTCACGCAACATCCGCTCCATGCTTCCCAAAATTCAAGTCATGATCAACGCCTACGATGCAGTACCAGCCTCCCAGTATATACAAATACAATCAACCCCTGAGTGGTACCCTGTCCCCCGATCACTTGGAAAAGTATCCCTCCCGCATCAACCGCGACAACTCCGCATCATCCAAAAGTCCTCCGAAAACGCCGCCCCCGCGGATCCCCCGCCACCGCCACCGCCCCCGCGCCCTCTTCCTCCCCAAAAACGGCGGGGGACTCAACGCATCGCACTCCGCCCGATCTTCGTCCCCACCCGCGCTTTCCGGCGCCGAGCGCGTCCTCCCAAACTTGCGTTTCCGCGGCGGTCCGCCCCCGCCCGACGACGACCCGCAGGAGGGCACGGCGAGCCTTGCCGTGCCACCGCCGCCGCCGTCGTTATCGTCCCCTCCGTGCAGGACGCCGCGCCCTCGCCGTGCGGCGGGGTCGGCGCAGCGCGCTACGCGTCAGCCGCTTCGAAGGCGACGCCTCCTCCGCTTTCACGATCTTGACGACGCTGCCGTCGTCCTCCCGGCTGCGTTTGCCCGACGCGGCGGATACGTCCGAGTTGGCGCGGCTGCGGTGGCGGTTCGTGTCCGCCGAGTTACTCGTGCTGAAGCTCAGCTCGACGAAGCCTTCTACCTCGAGGCGCTCAAGAATGATGGGATCGTCATCGTCGTCGTCGTCATCCTCGGCTTTGACGCTGATCACGCGCTGGCTTTGGCTCGTCGTGACCGTCACGGCCACCGACTCTCGCTGCTGCGCCACACAGCCTTTAACGTCTTCGTCCTCGGAGCCCGCGCCGTCCCCGCCCGCCGCCGGCAAAAGCGTGGTGGTTTGGAGCACGCGCAAGACCGTCGTCGTCCTCGCCATCTTCGCCGTCTTCCCGCGCGCCGGGCAGCCGTTCTTGGCAGTCCAGTGCCCGCCCCACTTCTTCCCTTGCATGTCGAATCGCGCCGTCTCAAAGTGCCATCCCAACCCGGCGCCTCGGGCCTTGATGACGCGCTCCGTCCACCCCTGGACGGGCTCTCGGCCGGGTCCATAGCGAAGACGCACCGCGGCGAAGACGTCCTCCGTTTCAGGGTCGGCCCCTCGTGGGTGGCGGCCGCGGCGGTGGAGAAGAAGGCCTTGTCGCCGCGGGTATCGGGAATACCCGCAGCCAGGGGCCAGAGCGCGCACGGCAAGACTTCGAGGTCCTCTCCCGTGGGGCAGTCGACGAGGGGACCAGGTCGAGGCGGTCGGAGATGCGAAAGAGGGAGGAGGACGGCTTACAGCGTCCGATGCAATGGCGCTTATAAATCTGGTGGACGAGCTGTCCGACACCGTAGGTGTCGCCGCCCTCCCGATCGCCGCCTTCCTCGCCGTCATCCTCGCCGTCCTCGTTCCTATCCCTGCGAGCTGCCGCTTCCGCCGCCAGATCATGCTTGTCCGTCGCGTGCGGGGACATGCTCTCCGAGTCGACGTAGGAAAGGGACATGCAGGCAAGGAGATTGTCCCGCGCCGAATGCCGCCTAAACTTGGAGAAGCAGTTGACGAACGCGTCGTCGCCGACGGCCGGCGCGCGCAGCAGGTCCGAAATCACGGTCGACTGCCCGTCCAGTCCCGCGACCTGGGCGAGAGAGGGTACGAGGGACTCTGCGACGGCAAAGTAGAAGACGGTGCGCGAGGGTTCCCACTCCGGCGAGAGATAGGCACCAATGCCAGCCACGACGAGGAACCCCTTGTCCGGCGGATCGGACCCCGAGCCGCAATTGTCCTGGCCCGTCCACACCAGCTCGAGCAGATCCAGCGCCGTCCTCTCGACCCGCCACGCCGCCTGGAGCGTCTTCAGAATCTCCGCCGCGAGCTCGCGCGAATCCTCCTCCGAGTCGGTAGACTCCATCAAGTAGTCAAAGTTGTCCTCGGCGAGGTATATCCCCAGCACGTGCGACCGCACGTAGCGGACGTCCCGCACCGCGCACTCGCGCGTGCCCAGGTCGCCGAGCGGATCCTGCTCGACGCTGCCGTGCACGAGGCCCGAGTAGCTGCCCCGGTGCGCGTTGGCGGCCCACGCCGGCGGGGGCGGGGCCCAGGGGTTGCTGGCCGGGTCGAGGGTGGAGAAGATGTCGCTGTCGCGGGCGAGGCTGCGCGTGTCGTTGGATGCTAGGCTGCGTAGGCCTTGGATGATGGCTTCGCGGTATTTGTCCCGCGCCCAGTCGCAGATGTAGTCGATGATGAGGAGGAGCTGGATCGCGCCGTCCTGCGTGTCGATTTCGCCGTGCCATAGACGGACGACGCGCTGAGAAGCGGGGAACCTCAAAAGTCAGCGGTTGAGGTCGAGGGGAAAGACGGATGGATCCATAACGTATTGCCGACGAACTCACATATGTCCTCTGCTTATTCACCCATTTGATGTACGCCGCCGACACCCGCCACTGTTCGCCGCGGTACGAGATGAACCAGGCCAGCGGCGCGGCATCCCAATCTACATCATCGTCGGCAGCCTGGCGCAGCTCGTCCTGCACGAGCAGCAACTCGCGAATGGCAAACGCCGTCTGCGCGTCGATGCTCGAGAAGGGGCGCCGCCCTTTTCCGATTTAGCCTCGATCACCAAGAATGGAAACAGGATGGGCTCTCCGTCCGGGTGGAAGGGCGTCGTGCGCAAGTTGTCGCCGATGCACTTGCCATTGGCGGTGGGCTTCCTCTTGTCCTCCCGGTATAGTATGCGCTCGAACCTCTTGGTCCTCCGTAGCCCGTATATTCGGTCCGGTCGGTGTTTCCGCTTGCCTAGGATGGCTTGGACTTCGGGGTAGTACACGATTGCCTCGTCGGCTCGATCATCGAAGAGAGGGTTGATGCCCTGTTCCTGACTACGGACACCGATACAAGTTAGCCAGCCAACCTGGGTGCGGTTGAAGAGGACACAAGTAAACTTACGCATCGTCCCTCGCGAGGTCGGACCGGCACGCACAGGGCTTTCTATTCCGCTGCCGTTGCTTCAGAGTGCCCTCCCTTTCCTCCTCGTTGTCGCAGCTAGGCAGCACCTCTTGCTCTGACCGCCATAAGCGCCCGCGACATGTTTTACTAGACGACCCAGCGCCAGCCCGGTCCCGTTAGCCACCAACGATTTAAAAGAAAAGGAGTGCAGCCGCGCGATAACAAAGTATCTTCTCCTTCGTGACCGCGCAGGTGGCAGATATTTCCCCTTACCAAGACACCTCGACGGCGAACCGCGCCATGACCTCGGACTCGACCGCCAGCCTCCACGAAGCCTCGTTCTTCCTCGCGGACCGACACGCATTCGCCAACGAAGCGACCCTACAGGCGCGCCTCGGCACCTGCTCCTTCCACGGGTTGTTCCGCAGGTCGGGCGCAATCGCCTCCTTGTACCGATCGAACTCGGTCTTGCCCAGGCGTCGGATATGCTCAAAGGTCGTGGCGAGGTTGCGGGGGCAGTCGGCGTGCGCGCTCGCTCGGACGGGCCCGTCGAATTGAATGCCGTAGCGGGTCATGAGGGCGCGTAGCTTGTCCGTCTTGCTCGTCGGGCCAGCGGCCGCTGTGGAGAGGGGCAGGGAGGAGGCGGACCCGGCAGCGGCCGAGGTAGTCGAGGAGGCGAGCGTGGGGGACGCCATGGCGGAGATGCGCAGCGCATGCTCTGCGCGAACTCGCGAGTGGAAACAAAAGAAAGGGTGAAAGGGGAAGGGGAGGGGTTGGTGGTGAGGAGAAAGGAACGGCTTGCGGCGTTTCTTCGAATTGGAGAAGGGGAAAGGATCGAGGGGACCGCTACAGACTGTCGGTGCGGGAAAGGGAAGACGGCTCGGAATTAATATGGCAATTATTCCCACTCAGCTCGGGAGGGAGAGCTTGGCTGTGGGGAACACGTCCAATCACAAGGTTGCATTTCTTCAGGGGTGTCATCCTGGATCACTCCGCCTCCAACCTCCAACAGGCAGAAGAGGAGGGAGAATCGATATATCGTCCTAACCTGAGATGGAGAGAGTTAAATATGCGATATCGACGATTATGCAAAGATTTGTGAAGGCTTGAGCAGCTTGGATATAGGACTAGTTGTTATGAAAAAGGGCCAAGCAACAGGGCAATAAGATCCAAACGCATACCCAAATCTCCACCATGTTGTCTACACATTCGTAGACATGATAAGCATAGCTGAGATGGTCCAAATCACGGTCTCCTCGTTCGCGTATTTGCCTTCTTTCGATCGAAGGGTAGTAGCGGTATAGAATGGAGAAATATCTGGTTGGTTTTGAACAGAACCCGTGCCCGCCATTTAATCATATATTCAGTACAATCTAGAATTGTGAAAAATGTGGGCGAAGCCTGACCTTCAAACCCTTAGCAATTTGAGAAGTGCCCAATCTCTCCTCTCATTAGCCATTGTGACGGGTGATTGGCCATTCCAGAACTCCTGACTGACATCGACCTGGCCCGTCTCAAGCAAAAGCTCCACAACTCCCACATGCCCCCACAGGCAGCTCGAAAAAGAGGCGTGCAGCCCTCAGAATCCTTCACATCGACGTCAACCTGGCCAGTAGCAAGCAACAACTCGACAATTTCCACATTCCCCCGGGCAGCTTGGAAGAGAGCCGTATGACCCTCCACATCCTTCGCAAAGACGTCAACCTGGTTAGTGGCAAGCAACAACTTGACAACTTCCACGTTATCCTCATACGCAGCCTGACAGAGAGGCGAATTACCCTTATCATCCCTCGCATTGACATCAACTCGGCCAGTAGCAAGTAGTAAGTCGACAAATTCTACATGACCCCACCTGGCAGCTAGCAAGAGAGGTGTGCTACCCTCAGCACCCTTCACATCGACGTCAACTTGGCCAGTAGCAAGTAATAACTTGACAACTTCTACATGACCCCACCTGGCAGCTAGCAAGAGAGGCGAATTACCCTCAGCATTCTTCATATCGACGTCAACTTGGCCAGTAGCAAGTAGTAACTTGAAAACTTCTACATGACCACTTAAGGCAGCTAGCAAGAGAGGTGTGCTACCCTCAGCACCCTTCACATCGACGTCAACTTGGCCAGTAGCAAGTAGTAACTTGACAACTTCTACATGACCACCTAAGGCAGCTAGCAAGAGAGGTGTGCTACCCTGAGCGACCTTCATATTGATGTCAACTTGGCCAGTAGCAAGTAGTAACTTGACAACTTCTACACGACCATATGAGGCAGCTAGGAAGAGAGCCGTATGACCCCTAGCATTCTTTACATCCACGTCAACTCGGCCAGTAGCAAGTAGTAACTTGACAACTTCTACATGACCATATGAGGCAGCTAGGAAGAGAGCCGTATGACCCCTAGCATTCTTTACATCCACGTCAACTCGGCCAGTAGCAAGTAGTAACTTAACAACTTCAACATGTCCATCTGAGGCAGCTAGCAAGAGAGGTGTGCTACCCTCAGCACCCTTCACATCGACGTCAACTTGGCCAGTAGCAAGTAGTAACTTGACAACTTCTGCATGGCCATTTGAGGCAGCTAGCAAGAGAGGCATGGTTCCCTTATCGCTCTTTATCTCAGCATCAGCCCAGGTAGAAGTGAGTAATAACCTGACGATTATGTCATTTCCGCACTCCGCAGCTATGAGGAGGAGACGGTCGTTGTATAGATGGTCTCTAAAAAGGTGAAACTGGCTTTTCGCGGGTATGTGATTGTAAATAAGTTCCCACCCTCGTCAATAACTGCTGGTAGAGGCTGCTGGCTAATGCTATACACCGTTGAAACGTCGATTTGGGCAGCACCAAGTATTAGCTTGATGATTGCCTCACTCCTCCCTTGGATGGCTGCTAGGAGAAGACTTTGGGCATATTTATGATCCCACTGCATGCCGAAACGGCTTTTAGCAACCATTAGCTTGAAAGTTTCTTCATTTCCGCGTTTAGCAGCTGCAACGAGAGGCGTTTCACCCTTCGAATTCTCCACATCAACGTCAGCCTGGCTAGTAGCAACCAATAACTCAACGATTGTCTCATGACCACGCTCAGTAGCTAAGAAGAGAGGTGTGTTGCCTTGAGAATTCTTCACATTGATGTCAACCTGGCCAGTCGCGAGCAATAGCTTGACCCCCGCTTCAAATCCGTGGTCGGCTGCTAGCGATAGAGGTGCGCTACCATGTTCATTCACCAAATTGATGTCTACCTGGCCGGTGGCGAGTAATACCTCGATTGTAGCATGCTCCTCGGATTCAATAGCGCAGGAGATGGGCGTTTGTCCATTTCTGTCTTGTGCATTGAGAAGGCTCTCATTTTGCCATTTTCCAGACTCAACGATTCTCTTCAACAGTCTTGGTATACCCTCCGAGGAAAGCACATGTGCAAGAGTGATCCCGGATGGCGTTTCATTCGAGTATCCTTTTAATGCATGATGGAAGTCTTCCCAGTGATCTAATAGTTTCCTAGGCATCCTATCAATGGCGTTGAGAAAACTCTGGTGGTCGACATCCGTGATATCGCTCTGTTGAAGGTGCCATGTCCAATATTCCACAGCATAACCTAGGAATGGGGTTGGGATGTCATAAATGATCTCTGGTGTCGTTGCCATAATTTCTTCCATTGCAATATAGTTAAGGCATATCATAGACAATTCTAAATGTACTGTTCCGATTGCTATATCGATGGAGGAAATTTCCCTTAGGATGGCGAGGCCTCGTTCGAGAAAAAGTCTTTGACTGTCTGGTGGATAAATTGAACATTTGACGCGCCATTGGTCTCGACAAGTCCGCGACTGAGCGTACAGATCTGCCTCTTCATTCTGTCATAGTCTTGTATAAATGCACCGCTGTTGTAGCATTCTCGTAGCGACCGGTACGGGTGATGCGCATCAACAAGAATGGCCCATCGCAGGTCAAACAACTCTAGCGGTTCATAAGCAAGTAAGGTCCATTCAATCAATATACGGGAGGCTGGCTTCATGTCCCGAATAAGATCATGATATAAAAGGTCAAGGTCAAGAGGGATCTCGTCAATCGCGGCCTCGATCGCCATCATCGTTTCGCCTTCAAGCTCCAAGTCAACCACTTTGTCAATCACAAGACGGGCCCACATGAAAACGCCCGCTGCGCGGTCCGTGATAATGGATGGAATTCGTGATTTGAAAATGTTAAAATAGTCGGAGAGCCGGTCTCGGATATATCTGGTGATATCTTCGTAGTTTTCTTCCTCTGGGCATATCCCAAACTCACAGGCCGTGTCAAGAATCGGAAAGTGGCGACATGTTACACAGATGCGAACCTGTCCGCCTGCAGATGGTGAGATCTTGACTAGAGATTTGAGCCACTGGAAGATGCTTTTTGCGTTTTCTTTGCCAGCTTCATCGAGAGCGTCGACAAACAGCCAAACGGTACGGGATCGCTGCATTTCCTGCAGCGATGACTCAAAGAGGGACTTGAGTTCCTCTAAATGCCATTCCCATTTCTCCCCGGCTTACCGATTTCTTTGCACTTGTTTTCAAACACGCTCACCAGATCTGATGCATACTCGGGCGCCTGCTGGAGAACTTGGTGAAGTATTGTTCGAAGGAAACCAAGGGGGTCTTTTGCATATCGGTACCACGGCCGTGGAAAAAGAAGGATAGGACGATATCTTGCGGGCGGTCAAGATGTTTGAAAGCGTATTTTAGCAGGGTTGACTTTCCGGAGCCCGGCTTTCCTTTGATCCAGAGCAGGCCGCGGTGGGCTACGGACCATTTCTTGTAGTTGACATGGTTGATGAGCCACTGACATGTCCCTTCGGCAGCGGCGCTAAAATCGTGTGCCCTGTTATCCATATTGAGGAAGGCGAGTGATTTTTGGCACTCAAGGATAGATTGTGATGACGGCTGCCTGTTCTTGGGGGTTCGGTAGCTGCAAAGACATTAGTTTCGAATTAGTGAGAAATGGCTTTGTAGCCAAGTAGGAGAGCCTTACATGTGATTGGTGGCGGTAGAACTTGGAGAAGTTCCTTGGCGTACGCGACGGCGGTGGCAGCAGCGTACTTCTGCCACGTTTTGTTCTTGTGTGCGTCTGCATAGTCACAGATTCCGCGGATCACGAGGGCCTGGGTGTTGCACACTATGCCGGCGGATTCCATTTCGAAGCAGATAGCTTTGTGCTTCTGGTATAATTCGTTCCTTTTCGCGCTTGAAACTATGAGCGCGTTCGACGAGGCGATGGTGCCATAATGAATATAAGGAGTATCTGTGACCCTTCGTGCCGCATTTCCTCTGACGCGCCTCCATGTCGCGTACTCAAATTCGCATAGCCCCTCGCAGAGCTGGTCCTTCTCTGTGTGATGGTAGTCATCGGGGAAGTAAAAGTCCCGGTCAGGCCCAGGATCTTGGAACTCTGGTCGCTCTCCGTCCGCGATGCGTGTCCTCAACTGGGCGAGATAGGCCGGGATCGACGTCTCGCTGGTCCCGTGCTGGGATCGGAGATTGTTCACTGCGCTCAATAGAGCGTCGGAAGGGTGTAGCGTATGTCCGCTGTGATTAAAGTCCGTTTCGCTTTGCCAACCGCCGAAATCGATATGCGCCACGCCTCCTCACGATCGAAGGGGTAGCTGACAACGACATCTCCGAGAACCATTTGGTGCTGCAGGCTGGGGCCGTAGTGCGGCACCCCCTGCTATACCCACCACAAGGACATGTTTGATGTTTGGAAATGAATGGGTCATCTCCCTCAAGGCGACAGTGGCATGATGGGTTCCGATCTTCGAACATACAACCATGACAACCCAATGAAGCCCTATCTGCCCAACATGATAGAGGATTTCGTCCTTCGTCACAGGTTCATGATGCTCCAATACACATATGGCGGGTATAAGTTCTAACGGCATCGGGGCAATCCAGCCGACAGTGAACTTCCCCTCGTTTGCGTCCATATTCTTAGAGGTTCTCTGTCATGGGAGGAAAATGAGCTTCTTTCGGCATAAGAAATAGGTTTGGAATTTGAACTCTTACCTCGGGAGAGATTCGTAGCGCGAGAGAGAGAGATAAAAAGATATTGTTCCGAAGGTTCTTGCTAAAGATACGAGTTTGATAACAAATGGAACATGTGCGAGAGATCAAAGAAAGATTCTTTTTTGGTGGTTTCGCGTCGAACTCTGGAAGGGCGATGAGGAGTCCAAGTCCGCCCAACGACGAGGATTATCCCCGCCTCCTAGAAACCCCGCACGAAAACAATGCCCAACGCCCCTCCATGGGTTATTGAGCCGAGCCTTGCCTCGAAGATGATTGCAAGACGTCCTCGATTGCAGCTGGAACCTGATATCTGAGGCATGACATTTTGATCGAGGCACGTCGAGGATCCAATAAAAGGTCTCTGTCCTACGGTTGCCGACTGAGGGTGGATTCTGACCAAAGATGTGGCCGGCACGTGGATGGCTTGCAGTACAAGCGAGGTGTGTGAAGGTCGCACGAAGAGTGTGTACTTTCTGACTTATGATATGTGGTGATGGCACCATTCAGGAACGAGTACCACGGAGAGATTCATCACGTCCGGGCTACCAGGAGGGCTACGAGAACATCTTTCTAGTAAGACAGTCATGGCTATGCTTCCCCCGTCGTCCCCGCCTTCTCCGCTTCCGCCGCCTGCTTCGCCCTAGCCTCCGCAATGCCCTTTTCAAACCTAACAAGCGCATCCGGGCGGTACAACTCCTTCCAACTCGGGTAAAACGCCTCGAACTGCGGCTTCCCGTCCTCAATAGCCACAAACGCCCGCCTGCTCCGCGTGTAAATATGCACGTCCGGGTCGATCCTCCACGCTTCATCGAGGGTGCCCGCCCTCACAAACGCAAAGCTGGCACCCGCGCCGACGTAGTGGCTCCACAAGCACGTCCCGCAGCTAGGGCACCGCGACAGCGACTGGCCGCGCCCGGACTCGGTCGGGTGCGTGACGCGGCGGGGACACGGGGCGTCGTCGGGGCGGGCGACTTCTGCGTAGAGCGAGGAGGGCCCGTCGTCGTCGGTGGCGGCGGGAAGGGTCGGGGCGGGGCGGTATTCGAGGCGCGGTAGGGCGGGGTGGCGGGGCCCCGCCCGGAGGCCCCGCGGGGATGGTGGGGTGGGCGGGGAGAGCTGCTCGACCGAGGCCGACTCGACGATGGCGTTGAGGGCGAAGGCGGAGCCGGTTTCGCGCTGGCACGAGGTGCAGTGGCAACAGTGCACGGCGATGAAGGGCTGGGCGACCCTGTAGCGGATGAGGCCGCAGGAGCAACCGCCCTCCATGGGGAAAATGGAGGGATCTTCGTAGTACGGAGCCATCGCGGGAGGTCGAATGGCGGCGGGGGACAACTCCTGAAGCTAATAAATAACGCGAGGAAATGTCACGGAGAGGTAAAGTCTAGGGAGGGAGCAGGCGCGGGGTTGGTTTGGCGGGGGAGGGAGCAGGGAGAGAAGAGCGTGAAAAGGAGCAAAAGGAAGAGGAGCTTTATACGAGCAACACGGGGAGAAACGACCTTCTCCCGTGCTCAATTGGCGAATCACATCGAGAACCAGAGGAACGATTGTTTCTCGACCGGATTTGGGGGCTGGAGCGCTAGGCTCCCGCCGTGTAGGGCCAAGGGCGCGCGCGCACAGAAATGGAGTCGCATCGTGAATCCTCTCGTCCATTTTCCTTGGCAACGTGCACATTCCTATTTCGGTAGCTCGGACCCGCTACGTCCCCGCTCGCCGGAATCAGGGCGGCGATGGTGGGCCCAGTTCGGGTAATACTTGACCAGGGTTCCGTCGGCGCCGTCCACAGTCCCGCAAACAGGGCGCTGACGTTTGATACACGGAAATGAGGGATTGTGCGCGAGTTGAAGCTTTGTTCCATTCTTGACTCCCTGTCTGACCTGCTTAGTCTCATTGGTGTTTTTATAAACACGCGCGAATTTTCAGCTTAAGGACATGTATATGTAGTTATATTTTACATTGACCGAGTACCTGGCCAAATATAACCCGGAAAGAGCAGGAGGAGGCTAACGTCACGCCCTCTGTTGCCTGTACCTCTATTTCTCACATAGCGGATGGGCCTCTGACTCCAAATTCTCAGTGTTCTCTCGACTCCTATCCAGAACATCTTGTCTCATCTGCTTAAGCGTGGTTTTGATGACAATTGGCTCCTTGCTGTACTCCACCGACTTCTCTACACTTGATGGCTGGAAATAATTCTCGCTCCTATTTCCCATGTCCAGCATCCCGCCCAATATTTCAGATGCTACACTGCTAGATATTCGGCACGTAGCCTTCGTTTTCTCGGGGTACTGATGCTGGTTCAAGCAATCAAAAGGCTCGACGACGAGCATGCGATTAATGACCAAATTTATAACATCACGGACAAAAGATGATGAGTGTTTGCTGTTGTAAAGATTGCTCGCGTGCTTTTGGTTGTATTGATAGTGTTAGCATCGCACATGTCCTTATCATGGGAATGGGCAGGTCGCGGGAAGAACTTGCCTTGAGAACCTTAGCGCTTACATTAACATGCATGGTGGTCTCTTCCATTGGCTATAGCAGAAACCGTCAGTGTGGGCTCCAGAACGTTTCTAGACATGGATTATGTCCCGAACCTTGGCCTCTTGGCTCGGTCTCGATATAAGAACCGTTCCCTTATTCTCTTTGAACGTGGAAAATCGAGCACGGCTTTTCAAGAGAAGTCCTCGGCTCAGTCTCTTCCCCTTGAACTTTTATACCCCGTCGGCCCTGTCACGAGCCACGTGACGAAGTCGAGGAACAAACACCCCAGTTGCCACACGTCGGCCGGCGGCGGGTGACGTAGCCAGCCTTCCGTTTCCGGGGCCGCGTAATCGAGGAAATCGTTGGAAGATATAACGTTGTGTACGGTGCCGGTGGAGTGAAAGCTACTGAGCCCGAAATCCGCGAGTTGTAGGACCCCAAGGTCATCCTCGTCGCTCGTCTCCGGACTGTCTGTAGCCTGAACTGAGAGAGGGCCGCTGTTGCCTGGAATCCAACCCTTGTACCACAATATGTTATCTGGCTTGATATCACCATGCATTCCTTTTGTCTTCGGGTTCGGGTCGTCGTGGAACTTGGAGAATTTATGAAACTGGCTGAGTCCCTCGGCTAAGCCGTGGCACTGCCGCGCGACCCAGCGGGCAACTTCGATGCGTCCCGTTTGGGACCTGGACTTGATTCTCTTCCACTCCTTCTCGCTCTCCCACAAGGTGAGAATCGTCCCGTCCGCCGCCTCAAACATGAAGTGGTACTTGCTTGGTGCACTCTTGCCCACAACCTCGAATGTTGCCAGAAGCTTGACCACGTGAGGAGATTGGTTCCGTAAGGTGAGACGATCGAGTATGTATCTCTCGTTTTTAAACATTTTAAAAGGTCTCTTGCCTCCAAATTCCTTTTATCCTCAAGTTTCTTAATTGCCACGGGGTGATCTTTGCCTTTTTCTACCGCAGCATCAATTGTTTCATTGTTAGCAGGGAATAGAGAGATGGCAAGAGGGATAGATGGTATATGTATTGGATGGAACATGGAAACGTGGCATACCGTGTATCGGTGAAAGTTTTGCTGATGCGGATTGATGGTGTAAAACTCAAACGAGGAAAAAGCCCCGTTGGTTTTGGGGACGATATCCGTTTTGCCGAATGGAAGAGTCTCTTCCGCGCTGCGCAACTCATAGTGGACAATTTTATACCGTACGCTCGTCGACTCAGGCGCGTCCCCTCTCTCAATGGTAAAGAAGACCGGGGAGACCTCCCACCTCACCCTTCTCAAGTTGCGAATATCTTCCCTTGACCACACTTCCGGATCCTGACAGGGACCAGGATACCCTTTATATAAGTCCTGCAGGTAGCCTTCATCTTCTAACATGACATCTTGGTCTGGTAAGCTGAACTCGGCTTCACAGAGCTTCCTGTCGTCCAAGCCGTGGTCAACAAAATCGAAGATGCAATCTGCCTTGCGTGTAAGAATGAGTGACGCCAATACCCTTTTGAACTGCCTGCCCGAGACGTTCTCATCACTAAGATCAGAGACGGGGGTGCAATCCGGGCTATCAAGTCCGCCAATTGTCCTTCATTCAGCAACGATTGTCTATTGTGGGAGGAATTGAGTTCCTGAAGCACGCACGAAACAGCCTCCTCTGTCATGATGGAATGAAATTTGATACAAGGTATGTAGGACCTCCCTTGATCTTGATAGGCTGACAAGATCTTGGCGTCCGCGAGCTTGTCGAAGATAGTGGCCACCGCCCCCTTTTTCCCAGGCTGGAAGGGGGACGGCTTCAAACTGTCCACATTTTTGCTGTTCTCATTCTTCCCATTCTCATATCCAGCAACGTAGGCGCCTTCATAACTTGAGCCGCCATCATAGCAAATCGTTGCCGTTGTAAGGTCCGTTCGCACGGATGCCTTGACCGGCGGGATTCACTATCTTTGGGCAGAGTAAACTCAAACATCTCCACCAAAGTCAGACCGTCCAGGCCACTCGCGGTCGCTTCGTTGCCTTCCTCGTGTTTCCCCTCGTAATTCACAAGATCGGAGTTCCACAGGGGTTCCTGTTGAGGCTTGACGCTATCATGCTCGAACCGGCCCCCAATATGTAGTATATTCTCCGTCGTACGTCCGCCCGATCCGCGGTTCGGCGGCACCTCGGATAGTGCTGCCACGCCATGATGAGACATCGGCCGGGGGTCGTTCTAGAGTAATAAATGAGCTGGTGGGTTCCTCTGTACATATATTGACCTCGTTTTCCCAATAGCCCCGCACGTGGTGCACATAACAGCGGCAGCAGGAGAGCTGATCTAGACCTACCTGGTTACTTGAAGTCACCATCGCTCCATTCGCCCACGCCCAGTTGACGAGACAAGAATAAATCCAGAGTAAGATTCGGGATATTGCGAGGACCTCGTGTCCGGTTTGGGTACAGGTGTACGACTCGCCTGGGTATGCCTAGCAGCCAGCAACGATCGATTGGCGAGAGAGTGGAAGAGTGAAATCCCAGGTATGGGTGGGCCAGTCTGCTGTGGTTCAGCATGCATTACCGAAGCTTACCCAGTGCTTGCATTCGAGATTTTGAAGGACCAGGAGATTTTAAGATAAAAGACTAGTATTACCGAAGTCTAAATAAGGCTTGCGAACGTGTAGGAGTGTAGGAGTTACAAAGGTGTATAGATGTTGCATGAGGCCGCAATGCAGAGGGCTCCCAACTAACATTTTACCCACATCCAATGGATCAGTCGATCAATTTATCAATGTATCTACGGGGCGGCCCATCGGTTGCTAGCTTCGCGTGATGCCCTGGCGGACCTTTGTGATTCATCCGTCTCCCTCCCATTCATGTTTTTGACTGAAAGGGGACCTTCGTTTACCACAGCCCCATTTTAGCACACTGCATAGGCCAGCGCATCCTTGCATGTTGACTTGCTGTCGTTTCCTTTCATGCACGCCATACCGAGGCTTCTCTACTTACATGTACGTTCCACAAAGCATCCATCCCTAGAGCCTGCACCTCCCCTCGAGAACGCGAACGTCGAGCTTCCGAGGGCTTTTATCTTAAAATTATCATTCTTTTGCTACAAAAGCCTGGTCAGCCTGGGCGCCACTGGACGCGTGGAAATGCCAAACCTCGATACTAAATTTCGACGAGCTACCAAACTCCTCCCTTAAAAGATGTAGAGAGCACACTCGTCTATCCCCGCATCGGGAGATAGGTTCGGCGAGATGTCACATGTTGGAACCCATTGAGGTTCAGTCGAAGAGGAGGGAGCTGAGGCATATGCGATATCTGCTGTCACGCAATTAACTTTGCTATGATACAGTTGTCAAGTTGATGGTGCCTCTCGAACGCGAAATTCACCTGTCGTGGGATCTATATATACCCAGGAAATTAGCATGTTGTTGTCTGTAGTCCATGTCTCCTTGGAATGGTGGCTTACTTGCGAACCATCTGATGTTGACGCAACACATGCCGAGACGCCTACTCATCATAGCCGTGAGGCGAACCAGGACGGACCAACCCCTCTCTCCATCAAGATGAAATGAAAAAGCACATACACTTGGCAGCAGGCAGCGGCGAAGGGCATGTTGCACGGAAGAAATCGAGGCGAGTGGGGTATGGAATCAATTGTTGAGGGTGTACTGAGCTGTATTAAGCTGACCAGGCTGTCTGAGCGGTCAAGCAAATGGGACGAAGGCATCAACAATTGACCCCAATGAGGGGACCCCCAATGCGCCGTCGATCAGTCTAGCGCAGGTAGGGACAGCGAGAAAGATGCAAACATCCAATGTACATACATCTATGTACATGTACATGTACTCATAGAATCCTCCCAACAACGACATGGGGGCAATACCAGGTGCAAGAAGCCAACGATCATGACATCCATGTAGTTGACAGCGTGAGTATCGACATGATTTATGGACCTTCCGGCGGCTGGGAAATCTCGCGATCAATTGCCCCCGAAATAAGCTAAGGCACACAAGAGTCCACATGCACGAATTGATATTTTACTCCCCGAAGAGTATATGACGTTTCTATGCTTTTTCTTCCAAGGCGGCCTTTATGCCTCCCCATCTCCCGGCGATCTTTCGCCTTAGCTCGCTTCTTCAACTCACGCAAGATGGGTTTGTGAATGCAGTAAGTTGATAAAACAGATAGTGTAAGGGTCAACGCCAAGACGGGGTACCACAACCACTTTTGATCACCAAACACCTCCAGTCCGTTGATGGCCTCCTCGATTTGCGGCACAGCCATAAAGGTCTTATCAAATGTTAGCTCACGAATCTAAATTTCAACTCTTCTTTTTTCTTCTTTTCTGTCTTCTTATTATTACCACAAAGAAAACCAAGCAAAAGTCCTTACCGCGGTGAATGTGGCTGGGAGAAAGAGCACGGTGAAGACCGCAACTACCCTCATAATCTTCGCATCTTTAATCGCGATCCTCGTGTCACTTCTCGCTAGATAAGAAGTCTCCTGTCATTAAAAAGAGTGAGCTTCACGCCTTCCGTATCGAAATGGCTGCATTGTTAGCGAGATCACATACCATTTGGTACGCGAGTGAGGCGGCTTCTCGAGTGACATCGCACCTCTCGATCCGATGCTCATATTGGAGCACAAGACGAGCAAGGCTAGAAGCTAAGGCTCTATCCCCTGCCGCATCCGCTTCTGCCTGCAGAGAGATGATCTGCCTCTTCCATGCCTGCAGTCCATTGACCCGCAGTGCAGACGCCTCTAGATACAACCCAATATTGTCATCCACTTTTCGGTGCCGCTCGGGAGGAGGCAACGGGGGTTCTGCAAGAGCCGACAGGGAGCTAATCTTGTGCAAAATTTCTCGGAGTCCAGCGCGCCTTTTCCGGACTTCCAGGAATCTACGCTCTTTTTCTACTTCGAGGAAGGCCATGACCACACTTCTCGCCTCAAAAACGGACTCTTTCCTTTTTCGTAGGCAAGCCTCAAAATTTCTAGTGGCGCTGTCGTCATACCCTAGGACGAGGGCGCTTACCTGGATCGAGGCATATTTTGATTTTGACCCGGGTGAGGCGAGTCTATAATTTTGGGTGACAGCTATAGCACTTTGCTGGGAGATGGAATTGGAAACGCGTAGGATATACACTAGAAATGGGCAAAGATCGTTAGCACGCCGTGGTCTTTTATGAGGGAGCATGTTTAGTCTTGTCCCGGGCGTACCAATGGCTGGGTTTCCATCCAATTGACATTCGTGTCTCATTGCTAGCGGACTGCTATCCGCAACTGCATCGAGGAACATGGGGTGTATGCGCAGGGAGGCAAGTAGGTGCGTAAACTCCCTTCTTCGGATAGACAAATGTCGTAATGCATCCGGCGAAGTCGTGACGTTGCCCAGGACTGCGCTGTAGCCTGGGCCTGCAATTCTGTATCGCACACGTACAAGTAAGTTTGACTCCGCGGTATGCTTGGCGACGTCGTCAAGGTAAGTACATACGCTATTGATAACTGGGACTCGGTCACATCCATCGCAGTAGATCTGTCCTGAGCCTCAAGCCAAGCTTTCCATCTCTCGCCATCATCCCATGAGGCTTTTCCGATTGTCAAAAAGCTCCCGGATGTGGAGGATCGCGAGGCAATCTACAGGAGGGTTTCCTCCCAAAACGCTTAGCTTCTATGACACTGAACCCGACATATGACTGGCCAGTTGTGGCCGTAAAGTGACGATTATCGGTCTGGCTTACAACATCGCTGGCCCGCGTATAGACCCATGTCCAGGGCGGAGGCCGTTGGGGAGACTTTTCCAGGTTCGACTCTAGAAAATGAAAGCCTTCCAGATGCTCCTGTAGCACTTGGAAGCCGCAGCACGATGCATCCATCAATAGATGCACGACTTTCCCGATATGGGTCGCAGGCGGGGTTGGGCAGAGGTTGGGCACCGAAGCGTCTTGGGGTCGTGGAAGCAGCAAGCGCCGCGCCGTATACAGGTAGGGATAGATAAAGGAAAGAAGCAGAGCCCGGCGAGACTTTCACAACCGAGCTGGATTGAAGAATCCTATCGTTATATCTACAGCCCCTCCTGTGTTCTTCCACCATCCCCGCTTTTCTTGTTGGGCCTACCTAGCCTGACGTGGCGCTGATAGATGAGGCAGGCTGGCAAAGCGCTGAAAAGTACCAGACATCGTGACGAAGATTTTGGGGTTTCGCGGATGGAAACGAAGGGATTTGACACGCTCAGAGCTGGCCACATCTTCTTTTGAGGCGATGAGAATTAGAAAGCTTGCATGTTGAATCGAAACGTGCGATGCACGCGCCAGCACATGTAACATTTGGGAGTAGATGCCGTGCCAAAAGTGCCGAAGCGAACTCTGGCTGATGGCTCCTTCGTGAAAAATAACCACATGCGGGCAAATCTTGCTTGGGCAGCTGCGGAAACTTACACAAAAAGCACACCAGGCTGGGCGAACAAGACAGCGGGGCTAGAGGGGGCGTGGTTGGGAGTACGGTTGTATTTCTCCATGAGCTTCATCCCCTCTGTGTGATTAGAGACAATGGCATATACCACAAATTCTTATATATTCCCAGGGCATCATCGCTGTCCAACTCCAGCGATTCATGTGTGAGTTGGCCGTGTAGATACATCAACGGATCGTCACAGCAAAAGCATACGCACCCCTCGATGAAATGGCGCTAAGGTGCCAGACCTTCATCGCGTATTATAAAGATTCACATCCTAGCGACGCCGCCACAAATATAGCAGTTAAGAAAATCTTGGGCAGTATAGAATTCGACATGAAACAACGGGTGAGTAATTGCCGTTCGGCGATAGAACCAAGGGTTGTTGCCTTCGCCCAACGCCGATAGCTGATGCGAAAGCCTACCTATAGGATTCCGAGTACATCATCTACACCGAGAAGAAGCTCCCTGCAGTATGGGTTCCCTCCGAACGTATGAGCGGTAACTAATGGAGCGCAGGCTACCGTAGAGCGCCTTAGGCAGGCGATCAACGGAAACATGTAAGGTTCGCCACTATACATGGAATAGACCTCGGCTGGTCTAGCTTTTATGTGGACTTCTTAGGAAGAATCAAGTTCGTTTCACGAATTCTCCCCTAGCCTCACGCTGAGATTGGCTTGGTGGGGACCCGTAAACCGTATGGGAGAGGGCCATGTCTCGAAAGGATGCTTGGTAGCTGAGCGATGGCAAATTGGGATGGGAATATTGGTTGCATGGGCGCGTAGTAGGAAAGGTAATGAAGTCTTGAAGAATCGGAGGTCTTAGCATGAATTCTTTTAGTTGTGGTCCAGCCACGTCTACCTCAGCAACTATAATAAGTATGGGTTTAATCTTTGGCAGTTTTTGTCGTTGTTGAGATGCCCGCCGTGAGCTTGACCACCTCGTGGCGTCTTAGGTGAGACAAAGCCACGTGGGCGGGAACCTTGGTAGGTGCGCTATTGATGCTCGTGGCCGGTAGCTTCTCTCCATATCTCGCAGTGCATACACGACATCATGGTACATACTATGTCTTGCTTATCTGACTTGATACCCAGCCGCGGATATATCCGAAACTGACTGCCCTCAACAATCTGAGTACAGCAGATGGGCCGCTGTCTAGGAGGAGTGAAACAGTCATGGGTTATATCGGCAAATATAATGCCTCAAGAGCTGGGTACGCAAGGGTACAGTAGAAAGGGCTAGTGGCAAAGACAAGGCCGTACTAAAACGGGCTTAGGTCGATCTACAAATTACTATTGCTCTATTGAGATCCTACCGAGCCCGAGGGTATCTAAACTTCCGTTACGGCGCTCGCTGAAATAAAAGAAGAAGTTTGTTTCCCGCCAACTGATCGAGTAAGATCCTAGGGCCATCGGATCCCTTGAAAGTCATGGACCAGTGCCATCGCCAACTTCCCGCGTGTATTCTCCGAAATGGACGATGAGCTGCCATCATAGCAGGTTCCAGCTACCGCACACCACTTTCTTCCAAACCCCCTCCTACGCCGGAAGTTCGCTCGGCGCCATCTGTCTCGGCGCCGACATCTCCTGCGGTCCCCCGATACTGACCCGCGCCCCACGCGCCCCCATCCAGCTCCGACCTCGCGCTCCCCTCATGCGGTAGCTCAGCAGCGTGGGCCTTCTCGTCTTGCGCGCTAGCCGCCTTCCGTTTCCGGAACCACCATATCGCGGCGCCCACGAGCGCGAGCGCCGCGAGGCCGCCAATCACGCCGCCCGCTATGGCACCCGCCGGGGTACCGGAGCTGGCTGATTCGGGCGGCGGCGTCGTCACCGCGGCGGTGGGTGCTGGGTTACTCGAGGAGAAGGTCGTGGACCCCGTGGTGGAGGGTTCTGGGTCTGCGTCGCTGCCGTCTGTCATCGCGGGTTTCCCCGCTTCCTGTTAGCTTCAAGGGACAAAATTTCCGACACACGCGACCGCAACCACATTCAAGGCCAGAGAGTGAAAAGAAAAGGCCAAGTGCCTCGTGGAATTCCCCAGAGGTGGTTTGCATACCTGTTCCCGCGCTGATCAGCTTGAGCGCCACCTCGCCGGCCTGGAAGGCGTAGCCTGGCGACGCGCACCCGTTGCTCCCCGTTCTCGTGGCCGCGTATCCGATCAATCCCCTCTCGCAGCAAAAGTATCCGCCATTATCGTAGAGATCCCATGTCTCGTTCGCGCAGGCCGGGGTCTGGATGAGTTGGGTCGTACAGTTCGCGGCGGTGGGACAACACTAAGCAGATCACGAGCGTGGTGGTTAGTCGATGAAAAGGGGGGCCTCGAACGGTAAAAGATCAGTGAAGGGTATGGGATGAGGGAGCTCGAGATTGGGGAGATGGTGATGATGGCGGCGTTGGGATATCGACGTACATCGACGTTATACTTGGCAGGGCAGAAAGAATCGGCGGGGCAGCAGACGCGGTAGGGGTCGACTGTTCGGCCACAATCGACCTCTTCCGAGAGGCAGGTCCCGTTCTTCCGGAGCGCGAAGCCAGAGGGTTCGGCGGCCATGGCTTTTGTTCAGTCTCTGCGTTCTCGACCGAGATGGCGCTATCTCATTCTGTCAGTAGGATTTTCTTTTTCGTTTTTCGGATCTCTTCACGAGTTTGACCAAGATGCGGCGGAGATGAGCTGGTGGAGAACTAATCTGATGGGGTGCAGAATTGTGATACTCGAAGGATCGGAAGACCAGGTCCGGGAGATTGCATCTAGTGGCACCCCTGCCAAGGCAGGCTAAGCCACGCCACAATCTAACGGGTGTGGCGGGAAAGGATCTGATCTTCAAAACGCCATCAATCACTCTCCTCAACTCCGCGATGATCTTTTCCTGAATCGCGGCCCCAATGCACGATAAACAAGTTTGTTTCGCGGCGCAGTCAAGCGTGGGTTCCACCACCATCAGCCATATCACGAGTACTGGTAGCACCCATTTTGCAAACTCTGGCAGAACATTTGAAGCCATTGGCGATATTAGGATGAGTGGTTAGCCTTGTAGGGCTGGGACTAGCGTCACCGCAGTTTGGAAAATCGCGGAAGCAAGCCAGAAAAGAATCTAGAAAAGTCTAATCAATTACACGCCCTCTTGCGCCCTCTAATATTCAGTACGAATAGGGGAGGAAGAAAGCTGGAAAAAGTATATACATGGAGAACATTAGATATGCAAAAGGCCCAACTATGCTGACACGTTTAAAGAGGACCGCTGTAGGCCTGGCAGTACTTGCCCGAGACCCAGTATCCGTTCTTCAGATGAACCCAGGCACTATACGGACTTGGGGGTTAGTTCCATTCTGAGGGAAGCAGTCATGTTTCTTCAAGAAATCAAAACGGGAATACGTACGGAGTGGGCGAGATCTTTGTCAGGTAGGTATTGAGCTTCTTGCCCTTGGAATACTGCCCAACGGCCGCGCAGCTGGTGCTAGCGCAGGTGCGGTATTTGAGAGCGCTGGCTGTTACAATGCAAACGTTGAAGTAGACGGCGGCGCGCGCCTCGATGGCGCTCTCGGCCGAGCCGGCAACGATCTCGGACTTGGCAAGGATGGCGTCGGCCTCGGGGTTAGGGTTGGCCGAAGGGGCGGCGAGGGCGGCGATGGGGAGGCCGAGGGCGAGCAAGGTGGAGAAACGCATCGTGAATATTGGGCGTGGTGTTTCCTGGATGATATATCTTGAAAGTTCCTCTGGCTTTTTTGTTTTTGTGAATTTTGAGAGAGATTGATAGAATAGAGAACCGCGTCCGTCTTGGAGACCACGTTTTAAATAAGTTTTGACTTGGGCTTTGTGAATACCGCTTCCATCGTGGTCTGCCCGAGGTGTCCGGGTAATCATTCTCTCCGTTTCGTGAACTCCGGCGGCATTGCCCCGGCAAGCCCGGATATGCGGACCCCCAAAAATAACTCTGACAAGAGCCCCGGATTCTGCCCCATCTTTCTTCCCTTTCGTCCCAACTAGCGCGGAGGCAGCGTCAGCGTCACATCGTAGGAGCTATCATCGGGGAGAAGAGGAACTTGAGGCCCCAGCTGGCATAGCGATCCGGCATGACGAGCAGATTGAGGAAATTACGCTAGGATCATGATGGGCGCCGACACAACAGAGGCGGCCTAGAATGGTAAAATTGCAGACCCCGCATCTCTGTCACTCACGGGTATCCATGCTGTCCCCTTTTCAGATCCCGAAAGAGCCTTCCCAACAGCTCCGGTGCCGCGATTGTTTCGCAAAGCTTAGCACGGGGCCGCCAGGTCGTCGTCAATGATATAACCTCTGTTTAGACTTGTACTCTCCTGCTATTATCAGTAAACCCTCACTTGCCACCGAACCCCGAACATCCATTTCGAATCCCAAGCTATCCCTAACAGAGGATATTCAGATAGTACCGTCGGCTTCTGCCAACACGGATGACGTTTCAAGGATTCCAAAGAATACACGTTGATAGCGTAGTCTTTAAATACTTGTGTGCCGTCAGCCCATTGGCGTGCGGCAGAAAGGAAGTCGAGTGACGGTTCTGGCTCACATTCTGGGAGACCGTTGTCCATATCGTCGAATGCATGCGGATTCTCCCCGCCGACTCCTGCTCTATACATGAGATAAATATCATTGAAGTTGCGATATACCCAATTTAGTGCCGGGAACGAAAGCACAAAGATCTCCTGTGAGTCTTGGAAATAAGTAAGGAATATCGAGCGAGCTAGGCTCGGGTCTGATTGTAGATGTTGCTTCAGCCGAGGTACCAAATGAACTCCAGGACTAATCATGAGTACCATGCCAAGGCTCATTGTTGTCTTGATGCGCGGGCCATCTCGTACGCTAGTGGTGCTAATTTGGACTTCCATGAGGGTTTTCATAGACGGCCCCATAGACAACAACTTCTCACAAAGCTGAGGGTTGCACAAATCGGACGTGACCGCGGTGACTAGCAAGTCGGCGATGCTCTCACACCTTCCTCGTGGCTGCGTAGGCCTATCCTCACTCACGTTCAACTCTCCCTTGTTGATCCTCGCTTCGATCTCTCGCAAGCTGTAGGGGAAATACCCGTGAAATATGGAGAAGCGCAGGATGCTGCCGCCATGTTCTCGGCCCCCAAAATCAGTGACGGGCGCTCTGGATACATGGGCATGAGTTCGCCATAGGCTGGCGGCGGGAATTGAGAGTTTATGCACTGTTCAAGCAGGATACTATTGCAAGGTGGAATCTGGCCTTCATCATCGACGGCACGACAAAACTGAGGTAAATAGTCCCGAATATAGTGCCTGGAGTCCGCTCTATTAGACGCTTCAGTAGCTCTCACCAGACGCCAATATGCTTGCTCAGAGGCTTGGAGAGATCCCTTCTTCAACTCGTTGAGTGAGCGGATTGCCGTTGCCACCACGACGACCGAAAGGTTAGAGTAAACGGTATTCAAGTTAATGCTCTCAAAAGTCTCTTTGATCTGAGATAGCTTGTTGGAATCAACGAGGTAGTCCCTCACGGATCGATGGCTTAACCCAACCATAGGGCCAACCATCGCATTTATGATTCTTTCTGCACGTGATGATGCAGGAGAGAGCTTAGTTTTATCGTGTATTATCAGCAGACCCTTTGTCAAACTTGTTGTTAGCTTGTCGATGCTATCCATCCTGTCCATCACTTCGGAAGGCGTAAATTGATATGTGTTTTCAAACGTCGGAAACTGGGGCTCCAGCATGTGGTCCAACCACAAGAAGAAGATTACGGGTGGGGGAAAGAGGCTGCTTATCACTAGTAGCAGCATCAGGTTGACCCGGTGTCTGTCGCGCTCGTCCAGCGTGCTGAGAAGCCTGTCATATAGGGCGCTTAACTCTCGAGGTACGGTGCGGATCTTCTCCAGCAATCGATCAAGGGGGCTATGCAGCCCAACCTCGGCTATCACAAGCTTGAGGACCAGCACCGCCCACAATATGACGCCCTCGGCGCTATATACGATCACCTCGACCAGCTGATGGTATGTGTTATGAATTCGGTAGAAGTTGGGGTCGGCGCGAAACATGCCCTCCGCAAGGCACCTGATGTCCCAAAACGTTAGATCGTGGAGGTGCAGCCTCGTCTCCGGGTTGAAACTGTCGGCAAATTCAACATGCGGTCTGGAACTGACGCACATCTTGACATGGTCAGATCTTGTCCACTTGCGGATATTGAGAGCTAGCTTCCGATGATCATAGGCGCTTGTGCTGTACTCATCGAGGCCGTCGATAAACAAGCAAATCCTGACGTCTCCCAAGGATACCGAGCCTTCCACGAGCCGGTGGAAGGCTTCCTTGATGTCTTCCTTTCGGAACTGGTCGCTCGCTAGGTCTCGGCTCGGAGCGCTCTCAGGAGAGAAGGCTTTCCATTTCCCTGGAAAGACTTCTGGGATCAACCTGGGACATTGCCTCAAAATGTGGAAGAGTAGGGACCGGTAGAGTCCGTCGAGGGACTTTGGAGGTCGCTCCCAGGGTTCAAAAATAGAAAGAGGCGAAAACAAGTTTCCCTGGAGAGGCCCACTCTTCGAGGAGTTCCCTGACCCTGGGATGGTTCCGCAAGAGCTTCATAAGGGTCGACTTTCCTGCTCCAGCTTTTCCGGACAAGTGAAAAGTGCCTGAACCTGAAGCGAGCCAGTTCTGGAATTTCCTGCTGGCCTCATGTCGTACTCCCATAGCAGATTCGTCAGTTTCGTACCCGGACTGGCCATCCTCTTGGGACTGAGTATTCTCCTGGGGCTGTGTATCATCTTGGAGATCCCCATCGTCGTTAAGAGATGCACCGCTGTAACCTAATCGATTGTCCTCGTCCATTACGTTGTCGCTATCAGTGAGATGACCGGCATCATCCTCATCACCCTGATCACCCTCGTCACCCTCGGGGGCTAGAAGCCATTCAAAGGTCTCATAAGCAGGATTGTCAATAGTGTCTTCTCGGGCAAAGATGTCTTCAAAGTATAGCTGCTCGAGAATTTCCGTCTCACGTCGAGTTGTCTCCATGGTATTGAAAAGGGTCCGCAAGTGGGTATTGAGATCCTCTAGGGACGTATTATCTGCCTTGTCCTCGTCAGGCAATTCCAGAGTCATGTTTAGCTGGTTTCGGATGTAGCGCAAGCCATCCGCCGATGAACAAGACATGATTTCTGCCTTCTGCTGAATTGTATCAAGTTGAGCTTTTAGCTGTGACTGGTTCTCGCTAGTTCCCCCAGAGTTTGTCAGAGTCTGATCTGCTATTGCTGAGTGAAGGTCTGGAGACCTTACTTTAGGAGCGAGACTAGTCGCAAATTCATCTGGTTTCGGTATTCTCCCAGCCTTGCCTCGATTCCAGCGATTTCCTTCTGTTTCTTCTGTCTCAGGATGGAAAGCTTTACGCTCTTTAAAATCGACTTTTGGCGAGGCGTAGATTTTCAAGGATAGAGAGCAGCTCCGCTGATAAAGCCGCACAGTCTCGGCCGAGCTCCTGCAGCGCCGCCTCGTGTCTGCCGGATACCGGTGTGTTGGCTGTTAGACCGAGTGAGACATCTTTGAGGTCGGTGATGACCTGGCTGATGCGCTCGTTCTCTTTGGTCGCGCCACTATTCGACGTGTAAAGCTCGCTCGCCACGTCAACTATTTTGCAGGCTACATTGAGAAAGGTGATGATGCCGGAGGCAACGCCGATAGCGGTAGCTGGGTCCATGCGTATGATTTCTGCTGCTACAGGTCAATGAACAAAAACACGGAGGGTTTAGGGCATGTTAGGATGAGGATTGAGATGAGGAGCGAGATGAGGGGTTCATGTCTTTCGAGGGGGTTGAGCAGGCTCTGGCACAGCTGCGGGCCAATTGCAGGTTGTGAGGGGCGCTGCGCCATTCGCAGCCCGAACTATAGAAATTCCATTTGATGCAGGAGTCACATGAGTACATGTCTGATATGTCCGTTGTGATCGAAGTAGGGAGATTCTGGGAGGTATACGCAATATTCTTGAATATATATCGGCCAGTCCCCATATCAAGCAGGACACCAAGCGACCGGAGGGAGCGATGAGCCACAGCGCGGAGCACCATCACTATCAATCTCTACATGTAAACAACACGGAACTATCAATCTTCGAACAACATGAAACTATTAATCTCATAAACGTTGAACCTGGCTGCGCTGGACAAGCTTGGTAGAATTGATGTTAGCTATTTTCGAATTTGAAGTAAGTAATCCTATCAACCCGGATGATTGGACCCACAACGACGCAGAATAATCAGATTGATTGAATGTCAGTAGAAATCGCGCCTCTTCTATTGGTAGCGTCGGGCACTAAACCTGTTTCTTGCGCGGAAATTTGACGTAGTCGGGACAAAACAAGCTTCTTTTCTTCTGCGGGGAAGCTTGCCGATTCTGCAGCCATAATACGCACATCGAAAACGTTAAACGGTCACACCAGTTTTCGACGATTACAGATATCTGTTACCCCTTTTCTGCAATACCACTCGGGCATACTTGACTTGAGTTTGAGACTTATTATCGTCATGTCGTCGTCTGAAGTGCAGCCGGCTGCTACTTTGCCGGAAGACCTTCTCTCCCCCGAGACCGACTGGGCCGGCTATCTATCCGGCGTGGTTGACGGCAGCAGCAGCCAGCATGTAGCGAGTCTCAATGCCCACGTATGTTTCCCATCCTAGAGCCTACCCAGTCTATCCCATGCCCTACTGCTCAAATATCGACGTTTGCACCCCACTGCACCTTGGTTTTGTATCTTGATTAACCCCTCCACCCATAGATCCACTCTAACCCCGAACTCGCCTACGAAGAACACCAAGCCCACAACACCTTTGTCGACACTCTCAAAACGCTAGGCTTCGCCGTCACCCCCATGCCTACGGTCTCGAGACCTCATTCGAGGCCGAGTACGGCTCAGGCGGCCGCCTCGTCATCTTCAACGCCGAGTACGACGCCCTCCCCGGCATAGGCCACGCCTGCGGCCACAACCTCATCGCCAGCTCCTCCTTCGCATCCTTCCTCGCCGTCGCCAGCGCCCTCAAGCGGTCCGGGCTCCCCGGCCGCGTCCGCCTGCTCGGCACCCCGCCGAGGAAGGCGGCGGCGGCAAGCTCAAGCTCATCGCGGCGGGAGCCTACCGCGGCGCGGCCGCCAGCCTGATGGTGCACCCGGGCGCCGGGTACCTCCTGCGGCCGGGGCTGCGCGGCGTCGCGTACTACCGCATGCTCGCCAACATCAAGGTGAGGGTGTACTTCACCGGCCAGGAGGCCCACGCGGCCATCGAGCCCTGGAACGGCGTCAACGCCCTCGACGCCGTCTGCCTCTCGTACAACGCCGTCTCCATGCTGCGCCAGCAGATCCGCCCCCACGAGCGCATCCACGGCGTTTTTCGCGCCGCTGGCGACCGGCCCAACGTCGTGCCCGCCGACTGCTGCGTCGAGTACTATGTGCGCAGCGATACCAAGGCCGCCGCCGAGGCGCTGTGGGCCCGTGTGCTCAAGTGCTTCGAGGGCGCCGCGCTCGCCACCGGGTGCGGTATGCGCGTGGAGCCGCTCAACAGCTACGACGACCTGCGCCCGAGCCAGGCGCTCTGCCGCGCGTACGAGGCGGCGATGCCGGTGGGGACCGTCTCCTGGAACGACCCGCCTGATTTCCTCGCCGGAAGCACGGACATGGGTAACGTGACGTACGAGTGCCCCGGCTTCCACGGGGCGTTTGGCATCGATACGCCCGTGGGCCAGGGGAACCATACCAAGAGTTTTGCCGAGGCGGCGGGGACGCAGGATTCCTTTGTCCGGGCGATGGAGTGTGCCAAGGGCATGGCGATTGTGGGCTGGAAGATGCTGACGGATGATGTGTTTGCCGAGGGGGTTCAGCGGGAGTGGGTAGCCGATATGGAGAAGGCCAGGGGTGAATTCTAAAGTCTGAGAGATGTAGTCCATTGATGTGTGTGATCAAAGTGTAAAACTCGCATTTATGGAATGCAAAGTCATTCACTAGGTGGCTCATATGCCTAGTCCTTATTCTTATTGACCTAGTCTAGGTCTGCCTGACGGATTGGGATCAGACATACTCCACCGCGTCGATGATGTAGCAAGTAATCTACACGTATGAGATAATCCACCGAGATATACTCTCTCCGCGACCACAAGGAACTTGCCGATATATCCATCCATGGATCCATTTGGGTCCATGGATGCTTAGTCACAGCCCTTACCAAACAACTGACGTAAAAGTCGACGTAACAAGTAAGCTTACTCTTCGCAAACCCTCACTCCAACTTTATCCAGCTCCAAGATTTGGGGCTACCGATTTACTCCTCTTTCCCATGGATACAACACCTTGTTCGGGGTGCGGGTATCCCAAGCCTCCCGATGTCGTGTCACGGCATGTGATGGGAACGATGAAGAGTCTCGCCAAGAGCGGGGACGATGGCTGCCCCATCTGCTCCCTCATAATGCAGGCGATCGAGAAATGTGGGCACTCGGCGTCAACCTTGCCGGAGACCATGGTGCGCCTAGACATCGATGTCGAAGGATTCCCCTCTTTCGACGTCACGGTAATGGGAACCCCTAGTTTTCAAGTTTCTTTGTTTAGGTCCTCGAGGGAATCGACCAACCCCCGGATGCGGAATCCTGCAACGGAAACGGCAGCATCCCTCCTCAGATACCAAGCGACTACGCTATTCAGCATCCCCACTACTTGATGAGATTCCCATCGGCTACAACATCCCCGACGCAACGTACTCGGACGAAAGCTTCCTCTGGATCCAACAGCAGCTCGTCAACTGCGACTCCACCCATGCCACCTGCGCAACAAGTACCCCCAACCCGCTCCCGAACCGCATCCTCGACGTCGGCACCAGCGGCGCCGACGCCACCATACGCGTGCGCACCACCAACAGGGAGCCCGCGCGCTACATCTGCCTCAGCCACTGCTGGGGCCCCGACCAACCCCCGCTACGAACCCTCACCGGCAACCTAGCGGACCACGAACGCTGCGTGCCCGAGGAAGCGCTACCCAAGACGTTCCGCGAAGCCGTGGCCTTGACGCGCAAGCTCGGCATCCGGTACCTCTGGATCGATAGCCTGTGCATCGTGCAGGACGACGAGGGGACTGGCGCCGTGAGGGCGCCGAGATGGCCAGCATCTACGCCGGCGCGTACCTCACCGTCGCGGCGGCGCACGCGCGCATGTCTCTCCAGGGCCTCTATTCCGCGCGCGAGCCCCAATACGAGGAAACGCCGCTCGACGTGTCGGTCCTGCCGGGTGCGGGCGACGCTGTGGAAGAGGCGCGTGGCTACCGCGGAACCATTTACGCACGGCACGCTATACGCCACATCGGCCGCCACACTCACCCGTACGATATCCGCCGCGGGCAGAGGAACACGCCGCTCCCGCTCCTCTCCCGTGCCTGGGTGCTGCAGGAGCGCTTCCTCTCGCGGCGGGTGCTCTTCTTCACCGGGCAGGAACTGGCGTGGGAGTGTATCCAGCGGATGGGGTGTCAATGTCGTGGCCATTCCGAGTCCATCGCCCCTAGCAACAATGGAGAGAACGGCGGCAACGCCACGTCGTCGATCTCCGTCTTCAAACGGCTGGCGGCGATGGGGTTGACGAGCGCCATCCACGATAGAGCCACGGCTACCCGAGCGTGGTCCTCCATCGTGCGCGACTATACCGCGCTGTATCTCACCTTTGAGAAGGACGTTTTTCCGGCCTTATCCGGTATCGCTCGGCAAATGTCGCATTTGACGGGCTCGAGGTACGTCGCCGGTCTCTGGGAGGACTCGCTTCTCTCCGGGCTCTGCTGGCACGTTGACGGCAGGAGCTCCCGTCCTTCCGAAATGCTCCTGGAGCCGCGGCCGAGCGTGTGGAGGGCACCGACGTGGTCCTGGGCGGCGATCAAGTCACCCGTGGTGTTTGTGGGGGCAAGGGTTGATTCATACGTGCCGGGTCGTTAGTCACGAGTGCCAGCTCGCCGGACCAGACCCCACGGGCGAGCTCGGGGGCAGAAATTGTTCTCGAAGGCGTGATTATCTCGTCCAAGATGGTCTACAAGGATCCCCTGCAGATCGGGGTTCCTCGGCCTGGAACGTTTTGGATTTGGAGTTTATGAAGGACCGGATGGGCAACGTCTTTGCAGACTACGATATGGTCTCACACGACGAACCTGGCGCAGATGTGTTTTGCTTTCACGTTGGGGTGAGGGCGGACCACGCGGCGTCGTGCCTCTTGTTGATTCTGAAAAGGGTGGAGAGTGGAGAGGACGGGGTGGCTCCGGCTACGTACGAGCGGATTGGGTTTATAGAGTTATTCGGGAGGCAAATGTCGCCCAAGTCGGCATGGGATATGGTGACTGAAGAAGGCAGCACGGCCACTGTCCGGATTGTATGAAAAGTTCGTAACCACACACAAGAATTTTGATACGGAGGCAACCTAAACATCCTCTTTCTAGCAAGGTTTTATAGTGTGGTTTCCCACCTTCGTTACGATTGTCGTGACTCTTGCCCAATTTCGGATCGCGCTAGGTCCCGGCCATCTTGCTCCCCGCAAAACCGGAAAGTTGGGGATTCTATCCCCAGAAACTGGACGGCAACCTCGGCATCTTCACCAAAATAGGTTAAACGTAAACCCCGGCTCACCCCCACCACCAAACCTTGGACAGAACCGCACCCTCACCCTCTGCAACGAATTTCTAGTATCCATCGTTGTCATTTATTTTTAACCCTCATTCCAGATTTTTTCCTCTTCTTGGAATCATTACCACTAGAGGGTAAACAGAAAGCAAAATGGTCGTGTGCACCCTCCACCTCATCGCCCTCAACGACGGCGTCTCCGTCCCCACATTCCTCGCCAACCTCCGCGCCAGCAACGTCCAGCCCATCTTCATCGCCAAGGTCCTCCGCTGGATCATCCTCCCCTCCCACCAATCCACCGGCCGGCTCCTAGCCCGCAACAAGTCATGGGACCTCCTCCTCGGCCTTGCCCCCGACGCCACCATCCCCGCCGCCCTCGCCGCCTCGGACATTGACGCACAATGGACCGTCTCCTACGGCGTCTCGGCCAAAGTCCTGTCCGGCTACCGCGCCCTCACGTCTCAGCTACACGCCGCCGCCGCCTCGGCGCGGGTACCCCTCCCGCGCACTGCGGACCGCGATACCTCGCAGGACCTAGAGAGCTCGCCCGAGCTCCTGGGGTGGATCAACGAGCTCCCGACCGACCTGCGGCACCGGCCCGTCACCATGCTGAACCTGCTCGCGTTCAACCCGGGAAAGAAGGACCAGTACGTCCGGTACGGAAAGGAGTTTTCGTCACGCGTGGGGTCTGCACACGGTGGTCGGGTAAAGATTGCGGCGCGTGTGGCGACGGGGGCGCAGGGGACCGCTGCCGAGGAGGGTTGGGATGAGATTGCCTACGTGCACTATCCCACGTTGAACCATTTTGCTAGCATGTTGTCCAATGAGGAGTATCAGGCGGTGAATAAGGAGTACAGGCTGGGAGCTCTCAAGGACACATTTATCCTATGTACGATGGAGGTTGGGGATGATGGGGAGGTTTTGGGGCAAGGACGCGCGGAAAAGTTGTAGCCTGTCGACTGAATGTATACTGTCATTCACACCTTTATCGTTTCAAACACGGACAACTTTCGATATGACGTTAATGTATTAAAAGCGAGCCTTTCGCTCGAAATATTCCTCTATATGACGCTTTCTTTATCTAATTCTTTTTGTCATTTTTTTCTTTTCCTTTTACTCTATTCTACTTCACCCTATGTACGTCGCGTACTTGGCAAACTCCGCATCCGTCTTCAACCTCTCCATATCCTCCTCCCTCAACGAAAGGGCAGCCACAATCTCAGCCCCCTTCTTCCTCGGCATCAAGTACATCAAGCTCTCAAACGGCATAAAGCGCGGCCTCCGCACGGCCTCGGGCGTCCCGAGCCCCAAGCCAAAGTCGTGCTCGAAGAAGTCGGCGCGGTTCGCCCACGAGCTGAGCATGATGTCGTGGGAAGGGTTGATCATGGCCGTGACGCCGAGGACCATCTTATTCGGGGAGCGCGCGAGCACGGTCGCAAAGGCGCGCGTGCGGAACGCGATGTCGCTGTCCGCGGACCGGCTGCCCAGCGCGGTGCGCAGGCCCGAGGCCACGGCGCCCACGGGGCTGTGCGAAGAGGAAGCGAGGTCCTCGGCTTGGGAGACGGTGTGGTAGGTCATGCTCTGCGTGACGCCGGGGTAGGTATCGGGCAGGCCGAGGTAGCGGCGGACGTCGATGGCGCGGGCGAGGGTGGTGGGGGCGTTGGCGCCGATGCGGGGCACGCGGGCGCGCGTGGTGGCTTGCCAGATGAGGGCGGTGACGCAGTCGTCGGTGGATACGAAGCCTGGGGGTTTGTGACGGAGGGATCCGCGTCGGTTTTAAGGGTAGCGAGAGCCTCGGGGAGAAGCTGAAGTAGGCCCACGTGGAAGGGGCGGGGGACGGGGTGGGCTGCTGGGGGTCTACGGGCTTGACGCGCTGGAGCTCGACCTCGGCACCGGGCTCGTACGAGTCGTCAAGTAGGGGATCACGTTCTCCCTATCGGTGTTTCCGCCCTCGATCTCTTCGGGGGTGTAAGCCTCGCCGGCGCAGGCCTTGGCGAGCAGGGCCATGATGCGGGCCTGGCCACCCATATCCACGACGTTGTGCTGCGCGACAAACGTCAAGAGCGCGCCGCCCTGGACGAGGGTAACTTGCACGAGGAAAACGGGCGCGGGTTGCTCGGCCTCGGGCGTACCCGGTAGCGTGAGGGTGTTGCGCGGGGCGACGACGGACTCGTCGAGCATGCTCATGGGGAAGCGCGCCTCCCTTAGCTGCGCCATCGTCACGGCGGAAGCGTCGCCGCGGAGGTCCTTGACCACTAGGCGCGGGGTCGGGTCGAGCGGCGCGAACCGGTAGATGCCCGTGCCGCCCTCGACGGGCTCGTGGACGACCTGGCCGGCGACCCAGGGAAAGGACGCGGCGAGGGTGCGCAGGCCGCCCTCGAGGGTTTCTGTGAGGTGGGGGACGGACACGTCATCGGGGCTGGGGTAGCATAGCGTGATTTGGGTGTAGAGCTTGTCGAGGAAGGGTTGCTGGCCGAAGATGTCGAGGAGGCCCGTCGTGTTGCCGGTTGGGCTGGAGGTTGTTTGCGCTGTCATGATGGTGTTTTGGGTCTGGAAAAAGGGAGATGGAGGAAGTTCGCGGGAGTGATGAGAGAGAAACAGCACCGGTGGGCGCTGAGTCGGGATTCAGGAAGACGAGGGGGAGTAAGTGCGATGAAGGATGATGATTTCAGTTTCTTGTTTTCCACCGATGTATGCGTCCGTCGCGAGGTCTAAATATCTGAATTCTTGGACTCTCCAAAAGATACTCTTGCGTGGATGGCGGGGTATTGACCACTTTTTGTTGCTGAGCTAGGTAAAATGCCCCGCCATGAAGCTCCAATGCGGGCTGAGCCATTGAAGCTGGCGGAGCTCCCGAGTCGTGCCCGTTCTCCACCCAATGTATCCCTTTGAGGAAAACGTGCGGGAAGGTACAAATGCAGTCCGACTGAGTTGCTATGAATCATAGTGACTAGTGCGCGATGGGCCCGAAAAGGCAGCTTTTCTTTGGTCGCCGAGCTGAGCTAAGTCGCCAAGCCTTTTTGTGCCGCCCCTTGGTTTCTCTAATCGCGCCCGGACAGGGTTCAAGCCCACTTGATGCAGGAGCGAGCTTGATCCCAAACCCCTGGACGCTGTTCAGATCGGGAGGGAAACGGAGCTCCTATTCTTAGCCATGTCTGAAACAACAACGTCATTTTTGGGGGAGGGTTTTTTGGTATTTTTAAGAGATCGCCGAGTTTACAATTTTGCCGGAAGAAGGGTTAATAGCGAGCAGGAATTAAGAAATCATGAGCTAAGAAAGGAAACGGAGTGTATCAAATGGATTTCTGCATTACTTTGCTTTGTTCGTTACTATGGACCTTGCGTACATTACACCACGCATTGTATTGGGCATTACTTCATCGCGGTCTCGTCAGATGACAGCTCTGTGTGGAGGATTGGACTCCAAGAGAGTAGAAAAGGAGAGGCTCTAAGAAAAAAAGAAGGAAAATGGGGGAAACATTGAAAAACGTAGACGGAATCAAGGGGACAGGGGAAAAGGCTCGTCGAATATCGTTCCTAGCCCTTAGATCAGCATGGCGCCGGCAAAGGCAGCAGCAACGACGGAGATCATCATGCCGGGCGCAAAGGCAGCCGCGCCGCTATCGCCACCGTTGTTGTTGTTGTTGTTGTCGTTGTTGCCGTTGTTGTTGCCGTTATCGTTGTTGGGCGTGGGCTGCGAGCCGGCGGTGGTGGTGAGCTGGTTGATATCGGTGGGTCGGGTAGCCGTGACGGTGACGCCCTCGACGATGGTGGTGGCGCTGACGGCGTAGGTGGTGCTCTGGAAGTTGCAGGTCCTCATGATCTCGTCGATGTCTAGTGCAAGTCAAAAATTCTCATGTTAGCATTCGGTCCATGTCGTCCCTGCGCATCCTAACCCAGTTGTCTTCACTCACCCTCAAGGTCATCCCGCTCCCGGACGTTCTGGCTCATGCAGCTAGCGCAAAGGGCAGCCACGCCCGCGACGTCGAAGCTCTGGTTCGTGCACAGGCACTGCCTCTCGAGGAGGTCCTCGTTGCGGTCGCCGCCGACCTGGTCGTCGTCGACGTCGCACTGGCGCGAGAGGGTGAGGAGAGGGTCGCACACCTGCGTGCACTGGGTGGGGATGTCTTCGCTCTCCAGGCCCAGGTCGGCGAGCACGACGGGGGCGACGAGGGAGAGGAGGGGAGGGTCTTGGCGAAATGCATTTTGGTTGGAAAAGGTGGGCTGTCCGGTTGATACGTTGCTATTTAGATCTGGTGCGTGTGCTTGAGAGAAAGAGTGTCTCTGGAGGATGCTTAGTGTTGGAGATGTTGAGGTGGTGTGAAGTGGGAATAGAGGCAAGGGCTAGAAAACATTGAAAATAAAACACGGACGATCGTCTGTGTTTTATACATCTGGAGTTGCTCTCCCAACCCAGCTTTTTCTTGAGATGACGGCTGTTCAGGTCCTCTCCACGGGCCCCACTTCGCAGATCGTCATACCCCCAGCAAGAGAGACAAGGCATAAAAGAAAATCTGGGATAAAAATAATTTCACGTTTCTTTCTCCCTCTTGGTATTCGTGTACTTTGTCCATCTCATCTAGCGCAAACGGAGCTCCAGGTGTCGCGTGTTGTGGGCGTGCGCGGGTGCTTGCTCCAGTCGCTTTCTCGCCCCATCTGTTTCAGCTTCTGCGTGATGAGCAGGCCCTTTGGATCGGGGACAACGCTGTGCTCGATGGATTAGTGATTTTCCTTGCACCGCCGGTACTGTACGTACTTTCTAGGGCCGAGCAGGGTATTTCCCGACTGCAATTAGGCCCTTTCTCGGTCATTGGCCTTGGCTTTTGGGCTTGGCAGGTTGCGCGCCTCCCATTCCGATTCGGCACGGATATTTTTGCCAAGAGACGCCTCGACAGTAGTCGGGCGTCATCGCTTCGCGGCACCAGCAGCACCAGCACCAGCACAGCATAGGACAGCTCCATTCGTGGCTCCCTGTAGCGATCAGTTCGCTGTTCCTTTACTTTCCTTTCTCTTTCTTCCTCGTTCTTTTCCTTTTTTGTTTCCATTTTCTTGACACAACCTGTGCATACAATGGATGCATGGTGCAACGGTGATCACTGATCAGTGCTCCTCTCCGGGTGTCGTGCACCTTGGTTTTTGTCAACTAGTGTAAGCCACAGCCACAGACAAAAAACATTGGTGATTGATGCCAAGCCGAGACGTCTCCGCGAGACAAGCAGCATGCCATCATCCGTGATGGGCCTAATTCATGGAGCTTGCTTTTGGCGCCTTGGCACACGGGCAGTGTCCCCAAGCAACATCATGCCCGCCCGTCGCCCTCTGCGACAACGCCTCCAACGTTCAAAGGTTCGGGCGAGGGGGCAAGAAGAAGGTCGAGATTGGACAGCGCACCCTCCTCGGTGACGCGGCAGTCCTAGGTTCGTCATCCCCTTTCCCCCTCATCCAGCCCTATCTACATGTATTCCACTCCTCTGAAGAATACCATCATGGAATGTTCTTGGCGTTTTCTTTGCCAACCCTCAAGCGTCTGACTACGCCACGAGCCGCGAGCCACGAGCCAGCAGCTGAGAACCCAGCTGGTGGACCTCTCTTCCAGCCCGAAAAAGAATTGTGGGGCAAGCAAAGGGAGGCTGGTTGTTCCGAGCTGTTTTTTTACCAGTTGCTTCCCATGTTTCAGCTCCGGGCCGTGTCGTAGAATATTCATAGAAAACGTGGGACGCAAGGTCTGACACATGCGGACAATGCAAGCGCTACAAAAGAAGGGGAGCCGGTTTTGGGGTGCGGCTCCGGAGGAAGGCCGGTAGTTCTCTAAAAGCATCGATCCATCAACAATTGATACGTTATGCTTAAAAAAATGTCCGCCAATTTTGACGTAGTGCGGCAAAAGCGATCGATCCCTGATCGACCAGGTCGGGCCCGTCTTGCCGAGTTTTATTTTGGCACATACAAGCCGGCGGGTGGCCCAACGTCTCCAAGCGTTCCACGATGGCCAAACAAGTGTCACGATCTACAGGACTGGCACTGGCGGTGAAAAAGAAGAGAAGAAAAATAACTTGCGGGGATAGTTCGGGGGTGGATCATGATCCCATCCCCAAGCTCCCAAGCCACTGCCCAGGCACTTGCTGCCACCAACACGAGCTTCACTCGCGCCCCGCTAGAGAAGTGCGTGGCTCGTTCTTTTCTTCTCTCCCTTCTTCTCCTCTCCTCCGTTTCGTTTCACGATGTAGCAAGCTTCATTGGATACGATACTTTTTTCGTCGCACGGAACAAACCGCAAAAAGGATCGACCTTTCATCCGATTCGACGATGCTCAGCCAAAAATTCAAGGCGTCGTCATGCGTGGCTTGGGGACGTTTTGGAAGCTGCAGCTGCAGTAACTGCTTCTTGGCAGAGTAAACTTGAAGTGATCCGCACCACTAAGTAATCCACGTCGTGCAGCTTTCTTCCCCACGTTTCGTTTCGCTGGTGTTATGGTCAACTTTAGTTTCCTCTGAGCCACCCAAACAAGGTCCGACGGAAAGGTGATTTTCTACGTGTAGTCATTCCTATTTAGGGAGTTGCGCTTGTCAGGGGCTACGCCAATCTCTGGAACCTAGGACGTTGGGTTCGCCCGTCGACTTACGTCTACGCTTCGCCTTGTTTGCAGATCCCGTTAAAGAGTGGAGAGCAAATCCATGTCGTGAAGGGACGTCCGTATCGGATCGACGTTGGTTATCGAGATAGTGATCACGGTATGACGAAACAAAAAGAACGAAAAAAGAAAAGCGAGGCAAAAGAGAAAAAAGGTCCGTTACTACTTTAAAAGGTATTCATTTGATTCGTCAAGTTGAATCGTGAGTTGTTCATGCTGCGCCCCCGTTCTCCAATGCCGACATGCTCTAGCCACAGGCTTGGTCATGGATGACAAGGTAGAACATGGATTGCAACGCACGCGTTTATCAGTTTATTTCGTGCCATGTGCACATTATAGGAGCCAACATGGCTCGTATTCATCCACCCCTGTACTTCAATGCAAAAACTGTCGTGAGATGAGTTCGCTTGCTATGTGCTTCGGTTCAAGCGAGCACGTCGACTCGCGAGTTACCCCAACCCTCCCAGTGTACCACCTCCCCGCCTTTCGTGTACGACACAACATTGAACGCTTCAATATTGGGGATAATAAAAGACTAGCTTCAAACACCACCTGTCCGTTCTCCGCTTCTGCCCGAGTTGATTTCTTTTACCAAAACAATCGGTCCCGTTTTGCGTTGGGTGGCTGGCGATGACGTCATTTAAGAAAGAGGTTCGTAGCCGGCGCCGGTCTTGTGGGCATCACGGTTCGAGAAGAGGTAGTAGATAACCATGCCGACGATGGGGAACAGGAAGACGACCAGACACCAGAGAAGCTTGGATACGGGGGACGGCTGGACTTGAAGACCTCGACTACACGGGGAACACTAATCAGCACACGATGCTCGTGAAACCTGTTTACAAATAGGAGGGGAAAAACAACTAGAGGCAACTTACTGAAGACGATGACATCGAGAATGAGAACGATCAATCCGATAATTCCACCGCCGGTGCCGTACTGCCAAGCGTTGCCGTGGTCGGCGGTCTCGATGGGAGCGGCAAAGGCCAAGCTCGCGAGGAGGAGCTGAAGGAGGATGTTGAATTGGAACATGTTGACGATAATTGGACTTGTCCTTGGATATCTTCTCTCCAAATGCTTGTTTCTTTTTGTAATGTATTGATCTCTTGTGATGGGGTATTGGGTGAAAGGAAGAAAATCAAAAGAAAAGAAAAAGAGATTTCTATTAAGGGAAAGAGGAGACGAGACCAGGCAGACGGATATATTCAAGGAAGTCGGAAGGCGGGGAGGCGAGAAGGAACAACGATTCCGCGTGACGTCAGAAGTCATGCTGACGCAAATGCCTCGGAGCCACAACCGCCAACCGTTTGAACTGTATGAAAAGCCAAAACCACGAGATGCAGCGTGCTCGTCCCCCGCTAACGAACTGAAAACAAAAGGAAGAGAGCCCAAAAAAGGAAACCGAAATTTGAACTTTTTCATAAAGAGCCTCATCATTCTTTTTATTTTTCATCTTTTGATTATCTCCGTCTGTCCATTCAGTTTCCCTTGGATGCCCTCGACCGCCACCTACTCCAACATCTTGCCTCCATTCCCATCTTCCCCGCGTGTGGTGCCCATCTCACCGGCCCACCAAGTCCTGTGGGATCGCGCCATGCCGTACCGATGATGTAGTGCAAGTGGGGTCCCTTGGCGCAGGAAACCGCCTTCTTGTGCGCGCGATCGAGGCGGGATCGATTTGATGGGCTGGCTAGCGCCTGCCACCGGAGAAAGCTCCGGGAATTTGTGGAGTCCTTTTGTTTGCTTTTCCGTTCTTTTAACTGGCTGATGGTGGGTAAGACCTTGGATAGCCGGATTCTCGGGAGGTGAGCTTCTTCCCCGGGTTATACGCGGGAATAGGTTTCAATTAATCTATTATGTAGTGGAGGAGTGGGAGGAGCCTTGCTCAATCATAGATCGATTGGTTTGCCTACTAGTGATCTTGCTCGGGGTGCCATCAATTGTTCCCAATAGGAGAGTGCTTCATTGATCTGAACTCCACGTTTTTATCTTGTTACCCTGGTCTCGCTCCCAGCAGTTCGTCTTATCCATGCGGTTGATATCACAGAGAACGGGGGCGTTAGAACGTCTGAGTTGAATTCTCAGTGCTTTGTTGTAGCAACCGGGGCCTAAATGTTGCATAGCTTGCAAATATTCACCTGGAGTTTCCGACTTTCCTTCGGTGCGGCTTCGATATCTTTCAAACCTTCCCTATCAATCTGGAAGACGTTTCAGACACGACCTTCGCAAGCCTAGTAGGGTATGATGCCCTCCTGCCCATGAGAGGTTACGCCCTCCGATATCGTCGGACTGCCACGACTCGGCATCTAGATAAAGATATCCCATGCGATCTTGACCTTGCTCTGCATAACCCGCTTTCCCTACTCCCGATTGGTATGGAAATTCGGCGTGGGTTGCGACTGGTCGCTTGTGCTGCCTCCGGGTCTAGGCCTATTTAGGTGGGCAAAGTTAGGAATGGGGCACAGACAGGGTTAATTTACGGCTCTGAAGTTGTACCAGAGACGTTGGCCTTATCTGATATCCCTTGAGCGGGCTGATGAATGCTTAAGTCCTGCCATGGCAAGTTTCCATCATCTCCGCTGCGTTAGGCGCATAGATTGCGTCTCAGAACTTACCGCAGAACTGCCTCATCTGGACAGATCGATAGCTAGCAGCCTCGCCCAGCGGACCCAAGTGACTTAAACATGTGGCCGCTTGGATCGCAGACTGCTACGGTGGCAAGCGGCTGTTTTCTTATCGACGACGTTGATGGAAGTTCATTCGGACGTGTAGCACCGAAGACTCCCCATCTCACTAGATGCCGAAGCAGTCTCGCGGCGCCCTCGTCATCTGCTACCCACAACAAGGACATCGCCTACGAAATTTCCCACATCTGCAGCAGACTCAATGAGGTTTGGGCAGTGACTCAGTGGAAATATTTGCCGTTACTGAAGAGCGACCTGAGATCGATACCGGCATGGACGCGGCCGGTGAGCTCACCGGGGGTTGGACCTAGATGCCCACATGGAAGCCGCTAAAGGCCAACCATATGACCACACCGTGGGGGCTTAGTTGGCATTATCGCTGAACTTTGAGGGTGTTATGTGCATGAAAATATGCCTAGAAGGAGGCGAGTGATGCTAGACGCCGTCTGACACTCCCAGCAGTCATTAGGAGGGGATGGTTCCATCTATCCCGCTAGAACGCCATAATTAGTCCGGATCTAATTCCTCAAAGGCTCTCAAAGGTTTTAGACAGGCATTTCGACCGGCTGCTGATTTGCAAAAGGGTAGTCTTGGGGGCCGCTCACATGTTTGAGAGCATGCGGAGCTTGGGCGATATGTCGGCTACAAACCAAACAGATTGATGCTGAGGGACCATGAGACTCGGCGATCGGGATGAGAAATTGAGATGTGGCGATGAACAATCTGAAGTGCTTGGCCCAGCAGAACCCTGGCGGCGATATATCATTAACCTGGTCGATGACATGGGTTAAAGGTTTGTCAATGCAGAGGGAGCGGTGCCATGGATAGAAGATGCTGGTCTACTTGGTGGTCACAGCTGATGAGGCAATATTCCTTACGTTCGTCTAGCCCAAACAGCACTACTGCCGTAGATTAGACATTTTCCGAGACTGGGGTCATGAACCGATATAAATCAGTCTTGGCAAAGGTTCGTACATCTGTAGATCTCATTGATCTAAGCGTTCCCAAGGTCACCATTGAGGCGATTATACCTGAGTTGAACAAGGCTCATCACTCACTTGTATAAGGCAGCTCGGAAATATACCACCAAGAGAGAGCACGGCGAGGACCAGGGACCCGTACAGGATAAAACTCTTTGTGCACGCGGTCCTGCGAGATGGACGTGACGTTTACTACGTTGGCTGCTCGGGATACAGGCTGAACTTGATGACACACTTACATATGCTCGGCCCCGCCCTTCAGTAGATCTGCCGCCGCGGCGATCGAGTGTGCCGCGACAGGAATAGATCTTCCCGGCTTTCGTTCTTTAGTAATCAGCTCCCAAACCATCCCGTTTATGGCATTCTTCACTGCTCTAAAAGCACACCCCACGCAAGTGGGCGTACTATTCTGTCTAAAAACATGAAATCTCAATAATAGCGGCGAACCCAAGCGTCCGATCGCCGCGTTAAAATCATTATGATGCCTACCCATCTCCGCCGGTGGTCCACAAACACCTGATTTCTCGAAAATCATTCAGCTTCGCCTTCATCATGATGCTAGCTTTGGTCAGTCGGGCAACAGAGGCCTGCACTCGACATCACGTTTCCTAGCTAAACAATGGGGCGTTCGTCTTCGTTTGGCATCCTAGCGCGAGATACGCCTGTCGGAACTTACTTTTCCGAGAATGCAGGCGATTGCGCACTGGTCCTCAATGTTTAGAAACGTTGATTGAGATGTGGAGGGGCGCCCCCGCATGTCCTTAGATGGGCCATGGTACTGAGGTAATAATTGCTTTGTTTCTCCAAGAAAGAAAGAATTGGGTGGCTTCTCGCGTGGAGTTGAACGGTTTGGTCGGCACTTCATCTGCCAGCTATTGTTTTGTGCAACATCACGGATCCCCGCCTGGCACTTCGGGCGTTTTTCCCAGACTGCTTTCTTCAAAGTTCACACGCACGAGGGGGAACTCCCGTTTCACCAGAACCAATGGTCGGTGCGTCGCACGGACAGTCCTGCCTCGCGTGTGTGATTGGAAGAAGATGGTGACAAAGAAAGGGAGGGAAAGAAAAAGAGAAGAGGGAAAGATAAAGAGAGGGGCTAGCGGCTAATGCTACCCTGCCCTACTACGTTCAGACCCTATCATGATTACCGACCCGACTGCTGCTCTTTCGGTGAGAGAACCTGAGAAATCGACACACTGGCTGGGACGTGGGCGCAGATGGACTGATCAATTGAATGTCAGGCTTGAATTGTTTTGTTGGCATCGAGTATTGACCGGTGATCTTGACCGTTCTAGTTCCAAGCTCCGCAGCTCCACAGCTCCGCCAGTCCTCGACTCCTCACCTTGTTAGCTCAAGCCAGCCCTAATACGGCGATGGAGGAGCAAATATATTGGATTGGGTGCAGTTTGGCAGCTAGCGGTCAATAGAAGCTTTTTTTTTTTTCCCGCCCCCCTCCCCCTCTGTTTCTCGTGTTGCCCAACTCCTCTTCGGTGGCTCCGCGGTCTTGCGGGGTGTTGTGTTAGTCATCCACGGACCCTTGTCCGTCCCTTTGTTCCCCTGGTCGAAACGAAACGGCGCTGTTGGATGAGGTGATGGGCCCGAGTCCCATTTCAGGAGAGCGTGAGCAATTTCCCGATATAGAAAATGGGCAGATCCTCCAGTTTCACACCTCCATGTCTGTGTATCGTTTGCTCTCCCCCCCGTCCCCCAAAACTCTGTCGCGCCCCACGAGCCACACCCTACCCATATCCACAAGATAAAGAGGGAGCTCTAGCCTGGCCATGAGTCCCCGGCCTCTATCCCGGGCAACCACTTCCATCCTCTCCCTATCCCTGACCTTTTCCTTCCTCATCTTTTGCATCTCTCTCCTCTCCTCGGCACGCTCTTCTCGGAACCAAGACCAAGATCCAAACCTCGTCCAACCCGCGCTCGAAGCGCCAGAGCCAGAGCCAGACCAGCAAGGCAAGCAAGACCAGCAAGCTCAGCAACAGCAGCAGGATCTCCCCGCCGTCGCCATGGCGCTCAAGTCATGCCGCTCGGCGCATCCATCACCTACGGCAGCGGTTCCACCCACGGCAACGGCTACCGCGACTACCTCCGCAACCTCCTCGTCGCCGACGGCTATAGCGTGCACATGGTGGGCTCCGTCCGCGCAGGCATCATGGAGAACAACGACAACGAGGGCTGGCCCGGGTTCCGCATCGACCAAGTCGAGCCCAAGGGCATCAGCTCGGCGTACCGGTTCCTGCCCAACCTCGTGGTGCTCAACGCCGGCACCAACGACTGCATCCAGAACCGCGACGTCGCGCGCGCGGGCAACCGCACCCGCCGGCTGCTCGAGCGCCTCTGGCTCGCCAGCCCCGGCAGCACCATCCTCTTGTCCACGCTGCTCGTCAACGACTCGAAAGAGGGCGCCGAGGACCGCGTGCTCGAGTTTAACGAGCAGATGCGCTACGTCGCCAAGCAGTGCGAGTGGGAGGGCAAGCGCATCGTGCTCGTCGACATGCACGGCGGCGACGGGCCGGGCCTCGAGGACCTCGTCGACGGCACGCATCCCAACGACGCCGGGTACGAAAAATGGCCAAGCTCTGGCACCGGGGTGTCAGGAGGCGGTGTCAAGGGTACCTGGAGAGCGTGGCGCAGCAGCGAGTCCAGGCGGTGGGGCTCGAGTCGGCCGCCGCGGTGCCTGCCATCCTGAGCTTGCTGATCCTGGGCATGTTTATGCTGAGCATGGTTACCAACGGATTCGGTCATTTCAGGTAGCCATGGCTCTTGAATTTTTTTCTTTTCCCCGGTCCTTTCTTTCGCCAACAGCCCAAAACAATTGGGGCTGGGAGCTGAAGGAGGGAAGCAAAAACACAAGCATTCAATGCTGTCCTGGTGCGCCTGCATGCACTTATTGCGCATGGTTGGTGCCAAGCAACACAAACTCGACCCACTAGCGCATGCACCCCGGCTCCGGTTGCCAATCAAATCCTCATTCAGACACACACACTCACACTCACAAACACACACAGGCGCACCACGAGCCAGCGAAGAAACAGCACAGCTGCCACCAGCAAGCGTGCATGTCCGCCATCGAGTCGATGGACCTTTCAATCGAGGCAGAATTTACTTGTGACCAAGCACCGAAGCACGTTTCGAGCCACCGACGCCCGATTCTGTTGCGCGGGCTTGAAAAAGGGCCTCAAAAACAATAGACACACGACGCCATTTTGGCTAGTTCGCTCGTGTCGACAGGGTCGATTGCATCACCCACGATGTCACTGCGGGAATATTTACCAACACAAGGCGCGAGGGGTTTCGGGTTTGGGCAATGGGGCAATTGGGGGTTTTTATGATTTAACGACCACGTTCCTTTTACATGCATACTAGCTAGCGATTTGATCTCATGAATAGACGTCTCCACATTCCTTTATCATGAATGAACCAATTTTGAATTTTGCCACCGAACAGACTGTGAGGATGTCCCAGAAGAAGAAGAAAAAAAGACATGCCGTTGGAGAGGCTCTCGGCATAAGAACCGGGGATATAAATAGCAAGAAATAATAAGATGTTGGCAAATGTGAAAAGGACAAACGAAAAAAAAAAAAAAAAAGAATGAGTCGCTCGTGCTTCCGAGAGGGCAAGGTCCAACCAGGATTCGAACCTGGGCTTACGGAATTCTCTAGTTCAGAATCCGACGTCCTAACCAACTAGACTATTGGACCATGAAACTATTATAGCTTCAACCGCACTTAAAACAGAAACAATCGTCGGGGTATAGTTTGAGCGGGTTTCCTCCCTCTCGTACACGTAGTCTTGTAGGCGGATATGAATCTGGTGGCCAAAGGCTAACTAACTACTTGGCGCTGAACGAAAGCCCGGGTCTTGCGTTGGTGCTGCTTCGACGAGGGTGGCCAGCCGGTGGCGAGAGAGGCCGTGAGAACTTCTCCAGCATGTTTTTATCCTTGTAGAATCAAGGAAGAAGGAAAGAAAATAGGAAAAAGACGGCGGCAACTCGGGTTGCGAGTCCGCAAGACCAGTCAGCAAGTCGCGGCAGGAAAACAAGTTGCTGCATGTATTTCGCGCGTGTATTCGCCATTCTCCTGCATCAGCAGTACATGGAGCGAGCGATTGCACACACGGATTTATACCGGCGAATGCATTTTCGATATAACCACCTCGAGAGAGCTATTGCTCTCGTTTGTTGCGTCGGCGGCTAGAGGAGACCATCGACGAACTTTAGGGGCGCTTTCGCCAGATGAGAGTGGCTTCATTGGGGACTTGCTGTCGGGGCAGCCACGGCTATATAGACCATGAGTATAGTCGATGGTGAAAAAAGGTTGTGACTGGGCATTTGATTGATTGACCCGCATTTGAAAACACGCGTAGAAATGGAAGAAGCCGGTCGCCGAGTGGGAGACACCAGAAATTACATAGGCGTTCCGCTTGCCCCCGACGTAACCCGGCGGTGTAGTCGCTTCTGAACGCGCGGTGACTTCAATCAGGGCCAAACAGTAGATCAGGTCCGGTTAGGGTATTCCACTGCGGGCACCTTGGCAGACAGGTGTTGCACTGAGCCCTCGCATGTAAAGGAACCTGACGCAGGGCCGAAAGATGGGTCTCGTAGTTATGGGTGTCCTTGTCATGCTGCCGGAAATATATAAAATCCTCGATAATGACAGTATGGCAGCTGGGATATTACATAGTGGCCATCTACCTCAGGATTTATTTCTTAGTTTAACAAATAGACGAATCTTGGTTCGGGGACTTTCACTTACACTCAAACGCCCTGTCGATTAGTGACGACGAGGATGAGTGCATGAGAGCGAGAGAGCTCTGACGATTTATATAGTTTTATGCTGCTAGATGGCACTTCTTAGAGGTTCTTCAAACTTCTAGTTAAGATCCAAAGATATAATGGATCTATGTACGCGACGAGGATGTAGATTTTACAGTGAGCTGCGGTCGGCCTTGTATGCGCGGGCCGTGTACTACCATCATGAGATTGTTTAGAGCGTTGTGTGTATGCTATTTGTGAGTTCGTTCGTTGCTCAGGTATGGTCTTATTCCTCGCCAAACCAACTGTTGTTTGTGTAGCCAAGGCAAACAGGTTCCAATCCTGAGGCAAAGTCACTTTTAGGTTGATATGAGATTTGCTTTATCATGGAAGCGAATTATACAAGTGTGAAATACGACGAAGCAACGTTGTAAACTCCTTTGAGAGACGCACCATTCTTCAAGCAATCTAGCAAAACTGGTTAAACTTGATTGTAGAAGTCAACAACTGGTAGAGAGATTGGAAAAAGCAACTTTATTCATAAACGCCCATATTGTTCATAAAACCCGGCCGTAGCCGTGGAAAACATCAATCTCATCTACAACGCAGCACCGATAGCCCCCACCAGCGCGACAGTTACGAGCCAGCTAGACGTGGACGGCAACACGGCCCCAGAGACCCTGACGGGCCCGCTCGGGGATGCCGCGCCGCCGTTATTTCCGGAAGAGGTGCCGGGGCCGCTGTCGGAGGAGCTGTTCTCGGGGACGTCCTCTTCGCTGAGACCTTTGCCGGGGCCGAAACCCTTTCCAGGACCGAAGCCCTTTCCGGGGCCGAAACCGGGGGCTTGCCAAAGCCGGGGGTTTTCCGAATTTAGGGGCCTTCCAAAGCCGGGACGCTTGCCGAAGCCAGGGTGCTTGCCAAAGCCGGGCCAGAGTCCATGGCCATGGTCATCATCATCATCATCGTCGTCGTCCTCATCGTCATCGTCATCGTCATCATCATCGTCGTCATCATCATCATCATCATCGTCGTCGTCCTCATCATCATCTTCATCATCCTCATCATCTTCCTCGTCGTCCTCATCGTCATCCTCGTCATCTTCATCTTCACCAGGCTCCCGGGTAATCTGGGGAGGGCTCGGCGGCTTCGTCCTCGTAGCGGTAGGTGCAATGGCCGTAGGCTCAGCAGACGCCGTGGGCTCAACCTCGACCGGACCGCAGGCAACGTCAGCTGCTGGTGATACTTCTTGTTCCAACAAGAGCGGCAGGATGGTTGGAACTTCAGGACGGCCGGTCTCAACAGACGTGGAACCGTCAAGGACCCTGGTGGTCGTGCACTCCGCCAGAGTAGCTGAGGGGCAGCCTTCTAGCGAGCAGTGCCAATCCATTGTCCTAAAAGTCGATTCGATTAGCAAGGGCGCCTTTGATACAGAGACATTGTATCGTTGAACTTACAAGCTGCCGAATGTTCCCGAGTAATGGTATGCTGCAAGCGAAATGTTAGAAGACAACTCCCCCAATCGGAAATTTCAAGACCCCGTCTGACATACTTCGAGGACCGCCGGTAAACGTCAAGGTCCCGGTGCCACCGGCCACGGGGTTGCAGGGGCCGTCTGTGCAGCTCAAAGCGAACACGGTGTTTTGGCCCTCCTACAAACAAATTGTGTTAGCTCAACTACTAGCCAACTGGTACTCGAAGACTGAAAAACATACTGTGGCTACGACGCTCGCCTTGAAGCTGGACATAAACGAGGGCGAGCCCCCAATGAAGGGAGGTAGAGATCCTAGCAGGGAGATGTTGTCAGTGATCATTGCGCGTTTAACTTCGTCGGCCCCAACTTCTCCGGGTCGGCGTTTGGCTGCCCAAGAACACATACTGCGGTTGTGACCTGACCGTGGGCGCTCCCAAGAAGGGCAGCCGCAACGGAGAGAGCGATACCAGCACGGTTAGCCATTGTGATTGTGATGTTGTCGTGCGCAATGGTGTTGTGAGCGTGCAATTGACGGCTTCTTTTCCACTCTAACGAGTCCTTGCCTGGCTACGTTGAGCTTTTTCACGAGAAAAAGTTGGGGAAGCAGAGCAGTGAACCGTCAAGCCACTTTTCGGATCTGCAAGTAGGGCCCTCGCCGCTTTTCTAGCACCCGGAACATTTGGGGAGAAAGGCAAGGAACCCCAAAAGAAATTACGTATATGAAGGCGTGAAATTGACCTGTTTGGTGACTGCATATCAATCAGCCAACATGCAATCGGGCAATCTATTCTCTCACGGCTATATTGGGCTACAATTTCCCAGCCGCGACCAGTGTCTATCGCGCGGGCCGTCTCCCCCGCTTTCTCCCATCGTTGCCACTCGGCGGAGGGCTCGTTTTTGGTAATTCAGAGCACAGGATTCGACCGGGTTCATTTGCACGGATGCCGCTCGCTCGAGAGGAGATATGGGCTAGAGGAAAGAAAACAGGGCGAGGATCCCGCGACCAGCCGTTTTTGTTGCGGACGGGACGATCGGAGCCAAGAGCAAGACCCTGCTTTTTCCTGGTCGTGCTCCGCAAAAGTATTGACGCACATATATATATGGATCCATCTATACATATACATATACATGGACGTGACGTGCATACGTACACGCTGACATTGGACGCCGACAACCCGGCGTTGGCGGAGGAGAGTCCTGAGCAGTAATGAGGTAGTATTTTCAGGGGCACACGTGTTTACACGGATGATTGGCCCCGCTGCATTGAAAGATAGTGTAAAAGATATTGTCGGTTCCGATGGAGTGGTTCTCGCCCGGGTAAAAGTAGTCTACTACTAATAAGTGAGAGAGCGGAGAGCGTTGTTTGGTGCCCGCGCGGGGTTGGTTCGAGTTCGAGTGTACCCGTTTCCCTTCTGCGCTCAACTTAATCGTGCCGGCGAAACCGAGCCCGCTGTTTCCTGATGAGGCCTTAAGATTTTGCTGCTTAAGCTTAAGACATTAATAGCTACGCATAGTCGGTAGATTGAATGATGCCAAATCTGTTTGCATGCTTTGTGTCCGTGAGTAGCCCTCAGTGTTTTTTTCTTAGCTGCTAGCTACGTTGCGATCAATGGTGATAAACCTTACACTGACACCCTGCGAGCGCTGTTGTTAAGGTATATGCCGTTGGTTCCTGAGCTCGTGGCACAAACAACGCACGGAAATCATTCTCATGGACCAACTGCATTGATATCTCCACACACACAATAACACACGGCCCGATCTTGTCACCGTCGCACAACCTTGGCTATTGGCTGTGGACCTTTTTACGGTGTTGGTTCGCGGCCAGATTTCATGTCTTGGTCATGTATTAGTATTCTAAAGATACACATCCAGGGACCGTGAACCGAAGTGGTTCGGACCACAGGAGCAAAGGAACGGGCAGAGCTTTCCGCAATCGCGAATAGCAATATTAGCTTATCATTGTGTGTGCCAGTGATAGTAACATATGCACCGACCAACACTTTTCTCACCGCATTGTCAACACGCTAAATATAATCCGAGGACGTCGACGAGTAGCCATCATCGTACACGGACCGGTCCTTCCCAACCGCCCTCCGCGTCCACCGCCTCGCCGCCTGCACCGTGCTCCCGTTCCACGACACGAGCAGGCAGAACACGCCAATCACCGCGGCGAGCGGGCCCGCCGTCTTCCAAAACAGGCCCTGCACGCCGTCCCAGTCGTCCCCGGCCGGCCCGTCGCTCATGCTCAGGTACGACGCCACGAAGCTGAGGGGCAGGAAGATGACGGTGATGAGCGTGAAGAGGACGACGGCCTTGTTGTCCTTGTCGCGCATGATCTCGGTGAGTTCGCGGACGCTGCTCACCAGGTGCGCCGACCGCTCCAGCGTCGCGTTGTACAGCGCCACTCTTTCCTGCAGCTCTTTCCGCGCGGTGCGCATCATCCGCCCCTCTAGGCTGCGCTTGTCCTGGCGCCGCTCCTTGGCGCGGCTGCCCGCGTTGGCCGAGGCCCAGAACGATGGCGGGCCGCCTTTTTGCTGGGGTAGATGGCGGAAGGAGCTGCATGCTTGAGTTGCCACTCGGCGACTTTTTGAGCTTGCGGACTTCGTCGGTGAAGGCGCCGATGGCGAGGACTTGGGGTTTCATGGCGCGGGTGAGAACTTCGCTGCTCTGTATTCTGCGGGTTAGTAGATGCATTGATACGAATGGAAATCAAGTGAAAATAGGAGACTTACCCAGTCTTCACAACATGCTTCGTAGATATCAGACACGGACCTTCCTCGATGCGTGATATCCTGCACCAGGTTCGACAGCATCCTCGCAGCTAGCGTAGTCATACCGACCGGCTCGTACCGCCTGACCCCGTTCAGCGCCTGACGAATGTGTAGAGGGGTGTCTAGGGCGTCCCCGGCCGCTTTGACACAATTGCGCGCAGCCATGCCAACCTTTTCCACTACAACACGTTTATACCGGATCTTCCACGGCAATTCAAGATACTTTGCGTCCTCCAAGTGCACGTCGTGCACGTAGTGCTTCTCAATCTCGTCGAGAAGGAGCGGTACGGCCATGATGTAGGCATAGATGAGCGCCAGCGCGGCCACGGCTCGGTGGAGCGGGACGCGGGGCGGCAACTCGCCGGTCGTGCGCTGTACTTCGGCTATAACGAGCTGGATCTGGAAAGAGCGTTCGCACAAGCGGGCCATGGTGTCACGAAGCAGGTCCAGAGTGCCGACATACTCGGCGTCGAGGGTGGCGGGCCCGGCTTCCGCGAGCGAGACGAGACAGGCTTCGAGCTTGTGTAGCGGGGTGGAGATCAGCGTGTGCCTCTTTTGAAGGTGGCGCAGGGCGTCCACGCGAGACGGGTAGATGCGCCCTCCGCTGCATCTCCTGCACCTCGCTGGGTCGGTCGGGCCCTTGATGTTGTCGACGCCGACGATATCGGAGATACGGGGGCGTAGGATCCATCTTGTTTTGGGATCGATGGCTGGTGTTGAGATTATGGATGCCTAGAGTGGTGTAAGTTTAGGGTTAGGGTTATGCTGTCTACTTCTCTTTGGGTCCAAGTGGCGGCTCTTACCTGTAGCATCCGTGCTATGGAGTCTTCGCAGTGCTTCATCAGAGGATTGGCGGGATCCTTTGTCGTGAATATCTCTAGGGTTGTGATGGCCGCCTGTCCGAAATCCATGGCAAGTTTTCGCGCGCGAAGCGGAAGTCTCGGGATATCCAGAGATTCCTTGGCAGCTTTTGTTGTAACACTCAAGTCTAAATCGATGTTCGGAAACTCTTGTGCTAGACTGTCAATGACGAAACTGGGGTCGGCCTTAAGGGAAGCCATGATTCTGTGGAGGTTTAGACTCCGCATATGGAGTGTGGTCTCCTTCTCGCTTGTTTCGAACTCTACCTCGCGGTTCGTATCCAGCGAGGGCGGCGGGCTAGTCTCGGAGGGCGAGACGCCGAAGGGCGCGATGGATGAGTCAAGGCCGCGCATGTTAAAAGATAGGTCTGGACCAGTTAGTGATACTAGCAAAAAGGGCAAACAGCCCTCGCGAAGAGGCCGAAGAGAGCCACCTACATTGTTTCTCCGCCACCGGTTTGGCCTTCTTTGAGATTTTCCCTGTGGGAGTCTTCACATCCCCATCTTCGACTGCCGTGTCATCCAGACTACCCCCGCTAGAGTCAACAATTTCTGTCGACTCCTCTTCCCCTTCTGGGAGTCCACTCTGGCCTGTCGTGGCTACTGTCCCGCTCGGGAAAGCCGTTTTTCGTGCATGGTTGAGCCTTTTGAGACGAATCGTAATGCTGCCGCCCCTGCGCTGTTGATGATACTGGGCCAGCTCGCGTAGTCGATTTCGTTCCCTGATGAGTCTACTAGCCGCCAGCCGTAAATTTCGTGTTCACCGTGACGTGCGTTTTCTTCCTCGATAATTTGCCGAAGCACCTACAGATTAGATCACGCACGTTAGCATTCTGGGGCAGCAGCCTTAAGCGACAAAACTCTTCGAACTTACAAAGAAACTGCTAAGCCGCTTCAGTGGTAACTCGATGCGATGGCCCTTGGCATTGGTCACTTCCACCTTGGGGCTCTGGATGGACGATGGGGAGCTCATGAGTTGTTGGGCCATATTTTGCTCCAAGAGATGCTCTGCGTGCTGCGAGCCGTATGTTATGATTCCGTCTAAAACTCAAATATTAGCATCAGCAAGCCAACGTGGGAGATTCAACTCACAGCCATCAACAGCCAAGATCCACACGTATCCAACCCAGATAATCTCCTCAACTCCCGGCGGCGACGCCACGATCAGCGCCTGGGCTTTGTCCCTCTCGAGCGACTTGTTGCGCATGTTAAACACCTCGTGCAGCCTTCCTGACGTACGGACAAATTTGCCATTCGCGACGCCGCCCCTGTGCCCGAGCCCACCGCCGGACTCTTTCCAGGACGAAATATTCGCCGCACTCCCTTCACAGCATTAGCTAGGGACCACCCGGGAGCTTGCACCGCACCGGCAGCTGACCCGTGCAGTGTATCGACGTAGAGCAGGGGCACTGATATCAGGGTCGCTGATGCGCGGTTGTCTTTGGCTGCCCCCGGGATTCCATGGCCGGGAAAGCTTGTGGACAGGACTGTGCCGTCTGATCTGGAGAAGGTCTGCCGACGGAACTTTTCTAAAAGTAGGCGTGTTGCCGCGATTGCGTGTCCGTCTGTACTTGGGTCAAACATGTTGCTATCGTGTAGAGCGATTTCCTATTGCGGGGTTTGTTAGGGATCAGAGCCGTGGATAGTCTTCTAAACTGGGGGTGTTTATACCTCTAGCTCGTCAAGGTTCAGTACGTCTCTACTAACGTGACTATGCAACGGGACGAGAACGAGTCAGTAACAAGATAGGGACCAAGGCAATATGTTGTTCAAAAGCCTGGGGTGTTGCATCTTTCACTCACATGCACTTGAGCCGTCGCGAGGATCCCATCTTTGGGGCCGAATCTTTTGTTACGTCGGTCGTCTCTATCAGCGAGATGCTCCGGGACCCTGTACTCTCAGTCTCGTCAAGATAGATTCGCGCTTCCCTAAACTCCTTCACCGTCATGCCTTGAATCTCTACAGGCCTCCGAGGCGAATGTGCCACCTTTTGCAGAGGCCCACCCCCAGCCCCTGTGCCGGACTTGACGTTGGCCCCGCGCCTATTGGGAACAGGCCTTTTCGAGGCTGGAAGCTCGTCGCCAGACGACTCATTATAGCTCTCCTCCAGCGCGCGCGCGGCCTCGCCACGGGGATCGCTCAGGGCAATGACGAGCTCAGATTCAGGAGCCACAGGAGGACTCCCCGGCTCGACGCCCTTGGGCGGCGTCGCGATAACTCCGAGGTCAGGGGCCCGGTATCCAGGCGCAGACCGTAGGTATCGGCATCAGGGCGCGTATAGCCGGCAAGAGGATCCCGCTGGAGCGGGCGCTTCGGGGAAGGCGGCGAGACCCTCGTAGGGCGGTTCTTTTGCTCGTACCCGCCAATCCCTTGGCCACCCAGGAAAGCGCCGTGTGGCTGCGCTTGGGCGGCGGGGCATCGGAATCGCTTCCCGAATAGTCGGATCCGGAGCTATTATTGCCTCCCCACGCCCTCCACCTGTTGCGCGGTGGCCTAACCGGCGAGTAGGCTGACGAGCTTGCGGATTCGCTCGCGATGGAACTTCGCGGCCGGGTCGGCAGCGGTGGCCAACCCGGGGCGGGCCCTTCGCGGGCGGGCCCTTTCGGTGTCGGAGCTGGGGCGATTGCTCGCCGCCGCTACCGGCCACGGATGATCGGATGGTATTCACCCCCGAGGCGTTGGCGTTCGAGCGCGAAGGTGCTTGCCGAGACGGGGCGGCGGGCGGGGCGGACCGAAGAGAAGGGGACGGCGGTCTCAGTGGGTCCCACAGCGCGATGGTGACGCGAAGGCCGGGTCGGACAAAAGAGGCCCAAAGCTGGGGAAGAATCACGCTGCCGTCAGGGCCGGTGATATCGTACGCTCCCTCGGAGAGTTTCTGGCACAGTGTTTCGTCTCTTGGCTGGGAGTGGGCGTTGGAGATGAGCGCCAAGATATCCTGATTCGCCCGCGTTTAGTAAAGGGCTGGAACTCTAGACTAGAAGAGAAGAAACCACTTACCTCCCATTTTTTGGCTGCTTCGATGGGAATCACAAATGTCTTTTCCCATGGATCAGTAACGAAAACCACCTCGGGCTCTGCGCTTTGGCCGGCCTTTGGCGGTAGCGGGTCCATGATAGCTCAAGTGAAACAAAAAATCTGTATCGCGCTGCTGGCCTTGGGGCTCTATCCCTCACTTCCGCGAATAGTTATGTTGTTCCCTTGTCTCCTATCGTCACCTAGCCCTTCTGCTAAAGCCTGAGTTCTATTTGAGCGACGACATGTTCTCGAGGGAGGGGACGAGAGGCGCGTTAAGGCGGAAATTGTCCATGGACGCGATAAACGAGAATGCTTGGGGGCTTGGGAGGGTCGGGACACGAGAGTGGCTGTGGCGCAGAGAGCCAATCAATCGCTCCAGATGCATCCCTGCCGCTGTCGTGATCCTGCAGTCTGACAGGACTTGGGCTCATTTGTACATTTCTGCGCCCCACGAGAAGGAGGGGGAACCCGTGATTGCGGTTACACTGCTGGGCCTGGCTGGGTCCATGCAAATGCTAGAAATGGATGAAATCAGAGCGAGTACGGACATGCATTTTCAGCACAGGCAGTGCACAAAATTCTCAAGTCCCGTTTTGCTCCCTTGGACACTGAAATTCCCGGGTGGAGGACTGTGAGGGTCTCATCACAGCACGGATACTATCGCACACGGTGGATGATTCCAATATGTCCTTTGCTCCGGCTAAAATAGCCAAGATAGCCACTACTGGAACAAGTCCGATACTACGCCGAGGATTTACGCCGTGCCCGGATACTTTGTCGGTTCCGCACAGGTGCCCACTTCGCCGAGACAAGGACCGACAAAGATGACCACACGATGAGCCAGCTCGGTCCCAGTTTTGACAGTCTCTACCGTGAAGCTAGGCCCGAAAGAGATTATTCAATATTCTTTTGTAGTCCCATTGAGTTCAATATTCCTCTGGCACGCTTGCACTCAACCGGGGCAAATGAATTCCTTGCCCATATGATCCCAGTGAGTGTGGAGCTCCGAAACCCGCTCGCCGACGTCAAGGCCCGTAACCAGAGTCCAGACTCGTGCAGCAAAGGCACGAGGGATCATGATTGCATCATTGTCGCATCTCCATCGCACAACAAAGCGCCCACTTTTTGGGAGTTGAAAGAGACCAGCGCATTTCTAGACAGAACGTGAATAACTAAAGGAAAGATTACAAAGACAGCACAATCCGATGTAAATCCCGATTCCAATATTGTGGAAATAACCATACCAGAACGATCTTTATCCTGGTTTACCATACCTCGGTAGACCCGTACCATTCCGCCCAGCATGTGGATTCTAGAGTGGCTCCATTGGGCTGCGGACTACCTCATGTCGCTGGTCAAACTGGCAAGTGAATTATGACGGCCTGCGGATATCACGATGCCGTATGTATTAACATTCATCTACAGGCCCAAAACCGCGAGGTCGGATGGCTCTCCTACAATCGAAGGGTATCATTTCACCGTTCTCAATCCAACCAAAATCCTGCAGAGCCTAATTATAGCATCATCCAGACCGGCCAAATTGAGCGAGAGCAACAGCCCCTGCTCAAGAAGCTCAAGCTCCTGCTCCTCTTCAATCCCCTCACAGAATGGATCGACACAACGCACGCCATGCGTCTACACGCACGACGAGTCCGTCGACGCCGGCCGCAGGGAAGCCAAGCCCTCGTCGAAGCGGCAAATCAAAGGTTTCGTCGATGCCTACCACATCAATATGAACGACTTCGAGCCGTCCGACATCGACGCCTACGACAGCTTCGAGAGCTTCTTCATCCGCCACCACACGCCCGAGTCGCGCCCCATCTACGAAGAAACGGACCCGACCAAGGCCGTCGTGGTCGCCGACTCGAGGGTCGTCACGTACGAGTCGGTGCCAAAACTACGGAAGCTCTGGGTCAAAGGCCGGAATTTCAGCATGGCGGAGCTGACCATGGACATGGAGCTCGGCGACCACTTCGCCGACAGCGCGGTGGCGAGCTTCCGCCTGTCGCCGCAGGACTATCATCGTTATCACTCGCCGGTGTCGGGGAAGATCAAGCTCTTCCGCAGTATTCCAGGAGATTATTATCAGGTGGATCCGGTAGCCCTGCGCAGCGACGTCGATATCTTGACGAGGAACCACAGGGAGTTTGTAGTGATTAATAGCGAGGAGTTTGGCGACGTCTTGTTTGTGGCCATTGGCGCGACGGATGTTGGTACCGTCCAGTAAGTGATGGCGGGCTTTTGTCATCCCCTCGCACTCCCAGCGTTCCGCACTAACCGTGGTGTCTTACTCCTTCAGGATCCACGATCGGTGGCAACGACCCGGAGCCAAAATCTCCAAAGGCGAAGAGCTGGGCAAATTTCAATTTGGCGGATCTTCCATCATCGTCGCGTTTGACCAAAATCGCATCCAGTTTGACCAGGATCTTATCGATATGAGCAACCAAGAAGTTCAAGTCTCGGTCGAAATGGGAATGAGTCTAGGAAAGAGTCGTAAATTGAAGGCGTAGAAAAAGATGGCCAATCTAAGCTTCGCTGAGAGTACTCAAAATACTAACAAATACAAAACGCTATAAACGTATATAATCCAAAGTAAAGCAAAAAATAGAAAAGAAGACGACGGAATGTGGAAGATAGCTGCTCAAATAAATTTACAAACCCACTCCGCCGTCCGATTCCTCATCACTCAGCCATTTGACGTCTTCTCGAGTAAGACGAGATGGATTTCGTTGTCCCTTCACCCGCCTAGAAGCTGGCGGGTGTGACGCTCTCTTAGCTGCCGCATGGTTCGTTGAAGACACCCGAGACGGCGGTCCCGTATCAGTGAGTGATGGGCGAGTAGTCGACGAGACCGGGCTTCTCAGTTCTACGTGTCGCCGCCCATTGCCTGACTCGAATCCGTCTCCGCGGCCGACATGTCCTCCGACATTGAATTCTCCGACCAATACGGCAGCTCCTCCTTCTCAGTAATGGCCGTAAGCGAATCCGTGCGATACGGGAGTGGCCCTAGCATATCCCGGAGCCGTACCAGCACCAGCTTGCGCATGTCCTCAATCATGTGTTGCAGCACGCCGCGTTGCTCGAGCCACTGCGCACCGTTGGGCGCGTCGGGCGAACAGGCGGGACCCCATCGGGGGTATACCGTCCCGTGCGTGGGCGGCTCCTCGACCCCGCCGGGTGGTGGTGGAAGTACAGCTTGCAACAGAGGCACGCGGGTTTGCTGCACACGATGACCGCGTCGCCGTACACGTAAGTGAGCTTCTGCTGGTAAAAGTGATCGAGGACCTGGACCTCGGCGTGCACCGACGGTGGTGGGCCAGCCTCGTCGTCGAAGAACTCTTGCATCCCCTTGTCCAAGTAGAGCTGGGGCCCCATGACCTGCAGGTTGCCGCTTAGCCGCTCGAAGCGCTCATCTTCCGCCCGGACCATTCGCCTTAGGCTGTCTAGCGCAGTGGTGCGCTCATCCGCCTTGGGTCTCGGTACGCTGGGGGCCGCGGGACCCTCTCGACGCGGACGGGATCGAGGTGCGAGGTACCGCCCGTTCGTTCCTGGAGGTCGGTGGCGTCGCGGATGAGTTGCCGCGGGGTGCGGACGTGGCTGGCTAATCGTCCCACGGTATGGTAGACTATATGAAAGGCTTTTGCGACGTCGGGGCATGTCTCAAGCCGCGTGATGATGGCTTTGAGTTCGTTCATCTCAGGTTTATGGCGCTCGCTATACGCGAGGCTACATAGCTGGGTTGCAGGCCTGGCGTTATGGCTCTTGTCGAATTTGCGGAGCCATTCCACGACGGAGACACCTCGTGCTCCAACTACGTTCACTGCGTACCCCGTCAGCTCTTGGAACCTCTAGACCGGTTGCTGAAGCCTATGGCCTATGCGTGATGGGATACACTCACCATAATTGTCGCTAGCTTCGCTCTCCATTCCCGTGCTCAAGTACTTTATGCATCTTTCTGCCGCGTTGGAGAGCCTCATGTTCTCCTTTTTCACTTTAGGCGATTTGAAGTTGATGAACTTTTCCACAAACGCGCGCTCGAGACCCTCTCGCGCCTCAGCCGTCTGGGGCAACCCCACAATGTTGGCCAGGTCACGGATCAGTCCCTCGAGGTGAGCAGCTACCTCTGGCGAGATGCCGCCCTGGCTGTCGCCATTGGCCGCAATCCAGTAGACGAGGGCATCCTCGCGATCTTGCACGGCGAGCGCGGTGGTCGACGGCCCGCCCTTGTCGTTGTCGCAGGCAATGGCCAGGTTCAAATGGAATCGCCGTCTCAGGTCACTCAGACGCTTGATGTCGCAGTGAATGGAGCTGCGGGGAGCTTGAGTCCTAGACAGGCTGTGAAGGAGAAAGAGAGTTTCGTAGAAACGATGAAAGAATTTCGCATATTTGTTCCCGCGATGCTGCCTGGTATCTATGGTTTGCTTCTTTGCAGGCACGTTTTGCTTCTTGGTAGGCATGGTTTCCTTGTTTATGAGTAAAGACTTTCGTTTGAAAGATTGTTCTCCCTGGGCGCTTCACAGCGGGCAGATAAAGATGTTGACACAAGCGGATGTTGTTGGCTTGGCTACTAACTAGGACCTTTTGACGTCTGGAGCGAGCCGATGGACCGCCTTTTATTTGCGTTTTGCCCACCCACGGATCGAGTGATCATTGTATTTTCATGGATGGTTGCAAAGTTCTACACATCTCTCTCAATTTGATCTATGGATGGCTTGTGGCCGGGTTGGATAGGGAAATGCCACAGTGGGCGAGTGCTGCTAGGATCACGTATTTCACGGTTTGTGTAACCCACCAATTGTGTCGAGGGGAAACTACAACCTAATTGGCGGCTCCCTTCATGATGGAAACCTCTCGAACTCGATGGGTATTAATAAGAGGGGAAGGTTGGCCGAATTCCAGTTTGTGGGCCTCCCGGAGCGAGAATCGTCCCTCCCGGATGGTAGATAGACCACGTTCATCACCGATTGACGACACATGCTCCGGGCCTCCCTGAAAAATCAGGGCGATGAGGGGTATAGGCATCCCCAGTTGGCCGTGGAGGCTTTGTATCTTGGTTCTTATTGACCGAATAGCCCTCCCCGCATACATGCCGTGCATGTGCAAAGCACCTGTTTGGTCGCCCGGACGAATTCTCAACGCAAGATGGTCAGGTTTTATCCCCATTTGCAAAAGGTGACCGCAGCTCAGGGAGGCCCGGAAGAAAAAGTGGGTGAAGGAGCTACGGTCCCCATTGGCTTCGGGCTACAAAAAGGACAATCTGCACTCCCAAGATCCCTTTTTCAGTAACCGAGAGGCCCGAAACCACGTCAAGAGTCCGCCTGCATCTCGGATGATTCAGTCGAGAGACTCACAGCCAATACTGATGCCTATGAGGCCCCTTTCTCCGCAATGCCATGCTCCCAGTTGGCTCGCGCACCATACTCGTCGCTCCCGCTATCTGCCGATTCGGCTCGAACTGGGCATCCGGGCTTCGACCAACTTGGCAAAGGTGGGATTGTCCGTTGACAGGTCATTGGGCGAGGATAGCAGCATAAAGGTGGGGGTAAGTTAAAAAAAAGGGAAAATGGATAGAAGAAAGCTTGTCTCCTGGATCCGCTTGAGGGAAGCAAGTGGTGTATATAAATTGGCCGTTGCGCACGACAAAGGTTTCTCGATTTTGCTAAATATCGGACACCGCAATCACTCAGCACAGCAGCTCAATTCAATCACCAACACTATTTGCACCAACACTTTCCTACCTTTTCTGGCTATTCATATCCTAACCCCGCCTTGGAGGTCCCTTGGGACTCTCCACCCCCGGTCCTTATCAACATGGGCCCACCTCCTGATGATCGCGATGCGGCCGGTGAGTGATCCTGGCCCAAAGATCTCCCTTGGGTGCGAAGAAACCTATGCATATGTACTATGTACTAATACGAGGCTCCTTGGTTTTCATAGATCTACATATAGATTTGGACCCATTCGCGCTTGATTTCGCATTTTTGATTCTGTCAGGCAGGATTTGATGCAGCAAGATCTTTCGAATTTGATACGCAAACCGATGATTCGTTTCGGCATGGGCGCCGGGGCATTGGGGATCGTTAGAGTCCCCATTCTCCAACAAGTACATCCAGTCAATCCTATTCATCGTTCAGTTCGCTCCCCTATTCCGTTTCTATCGCCGCTTCATCGCCACCAAAACAGATCGCTACTGTAATTCCAGAGCCTATTATCGAGCACAGTGAAAGTGCCAGACGTCTGGATGCATTTCTTCAGAACTTCCAATTCCCCGGGATACCTCGAGTCGGTCGGGCGACGGTGAAACACACGAAAAGCCCGTGCTGTGCATCTTTGACCAGTGTAGTCAAAGAAAAAAACCAACTCAGATATGAAGAAACACTATCGTACCCACGAAGAGGGGTACTGCTTTAGGTGTCCCATCTGTGACGAGACGTTCGCAAGAAAGGACAATTATTGGAAACACTATAAGGCATTTCATGTATCGTCTTAGTCGCCGATAGATTCATACTTGTCGTCAACGGGCTCCTTCTCGAGCGGTAGCAGCGATGATGAAGCTGCCTGTTGGATTGAGTTGAATGCACTTGAAGCACACCCGTCTTATTAGTGGTCTTGGAAAATACATTCATTACTGGCTATCACGCTTCAATTCTCCATATTCCAAGTATATTGTGTGATGCCAACGATCCCGTGGGGATTCCATTGACAAGGGCTTATTGCCAAAATTTACCATCCCGCAATAACCACTCTGGTTATGCACATGGAAGAGCCTGTCGAGCGTGTCCTTCAGCTCTCTACCTCCATCAAAGACGGCATAGAGCTTTGAATGGTCTAACCAGAACTCTAAACTTTATCAACGCCTTGTATGTAGCTTTACCGAGCAAAGAGTCAAAAGAGCCCTCTCGTAGAGTATATCAAATGCCTGGATACTCTCTGCCCGCCAATAAGCCTCCCAAGGGTGTCCTTTACGAAGAGAACATTGTGCGACGACTCAGAAACGCGATATGGTGAAGCGAAGGAAGACAGATGAGCCAGGTGAATCACGATTTCAAGGGAAGGCAAGGCGCCAAAGATCTTCACCGCTGCAGTGGACAAACCCCTGCTCTCCTACATATATTCCTGAAGGAATACAGATCACATGCAAATAAACAATAGGATTGTCTCTTGCGATCGACCTGCCTCTCTTGCCAACCCGTACGGATGCAGCACGCCAGCAATACGAGAAGGACTAGATAGGCCGCCCGCATCCCATAGCGGCGAGTGGGCGATTTTATATGACGCCTAGTTGAAAGTCTACATGTATGCTATGTTGTCACCTCAGTGAAGCCCTATTATAAGCATCTATCCAGGATCAATGTTTCTCCAAGGTGGGCCAAGGATGGGATAATGGGGCTGCCGGCCTCCTCGCTTAGCCGACATCATGGCTTCGCGAAGACTGATCTTCGCTTCGGAAGTAGGCCGGACCATGACCGCAACCCCTTCATTCTATTCGATTTCACTCGCCCCGTTTGAACTTTTGACTAGGCGGCAATGCATATCGTGGTTGTGTTGTGCGTGAGTGCCCACCAGCTCCTCTCGACCAATCAACGCTCGCAGCACAAGCGCCGAGCCCTCGGCACTGCCCCTTCACAAGAACCATAAAGAGTGGCCAGTTCCCTCGAGCGATAATCCTTCGTGCTCGGATTAAGGTTAGCTCAAATGACGGGAGTAACGTAGCTTTCTTTTCCTTTTTGTTTTCTCTCCTTTTTTGGTGCATTTTTGGTGCATGTCTTGAACAGCCACGGCGCTCATCCGTCCAGGCGACGGGCGACTCGACAGCATCGTGATGGGCGTCCGTGTCCACCTCTCCAAGCTCGGGCGAGAGTTGGGGATGGGCAACTTTTGTGAGTTGTAGTGCACTCATCCATGGATGCCTTCATGTTGTTTGCCGGTGATGTAAAGAACAAAAAAAAAGGGCTAGACGTAGAAAAAGACTAACGACAGCGTGAGCCTGTTTCAGATATATACATGCAGTGGTAGGTGGTTTGCTCCTCTCCTCTCCTCTCCCATAGCCAGCTCTCGCCAACTGAGATAATTTCTTTTTTGAAACAAGGTTGGGCATGTTGATCCCGATCTGGGCCGTAATCGACCTTATCATCCTCGTTGCAGTGCATCGACCACCTAATCCCGCGGCCTTCTGGGTAGCCGTCACGTTCTTGCACATGTACGATAGCAAAGCCCCCAAATCCCCTCTGGCATATTAGTAGCCCCTTAGCTTCCGGCACTTGCTATCCGTTGACTAGCCCCCCTCCGTGCCTCCATTACTCGCGCTCGCGCTAATGATCCAACGTAATACTAGAGTGCTTGATCTCATCGGTGTTCCTTGTGCGCTCATCTACATCGGGCCCCTCGCCTACCAGTCGTGCCCCGGCATCACCGTGGCGGGCTTCTTGGCATGCTCTGGCGTCCACGCCTTGGTGGCCCTGGCGTGGCCGGGCGCCTACATCGGGGGCGCGCTTCATCTTGGATGCGCTGCGCTGCTGTCAATGGGCTGGCTCCGCTGCCAGCAGTCGATCCATAGCGAAATCTGCTTCGGTGGGGGATTAGTGTATATGACACCTTACATCCGGGCTTCAAAGCCTCGGGCGTACCGCTACGGCTAAACGTCCATGAAATGTAGTTTAATCATCAAAAGATCCTTATAAAAAATGAATGAGATGAAAAGATCGTCCCCCGACAAGAAAAGTTCAAACAGGCAGAGACGGATAAGGAAGGTGATGGTGATGGATTCAAGTCGCGCAAGGATCAAACATGTTAATTATCTTGTCCTCATCCGATCTTTTCCCACACCCCGCTGATCGTGCTGTTCCAATTGATGGATGGTATTGAGAAATGAAATTTGTGTGCTCAGGATCATGGCTGAGTGATCTTGCGTCCCTTGGCATCGGGTCCTGGACTAGGTCTCTTGGTGGGCCGAGTGAGCTCGTCCTGCTCCTCGATGAGAGTGGACTCAGATCTGATCCCGACAAAAAAACAAAAAAGAAAGACACCAAGATTGACCGCCTATGAGCCGTGGAACAGGGGACCAGCAAGCGCCAAGCGCTGCGCCCTCAGGCTAATAGGCGCCAGGAATGGAGGGCCTGAGGAGAAGCGACCAGACCAGCCTCCCCTCTTCCCCTGCCTTCAATGTCCTGTCCCATCCTTTGTGTACCAGGGCATGCGGGAGGTAACGTGGATCCAGTGGACGCATAGCTTGGGAGAAGACCCAAGACCCGGTGGAGTGGCACAGGTATTTTGGGCTGTGGGAGGTTTGCGCTAGTGCGATGGGGACCTATTTTTGGGATTAAGCGTATCTCGATTGTTTTTAGGTACTTGATTTGATTTTCCTTTCCCTTGGCCCTAGTACCTTTCCGTCTTGCCCCACTTTCACTCTCTCTATTTCCTTCCTCGGTATCTTTGTTTGATGAAAGGGGCCAGGTTCAATCGTTCGTATCGGAAGTGGGAGCGCTGAAGGATTGGGGGAGTGCAGCGAGGCTAGTAGGGATGGGTAGGCCAGCTCGCCGGGGCCGCTGCGCTGGGTGATCGCCAGCCAATTCCCAAGGAGGCACTAGCGCGGGTCAAGAAAGCGAAAATTGGCCAACGCAAGGCAGAAAAAGGCAGTGTTTACTTTGTATGTGTTATGCTTGATTCGATTCCAAGGGCGCGGGCCGGGGAAGTGGGCGAAGGGAAGAGCTGAACGATGCGGGAATGGATTCATGTTTTCGATACTCGAGATTGATATAAAGACCCAAGTGTTTCCGCCCGATTATCAACCTGGATTCTTTTCACCAGCAAGCAGAACAATCAAGACATCTCCAAAGAAGTCATCAAGCACAATAATACTTGAGCAAACGGACATTCACGACCGCTTCTCCTCTCCCATCTTTCTTCACAACCTGTGAGACCACATCCCACATCTCTCTCTTCTCCCATCATCACCATCCTCCTCCTTTCACAATGAAGCCCTCCACCATCCCCACCTTCCTCCTCGGCGCCCTCTCCCTCTTCGCCCCTTTCGCCGCCGCCAAGCTCCCCTCCGTCGAAGACTTTGGCTACGAAACCAACGGCCTCGCCGAAAACGGCCTCTGCCGCAACTACCTCAACACCTACATCGACGGTCTCACCACGTGCGACACGTACTGCACGGCCAAGGGCAACCACGACGGGTTCGTCGGGTGCGAGACGGTGCGCGAGGGCTCCAAGGACACGGGCAACAAGTACACGCGCCAGGATCCCGAGGGCAACCTGTGGGCGCTGGGCCGCTGCATCTGCGAGACGCCCGGCATCGTCAAGGTGCTCGTCGAGAATTTCGCGCTGGCCATGCCGGCGTTCGGATCCGTCACGTGCTCCGTGTGGTTCGAGGTCGGCGGCCAGGTGCTCAAGGCGGGCATCAGCGCCATCCCCACCACGGGGATCAGCAGCCGTATCTTGACCGCGTTGATCCAGGGGGCCAAGACGGCCAACAAGTTTGGCGGCAGCTACGCGCTCGACTTTTACCAACAGTGGTACGAGGGGATCTGCGGCACCGGGCCCTGGACGGAGGAGATTCAGGACATGTTCAACATCCTCTCCTACGTGGACAAGGGCATCGAGGCCCTCGAGCAGAACGACAACTCCAACCTTCCTCCCCAGGCGGGCCAGCATAACCAGGGCCTGATTCTGGGTGGACGGGTCGCCAACACGGTGCCTGTCCGGTTCCGCGCGTAATGGGGAGATGTCCTGTCTAAGGGGACGGGAGTGTAGATAGAAATGCTGCTTTTCGAGCGAGGGTAAAATGTTGTTGACAGGCTCATGAGCTACGGATGGCTGGTGGATTTTGGTTCTTAATCTGGTGTTGTGGATGCTCTTCCCGGTTACATATGTTGTTCTTTTGGGATCTATGGATGGTTCACGTTTTATCTGTTCGTCTTCATCATATATAATTTGATCTTGGTATACCTGTCTGCGTTGACTTGAAAATCAAACTGCACTGTGAATGGATGATGAAAAGTGTAGAAGAAGAAGATTAAGAATATACGGTCTCCTTTTATTACAATCATTATTAGTTTCATACGGGAATTACAACTTGTTTCTGGTCACATTCACATCGCCACTCCCATAGCCGCCACGGCAGCGGCCACACCGTACCACGCCATGGGAGCCCTCGCCACGACACCGGCAGAATCCGTCTCCTGAGAGCTGCCTCCCGTCTGAGTAGCCGTGCCCGTGGCAGCGCCACACGAGGGACCGTCGGTAGGCAGACCACCGACGAGCGTGAGGGCGTAGTAGCTGAGATACTCGGGATCGAGGGTGCCGTCCTCCTCGTCTTCGTCCTCGCCGGAGGAGGGAGAAGCGGTCTCCTCGGAGCCGCCATAGGAGCAGGATCCAGTGGTGGCGGTGGGACAGCCGGTCAACTTGCAATCGAGAATCATGGTCCTGGAAAGATTGGGAGGGTTAGCGCTTTCGTGCCTCGTCTTTTGGATAGACTCATGCAGAGGGTGTTTGTTTCCTGCTGGCCGAGGACACGAGGAGAGGGGTGTCGAGGAATGCAGAAAGAAAGGAGAAACAAAAAGAGTGTTGGCTTACGAGGAGTCATCATAGTCCGTATAATGCGAGGAGTACCTGAAAGCTACACAGAGTAAAACCCAAGGTTAGTATATGCGCTTGGGAACCGATGGTGGCCAAGGAATAATGTCGCTCTGGGTTTATCGGTTCTACGTATACGTACTGCCGGTGCCGATGGTAATGGTGTGGGGAGGCACGCAGCCCAAATCGTCGGTTTTGCACTCATTCTCGATAATCTTGACCGTGGTCGCACCGTCGGCCTAGACGTTTGGAAGCGACAAGCTCGAGGTTAGTTTAGCGATCCACGCGCACGGTCCAAGTCAGGGTAGCTCGGATCAATGGCATCAATGGGCAATGGGATGAATGGGGTCAATGGGGTCAATGGGGGTCAGCCACGCACAATGTTGAGAATCTCGCCCCTGGCCTTGGAAAGAAGGCGGGCGCGTCGTCATTCGCGACCATGGGAATCCACATTGGCTATCGAACATTGTTGATTAGTATTGGTCCAAGAGTATTGTTTAGATGTCATATATCTCGGGGTCGGTGGGCTTTCGAGCGCTGAGGCGCGGTCGCGCGACTTTGGAAAAAGGGGGTCCGCGACCAAGTCTAGAGGGCGAATTGGATCTCCTCGTGGCTTTGGTCCCGACACCACTCACCATGGTGGTCTCCTGGGCGAGCGCCATGGACGCAAGGCCCGCGAAAGCGAGCTGGGCGAGAGTCGTCTGCATCATTGCGGGGAAGGGAATTGGCGAGAGGTTCAATCCGAGTCGAGGTGGTTTGACGGATGAGGCGGTGGGCGGTTTCGTGAGGGAAATTAGCGCGACGGTGGGAAAGGAGTGAATGGGGTGAGTTTTTTCGTCGGACTGGGAAAAAGAGGAGAAGAGAAGGCAAAAAAGTCACGATGCGCAGGCTTGCCGATAAAACTCTCGAAAAAGGGATTGAAGGAAAATGACCGACGCGCGGCCGAGCCAGGGGATCAAATTCCACTGCTTTGCATTCAATTTTATTTGATTCTCATTCTGAGAGGGCGAGGAAAATTAAACCCAGGTGCGCACGCCAAGGCGCATGCAGGTACTGCGGGATGCTACACCACTCAGATGTGCCCCTGATCAGAACCGCGCGAACTGGCCCGGAAAGGGAAATCCGGGGTGAAACCGTTGGCTCTGCCATCCCACCTTGACACCTCTTTGTCTCGTTGATATGAGTCCATGCATGTCAGACACTTGGAAGACATTTCGCGTGCGAAAAAGCGAAAAAGGAAGAAGAAACTACACGTAAAAAGGAGCAGCGCGAAACGAAGGTTCCGCGTTTCGTGTCCAGCCCGTGTCGGTATTTTCCCGCAGGGCTCCGGCGAAGCGGAGAGCGGCACAAAGAAGGTGTTGGTGTTGGTTCATGCTCGACGAACAGGAGGGATGGGCCGTTGGCAGTCTCTGGTTGATTGATTTCCATTTGTTCTACTATTCATCGTTTGTTCTCTCGATGCTGCAGGTAACATTGAAGGGTCAGCTAGTGCGTCAGGTTCGCGAGGGTTGGTCCTTGCGCCCGTGCAACAATTCATCGATGTCGTCACCATGTCTGAGCGTTGGGCGTACTCTGATTCTCGAGAAATCCACAGCATGACGTTGAGCCAATGTCTCCAAAGATCAATGGATGGGTTAGTTAACCATTTCTTCACGCCATGTGCACTCCAAATGCTGCATCACACGTCCTTGCTTCGAGGAACACCGTTGTTCCCATTAGACTCAAGGCATTCGGCTACATCTAACAACAGCGAGGTACCACGGCTAATGCAATCACAAACAAAATCTATGGAAAGGTGCGTCTCTCTCGTGGCGTCAAGTCGAACAACGTCGCACAAAGGAGCACGGGTTGGTCTCGATAAGCTCAACCATGCGCATCCCTGCCACATGCAGATCCCGTCGATCGAGAGGGAGGGAGAGAAATAAAACGAAAAAGACAAAGTGATCGGGGCCGCTTTACTCCATAGACCTACCAAATCTGCGCTTGTATACCCACGGCAAAAGCAAATGGCTATTTCCGAATCAGCGTCTCGATTACTTCCGCCAGCAACCACGCTATCTACATGTACCGCCCTAAGCCAAGTTGGTTGATGTGGAAAATACATGTACCAGGAAAACCACATGCACTTCCCGCCAAAGGCAACCTTGAGCCGGGAAAAGCGGAAAGGAAGGGCCCTGAACAAGTGGCTTTGTTTCCGCCCCGATCCAAAAGCTCCGGATACACAGGAGAGGTGAGACGCCCAAGAATGAACGAGTCAAAACCACTCGGCTTGCACAAGGGGAACATTGAACGAGAGAAAAACTTGGACTCGGAATAACGCATACAAAAGCCACGTGCTCGGCAATCGACACCCCGAACCCACATAAACATGCTCGCTCCCGCCTCAACGTCGGGAATGGGTTTGAAGCACTCACCACCCAGTCAATCGGGTCCCCCGATCTTCCAAATATTGATATCCACCGAGGCACTGGAGATTGTCCCAATGGCTCCGAGGAACCCGCCATGAACTGCGGGGGCGCAAAGCGATTCGCCAGGCGGGGAACGCCTCCTCTCCCCAAGCCTCTTGGTGCACCAGACAAGCCCCACAAAGAATTCCCCCAGAAACGCCTTCCCACTTTCCGCCTCCACTCCCAACTTTTGTTTGCGTGTCTGCGTGTGAGGAGGTGGGGTCGGGACCACGCATGCCTTCTGTCCCCCAATCCCGATTTGTAGTTCTTTTCGGAGCACCCTAAACAGCTGAGAGCAGCTACCCCGCGATTTTGCACCCTCCCAAGTCCCAAGGATGGGCTTCTCTGGCTTCAAAAGAAGAGCCGGACGCTGTCCCATCGCCCGAGCTAGTCCCAACCGGGACAAGGCCATCGGATGCAACGCGAGAGATGTAGTGAGGGGGTGGAGGGGTAGCGCCCGTGCTTCTGCGCCGCGACAGCTCGGCACATGGCCCGCTGGGGAAGACTGGGTAGAGAGGGAGAAAAAGGCGTGGAGACTAGATATATGCCGGGGCCCGACGGAGGGAAGTTTAAGAAGGAGAAAAGGGGCTCGGAATTGGATCGCGCATTTATTTTATTTCCTCTTCCCTCTTCCTCTTTCTCTCGTATCCCTCTTACGCTCGTGAATCTCTGTTTAACTACTCAATCGCATAGCTTGTGTGTCGTCTCTGTGTTTTCGTCTTCTTTCTTTTGCTTGCCCCTCCTAGATCACCTATCCGCTCCCACAGTCGGCCACGCTCGGCAATAACCACACAGCCATGGCGCCCCAAACCATGAAAGCCGCCCTCTGCAAAGAGGTAAGCAAAACCCCCTCTCCATGGCAAAAGAATCAAGAAGAAGAAAAGTGTTTCCCAGAAACCAAACCAACTAACTCGCCCCCTTTCCCTCTTAGCTCGGCCAACCCCTCGTCATCGAAGAAATCCCCGTCCCCGAGCCCACGGGCCGCTTCATCCTCGCCCGCGTCAAAGCCGCCACCCTCTGCCACTCCGACCTCAGCATCATCGACGGCGCCTTTGGTCCCTTACCCATGCCCCTCGTCATCGGCCACGAGGCCATCTACGTCGTCGAGAAGCTGGGACCCGACGCCGCCGGCTACGGCATCGAGGTCGGCGACGTCGTCGGCGCTTCGCTGTGGCACGACAGCTGCCTCGCCTGCGTCGACTGCCGCACCGCCGGCGAGGAGTTTTGCCGCAAGATGCAGATTAAGGGAATGACTTCCCCGGCTGCTTCTCCGAGTACACCCTCATCGATCCCGTGGCCTCCGTCGTCGTGCGCAAGGCTGGGCCCGGGGCGAGCGATGGCGTCTCGGACTTGTCTCCTCTGTTTTGCGCTGGTATTACGGTGTGGGATGCCGTCGAGCGCGCCAACATTCGCCCGGGTGATAGTCTCGCCGTTCTCGGTGTTGGTGGCCTCGGACAGATGGCGGCTCGCTATGCTACCGAGCTAGGCGCCAAGGTGTTTGTCCTCGACGTGCGCGACGAGCAGCTAGCTGCCGCCAAGAGCGACGGTATCGCCGAGGACTCCATCAACATCAAGGACCTGTCACCCGAGGATCTTGAGAATAGGGTCATGGAGATTAATGGCGGCGTGCTCTTCGACAAGGCCATCGTCACCACCGGTGTCGTCCCCGCCTACCTTTCCGCCATGGGCGTCGTCAAGGTCGCTGGTCAGATCATTGCCGTCGGCCTCCCTCACAAGGATATTCCTCTCAACCCCAACGTTATCGCTGGGCGTTGCTTCTCGTACGTGTTTTTCTTTTTTCTTACCCTTGTTCACTTGATTTTTTCCTTGACTTTTGGGAGCAGCTGCTTGCATTGGCAAAAACAGCATCACTGGTGCCAAGGTCCCCGGCAAGAAGGGCAGCCAACGGTGCATCGACTACAGTCTCAAGAAGAACATCCGCCCCAAGATCAACGAGCGCAAGTTTGCCCTCGAGGATATCAACGAAATGGTGGCGTTGATGAAGGCTGGCGAGGTCGACAAGGGCAGAATGCTGGTCGAGTTCTTTTAAAGGGTATACTTGGGTTGGTTAACATTAGGGGTGATTTCTTGGGGTACAGGTGAGGGAGGCGTTGACGCAGCGTTGTTAATTCTGTCTTTATGTTTCTTCAAAGCGGGTTATTCATGTAGGGTAGAGAGGTTCCATGTCCTCAATAATCATGACTGAAATTGGTCTTTGCTTTGAGTGCCGTGAATTGAATTTCGAACAATTGTCATTAGTCATCACACTTTTCATGTCAACGATCATCTCACAACCGACTCACCCTGCTCACAACTCATCCGCTCTCATGCATTTTACGCAAATTCTAGTACGAATTAACACAACCGATACTGGCTCCAGTAACCTGCAAATTTGGCCGGAATTCCCTCAGTTTGGACAAGAGTGGTCCGATAAACCAATGCTCGCACCGCCGCGACACCGTCTTCAGAATCGTGGACCCCACCGAGCGATTTTTGCGGGATTGTCGTGACACATGCGCCCCGATCCCGGCCGCCTCATCCGGTATATATAACAATACGGCGTCTGCGCTAAAGAGCAAAACTCCTTTTCCCTCATCGCCGCTTGAACCTTTTCACAGCCCTAATATCCTCGCGCCATTGGGGTCCAGCCCAAGAAACCTTCCACCATGCTCGCCACCGGCACTAGGTTGGCTGCACGTCGGCTTCTCACCACCCCATCTCTACCTTCACGCATCCTCCTCTCATCACCAAGACCCTACCAAAAACTCATCTCCTCTCCCCAGCATTCCAGGCGGCTATGGGTCTCTCCCCAACGTCGAGAAAAGTGCTGCGCCAGCAAGAAAACGACGATGCCCCACGGGAGATCGCCGCGCCCATGACCTCGCGCGAGTTCTGGTCATCCACGACCGCCTGGAAGCGCGCTTCCGTCAACACCCTCCGCTGCCTCGTCGGGTGCACAATGGGCGACTTCACCGCCATGTGGTTCCTGCAAGCGTTTTATCCTAGTCTCGGCATGAGTGCCATTATGGCTGTTTCAAGTACGTTACGGTCTTCTTCTCTAGCCCTTCTACGGAAAAACACACTTTGACGCAAATTCTCCTCGCTTTTTGTTCTATCCTTCTTCAACCCCAGTGTAACTAACAATAACGTACAGTGGCAAGCGGCCTCGCAACATCCATGGCCTTCGAGACAACCCTCCTCCGCTACTCCCGCGACCGCCTCTCCTGGCCCGTCGCCGCCAAGACCGCGGCCGGCATGAGCTTCATCTCCATGCTCACCATGGAAACGGTGCAGAACCTCACCGACTACCACCTTACCGGCGGCGTGGTCGATGTTACCGCGCCCAGCTTTTGGGCCGCCGCGGCCGTGTCCATGGCCGCGGGGTACTTGGCTCCGCTACCCTACAACTATGTGAGGCTGCGCAAGTACGGAAAGGCGTGCCATTGAGGGATGGCGCGCGCGCATGTAACATTAAGCATAGCGTGTACGCCTTTGTGAGATAGAATTGTTAGACTACTTGTAATTATATACCGGCACCTGGGTTTGGTGCTCACTTCTCTACTACATATGGCATCACTGATGATCTATGCGCGATCATACAAAGGTCTTGACCAGTCTACGGGAAACTGACTAGTCACAAATGCCTTGTTTCAAAATACCAGAAAAGAAGAGGATGGTGTGATTATAATCATAAATCGTTGATTCCATTGCCATTATGCTATGTTCTTTTTATAATTTATGCCCGTGGCCTTAAAACTCCGCGCGATGCGACCAAGAAACCTGCTCCAAAAAGAAACCAAAATCCTCCAAGTTCCAACCCAAAAACCCTAAACCAAGCAAGATGGCGGATGTATTCCCACTTTCCCTACGAATTCGCAGGGGCGAAGAGAGCCGCAAAATGACCAAGTCTGTCAGAATTTGACCCAACATGGAAAAGCACAAGCAATCGTTGGACGGCTTTGCTTAGTCGGCCATGCCCCACCTGGGAGCGTTGATGATGAGACCCATGAGGCATCCCGAGATGATACCGGTGATGGGGAGGGTGATGAACCATCCGAGGTAGATCCAAGCCACCATGCGCCAGTTGACGGCCCGCCACTCGCCGTTGCAGAGACCCACGCCGACGGTGGCACCGGTCATGCACTGGGTAGTAGAGACGGGGAGCTTGAGACGAGTAGCCAGGATGACGGTGGCGACGGAACCGAGCGACATGGAGAAGCCGCGCGAGGGCGACTGCAGGGTCAGGCGGTTGCCGAGGTTGCGCATGATGTTGTATCCGTACGTCCAGAGACCAATGACGATACCGGCACCACCGAAGAAGAGAATCCAGATGGGGACGGGGACTTGCCGTCCTCGGGGAGGCGGCCTTCGTGCCAGATTTGGAAAATGGTGCTGTAAGGGCCAATGCAGCTGTGCGAGAGGAAAAAGGTTTGGTTAGCTTTCCGTAATCCATGGAGGGTTCTGTGAGCGCTTGGGAAAAACAACTTACTTGGAGACATCGTTCGCGCCATGGGTGAAAGCCATGGCAGAGTTGGTGACGATTTGCATAAAGGTGAAGAGGAACTCGGCCTTGTTATCGTAGCGAGCGGCGCGGGAGTGCATCTCCTCGACGTCGCCACCGAGCGCGGTCTTCTCGCTCTGGGAGCTGACGACGTCCTTGTCGACACCGTGAAAGAGAGCATACTTGAGGTACCAGAAGAGCATCTGCTTGGAGTGCCAGGGAGATCCTCGGGCTTGGGACCGACGAGGGACTTGTGACCGGGCTCGGAGGCGAACTCCTCGGAGACGTCATCGGGGAGTTGGGGTCGTCCTTGCCAGCGAAGAGGCCCTTCTCGGCACCGGAGGCGGCGGCATCGCTGTCCTGAGCGGCGACCTTTTGGATCTCATCACCGCCCTCGGCAGCGCGAGCAGCACGGGCGGCCTGGGCGGCGCGCTTGGCATCGAGCTGCTCCTTGGTGAGGCGACCCTGGTAAAAGTCGCGGACGATGCCCTTGAAGCCGGGAGGAGGCGGGGGCACCTCGCCGCGGCGGAGGACGAGGGGCCCCTTGAAGACGTCGTACCACTTGAGCTGCCAGTCCTCGACGACGATGTAGCGGTAGAGCCAGGGGCAGAGGAAGAAGGCGACGAGCAGACCGAAGCCGATGCCGACGCCGACGATGATGCCGGGAATGGCCTGGTTGGGGACCTTGACCTCGTAGGAGCCGCCCTTCCAGACGAGCAGCATGGTGATGAGCATGCCGGTGATGCTGAAGAAGAAGGGGACGAGCATGAGGCCGCGGACGGCGGGGTCCTTGCGGATGAGGACGGTATACTTGCCGAGGAGGAAAATGGCGGAGGCGATGACGCCGGAGAGGATGGGGAGATGATCCAGGCCATGAAGACCTGGATGACGCCGCCGGTGATCTTGTCGGTGCCGCTGCCCTTGCCGACCCAGAGGATGCCGTTGGCGCCGACGGTGGCGACGCCCATGCCCAAAACGCCGCCGAGGATGGAGTGGGTGGTGGAGATGGGGAGGCCGAGCTTGGTGGCGAGGGTGAGGAAGAGGGAGGAGCCGATGACGGCGGTGGTCATGCCGAGCATGAGGATGGCGGGGTCGTCGCGGTAGAGGGTGGTGTCGACGATCTTTGTGCGGATGGTGTCGGCGACGCGGGCGCCGACGGCGGTGGCGCCGACGAATTCCATGACGGAAGCGATGAGCATGGCTTGGATGTAGGAGACGGAGCGGGAGGCGACGGCGTTGGCCCAGGAGTTGGCGACATCGTTGGCGCCTGGAAGGAGAGAGGTTAGTTAGTTTATAGATTTACAGGTTTGTGGAGGACGAATGAGAAGGGGATATTGGAAAAAGAAGAGACATACCGATGTTCCAGGCGTCTAGGAACGCGAAAATGGTTCCTATCGCGAAGATGTAGTCGTATTGGTGGAAGATGGCCATGGTGGGCGAGTTTGTGGTATGGCTTGGATGTGGTGGTAAAAGAGTAGGAGGGAAGGGGCCCGATATAAGTAGGCCGTGGGAATAAAGGGGAAATGAAATCGCGACACGCGCTAGATCAAAAGACCAGGAGAATGTGGCAGAGGCGAAAGGGGAATAGATCCAGGGGGTGGAGAAGAAGAAAAAGTTGAGATTTCGCCTCCCGAAGGGAATGTGGCGATGGCTTAGGGTCGAACCGTCCACGGCACCAAACTAGGAGTGGGAAGGAGGGAGTGTTGTGTGCAAGTGCAGCCACGAACTCGATTCGTAACCCGGCAGAGGCAACGAAGAGCAAGAGGCGGGAAAGAAGAGGCACACGGCACTAGGAGGAGGGGGCGGGATAGTGAAACTGGATCAAGAGCTACTCTGGACGGAGGAAACGAAAAGGAGATGTGTTCGGGATGGTGTCGGGGACCGGAAATATTTATACAAGTCGGAGAGAGCAGACAGAAAGAAAAGAACAAAGGATGGGAGGGCTACGACACCGCCATTCCTTTCTCTTTCCTTGAACCCCCGTGTCAAAAAGGGACCCGAAGGCGGGAACAAAAAAAAAACCACTACAAGCGTATTATGGAACAATAACCAAAAAAGAAGGGTAAAAGAAAACCCTGACATCTCACCTTGCCGAGATAAGCTTGGTTCGAGGGGCCAAGCTCGAGCCTTTGGTTTGCTCCGGAGGTTCAGCCAAGACTTTTGGGGGTCTCTTGGTTCTTTTTCCTCGCTTCTCTCCCACCCGGATTCGCACCGTCTCCCGAGACTTGTGTCCCGGCGCATGGAACGCTGGTTCGGTCGAGTACCGGACCTTTCCCTGTGCCCTTGTGCTTCTCCTCAATGCTCCCTTTTCTTTTTGTCTCTCCCCACGCCCACGGTAAGCGACGCGCCTCTTTGTCTTTTTCCCACCCCACTGCGACTGTGCTGCGCGGTACTAGATTCGATTACGGGACTCGCTTGAGTAAAATCACTTGGCTTCCCACCCCTGTAACATCCCAATTTAGAGATTGACATGGAGAACGCAGAAATTGACCTTCAGTACTAAAACTTGACATAGTTTCTACATTACTCAATAACAGACTACGCGAAAAGAAGAAGAAGCACAAGAAAGAGAGCCCGACAAGAGGGTCGAGGAAAGGGCGCAGCGGGTTGATTCCGAACAATGCTCAATGGGTTGTCGTCCAGTTCCCGCAAGCTATGCAGATAAGACGCTGCATGGCATGTACGATCTGAGAACAGGGAGGTAGGGGTGGTGGTTGCGGCGGCTGAAGCAGAAACAACGACGTACGTCCCCCAAAAATTATCTGTGTGGTTGAGAGAGGAGAAGACGTGGTTGATGGCACGCGACACATTTCCACTTTTGGTGGCTGCTGCAAATGGAACCCTGGCCGTTTCTCAATGGCTCCCTGGGCGTGGTGAGCGGGGGCGGGGTCGTGGGCTTTGCTAGGAGGAACGAACCAGGGGGAAGGGAGGGGCAAAGAAAAGATCAAGGAGATTCAGTCTTCATCAATTCGATTGGGGGTGGATCGACTAGCCTCCTCGCGTCGCCGTGACTTGTGGCGGTAACGCGAGAGGACAGTCTCGTGAGTACGGCGCTGGTAGAGTGTCCGATGGCGAACAGTGTATCAGTGACTCCGGAAGCGGTAGGATCCGCATCAGATTCGTCTGGTCCGCCATGGTCTCATCTCGACTGTGGCGTGGCTGGCGGGGAAAGGGGCAGATCGATGTTGACCTCTCCAAAGGATAGCTTTCCAAAGAGGGCAAGTGAGCACACGACAATCCTTTGTTCCTCTTGGTTTTTTTCTTCTTTTTTTCCTGCTCAAGTCGCCGCTGCGCTAGCGGGATCCAGTGATTGGACTCTTTTTGGCGTGGGCTGGGCTCTCTTTCCATGCAAATGCAACTCTGGGAGATCTTGGGAGACGAGGGCGGCGTTGTTTCCCCACGGCCCTTCCGACCACATCAAACCAACCACGAGGGTTTGTCGAAAAACGTGTTGGAATTCGTCCTTGTGATTGGCCCGTTGCCGCCCACTCGACGAATTTCTCGTACCTAACGCTAACAAGGAAAACTCGACCTGCACGAGCTTGGCGAAGAATGCCCGGGATATATTTTTGAGAACCACTTTCTTGCTGCTCTGTTACCTCCGGGACCAGAAGAGAGGGGAGAGGGAGGGGAGCTCACCCTCATGACTGCGACCCTGCGGTGTATCCTTAGCCTCGAAGCATCACTCGATCTCTTTCCCTTTTTAATCACCGAGGCGTGGGTGCTTGGGTGCTCGGCGGCACCCGCGTCCACGTCGGAGTGGTCAAACCCGCGGCAGTGGTTTCTTTTGTGTGGCCCTTTGCGCATTTTGTGGACTTGGCTGCCCGCACTCGGAACCCTCCTTTTTCTTTTTTATTAATTCAAAAATTCTGGTTCGAGGATCTGGAACACCGTCGCCCGCTCCGTCCATCTATGAACAGCGGAAGCGAGAAGTAGACCCCGGGCAAAATGAGAAAAGAAAAATAAAAAAATACCGATCAGAAAACTCTCTCAACCGCATCAATGTTAAGCAGATGCAAGCCTTTGCACATCCATGCGCGGCTTGCCAGCGTCAGATGTCACCTTGGACCTCTTGAGCTCCGTCGAATCAGAGACCGGCGCGGGAGAGGGGAGGGGAGGACCTTGGGAGGTCAGCTTTTGAAACTGGACCCTTGGGGAGTTCTAGCTCCATGCGTTCAGCAAAGGTGCACCACCTATTCGTGGCGGAGGAGAGGAGGGGGACGATCGCTGCCTTCTTCCGACGGCCGGAGACGTCATACGTCGAACCCCCTCCAGGCACGGATACTATCGGGAACATCTGATCGAGCGATGCCCTTCTCTTTCAACCACCATCTTGTTTCGCGCCTCCCTCCTTTCTAGTTTTCCCCAATGTCCTCTCACGTGCAATGTGTGGAAATCAAGAACGTCGGCGTCTCCAAGCTGAATTTCGCCACACCATCCCTTTGAATCCTCATCCGCGCTGTCGTCATCTCCGAAGAAAGAAAAGGAACAACAAAAAAAGAACCACCTCTCATCTTTTGCCCCCCTCCCAATTTTCCCTCGGTCATCGTAAACGGTAATCTCACGGTCACGCTATCAAAGACGACAGGTAATATTCCATCATCTATCAAGTTTTTCGCCTGGATGGAGGTTGGGAGAGGAAGAAGAAGGGGTGGCCTCCCAATAGATTGATACCATCCATCCATCTACGTATGCAGCTCAGCTCGCGTGCAGCTAGCTACCCCCGAGCTCGCGTCAACATCTCCCGCGGCTGGCCCCGCATTATATCCTCCTTTTTGTGGAGTTCCAGATACCTCTTTCTGATCCCGTGTCCCAAAGGCGAGAGGAAGAGTGAGCGAGGAAGGGGTGGGAAATGGCTCAACATTGGAAAGAAGTGGGCGCCCGCGCGCACGCCACCTAAGCATCCGCTCTATAGTTATCGATCGAAAGGCCGATAAACCGTAGTTGCCATCTCGTTTCCTCGTTTTTCTTTCATAAAAAAAGAGGAGGGGAAAAGGAAAGACGCTGGAAATCTCTTGGACGCCGGGAGTAGCCATCTATGAATCTGCGTCCCGAGATGGCGAAATCCACATCAACCCGTGTCGTGGGGTGGAGAAAACCTTCGGCACAGCCCTTCCTAGCTTCTAGGAGCTTAAATTTAACTTTTGCGAACATTTCTTACCCTATGGCCTTTCGCCTCTTGCGGGGCACACAATGGGGTTTGGGTCGGTTCCTGGATCCGGAGGAGAATCCACGCCGGATAACGCGGCATCGGGAACCTCCTTTTCCCTAGACATCTCTTACGCAAGCTCCTTTTCATGCCCCAATCCCCCAAAGCCACCCTGAAGCTCGTGAAGCCAGCCACTCCGCCATTATATGGTATAGGGACAATGGACCTTCACGGGTGGTGTCTGATACGTCCTCGGGCACAATGCCGACGCATCCGGACCTTGTTATGTTAAGCATGCAATGTCCAAGGTTCCATGGAAGCGATCCCACTGGTGTCTACCGAGCCACTAGACCGCCATTAGAAAGGGCTATGAACAAGAGCGCCAGTACTATTTTCTCAAACCTCCCGCGAGGCTGTGGTTCTGTATGTTCGGGCCTGCATGTCTCATTTGTTCGTCCATCTGTGCTATGACGATATCCATATGTTGCCTGCGGGGGCTCTGTTCTCCCCATTTCTTTTCACTCCCAGAAACCGTGGGTGTCAAACGCTCGACAATTTCAGGTTTGCCGGCAGCTGAACTCCACGCGAGAGCCGGCAAGGTGGCGCAGAAAAAGGAAGGAAAGAACAGGACGCCGAGGAATATGAACGGCCGCTCATGCTGTATTGCTGCCTTACAGCACCGCTCTATTCAACAAAATATCTCTTCGCTATATTCCATGCTAGCTAATCAACTAATCCAAAAGAAATCGGAAGTATAAAAAGGAAAATTGACATACAACATCAGGGATTCGCTGGTCGTCACCGACCCAACTACTGGTCTGACGCTCTAGAGCTTAACGAGGCGAGAGCGAACGGGATCGCGTGTTTTCTCCAGGCTATGGTCGTATGTGTCATACAATCCCAATAATCTCCCTTATAAGGACTGCAAATCTCTTTGAAGTGAGGGATCGACGGGTCGCACAGCTCGTTTTTGACGCAGCGCTTGATCGCCTGCACCACCACGATGGAATCTCTTCGTGATATATGACGGGAAGTACGAAGGGACTAGCCTCCCTGAACTCGGCGGAAGGCCCCGATGCGATGCGGAATCCCCTCTTAGGTACTAACATCGCGTTCATAACTCGCGAAACGGCGACTGGGCGGTAGTATCGCTCGGGCCGGACCGGGTCGGGATGTCAAGGGTGGCCTTGGCTAACGCGCGTCCAGCGCATCTTGCGGTTGATTAAACGGTTCCCTTTCACCCAAGAAGCCATCGTGAGCAGGACTCAGCGTCGTCAGAGGTTACCTGACCTCGTGGCCTTGCCTAGGGGTAGATGATGCTTCTTTTCTCCAGCCTCCATACGCGCCACTGCCCGGAAGTGATGGGAGCTTCGTGAAGTGTGGAAAGCTGTCAATAGCTGATTGGGGCCTTTCTAGCACATCCGGGGGAAATGTGGGGAAACATAGGAGAAGAAGGCCCTTGATATTGCTTTTTATCATTCCGTCCTTCGCGGTGCAGAGGGCAGAGTAGTCTTTGCTATGTGGAATGCGGTTCCCTACTGAATGAGCGCCAAGACCTCTTAAAGAAGAGAGGGAAATCGATTGCTACGCGCGAGGAATGGGTTTAGATAGATAAGATGATAATCAATGACGCACTATGTCGTTGAGGCACGCACTACTCCACAGGAGCTGGATATGGTTGGGAAAATCAGAGGAAGGTCTCTAGTGAACCATGTAGGCAGGGGTAACCACTGAACCGACGTGCAGGGGTCATTAGTTGACACGAGGGCAAATGATTTGGTGATTTATGGGCTTGAATTCGTAGTACTAGTCTCAAGCTCGTTGAGGGGTTGAGATGAAGGCTAGGTTGAGGCTCGCTCACGCCGAAGGCGGGGATTTGGCTTCGCTATTCAAGGGTCTGAGGTTACAAGTTGGTGATTATACGTGATAGCATTCACTCGCCTAAACGAGTTTCTATAAGTGACAGTGACACGGGCAATGGTGCTAAACATAGTACAAGTTGACCCAAACACCGACTACGCTCATTTCTCAGTACATCTACGGATGGGCTGCATGTTGGGCTACACAAGAGATGGAAAAACTGGCACTCTCAGCTCCAGGAGCTAGCGTCTGCCCGCCCAGGATTTGCCCCAAAAAAAAAAAAAGAGAAAAGAAAAACCCGCCACCACAACTTGAAAACTCGCGGTAATGGGGCATTCATGGAGTTGTTTCCGGTTCGGATGCGGTCCCTCTCCCGCTTCCTGTCTCTGTTACTTAACCTTAACCCTAATGCAGCTGAGCGCAATGGGATTATGATGCCACCGCCACTCGGGCACAGCCACAAGCAGTTGCATAAGGGGGCCTCGAAAGTGTGGGATGCGGGGTCTCAAAACCCGATGGACTCACATGCATGGGACGCTTCTCTTCATCCATATTAACTCGGGCATCGTCATGGCGGAGGCCCTGGGGCTCGCGGCAAGCGTAATCGCCGTGGTTGATCTATTCGCCAAAATCGGTGTGCTGTGCTCCCACTACTGCGCCGATCTCAAAGGGGCTCGACGGGAGGTCCGAGGTATCCTGAATGAGGCCGATAGCTTCAGTCACACCCTTGGAGATGTCGAGAAACTCCTCTCGAGCCCGAATGGCTCAAATATTAACCCCATCAATATTCAACGCACTATTGATGATTGCCGTGTACTGTTGAATGACCTAGCTGTGAAGCTTCAACAGGGAACAAGATGGCAGTGGATGAAGTGGCCCTTGAAGAAAGAAGAGGTGGCGCAAATACTTCATAAGCTTGCGCGATGGAGGGCCGCCATTGCGTTAGAATTACAAATAAATCAGGTGTAAGTCCGTATCCCACATGTCGGTTGCTCTCGTGCGGTGCTCATCGTTTCAAAGAGGATTGCTTCGTGATGTCCACCAAAGCACCGTCATAGCAAAGCTACGTACCGCGGAAGGCGCGAGATTTGACTCCGGCGAGGAAGCCACCAAGGCCAAATGCCACCCGGGCACTCGGGTTGATGTCCTGCAGCAGATAATGGCATGGGGCTCCACCTCGGATGGTGAATCTATCTTTTGGCTGAATGGGATGGCCGGTACTGGCAAGTCTACCATTTCGCGAACGGTCGCGCAGTTATTTTCAGACAATGGCGCACTTGGTGCTAGCTTCTTCTTCAAGCGCGGCGAAGGTGACCGCGGCCGGGCGGCCTATCTGTTCCCGACAATAACTGCCCAACTTGTTCAACGGCTCCCATTACTCGCCCCTCATGTAAGCGCTGAGATGGAAGCGGATCCTGCCATCTCCGAGAAATCACTATCCACTCAATTTGAGAAACTCATTATGAATCCAATACAAAAGATGCGCGAGACACAGCCATTGGTCATTGTCATCGTCATCGACGCGCTGGATGAGTGCGACAGTATTGACCAACTAAGGCTCGTCATCTTCCTTCTTCAGAGCCTCGACCGATCCGCAGCTATCAGCTTGAAGTTTTTCCTCACTAGCAGGCCCGAATTACCTATTCGCCTTGGTTTCATGGATCTTGAGGGCCAGCACAAAGAATTGGTCCTCCATAAAATCCCTAAGCCAGTTATCGAGCGGGATATTGCGGCGTATCTAGCACACGAGCTTGCGACGATTCGCCAGAGCTACAATAAATCTGTTTCCGAAAGTCGGCGACTACCCAGTGACTGGCCAGGCCCAGAATATCTAGAAAAGCTGATTGAGATGGCAATCCCTCTATTTATTTTCGCCGCAACGACGTGCCGTTTCATCGGAGACCGGAGGCTTGAGGCCCGAAGCACCAACTTGTCAAAATCTTGGAGCACCAACAAAACCGGCAGTCTAACCTTGAAGGAACCTATATGCCTGTGCTGGACCAGCTCTTGACGGCGTTGAATGATTCAGAGAGACTTGATGTAATAGCAAGATTTAAGCAGGCTGTTGGTACTATCATCATTCTTCACAGCCCCTATCAACCGTAGCCCTAGCCTGTCTGTTAGCCATGCCTAGCGACGCCCTCGAGGACCAACTCGACTCTCTCCACTCAGTCTTGAACATTCCATCGGACCCCAAGATGCCTATAAGACTACTCCATCTCTCCTTCCGGGACTTTCTCCTAGACCCGAACAACCGCGAAAGAAATCAATTCTGGATCAGCGAATTTGAAGCCCATAAGCAGTTAGCGACGAAATGCATCCATCTACTCTCCCAAGGAGGGTGTATGAAAACCGATATCTGTGGCCTCAAATTGCCTGGTACTCTACACTCTGAGATTGACAAGGCCAGAATTGACCATTGTCTGCCCCCAGAGGTACAATATGCATGTCTCTATTGGATCAATCACCTAAGAGAAGGCAAAGAAGAAGTCGAAGACGGGGGCAAAGTTCACCATTTTCTCCAGCGTCATTTCCTACACTGGCTAGAGGCTCTGAGCCTAATGGGGAGACTACGGGATAGCCTCAAACTTATCGAAGAATTAAAGTACACAATTCACGTAAGTAACCCTGAAATAGCACTCATCTCAGGACGGCCGGCACATAGCTGACTATTGCGAAGCCCACCGCAGGCAAAGAGGTCTCCGCATTTGTCCAGGACGCAAGCCGATTCATCCCAAGCTGCTACCAAACTGTAGCGATGGCGCCTCTCCAGATTTATTCCTCCGCGCTTCTTTTGCGCCGCGGGAAGCATCGTGCGACGGGAATTCTCAGCTCACATGGATTGGATAACGAGAAAGCCCCTAGTTGATAGCGACTGGAGTTCTTGTTTGCAAACGATCCGTTGCGCTGAAGGCACCCCAACTGCCGTAGCGTTTTCGCCTGATACCAGTCTGCTTGCCGTGGTCACGCGTGACGGGGCGGCGCAGATCCTGGAGGCAGCGACGGGAGCTCTATTGAGAGTAATTTGTGGCCCGCAACCCCGGGTCCTCGCCATAGTATTCTCGTCTGATCAAAAGGGTCTAATCTCTGTGACGCACAATGGCTGGGTAAGGATTTGGGATGCGGCAACGGGCGACCTTCAGAAATCGTTCTGGATCGAGAAGATCCAAGCACAAGCAGCAGTGTTCTCACCTGGTATGAAGTTCCTTGCGCTCATATCGCAGCCTAGGTGCCGAGTGGAAATCGTAGACGTGGAACTAGGGGCTATTCACCAAACGCTCCATGTAGATCCAGAAACAGGGGTGGCCCTGATGGAATTCTCACCCGACCACAGGCTCGCCGTCTTGGCATTAGCGAATGGAGCGATACAAGTCTGGGATCTAGCGACAGGGCTCCCTCACAAAACACTCAAAGGCCCGGAGGTGCGAGGCGCCGCATCCAGGTTGGGGGCATCTAGACACGGACGGATAAAGGCGTTGGCATTCTCCGCGGATTCAAAACTTGTTGCCTCAGCATCGGTTAGCGTGTTGATAGATGTACACTTGTGGGTCGCCGAGTCTGGGATCCTACAGGAAAAGATCAGGGTCAGCATTAAATCGGCGAGACTGCTCACATTTTCGCCAAATCTAGAGATGCTCGCGGTAGCGACATCGGACATGACGATCAGGGTATGGGATGTAGCAACAAAAACGCTGAGAAAAATTCGAATGGCCACGGTGGGAGGCCCGAGTTGCTAGCCTTCTCGCCAAACTCAAGGCTACTTGCCTCGACATCGGATCGGAACGAAACAAAGATCTGGGAGGTGGAGATAGAAGTCAGCACCGTCAAACAGCACATGGGGAGACATGTTGGGCCCGTGAGTTTAGTAGCATTTTCACCCGATTCAAAGGTTCTTGTATCCATATCAGATACGACAATGAGATTGTGGGATGCGGTAACCGGTACCTTGAATAAAAGGATCGAGAGCCCCAGCAGGCTGAGACCGGCGATAGTCTTCTCCGATGACTCAAAACTCTTGGCCTGGGCGTCGCCCGAAATAGGAGTAATGATTTATGACACGGCAACGGGCAGATATCGGTCGGGATTCGAACCTTGTGTAGAGTGGGTGGTGGCAATGCTATTTTCGCCCAACTCGAGGCTTCTTGCCTTGGAGCTATCCGGCCAGTCGATAATCATCATGGACACGGAAACCGGTAATCGTCGCCATAGACTTGAAGGCTGCAACCTTCAGCTGTACTCATTCTCTCCAGATTCACGATTCTTCACCTCACGGCTCCACGACCAGACAACGGAAGGATGGGACCCATTAAAAGATACTCTCGTGGAAGCAAGAGATGATATAAGCCTCGACATGTCTCCTCAGCTCTTGAATGAGCATGGAAAATCATCATCAACCACGACCAAAACCTTATCTGATGCAAAAATAGGTCGAAGCTATCGTGGCGAAGCCAGCACAGAAGGTCAGTGGGTTTACTGGGATCATCACAGATTACTTTGTTTGCCACCTGGCGAGCGAGGGGCTATCATCTCCTCATTAGTGACGTTTCCATCATTATCGCCAGACCAAGGGCTGGTATCTATTGCGATTGGATGCGATTCAGGGAAGATAATCTCACTTGGTCTCTCCAAGTCATATCTCACCGACTTAGCGATCGGCTGACCTCTATATATGTTTTATCTGTCCTGAGGTGGGGTGAACAGGGAGGGCGCCCCAATTATTACACATCTCAGGAGTGAGATGCGACTTCCATTAGGCTGACGATATGAGGAAAAAGAGCATTTCTAGATAATGTCTGTCTCGTTTGCCCTACCTATATTCAATGCTCAGAGAACTTCATTTCGTTCCGCCTGGAAGAAACGTACTTATATCTGCTATTCTTTCTATGCAGCCCCCCGCAGCAGGCCTGCAAGGTATTTTTGTCTCCGAGTACGAGGATCGATGGTTTTAAACGTGATCCATGTCTTCACCAAAAGTAACGCGATGATATTTGTTCATGCCCACGGTGTTGGTGAGGGTGGCTCACGTCAGTTTCCAAGTTTGGTGTGGAGATAATGGTTTGTGCCACACCCAAAAGTCCGGGCGGCGAACGAATAGCACCACTCCCACTCTTCAACGCTGCCTCTTCGGGAGTAAGCGCCCCTTACGGAAATGTGGGTGTGGACGGGAACTACCGTGGGGTTTCGCTATCTCCGAGTGTCTAAGCCTCATCAACGTTGCGCGGCCACCAACCAACTCCGCTAACGCCACAGGACCCACAACTCCGCAAGCTAAACTCCGATCTCTAGCATGTTTATCAGGACCGCTCTCCTCCACTTCCTCCCAGCAATCTCTTGATGTTTTCATCTTCACAAAACTTCACATCATCAGTAATCTAATATCAACTTCCTTAATCCACTCCATAGTATTTCCTCAATCGGGGAATCAAAAAGCAAAGCTGTCTTTACCTTGTTATCGCCAGGAACACGAACAAGAGAATGGCGTTGAGGGCATTGGTCGTGGGTGGTACTAGCGGCGTGGGCTTCGGTATTGCCTGCCGCCTAGCGTCCGAAAACAGCGCCTCAATGGTGACGATTGGCGGCCGCACCAAGCCGCAAAACATCCCTCACCCCAACATTGATTTCCGTCCTCTGGACGCGACCTCGATGAAGCAGATCAAGCAGTACACCGACGCCTTCAAATCCTCCCTCCAATCTCAGAGCCAGACGCTCGACCTCCTCGTCATGTCCCAGGGCACCATGACCATGGCAGGACGGACGGAAACTCCCGAAGGCATCGACAGCAAGATGGCGCTCCACTATTACGGAAAGCAGCTACTGATCCGCGAACTCCTCCCCGCCATGAGCGACGATGCCAAGGTGGTCATCGTGTACGACGCCGTGTACGGCAACCCGGACAAGATGGTCTGGGAGGACCTGGGGCTGAAGACGCACTTCAGCCTCTCCAACGCGGCGAACCACTGCATGGTCATGAACGATGCCATGGTCCAGTATTTCGCGGCGCGGCAGAAGGGCGACGGAGCGGAGGAGGGCGCCCGCCGGCACTTTGTTCACGCGTGGCCCGGCGGTGTCAACACGGGCCTTTGGAGGGACTTGCCCATCTACATGAAGCCTGTCGGCTGGGCGGCCCTGCAGGTTTTCGGCGTCTCTCCGGAAAAGTGCGCGACTCGTCTGCTTGCGGGAACGACGCGCGCGCGGCTGCGGGGCTGAGTGAGGGGAGGCACTGGAGCAACATTGACAACAAAGGGAATTTGATTCCGAAGAAGGTGGTGTTCACCAAGGAACAGCTTAGCAAAATTGCTGACCACACATGGGAAGCCATTGATCAGGCTCTCGCGACCCCGGAATAGATCAATGGGTAGTCAGGATATGTAGGGCGAAGGCCAGTTTGGTGATTATGATTTGATGTACGCTAAGACGGGTTTGGAATTTGGCGTCTGTCCAAGAATACTTTTCTCAGCTATTTCTAATAATGTATCAATGTTGATTTTCAATGATTCAGGGGCATGGAATTCTTTTTATACATCAATCATACGTAGTACACTCTGTATGTGCCATCACTAGACTCAACCGGGTCGGAAGTCCAGCTCCCAGCTGCTATCAATTGATCAACAGAATGGATTCCTTGCCTTGGCTTGGTAGTCTCAGCTTGTGATGCCTGTCGCTGACTTAATCGCAACATACATTGATCAATAGTACAGCATGCGGAGATGTTCGTACGGTCCATCAACGGTACATTTCTCGCAACTGCTGCAAATCCTACATGCCGTCAAACCACGCGAAAAAAACGGTTAGAATTCTACAACTATTGCAGAATTCCAACCATTACAAGCAAAATATAAATCACTATATCAGGGTGATTATCTTCTTATCTAGATAACCATCCTTATATAGGGGGTGTTCACCTTCGTTCTTTTTTTTTTTTTTTTTTTTTCTTTATTATAGAAAAATCCAGGCGTCATCTACGGTTCGAACTACAGTTCTCTCTTATATTGCAATTACATCTATGATTTTACAAGTTATAGCTATGGCATCGCGATCAAGAGGAGAAGGACTATATTTTGCTATATAAAGGGTGATTAGAAAGGTGAGTGAGGGATATCAACGGTTGCAGAGATATGAATAGTTGTAGAGATATCAACGGTTGTAATGAAGTGAAGGGTTGTGAAACTGTTGTTTCCTTTTGTAATGGTTCTAGGCTCGCAACCGTCCTCCAACCATTTCGGGACTGTCGCCAAGCGGTATTTCGGATCCAGCAGCCCCTACCATATCGATGTAAAATAAGGATCCAACTATCGCCGGCGCGCCCCGGCGGACCGTTTGACCCACTTTGAGACCCGACCAAGGTCTGCTCATTGTATCAAAGGCCGCAATCCTGGAGGGTAGGGCTCAAAGAAGGGAAAAAGAAAATCTCATTTTGCTGCGTGTTCTGCAAATGCGACGAGCGCGAATCGAGGCGAGCCACAATGTCATCCCTCCTAATCTCGAACGTCGGTGAGGATGCAAGCCTCCAATCAACCGGGGCCGGAATTGGATCCCGGTGCTAGGGTTCTGATCCATGAAAATCGCAACATAAAAACCACCATCTCCTATCTGCGACCCGATAGACCCTTGCCCCGGGGGTATGCGATGTGACGGAATCATGTTTGAAAGAATCGTTTTATTTGTCCATTCGGTTGATGCCGCTTTCAGTCAGGGCGAGTGGCATCATCTTCTCCAATCGGAAGCCGTTCCTAGCATCACACCTGCAAGGACACGCACAAACATACAAGTAGAGTGCGAGGAAGTGCGATGCGATAATACAAGCCAGGCTGAAGTTGCGATGAGAATGCGATCACTATGAACCCGGCGATAGCATTTTATCTGTAGTAACATTAATCCATGCGAAACCGAGAACAAACCCAAGATATTTAATGAATGGATACTTGACCCAACCCAATCGTCTTCCGGGGTTCAGGCAAGGTCGTCGTTCTCAAGTCGTTCGCTTTCTATCATTACAATTTATTCTGTGGGCAGGGGTGAGTTCCTCCTCGGCTTCACGTCTTCTTTCAGCTGCCAGAATTCAAACCCCCATCACTCCTCCAGACCCACGTACGCCCTTTCCAATGACCGGCTCATCAACAACAAAGCCTTGTCGAAAACTAAGTCGCCATAAGTGCAGGCATTGTAGAAAAGACAAGAAAAAGGTAATCGGCGCACATGTGCCTCCCAATAAGGAGTGTTGTAGAAGATAGAAGGGAGCAAGCTCACAAGAAACTCTTACGGCGATATAGTGCGAGCCTGTTGATCGGGACTGGCGAACACAAAGGTGCAATCTATGCGTCGAAAAGAATCGGCCGTGCTCTGCCAATGTCACGTCCAGGGAGGAAGCCAAAGACCTGACTACGCCTGCGCAAGTAGAAGCTGATGTTATGGCCGGGGATGAAGGCAAAGAATACAGATATCTGTGAGCGAAAGGTGCAGACTCGTCTAACAAGTGCTTGACTAATTGTGTCTTTGGAAGGTCCGAAGAGATGATAGGCCATCTCCAAGCACTTGAACTCGTCTCGGAGCAGACCAAGCTCATGATGGCCCCTGGCAATGTATTTTTGAACAGTACAAGGTATGGGAAAATCATGCCGTCGCAGTCATAATCCAAAAGGTTGGCTGGGCCTTGCAGAATGTGTGTGGGTTAATCGAGAGTACTCGGTCAACAATTCTTCGAGTTGCCCTCTCCGCCATTATCGCCAACTTCTTCTCGAACAAACAAGTCACCGACACGGCGAAAGACCACCTCAACCTTGAGATAATACCGAGGCTCTTGAGAGCGTCACATAAAGCCGGAAACACTTCATTAACATTCCTCCTACGTAAATTTCAGATGGGCATGGCCCTAACGATAGAGGCGGCTCCGTACGACGAGTATTTTCAGGCGAGCGAACGCGTTGCGGAGACCATGCCCGCCACAATAGACAGACCTTATTCCACACTTGCGGACGCCACGTTTAACAACTGTACCAGCCCTTATTCTATCAGGACTAACGCACTATCTCTTCTGGCTTTCACAGCCAGCCCCCATCCCGAGGTTGTGTTGCATGCTTGCCAAAGACCTGATCAGCTTCGGAAAGTAGACGCCATGGGCAGGACCAATGTCCATATCTTGGTAGAATCTACCATAAAAAATGGAATGAGACTCTAGAACGGGGGTTTTTCGCCATGTTCCGGACAAACGTACACTTCTCCCTGTTCAATAGTCAACGGGATGACCTTGACCGACTGGCAGTCGATATTGCATTCCACGAACTCCAAGACGTACGCCTGTTATCCCGACTCCGCAGATGGTATGAGGCATTCATAAAGCGGGGCCACACATACCATGGTTTCATTGGGGGATATGGATGGGCAATCTGGCCTTCATATGGAGTTACAGCCGTGGAGAAGCAGACCATCTCTTGCATTGTGGCGACTCTGAGCACAGAACTCCAATGGAATCGGCCGTGAGCTATTTCTTTGCTCGTGTCGCTAGAGATTCTTGGGGTATACAGGCCTGTATAGACGCTCTCGATTCCTCTTGGGAACTCCATCTCAATGTCCCATGCCATCGAGAGTGGTGTGGAAGCTTTATGCACCACCTAGTACAGGAGGGGAAGGTCTTGCACCTGGAAAGGTTCAAAGATTGTTTGACGAACCCCGATATGCAGGATGCAAGGGGCGCACCCCACTGATGTGGGCGGTTTTGAAGGGTCGAATCAGCGTTGTGAGGTGGATGTTAAACAAGTGGTGTGTCGGAGGTGCGGGCCCCAACGTGGATCTGAGCAAACGTGATAACCAGAATTTCACAGCAATGGATTATGCAAGCTGGAGTGGATATGAGGAAATACTTTGGCTCTTACAGGGCTTCATCATTGACGACACGCCGGGCGGCAACACGGCAAACGATGTGCCTAACGCCCCGTTGTTGTCTGAATGGAGCCAACCAATGCCCTTGGACGCTCCCCAGGTGTGAATAGCGAGATATAAAATCGATGCCGTCGTAGAACCGGCAACCGGAGCGGCTCGGGCCCGATTTTCGTCATGTTTTTCCGGAGGCGGCCCGAGCTTGTTATGGTGGCCTGAGGCGAGCAGTGCATTCCCGTACGTGGTTCTCGGGCCAAGGGAAAGTCCTGGACTTGGTTCTCGGGCCAAGGGAAAGGGAGTGCGCGGGTTCATAAAACAGTGTTTCAGAGGGCAGAAGGGGAATTTGGCGTTTGGGGTGGATGGCGCTCGGGTGTATGGCGCTGGGTTTGCTGTGAGGATTCAGTCTCAAGGTTGTTTTTGAACGACAAAAAACGTACTTGCCTACTTGTAGCTTGCGGAGACCGTCAGACCTAAAATGGAAGCCGTCGGCCGGCCTTCCTCGGCAAGCCCGGACGTCGCCCCGTGTCGGGAGGTGGACCAGCTCCACGATGTCCGCACAAACATCTAGACACATATCGCGAACAGATATAAATCAAAAAGGGAGTCCTGATCCGTACATACGACCATAGCTCGCAGAAAGTTGAGGGTCCCGTCCGCTCCCCTGTACACAAGCTGCGAAGCGCCAGACTAGTAGTTGGGTCGGTGACGACCAGCGAATCCCTGGTGTTGTATGTTGTCTTGGTTTCTTTTTTGATTTTTGTTTCATCCTTCTCCGGAGTGGACTGGTGTGTGTGGTTTCGTGCCTTGTGTGTCTGTCAATTCAGTAGAAGTTTTCAATATGAGGGGATCCGTCTGGGCACCGCATCTATGGGCTAATCCATCTAGATCAGAGCAGCGCCCTGTTTCTCACTCTGTTCGTTTACTTCGATTAAGTTACTGCGAGTCTCACTGGCCCGCCCGTGGCCCCTTGCCCTTGCATGGATGGAGCACTTGATGTAGGGAAAGCGGTGTCTCAAGAGATCACGCGCTGGACATGTAGCGACAACAACCATCAAGATCGGGCCTTCATATCCAATGAAAGCCACGAACTGGACTTCTTATTAGTTAGGGAGGATCGATTCAGAACGCGGGTGTATAGTGATGGATCCAGCGTCGGCAAATATCCGCAGGATATACGCATCCTTTGACAGATCCAGAATCACCGAATTGTACCCATTGTATGAGCCCGGTTTGACCGAGTCAGACACCCGCCAGCCGTGTAACACGACGCTGGCACCCCGGTATTTGCAACCACTCCTCTAGTGTTCTGTCCCCCTAGGATGTTGATGTGTCTCAGCTTTTACCGAGGTACAGATCGCGATATCGATATACTTCATGGCACGCACGAGGACAGTCAGATCTGACACTTGGAGAACAGCCTGTCCTGTTTTGATGTCGTGGGACTTCCCAGGATTTCAATGTCTGTCCGTATTCTGCCCTTCTGTTGTCGCCACTCACCTGGCACACCTCCGTCCCTCAACTCTCCAGTCTCCGCGTAACGACAACCCTCCCGGCCTCACTTGGTTTGGGGCTCTAGTAGAGGTCGACGTCAGTTAGCGATGGTCACGGAGGTACTACCCAAGTAACTCGTCGCCCGAGGGTTCGCAGATCAGCCGTAGCACAAATAGCCCTAGACGACAAGGCGATTGGCATGCAGACCATGAAGATCTAGGGCAGAGGATGTAGACGTTAATAATTACATCCATGAGTATGTATACATCCCGTTGATCAGCTACCCTTCTATACAGTTGATTTTATTCTTTTCTTTTCTTTTTTTCATTATCAAAGACACTCTGGTTCCTTCTTGCAGGGTGGGGCCATCATTAGGTCAAATTGATCTTCCTTGCCCCTTTCCCCTCCTTCTCCCCCGAAGAGCATAAACCACTCTTCCCACCTTGACCATAGGACAGGTACGAACATGTCCTGCATGTTTGATACCTCCTACTTCATGAGTCGTTGATATTTTAGAGGCTTCCGAATCCGGACAATTAAGCGAGCGGCATGACGTCCACCGTTTGGTTCGGGTCGAGGTCCGGCAAGGCTTGTCGCCGGAAGATCGATCAGCTGGTGAAGATCAATGAATAGCCCTGTGCTTCTAGACGGCTGCAAGAAGATGTCGCTTTTATTATTTATGTCTATCTCCTCTTGCTGTAGATGGAGGCCAAATGATAACAGTAAGTAAATGAAGAAAATCATACCAACAAGCTAGAAAACCCTGGAGAACAAACTTACGTTTTACCCACTTGCGCGAGACTAAAGCGCCCTTCTTCTCTTCCGCGAAAATCTCCATGTGGTAACATTTGCTCTGCCTCAGGTTGCTCTTCTTGGGAATTCGGAGGCATGGAGGGCTCAAGGCCGGTCCATGGACCATCCTCCGACAGCCACCGAACAATCGTTCCAGGTTCATGTGAGTCTTGGGGGAAGTGTATTGGGAGGGGCTCTTGTTCATCGTGGGGTATTAAACTCGCTTGAGAGCCTGGGGGTTGGAGCGGGTGTGTTTGTCCCATGCATAGTCTCAAAAGTTGGAGTTGTCTGCTCATCCTCCTCCATGGGCTCCTGGACGTATCCAAGGGCTATTGGGGGTTTGGTTGATTGTAATAGGGTTGCTCATCCTGACTGCTTCCGGCTTTGCAGGAGAATTACGGGAAGAAGGCATGGTCAGGGATGATCGGGGTGAGCGAATGGGATGGAGGTGATGAGAGAGGGCAACGAAAATATCTATGGGTAAGAGGATGAGTAGTGAGTCGAGGACCTGGAATGGCTAGCTAAAAAGTGGAACGGGGAGGCTGAGAGGGATATACCCATTATATATATCCATACATGGCCACCGTTTGTTTCTTTTCCTATTACACCACTCTACATGGTGCTGACGAATATGAGGGGATCGTGAGAATCGGCCCCGGTCAGCCTATGGGAAACGATTCTGTGGGACGCGCCTTTGCCCTTTCCTTCCTTTTTTATTCTTGGGATTGAAAAAGGACCGTCGTCTTGGAAGTGAAAAAGGACCGTCATCTTGGGAATGAAAAAGGACCCGCAGTCTCATTTACTCTCTCATAAGTCCTTGGCGGGCAGAGTTGGTCGATGATGCCAAATTCTTCGGGGGTGGAAAAGAGGACTGTCTCTGCTTGCTCTATACAAGCCGCACTTTACCACCTGGGGGTTGAACTCTGCTAAATTTGTCATCTATAGCTTTTCTTTAATGCCACGGCATCAACGTATCTTCAATAGCCAAAGAGAGCATGATAGATGCAGCGTAGCCAGTGTGGTGTAGAAGTCAAACCAAGGGGGAGTGGAGTCTTTTGACAGAACGGAAGGGCAAAAGACCCCGTAGGGAAGCCAGACGAAACAGTTTCGAAGTAAAAGCAAACACCTGCCGAGAAAAGGCCCATTTCCCCCTGAATTGGAACCTCCCACGGTCAGCAGTCACCGAGGCCCCTTCGATACTTGCTAAACCTCCCGCCCATCGTTGCTAGACAAGGTCGCTGCATAAAACTAGACAGGATGCAGTGCTCTGGTTGGCTACTTGGGACTGCCATAGGGCGTGCTAGCTGCTTGCCTGGAAATTGGCACGCGGCTGACCTCGCGACGTCAAGACAACGATCCTAATAAGCTGCCATCCTCCCGTATTACCCCAGCATACCTTTTTCGCCGGTCTCATCAGTAAGTCATCAACCCCCGGTGGTACGAGAGATGACCCACGCATCTCGGGGAAATAGGCTTCTAGCCTATCGACGGTTTTTGTTTCATTTCCACACAATGCTTACATGTACTCACTGGGACAAATTGCGAAATCACTTAAGGAAGAACTTCTGCCACGGCAAGACTGAGCACACGCGAGTAAGGCTCCGCTTTCATCGATGAACACGCGTTGGTCGAGACTTACATATATGGACCCCGGGCCCGATTCTCCAATGGCTATGCAGCCCTCTTCTTTCGGCAGTGATGGGAAAGGCCAGAGGGTTAGTAAGAATGATAGACATCGCCTCTACATGTATACAAAGGGGAACCCCATGACGGTACTGGCTTGCTTCTGTTTGTTTTCCTTTTCTATGGGGGCTAGTCCCACCACCTCGGGTCCATAGACGTTGCTTCTTTTCTCCCCAAGCTGCTTACCATTTATATCTTGAGGTGGTGCCCCCAGCCCTGAATCACGTCGAGACAGTGCTAAAGATGTCATATTGACAACAACGCGGGAACTTCTTCGGCCACTTCTGTTGCTATTTCCATTTGGGTCTCTCACATATTCTCTCTCTTATGAAAAGTAGGTGAGGCACCATGGCTCGCACTGGAACCAGCCACTCTCTACAAGGACGTTGCATTGAGTTCACAAGTGCTATCTATTGAGAGTATACAGTCTACTTAGGTAACCAAATTATCTATTACATTTGTATATATCCGAAATACAACTCGGTAAAAAGTGCTGACAGCTGCTCATTATTTGACTCAGCCTTACTTCCGAGCAAGACGAATTATGATCGCCAATAGACATAACCCACTCCCCAAAGGCGATAGTACTACAAAATACAAAACCATAACGCCCCACACAATCAAAGCTTTTCCTTTGGCTGGGTCTATTGAGCCGTTGCCGCTCGCCTTGTCCGATAAAATAGGCTTTTGGTTCAAAGCCTCTTGTGAATCGGCTATTTCCGCCGCGTGGCCAACCCCATCAAATGTCGGCATAGTATCGCTGGCCTGCTGTACCCCAGAAACGGTAGAACTCTCTTGAAGTTCCTGCTTCTCCTGGTCACCATCATCATCTCGCCCATCGGTGTCGAGGTCGTGTTTACCGGGTCGGCTGCTAGGGTCACCGGCGGTAGATGGGGGTTCGGTTTCTAAGACTTCCACAAGGGCGTGCCTATCAGGCTCGGTCTCTTGGTCGCTTCTGACCGCTTGATCAACTGGAGGGTCTTGATCCTGCGTAGGGTTGTGATCATGCGTAGGGTCTTGATGATGCGTAGGTTCTTGATCAAATGTAGGGTCTTGATCATTCTTGCTAATCTCCCCTTCGGGAAGAGCGCGAAGCCTGGCATTCAATCGCCGTTGCTTCTGTTTTATCCTCGCCTTCTCCCGCTGGGCCTCGGACTTTGGCGTCTTTCCATTTGGCCCCGGCGATTTTGGGCTGGCATCGCCCGGTGTATGGATCTCGTCGGTCCTGAAGACGACTACGTGCTGTTCGTGCAATACCTGCGACGCCACTTCCCTGCCGCTTAACCGTACTCGATTCCTCAGCCGGAAGCGTCGAGTCTTTGACGAGATGCCGTCGAGGACGTAGGCGCGGGCTTGAAATCGACGCTTTCCCACCCGCTCGGTGGGGGTCGACGGAGTAGACAAAGGCGTGTCGCGTCCTTCCGATCAGGGCCCGTAGGCGGAAACCGGCCGACAAGGTTTCGCCGCTGATATCCGCTTGGTCCACGATGTCGACGATACCGTTGTCCGTGGGTGTAGGTGAGGCTTCCAAAATCGAGGTCCGTCCGATGCCGGGGAAAACCAGGTCGTTGTCGAGTTGGAATGCATCAGCCGCTGCAAACATTCTCGTAGGTTCCGTTGTTGTCATGATTCTTTTTTGGGGATTTGAAGGCTCGGTGATAATCACAAGGAGAAAAGGGCCCATTCGCATGAAATGTGCTGATGTTTTATGCTTTTGGGTCCATTTCGTTGGTTAGGCACCGAGGACGACGCCCATGTGTTGTGATGACGTGGTGGTGTGAAGCGCTGCATGTGTGCTGGTTCCCATTCGTTCTGTGGATAGGGCGAAATCCTGCGTTGTGTAGGGCTCCCACTGCCCATTGTCAGGTAGAACAGATTTTTTTCTCCCTCTCCTTTAGCCACGTCTCTGGTGACTTATAGAGAAGGATTGCTTTGGTTAGTTATCTTCTCGTTTATTTTCTCGGCAAAGATTGGGTCTTCAGGGAAGTAAGTCAAGAGGACAAGGTGTCTGGCATTGGGATATTTCTTGGTAGTATCTCATAAAAAGAAATTCTATTAATTGCGAGGATTGCTGCCTCGTCTAGTCTATGTTGGTATATCGTTGATGCAATCATAAAAAGACAAATAGAGAAGAAACACAAGATCGGGCCGCCATGCTAATACCCCATCCAAACGTTAGTCGCTACTGACACGACCAACTCGACAGCTCATTTTCATCACCGACGCCATCCCACGTTTGCTTCAGCGGCGCCGCGCACACGGGCCTCTGTCTCGTTTTGCCAAGCGACGGCCAGTCCAGGAATGCGGTGGAAATTAGCTCCGTCGGCGGTTCGGCACTCGCGCCGCCTTCGACCCACTCGACAAGTGCGTGCAGCGCATCGTGGTGGGGCCCGTCGACGCCCGTGGAATTGGGCATGTACCAGCGAGAGCGGGGCATGTACCAATGCGTCGGGGGTTTTAACGTGTTGCCGACGCCGCCAATGTACCACGGAACGCCGGGGGCGCCGGTGCCGAGATCCACACAGTGGGGCATGCCGGGCAGCTCGAAGAATCGCAAGTTCGCGTTGGCAGTTCCGCCCGCCGCATCGAACGCGCGGCGCGTACCGGCGGTGGAGACGAAGCCGTCGGCGGTACCGGTGTAGAGGATGGTTTTCCCCGACCAGGAGCGGAGAACCGAAGGGTCGGCGTTGGCGCGCACGCGGTCGTCCCAGGCGTTGGACATGTTGACGAGGCGGGCGCCGTTGACGTCGTTGTCCCAAATGACCTTTTCGCCAATCATGTACTGGGAGAACTCTTGGTCGAAGCCCATCATGGTCACGGGGAAAGGAAGATGCCGGCGTCGAGGATGGAGGTGATGTCGAAGCCGTCGCCAGCGTACGTGGCGTTGGAGGGAGGCACGGCGAATTCTTGCGCAATAGTCATCCACGCCTCGCGCTGGGATACAGTGACGCAGTTTCGGTTGCCCGCCGTGCAGTCGAGCCCGTGCCAAACGTCGCCGTGGATGCCGGAGTCGAGAAAGTGCCGGAGACAGGCGGCGGAGTCGCGGACGACGTTATCGCGCACGGAGCCGTCGAGGCCGTTGCACTCGTCGTGGATGCGGGTGCCGATACGGGAGAGTACGTTGGGGTCGAAGACGCCGTTGTGCAGGCCGTAGGTTTGGCCGAGCCAGCCCACGCGGGAGAGCACGGCCATGGCGGAGCGGACGTTCCAGGCCGGCGCGCCGATGAGCATGCCGTCGAAGCTGTCCGGGTCTTGCTCGACCTGCCGTATCCCTTGGCGGCCGCCAGTGGAGCAGCCCGAGTAGTAGCGTTTGAGGATGGGGAGGTCTTCGCCGTAGTAGGCCTCGACGATGGCCCGGGCAAAGGGCAGAGACCGCTCCATGGCGCGCCACGCCCAGTCGACCTGGGCTTCGTGCTTGTTCTCGGCCCATGCCATGCCGCGCTCCTCGTGGCCCGTGTTGGTGGACATGACGGCCCACCCGTGCACGGCGCGGGTCAGCATATCGGGACGGCTCACGCCGCCGTTGAAGCCGCCGTTGCCGACGGTGAGGAAGCGGCGGTTCCAGTCGGTGGCGTTGGGGAGGAAGATTTCAAAGGCGGTCCCGTCGCCGCTGTCGTTGGGGTCCGGCGTTAGGTTGATGCGGATGCCGCAGAGGCCTAAGAACCCTTCGTCCCGGGCGTCGTGGGGGTAGTCGCGGTCGGTGGCCGTGTAGGGCGAGCCGCGGGCGAGGGAGCCGCCAAACGTCTTGATGACGCTGGCAAAGGTTGTGTCGACGCATCGGGGAGCGCGGCGTAGGCGTAGGGGAAGAACGGCTCCGGTTGGGAGAGGACGACTTGCTCGAGTCCCTGCATTGAATGGATGAGGGACGGATGTAGCTTGGTGGGTGGTTTGTTGAGAAGAGAGCGAAAAGAACCCCCTCTGGTTTTCCGCCGATGCCTGAATTACGACGTCAACTTCGTGCGGTTCCCGTTTTTTGTTGGATGAGCTGAGTCATCTGCGTTGAGCCAGTAAACTCGGTTGCATGGCGCAGCGAGCCGCGCAATCCAAATATTGGTTCTGGCTGCTTTGGTATATATTCGCGAGGATGCGTAAATTACAGGGGTGGCTGGGCAAGAGGTGGCGGGCCAGCTCTTGTGACGTCCCCCATTGGAACGGGTCATCTCCCCGCTTGCAATATTATGTTCCGGTTATGGTATACAATGTAAGTTGGACTAGGCAAAGGGGCCTTCGCCTCTACCAGTCCTCTTCAGCCCGCGTTTATGGGCATGGCCAGTCTCCCCAACCCTCTACATTACCCGGCGATGTGTCCCGCCAAACGCCGGAATACTAGGCGGCAATCCAATGTAGGAGGCCAAACAAGCAAAAACATTTGCGCAGTATCAGATACAAAAAGCGTAGCTTATATCTATGTAATGGCGTTTGAGCCAAATGTATTTACTGTCATGAGAAAAGAGTATCATACATGAAGAATATACCAAACCCAACGGCGGGACTAGTCTTCCCCACACGCAACTACCACCGGTGTCGGCTGAGGCCCAACCTGCACCATGGTAGTCGTCCTCCAAAATGAAAATACGTCCGTCGTCTCGAGAGTCGAAACTGGTTCAAACGTTTCGACGGCAATGTACTTGGCTTCGATGTTGGTGTAGCCCGTCCGCACGATCGTCGCGGGATAGTCGGGCCCTATCGTCTCAATGTAGGTGACGCGCTCCGTCGTGAACCACTCCTCCCGCTCTCGGCCCGCCAAATCGGACACGTATGTGATGAGGAAGGAAGTGGAGCTGGTGTAAACAGAGGTGAGAGCCTCTTCTCCGGGTTGCAGCGGCGGTGCTGTGGGCTGCGGCGCGTCGCGGGCTACGTCCGTGTTTCCGGAGAGGGTCCACGTTAGATCTTGGCTGACGGTGCGAGTCTCGTCTTCGACGAAGAGCGTGGAGATGGCCTCGCCGACCACGGTAACACCATTTTCGGGCCAGTCGGCTACTTCGCGGGGGCCTAGCACCGAGACGACGGCGGTGGCGACGGTATCTTGCTCGTTCGGTCCGGCGCACTGGGTCCCTACCGGCAGATCCCTGGTGTAGACGGCGGTGTGAAGGGATTCATGCGACGGGCTCGCGCTCTGTAGGACGGAGTTTTGCGGAAGAGCGTGCGTGGTGGCGATGAGGAGGAAGCCGGTTAAGGCGAGGGGTGGCGGGGGTGAGAAGCATAGTGATGCTTCAGGTCTCGAAATTTCCCTCGTGTCTCTCGATGTATTGTTTGAGTCGGTCGCTTTCTCTCAATCACCTCACGAGGACTCGAGATGTCAGGGTCAGCTCATCAACTTTTTTGTTCGCCTGGAGCTAAACCTGACCGGAGAACGGGCGAGCTTTAATCGCAGCGAGGAAACGAACAAAAAGAACAGCGGTACGAAAGAAATCACCTTATTACTTTGGGGAAACCCCTCATTCGGGATTTACTCCTCCGTCTAGGTACCCTAATGTGGTACAATGAGGTTTTTTTCGGCCTTTATTTTTATTTCGCAGTTAGGAATAAAGTGCTGGGAAGCCAGTTGACCGCAAAGATTAGCCAATATTCCGGCACGGTAGCAAATCAGAATAAGCTTCCCCGGGTCGGATAAAGAAACGCACTGGCGAACGTTTTCGCCACCTAGAAACAGCTAGCAGGAAACAAGCCTCGAATCCTCTGTTCCATTCTTGTGGTTTTGTTACATGTCCGAATTCCGCATCGAGTAAATGGCCCTTCAGTCTTGTGACTGCGTCTTCTCATTTGGGCGTAAAACTAAGCTTAGTACACCATCAACCACCCGATGAGGATATCCCCAAAGGCCAACTAGCCCGGGCTTGCAATCCTGCCGATTAATAATCTGCAGTCTACCGGGAGCGGGTGGACTGTACCTGCTGCGCAGTCTCGACTTTTAGTCCCTTTCCCACAACTAGCTAGAAGTGGGCTATTCTTCCGCAGTTTATCCTATTCCTCTGCTATTTTTATTCACCCTGAAGGTTTTGTACGTAGGCTACTGGTGATCGACTAATCAGTGTGACTCTTCTATAGTAGAGTTGTTCTAAAGAAATAGGCTTTGCTTTTGCGCTTTTGCCGCGTCGTTCTACCTTGAAAACCGAAAATTAGAAGATACATGGGTAATGTTCTCGCTGGGGACAAACGCGCTTTGGTAACCAGGTGCAGGAGACCTTAGGTGGTACCGAGGAAGGGGAGTTCCCCGTAAGCGCTTGGAGAGCACTTAGACAAAGGTGGGAGCCGGTATGTTGGTGATGTGAAGCAGTTGGTTATATCCTTAGAGGAATGCGTGTCGTATACGATACTAGCCCTTGGTAGAAATCGTGCATGTATAGTATGTTGGTGATGTGAAGCAGTTGGTCAAATCCTTCGAGGAACGTGCGTCGTATATGACACTAGCCCTTAGTAAATATCATATGGTATATATGCTGGTATGTTGGTGATGTGAAGCAGTTGGTCACATCCTCAGAGGTGCATCGTACCTAGGACTCGGCCCTCAACCAGTTTTCATCATTACGATCTAGCGTATATGTTGGTGTGTTGGTGATGTGAAGCAGTTGGTTACATCCTTAGAGGTGCATCGTATGTGGGACTCGGCCCTTACCAAGCTTTCAATACTACTCCGTCGTACGTATGTCGGTGTGTTGGTCCCAAACTTCAATCACCGCTATGTTGATCAAGTGATATATAGTAGTTGTCATAGCCTCAGGTAGCAAAGAAAAAAATCATATAAATATCACCAGAAACATCTCTCTTCAATATCTTCACCGTTAACTAGTATCATCTTCTCCCGTTTCATACCATCGATTATCATTCCTAACAACCTTCCTCCGAACAGACATCAGCCCAGAAGACCCGCCCTATTTTAAATTGCAACTATGTCTAAATTACTTTTACAAGTTGCTACCTTTGCGTCTCTATTCCTCGACGTTTACTCCGCGCCAACAAACGTCGCTGGGGTAGAAGTTGCCGGCCTTAGCCCTGATCTCCCGCCGTATGAGATCTTTATCGAGGGACCCTCGGACTCCCTTACGCTGGAATCAACGGGTATTTCACCAGCCCAGTTGTATAATATGTCATTGGAGCTTGTCAACAATCCTGAACTGTTTGCGTCCGAGCTAGAAGCACGAGACTTTGGGCCATTGGAAAAGCGATATACCGATAGATGCCTCTCGCCAGATAACCCGTCTGATCCATGGAGCCAGACTGACCCCTAAGTATTGCGGCATGCTTCTTGTTCCTCCATAATCTTGGCACCAAAGCATGCACGCCTCAGGGGTCCGGTTCATATATGTGCAAGGCGTCCCGTCCTGGGGTGGGGCCTGCTTATGTCAGCGGAATGGGACACCCAGATCCGACGTCGCGACCCACGAGTCACTGTCAGGACGTCGCAAAAGCTGTTGGCTGGGTATCACAAAATTGTGCATCGTTCTATTCTCCCCCAGGCTTTTATGGCAAAGGGGTTTCGCAGCTGCGTATGGAAATGGTAACTTTGTCGTAGTGACGTTAGGTGTACCCATGTATTATGGCGACAAGCCCCCGCCAAGGTGAACGGGACTAAGGTGCACGGCGGTAACTGATAGTCAATGGATAGGTACATTGTATTGAAGGTTCTACCTTGCTGCTAAGATAGTCGGACGGGCGGTGTCCGACTGATCGGATGGACCGGAGAGGAGAGAACCACTTCGCCTCGGGAAAAGGAGCAAGGCAAGAATAACTTACATGTACATAAGGAAGCAAGTAGGCCTCAGAGAGAAGGAAGTTCCCTATCATTTCTAGTAGTGAATTCAAATCACACCTGACCCCTATACCTACATATAAATTAAAACTAGCTGATGCCTTGACATACTTCGTAGGATGAGGAGAGAGGTTCTTTACGCGGTTGACACGGACTTGGAGTTTAACGCTAACAAGCTCAGACGCTCAGAAGAGAGGGAAAGCACATCAGTGCTAATGGCGCTTTAGACGTCAGCGCTTGGCGGGTGGCGCTCGCTCCGATCGATGCAAGGTTGGAAAAAGTCCGATTGATCGCAGCTGCAAGAGTTTAAAGCGAACCCCCAATCCACTGAGAGAGGTACGGCTATGTCTTCCCTGTATGTATGTAACCAATGTAACGCGAATATGAGGATAATTGTGCGTCAGCAAGTTTGACCCGGGGCGAATTTTATGTTGAAGCTGCGAGGAATGATGAGAGAACGTTGTCAGTGGAAAATACACTTTGAAGATGAGAGATATCAGGTCATGGGATAAGAGCGGAAATATAGTACCAAACAGTGATGAAGATGAGGGTATAAAGCAGGGTCTCATGGCCCTGGTTAACACGGCGGTTTCCCGCCTTGTTCGATTACCTCAATTCTCAAGGGCAACTTTTGCACTAAATAAGTTTCTATATCTATCTTGCCACATCTCAGAATCATTTCTTCATCAATCACAATGGACGACCGATCCAACCAGGCCCGAGGCCACAAGGCCACACTCACTAACCCGCGTGTCTCTGAGGATGCCAAGCAGCACTCGCGCGACATCCTTGACGATGAATTTGATGATGACACTACGTACTCGGACAAGCTCCCTGAGAACACCGAGGGAAAGAACCCGGGGAACGTGTAAGTATCCTTTTGCTTTAACCTACTTACCCCCAGTTTGCTCTCGCGAGGTGATGAAGCACTAAAACGTACGTTTCCACATGTAGGGCCGGCGGGTTGAAGGCTGCCGTTAATAACCCTAACGTGTCAAGCGGTGCAAAGAAAGATGCACAGGATCGGCTTGATGCCATGTGATGATGGATCCACGAGGGTGTGTGTCTGCAAAATAAACTTTTCATCGAGGAATATCAATACATGGATGGCTATAAAACAAATCCCAATGCCAGTGCAATGACCGCAACAGGTGCAGGAAGCGATCGTAGTCTTTCCCTATATATGTGACTAGGAGGTCCCCACACCTACACAGTCTTCAGAAACCTGGCGATAGCCCTCATCATCACCCCGTCCTTATACCCCATGAAAGCGTCGAGCGCCGGCTGCACATGCACCTCCCCGTTGCACTCCACCGACACGAAATCCTTGCCATCTAACACGCTCAAGTCGGTACCGCTATCCGCCACCACCAGCTCGCCCCGAAGATGGTTCTTCGCGAAGAGGTTGCAGCTGTCCACCAGCACCTCGGCCGACCCTGAGGTCACCAAGGCCTTGGATACCACTCCAGGCTTGCCGGCGCGCCCAAACGCAGCATCCCACACCGCAGAGGCGGCGGGCGCATCACACAAATTGGCCCAGACCTCACCTTCAGCGGGATTCCACTCCGCTTTGAACTGAAGGGCCTGCGGCCGATTGAGGTAGTCGTAGGCATCGTTGGTCGCGAAGCTGGCCTGATTCACATGCATCATGGTCCACGGGCACACGAAAACGGCGGCTTTGAGGGTGTGGCCCGCCAGGTCGACGGGCGCGGCGTAGGGCGAGGGCGATGCCAAATGGGCGAGGAGAGAGCCGACGAGGTTACCGCCGGCGCTATCACCCGCGAGGACGATGTCGTCGACGCTCAGATGCGAGTCGCCTTCGAGAAGGTACCGGAAAGCGGCGACAGCCTGCACCAGCTGTGCGGGGTACGGATACTCCGGCGCGAGAGCATACTCGAGAAAGACGACCTCGCGCGCGCCGCACGCCTCGGCGCACTGCAGGGCAAACGGCACGTGGCCGCCCGCGCGCATCGGGTTCACGTAGCCGCCGCCGTGGAAGTAGAGGAGTGTCGTCGCGCCCGATTGGTCGCTCGCGCCGGGGGCCGCGATGAAGTGCAGCGTCGGGGCCGGGACGTCGAGCCCCGCCTTGTACGTGGTGCTGGAGGCCTCGAGTTGGACGGTTTTGACGACGAGGCCTTTCTTGGCGCAGTAGGCGATGATGCCCTGGCCTGTGAGCTCGCGGCGGAGGTTACGGCGGCGAACGCCGGCGGGGACGATGGCGCGCTGGGCGCGGATGAAGGCGAGGGCGAGCCTTTGGCGCCAGTGGAGGGGAGAACCGCGCTTGAGGGCGAAGGAAGCGAGCCATCGGAGGACTGTAGGATGGGAATCAATCTCTTAAGCTTCAATGGAGGGTGGGGTAGGGTGGTTTGGGAATATTCACGGGGATGGGGTGAGCTTACGAACTAGGGGAGGAGGCCGAGAGTTAGGGTCTTGTCGGTTAAGCTGACTGCCGCGGAGGGCTTTGAATATCGCGGCAGAGTCATAATTTTGTGTTCAAGAGGAGAAAAAAATGACGGTGAGAAGTGCTTCTGAGTGGATGGTGGGTTGGGTTGGGTTGACGTTCTCGGTGAGCTTGGTGGACTGGAGGAGTAGGGGTGAGCGGGTTTAGCGATTCAAGGGTCCACGCGGCGATGTAGCACGTCCCTAGCTTGATGGTGTGGCTGGGGGTTCGTGCCGAGGCAACTCTCCACATAGCTCATTTGGGTGTTTTAGCTTCACGCTTATTTCATGGGGGTGAGACAGACAATGGGGAGTTAAAATCAGGTAGGAAACATGGCAAGCGCAGCACTCCGTAACATTTCGACCCAAGGGTTAATATTACCAATGTATCGTCGATGTTCCATCAAGGATGTCATCAAGAATGTCAGCTTTTTCCCTTTCATCCTTCAGGATCAACTGACTATTACTATCGACAAGGATCGGGGGTCAAATGAAGCCATGGCCAGAGACAACTAAGACTCGGACTCTCACGTTTCACGCTTCACGGCACACGAAGGGAATGCCCATTGTTGGCAATTATTAGCTAGAGATGAAGGATACGCCCATATTATTGAATAATTTGAAATCCAAAAAGAAAGAAAAATTAATGACTTGGTACACGCTTTTGCTTCAATTTCGTTAATCGTGACAAGTATACTACTGCCTTGCAGCATAGATGTAAAGAGATAGAAGGCAACGACGGAGGGAGAGGCAAATTAGAAGGGGGAATTGATTTCACGTTCACCCTAATGAGCGTTCGCTTTACATCTATCTTTGAGCAGCCACGTTCAGCCTCAGACCATCTTGGCCCTCGGTAAAGTTGATCTGCGTGGTCTTCTTAAGGTCCTTGGACGACTCGTGCACGTCGGCACCCCTAAAGAGCGACTGCGTGCGCTCGTCGAAGCCATAGGTGAGGGTCGGGTACGCGCTCTCCTTCCACACGGGGAGACCGAGGCGCCAGGTCTGGAACATGATGACGATGAAGTAGAGGAGACCGGCGAGGACGGCAATGATGGGCGCGAGGAGGAAAGGCCAGTCAATATTGACGAGGAAGATGAACTCCTGGACGGTGCCTTGCTGGGTAGCGCCGCCAGCGTCGCGGTTGTAGACGGAGAGGCGCTGAGCGACGAGCTCAAAGGTGCGCGTAAAGTTGGAGGAGACGCCAAGCAGCGGGGCGAGGGCGGAGATGGCGCTATTGCGGGCGTTGGTAGGGAAGACGAGTAAAGTCTCATTGGTGGGCGCGAGGCCGAGGGTGAGCTCCTGGATCCTCCGCTGCATGCCGAGGATGCTGGCCTGGGTAAAGTTGAAGATGAGCTGGCTGGACCCGGCGCCCAAGCTGGTGGCCTCGGTGGCGGGGATGGCGACCTGCAGGTCGGTACGGAACTTGGGCTGGTCGTCGAGGGAGGGGAGACGACGTCGGCGAAATGGCGCGAGTCCTCATCGGTGGCGAGGCTGCCCCATGTCTTGGGGACCCTGTTGCTCCACTCCCGCACGCGTGTCTCGGTAAGCTCGCCGTTGCTAGCGGTGGCGTTGATGGCGGCCGCGCACATGTACAGACCGCACTCTGTTGCTTCAATGGTGGCGTCCTCCCAGAACTCGTCCATCTGGACAAAGTTCTCGGGGGCCCTGAGAAACAAAAGGCGATGAAGAGGGTGTCGAGATCGGTCATGCTAATCGTGGTGGTGTAGTCGGTGGTGACGTTGGCCGTCAGGACGACGAAGCCCGAGGTGGCGCCCTGCGTGGTCGGGACGGGACCGCGCCCGTCGGGCCGACTGGCAAGGCCGTTGTACTGCTTGATGTTGCCGTAAGGGGCGTGGTACTCGGTGCAGTCGGCGATGAGGATGGCGTTGTTGCCCATGGCCTGGTTGGTGCTGTCCTTGGAGCTACACTTTGTACGGGGGCGGCGGACGACGGAGCTGCTAACGTCGCGGCACGTGCTGCACACGGCAGCGGTGGTGAAGATGGGCCAGGTGCAGTTGCCGGTGGGGCAGGCGAAGCTGCCGAGGGGGTTCTGGGCGACGAGGGGGTTGCTCACGCCGCCGAGGGCGAAGCCGTCAAAGATGGCGGCGGTGAGGCCAAAGTCCTGCTGCAGGGTGAAGATGTCCTGGCGGGTGCCGTCCGCGAACGCGAAGGTGCCGACGCTGCCCCGGCGTCGGCGAGGTGGCCGAGGCTCATGTTTTGCGCGACGGAGATGGTGGAGTTGAAGGTGAAGCGGCTGAGGGCGAGTTGGCCGCTGAGGTTGACGGTGGCTTGGAGGAAGGGGTCAAAGGTGACGGTGAGGACGGTGACGATGGCGCCGAGGATGGCCCAGTTTCTGTATTTTGGGGGAGGGGAAATTGTCAGCGTTTTGATGGATGTTTTTCTTTTGGGGGCATTCGCTTGAAACGATTCTAGCACTCACATCGACCTCGTAAAAACGAGAAGCCCCAAGCTCCCCACGGCCCACGACTCGCCGAGTCAAACACCTCAAACAGGCTCACGTTGCCCTGGTGCTGCCGGAACCAGTTCCACTTTTGCTGGCCGAGGCAGGCGCTGATGGTGAAGGCCAAGCTGACCTTGGAGATGACGCCGAGGGTGGACACGACGGTGTTGATGGAGGCGGGGAAGGTCCAGTCGACCACGGGCTTGCCGTTCTGCACGGCCATGACGACGATGGCGGCGAGGAGGGCGCCGATGCTCAGCAGGATGGAGCCGATCTCGAGCAGCCACGCGGGGACGGGGAACCGTCGGCGCAGGGTGTTGGGGCGTTCGGCATCGTGCGGGCCGGGGCGGCGTCGCCGATGACGTGGTAGACGCCGCTCTTGTCGGTGCCGAATTGGCCGGGGCGGAGGAGAAGCTCGAGGGCGGCGCGGGGTGGGCCGGGGTGCTGGTGATGGCGGGGGTGCGTGGGAGGCGACGGGGACGCGGGCGGGGATGCCTTGGTCGTAGCCGCTGTGGTAGGAGAGCTCGGAGGGTCGAAGGGGAGTAGTTGCCGTGGTCGCGATCGCGATCGCTGTAGTTTTGGTGGGACATGGTGGTGGGTTGGGTTCGGGGGTTTCGAGGGGTTTAGGTCGAAGGGGGAAATGCCTGACTAGGCTGTGGTCATTCGATGAGGATGCGTCCCGAGACGAGCAAGAAAAAAAGACAAAAACAAAAGAGGGTATCAAAAGAGCAAGCAAAAAGGAATGGGAGGACGTCTCTGCCGTCTTGCACTTCTCGTTTTGGTCACCAAAGGTTGGTGATCTCAAAGTCCTCCCAGGAGTGTGTACTGGTTTTTCTCTCGACCATTTCGGACTGGTGTCCTATAAAGGGGTCAATAGCCTTATCTATGGATTTCTCCACGTTCGCCGCAAAGGGCGAGGGGCAATGAGGAACGGGTAGCGAGGTTGGGGACGTTGCATTGCTGATGGATCCGCGATTCCTTCTTGGCAGCAAAGCGGGTCTTCTGAAACCCATGAGAGAGCGCCAGCGAAAGGACGAAGCTGTTTGGCATCGCTTGAAGAATTTAATTTTCGGAGCAGGGACACGCACGAAAAAGAATACATGGTCGGGGAGCGAGTTTGGGAGGTGACAGAGGTGACAGAGGTGGCAGAGGAGTGGCGGCCGCCGTCCCTTCCGTACCCTGCACGACGGATCCTACAATCTGCGGGAGGGGCTGTGTCCTGTGCCTAACCGGGGTTGAATGAGGACAATCACAGCCGTCAATTGGCCCAGTCCGCTCGCTTCAGACGCAGAAGAAGGGAGGACGGTCGGACCATTATTGGGCTGGATAGGGCTGGACCGGATTTTCGCCCCTTGAGCCATCGGTCCTTTGATGATCGATGGATGCGTCGAATGTGTGTGCCACGGACACACAGCTTGGAGGTCGTGGGCATGGAAATGAGAGAAGAAGAAAAAAAGAGACCATACCAGATGGATGCGTTGTCCTCGAGATTTCCGTCGACCCGCCAGGCCTAGATTGGGTGCACCGCCATCGCAACACTTTAGCGCGTTTCTTAGGACTTGTCTGAGCTAGCTTGCCGCCCGCGAGCCAGGATCCCGCGACGCTAAGGAATCGGGTTGCGCAGTGTGTGCCCACCATCGTTGTTGACTTTGGGGGAGGCGCTTAAAAATGGCGACCCGACCCCTGGGGCCAGGACGTGGACGAATCGTCCTGTCTTGGATCTCGCGCGACTGCGCCAGGCGGCCACCGAGCTAAAAATGGGCTTTGTTTCAAGGAGGCAGAGTAAGACTGCAGGGCTTGTGGCGGTTGGTGGCGCCCTTGTCTTTGTGAATCCCCAATCGAATTGCTGCATCCACACATCTCTGGGTCCCTCGCTATCTCTGGCTCTGTCTCCCACTCACTGGTTCAGCATTCTCCCTAATACCTGCCCCAGGTCTTCGGATCAGAGAGGACAGAGCTGTCTTTCCCGAAAGCCAACAGCCACAATTACGCCATCTACAATCAAACGGCCAGATCTATCCTCAACCTCGATTCATCCAGCGGATGAGCGATGGACATTTGGGCGGCCGATGCCGGTGCCCTGGCCGCCCCTTATTTCTTTTCCTTTTTCTCTGCTGTTCCCAGTCAGAACTAGCTCCTGAATGCTGACAAACATTTGTGGCTCGACAAAGGATCTTACCCAACGCTCTTCACTTTCAGCGCCTTCTACCGGGGACAATGCTTCGTGATGTGCTCGCCGGATTAGGTATGCATTTCAATGTTGTGGCGGGAGTGTTCCTGTTCCCGACACGAAGCTCCTACACCACCTAGCTCCAATGTGGTGCTAGCTTTTCAATCGTTTTTTGTCAGCGATACGATCCTAAAATCCTCCTCACTTCAGCTGCGCAGCCGACTCGGAGCCCGTTTTTATTCAAAGGAAGGAGCAGCTCTGGCAGCGCGGGCTGGAACTTGACGGAATTGTCTGCCAGTCACATGACCTGGATCCCAAGTCGTGCAGTCTCTCCACTCCGGTTGTTCAGGGGCGGCCTTTGTCTGCCCATGCTGACACTTTGCGGTAATAATACCCAATGTCCTAATAATGCACGTGTGGTCTGACCTGCGTTGCTCTTGCTTTCTATGAACGCCATTGATCGGCGACACAGTGACAAAAATGTACCGACTCTCGCCCAGCACTCGCGTGCCGGGTTTCGGCAGTGACGTTGGGACACACCGTTTAACCTAACGAGTTTGTTTCTTGTTCCTTCTTCGTGAGATCTCCACGTCTCCATAGATGTCTTGGGAGAAGATACTCTCTCAATTGGCCTGATCTCTCATAATGATCTATTGCCCACGTTCCCCATTCTGTAAATAGCACCCATGCCTCACGCGAGCTCCACCCCTAATTCCAGCCACGACAGACGATGTTGTACTTGCATGTGGCGCTGTGAAGAGAAGCAAGGCAGGGCTGATGGGGTCCCCGCATCCGCTGCAACCTGGAAGCTGACCCCTGCAAAGAACGGCAGGAATAAGATGAACAGCTGAGCAAAGACGCGCCTGCCTCCCGGAATTTTTCATTTCGTTTCTTTTTTTCTCCTCTCGAGATTCAATGAGGCTCAAAACAGTTGGCTCGAGGGAATCGTGAACGACTTATACCTCGTCGCACGGGATCTCAATGCGACGTGCATAATACCATCTCTCTGCGAGCATTGTTTATGCACTCCTAGCATCCCAGACTTTCCCCGCGTGGTACGCTCTCGCAGTCAAACCCCCGCTGCTGTAGCTTCGCAACCCCGCGGCAGCCGGAACGAACCCCAGCCGCGATGTCGGACAGTTACGTCCCCGACGGCGAGCTCGCTCTACATCGCGATCCCGGTCCCCCACGCGCTACGAATGGACAAGGGACGATCCAAGGACGCGCTCGCGCTCCAATTCGCGTCCGCGCCACCGCTCCCCGTCCCCAATCCTCCGGCCCTGGTCCCGCTCCAGCTCGAGCTCCAGCGCCCCGGCGGCCCGGATTATTCGCCCCCGCGCACGTGTCCGGTCGCCGTCACCGCCGAGTCCTCCTCGGAGGAGGGACAGCGGGGTACGATATGGCGAGGAGGCGCGAGGCACGCACGAACCCTTACGAAGCCCGCACACCTTTTTCAGTGAGTCTATCAAACAATTCATCCCCATTGATCCTGCTCCTTGACTCCTCGTTTTGGCTGGCCCCGGCAAGAAACCTGACACGAATGCGTGACGCAACCACTAGTATGCCCCGAGCTACGCAGCGTCTGGCCCGCGAGGCTCAAACCCTTACAGGGCGGGAAGGCATGGCAGGTCCGCGACGAGCCCCTTGGGCTACGGCGTTCGTTTCGAAAGGGAGAGGGAGAGGGACAGACGCCACCACGGCGACGACGACCTACGCACCGAAGACTGGCCCCTGGCGGACGAATGGTTCGACCAGGACGACAACGCGCCCTATTATTCCTTTTCCCTGCCCCCGCTCTCGAGATCCAGCTCCGTCGCCACGTCGGCAGCCGTGCCCGCCTCCCTTATGCTGTCCCTGGCCGAGGACGACTCCGTGACGGACCGGGATTCCATGTCCCCCACCAAAAGTCTGGGCGCGCCGTGTCCACCTCGTATGTGCTCGACTCGGAGTACATTGGCAAGGGCGTTGGCAGCGACATCCAGTCTGCGCGGCTGACGGTGATGACGGCCCCGCAGGCTCATGTCCATCCCCTGTTTCGATGGATGTAGGTTTCGTCCCAGTGGTGGCGGCTTTGGGTTGCCCAGGTGGATATCTTCTCTCTTTGCGTTACATATCTAACTCCTTGATATCATAGGCACTTTACGTCACCGACCATGGACTTTGACGCGTTCCAGGTAAGGCCAAGCCGAGTTCTCCTCTCTTCTCTATCTTTGTTTACAACCTTCTCTTGCCCATCATAGAAGGCGGATATAGTTATACTAACCTGTTCTACCCCTAGGACGAAATCTCCCGCGTTTCCGGCCTCGTATCCGCCGAGCGCAAGGCCCTCACGAAACTCATGACCGAGATCAGACAGTCCTACGTCAAACCCATCCAAATCTCCAACAGCAAAACTGTCCGCCACATGGAACCCACCTTTATCCAGGACCTCATCCCGGCCGCCACCTCATCCGTCAGCGCCGGCAAGGAATCCACCGCTCGGCCCCGTCCCATCACCTGGATCTGCTTGCCTTACTTTAGCTTAGAAAAGTACTCGGGCCTCGAGAGCGGCGCGAGCTTCCCCGTCCAGACCCTGCTGCAGGCCCAATTTTCCCGCGCGGACAAGAAGCGAGATATGCAGCAGGCCGTGGTGAGGGCGAAGCTGGCGGGTGAGGGAGAGTGCTTCCACATAGCCCAGGTGTGGTGTGTCGTGCTCGACAACAGTACGTGCCTCTTTATTTCCTATCGATATCTGCTCTTTCACCTTTGCCGATCCCATGCTTGATGGTTTTGTGGTTTTCTAATCTACGGCGAGAATATTGTCTGCGTTCTTTACTAACCTAGTTGCGCTTAACCCTTTTTGTAGCATTTCTCTTCACATGCGCTCGCCATCCGGAGACGACGCTCTTCGGCCAAACCATCGAAAGGATAGTCAAGCCTCTCGATGAACTCGGGCCGGCCATGACCAAGGAGGTGAAGAGCAGCATGGCCTTTATTCTCGTCCGCTTTGCGAATGCCGTTGTCTGGAAATTCCCCCTCGAGGAATCCCAGACCTGGGTGGTGAGTCTACTTAAAAGCTCTGGAGAATCTGCCCAGAAATCCCTCCTGGTTCCATTCTAATGTTTTCTTTGGAAATTGGTGCTGGACACGCAAAACTCACTGACATTTGCGCTAGGCCTTCATTTCCCACTTCCGCGAGCTTCTCCCAACACCCCTCATCTTCCACCATGAAAAGACTCGTGTCACCGCCAAGGAGTGGCCCGCCCTCGTGCAACGGGCCACCAAGATCAAGCTCGTGCTCGACCTCTCCGTAGACACGTATGCGCCTATTCCGCAAAGCCTTGTTGAGCGCCTCGGCGTTTCCCGTTTCACCCGCCCAGTCTGCTAATTCTTATCTTTAGGTGTCCACCCAAACAAGCGCCCTCCGGCGTCCTTCCTCCCGTACCTCACCACTACCAGCAAGAAGCGACCAAGACGGAGACCCCATCACCGGCTCCCGCGCCCGCGACGGCAAGCGAGGAGGTCGTGAAGGGAGCGTCGCCAGAACCCCTAAGCCGTCGAGACCCGCCCGCCAACCCCAGGTCGTGACCCTCCCCGACCCCAACCGACCATTTGCCATCTTCTCCTTCCTCGAGGGCGTCTACTCGGCCAAGACCGGCGCCCTCGACCAGCCCAACCTGGTCAAGCAGATGACCGCCATTTCCGACTTCCTGCACACCCAGACCGGTTTCAGCGACCGGAAATCGTACCGGCGCTGCGCCGGCTCCTCCTACTACGAGGTGCACAAGGCCATGGAGCTGCGCGGCGCGGCGCTCTCCAGCGCCTCGGACAACGCGGAGAAAAAGACGCAGACGGCCGAGTACGAGGAGCAGATTGACGTGGTGAGCGCGGGGCTCGAGGTGTTTAGCGCCTTTATGCCTCACTTGAAGGGCGTGCCGACCGCGAGCAGGTTCTGGGGTGCCATACACCGGATCGTCGATGTAAGCGCCCACCTATTCCTCCCATTCCGTACCTCCGTCTTCGTCTCTAGCACCGTCTCTTTCTTCCCTTATTCCTTTCACTTCCTTCTATTATTGAGCGTTACAAAGGCGGATCTAACAGTTTGCTTTTTTCTTTCGGATAGCCTCCCGCCTCCGCGTCGTCCTACGAAACCCGCCCCACGATACGGTTGCGGGATCTCCGGGTCTACCTACGGAGAATGAGCATGACGCTCGCGGGGTTCAAGAACCTCTTCGTCAACGCGACCCGCAAAGACCTTGCGAGGGTCACGGTGCCTGAAGACATGGTACTGGCGTGGATCCACCTGCTCATGGGCATCATCTACCTCCCCAACGACCCTTTCCGGGCGGAGCACTTCTTCAGCATCGCCGAGGGACTGATCGAGGACGGACTGGGCAAGATGACGATGGCTCTCTCGGACACGGCGCTGTCTGATAAATCGGTGATCCTGCCAATGGAAGTATTTTCTCTCGTCGCACTGGGACTCATCAGGAACAACAACCCGAGCCTGGCGAGTGTCTCGGTCACTTATTCTCAGTACCTCTCCTTTTTGGTAAGCTCTTCTCCTTCTCCACACGGTTTCTCCCCACCCCTCTGTTACGGAAAGATAGCCTTCTCCCACCTTAAACTAATCGTGGCCATGCTCTTCTGCTAGGATTCCGAGATGAAATCAACACGCCCCAATCGCGCGCACGAGCGCCGCCTCGCCATGCTCAGACAAGAAACAACCCTCGTGCTCAAGACCCTCTCGAAGCAAGAATACATCTTCAACAAGCTCGATCGGGCGAGCGAGCGGCTCCGCACCGCGCCGGCCGCAGCCCTACGATCTGAAATGGACGTGACGCGCCCGCTCATGCCCCTCAAGCCCCTGGCCTACGCCACCGCCGAGTATCGCGAACGCAGCTTGCCAACGCACAACCTGCGGCACGGCCACGGTCACGGGCTCCACGGGGCGCGGGGCCCGATGCCGTGGTTCCTGCCCTGGTCGTCCGCGCCGTCGGCGGGTTCCGGGAATTGTTGGCGAGGGAGTGCGTGGAGCAGGCGTTGCGCTGGTCCAGGCATGTCAGCGAGACGGTGGCGCAGGCGATTGACCTGGAAGAATCTGTACGTTGTCCCCCTTGAACCATCCTTTTTTCTTTTCACGTTACTCCATTCTCTACCTGACACTAACCCTGGTGTTTTTCCACGCGCATCAGCTTCGCAACCAGATCGACGCCAACAAAGACAGGCAGGAACAAGCCATCTTCGCCTTTACCATCGTCACCGTCATCTTCCTCCCCATCAGCGCCGTGTCCAGCATCTTCGGCATGAACACGTCCGACGTGCGCGACATGGAGCAGAGCCAGTGGCTGTACTGGGTCGTTGCCCTGCCCGTCACCGCTTTCGTCTTCGTCGCCGCCATGGGCATGACGGGTGACTTGTCGCGCCTGGCCCGGTGGTTCATGTCGCTGGGCTCCGACAGCGAGGGGCATCATCAGGGGGCATGTTGCCGGAGAAGACGGGGGCGCGGGAAGAGGAGGCTCGGCGGGATATAGCGCTGGCGAGGAGGAGGGTGAGGATCGTAGATCAGACGCGTAGGCGCTATATGGATTTGTAAGCCGTGACAGGTAGGTTGGGTATCGAACAAAGGTATCGATGGTCACGGCCAGGCTGAGAATTTGCCTGTAGTTCCAGCTTGCTACGGGCACCGCGCTTAGTTAGGGGACGAATGCAGCCTTACAAACCTTGTCGAATGCGCTTAAATCTTGATGCGGCGTGAATGTAGACTTAGAGTCCCTCGGGGACCTGTTAATATGCTATACACCACGGTGTGAGCAGATGACTTAAATTATTGTCCTCTTAACCGCAACGGCCCCAACGTATTAAGCCAATAGGTTTTGTTTCGCGTGAAATCGCCGTCCCTCTGCCCATAGCAATCCGTTAACGCCCCAAAAATAAACCATTCTATCCAAAAGAAGACTAAAAAGAAGTGAACAAAAAAATCGCTCCAGGCGGGGTCGAACCCGCAACCTTTGGATGGCTCGTCTAAGCGTGCCTTAAAAGTCCAACGCACTAACCAATTGTGCTACCGGAGCAATCTGATGAGGCTCTCCACATGAGTAGCCGGATTTCCGTGTCCTCTAACACGCTTGAGAATGGATCGAGGCCAGGATGGGGCCAGGAAACTAGGTGGAGAAAACGTTCGCTGGACAGTTAGCTGATGACCTTTGTAGAGATTCTCAAAGACGTCTTGGTCACCAACATGCACTGTATGTTTTAACACCATTGGGCCGGCGTGTTGTCGTTTAGATTTGATTGAGGGTACATGTACACAGTATCGGTTAACCTAAGCGTGAACGAACATCAACAAGTTGTTCAGCTCTCACAACCGGTTTAGCTGGTTAGTATGTCAAGCGAAGATCTCGACCCATTCGATTAATAAGTATTTTGTCCACGCTGAGTCTTGAGCGTAAGTCAGCCCATTTGATGGCCCATATAATAGCTTAACAGTCGTTAAAACACACTCGCAAATCTCACTAGCTACAGCATAAGCTGCTATACCCTAGTTACAAACTTCACCTACTCCAAGTACCGTTCCCTAGCCTCACTTGTCTAGAAGAGTGCCGCTTAGGGCGCAAACCTCAAGCAGGATGGATCCCAACCAGCGCGCACGTGTTGGATCCGAGACGGGTAAACTGGGGTTATCAGTAACTACATGGGCACCGTTGGGCCAATAGAGACATCAGCATCAACATGGATACGGATACTACCTGTGCCAAATATTAGGCATCAGCGAGCCTCGTTTCCCTCCTCCTCGAAGCATGAGCGCAGAGGTTACACAGCATCGGCGTCCCCGTGGACTTCACAATCTTCTGCGTGCTAAAAATGAGGCGGGGAACACTATGCCACTGCGGCGAGATACTCTCATCCAATCTCTCCCCGTGGAAAACCGAAAGTACTGAAGTTGGCCACGATGAAAGAAGGTGCATCCGTATGAAAGTAGATGATTAATGTCTCCAATCGCTGGACTTGCACGTACATATGGGAAATATTTCAGAAAAAGAATTACATGACATGAACGCTGCGAAGCGTGTCCAACTTCAATGCCGCCTCTATCATGCTAACTGATCCTGTAGCATAACCTGAAATGAGGCCCTGACCATTCAGCGATACACTATATATACTACCATCCCATGATCTCCCAGGGTGAACTGTTACCATGCGGACTTATGTGGCTGAGGTTGGGCGCCGTCTGTTGCCGTATCAGGTCCCTCCTTGAAGAGACCATGTGTGGATACTGGCGCATAAACTCGCGCAGTACGCCGTGAGGGGCGTTTACCTGGTGCACTGTATTCGGACCGTACATTGAGCGCAGTTGATTCCAGTATTTCGACTTGAAGAGGAGCAGCCAGCAGTAACCGTCTTCGGGCTCGATGTCCCGCCTTGTCGAGGAGGCGACGCTTCGAGGAGGAGCGGGCGGTAACGCCTTGGGAACGCGGGCACTGGTAATCTTTGGGGGTTTTGCCTGCTTGGGCTGTTTCGGCGTCTTGGAGGACTTTTTCTTCTTTTTCTTCGGGGATGCGTTGGTGTGAACAGTGCCACCCGAAATTGCGAGATTGCCGTTGGTGACGTGGCTGGAGGTAGAGATCTGAATAGACACTCCGTTTGATGTCGAGATGCTAGTGTAGCTACAGGATGAGATGTAAAAATACCCTCCGTTAGAATTCGAGATGTGGACTGAGGAGCCCGACAGGTCGATCCCCGAGATGGAGATGGAAGGCATCGCTGATACGAACGATACTGACGGGTGAACAAGACCCCTAGGAGGCCAGTATTCTTTTTCGGGGGAACGAATGGAGTAGTCGGCTTATGGTCTTGGGTTGCTCCGGGCACGGCCGGGATGTCAGCGCCGTGACTATGATGCTATGGTGGACGCCTATGATAGTCGGGGCAAGCGGCGGGATGCAGCTTTTAGAATTTCTCGCTCGAAGGGATGGAATAGGTTGGGTAATCCCAAGATGATGGAAATTGGCGGCATTTTATTCTTTGCGCGGAAGTCATGGCAGATGGCGGAGGGGCTCAGCCACCATTCCATCCACCCAATGGATCTGCGCTGTTTGTACCCCCTTCCTAGGCTCTGCCGAACAGCTAGGGGCGCCGAATGGAGTGGATGAGAGGCCCCCATTGAAACAAGGCTCGCGCCCCCACAGCTTCCCACAGCAGACTCGTGCTCAAGTGGAAAATGGGGACTAGATAAGGGAGGAAATAGCCGAGCTCGAAATGCACATCTTCAGTTGTCACACGGCCAGCGTGCGCTGACCATTGGTGGCCGGACCAGTAACGCAGCCTAGTGCTCATGCTGGGGAAACCTTCAGGAGGACGGCAGGGCTACCCATGATCCCGAGCCTGCGGATATCGGCCCTCTGTTGAGAAGAGAGGGAGGAATGGTCTTGTCTATCTTTTACGCGGTGGTGTGCCATTCTCCTTTACTACCCGCCCCGGGCTACATCCCTCATTGCCCTTCTGCCGCTGCCACTTGGTGTAAGGGGTACCCCCTGCTGGCTCGGGCCAATCTGCTGCTCCGGGAGAGGCGCTGCTGCCGTGGAGCTTTCCTAACCTATCTTCAAACGAGGCAAGACATGATTTGAGGCGTCTTGTTCCCTTCGTCGGTTTAGGATGGGTCAAGATATCAGGCCAGCAGGGTTCGAAAAGAGCTGCCCCAGATCACAATTTGGATGTATTTAAATATCTGATGTTGAGTTTCTGCATTGCGCAAGACTAGTAATCCGAGAATCCTGTAGTATATATGGGGCAAACAAGAAGCCTTGCACTCGATGTGTATACACCAGGAGGTTTCTTCTCCCCATCATGCGAGTAAGCAAATCCTCCCTGTATAGGCTTCGGTCTTTGATATAGCCTTGTAGCCTGCTCCGTCTGGAGATTGCAATGCACTCCTAGACTTTTTCCCTCGTCGTGAAGAGTGAGGTTGAGGTATAGCCAAGATACTGACTGATCTCATGGATGTATTGGGAACCGAATCACGTTTCAGAAGTATTATTCGATAAGAGATAACCTTCTTTTATTACTCTATGAGCTAGTAGAGTACCATTTGCGGTGTGCTGATCTCACTATACGCGTCTACGAGACAATTTAAGCAGAGTCTATCCCCCTCAACAAGTACTAATGCATGCCCATTGCTCTGCTGGCAAATGATAGACGTCGCAGCCAGTCGCGCCACCCAGTTATTTCTCGCTCGTATCACACTTAGACAGGGAGGTAAATCTAGGAGCCCATCCCACGAGTCGACGGAAACCGCATCTAGAGAGTTCATTGCTTCACCTAGCGGACAGTTGCAAGGAAACTGGATCGTGTCGGGCTTATCTCTCTCGATAGCTAACACATCGAGATCGGCAACCCATGTCCCGCCATCTCGGACAGATACAACAGATTCTAGAAGGAACACCTCTTGATCTATTTCTCCCGTGTTTTCCCACTCAAGGGAAACTTCCACTCTGTAAAGCTTAGGTGAAGGGATGTGCTACCAAACCTATCTAGAGCTTGGTAGTCATATGTTTCGTGGTTGACATAACCGGCGCCGTTAGCTCTGGGCCGTACGCGGGGCTGCAAAGGTGAGACCATTAGGACCAATCCCGAATGGCCGATGTTTCCTACCATGTGGCGAAGTACCCGGTCCGGCCGTTCGAGAGCTGGGTCTGTCAAAAGTGTCTCGGAAACAAAGATGGAATCTTCGTGACATAGAGCGATCACTTCTGTCAGTTTCCCTGGGTCTAAATCGAGGTGTCCCGATTCAAACATAGCAACGCAGGCAAATATCTGGCCGCGAGACATAGAGGTTGTTAATTCGGAGACGGAGAGACTAGCAATCTTGCTAAATGCGTCGTATACAGAACTACCTTGCAGGGATGCCGTCGGTCCCGATTGGATAATACGCCTGATCTGGGTAGGCGCCCATTTTGAATCTATGAGGGCCCTTTCAATAATGCGTGGTGATATAGTGGCTGCGCAAGCACCTCATAAAGGGCAGTTGCGACTTCCAGTAGCCTCCATGATGCTAACCACTTGAAAGGCCTTGGGGCGTTGTTCATCATCATAGTCAAGCTTTGCCAAACCTTATTAGGGCTGTCGCTGTCGCTAATACCAGTCGAGTGCTGTTCTGGGAAAAGATATGCAGCGTGAGTCGAATATTCATCCCTTGGCGGTGAGTCAAGTCTTCTTCGCTTGGAATTGGGGTCCCTTAGTTTGATATGATTGGTGCCATGATTAATAGTGGCTGCTCTAGTAGGTCGGGTCTAACGGGTTATTAGCGGTGTCTCCTGCGTTTTTCACAATGTGGTCGACGAACCTTCATAAAGCCCATCATGTACTCATATATCCTGTTGTTATCCGCATTCAAGAGCTGCGGGACCCATTCATCCGGGGGCAAGACTTCATCAAACGCGGAATTCACGCCATCCGCCCAGGTGGTCTTATAGGCATCGGATTGAACCCACAGCGTGATGTCAGAGCTACTCAGATGGGATGTTGCATCGGCACGGAAGCTGATGTTGGTATTGGGACCGCCGAAGAAATCTGGAGGCCCTTCCAAATATACTCTTCTAAGTTAGAAGAGATTACCTTCACGGGTACGTCACCTTGGCCCTGGACAAGAATAAGTATCTCGCCATTTTGCTCCATTAATGCGCGTCTCTCTTCAAATAGGGGCCTTAGGTCATTCTCCGGTGAGGGATCATGGAATCGAATCCATCTAGCGTTCCGGCCATGATACATGCTCGTGTTCACCCCTGTTTCGTGGTGATCGCGATGAAAAGCTATAGGGCGGGTGGTCAACCACTCAGTAAACGTGTGATTTCCAATATCTCCATTGTGGGAGATGAGGGTGATTATAGTTGGCGGTAGTTGGAGCCTTGCCACATGTCGACGGAAGCAGTCGATACCGCATTCGGTGGCGGAGTCCCTGGTTAGCGACCGGATGTTGATAGGATTGCAAAGCCCAAAAAATGGCCTGTACATGGAATCTCTACTGAGAACGCCATTTTCTCGTCTCCAGCCGTACTTTACAAGGTTATTTGCGACCTTGGTATCGTGAGCAGTGTCCTCAGCTGCAGAGCAAAGCTTGAGAATCCAGCTGAGCTCTGGACACTGATGGGCCTCTGTCGATTTCAGTTTTGTGCCCAGTTTTACAAACCAATCGAAGGCGACTCCAATATCGGCATTGCGAATTTCCCATTGCCGGAAAACAGCTCCCAACGCCATTACCCATAGCTGCGAGAGCGTGACCCGGCGTAATCCTCATTGCTAAGTACAGGAACGGGATTGCCGTAAAATCGCGAATGGGATAAGGCCAGAGACCAACGAATATAATCATGAGACGAACAGCGATATTCCATTCCGAGACTTAGAACTGCCGATTGGGGAACCAGGGGTCGTGAAAGGAAACATTTTGGGCCTTCTCTTGAAATATTAAAAGGTTGGGGTAGATGTGCCAAGACGATATACCGAGAAGGATCGCCCTATCACATACTTGTTGCGGGTGGTTGTCCATGATCTTCTCGAAATCTTGCATTGCCATCACCCATGTCGCAGTAACCTTCTCAAACGTTGAACCACTGCCCGAATAAGGAAGCCTGAGGTTATCCGAGATCAATGCAAACTGCGTCTTTTGGAATTTCATATGAACGTCCGCTCTCCGTAAAAGGCCCGGACGCTGGCATCCCACCTAGCAAGTTCTAACCTCGGTATCTCGCGTTGTGCCGCCGCAACCGTATGGGGGTTGAGTATCTTATTGCCTTCGAGGAGGGTCTTGATCCGCAGTTTTCTTTCGCTAATTAATTCGGCCCAGAGGGAGACTGATGACTTCCTCAAATCCATGAGCCAACATGCATGCGAGAAGGAGAACGCTAATTGCGGCGTCCCCCGATGTAGCGGCGGCCCATACCCCCGTCCCATCTGCGCCTATGAACTGCTGAAATGGCCCGTGGTCTTCGGTTCCTTGGGGATTGATATCAGGATTGGTTAGGATCTCGCTCACGCGGGTTCCGAATGCTCGCTTGAGTTTGGGAGTGTCGGGGATTATATCGTTGAAGAGGAATCCCAGTAGGGCTGCTGTTTGATGAATGTTGCCGGATTCCGCCTCCTGCCTTCGGTTTGGAGTCAACGCTTGCCCCACCGGAAGAAACTCAGCTAAGGGTGTGCGAAGGAGAGAGAGTTCGAAATTAAAATTGAAAAGGGCAACTGTGGTCTCGTTCGTGAAGGAACAAATAGAATTGGTGAGTTTTCCAAGTGATGCCATTGTGCACGATCTAGTTCCAAGTTTTGATCTTATATCTGATGGGGAGTTATGAATGAAGGGAACATTGAATAGATCCATATCCATCCAGATATATATAATATCATTCCCAGAGCCTGACCCCGCTTTCAAGGAATTGCAAAAGCAAGATATGAGTATTTCAACGAGGCATCGTGGCGCCTCATTGCATGAGGTAGGGACGCCCTCCGGGAAGAGAGCCAATTACGACGTCGTAACGAGGGTAGGTGTGAGGTAGCCTTGGCACCGAGAGATTCTCTAGCCATGAAACAGCTACCTCATTTTACGCCAATATCATTGATAGTTAGCATTTACTCAGGGTTCTTCTATATAATTAACCTACTAAAACTTTAGGACAATGACAGACATTTTCCAACGTTTTGTTCAAGTCTGTCCGACAAAGAATTGATTGTGAGGGGATTAGACCCAACACTCGAAACCCACATAAGAGCTGGACGTTGCGCAGCCTGGATTTGGGGCGGGGATCAGCCACTTAGGCAGAAGTTCCTTGAGTACAGCCCCTTTCCAGCGCCCAAAATGCAGCCGGCCGCCCGGTTGGGTTTGGGCAGCATTGTGATTTACTCAAGAAGGGGCGAACTAGCAGCGGAGGGAATGAAATGAAATCCATGGAGGCCTTCCATCTGCGCAGCCGCCCAACGGTGTGAGAACGTGGCCATAGCAAGGATCACTCATCCATCTACTACGTTAGTATGGACGGCTGAGAGGGGATGATGCTGGACAGTGGTATGCTCCCGCGTGGCGAAGAGGCTCGCCTATATTTTACATTTCTTTTTCTTTTATCAGAATCTTTACTCTATTATAGTGTAGGTTAATAATTATAACGACAGGGCGAGGAAAGAGTGATAGGACCCCCAGAGAGCATGGTGGGGTGTCATGATGAAAGCATCAAGTCCGGCCCGGCGGAGGAACCTCGATGACGCACCGCTGAAAGGAAACGGTAGGCGCGGTGGGTAACAAGGTGGCACATTTTGCCCTCAGAATGAACGAGAGAAGCGAGGGAGGAACGGGAGATGAGACCGTGAGTGGCTTCATGCCATCGACGTTGCAGCACCAAGCGTGTGGGCGAGCCCACTATAAGCAAGGGGACAGCAGTTAGCCTCCTAGCTCTAGAGTACGAGAGACACCAGACTCTTCATAATGCGGAAAGTGCGCGGTGGGGTCCTTATGATTTTTTCAGCCGAGGACTTGAACCTTAGGCATGGGTGTTAAGGAATTGGCACCTGGGACGACAACGCGCTACCGGTCGAGACGGTCGCTTTGCAAACTCGAGATTGGTATGCAATCCTTCAATGTCTCCAGAGGTACACGTAACCAAGCGCACAGGTGGGGGTTTTGGGCCTCCCTTGTACGACCCCAACCCCATCTACAGCTCACAGTTCGGTACCGCTGCACCGGCATTCCGCCCGCCGAAGGATTTCTGCGGGACATGATGTAAAGGGTGTCTTGCAGGCTTCTATGGCCAATAGCTGTCCGCACACCGCGCTCTCAAGCTCGAATTGACATCCAGCAGCGGCTCTGAACAATACGCGCAGCATTTTTCACGTTGAATGGTCAAAATCATCTGTGGCAGGCCAACCTTGCACAGCAATTATCAAACCATATGCTACGCAGCACCAGGATTTGTTCGCCTTCGCCCCGTTTCCGGGAGGCCCATCAACACTCCCCACGCAGCAATGTGCTCAATATCGACATCAGTCAGAGCATAGAGGGAGGCCTAGGAATGAGACAGCTTACCCCGTCTATGAAGTTCAGACCAAGATAGGACAAATAGGATGGAGAGGCGATCCAGCCGAATATTTAAACAGCGGTTGACCCGGAGCGATTCCTTCCTCCTTCTCTTGCTCTACCCAAGGCATCTTTGCCGCTAAGTCTCCTCTATCCAGAGCCCTTCACCAATACATTCCCCTTTTCTTTTAGACAATCCTAAGACCAATCTCAATCATGACCACTGCTTCCATCCAGACCAGGGACCATCGTGAGTTCCTTGACGTCATCGATAGGCTCCGCTCCAAGGGAGTCAGTCGCTATGTTGACCTCCCGAGATCATTGTATGCGGCGACCAGTCCGCAGGCAAGAGTTCAGTCCTCGAGGCAATCTCGGGCATGACTTTCCCCACCAAGGATAATCTATGCACGCGCTTTCCAACGGAGCTAGTCCTGCGTCGTGCCCCCAACGTGTCCGTTGTCACCTCGATCACGCCTGATCCTGAGGGCCAAGCGAGATACGCGAACGGCTCTCCAAGTTTCGTGTCGAGACCGACGCAGAGAACTTGGACCTCGGCACCGTGGTCGAAAAGGCAAGAGAGGAGATGGGTCTGTCGGGAGGCAAGAACTTTAGCACGGACATCCTCCGAGTAGAACTTTCCGGGCCAGACCAGCCGCATCTCACCCTCGTCGACCTACCGGGCCTCTTTCGTGCCGGGAATAAAGAACAGTCGGCCGCCGACGGCGCCATTGTCCGCAAGATGGCACGGGACTACATGGCGCGCCCGAGGAGCATTATCCTCGCGGTCGTATCAGCCAAGAGCGATTTTGCCCTGCAAGAGGTCACCGATCTCACCCGGAACCTTGACCCGGAAGGTACGCGCACCCTAGGTGTCATCACGAAGCCGGATACGCTCGATGCGGGCTCCGAAAGCGAGGTCGCGTACGTGACGCTCGCTCAGAACAAGGACGTGGTCTTCCGCTTGGGGTGGCACGTCCTCAAGAATAGAAACTACGACATGCGCGACGCCACCTCCGCCGAGCGCGACGCGTCGGAGACTGAGTTTTCGGCAAGGGCGTGTGGTCCTCATTGGACCCGCGGATCCTCGGCGTCAAGGCCCTGAAGCCACGCCTCAGTAACGTACTCAGGGACCAGATCATGCTTCAACTTCCTCCCCTCGTTCAGGATGTCCGGTCAGAAATTTCAGATTGCCAAGAGAGGCTCGCCCGCTTAGGGACAGCGCGAAATACCTTTGCTGAGCAACGCCGATACCTTTTGAGAGTCAGCCGCGAGGTTTCCACTCTTATTAGGGCCGCTGTTGATGGCTTCTACAAGGATTCATTCTTTGGATCTTCTCAACATCAGACAGGGTACCCCAACCGTCTTAGAGCGGTCGTGCAGAACCTGTTGATCGATTTTGAGAAAGACATCCAAGACCATGGTCGCATGAGAATCATCATCGAAGATCCGAGCGATGTTTCAGATTTGGACGCAAGACACATTCCAAGGACAAAGTATATCGAGGAGGTCAGAGAAGTGATTCGCCAGAGTAAAGGATGTGAGCTTCCAGGAACTTTCAATCCCTTGATTATCTCGGAACTCTTCAAGGAGCAATGCCAGCCATGGGCGGCTCTCGCGATCAAGGCGAAGGACTCGGTGGTAAATGTTGTGTCACAAACAATTCAAGCGATTGTGTATCACGTCACACTCAATGAGACTGCCGCAAAAATTAGCCGATGGGTTGATGGCATGCTGGGTACTCATAAGGACAACCTAGACAGCATGGTGACGAGCCTTCTCGACCCTCACATCAACGGCCACCCAATCACCTATACGAAAGATTTGGTGGAAAACGTCAGAGACATCCAGAAGAAGAGGCATCAGAAAGCCTTACAACGCAATATCGATGCGAGTATTAGGCGTGCACGTAACTCTTTCGAACGAGATTCCTCAGCCCTCAACGCATGGGTTTTGAATCTCATGGAAGAGCAATTGGATCTCACTCTCGAGCAGCATGGTAGTGACTCTGCCGCGGACTACATGGAGTCATATTACAAGGTACGTTTTCTCTGTAAACCCAGCCTCCGACGTTCATAAGACTTGCACTAACCGCGGAGGTACTGTAATGCCTGTTAGGTGGCGTTAAAAAGTTTGTCGACGATATCGCCGTCCTGGCTGTCGAACAGTGCCTCATTCGCAATCTCCCTTCCCTCCTCAATGCCGAGGTGATTGACGGCCTTTCTATGGCAGAGGTAGCGCATCTTGCTGCAGAGGGGAGCAAAGTGCAGAGGAACGCAAATGGTGTACCGAAAGCTTGCCGTCCTAGAAGACGGACTTAGCGAGTTGACCTTTCTCGACCGGTACCGATCCCAATTTTCAAGTAAGCTCTCTCCCCTCCCTGAGACGTGATATATCCTATGTACCAATGGATAGCTTGTTCCGATCCAAGTGGCCGGATTGCTAACACCGAGACAAAGATGACGGCCTTGATCGGAGTCTACGAGCAAATGGTGTTCGTCAAGACAATATCGCTATCAGGCGCGGGTCTTTGGATTCAGTCTCGTGTCCGACTCCTACCCTTCCGCAGCCAGCCACACCCAGTGAACACGCTTCAAACCCCATGGATATGGCACAAGGGATATTGGCGTCACCTTCTATTCGTGTCGCATCTCGTAACGTGTCACTATGCGTTGACCGTGTCCCGGAATGGGAAACAGAGATTGCAGTCAAGCCAGCCGAAGAAGTAGACAGTGATAGTTCGATGGATTCGTGAGAAATGGCAAGAAAGGAAAAGTTAGGAGGCCTAGGGAGGATGAATTTGTGCCAGAACAAATGGTAAACGGTCTCCATACATATTCAACTGACCCATTTTTGCGTAAGTAATTTGAATACAAGAATTAGCTTAACAGCAGAACAATTATACGTTTTATCTTACATGTACTTCCGAAACCTCTCGTAGGGAACCTTACACACCCACACGTACACAAACACACATATATATATATTCTATCAACTTCAAGCTTAATGCGGCAGGCAAGAGAGTAGAACTCCTGGTGTCACGTAAAGCATTTATGATGGCACCAGGCGTGGTAAACACGAAACATACGAATACTGCCCGTGAATAATAAAATAGGGTACTCTCATAGACTAGTAGCCTTTCGTGTTCGTGAGAGCTATGTTGTCCTCCGTTTTTCAGATCAAGTGATGAGTTGACTGAAACGGGTGTGTATCATAAGGCGGAAATGGCCTTGGCCCGTGCCAAACCTCCCTGTGTTTGCTTCCATTTCAATCCTTGGTAATTGCATGATATTTAAAAAGTTTCCCTGGATACATGTACTAGTCTGCTTGGATGGATGTTGTAGAGCTTTGGAAACTACTAACCTCTTGCAGAAAACCCGCAGGCTATCTTTGCATGCGGCATGCGGCATTGCGGCATCAGATGCCTACGTTGGGCTCCGACACCATATTCAAACCAACACATGAGCCAAGTTCCGGGCCTCCCCGAGCCAGCTCCTCCGAGCAGCCTCCAGGTCTTCACTGGACGAGAGCGTGCGTCCGACTGAAGCAATACTGCGGGGGCGTAGCGAAAGGGCATCACGCATTACCTGCGACGAATGGAGTTGGTGAACCGCGCATCTCTCCCGCAGATTGACGCCCGATGGATGCTCCCAACAGGTTACACAAGGCAGAGCTGCTTTCCCATAATATTACTGGCTAAAATCGTCTGCGGTAGGCCAACAACGCCAAAATTCGTGATCGCTGCCGGATTCATCCATTTGTGGCGCACGGTTGACAGGCTCTCGACTTTCGCCCAACCTAACAGCGCAAGCATAGCTCCTTGGAATATGTCGGTGGTGGAGGCCTTGTTTGGTGTATAAAAGGCGGTTGTAGCGTAGTTTTTCGCGTCCATCTTTCTTCCTTCACTTGAATCACCGATCCTAGTATTGTCTCATTTCTCCACCGTCATTGAGCATCCTGCAAAGAACATCCATAATGAAATCACTTGAATCGATCCTGACGAGAGATCTCCTGGATCTTCTCGACCTGGTGAACCAACTCCAATCCGTGGGCATCACTGAGGATACCGACCTCCCCAAATCATCGTATGTGGGGACAAGTCGGCGGGCAAAAGCTCTCTCCTACGGGCCATTTCCGGCGTAGACTTCGGCGCCGATACGGATGGAACAGGCTCCTTTACTAGCTTTCCGGTTGAAGTGACGCTTCGCCGCGCAAGCGTATCATCCATTCACGCTTCTACTCGCCCGCACAAGAGAGCAAGTGCAAAACAACGGTCGCGATGTGAAGATTTTGGCATCAGCCAGCGTGAGAGAGGCGTGGATACCCTTGATCTTGCCGCAATCGTTGAGAAGGCACGGCATGTGCGCTTTAAAAGTGCGCGAGATTACCCAGAGTTTACACTCGACGTGGAGATATCTGGACCTTCTTGCCCCCACCTCACCTTTGTGGATCTGCCGGGTTTCTTGAGCGCGGGGAGTGTAGACTGGGGGGCGAGCATAAAATCGTCCGCGACATGGTCCGGAGCTACATGGAACGCCCAAATGCAATCATTCTTGCCGTCGTGTCCGCCGAGCACAGTTTCGCCCAGCAAGAGGTGATAAAATTAGCCAAGGATATAGACCCTACTGGCGAGCGTACCCTGGGAGTCATAACTAAACTAGATATGCTTATACGGGGCTCTGAAGAAGAGGCGTCTTATTTACGCCTCGCGCAGAACACGACGAATACTCTTCGACTAGGTTGGCATGTTCTCCACAACGAAAGCGAAACTCCGCGTGACACTCGGCTCAAGGGCCATGACAAACCCAAGCCTAGCTTCTTCGAAATCGGCACATGGGCTGCCTTGGATCGAAGAATTGTCGGCGCCGAGGCGTTAAGATATCGGATTTCCAGAGTGCTCAGGGAGCATGCTTTACGCAGAGTCCCACCCCTTCTGAAGCAATTACGCTCCACTGCCAAGATCTACCAAGAAGAGCTCTCCAGGCTCGGCATGCCTCGGACAAGTACCGCCGAGCAACGTCAATATCTTCTCAAAGTCAGTCGCGGGTTTTCCTCCCTTATTAGCGCCTCTCTTGATGGGTTCTATAGGGACCCTTTCTTTGGAGCTAGCGACTCCCAGGAACGGTACGCAAACCGCCTTAGGGCTACGATACAACACGCATTGGCATCTTTCGAGTCAGAGATGCGAAATACGGGTCAACAGTGGACGATAGTAGAAAGTTCCCCGTCCGTTGCTTTGAGTTTGAACGCCATTACCAGGGAACGCTACATCAGAGAGGTCCAAGTGAAGATGAAACACAATAGGGGCTCTGAGCTCCACGGAACATATAATCCAATAATCGTTGGGGAATTGTTTCGAGACCAGTGTACGCCATGGACCCGTATCGCTTTGGCGGCTAAAGAGTCCATCATGGACATTGTACACCAAACAATCCTAGAAGCCGTGAACCATGTCGCAGCTGAAGAAACAGCACTCTACATCTTTGAGTTCATCAACAATAGGCTCGAGGCTCTCCGGGATGGCCTAGATCAAAAAGTGGCCGAGCTGCTCGAACCGCATGTGAACGGGAACCCCATAACCTACAATAAGGTATTACTGGACAAGGTCAAGGCGAAGCAGACAAAAAGAAACAAGACCACCTTTACAGTCGCGCTATCCAAGCTGCTGGGTTTCCCGGTGACTGGCACTGCATCAAATATTCCTAGTGGTGTAAAAGGCACCGACATCCTCGACCTAATTACGGAGGAGCTCGAAAACATGTCAGACTTACATGGAATCAATACCGCCGTGGACTATATGGAGTCATATTACGAGGCAAGCTCACCCGTGTATCGCGCGTCCTGCGAGATACGTGTACCTTTAACGGCTTAAACTGGAGCTAACAAGTGGATAGGTCGCATTGGATCGATTCGTCGATGACTTTAGTGTTTTGGCGATAGAACAATGTCTTTTGAAAAGGCTGCCCTGCCTTTTCACTGCCGAGGTGGTAGACGGGCTGGAGCTCGGAGAACTTCAGAGTCTAGCGGCGGAGGAGCTAGTGGCCGAGTCTAGACGCGAGCAGTGCAAGGCAAATTTAACCATCTTGGAACACGCACTACGTAGGCTGACCTCACTTGAGAGATTCCGGCCAAAAGTCCTTGGTAAGACTCACATGCCAACGTTGAATGCCTAGTCCGCATAGGAACTAGGGATGGAGGAAACGGGGAAGTCACCACATTTGTTCAGAGCTAACGCTAGGGCCTGCCTTGCCACCGTCGTCTCTCTAGCAAAAGGCCCAGAAAGAAGCCTCGGCGTGAATGGAACCCGCCAGGGAGATTCTCATGAGGCTACATATAGGGTTCGGCTAAAACCCCCGTCTAGAGGGCTTCCTATTGCAACATGAGAGTGACTTACCCGTGGCGAAAGCGGAAGATGGCCCGGATCCCGCCAGGGTGGAAGTGGGAGTGTCTGATGAAGTCCAATCAAGGCCGGCTAGCTCCGTTGGATATGGTGCGGTAAGAATTGAGGATCTACGGGAGGCATCACAGGAGGAAACCAACAAAATCACGACCCCGGAGTTGGACAATCGCCCCCAAGAGTCAGAGCCAGAGATGGTAAGAGCGGAAGAGGATGAATGGGGGTTCTGGGGCACATCGAAAAAGACAGGAAGAAAAAGAAGACGTCGATATGGGATGATCCTGTTCCGGAGCCGGAGGCAGAGCCGCCAGCAGAGCCAGAATTAGAGCCGCCAGCAGAGCCAGAGCCAGTAAGCGTAGAAGAGTATAGCTGGGGGCGACGACGTCAAAAAGACAAGAAGAAAAAGAAGGCGTTTAATTGGGATGATCCTGTTCCGGGGCCGGAGGCAGAGCCGCCAGCAGAGCCAGAATTAGAGCCGCCAGCAGAGCCAGAGCCAGTAAGCGCGGAAGCTTATAGCTGGGGGCGGACGACGTCAAAAAAGACAAGAAGAAAAAGAAGGCGTCGATATGGGATGATCCCGTTCCGGAGCCAGAGCCAGAGCCGCCGGCGGAGCCAGAGCCAGTAAGCGCGGAAGAGGACGAATGGGGGTTTTCCTCGCTAAAAAGAAGGTCAAGGGAAAGAAGACATGAATATGGGACGGCATATATACTGAGCCGGAGGATGAGCCGCTGGTGGAATCAGAGCCAGCAAGCGCGGAAGAGTTGAGCAGGGGGTTGACCACGTCAAAAAAAAAAAAAGACAAGAAGAAAAAGAAGGCATCAATGTGGGACGAACCAGAGCCAGAGTCGGCGCAGGCGCCGGAGCCAGGGCCGGAACCAGAGCCAGTACTACCGGAAGAATACGATCCGTGGGCCGCACCCACCAAAAAGAAGAAAAAGAAGGGTCGATTAACATCAGATAATCTGGGGTAGGGAGGGCTAGAACAGCCATTAGTGCGAGGAGTTGTTATGTGACTGACTTGCGGTTACTGAGGTTAGTCGTTTCGAGAGAATGGCGTGTCACGACCAGAACAAGTTGGGTTACATGTTGAAGTGGGCACCAAAAAGACAATCCGAACTGTCTCGTTAGTATTTCTCGTGTATATATTAAAACAATATTAATTCCTCCGCCAACGCGAGAGCGAGGACGGTCTTGCTATGAAATCCCCTCAACTCGCCAAACTCTTGGACAACGAGAATGGGCAGGCGTGAGGTGGGTATATATGTATATATAGGTACATTTCCTTCCGACGAAGTATACAACGAGATCGTTTCCCAGATAAGGCCTTCATCTTCATCAAATTTCTCTCATGACATTGTTTGCGGAAAAGAAGCAAAAAGTGCATTCACCACTTAGCGTGATAAATGGCGCGGGTGGGGATATATATTAAGATAGGAAGCACTCAGCCTCGATGTATTTACATGAGGAAGAGAGCACCGAGGGCAACAGCCTCGAAGAGGCCGACGGCCTTGAGGGCACCAGCGCCGTTGACCTGGACGGGGTCAGTCTGAATGCCATGTTAGTTGGATTTTGTTTCGAATCATGGGGGAAAGTGAGGGGCTAAATTTTTATAGACTTACGCTAGCGGGAGGGGCGCCAGTGGTGGTGGTGGCAGCACCAGTACCGGTAGGCTTGGCGGGACCTGTAGGCTTGGGCTCAGCGTCGCACTCACAGTCGGGCTCGGCAGACGCCGAGGCCTCAGCGGAAGAAGAAGCAGTGGGCTCAGAGGACTCATCGTCGCTGCACGAGGCAGTGGCAGAGGCCGAGGCAGTGGCAGAGGCAGAGGCAGTGGGCTCAGGGGTAGCAGGGGATCAGTGGGCTCAGGCTCGCTGTCAGTGGGGGCGGGCGTACCCTCGGTCTCGGCGGGAGTGGTCTCCTCGGCGGGCTCCGACTCCTCAGGAGGCTGGGTCTCGGTGGGAGGCTGGGTGGCAGCGGGAGTGGTCTCCTCGGCGGGGGTGGTCTCCTCCTCCTCGCCAACGTCGTTCTCGTTGGTGGAGGGGCCGACGTCGGCCTGCTTGCCGGTCAGGGAGAGGTGGAGAGGCCGCAGGTCTCGCCGGCGGCGCTGGCGGAGTTGCCGTAGTACCTCCAGATGTTGTAGTTGTCGGGGCCGGCGCACTGGAGGCAGTTGGCGTAGTTGGCCTGGAAGGCCTTGTTGTCGCAGAAGCCGTCGACCTCACGGGCCTGACGGATCACGGTGCCTGGTGGAGAGAATCAGCGGGGGTTGCTCTAATGGTGGTGCAGTGGGGGAAAGGGATAATTGTGTGGTTGGCTGCCATTGAAGGCGCTCTCCATCTTTTTGTTCTTAAAAAGGATGCGATTAGGCAGGGCGAAGGGAGGAGAATTGCTTACCGCAGTTGTCATGGCAGTTGTAGGCGGGGGTGCCGGGCTCCTGGCGCTTGAGGAGGTGGGCGAAGAACTCCTGGTTGTCAAGAGCGCTGGCGGAGGCGACCGACGCAGCGGCGATGGCGAGGATGATCTGACGGGCGTACATTTTGACAATGGGGTGTGCGTGACGTAGACTTGTCTTGGAAACAGGAACGATTGTGTGGTTTAAAAAAGAAACGAGTGACTTTTTTTCTCTGTTTATTCTGGTTGCTTGGGTTTGAAGGGAAGCTCAGAAGAAGTCTTGCGGTGGGATGGAAGGAAAGGAGGAGGGGGAAGAGAAACGGAAGGTTGCAGAGACGAGTGGGCTTTATAGCTTGGATGATGGATGCTTGGGGTCTGCAGCTACGGGATGGGAGCGAATACAGCATGCGCGTACGAAGCTAAAGAGTGGAACTGCAGGAAGACGATTGAGCGGGCAAGCAGACCAACAAGAAAAAAAAAAAAAGGGGACCTTTGGATATTCCCGACAAAGGAAGGCACTTGCTTGAGCTTGCGCAACGGGCGGTACCACGCTGCAAGGGGGAGACGGACTCGGAACCAACGCACCGCACATGAGGGAGAACAAGGCCGGGCCGGCGAAGTCACTAGTGGCTTTTCTTGTTTTGATTATCTTTCTGCTCTAGAGATTGTTGATTCTTGTCATTTCCTCATTATCGAGTTCCTTCTTCATGCGTGACCTAGGGAAAATAAAATGAAGGTTGGAGCCAGGAGGAGCCAATGAGCTAGGATGGGGCCGACGGGGGAGAGGGGAGGGGGAGTGTAGGCTTGTGGATCCTGTCGTGAGTGGGTTTATTGGGGAAAGGGGGTGCATGCCGGCGGAACCTGGCTTTTCTTGCCCAGGAAAGAAATACAAGATTTTAGTCGGTGGAATTATGTCTGAGCGACCGCCTGGCCGGAACTCGGGGACAAAAAACGGGCGGGCACGATCATAGGCAGATGATGTACCACACGGAGGAGGACGTTGACTACACTACTTCCCGATTTTCCAAGGAACGCGAACGAGTGGCGGGAGGGCATGGAGCTTTGGGAGCTGGGACCCTCCAATAATAGAAGGTGATCCATGTACGAGTTCTGCGCTGTTCGCTACCCTTCCAGCATGTCAACGCCGAGGGAACGAGACAACCCAGAGGATTTTGACGTGGTCGACGATACTACCTTCGCGAAATGGCAATTCGAGAAGAGCTCCCGGCAGCGGACCCTTTGACGTACCGGGGGGCCTCGTACATTCGTGCATGCATAGGCGGGCGAAAGAGAGATGGAGGGAACAACACGATGCCTGCTTCGCGCAGCTGCCCTCGTCGGTTTTCCTCCTCTTCAGCCAGCTCGCTGGGTGGCGTTGGGAAGAATGCGCCACCCAGTCGCGTCTTCAAGGCCGGGGCTCCGTCCATTTCCGAGGAAGCAAAATGATGGTCTAGCCCCCAGGAACACAGGGGAGACTCTGGGGGAACTTCGTCGGTGGCGCACTCTTTGCGCTCCGACATGCTTTTACCTCCCTGTATGACATGCGTTGTTCCTCCGGGGAGGGATTTCTCGCTCTACTGGCACTTTGCTCCGTTGAGGTGGAGACTGCGGCCGAAAGCGGCATGGTCCGGGCGATTCTTTTGGTCTGGTCTGGCGTGGGTCTGCCTTTCTTGGGACGGACGGAGGAATTGATTTGGCTTAGGATTACTCGCACGTTTTTCTTTTCTAGTTTAGTCTTTTCTTTTGCCTTTTGTTTTCGGTGTAGGAGCCACAGTGTGGCCTGTACAAGTTGAATTCCCCCTGTCTCCAGCCTGATCCTGGCCTCGTTCGATATTGGCCCGCCTGACACGACGCTAACCTCCGATTATCGGCCTGCATATCAGCACGCACAGAAAAACCGTGGGGACAGGACCTCGGTGTGTATAACAATTCGGTATCTGGGGACGACAAGGGCTGGGAAAGAGTCGACAGGGGCAAGGGTAGCAGACGGGGTTTGCTATCGGGCGCCACCACTTATTATACAAGAGGTGACGGCGGCACACGGCAAGCTTCAGCTCTCCATCATTGGTTGGCATGTTGAGAGAAGGGGGTTGCACTCTTTGAGCTGCACTTGCCATGGGGCGTCGTGGACATGCCCGAGTACCTTGTACGAATGTACGCTCATGAAAAAGAAGAGAAGACATAGCAAAGGGCTTGGCGAGGAAGAGTGGCACACACAGGCGTGCCAAGGCGCTGTCCGCAACTACGTAATACAGACTATCGAAGTCCAAGACAACTTCCAGACCCAGCTCGACGCCCCATTTCCAGAGAACTGGCTCACTAGCGGCCCAAGATTCCGCTGTTCTTGGACATGCTAGAGAATGAATAGGGCTAGCCTCCCAAGTAGAAAGTGGATGCGCCTTGCAAGTCGGGAAGATTAGGCCCTCTGGGTCCCGCTACGAAGATGGGAAGAAAGAAGAAAGAGAAGAGTGGATCAAAGGGAAAATAAGAGAGAGCCGGGGAGGATGAAGGAGACAAAATAGAGAGGGAAGAAGTGGAGAAAGAGCTCGGTGCGTAGATTACTGGATGGGATGGGTCGGGAGCCGCCAAGAAGCTCGTAAAATGTCACTGGCGGCATCTCCACTGGACAATGGACAAAGCCAACAAAGCCCACAATGGACAACAACAGAATAAAGCCCTTGGCAAAAAGGCCTGGGCTCCACAGTGCGCACGTTTTTCGGTCAACCAGATCGTCTTATCAATCTGATAAAGTCGCTACGACTTGTCTACCCCGCTAAAGGATGCACGTCCCCACCTCCAGAACGCCACCTCTCCACCGTCATTGGCCTGCCAGTGCCAAAGAGGAAAGGTCGGCTACCACCAAACCATCCCACGCTTGTCCAGAAGGGGTAGCAGACCGTGCTTGGGTGCTTGGGCCTGAACTGTGGGGCCTGGAATGGACATGGGTTAATCAAGACATCGTTGCCACTGGCGAAGAAGAAGGAAGATGAGGAAGAAGTGGAGGGGGGAATGTCTCCCCCCGCCTCTCCAGTGATACTGATTGATAAAGAGCATCATCAGGCAAGCCAGGGTGCAGTGACCGGGGACCAGGGCTCCACTCTTGTCCGGAGAGACGCAAAAGGCGTGAAAGAGTGCGCCAAGCGGGATCAAGCGGCAGCAGTCAGTTCCACTTGTCTGGCCATTTCCATTTTTCTCCGGCCCGATGCCAGTTCATTGAGGACTTGTAAAGGTTCCTTTCCAGGGCCACGAGCGACAAAAATATGGGGCCCGTAACGCGCCGAAGAAAAGCGGTCGAGTTGACTATTGAAGTGGAAATAGAAGTTTTCCCACCTTATAAGACGGATCTCGGAACCCTCTCCACTCTGCTTTTGTCAAGGGGATTTTTATCAATCAGTGGCATCGTGCCATCACCCTCGTGTCTTTTGCCCAAACAAGCGCCACAGAGCTCCTCCCACCCCCAGCACTTTGACCCCCATCGGTTCCTTTCCCCAGAGCAAACTTTTGGCCGGCCCCTCCCAATTCTCCACAAGGGTGACTAGATCCCCCAACCTGGAAAATTCTTCAATGGCTTCATCGTGAACCCGAGCTCTATTAGCGGTCGACTTTGAACTTTGCTCATCTCGGTCTGAACTTCGCGCGAGTTTTCTCATCTCCGACTCACTAACCCGATCCTCATCGCGCGAACATGGGCCTGTTTCTTTGAATTTCCTTTGCATTCCCGATGACAGCTTGGCAAGGCCGAGATCTAATTCTCTATTCCCTTTTCTTTTCGTACTTTCTTTTTCTCCTTTCCGAATTATTTCACGCCTCTTTCGTCATTTGCCGTCCCCGTACGAGGCTGGCAATCGCGCTCTTTCCATAAGCTAGTTCGGCTTCATCGCCCGAGACCGAGGCAGCCTTTTTCGTCCCAGTCGCCCGGTACCTGATTATGCCGTAAAACATCTGATCCACGCACCGCGCTTCTTATTTTCTCGGGAGCAGGAAGTGCGCCGCCACGGCAAGTGTCTGGCAGCGGCGCCAGAGATCGCAAGATGGATCCATCCGCTTTCATTTATCGCCCTGCACCAACCATTTCGATTACCGACGACAGGAGCTTTTTTCAGGTTCCCAACAGCGTCATGTCCCCTCGTCCAATCTGCGTTCTCTCTTTGCATAATCCATCGGGACCCCTTTTCGTGCCTTTCGTGCCCTTCGTGCCCTTCGTGTGTCCCTGGCCAAGCTCTTTAGAGTTCAAACGGCTCGCTCCCATTTCCCGTTTGCGCAAAGGCCCCATACTCAAAGCACGAGGGGGTCCTCTTTTCCGTTCTCTCACCCTCTGCGTCTCCCGTACATCCGCCAACCTGGAATCCTCGTCTGCCCCATTCCACTCCCTACTCGACCTAGCGTTGAACTCTGGCGCTATTTTTTCTTTTCTTTTTGCTTGTCCTTCTTTCCTTGCTCCTTGCCTCTTTGGTCTGGTTTTAGTGCACCAATTTCATCTTGGCCTAGCACCCCGTTCACTTTGGCGATTGATAAGCGACCACGATAGTTTCGCCCTACTCGTGCCCAGTCCATTTTTTTCTGTTTCCCTTTCTCGCCCGTGTCTAGCCATCTTCTCATGATACCTTTTCCCTTTCCGTCCCTGGCGTGATCTCTGCCCTGTTTTCGCCTCTTGTCATTCAGCCCGTTCTGGCATCGTCAACAGCGGTAGTGTACCCCCCTCAACAAGCCTAGTCTCGTGTACCTGTAATCTTGGAGCAATGCCGTCCTTCCCTACCGTTTGCCTATGTATTTTTGTTCTTTCCTTTTTTGCTTCTCCTCGGCATTTCGTCTAGCCATGCTGGTTGACGGCAGCCACAAACCTCTTGGCTCGTTCATTGGACCAAAAGCCTGGTCTTCCGTTACGGCTTGTGATTACCCCTTCGCCCACCATTTTTTGCCTCGTCAAATGTGACGGTAACCCCCGTACCATGTTCGCGTGGTACCCAGGACCCATGCAACGGCGAGTTGGGGGAAGGGCAGAGGACAAAATCCCCCGCCGCCGGGTCAGATTCTCACTGATTGATAAGAACGAGGGATCCACTGTGGAATCCATCAATGTATCCAATACCGGCATTCGGCCTAATCCTCTTCTCCCGCCAAGCATTGGTATCAATCACGCTATTCACCACCGTACCGTACCGCCCACACACGCACTTCCTTGTATCATCCCAAGCTGGTACTCGAGTCTTTTGTCTCTCTCTTTTAGCCATCCAAATATGCACACACACACACACACACACGCACACACAAACACACACACATGCCTTCATTCCCCTCACCTTCCATCACCTTCCAGGTTGGCGACGACCGGACGGTACTTGTTCAGCAACCATACCTCATCCCACCCATCCTTCACCCAGCGCATCCTCTGAGACCTTCATACTCATGGCCCCTGGGTCTAGAGGGACTTTGTTAGCTCCTTCCGCACCACAACTCTCGCCTGAACCGAGGCCCTTCCTGGGATGGATGGTGACCCTGTCCCCCCCGTGAAGCCTTATCCTTCCAGCACACTCACCACCCTCGACAAAGCTGGTCGGTCGTGACCACCCCAGCTTCCCAAATTGGGTCACATCATGTGTTTCGACATGTCTCGGGCCATGTCTCTTTCCTCTTTCTTCTCCCCCATCTTTTGTCGAGTTTGCCCATAGTAGTCTTGTAGCTCGTATCATCCCTCGACCTTCTGTAGTCTCCACCCTCTCTCTCCCCTCCTGTTCCTCTTCCTCCTCCTTCTCTCTCGTGCTCGTGGCACTTTCCTACAGCGTACCTTTTTTCTCATCTGTCCCTCCGTGGGACGAGATTAGCGGTGGCCGGCCCGGGTTGGCTGAGAAGATCCAGGAATGCTCCCCAGAGCAAACCACTCGAATGCGTTTTAGCTTCTGGGCATTGCTTTTCACTCGTCCAAATCAATACATGCTCCACGCCCCCATGTTCCATCGTCTCCCAAAAACCCTTGTTTCCTCGTTCAGTCTCCACCACTGACCTACCCCCGCCGACCTGACTTTGTCTCCTCTCGCCATCGTGCTCCCCTCCATTGTGTTGTCACTGTTGCTCTTGACACTCCCGCGCCAAGTCTCCCCTCTCGTCTTCGTCTTCGTCTTCTCTCCCTCTCTCTTTCTCTCTCTCGCTCCCCGGCTCTCTTTCTTTTCACGGGCTCTTATGTCCGCCACACGCACCCCCATCCCATCCACGCCCCTCCCCTCCCTCGCCCCACCAACCGTTTCTTTTCCCATTCCCATATCGTAGCGTAATGCCAACCAGCGACGAAAATCCGGGCTATTCCGACCAACCTCGCTCGCTCCTCCACCTTTTCCCCCATCTCTCTCTCCCATTCTACGGTTACCCGTCATTCTCGCCAAAAGCGGCATATATAGGATCCTCCCGTTTGCCCACGATATGCAGTCAATCTGATTCACCACACACACCCCCTCTGTGAAAATTATTCCCACCATCTTCTTTATTTAATAAAGATCCCATCCCTCCGACTTTCCATCTCGGAAATTATCCTCCCCCTTCAACCTCCCTTGCCTTGTCAACTCGTGGTGCAATCCTCTGATTTTCTATTCTTCCTCCTTTTTTCTCTCATCAAGAAGTAGAAACCCCCATCACATCAGTCAACATGCGTTTCACCACCGCCGCCGCTGCTACCGCCTTCACCAGGCTCGCTGCCGCCGCCGTCCATGGCGAGGGAGCTCTCGGCACCACCATGGGCCCCGTCGACTTCCTCTGGCCCTACAGCCGTGCCTGGAGCGCTGAGACCGACAACATCGCTCCCTGCGGTAGCCCCGAGGGCCCCACCAAGAGGACCAACTTCCCCTCAGTAAGTCTGAATCCGAATCCCTGCTCTTGTTTTAACGGGCACGGTGCTCAAACCATAATTCTGGTGATGATCTATCACTAACCGTCTTATTTCCCTCTAGACAAGGGAACCGTCGCTCTCTCCATTGCCGATGATGCCTACAACGTAGCCTTCTTCGTCGCCGTTGATGACAGTAAGTTCTCCTGATCTTGTTCAACTTTTGACTCCCGCGCTTGCTCGCGCTTGAAGCCTAGCGCTAACCGCGAAACCTCACAGACCCCATCTCCATCAACTCTTTCCAGTCTCAGGTTGTCAGCAACATCAACTCCATCGAGGCCGGTCACCAGTGCTACCTCGTCAACAACCTCCCCACCAACGCCGCTGCCGGCACCAACGCCACCATCCAGCTCAAGTACTGGGCTGATCCCGAGGATGATGGCACCCAGGAGGTCTACTACGCCTGCGCCGATATCGTAAGTCTTTGCTCACGGTGAAAATCAGTGACATGGGAGAAAGAGAGTAAAAGACCCTGGCCACTAATTCTTGCGTGCCCTATAGACCTTTGTCGAGCTTGAGTCCTTCGACACCAACCCCCTTGCTTCAACGTCACCTCTGAGGAGTTCGAGGCTCCCGTCAGCGGCTCCGGTGACAAGACCGACAGCGACAGCTCCTCCAGCGACAAGTCCAACTCTGACTCGTCCTCTGACAACACCTCCTCTTCTTCCGGCGGTCTCAGCACTGGTGCCAAGGCCGGTATTGCCGTCGGTGTCGTCGTCGCTTCCCTCGCCGTTGTCGGCGCCGTTGCCTTCCTCGTCTTCCGCCGAAACAAGAAGGCTCCCGCTGACACCGAGGCTCCCACCGGCAAGGAGGTCCGTGAGGTCTCTCCCGACCGCGTCAGCCGCCGCTCTTAAGCGCTTTCCGAGCACCCTGTTTTGCTAAACATCTACGGACACGTGAAATGGTAACTGGAACTGAATAAAGGATTTGGTACTCGAAGCCGCGAGCTTTAGGACCTAACACCAGACGAGACGGGTTTCTGGTCTCTCTGGTGCGCGGAGGAAAAGGCGGCTTGGACGGACGCGGAGGAATGGAATAGTTAATGGTTTATGACGAGACGATTTGGGAGGAATTCTTTTCTTTGGTTTCGGGCCTTCTACGGCCTTCAGAATGAATATATCCTAAAGAGTTGTTCTTGAGATTTCACGATGCCTGTTTTGTACACTTTGCGATGAGTTGATTTTCGAGCGTAAATATCCATCTATGCTAAACTCACATATGGTATTCTTCTCTTTTAAGCCTTGGACCCTCAAATCCAGATTCACGATGTTTTTACTCGTATTCGGAATTCCAAGTGATTCACATCATCCGGCGATGGGATGGATTTTCTTTCTCCAGCCTATTTCTCACTGAATCCGAAGTCACTCCAGACCTGCTGTCCTACCAATATCTCTGGTTTTGGCAACGACGGCATCAACTTCACTCCTCACCTTGTGCCCGCCTATTCTATCTGATGACAATCTAAATCCCTCCGACTCGTTTCTGTATTCGGCTCCATTGCCGTCAAATCACGCAACTCGGAATCATCATCACGAACGTTCCTTGCAGGCAACTCCACCGAGGCCATGGCCCCTCTGAATCCTTCGCTCGGGATTCTCGCTGCTCCTGCTTTCTCGGTTCAGCTTCACTAAGCCAATGTGGAGTTTTGCCGCTCTTGCCGGCTTGACTCATAGTGTATATCCGTGCCATGGTGCCATGGTACCGGTGTTCCAGGGACTGCGCGAGTGACAAGAAACGGGTTGCTAGGGGATTGTTGGCCTGTGCCATTCCTTGGGGGTTCGCCGTCTTCGGCAGAGAAATCACTGCGCAAAACACAACCTCGGCACATGGGACGGGTAATGCAGAGCATGCCTCGCGGGGACATCCAGTGCGACGAGGAAGGTGATGGATACGGGGGTTGGAGGAGGACCACGGGATCACGCTGTAGAGGGAAAGTTTGCGTAGGGGTCATACTGCCCGGGGCTAAGGGCAGGAACCACCACTAGAGTAGGAAATCACCCCTCACAAGTCAGTAGCCATGGAGTACACCCTTGGTGGGATGTATCACAGAAGGAAGGAGAGGCACTCCTTGGCGTGACAAAAAGAGAGTGGGTGGCTTCATCCCACTTCTCTGTTCGCGAGAGGTGAGAGGAGTGACTGGAGCCTGAGGGCCCTACTGGCGCCAAGTCTATGGATGAGGCCTTGACCGGGCGTGAAGCCAAGAGAGGCATGTACTGGATGCACTGGTCTAGATACGTCCTACCGCCTTTTTCCATTCTTCTCCTCGCGGCGTTTCCTTGTTGGGAACCGAGAGAGAGCATGGTTGGTAATGGAAACGAGGAGGAGGGTGTATGGGCGTATTTGTATACTTTGCCCGGTCATCCGTCCACCCCCCTTGCTATGACAAAGTGGAGGCGTTCGACCCCGGACCATGACACCCTTCATTCAATTTTTCGCTTTTTCGCGCCCCACATCCTTATCTGGACTATTTGCAGCGCGAAGGGGCGCCGTCAGGTGAAGTGACCCCTCCACCTTATTGGACGCTCGAAAGGGGCCTGACCTAGAACCATCGTGGTGCCGACAGCGGCGGTGATGGCTTCGCAGCAAAATAAAGGAAAAGAAGCAGGACTAAAGATTCCGAAGAATGTGCTTAGAATATTGGTTCTCGTATAGATCGTATTCCTTCTTTGAAGAGGAAATGGCGTGGCTGCCTCAACCTGCTGAGCTGAAGCCCAACCATACTCGACCGTGGCGGCTGGCGTCTGGAAGGTGATACAAGTACAAAACATGTCTGTGCTCGAGTACTAACAGATCCAAAGGCTGGTCGATTATCAATCTCTGCATCATCTGCTGGTTGGGGGCTTTCCCGTGTCTTGAAATGCATTTGGATACCCTATGTGAGTGGAGGGGGCTGGGAGTAGGCCCAACACAGGGCCATCCTCTCCTCTCCCTGGACAGTTAGCTCTATCTACAAGTAGGCATGCACTTTTGTTCAAATCGCTAAAATAGGGTTGGTCCATTCCAGCCCGTCTTGGGCCGCAGGAAGGGGTAGGACTGTTTCCACCTCACTATTCTTCATCTGGGAGTTGACCTTGAGGTGGGTTCACCCTGTTCGCTCCTTGCCTTCCACTTGTATCCACTTACTACCATGCTATACGAGCGGTTTGAAAAGACTACTGAGGCCGAGAGCATCGGATAAAGAGTGCGATATTTCTATCACTTAGCACTCGGATAGAATCAGGCAATGACGAAGAACGTGCCCCCAGTCGTGGCTCCTTGGATTCTACGTATGAATCAGGCCTCTATCACGACCGGGAGCCCGCCTGACTACCTGCGCGGCAGCAGAGACTCTTGCAGCCGCGGAGCCACGGCCCATTCAAAAGTTGAGAGGTATGGTACACCCCGGGTGCCGAGCGCAAGTGGGCTCCGGCACTTTGCGCGTTCCAGGGAGGACCAACGCCCACCCGATTAAACCAAGACGTGACTCTTTGCGAGTCACTAGCAGCCCCTAAGCTTCTTTTACCTCATTCCGCAAAGGTCACTCCTAGGCCCTGAAACAGGATCTTTTCAATAATACACCCGTACGTTCCCAACGCAGCTGCTGGGCGCGGCGGTCATACGACGAGTCTTCGGGGACACCTCAAGCCACGGCTGTGCCAAGCCTATACCGAGCCTGCTGCGCCCATGAACTCGCCAAACCGATGTTTGTCAACCCCCACACACGCTATCTCTAGACATGTGTAGTGGCCCCTCAGCATCAGTAGTCTCACAAGTTGGAGCCTATCGCGAGCAGTCCTCGAGCGGGGTTTTCTCGCGCGTCGTCATACCTCGTCTACGAGAGGAAAGGCAAGCGACAGACTCAATGGGTGGCTGTGACGGTGGACGAAAAGGGAAGCGTATTTCTTGAACCTTTTGAATACTATGGGATGTCTGTCGGCCATCTTTCAGGTGGGGAAAGATAGCCGGATGGTTGGTATCGCCGAGCTAGAAGTCTAGACTCCTCTGGTTCCGATCATACTGGCCGCCGTTGCTGGGATAGTGGCCACAATGACTCTTCATAGCAGCAACCTTGCGCCTTAGAAACCTTGGCTCACATCTCTGGAGGTGGTTGAGTCGGAGTCACCATTTGCCACTCTCTAACTTGAGCCCCGAGTTGACTATGGTCTCGGTACCATGGGTTCTCGTCGTTTGAGTCAGTTGCGATTGGGTTTACAAAAGAGTTCAACTAGAACCTAGATATATTATCAACGAAGAACAGAAAATCAGAAAGGCTAACAGTTGTGCCAGATCCCGGGTCCTCAGCCAAAAAAGAAAGAAGAAGGAACCCCGAGGTTATAATTATCCCGACTCTCACTCCTCTTCTTGATCCCCCTCATCCGACTCCGTCCCTCGACACTGAACCGATAGCTCGCCTGCAGAACATATGGCTCACCACCGGGCTCGAAAAATTGCTTCGAGTCTCTCTCCCACTCGGGGTGATTGATGCCGTCAATCCAGTCTTGCACCTCCACGGCCATACAACCCCACTTCGGGACCGTACGGGGAACTCGGGGTCGTCGATTAAACCTTGTGTCTTCTTGAGAGGGACACCGCCGTCTTGGAAATTGCAAGAGTACACCTGCACGGCATCTTGGTCGGTATACACGTCAAATCGGATACCGGACCACTCCGAAGCCAAACTAAACACATATCCACTTTCGCGCCAGGAGTCGATATCCTGTTGTTCCCGGTCAATGGTGTAGCAGTTGTCTAGGAAATAGTTAGCGCTGAGTTCGGCACGAAGAACAATGAAGAGAGCACAAAGGAGTGGTGAGAGAGAATTTGTGACTTACCGTAACCGACACAACCTATTCCGCAGTTCCCCTCCATATCGGGGTCCTCAAAGGACGCACCAACCTGCTTTGGCTCGCTCCAGAAGTCATTGACGGAGCCCTCTTCGTTCTCTAGGACCTCTCCCGTTGGGATGAGGATAGAATCCACTCCGATGCGCTGCTTGCTGAAAGGCGCGTGCATGGTGTGATCTAGGAGCAGATTCGTCTCGTCGTTGTCGAACCCGTCTAGGTTCCAGTACGCGTGGTTCGTTAGCATGATGGGGGTTTTCTTGGTCGTCGGCAAGGCGGTCATAGTAAAGTCCCAATTCATCCCGTTGAGCGTGTACGTGATGTACGAGACGACGTCGCCGGGAAACCCTTGCTCGCCGTCCGCATCGAAAAGGAGAATGTGATGCTGCTGTTGGTATGCGCCACCACGGTGAAGTTTCGCCAATCCCAGCCATCCGGGCCCCCGTGTAGTGTGTTGAGCCCATCTGGATGCTCTTCTGTAGGGTTGTCGTTCGGGGTGGTGTGATATTCGATGCCATCCACCTCAAAGGTGCTGTTTCGGATGCGGTTCGCGTAACGGCCCGGAACGCCACCGAAGTGATCGTGGCGAGTATCTATGGTGTAGTGCGTCGCGTTGTCGAAGCCGGTGGTGATGTCACGCACCACGCCATTCTTATCGGCGATGAGGAAGTTGGCCAGGGAGGCGCCGTAGGGAACGAAAGCGGCGGAGATGCCGTCTCCGTGGATCCAGAACTTGCCGTCGTCATCCGCACCAAGGATGCTCTCGCTTTGGACCTGAGCATAAGCCCCCGCCACAAGGGCCGCCAAAGAGAACGTCACGCTATGCATGCTGGCTAGAGGTAGGGATGGCAGAATTGAAAGCACAGTCTCTAGGGCCAGGAACAGAAAGGAGAACTCAGGTATCGCTGTAATATATATATATATATATATGGCGCCGACTTAGACAATGAAGAGCTCTACTTAGCTCTCGTTTGCTCGGAAAGATTTCTCGCTAATTCGTCGGCAAGGCCAGGGGCCCTCCAATATACTGTCGCATCATGGATCAATGGTTCCAATGGCACGGTCAAGTTTGGTCGGTTCATGGTAATATCACATAGTGCTATGAACAAAAGGCCTCCACCCAAGCGATGGGCCCGCCCAGATCAACACATCCAGACTAATTCCCTCGAGATCGGCCACAGCAAGGCGAAACACTCCAACCGCTCTCCGGGTACATCTCAAACGAGTATTGCCATTAAGGAACGATCATGGCATTCAGGCAACAATGCGAATCAAGTGACGTGCGATCCAACGGTCCCTTCCAGCTCAATACTAAGACCGAGACTAGGAAGGATAACGATATCAATAACAAGAAAGCGGCTAAAATGACCGCTTCTTAGGTCAATCCGCCGTCGACCCCAACCCTAAAACTTTGTTGGTCTTCCAAATGCTTTGCCCGCACACACCATGATATTGGCGCGCTTCTAAATTTTCTGTTCGGCCCGCACTCATGCCATTCTATGCCATTCTTTACCATTGGGGCGTCTACTCACACGTCCTCGCCTATGCAGGCTCCGGGCAATTCACCAAGTCAATCTTTCCAAATCTGGGATATGAGGTGGACAATCGCCAGTGCGGGGGAACAGTGGATTTCACGTCGATGGTTAACCTTGTTTTCTGTTCTCTTATCCCTTTTGTTTGCCTTGACCTGCCGGAAGTGAGACACTGCCGGCCAGACGTGACGTGACGTTTGGCATGTCGCATTTGGATGAAGATCCGATTTTGGTTCCAGCGGGTGAGGCGGGAATTGGGTAATCTGATTGGTGCGCATGGTCTTCAATTTAAGACCTATATTACCTGCGTTTTCGCGCACCTGTAAGCTTAGCTCGTCAAGTTGTTGGCCTTGGACCCTGAGACGTTGAATACTCACTTGACCGAACCCGGCTGGCTTGTCGGCAATGCTGGACACCCGGCTCAGAGTCTTTCATCGACCCTCGCTCACGAGACATTGAATCAGGCCGACAAGATGGGGAAAGAAAGAAGCTCAGAATTGTGCTAAAACATCTTTATCCCAATTGTCATGATGGTTGCGAAGAAGAGCGGGGTTGAAAATCACAAAATGGATAATTGATAATATTCGTGAGAAATGTATCCAGTGAAGAAAAGTAAAAGTAGAAGAAAAAAGAGATATTCTATGCCAGTTGCATCTCAAAGCTCTTAACAGTAACCTCCCCACCGAGGGCCTTGGTCGCATGATTAAACACGGCAAACCGATAGCCCGTAAAATACCTCCACGAACTCGTCATCGCAAACGCCGGCCCCAAATTCGTCCACGTTTTTCCATCCGTGCTGTACGAGAACGTGGTGGTCCGCTCCTCCGCGAGGCCGAACGCGGGGTGATGTCCGCGTTGACGCGGAGCCACACCTCTGATCCCTCGACGGTGGGGCCGGTGGCCGCCACCTTACCCGCGGAAGTCGTGGCCCACCCGTCCTCCGATAGGTTGAGGCTGTTCACCATAACAATTTTGGACGCGCCTCCCTCCTTCCATACCCCGATGTAGGCGGCGCGGTCGCGGAAGAGGCTGGCCCCGCACGGTCGCCGTCGCGCATGCCGCTGATGTCGAGATAAAAGGTACCGATCGACTTGGGCCCGAGAATACGGTGAGTGAGGGTGTTCCGGGCAGCGAAGAGGTCCTCGGTCACGGTGGCGGTGCCGAGAACTAGGCCCGAGCTTTTCAGGGCCCACTTGGCGTTGTCGGGGTTATGGTTCCACTCCCACTCGTGGCTCAGATTCGGGCCTGAAAAGGTATCCAACCCTGTCGGCGGCTTAACCGTCTTGTCTGTCTGTACGGGACCGGATATGAAGTGCCCCACGCGCCGTTGACGGTCACCAGCTCCGGCCACCCGTCCGAGGTCCAGGTAATCGGTGCCACGACGGGGATGCGGCCCCTGGGTAGGCGTCCATGAAGGCGACATAGTACCAGTCGCCGGCCGCGGTATCGACGATGCCTCCCTGGTGGGAGACACCCGCGTTGGCGAGGGGCCCTTGATGTTGTCGAGCAAGGTGCGTTGCTCATAGGGGCCAAACACGCTGCGGGACCTCAGGACAAATTCTGCGTTGGCGGGACGCGTGACGAGGATGTAGTAGTACTCTCTGCGCCTGTACATTCTTGCTCCCTCAATGTACTCGGAGCCGACGTAGACCTCTTGAGTCTTGACTTCGCTGAATCCGTCGGGGACAGCTGTGCAATGGAGATGCGAGTGTTCCCGTATGCCACGTACATGCTGTCATCGTTGTCGATGAAGATGCCGTTGTCGTAGTAGCACCTGTTGATGGGTGTTCTCTCCGTCCACTCCCACTCCGACACCTCACCACCGTTGGTCGCCGCCTTGTGGCCTGGGGCGGTCCACACAGACGTCTTGCCGCCCGAGACGCAACCCATCCAGTAAAACATGTCGTTGGATTCTCTGTAGCGGAGCGAGCTGGCCCATATACCACCTACATAGGCCCTGCTGTTTACGAGGTCGTACTGGGAACCAAAGGTGAGGGTGGGGACGCTGTGAGTGACGGGCTCCCAGTTGACGAGGTCATAGGACTTGAGCACGGGGCGCCGGGCGAGTAGGCAAAGGTCGAAGAAGAGTAGTAGAAAACATGGCCGACGCGGAACACGTCGAGGTCCGGGTAGTCCTCCCAGAGAACAGGATTGGCAAACGTTGCGTCGGCGCGAGGGATAAAGCTCTTGTTGGGCGACTGGCCTGTCCCATTCTCGGGCACAGGACTTGAGAGTACGCCGGCAAGCTGGCAGGCCAAGAGGAGGGAGAGACTTTTGAGCGTGGAGGACGGCATTGCGTGGATTTGCGCGAGACAGCGTCTGAATGAACTACAATCTACAGTTGGGATGGAAGAGACCCCAAAGATGCATCGAGAGGGTTTGGCCTCTCAATGATTAAGTATTGTATCATCCCCGACGCCGAGGCTTCCGATTCGTGAGGCTCCTGAGGAATCTCGTGATGAGGAGCGTAAAGCTGTTCTCGGTATTGGACGCGGTCTAGGCATCTAGATCGGGTAAATGAGATACACCTAGCTAAGACCGATCCAATGTGTATAGGCCGTCTTTTGGGAAATGCGGAGGAGGCGGCTCCTTACCCCTACCAATCATTCTTGGCCCCCTAAAAATGCCAATCACAGTCACAACCTTGTGTTTGGGACCCGTCGCCTCCATTTCCCTGGGACCCCACGGCTGAGCCCCAAAGAGGGGAAGAAAAGAAGATTGAGAGAAGAATATTTTAATAAAGAGAGACACCGAACTCACCAAAATTCTGCACCTTGTTTTTGGGTGACAGAGTTGGCTAAAAGTCCATTGGTGGAACTCGATGTCGGCGGCTCGGGCTGGCGAGAGGCAGGGCCGATGTGGTGCGGTCTCCGCCCCCGAAAACCATCAATGATAAAGGCTGCTGTGTAAACGAGCGCGCGAGATGGTCATACCAGGAATTTTGTCCGAGTGGCCTGCTAAAGAGGGCGACAGCAGCATCTAAAGGAGCTTGGAGAACTGGCGGTTGCGCTCCAATCATCTTTGTTAGACGGAGCTTGGCCGATACCACCCTCCCCACACAAGCTCGGGAGCAAGGCACCCTCGGCTGCTGAGCCGAGCCCGCGCGTTTTTCGACCCCAGACGGAACTGTCCGGCGGCCTGATTTCATCTTGGCCCCTCTTGTTTGTGTGGGGGACTCTCAAGATATCCTTGTTTGGCGCCTTTAGTTTACCTGTATCGTTGGGAGCGTACCTAAGGACAATGATTCCTTGCCTGATATGAAGCCTAGCTTTCTCTCCATAGTTTTACTCGGATTGGTTCAGACCATCAAACCGACAGGTCGCCCAACGCCAAGAGTACCTGTTTAGGAATTACTCATCCTGCTTCCGATTGTGTATCTTATTCGCCGTCGGATGACTGTATCTCTTTCGACCTCGTTACTCTCGGTCTCACTCCTAGCACACTCCATGGCGCGTGAGAGACTCATAGATTGCGTCTCCGTTGACAGGGCCTCTTTATAGATTAGGTTAGTGGATGGGAGACGGCGGAGTAGGCAGGGATGGAGAACTATCCATGAAGAGGAAAAGTGACATGAGACATTCATGCTTAACATTGAAGTCAGCTTAACCATCGCCGTGGGTCTCCGGATCGGTGTCGCTCACAGTGATGGCGTTAAAAGTCTTTTGCGTTGCTTACTGTACTAGTTACCTTGTTACTTTTTAGATGGAGCCAAGGTTGCGGCCTGGTTGTAAGGAGGCGAATGGGGAAGCTACGTATCGCAAGGCGCTGAGAGATTGCAGTCGGCTTGTACTTCTTTCATCTATCTCTACATCTATGGGTCCTGGATTCATCCGCGTGTGCCATTTTCAAGACATTCAGCAATCCTCGCTCGGTGGTATCAGCAATATTACTAAAAACATCACCTTGGGAAAGAGAAGAGAATGGTGGACGTTAGGTCCATTATATATAAATTTGTATTTATCGAAACATCATGACGCCATTAAACTAGGCAGGTTGTCTGTTCCGCAAAGCGCTGTATACACGACAGTCTTGAGCGAATCTACTCCCGTTATCGCCAACCTGACAACTCCTCAACCCATCAAGAAAGCTGGCCCATGACTGATGAGATGCCAGACTATAGTGAACCTAGCAGTCTAGAACAGGGTAGCAACTTCTCCCCATACGACCAGCCACCTTTCAATGGTCGCCTGATGGCCGTCCTAGCGTCGGGAAACTTAGCAGCGGATAGAAGTCTTTTGCAAGTCACAGTCCTTGGCGTATCCGTAGTCGCAGCATCCGCCGTTCGAGTTGCACTCGTACACGTGGTTCCAGGCGCCGCCCGTGCCGAGCTTGGTGACGATGAAGTCGTTGTTCCTCCAGCAAAGACCGCAGTACTGGCCCTGGGTGATCTTTTGGCACTTGCAGCCGTTGTTCTTGCAAGCGCGCTTGCTGAGGTCGCGGTCCTCGAGGATGCCGCCCTGGGCCTCGGGGTTGACGGACATGCGCTCCCTCACGAGGATGTCATGGGTCTCCTTGCCGAGGTCCGAGCCCAAGGCGGAGGCAGAGGCGAGGGCAAGAAGGGGAGGATGGCGAAGAACTTCATGGTTGCTTATACGAATTCGTTTTCAAACGGATGAGGACGAAGGTTGACTCGGGTGGGGGTTGAGATATCAAGCTTGAGTGGGATGACTGTTCATGAGAAGCTTGACCGGAGCAAAGGAAAGGATAGGTCTCTGAGGAAGAGGCGGAAACGGCGTGTCTTTATAGATGACTCGTCAACGGCCCGACAGGTAGGCGATGGTCTCGTTGCTTACGCCGGAAAAGCCATCTTGGTTCCGTGCGCCCCCGGAATGCCGCCTTCATCGTCCCCACCCTTGCGGGCGGAGTAATAAAGAAGGAAAGAGCAAGCGAAAAGTGCCGCATCGTGCACAACGCAACAAGGCCAACCAAAGACATGGCCGCCGCTCACATGTCGCAGGGGAGACGCAAGCCGCTCTCTTCTCAACATAAAGAAAAGGGATGGCTCGGGTAATACGGCAGCACAGGCTTGAGCCAGCATCAGCCCATCGTCAAGGCCAACCGGGCGCGACGCGTGCCGCCGAAGCAGCCCTCCTACGGGTCGACGATGATAAGTAATTAGAAAAATAATAAAGGTGGCAGATACGAATCGATTTCCGGCTCAGCCTATCATGTACCCAATCGCCAACCTTGCTCATCCCCGCAAAACCAGCGCCGGGAAGACGAGGAGCAAGGAAATTACAAGAGCAAAAAGTAAAAATAAGGTGAAACTACTCCGCCTTTTTCACCTCCCTGAAAGGCGATCCTTGGGTTGCTTTGCAGGATCGCCGATATTTCCCCTCGCTTCGGCGCGTGTCTCTCTGGCCCTGCGGGTGGGTTTTCCCGTTTGACCCTCGGAGCGGGTTGATATTGGAGAGGGCTGAACGTTTCGCCGCGCTTATGGGTTCGAGGTAGAATGACTCTCGCGAGAGCCTATGCTTGTGCAGCGTGCCCATTCACCGCGATTACTACTCGAATTTGATGCGGAATTGTACCTTAGCCGCTACATGTACCTTCATTTAGAGTGCTTGCGCATCAAGGTGGCGCAAGGCGCGAGATGAGAAATCATGAAGGGACCAAAATTCCGGGAATTTTTCTCACTGTGCCACATCAACTTCCCCCTCTTCTTTTTCCTTCATCGCCCACCGGCACCAGGCATATCGCCAGGGCACCCGATCCATAAAAGCCGAAATAGGGCTTAATCTGGCCCTGCAGGAGGGTTGTGTCTTAAGCATGAGACGGCACGCATAAACAGGCCTGCCTGCCGCTACCTGAAGCCTCGTTCTCCTTGGTCGCTGCCCCTCTCACCCCTTTTCCCACCCACTACCTGTGCTGCAGGCTCATCGAGAGGACTCGGATAGAACCGAGGACAGGGGAACATGTTGTGAAGAAAATCGTCCCCAGGTCCCCGAGGATCCCGGTGAAACAGAGCTAGCAGTCAGCTTCGGACGAATTTGACCCTCCGAAGTGGCATTTTCGACCCGGCCATGCGTCATGTCAAGTTCGGCGCAGGAGCACAAGAAGGGATGCCACATTCCACAACGTTGACGGCAGCGAATCGCTTCACGAGGTGTAAACGACGACGTGCGGGGAAAATGAACAAAAAACAACAAAAGAAACGGGGGATGCAGGGCAAAAGGGAGAAAACAAGGCAAGGAGGATGACTCGTGAGGGTGGACCTTGAGCAGATTACTGAACCTCGATGCTTCCACAATCTCGATGCGACCACCAGTAGACTTTTCCGATTCGGCATCTGCGGTGCACGCGGTTAGGAAAGGGGCGCGCCGGAAAAGAGCCGAGATTTGTATGGTATTGGGGCATGCCCGACCACGCACCACTACACATCCCTTTGAAGATGTGGGAGCAAGAAGAACACAGTGCCACGCGTTGATCACACAAATTGTAGAAGAAGACAGGGAGAAGAAAGCCCAAGGTTTGATGCAAGGTCTGTATTGAAGAAGCTAGAAAAGAATGGAGGTATTGGAGATGCTTGCGACCCCTTCCCGCAAAGTCCCATTGGCCATCAATGGCTATCGTACGAGCAAAACGGAGCTGGGTTGATTAAGCCTGGACTGTGATAAACCAGTGTGCATGTAATGGATGTGTTGGGCACCGCCCTGCTTGTCCAGTCGGACATCGTTCCGCACACCGCAGCGCGTACCCCGCGGGGACTATTGTGTAGTATCTCCCATTGCCTCGAATTCCGATAGATGAAGGCCCTCGACTCATTCTTCCCTTTCCCTATTGGCCCCAATGCTTCTTAGAAAGGGTAGGAGGGGGATGCGCTAGAGGCTGTGCAAGCAACAAGAAAATTGAGCAGAATACATGTACTCCAAGCACTTGGTGAATATACCCATTCTTGATATTCCTGGATCCCGGGTCTGGCTACAAAAATAGCACATATAACACTCTAACTGGTAAGAGGCGGCCAAAATACCCGTCGACTTGTTGCCAGGCGACCGGCAGCGGGCGGGCTATGTTTACGGGAGAAAGGAAAGAAACATCCACCATCGGTTCCCCTCGGCACCTAGTAAATCGCCAGATAAACTACTGCTGTTCTGAAGGTTTGCCCTTGTAACTCGAGCTCCAGCAGGAATGTGACGGAAAATGTCTAAAGATTTTCGATTACCCATTACTTGTAGAATAGAAATGCTCCCTAGTTCTTTGCTAATTTTCTCAATCTTGCAGCTGTGGCTCGCCCTGCGGCCCGCTCTTGTTTTCGCTCATAAATCGTAAAATGCAACCAGACATCTACTATCGCGTTTCCTAAGGACTTGCGTGAATCAAACTCCTTGATCCTCCCACCCTCTGTACACTTCTGCTTTTTCTCTGGTGTTACAATTAGTCGGCGCCGCCCACTGAATACACCATGCAAACAACGAGCGGCGCCGTTCAAGTCATCTCCTTCCATTACCCCAATTTGAAGGTGGCGCCTCCCATCGGGCGTTTCTCCTATTATTCCAGACTCACGGCCCTATGTCTTGGTCCATGGCAAACATGCGTTTGCGGAGAGTGCTACAAGAGTCCCTCTTATCATGAAGCGGCACCGCGACGCGTAGCCGTTGACCTTCCGGCCGCGTCTGCCCTTCATCGCCGTCTGCCTCATCATCATCGTGTATACCGATAGGCCATTGCCCACAATACATCCACTCCAGCTGCGGCATGACAGCCGCGTAGGCCTCGGCCTCGTCGAGCATACGATTCCGGTGGTACCGCTCCCAGAGCTCCGGGTCGTCAGGTAAGCGGGGAACGCGTCCTCCAACGCCGGGCGAGCGGCCCTAGCCACCCAAGCACTGCTAATGCCGCCGAGCTCCGGCCTGGCAAGGGCAAGCGTGCGCTGCTCCGTGGTGAGTTCCATGTGTAGGTAGCGCTCGTAGTAAGCTTCGACGTGCCGGCCAGGCTCAAGACCGGCGGGGACGTAGGTGTCGCGCACAAACGCGAGCCGGCGGAGGTTGGACAGGCCACGCAGAGCCCAACGCACAGACTCGTGGTCGACGAGCCACTGGTGACGCCATTCGGCGGATTCGCCAGCGCTTAGGCTCAATTGCTCGAGGGAAGAAATGGTACCAATGGCGGCGAGGCACTCGTCGGACACGACGGCGATGTTGGGCCGCGTGGCCTCCTCGGTGCCCGGGCCGGCCCAGGAGAGGGAGAGGGACGTGAGGTTAGACCAGCCGCCGTACCCGCGCGCGCCAGACGTGAGGAGGGGGATGAGTTTGGTGTTGAGCAGCTCGGGGACGCCTGGCCGACGCAGAGCTTGCGGATGGGGGTGGCGCGCGATGAAGGCGACGAGCTCGTCGGGCGCGCCGGGGTCCCGGGTGCTGTCTTTGGGGCGGCACGGGGGTACGACGAGCGTTTCGAGGTGGGGAGGGGCGGGCACGCGGCGGCGGCGTGGGCAAACTCTTCGCTCGTCTTGGCCGGCAGGGCGAGGTGGCGGAGGGGCGCGGAGAAGAAGGCGTGCCAGGCGGCGGTGTCGAAGCGGCGGGTGGTGCCTGAGAGGTCGAGGCGTCGGAGTTCGGGGAGGACCAGGGCCGGGCCATCACAGATCAAGGAAATCATTCTCTCGCCGAGCATGGGCCCGATGGCGAGGTTTTCTAGCGTGGCGGCGCAGAGGCGGAGCAGGCTGGCGAGGAGGGGAGACACCGTGTCGGCCTGCTTGGCCTTGTGGTGACCGCCGTGGCAGAGCTCGGCGTCAAAGTATAGGGATCGGAGGGGCATGGCAGCGGGAGCCAGCGGGGTTCGAGACGGTAGGCGCCGCCGACGTGGGCCTTGGAGAGCATGAGGTGGCGGATGGGGAGGTGCGTGACGACGCGGAAGAACTCCTCGTCGAGGCACACGCCGTCGTACCACGAGACGGACTCGAGGTGGGGCATGGCGTACTCGATGGCGGAGAGTAAAGGGGCGCGGTACATGGTCAGGTATTGGGCGAGGGCCTTGTCGCGCAGCTCGGAGATTTTTTCGGGGGATGCGGCCGGGGCGCGGTCCCAGACGACGCTGAAGAAGTCGCGGTGGAAGTCGGCCACCTTGTTGGGCGTGGAATGCACGGTCAGGGTGCGGATGCAGGGGCCGATGAAGGTCGGGCTGACCACGTTGTCGAGGAGGATGCCGGGGCTGCGGCGGATGCGGGCCTCCCGGACAGCACCTGCAGCATGTGCCACGAGGCTTTACTGTAGTCGAGCGTCAGGTTGGCGTACTGGCAGGAGCCCGCGAGCTGCCGGCAGTCGCGGTTGACCTGGGCGAGGGTGGCCAGGGTGCGGGCGTCATCGGCGATGAAGGCGACGATGCAGGCGAGGATCTCGTGGGGGAGCCGCAGTAGGCGGCCTGTGGATGTGACGGGGCGTCCTTCCTTGACTTTGGGGAGTAGGAGGGGAGTCGGCCGCACTTGGTCTTGCCGAATTCGTCGGCTTCGAAGCCAGAGTATGGCGTGCTCATGAGCACGGAAAGGTCGTGGCCGAACATGTTTTTTGTGAACCGAGGTTCTTCTCTCGATCCTTCTTTCTATCCTTCTTTCTGTGTTTCCTTTATCTTGGTGCCCAGCGATATGGAGAGGAGGAGTCCAAAGTGATGATTGTGCAAAATTAGAACAAAAAAGGAGGTTTATGATTTTTTGTCCCCTTAAGCCCTAGAGAAAAAGCTCTCGTCCGGTCTGTGAGTTTCTACATGAATACCGAGAGATCAACAGACCACCGCGGTCTCTTTGTTGGGCGCATTTCGGGTGATGCGGTGAGCACGAGGCCCGACGAGACAGCAATTAAGATAAGATGGGCTGATAATCTGACCGATCTCGGAGCACGTCTTTTGGGCCCACGCTAGCATCAATTCAAGCTAGACGCACCAGGTTCCCGTCGGGGAGGACCCTGTCACGCCAGTTTAGACCAGTTTAACCCCCCAAAAGAGAGGCCAATAAACGTCACTTGCTATGATCGTCGTACTGTATGGAGCTCAGGGGTTCTTTTGATCGTTGGAGGGAAGATTGAATTTGACGGATTCCGATCAGGGGCAAAAATGGAGCTCGAAGCTCTCCAAATTTCCAAAGAGCCGCGCCAAGCTTGTGCAGGCACTTGAGCACAACGAAATTGGGGCAAGCGTCTCAATACGCTTAGGTCTCCAGTCTGCTCCGGCGAGCGGAAACGAAACCTGCCCACTTCCAATCACATCGGCCAGCGGTTGACGAAGCTAACCGGTCTCCGAGCTTCACCGCCCTCGGACCGGCGAGCTCGTGCTTTGATTTTTAGAATTGTTGCGAAAAGGCCCCGGCGCATGATCACGGGCTAAAGAATAATACGAAAGTCTAGTTGGTGATATTTTATCGGAATGGATCAGTATGTGGTGTGAAAATCCCAAACGCTCTCTATTAGTCTATATGTCATGAGATTGTCAAAGCACAAAGGAAACGAGACAGAGACCCGCCTCAACCGAGGATCGAGCCTCAATCAATGATCTCCCATGCCTGCCCTGGCGATTTGCCCTGAATGTGCCATCCAAGTACGCCAAAAATAAGAAACAATGTACAAACAAAACAAAAAGAAGGCAATGCCCATCAACCGATTGTCTACATGGCATCCCGCGGAAGCAGAGGAGCGATGCGCGCCGCCTGTACCTCCAATCTTGACCACCTCGCTCACGCCAACACGCGCCTCAGCCTGATCAAGGCCCATCGACTCTAGGAAGCGAACGGCCTCCGCGCTCTCCCTTTCCTTCCTAGCAGCGTCCCAGCTCAGCTCGTCAGCCATGACGTCGACGACGCGGGGCAGGGCATCAAGAGCACCCTTGACGTCGAGGAAAGACAGGCGGGTGCGGCGCGCGATAGCATCCACGACGGTGCACGCGGCCTCGGAGCGCGCGGCGTGGCGGATCTCCCCTCGATGAACGGCAGATGCGGGAGGAGTCGCCGGGGCCCCGTCGTCGTGGAGGTCTCGGACCCGGACGTGGCGAGGACGGCCCAGGCGCGGTCGCCGTAGTTGGAGGCGAGGTGGCGCGCGACGGCGGCGTCGAGGCCCGGGTGGGCTTCGGTGAGTTGGGCGGCGAGCGCGGTGGTATAGCCGTGGCTGCCGAGGAGGCGCACGCCGCGGGTCACGCAGGCGCCGGTGGTGGTGAAGCCGGGGAGGCCGGCGCCGCTGATGTCGGGGAGGGCGAGGGTCTTGGGCTTGAGGTGGAAGGTCTTGATGGCTTCATCGACGGCTTCCTCGGCCATTTGGCGGTAGGTGGTCCATTTGCCGCCGACGCAGGAGAGGAGGCCGGAGGGAGAGACGGTGATGAGGTGGCTGCGTACGAGGGATTCGGTGTTTTTCGCGTTGGGGTCCTTGACAAGCGGTCGGATGCCTGAAAACGCCGCCATGTTAGTCAATCTTGAATTGTTTTCGACAAAGAAAGGGTTTTGCAACTTACCGGACCACGCCGCGAGGACGTCCTTGTGGGTTAGAACCGCGTCAGGGCGTAGGAGCTTGTTCGTCTCCTTGAGGATAAAGTCGACGTCGCTCTGGCCGGGCAGGGGGTTCTGCTCCACAAGGCACGAGTTGTCCGTGGTGCCCGCGAGGGTGAAGCCCTCCCAGGGCAGCACAAAAATGACGCGACCATCCGAGGTGGCGGCATCAAGCATGCCCATGCCGTTGGGGCAGATATTGCCCGGCAGGATGACGTGCACGCCCGACGCCGGCGCAATCATGGGCTTGCGGGACGGATCGTTCATGCGCTCGACGGCATCGGCAAAGGGCCCCGTGGCGTTGATGACGCCCTTGGCGCGGATGGAGAACTCGGCGCCCGCCTGCGCGTCGCCCGCGTCGGCGGCGAGGACGTCGCGGACCTTGGCGCCGCGGATCCTACCATCGGCACCCTTTTCAAGGCTCGTGACCTCGACGTGGTTGAGGACGGTTGCGCCGTACAGACCGGCGGTCATGGCCAGGGACACGTTCATCCGCGAGTCGTTGTGCTGGCCGTCGTAGTACACGAGGCCGCCAACGAGCTTATCGTCGCGGAGCAAGGGGCACATCTCCAAGCTCTTCTCCTTGCTCAGGTAGTAGGAGCCCTCGAGGCGCTGCGACCCGGCCAGCAGGTCGTACATCTTGGTGCCGATCCACATGTAGGGGCCTGCCACCAGCGGGACAGGGGAGGAGGATAGGCAGCGCGCTGGACAGGTGGGGCGCGACGGAGAGGAAGGTCTTGCGCTCGCGCAGGGCCTCCATGACGAGCTCGAGCTGGGCGTAGTCGAGGTTCCAGATGGCCTTTTCCAGGTAGCGCACGCCGCCGTGCACGAGCTTGGTGCTCTTGGAGGACGTGCCGGCGGAGAAGTCGTCGCGCTCGACCAGCGCTACTTTGAGACCGCGCGTTACGGCGTCTAGCGCGATGCCCGTCCCCGTCGCGCCGCCGCCGATGATGAGAAGGTCATATTCGTCTTCCGCGCCGTCCTCTGCCGTCGTCGTTGTCGCCGCGGCGGATCCTTTGTGCCTGAGTTCCGCGAGCTGCTCGGCGCGCGACTTGATCTTGGGGAAGGAGGGTGCGATTATGCGGTTGGAGGCGTCGCGTTTGAGCTCGGCCACGGGTAAGGGGTGGATTTGGAGGTGGTTTTGTTGTAGACGAAGATGCAGGCGGCGACGGCGCCCGTGAGGCCGATGGCTGTGCGCGGCCGGAGGATTCTTTGAAAGTTGCTCATGGTTGTGGCGTTACTGGTGTGTGTGTTATTCGAGACGAGGCTATTCCACTCCCGTCAAAGGGGAGCGTTCGGTTTGTATCAAGAGAAAGGGTCTAAGGATGCAAGAGGGAAAATGTGGTAGTGAGCTTGCTATGACTGCTCTCGTTTGGGCCTTTATGTTGGAAATATCGGCAGGACCGGAAAGAATGAGGCGTCCCTGGGAATGATAGGAGGCTGAAAGCAGCTGACGGGTCGCACAAGACAAGAAGCAGCTGACGGGTCGCACAAGACAAGGGGTTGGTTGGTATGCGTGATGGGTGTGGTGGGTATCAAACAAGGGAGGAGATGGAAAAGCGTAGCTGTCAGATATTGAAAATGAGTGTGCCAAAGGGACGAACAGGTGTGCACAAAAGTTCACAGATCGCCAAACATATATAGAATACTTGAGACGATGATGCCACGGTACCGGGGCTCGGGAAGAAAAAGAAGAAAAAAGGAACAAGAGACATTCCAGTATTATTATTATTTCGAGCCAACACATTGGAATGAGCCGGGGGACACGGGTGAGGATCTCCGAGGATTTCTCCCGCTCCACGCGCGGCCCACGTCGAGAAGGCCTCTCCACAATGACTGACTATGATTGCCAGCAGACCCTCTTCCCATATGACTCCAGGTGAGACTGCGCAAATCCTATTTTCGTATTGGCGAGGGAGGGAATCATATTGGACCGAGGGGGACGGCCCCCTCGTGGGGGAGGGTTTTTTTCCAATAGAATGCGCCGAAACTTGAACGTTTTTCTTTCTGGCCCCCATGTGATGGGCGCTGGTGGGACAAGGAAGCTCGAAAAATCAAGGCGTGTCATATTATCAAGCCTGACCCTACGCTTTTTTCGCTGGCATGCGACATTTCTCGGTGGCTTTCGGTAGTGAGACCCGAGTCTTTTCCTCTGACGCCATGACCAAAGAGGGAAATGAGCTCCGGCAAGTCACCCTGGTAGCTCCTTCCCCACTAAAAATGGTCTCGGCATCCTCGGCCGAGGAATATTTCCTCTTTGGCTCCCCTGTGTTTTCTTCTCTCCCTTCTATTTCTCCCCTGGCCCCTCTTCTCCCAAAAGGCAAAATGGGCCAGGGGACTATGCAGCAAGGGCGGGATCCGCACTTACGCGCAAATTGCGTGCAGCCCATGGGGCACCTCGGTACCTTGAACACCGAACGGGAACGGGGAGTTTTTCCCTTTGACGACAGACGACACGAACGGATTGCCCGCTAACAACCTAAAACATCAATTGGGAGGATGGAAACAGCTCGAGTGCGACATTTTTGGGGTGGTTGTTCTGTCTCTGCCCCTCCCTTCTTCCCATGTTTGATCCACTCTCACGCGCCTGTATCTGCGCCGCCGCGTGGGGAGAGAGAAAGGAGCCTAGCCTGGAAACGGGAGTTTGCATCTTCGTAACAGCTCTTTCTCCAATGACGGGCGCTCTTTTTTGTTTTAGTGTATTATTCTCGCCGTCTTTGGCGATTTCTCTCGATGCCATCTCGCTCTAAATGCCATCCGAGTGACACGGTAGTCCTTCTCCACCACGCAAAGGAGCGACTCCGCTCCTCGATGCAATCGCTTTACTTTGTAGAAACTCAGCCCGGGACCCATAACTCGATCGGGTCTATTGGATTGTCGACCCGCTTTCCATAGTTGGACCGGAGAAGCTGGCGGAGAAATTGGTCACACGTCCCGTCATGTTCTTTTCCCCACGGGGGCCACGAACTTTGAGTGCCAGAGGGAGAAAGATAGAGAGTGGGAAAGACACGCACGCGCAGCGAGGTGCACTTCGTCAAGTCTCCATAAAGCGACGTCAAAGGTCTCCACGGTCTCATTCTCGTGGGCTTCTTGTGTCATACCATTTCCATTTCTTGCTTTCCAGCTTTGCAGCCAGCAAGAAAAGACGAGCAGAAGAGCAAAAACCAAGATCTCTTACAAAACTAATTCCAGCAAACCACACCAGCTAATCCATAATCGCGTATAATCCCCAACACAAAGAAAGACAAAGACCTAAACGCCAACAGACGGCCTTGAACATTTACCAGGAGCCAACCTCATCGCTTTAATCTTGAACACATTCCGTTTCTTGATTTTCCTCCAAAGTCGTGTCTCCATTCGCATGAAACCCGGGCTATATACCCTCTTGTCGCACCAATTCCATTCCCGGACCCCTCAACCATCCCCATCAAACCTAACCGGTCCTCCCCTTTTCCCTCCCCTTCGGAATATGCCGTCCGCCTACATTGAGCGATCCAACGAACCACTCATTGGAGCCATCGACCAGGGCACCACCAGCTCTCGGTTCCTCGTCTTCAACACCAATGGCGACCTGATTGCATCCCACCAGCTCTCCTTCACACAGCTCTATCCTCGCCCAGGGTAAGTCTACGATCAGAAGCCGTCTTCTTCTTTTCATGTGTAAGTTCCCCAGGCTAACGAGATGCACGACGTTCCAGATGGCACGAACATGACCCCGAGGAGCTCGTCTCCTCCGTCGAGGAGTGCATCGATGTCGCCATCGACTCTCTAGAGCGCCTGGGTCCGTACTCCCGCGACCTCATCCAAGCCGTCGGTATCGCAAACCAGCGCGAAACCACCGTGGTCTGGGACTCGGAAACGGGCAAGGCCCTGCACAACGCCATCGTTTGGACCGACGCCCGCTCCCAAGACATTGTCCACGAGCTCCGCCAACGGCCCGGCGCCGAGGACCTCGCCGCGCGGTGCGGCATCCCTCTCTCCACCTACCCCTCCATCACCAAGCTCCTCTGGCTGCTCGACAACGCGCCCGAGGTCCAGGCCGCTTACGAGCGCGGCACCCTCGCCTTTGGCACCGTGGACTCGTGGCTCACCTACAAGCTCAACGGCGGCGTGTACCGCGGGGTCCACGTCACAGACCCGTCCAATGCATCCCGCACCATGTTCATGGATCTCGAGTCTCTCAAGTACGACGACGACCTACTTTCCTGGTTCGGCATTGACCCCACCAAAATCCAGCTGCCGCGCATCGTGCGCTCCTCCGATCCGGAATCTTACGGTACCCTATTTGGCACCTCGCTCCGCGGCGTCAAGATCACCGGATGCCTAGGAGACCAATCCGCCGCGTTGGTAGGCCAAAACGGCTTTTCTACGGGCCGCGCCAAAAACACGTACGGCACCGGCTGCTTCCTCCTCTGCAACGTCGGTCCCAAGCCCGTCCTCTCCGAGCACGGCCTCTTGTCCACCGTCGCCTTTGATTTCGGCAAAGGAAAAGCCATGTACGCCCTCGAGGGCAGCGTGGCCGCCGCCGGCTCCAGCGTCGAATTCCTCAAAAACAGCCTTGGCCTAATCGACTCGGCATCCGACGTCACGGAGCTGGCCGAGACCGTGGATGACAACGGAGGCTGCATCTTCGTCACCGCTTTTAGCGGGCTCTTCGCCCCTTACTGGATCCACGATGCCCGGGGCACTATTTTCGGCCTCACGGGTTTCACCAAGAAGGGTCATATTGCGCGTGCCACCCTCGAAGCCACGTGCTTCCAGACCAAGGCCATCCTGGATGCCATGGCCAAGGATAGCGGACGCAGCTTGACGGATTTGGCCGTGGATGGCGGCATGTGTCACTCCGACCTGGTCATGCAAGTGAGTCGTGTAACCCCTAAACCCCCACTCTTTCTTTTTCTTTTTTTTTTTTGCTCTATTGAGAGTGGGCCTACGAATGGTGAGCTAACAACTTCGCAAGACTCAAGCAGACATTATCGGCATCCCCGTCAAGCGCCCCATGACCCTTGAAGCTACCGCCCTCGGAGCCGCCATCGCGGCAGGCATGGCAGTCGGGGTGTGGAGTAGCTTCGAGGATCTGGAAAAGCTCGAAAAGAGCCGCGCCGTTTTCGAACCCAAGATCACGGCCAAGGAGGCAAGCCACCGGTTTGCGCGCTGGGAAAAGGCTGTGGAGATGAGTCGAGGATGGCTAGCTTAGCGTGTTTCTTTTTTCTCTCTCTTTTGGGTTTCCTTTTTCTTCTCCTTCACGATCTCACCATGTAACGATGTAGCAAGCACGGAAAGCGTAACGAATAGTCTAATTTTCTCTTAATTTCTTTTCCCCAATACAATAATACACCTCAGTTTTTTTCCCCCACAACCTCTACGTAAAATTTGATCATGTCTGACCGAGAAAGAGAGATACCCACCCTTCGTCAGAGTCTCATGAGCTTGCCTAGATTTTTCTGATCGGGCGCCTGTGGGTATAAGTGGAATCAATTTTATTGTGGATTTTGGTGGGCTGGTCACGCTGCCCTCCGAATAGCCCGAGAATAGAAAAGCCAAGATTTGCCCCAGGGCCCGCCAGAGAGGGAGAGAGCGTAGTAGGCATTGTCGATCATGGAGAGGGGCCGCACCCGCTGCTCTGGTGGAGGGGAGGCGATAGATCGGGAAAGGCGTCGGTTGAGGGCGACGTTAGTTGCCACACCCTCGCTCGCAGCCGTCGATACGAGAGGCGAGGACACAGCTTTGAAAAGTGGCACCGCATGCGCTCCGCTGGTGCTGGAGCTTTTTTCCTCCTCCCCCACTTATCATGCCCTCGTAGAAAATAAAGAATTTGAAGTCAGTTGAGCTCGCTAGGTTCTTTTCTGAGTGGAGACTTGCTCCATATTGTTTGGCTCTGTCGCTCACTGGAGTCTATCCACAGCTACGGGTCCTTCTTGTCCGCCAGACTCTCCTCTCTGCGCACACCCTGCCGCCACGATCGTCGAGCTCAGCTGCTCGACGTGGACGTGGCCTGCCACCTACATCATCTACACCTTGGAATATGACGCGTCGCAACGAGGCCCATCTTTCTTAGAAAACCGGAAGTCTGGACATCGTGAGATGACGTTGGGAAGAACCAAAACACATAACGGCTACATCACTTTTTAGTTGGAAGACGCCAGATAAATCCGGTTTCGAGATTGCCCCAACACAAAAAGTCTGGGGCATGAAAATAATGAGGCTAGCTCGGGGTTTTTCGTTTGTCATTTTGATAGTTGACAGAATCCATAGTCCGCTAGGCGTAAACAAAATGGGCAGGCGGTGAACTCGAAGCGACATTTCCATTTGAGCTCTTCCTGAGTCATCCGCTTGCATACCCACTTTTCTTTTCCACGCGACGATAGGCCCAAGTCAACACTTCACCGTTGCGCGCACCGTTGGGGTTATGAGCAGAGGAGCAGAGAGATTTCTGATAATGTGGTAGTGCGAGCTAGTCAACATACAGCTAAAGGCCGCGCCGATGCCCGAAAAAGTGGAGAGCATCGCCGTGCTAACACTTCAATTCTATTTTTCCCTCCGCGAGCCCCCGCCACATGGGCGGAACAAACGGTCCTTGGGTCAACCCCGGAGGTATAGCTCTCTGCCCTAGCCCAACATTTCACAGATTACTTCGAGATGCACAGCTCCAAGTCAACTGAGCCTGGGTAGACAATCACCATAGATCAGTCCGTCCATTCCATGTGTACATGTAGCGAAGGGGAATATCAGCGACCTCCCATAGCCTTTTAAAATCCTTCCGATAGCCTTTAAAATCGCCTCAAATTGAAGCCGTAGGATATTCTTTTTGGGAAAGATCGTGAACGGCTTCAAGTACTCAAACAGGGTTTTCCGTTTCCAATATCCCACCAAGGCCGATAAGAGACCAAGTATTGCACAAACAATACTAACGATTTCCCCCTTGGCTAAGCCTCCTCCCTTTTGGCCAGGGATCTCAAATTTCCCAATTGTGTTTAGCAAAAGGCCTTCGGAAAGGTTGTTTTGAAGCACGTACTTAATCTGGCCGTCTTTAGCTGCGTAGAGGTATTCTAGATAATGATATTATCCTCCACACTCCTGGAGGCTGCGACCGGCTGGCCCGCCGCGACAGCATCGATGGTCAACTGTATCCGATCCGTCGTATTCTCCGAAGACCCAGTGTCGGTGAGAGTCCACTCAGTAATAGACCGGTCCTTATTGATGGAAAACACGCGCACAAACCAGGGGCCTAACCAGGCCGCCGCAGCAAATCTGGTTGTAGGATCCGTAGCAAAATTCGGCAGTACATCCAGAACTTGGGCGTGCACGATTAGTCGCATTTTCCAAGATGCCGGAAATCTAATGTTCAAAGGGTGCCTACCTTCAGACCACTTTCCGTCCTGCCAAGTCAGGGATGCAAGAGATCGATCTTCGGCGAGATAGAAAAGATGAATATCTGATGACTGGACGGGGACCACGGCGTATATACTTGAGCCCTTTGCGACTTTGGGCCCGAGTGGGGTGTTGGTGTCGTTGGCTTGTTGGATAAGATGGTTTGTATCGTTGATGTAAAAGCATCGTGAGTCTTCGGACCCGACTTGTACAGTCGCGAGGCCCGAGCTGGATTTGGAGCCCGTGTCGTCACTATGGAACCGGCCATACTCCCCGCCCTCATAGGGTCCGGAGGCCTTGATAATATGGTTCTTTTCGTCAAGGTACCATATGACTAGCTACAAACCCACCGCGTCAGCCGCGCCCCTCAAATATCGGTGGTATTAACGGTCAAGGTTCGAATTGTTTACTAACTTCGTCACGCCCCTTAACCTTCGGACTTGGGGAGTAATATGCTGAGAGTGGGGAGTTCGTTCGGGGCGAGATAGCTATCCGTATCTCAGATGGCTGTTTATCTTCATCTCGTTGCCTGCCCACGATCTTGCCGGATGTAGGGTCCTGCCAAAAGACATGACGTGCCCAGCCATCCCGCATACCGCTTGCATAGGCTGCCGCGATATTGACTTCATATTCTGGTTGCTTTTCTCCACTCGCCGGAGGGCCAAACAGCCAAAGGAGCGCGCAGAAGAGCACGGAGATAGCCCTGAAAGTGCACATGGCGATTATACTCTCTTCGGTGAGGCGAGTTGTAGTCTTTGGGCACGCGTGGTGAGCAGTGTGAGAAATGTGAAGGGTGGTGGGATCTAATATAAAAATCTTCACTCGTCGCGCTGCACAATTTTCGAAGGTGGTTCGCCTTCGAGTGGCTGTGCGGTAGGCACCGGGTGAAGGCCTTTTTCTGGTAAACATAGCCCGGTGAGCCTGGTTCGCTTGGTGCGTATCACCGTCATCCTCAGTCAGCAGGCTGCAGGGTGGTGGTGGTGGTGACATTCCTTTATTGCGGTAAGCGCCAGCCTGGTGCTCTGGCACGGAGCCTCCGGAGTGGGTGGTGATGAAGCTTCTCTTCATGCTTGGGGTCGACACCGGATGGAAATTGTAATGAATCCTGTGGCGATGTGAGAAGGAATGGCTATTTCTAGTGCTGTATAAGGGAGTGTCATGATAGGTTTAAGAAATATTCTTGCATTACGCATGGGTTTCCCCCTCAATCCCCCTTTCCTTCTTTGGACCTGAGCGACTCCTGCCTTGTCTTAAGCAATGACGAATAAGGAGGCCGTGTTTTGGGTACCTGGATACCGGTGTCCGATCCACAAAGGGTAGAAGCGCACGATGAAGTCGTGACCGCGAGTCCATGTAAGAGCTCCTTTGGTCGAGATTGATATGCGATGGAATTGGGCTTAGGCTAAACCATCTGTACTACCAGGAATCCTTCATGTAGTATAACGGTCCGCCTAGAAGTTGCTTATCAATTATTAGGTCCATTGCGTATGCTTACTAGATAAGCCACTTATGCGAAGAATATGAGGTTTTGTTAAGAGTAGGCGTTTTAGACCTACTTTACCGGGCCAGCCTGGCTAGCCTGGTGTCTACATATTTATCTATCATGATGCCTCGCCGCTTGCTACCCTGACTATATACCCCAGGCCAGCTTATCAATAAGAACCGAGGGAGGTGAGGCTCTGTATGTGTATGGTGAAGAGGAAGCGATCTTGTGAGCTATGCCGTGGACAATGTCGCCCTGGTAGGGGTTATTCTTTTCTATCTCTTCCGATACGGAGGTTACATTTCTGTAGTTGTAAAGATCACACTCGCTATATATTCTTTTCGCTCTCAATCGCTTAGCTGCTTAACTTGGACCAACTAGGCGTTGAGTTACCTGATGCCTACTCCAGACTGGCCAACAGAAGGCTTATAATATGTGCACATCCTGGTAATCAGCCCAGCCAGCTAACCCATTCTGGCAGCCCCGTACCCTCCTCGGAATATCGCGTTAAGCATACGGCGAACAAGAGCACGGTCATCAAATTCGCCATGATGGGACCGTTCCTGGGATCCGGGTCGCGCCACTCCCGACGATATCTGCGTTTTCTTATATTGGCGTAAATCTCATAGAACGGTCCCCATATCATACACGCCATGAATACTGCGTAACCAACTTCTAGGACAGTTCCTGCAACTCGTAGACTCGTGCTTACCCAAAGAGGTACCTTGTCGAGACTCTCGTGGCTAACCATGAAGTTGATAAAGCTGCTAATCCATCCGAACCAAAATAATAGGTTAAGAGCGACCCAACCAAGAAGGATAGGCAGAGTTTTGGTCTTCGAAATCAGGGTGGCCGAATTCTTGATTGAATGGAGGACGTCCATAATGGCCCCCACTATCAGCATGACGAGAGATGACCCGACGATGCCCGCAGCCATAGTCCTGGGTATAACCATGAGGAAAATGCCAATTACAAATTTGAGCCCGCCTCGGGTGTCATCAATCTCCCAGCGTAGAGAATCGTAATCCTCTAGCTTGCTCAACCAGCGACCGTATCCTATGTAGGCGCATAACGGCATAGGAACTAGGGCAACGAGAACCCAAAACCATGATTCTAGGCCAATGCCCCTCCAAATGCCTTTCAACTTACGCACTAGTGTCTCCAAGTCCGAATCACGAATGTCCCCTCCAAAGTGGAACATTATGAGAAGCACCTGTACCGTAAGCCAGCCGAAGAGGTAACAGCCGGCCCAGGCGCGAAAGTACCAAGGCAACTGGCTACAGGAGACTTTGACGAGGATGGTAAGCACTGAGAGAAAGGTTACAGCGCTGACGGAGAGCTCTTTGTGAGCGAGCGCGTTGGGGCCAACCGCTTCGTGAAGCATCTTTAGCGACTCTGGGTCGCGGGTATGACTACTGACGAGAGGGTCGTTTTCAGAGGACGGACGAGTCGATGGAGATGGAGGATCCGGTGTTGCGCTGTTATTTGCACGTGTCCCTCCGAGACCTTCCTCTACAGCTAGGGTTGAGCGGCGGCGAACAGACCCGGGAGGTTGGCAAGAGGAACCGCAGAGGTGGATGCTGCGCAAGCCTGTGGGTCGGTCACTGCACGTTCGGCCGCAATGACATGCTCTTGGGGTTTCTTCCAAGCCGTATAGAGCAGACCCTCTATTCGAGTCAGAAACCTTTGGCTCAGAGTGGTCCAGAGGCTCTGTTGCCTCCCACTGCGGCTGCAAGCCGCTTTCCAGGAGTCCGAGATGAATCCATCCATGAGGTCATTCAAGAGGCCAGCGCCCCATTCGCCTTCCGAATACGGGTTTGCGCGGATAAGAAGTAGGCTTGCAACCGTCAAATGGACTTCTTTCCAACGTCTTGACGAATGACGGGATGTCCAGAGTACCTTGGCAAGCTGGTACACGATGAACCCGCTCTCCAGGACACATACCATGGGGTTGATCCTACTGAGAAACGCGTGATCCCACCAGAAAACGAGATTCCCGCTCGGCTGGGTCATGAGGCAAAAGTTGAGAGTGAGGAACATGCCAAAAAGGCTGCCGACTGAAATGGGTTCCATATTATTAGTTCCGCCGCTGTCATTTGGTTGCGGGTTTAAAACCGCTGTGCTGTTGTCCATAATGAGGAGGTGTGATGCAATCAAATAATAGAAGCTCTGTGGTTTGGAGTAGATTCTAAAGTTCGGATAGCATCCCTGAGATCGAACAGGGCCCCTTTAAAACTGGGCGACCCGATGAACCAGCGCTTGGTGGGGATTGCATAGCCATGAAGTGGAAAAATAGGCGCCGTGGCTGCGAGCTGAGATGTGCACAGCCCCAACTCTTAAACAGATCCCATGCCAGTTTTCGAAAATGCGCGTCAGTCAGGCACGGAAAAACATCCCAACAATTAGATGGGGTGAAAGAATCGGGCTTATAGAGACCCTAGGCCCTTGGCAAATCTTTCCATCTCCATCTGATTCACCGCTCCCACTTATTCTCTGCCATCCTCACTTGGCCGCAGTCTCGCTGCTCAAAGTTCAACTCACACAGCAAAAATACCCAACACATTGACGTTCAAAGTACGGAGCTAGTATGGGGCATTTGGCTACTAGCGATAGACCCCTTTCATTTGTCTTGTCTACCATGCCTTTGTTTTCTTTTCTTTTTACAGCTAGCAACCACCCCAGCTTAAATACGTCCAGCGCTTTCGGCATCGAAAACAGATCTCCCAAGAACTAGAAACATTGATCCTTTGTACCCAAGTTTGGTTCATAGACACTCTCTGCATCTCAAGCATTTGGGACTCAGAGAAGGAGACGTTTGCATTTCCACCGTCCCGAAGGAAAACAAGCCCCCAATACTCATTTTCTTGGAATTGGTTAGGCTACAAAAGGGCGGAAACGGCGGAGGGAACGAAGTGCCAAAGCAATTTAAAGAACAAGGTAAGAGTAACGGGGCAAGCAGAGGGAGATGACGGAAAGCGGACACTGGGATGTAGTTCATGTGTTGTCTACATATTGTCGTCATGATATCAAGAATGAACCCTTAGGCACCGATGCTAGCTATGGGCCACAGAACTAACCTTCGCCGTCCGCCGTGGCTTCACAAGGCGTGATACTATAAAGAAACTCTCAGGTTTTTCATGGGGCAAGATTCCTGGATCTTCGCATATGGGGCAGATCCTTCTTTCCATTAACATCGCGCTAGCCCGGTCATATCACTAGCAGGGGCGCAACGGTGCCGCTCAACGCCTCCTGTGGTGCCTTTCGCGCTGTCAAAAACCGTTTGGTAGCGAGGGACTCCTTCAGCAAATCTTCCGATCTATCGCCGCAGCTAATGACACAGCTAGCGGTGGAACTTCCATCAATTTGGGGCTAGTCTCCTGTATGATCAGCCACGAAGCTCGGGAAGTAGGGGCTGAATGACCAGGAAACGACACCCATGATTTGCCTTACACTACCGCCTTGTCAAAGGTCAACCGCTATTCAGCATATACTACCTGTGTCTTCAATCGGAAGAACGGGGCTGGTTAATGCTTTCTTCTTTACCATCTGCATCTGATTCCTGAACATGAAAGACGGTCCAAGGCTCAGCACTAGTTGGTGTTTCAAGCCAAGCGCACAACTGAGCCGAGTATACGGTCGTGCTAGGGACTAATTCCGCCTGAGTAGGCAAGGGAGAGATGCTCGAAGAACCTGAGATATCCATTGCCCTAGTTTATGTTAGATCGAGGCTGCGGTAGGAAACTCACGACGTAGGGCTACTTACTAATAAGCACGCTTTACGAGAAGTCCTCGGTAAAGAAAGTTCTCAAAAGATGATGGATAGTCTGGTTCACGGTTTTTGGGCTTGAAAATAAATGGTGCTGTCTGTATTTGGGGAAATAAGCTATATATCGACAGCGGCAGTAAGGATTTCAATGGTTGGGTTCTCCATGTTTATATACACATTAGCCTACTTACCAAATAAACGTTTCTTATGAAGACAACGTATCAATCATCACTATCCGTGCTAGCATGATTGGAATGTTGATATCGCCTCAAGACCTTTCAGCATCGAACTCAGTATTATCCTCGACAGCATGACTGGAATCGAGATATCGCCTCAGTGTTCCCTAGCCTTGCCATGATCCTAGCCAACGTGTTAGGGCATGGAATATCGCCTCAAGGCCTGTGAGCATCGAACTTAGCATTATCCTCGATAGCGGCTGGAATCAAGATATCGCCTCAGGTTCTCTAGCCTTGTCATGTAACCTGTTAGGACACAGAATATCGCCTCAGGACCCTAATTGTCGGCACAGACATCTGACTGGAGATGAAATATCGCCTCGGATCCGCAGCGCATCCCCATAAACGATTAAATGTATGTGAGATATCGTCTCAGGTCCCTGAGCCTTGCGTCTAGGGGAGCCGACTGGAAGTTATATATCGCCTCAAGCCCCTTATTTGCGTAACTCGTTCATACTGATGAGAATATTGAGCGGAACATGCATATTACTGTTTGCCTTTCATCCCAGTTTCATCGTGTCGTTGGCTCTATAGACATTGTTCACAACGGTCGTGCGTAGCTGTTCTTGATTGGTGAATAGCTATTGGAAAATGGAATTCGCCTCAAAGAAGCTTTCGCCTGTCACAAGTGGCCTAATAAACGACTTGCGTTTTGGGACCATTGCTAAGCCTCCAAATGTGGCGGCCTCCTTGCCGTCAAAAGACTTTGCTATTAATTCATCATTTATTCACCTAAAAACTTGCCTGTTGAGTTAGAACCGTCTACACTCCTTCCCACCAATTTATAGCCCAGCGAATGTCTACTTGCTTTCCATAAATGTCGCGGATGCTGGATGAGAAACCATTCAAAATCTCTACCCCGTCGCTGGCGATCGATGAGTCAACGATATTTCAGATCTGTTCCTTCTTCTCGTGCCATGGACCTCGAGCGAGATTGCCAGCAGATTCTAATGTTCGCACGGGAATCGGGTATCACAGCTGTGGACAGTCCCTGGTCACTGATGGACGGTTCGCTACGGGGATCTCGTCTAATGGTTACAATGGATTCATTGTATGTTTGGAAGCAGCCCAGAAGCAACTGTCAGGGAAGGGCAGCACATGTGGGCATTTCCTGAATCGGGCCTGGATGAGCTCACACGAGGTTTGTTTGGGCAACCGGCGGTTGGCAGGAGAGCCTGATGCGGGGTCTAGCTTGAGTGATGGGGAATTACATGGATCGATCTATGCATTGATGGACCCATTGTATGGATGTGTATGCGTTAACTGGTTCCAGAGCTCAACATGGAGAAAAGTCCGCCTGATTTGACCGCCTATGTTGTGGAACATGATCAATCACCATCACCCACGAGGTATAAGTACCAAGAGTCGACTGAGGCTAAATCTCTGACCCAATCGATCATCTTCAGGTAATTGAGGGATAGCAACGTATAACAGTGCCAAAATCTACTTGTGCACATTCTAGCCCAGAATTTCCCATATGTACATATACATGACGTGCAGCTAACTGCGGGTTATCCAAAAGAACGCGTACTTGAGCATACGGATTTGAGGCGGTAAATCTGAGCCTGTATTTCGAATCTGGCAGATTTACATAAAACCGCCTCTCATTCTCCCTCTTCCGAAATAACGAATTCTTCACCCTGCAACCTTCCATACGTAGGTTGGGCGGGAGTAAGGTCCTAGCCGGAGACCCCTCGTCCCACGTCTCGCCTGCCCACCAAGGCCATCCTCGTAAGTCTCCTCTCTCATTTCGCCTGCCACGGAGGCGATAGTAAATAAGCCTCTTCATCGCTCACTTTCGGGTTGCTAATGAGAGATACTCCTCAACTGAAAATGTAGCTTCTACTACAATTTGGAACGAGAGGGCGCGGACATAGTTCCGCGCTTTCGACATTGCTTCAGACAATTATGATCATCACATAACAGATGGTTCCGGTGGGTCCAGAGTCGATTGGTACAACTATCGTCTAGAGCCCTCGGATTCCAATGCCAACAAAGACTGTTTTTCGTTGCTGGATACATGGTTACTTGGTTGGGACGATGCGCGGCATGCGAGTTCTTCTGGAAATATCCTCACTGACGACGGCAAGGATACGTCTACGGGTGGCAGATATATCGATCCCGCTCTTTTGACGATACATGTACCCTGTGAATCGGAATCGCTCACGCCAATCTCGTCCCCCGGTGCCAATGCCCTTGCGCCGATGAACTTTATTTACCCTGACTTTATAGCCTTATCTCCTACATGTAACCATAGCATAACTTCCCCAAAACCAACTTCGGAGCTTCAGAGTTACACATCTCGCAATCCCACCCCCTCGCCGATGTCACAAGTGCCTCCTTCGCATTTGCACAGCCAGAATTCCCGTCACCCCACCGCCTACCAGCGCCACCTGAATCAATTCCGCTCCGCTCGCTCAACAACTCTAGGGCAGAACCTAGCCTTTTACGTCCGTTAAAAGGCCATAGCTGTGAGCTCTGTCCCGAGAGCTTCTCCTGTAGGCGAAGGCTAAAGTAGGTTCCGACGTTCTTAAAATACACCTTATCCCCAAACCAAAAGGATATCTAACTGCTCTTAGGCAGCATAAAGTGGCAGCACATGGTAGATCACACGGGTGCAGTGAATGTAAAAAGCCATTCAACAGGCAAGGGATCTGGATCGACATATAAAAGAAATGCATCCAGTGGACGGTGAAAAGAAATTCGAGTGCAGATGCGTTTATACGTCGACTCGAAGAGACAATTATCGCCGACACCTGAAAAATGCTCAGACGAGGGTCTGAAGCCCGTCTACCGATGTTTTTGTGGCCATCACAATGAATCAAAGGAGCGGCAGCTGCTTCACCTATCGGAAACATGCAGGACACTGAAGAAAAAGGGAGGAAGAAAAAAACCATGATTAACTCCATGTCAGGACAAATCAATCAGTCCAATGATGTCAGGGATCCACTATGATCTAGTGGTATCTAGTCTTTTGTAGGTAACTTGATCTATGAGGAGGACGGCAGTATACCAATCGGCGCTGGACCCCGGACCTAGGAGTTTGGATGATCTCCTTTGTGGGGAGCCTTATCCAAACTAGAGTTCCTAGTGACGATTCGGTTCCTCCATCCAGCCGTCTTTGATGGCTGGAATTATGGGTTTCTGGGTGAATACCTACCAAGATAAAAGTGGTTTCCTACACCTTGTCGGCTTGAGATTTTTGTATTTCCTATAGTCTTTTCTTTTCTGCCCCTTATGCAAATATCAGGGAAGCATTATGATAAGTTTATGATACGGAATGAGTTTACGGTTTACTATCTGTCCTTGATGGTTTGCATGTCTGATTCAATCTCTCCCCACCGCGGCGTATATGGTGTCATCTCATCTTGCCTTTCCTTCAGCTTAATGAGGGCTTCAAGGCTTAGATATAGTTGAACATCAGCAGGCATCTGACCACCGGGCCAATCTTTCAACTGCGTCCTCAGAGACCTCAACTCCTGCTCTGAAATACTAAGGAGCTGTTCAGTCCTAGAAATACCCCGAGCAATCGTTGTTACACCAAAAGGAGTAAACCCATTGATATAGATGACTAGGGAGCGCAGTGGCCCTCGGGCCCGATCCATTTCGGAACTAAGTATACCTCGCTGAAGTATTAAGAATTCTCGCTCTAGCTTTTTGTCCGATATGCTTTTTCTGAGTAATTGAAGAGTGGGAAAAAGTCGGGGCGGTCAGACCTTCCCAGCCCCGACATTGTGGCTCATTGCGCTTGCCTCGGCCCCCGCGTTACCAGCTTGAGGTGTCTTGGAGCTTCTGGGCATTTGCCAAGGCTCCGTAGCGTCCGAGGCGAGCCTAGTAATATGCAAGGTCCCCGGGCCATTTATTTGCTGATAGGATTGGCATAGTGAGCCTCACTAGAGCAGCGTCGTCAAGACGCGGCCCAGTCCTAATAAGATCTCTATCCTCTCGCTGCCTTCGACGCTTTTCCCTCTGCTTCAATATCCTTCTCTCCTGTTTAGTCATGGACGTTTGATGTAGGCGGGGTAATTGATTGATGGGAGGGACTTCCATTCGCGCTTCTTCCTTGCTTGTGGGCTCCTCTGCAGGCCGAAGATTTTCCCATCTTGCTTGACGGTACACACCACATTGGCCACCACCTGGCCCATTGCCGTATCATTCAATCCACTCAAGTCAACGTCAAAGTCATCGTCCATTGTTGCACCGTCCAATCCACCTATTGCAAAGTCCAGCTTGTCGCCTCTGCCTTTAGTCCGGCTAGGTTTTTGGCTTTCCTCATGATCAATGGCAGACGCCTTGAGATTGAGCGGTGACTAGAAATACATCCCCATCCTATACTGGTTATATATGCCAGAGGTAATGCATCACCAGAGCTATTGCGCATGTAGGGGCAGACCTTCCATGCCTTTGCCCTACCCGTGTGGACTTTCCAGCTATGGACGGCCTGTTTGAGGCTTGCCATGGCCTGCCGATTATAATCATTTCCGACATCGTGGGGCTGATGGTCCACCGATAGTATACGAGATTGAAGCGTGGCAGTTTTCCTCGTTTGACCATATTTCGGGGGCCTCGTATTCTGATGATAGTTCCCATACCCATTTTTCGAAAGGATATGCCTCTCATCCATCCATCTACATGTACATATAGTGATAGGACGACGCGGTCTATGGATTGATCCCTCATCCGCCACAGTCGTATTGATGTCACAAAGGGGAAGTACCAGTAGTAGTCATCGACCCTTGATATATGCCTCATCTGCCACAGTCGTAATGAAGTGGCAAAGGGTAAGTACCGGTAGTACTCGCCGAACCATTGGGTACTGAGTTCTGCCCATATCTCCCTCTCCGAGATATTGAGGAATAGAGCATCATGACATACGGTTTTCTTGAATATCAGAAATCCACCCATTAAACCATCTATTGGTGAACGATATACATTCTCTCCCGGCCAATCAACGAGGTAGCGTGGGATATAGTTACAGACCCAACAATCTTCAATACCAGAACTTGGCATGTCCGACGCAGTTGGACCTAGGCGCAAGATTTCTCCCACAATATATTTAAATGCACCGAAAAGGAACTTGTCCTCTCCTGTCGTATAGTTGCCCATCTCCCGGACTATTTCCTCTCGACGCCATGATACGCTGTCACGCCTTGGATCTCGTATATTTTGCCGACCCACAAGTTTCCCAGGCTGGCCACGCTGTGGTGGTCTATTGGTGCCATATCTTCCGGGCTCTCGTCCCTCCTCTTGTGCAAGGTGGGCGGCGAATGGTGCTCCACTGCCATATGATTTTGCAGACCTAGGTTGTGCTGGGTAGTTGTCCATGATGATGGCTATTCAAGGTTAAAGGTGGTGATGCTAGGGCGAGACCAGATCGGGCGAAGATGGCGAAGAGAATAAAAAACATTCTATTTGGGGCCTAAGTGAGGCGGATTTCCACGACCAATGAATGAGGGTCATGTCACCTCTTGACGGTACATCAATGTATATGTGTGACATGCGATGCAAGCCTAGCTCAAGTACAACGAAACAAGTGCTGTGCAGATCCGTCCCAGGCCAGCTCCACACCCAACGGCCATAGATGAAGATAGAAACATAAGCAATATTGTCTGCCATAGCTCTAATAACCCTAGCGTCGATACAATAACCTGGGAACAAGCAAGCATAAACCGACCCGCGTGTTAATTATCGACGAGATTGTGCTGTTCCAGCCTAAAATGTTACGTGTAGCGATTCGATGTCCCTACTATCCGTGCTTGAGCTGCACCGCGTTCATCTTTAGAAATGAATCTTAGGGATGGGAGAATAGATAAAAAGAAATATGCTATCTGCCACTATAGGTTTCATTATTTGGAAATATGAACCCCACAGTTAAGTCACCAAAATCTACGCCGCCTCAGTTCACTCCATTTCCGTAGCGCGCGTCGCTCCCTGAACGAACTCATGATTCTGACCACCAATCGGCGCATTGCACTCTGGACATCTCGCCAACTCCATAGGCATACCGCACTCACCAATGGCAAACTAAAGGGAGAAGAAAGGGAGCTATTAGCATATGTCTAGATGGTGGCGATCATGCAGGGGACATAAAAACAAGATGTGAAACTTACGGGATGGCCGTTGGCGCAATTATACCAGTGCCCCGAGTGCGTGGAGATGCCTCTTGGCCCGCTCACCATGGCATCTTTGATCGCCGCAAGCTCTTCCGGCGTCACCTCGTTGTATACCGGTCCGTCGAGAAGTCTCTTGATTTCCAGTAGCGGCGCGCTCAGCTCCTTTCCGTTGGGAAGGGTCCTGCACAGATCAATCGCTTCCGACACTCTGGTTGCTGCCACTGTTCGTGACTCCGGCTTGGCGTTGGGAAGCATCAAAGTCACCTTGGCAAAGGAAAGGGCTGCTGGTATCTGTACTCTCGGGAGATTTGCGCCAAACGACTCTGCAATCAGTCCATCGCAGTCTAGGAGAAGCTGATCCGCCCTCTCTGGCACAACCTTCTTGGACACCAACGCAGCCTTTGATTCTTTGCTAGTCGCTTCGCATAAGATGAACTCCCGTGTTTGGATTTCAATAAGGTGTGCCTTAAGACCGAGCTGCTTATCAAAAACGGGCGTGAAGACGGCGCTGTTGGCGCGCCCGTCCTGTGCATCGGACGAGACATTGAGATTCTGCATCCTCTCTTCCAGTGATAACCCTACAGCCTCCCTCGCCTTCAGCACTATCGCGTCGTGCAGTTGCTTGGATGGCTGATGTTCCTTGCCCATCCGTATGCGCAAAGTTTCGGCAGCAGCTTTAATTTCATACCCATCTGTGACGACCTGCGCGCGCGCCTGGCTCGACAGCGCCTTATTCCTCTGTTTCTTGGCACGTCTGATCAAGGCGTCAAACTTGTCTTGAAGCCCCTCCAACTCGGCTGTTCCGGTGGTAAAGAATCGCTTCATTGCCTCGTCCATCACTGCCTTGTTGACGACGCGGTTATACCTCTTAGTCGTGAACTGTAGGATGGGCCTTCGGCACTCTGGGCACGCCGGCACGCGGCTCGCCAAGCTGCCTGAGATGTCAAGCAGACCCGTGTAAGAGCCCGTCGTGGGATCTTCGGAGTACACTTCGGAGAGTTTTACGAGCATATCCAAGTTATTGCCGGTGTAGAAATGCCTGCAGGAGAGAAAGACAATGGGTGTCTCATTGAGATCGACCTCGGCATATGTCTTGCCTTCGTAAAAGTCCACCAGCGCGTCTCCCCGGTCACCACACTCCTGGCAAAGCTTTGCATCCACTGGGCACACTTCGCCGCAGTAAGTCGGACATTGGTGGCCGCAAGGGAGAATCTTATCGCATCTCTTGTCACACGGAAGCCGATTACAGGGCGCGGCGCACGGCATCGTGCAGGCACCTTGGTGTGCGCAGAACCAAGTGCAGGGTTCGATGCACGGGACGCAGCCTTTCCCGCACTTGGAAGGACAGCGAGTGCGGGCATCGGACCTACAAGCGAGCAGCGGCTTCGGGTTAGATCACGCAACAAGACGATTTGGCCGGAGCATCCAAATCTGGACCGAGACTTTCGGAGGGAGGCGGCATACCTCACACTTGCTGTCGCAGGATCCACACTCCGACTGGCCTTTGTGACATCTTTGGGTGCATCGGTGACTGCACGATCCAAACGGCCGCTCGCAGATCTTAGCACAGGCGGCATGTTGGACCTTGCGCGAGCCATCCACAATTTTCTCGCACGAGCCGCAGGATCCGGGGCACTTGTCGCCGCAGCCCAAAATCTTGGTGCACGGTGCCGTGCAGGCGAAAACAGGCAGAGAGACGTCCAAACCACACTGAACCTGGACCACATGCCCGCACCTGGGTACCTTTTTGCTCACAAGCATGGGGCACTCGACCCTGGCAAGATTCAGCGTCTGGTTGCAGCTCAGTCGCGCAACGACATGGCCGCACGGTAGCTTGATATTGAATACGGGAACCTGGCAGGGACCGCACGTTTCGCCGCAGAACTTGGGACACGTGTGATTACACGTCTCCCTAATCCTCGGGCACGGCTGGTGGCAGACCACGGCGTCGTGCAGCAGCGCCGAATGGCAGCGAGCAAAGCAGCGGTGGCCGCAGGGCTCCAGCCTCTGGTCGCAGGCGAGATCGCAGCCCCCTCGGGGCTCCTGAGGATGAAATCCTCGGGCGTCGCGCACAGGATCGCCGTCCCGGGGTGACGCGGGCAGCAGAGCGGGAACGCCTCGTCGACGGCGCCGACGGCGGCGAGCTGGGAACGCACGTCCTCCCACATGGCGACGTGCATATACGTTTCCGAGTTGCCGATGAGGTACATGCCGTGCTTGGCGCGGCTGAGGAGCACGTTGATGCGGTTCTCGGTGCGGAGGAAGCCGACTTTGCGGGTTTGGTTGCTGCGCACGAGCGATACGATGATTACCTTGGCCTCCTCGCCTTGGAAGTTGTCCACCGTCGCCACACGCAGCGCACGCGAGAGTTGTTTCTTCTCGAGCCGCCTACCTTGTCCGGCGTCCTTTTCGAGAGCGGAACCGTTTGTCCCAGATTCTACGTCCTCCTTGGCGAGGGTCTCGATGTCTCGCTCGCCGAGCACGACCTCGAAATCCTTACTCAGAGCGGCCCTCAACTTCCTTAGTTGGCCGGTGTACGGAGTGAGCATTGCGATGTCGGTCGAGGAGTATTCTCCTTGCCGAACCAAGTGTTTTGCCAGCGCGACCGCCATCCCCACCTCCCAGTTATTACTGTGCGACTTGACCAGGGCGCCATCATCCCTCGACTCCTCGGGGCGCGTATGATGCAGCCAGAACAGGTTCTCGCGCATGCCGGCGACGGAGGGATGGCTGCGCACGGACTCGTGATCCCGTAGTTTGGGGTAGACGGTCCGGATCAACCGCGAGATCTCAGGCCGCATCCTCCTCTGTACATCAAGCTGGGCCACGGGCGCGGGCGCCATTCCCGGCTCGCCCATCGCCCTCCTTTCGAACTGGCTTCGATCCAGCTGCCACTTTTGGCCCGTCGTGCTCTCCATACTGAGGGAGTAATTGTTGATCTGCGGGCGCAGCTGGCGGTGGTCTCCGATCTGGATCAGGTGCTCGACGCCCGGCATGAAGGCGGAGATGATGTGGGCCTCCATGACCTCGGCCGCCTCCTCGCATATGACGACCTTGGGGCGCACGTGGCGCAGCATGTTGATGTTGCGCGCGAGACCCGAGGTCGTGATGCCAATAACATCAGCGCCGAGAAGGGCGCGGCGGTTGATGCCATCGTGCACGTTGTCAATCTCCTTTTATGGCGGGTGTACTCCGATAGAGTCTCGAAGAGACTCTCGCTCTGTTCTTGACAAATATCCTGGAGCCATTTGTCGGCGAGCGCCCAACGCTGGGCCAGGGATAAGGAAAGGATATTGGTGGCCGCTCGTTGCTCGAGGTCGCGGTAGTTGTGTTGGGCGGCCTTGGCTGTCTTGGGCCGTCGGCCGAGCCACACTTTGAGCGGATCACGACCCACTCGCGTGAACCCTTCCTCGTCCACAGGCTGAAGCTGCTTGTAGATATCGGGGTACAAAGTTCTAAGATGGCCTTGGACAATGTCCCACGTTGGTCCCGACCGAAGCTGATGAAGCGGCTTGAGCTGGTAGCCCGCCGTGTCCCTCACGTCATCCAGCCGCCCGTGGCTCTCCCCGATAATTTTCCTCTCGGTGAAGGTCTTGGCCTCATTGCGGCAGATGGCGCGGAGATTGTGGCCCTCGAGTTCGGGTGTTTGGCAGCGCCCGCCGATTCGGATAATACTTTTTATGCCGGCCTCGAGGAGATGCATAAGGAACTGGTCCAATGCATGGTTGGTATAACAACTATATTATGTGTGAAATCCGTCAGCCATCAGTACCCATGCCCCTTGTTTCCAGAAATATTTGGGTGGGGTACGCATCGGATGAGACAACTTACATGACGAGTATCGGGCCTAGTTTTGCTCGCTTCTTGTTGTGAAGGAGCACTCTGACAAGCTGGACACCGAGATACGACTTTCCCGTTCCGGGCGGGCCTTGAATAAGTGCGTATTCTCTGGACAAGGCGGCGACGAGCCTTGCACTGCCCGAAATCGAGACCCGTGGCGTCCTCAATTTCGGCATAGTCAATATCACCGCCACCGCCAGCAACGGCCGTGGGCTTGATCGACAGACCCTTGACTTTGGAAATGGGGTCGAGGCTAAACGAAAGTTGGCGCGCCGAGCATACGCCGGCGGCTCAATCGCGACGGGGCCCGTGACTTGGCCCGGAAAGACATCGTCAGGGGGCAAAATCACGTCGCGAAAAGCGAGTTCCCCGTCGACGAACATCTGCTTCAGGTTGGAAAGGACCGGGGCGAAAGTGGCGGGCAAGAGGCCGTGAAACTCCACAATCACGCCCGTCAGCTTCTCCGAGTGCGCCCTGAACAAGAGATCGAGGTTGGGCTGCGAAAATGCCGCGAGCTTGGCCCCGATGCTGGGCTGCTGGTTTTTGGTCACGAGACTAATCTGCCTCTGGTGGTCCTTGGGCTTGTCCGCCCGCTTGACGGTGATTTCCAGGAAGAGAAAGGCCTTGAAATCTCCCTGGGACAGCACGAACGCCACCAGAGACTGCTCTTCCAGTCGGGAGGACTCGTCCCACCACGCGCGCTGGTCCTTCTCGCTCTTCTTGCGCAGCTGGGGCGGGACAGAAAAAGAGACGGCGAGCTCGAGCCCACCGCGATCTACGAAGACCTGCGTGACCCTGGCTTGGGTATACATTCGTGCGCCGGAGTCGACGGATATCTTAAGTTTTGCGGACGGGTTGGAGACGTCCTGGGCCAGCAGGTCGCGGATAACATCTTTCACGGGCCCAAAAATGTCGTGGCGGAGGAGGCGAAAGGTGGAGTCGATGTGACGCTGAACGGGGTCCGTGAGAAAGTGAGGTTGGCGCAGGTCCGTCGACGGTAGGCATTCGACGTCGACGCATCGGACCTCTCCGACGGTGGGTAAGATCGCGATCTGGGCGATGTCGGCAAAGTCATTGTCGTGCTTCCCTCCCGGGGTTTCGAGATGCATGGGGAAAATGCTGCCGTGCAAAGGCACGCCACCGGAGTCGTCGAGCGAGGGGACTTTGCTGTACCTCTTGGCAGTCTTTCGCGAAAAGGCTATCCGCGTCTTGGCCGCCCTCGCATCCTCGCTGGGCGGCGCTGTCCCCGCGAGGTCTTCGAGTTTGTCGAGGACCGGAAGCACGCGTTCGTGGAAAATGCTCTTGGGCACTCTCTCGAAGAGGCGCGCCATGGCATTGGCCATCAGGAGGGTGGTCTCCCCGATTTCCAGCTTCGCTTCGCCGTGGTGGACGGGGACGACGTCGGAGAGGCGACTGACGAAGTTCAGGGCGCGGTCGGCGTTGGCGCCGCCGAAGAAGTTGTATATGCGGCTGACGAAGGAGTCAATGGACATGGGGTCCAGCAGCGAAGTATGGGTTATGACTTTGAGGAAAGCGACGGCGGCCGCGAGGCTCGTTGGGCTCTCCCCTTCCGACATCCCAATAGTGCTAGCCATGTAATTCCACCCGCCTAAGTCGTCGTCTACGAGTTGTCGGACTAGGAGTTGCTGCATGTCCTGGTCATCGCCGTCGAGTATGTGCAGGGCGTATTTCCAGAGAAGTAGCGCCGTGGTAGACGCAGGACCGGTGCCGGGGCCGCGTCGCAGGAGACGCATAAACTCGGAGTATTGGACTCTATCCTTGGTACCCTGAAGGCTGGGGGAGGCGTGTCCTTGTTCGCAGCGACAGGGTGTCGGCCGGCTTGAGGAGCGGTTCTCTGGTTTCCGTTTCCGTTTCGATGTTGAGGCTGGTTAGATGATGCTGCTGGCTGGTGGGAGAACTTGCACGCTTTCCCAAACGAACAAGATCCGTTTTTCTGGAACTGATGGCAGACTCCGGTGGGTGCGCGGTTGTCGCCAGGGTGAGGCCGGCCTCCGCCGCGGCGATGGCCATGCCCGCCGCGTGGGTTGTTGCTCTTTCGGCCGTTGAAGTACATGATGGGATGTTGGGATGAGGTTGGGAAGGCCGAGTGGTCGAGAGTAGGATGAGATCGTGAGAAGAAGAAGATACCTAGTAAGCTTGGTTGTCTATCGTTTAACTTGTCCAAGAAGGAGGTCACGCAGTGTCTAGCGTGATGCGAGTGGACACGGGTGAGTGGGAGATGCACAAGTCTATCACTTTCAGTAAGGGGAAGGAGATGAATGATATTAGTAAAGAGTGAGAATTATCATAGATAGGCAAACGCGTGATGGCAAGACAAAGCAACTTGGGCGGTGACTGAACCAGAAACAGCTCGAAATTGCTGTGACCTGTAGCGCAGAAGATATTTAAGGGATAGCATTCCAGTGGACGTAGCTATTACCTTCTAATTCAGGCCAAAAGACCAATTCCCCTTTTCCCCTCTCCGCGCCCTCCTTATTTCCATATCTTGAGGCTTTTCTCCTGCTACACATTTATGCGTCGGGAGGTTGGCCCGTTGCAGCGGCCATGCATGTGCCTCTACCCAACAAGTTGATGCCTCCCAAAAGAAGCACTTTGGTCTGCCATTCGCCAAATATGAACCCCCTAGTCCCACCAAAAACGGAAAAAAAAAGCGAAGCAGAAGGAATGGAGAGCTTTCACCAACAGTATCTACGTGGTGAATAAGTAGAAGTACAAGCACTGTTGTGCAACGGGGCCGTCCAACGGGACTCAAGAAGGAGGCTGAGGCGGTCCGGATGTTGGCCGGTTGAGGGCGAATCGTTCGTCATGCGGTGCGTGGGGCGCATTATTTCTACTTGTGGCGCCGTTGGGCCCGCGGGTCGGCATCCCATCACACGCGCGGCCGATTCGAGGCGGTTCTCTGATCTGTCATGTCAAAGGAGGACTCTTTTAGTTTCGGGAGCGGGGAAGAAGGAAGTGTCGCCAATAGTTGGGCGAGATGAGCAGCATGGGATGTGTGATGGGCCAAATAAAATGGGACTCCCAGAGACTGGGCCTCTCCTGACCAAGGGTGTGGAATCATGGCTGGGACAGGGCCAATTGACGAGCCTGGATATATCCCGCCAAGGTCCCTTTGACATGTTGCGTGCACGAAAGTTCGGAGGAGGGAGGCCCAGAATCAATCGTCCGACATTGATATATGATTGAACACTCTCTGAGCATTACCTCCACGGCAGCCTGTTCAAACGGTTGGGTTGCTTGGCTATTTGGGCCTCCGAGATCAGACAGTGTTTGCTCAAACGAGGAATGGCCGCATTCTGCGGGGTCAAATTGGACTGGATGGTTTATTGCATATTAATGTGTAGTTGGCGAACAGTTCGGTCGCTCTTGGGGTTCGCACGCAGAAATGATTGCTCTAATTCGAGCAATCCAGGTCATAAAAGGCAGAAACCAGCAGTGAATCAACGGATCCCCATGCTGTCTCGGAGCCTGTATGCATCGCGTCGCGCTTTGGATATCCTTCTCGGTATCGACGGAAGGAATCATGGGCTTTCGTCATCGATCCTACAGTCGAGCTCAAGCTCATCATCCAAAACCAAGTTTTATTTTTGGCCACATGTAAGAATTGAATCCTGCGCTGGGCTGCGTTCATATTTCAAGTTCAGTTCAATCCCCGTCTGGTTAGCGCCACCATTGATCGTGCCAATCCCGTGCGTCTGCCTAAAGCAGAACATGGTTGATTGATATTGGCTGATCGCTCGAACAGGCGAGCTGAAGCCTGGCCTGGAAAATTCACAGGGGTTCAACGAGGATAAAGATTAAATGGCAAAGGGGGCTAAGCTCATTTTTATCTCTATTCTCCCCACCTTTGAATATTATCTCTGTCCGTTCAATACGTTTTGTCGCTCAGAACAACCACAAGACAGACATGGCTTTTTCCGGCTCCCAGACGAACTGTGGGAGAGGATCGTGCGGGACGAAGATCTGGATAGGGATGATCTCAAAGCGCTGAGGGAAACGTGCGGACGCGTCGGACCGCTCGTCACCGCGATGCTCTTTCGACAGGTACACCTTTCCAAATCGAAGATGGACTGGGACGTATTTTGTAACATTGCTGGTCATCCGCACCTCGCCGCGTGCGTGACGGAGCTCATCTGGTACGACCTGCCGGAAGACCACACGATACTGCGCCGCTGCCCATGGAGAAGCTATGAATTCGGCGGATACGAAGAGCTGAATCTGGAGCCGGACTTATGCCTACGGGCACCTCACGAGCTAGCGAAGCTCGCCGAGGATCTGTTTTGGATCACCGAGGATCTCTACGACGGCACCCGCACCGTGGAACTGCAGCGCTTGCAGGAAACCTTCATCGACTCCGTTGAAAAGATGCCGCAGCTCACAAGCTTCGTCGCCCGGCCCATGCCCCCACCTACCCCTTGTCCCGGGAGCCTTACCCCTTCACCGCCCAGTTATTCCGCAGACTCGACATCGTCCGCGGAGCGCCCTCCGTGAGCTATAAAGAAACCAAGTCCTTCCCGGGACTACGAGACTTTATGCTCCCCGCCATGAACCGGCCGAATTCCACCGTACGACGCTTCCAGTTCGTCGATAACGTGCTCCAGTACCCCAGCTGCTGCAGCTTCGAGCCCGCCGCGCCCCCAACACCTTTGATCGCCTCGTCGACGTCAATATCTGCTGCACCGAGCTTGCCCGCCCGGAGCTCGTCCATCCGGAGGGCGCCCCCTGGTTCCACGGCATCGCCGGTCTCGAGAGGCTGCGCATCAGCCTAGACGCCCACAGCACCACCGGCGGCCAGCCCTACGCCCTCCTGCGACTGTTCGGAAAGGAACCCACGCGCATCTGGCCGGCGCTCACGACGCTGGAGATTGTCGGCGTGTCTCTCGCGTTCGAGGAAGCGCAGGTTCCGTTCTTCAAGTTGTTGGCCGCGCACGCGCCGTCGCTCAAGTATCTGACGCTGCTCAACTGCGGCGTGGACGCCCACTTCATCGCCCAGCTGGCGGCTGCGGAGCTGGATTTGCGCCTCTCCTCGTTTCGCGTCATGGACCTGACCGGGGAAGCCTCGGAAGTGGTGAGCGAAGCGGACCTCGTCGCGTTCGTCAATGGGGATATGGGGCTGGGCGAGGTGGGGGAGCACCTGGGGCTGTCCGCACAGTTCATCACGTATGCCGAGGCGATGCCGCCCGTGATGGTGCGCAGGGCCCATGGCGCCTTTGCCCCGGACCGGACGCCCGTTGATATCCCGATGAATATTCCCGACTCGGACTACGATTCGGACGAGGCGTGGCCGAGTATTCGGGAAATGCCCATCTACGCCAAGGACAAGGCACGGGCAGATCCCGACAGATATCGCTACCCTACTGAAGAAGAACCTTCCTCTCCGGTTGCGAACGGCCTGCCTCCGCTTAAGAAGCGCTGTCCCTTATGGCGGTTTTCTCGTCGTAACGGTCAGACGGGCATCAGCGATGAACCTTTGGAGTTGTTCTCGGATTGGGATAGTGATAGTGATTCGGGAGATGTGGCCGAGCTGCTGCAGCTGGGAGACTACTAGTGGGGAAACTCGACAACAACTTGTCACCATGGCGAGTGAACGGGGGATTCGGCGTGAGATCCACCCCGGAGGTCACCAGTCTTGTCTCGGTAGCGTCTATCCCGAAGCCGAAGAAGTGTGCACGATGGAGGTAATACCCACGTCACGGAGTTATGGGGGTCACAGATTTTGAAATTTCTTTGTTGCATCCTTTCCTTTTGCATGCATGGAGCCGTTTCGGCGACCTATTTAGCGACATCTTGACCGATCCCGGGCTATCGAACCTACTTGCACATTCGTCGTGAGCGAAGAAAACAGCAAGAAGGCAGACGATACACCAATCAAATGCAATCCCATATGGTGTAGTGGTTAGCATAACGCTCTCTCATCCGAGAGTGCAGCGTAGACCCTGGTTCGATTCCTGGTATGGGAGCTTCAAAATCTTTTTCTATCTTTTTCTTGTTTTGTTTCTCTTCCATCAGGTATATACCGGACTGAAACAAACATTGTTATTTTCAAGTTGGCGTTGGGTGTCGAATATCTTTTAGAGTTGCAGAACGAAGGCTCAAATACATTATTATCTTCGTCAAAAGCACCAACTTCGTCGGATCCAACGTCACGATTAGATGCCTCAGTAGCCCACGCATCTATAGACGTCTAACATGTCTGCTTAGGCTTTTATTCACCCCCACACTCTCCAGCTTCGTCGTAAAAGCTGAAGAGGCCGCCCCCTTCACCTGATTTGTCCTGTTTGATAAGAAACGATGCGTCCTGGTGGCTTCCTGGATCTGATGGGCGATGTTGTCCCTTGTCAAATAGTGATTGATCTGAGAATTACTAATGGATTCCCGATTTCCCCGAAATTCAGGCCCTTTCGGAAGCGGCACCATCAATTGATCGTTCTGATAGACTGAACGAGGCTTTTGGGTGTGGAGATTGAGGAATTCGAATCGGGTAAAGCGCGAGTCTGGAATTGTCAGCGACGGCTGACATATTTCTATTTTTCGCAAGGGACTAGAAACTCGGGCGCAAACCCCGAATTGGGACCGAGTTGATTCTTTTTTTCCATCCCTCGTTCTAGTATTGCGCACAACGGTTGATGGGCATTCTTTGCCAACTTTGAACTAGTTGCGTTGTTAATCGACTTTGACGTTTTGGGGATAACTTCCCGGCGCCCGATGCGGTGAGTACGGTAAGAGGCTCCCTCAACCATTTTTGACCCCTCTGCGTTAGTGTTGAGGATTCGTGTCGAATTTGCACTCGGGGAGGAGTGCTGAATGCCCCTCTCACTCACAAACATGAAAAAAGGCAAGGAAAAAAGAAAAAACCAAAGCCCTGACATGCCAAGCTAGGAAATGCATCAGCAGCCCACCTCAGAGAGATGGCGATCCACCGCCGAAGAGTCGCACGCTTCAGCTTCCAGTGGAGACGAGGACGAGACTCATGATGCTGAAGACTCTGGTCCACCACGGAAGAAGCGGAGAGAAGAGAATACCACACCGTCGTAAGCAAGCCCACCGCAGCTCGCCTTCCACGATCCCTTCCCTAGATAAAAACACAAGATCTAGAGAAATCCTGTTTCCTCTTCCCCTTACACGCATGTGTTCCACTGCATCTTGCAGAAAAAGAACTAGTTATCTCTGACATGTAATCTCGGCGGGGTTGCACAAACCCCTTTGCCAAAATAACTTTCGTAAACCTATAGATGTGAGCTCTGCAAAGCCCGCAAAGTCAAGTGCGACCGCGCCAAACCCGCCTGCTCGTGGTGCGCCCGCCGCAACCGCGAATGCGTCTACCTCGAGCGCCAAAAGCCCGGAAGCCGCATCACCTTTGGCCTCGAGCTCGAAGCCCAGGTCAACCGGACCCAGGCCCGCCTCGCAGAGCTCGAGCGCCGCTTCGAAGAACACCTCGCCTCCGCTTCCACCACGGACCAGCTAGGCGAGACTCCTCCCGCGCCCGTCGTCCCCGCCCTCGAGCCACGGTGCCGTGACCGCCGCGCACGGAGCCGGTGGCGTCACGGACCACCACCACCACACCCTTCCGCCCTTGGCGTCGCCCTACGGCCAGAGCGCCGCCTCCGTGGGCCATTCCCACAGCGCGACTCCGCAGCCCCATGGATACTCCACTCTACGGCCCAGGAGCGAGAGCGACGCCTATTCCTCGCGCAACGGCGAAGACCCCTACGTCACCACCCGCAGCAGCAGCAGCAGCAATCCGGGTACGCGCCGCCGCTGCCTCCGCCGCCCCTCCACCCCCGCTACGGCATGACTCGTCCACCGCGTCATCGGGCGGGTTCCTCACCCCGCACACCACGCACCCCGCGCTGCCGGCCTCCGCCTTGCCGACCGACGCCGACGAGCTGCCCCCGCAGGACATGCTGTACACGCTGACGGATCTCTACTTCAAGCACTGCAACACGTGGAGCCCCATTCTCGAACGCAAGACCGTCTTCGCCGTGCTCGACAATTTCCCCCACGTTGCCCAAGAGGACCGCGTGCTTCTGCACGCCATCGTCGCCACCACGCTCCGCTTCTTCCACGACCCTCGCCTGTCCGCTGACGCCAAGGCTCGCCAGTACGCTGCATCCAAGCGCGCCGTGCAGGTCTACTCCCTCGACCACCTGAGCGTGCCCGCCCTGCGCGCCCGCGTCGTGCTCTGCCTCGACGTCCTCGGCACTCACAACGGGCCGTGCGGCGGCATGCTCGTCGCCTCTTTGGGTCAGGCTGCCAAGCAACTCGGCCTCTGCGACGAGACGAGCGTATTCCTCGCCAGTCCGGGCTCCGGCTCCGGGGCCCCCGGCGGCTCCAACGACATCTCATCCCGGTCCGGCCTCGTTCGCAAGCTTACTACCTCCCAGCCCCAGTCGTGGATTGAAGACGAGAGCCGCCGCCGCCTCTGCTGGATGGTATACATCCTCGACAAGTACGCCACCATGGCAGCCGCCATGACGCCCGGGTACACCCTCGTCGACCACTGCGTGCGCCGCGTGCTCCCCTGCTCCTACGACCTCTTCTCCCGCGACATCCCCGTCGAAACCCACTGGTTCGGCGGCAGCCCCGCCGAGCTCGAGGCCCCCGACGCCGGAGCCCGCCTCGCCGCCATCAACAAGTCCGAGAACCTCGGCAGCTTCTCCTACCACTGCGAAGTGATCCGCATCCTCAGCCGCGCCCACGCCTTCGCCACCACCCCGCTCGATGTCTACTCCCCTCCGAAACCGCCGCCTGGCGCAACACCTACCGCCGCCTCGACTCTACCCTCGACGGCTGGCTGCAAAGCCTACCTGGCGAGTACCGCCGCATGTCCGCCTCGTGCCACTCCGACCCAGCCAGCCGCGTCGCTAACTGGTTCATGCTGCACAGCGCCTACGTCGCCTCCGTCGTGCGCCTGCACTCCCCGCCGCCTACCCCGCCGCGCAATCCCACCTCCTCGTCCCCTCCGACTACGCTGCCCAGCGCTGCGTCTCCGCCGTCAAGAGCCTCGGCGGCATCGTCCAGGATGTCCGCGCCGCCGAGGGCCTCGACTTGCTGGGGCCCCTGTTCGCCCTCTCCCTCTGGGTCGCAGCGCGCGTCTTGCTCGTCGATGCCGCGGTCGCAGCCGGGCCCGTGGACCCCATGATTGATCTCTTTATCGTCACTCTCGAGGACATGGGTAGGCATTGGGACGTGGCTAGGTGCTACGCTGCTATTCTCTCGCGCGTCGTTGCGCGCGCGCGGGGCGGTGATGGCACGTGGTCTGCCATGCGCAGGAGCGCCCATGACCTCTTGAACCTCACCATGGCTACGCGTGAATCTGGGCTGGGCCATATGTCGACCCAGACGGCGACGCAGAAAGAGTTGGATAACATTGAAGTATTTGAGTTCTTTGATTATCCTCGGCAGAGATGAAGCTGAGAATGGCCTTGTTGGTTTGCCGTTTCAAATAATGCCCTGCTTTGTTCGTTCCTAGGTTCCATTCGTGGAGGACGGGTTCTTTTTTACTGGAGTTGTTTACAAGAAAAAGCAAGCGAGTTTCATAGCGTTTGATATGTTGTTTACAGGACATGGGCGTTATATAAATTCACTAGTGGACAATGATGATGAAATAAGATCTTTTCCAATTCTTAATCTTACTCGTCTTCTCGAAGAAATACCCGATTGGAAGTTCTTCAAAAGGATTGATTGCTGTGATTCGGTTTTGTGCGTCGTGCGCTATCTCCGCGGAGGTGAAGAAAGATGACGTTGGTAGTGGAGTCGCCACGGCGAACATCACATCAGCAGCATCTTGTCGAGTAAGGAGCATCTCCACCTAACTTAATCTCTGAATGGGTAAAGCATACATGTAGCCAAAACACCTGCTTGTCCCAAATGAAGAGAAAGGTCTCTCCGCCAGACGGCGATCCCCAAATCACAACCCAGCGACGGAGCAAGAGATTGGCAGAGAACGATAAAGTGCGTGGAACCGTCACCCCAACCATCGCCGATCAAGACCAGACACCTGGTCCGGTCCCCCATCATCACCACCTCCGTATCCCGTCATATATACCATTGGCCACGGCACGCGAACCCTACCTGAATTGATCAGAATCCTGCAAACCGCCGAGGTCGCGAATCTAGTCGACGTCCGCTCCATACCCAGGTCCTCGACGAACCCTCAATTCAACCAGGACGCACTGAGCCACTCCTGACCTGCAAGCAGCAGGCATCAGTTATCTTTCGTTCGGCGAGAAGCTCGGCGGCCTCCGCAAGAAGCAACCCGCCTCGGACACGCATACGGCCCTCCGCGTCGCCTCTTTCAAAAACTACGCGGCGTACATGGGCACTCCCATATTCCGCGAGGGCCTAGGCGAGCTCAAGGACCTTGCGAACAGTTCCCCGCGCAGCTCGCCACAGGGGACGGCGATCATGTGTAGCGAGACTCTTTGGTGGCGGTGCCATCGGAGGATGATTTCCGATATCCTGACAACGGCGGGGTGGACAGTGCAGCATCTCGGAATCAAGGAGGTGCCTGTGAAGCATGTGCGATGGGATATTGCGCGGTTGGAGAGAGACGGCAGCTTAGTCTATGATGGCGGCAGCGGAAAACTAGTTTGATGGGGAAATACAGAGAAAGGTGGATTAAATCAAAGGCCACGCAGAGTCCGGTTGCTCATTGCTCATACTAAATTACACAAGTCAAACCTCTACCTCACAAGCCAACATATCGCATCCAATGCTATATTCTCCAGACCGAGTCGGGTGTGAAGTCTGGGTCGCGAGGTGGCAAGATGTCCTCTCTACGGTCCATCATCGCATATCGTGACTCCATCTCTCGCTGTGATTCCTCTTCACCTCCGCTGTACAGCTCCTTGAGCTTCGGCCACCCCCATTATATCTCCGTCGCCCAATGTATCTGCGTACAATCCAGGGCACCATGACCCTGAGTTGGAACTGGACAAACCGTAGCGTGGAAACACTGAAAACGGTCGTGATGTTCTTCGGCGTTCTTCTCTTCGTTTCACGGACGAACAGGGGTGTTAGAAGCATGGCGAGACCCGTGAACCCGGTGAAAAATGCAAAGACATTGGTCATGCCAAATATGCGTTGCATGCTAATAGTCCGCCTCGTATCAGTGCATCCGTACATGTCTCTCTGGGAGGTAGGCAAGTCAAACCTAGGTAGAAATAAGGTAACAACCCCAGTCACACTGAAGTGGACCAAGAGCGAGATGGCGGTTCCCTAAGTATCGTGTTAGTCGCAGTTCGTTTCTCCTCGCGTACTTTCAGAGGGTCTTTTTAGAAGCATACCACTTCAGAAAACATTACGAAACTAGGAGAGAGGTTAGCTCTAGTCTAGGTAGAAGAGCCCATATACGGGCATCGTGAAAGTCAGCTACTTACGACTCAGCCATGAGGATGTATGTCACGGGGCCTGATGATACGTGAGCTTCTCTTCCATCGTCGAGTCAGTTTCGCAATCTTACCTAAACCAGCATTCGCAACACCAGCGTGCGCTACAACCTCAGTTAGTACATGTATCATTCGATTGGAAAAGTGAAATTGGGTGCAATATACCTAGCAAGAGGATTGGTATCACCCTCCTTTTACGGCAGAATCCACTAATAAGTGTTCGCTCACAGTCACCCCTATTCCCAAGGCGGCAAGAACCACCAAGGAGTAGAATAGGTGGGTGCGCCTTCCTCTGTTATCCACCGAGGAGATCGCGACGACACACGCGAGGGCACTTATTGCATCTAATCAAGGGGAGAGAAATATCAGTTTCGCGGGCGGCTTTTGGAGCGTCAAGTCAAAAACTGAATGGATTCTTAGCTTACATAGGAGTGCGGCCAGCGTGTTTTGCAAGATCAGGTGGTTCTGGGTACCTGAGAAGTCAAATCCTATTGTTGATGGTGTCTGTTAGTGACGCCTCTCACAAAAGAATAAAGCTAGATATGCTCAGGAAGTCTAGAACTCACCGGGATAGGATGTCACAGCTTGAGCTATAGCAGTTAAAACCAAGTCAGCAGCAGGTCTCTCACGAAAGCGGGGGATGTTTCGGTACCTCCGCAAAGCGGTTGAATAAAGGCAAGCAGTGCCGATGCATATAGAGCCCTGCGACAATTGGCAGTCCATAAGAACATCTTGACGCCGCGTACGAAGCCAATAAGAGTGTTTTGATCTCTATCGGCCGATATGCCAGGTGCACCCGCGCCTTCCAGCGCTCCGGGATCGTTGGCATGTTGAGATATCCCGGTATTCCGAGACGAGTGGTACTTTTTAGACTTGGTGGTTGATCCAGGGTCGAGTAGGAAAGCAACGTCCCGAAGTGCTTGCATCTGTAGAGAATGTTAGCATAGCCAAGGGGTACGGGGAAGGGTGGTTTGTTGATCTTGACCTTTGTGCTGCGGAGCTTGGCGAAACTGAAAAAGGCTGATATAGCTCCCCTAGGCTGCCTCTTCCGTAGAAGGAATACCGGCGATTCTGGACAAAAGCCATATGTTACGGCTAGAAGCAGCACGGCGGGAACGGGCACGACGAAGGACAAGAGGATGAAAGCTGTCCGGTCGCTGACCTGCTCTCCGGCATTATTTCGTAGACCGAAGTGCATCGTCGTGCCAACAACCCGCCCTACTAAAGTCGCAAAATACCACAGCGCAATCCAGGAGCCTCGCCACCAGAAAGAAGCCGTTTCTGTAGCCAGGAGCAGAGACGATAGAGCGCCAGATGCGATGCCTGCGAGGTGGAGATTTCGGGGGAGCGTGTTAGCGTGAGCACAAAAGTGGGAAGCCTATAGAAGGACTTTGCGATGGAGAGTAAGATGGGAATGGGTGGGCGGAAACAGGCGCTTACCGATGCCGGTCAGGACGCGGGCGCCGAGAAGAAGTCCCAGTGAATTAGCAAACATGTACATAAAATGGCCCGCAAACACAAAAATTGCAAATAGCGCGAGGCCGGCACGTCGGCCAAGCACGTAGTTGATTGGTGCTGTGCCTGCTATACCGAGCAGTGCGGCAAAGTAGAGACTCGCGGCAAGTCCTTCCATACGGTAGTCCGGCCTGTCTTCGGGAACTGGGACTAACGATATTTTGGCGCGGCTCACGTATTCTTCGTATGCGTCGTTGGCTGCAAGAGCCAGACCTAGAGTACGGGCAAAAGTCCACCTGCGTTAGCTACATGTACATGTGGGCGATTGGAGCGGTGCTGGCGTTTCTAAGGGGTGGGTGACTTGCCAAATAGTAAGCCGGAGGACAGCAGTACCGCCGCAACGGGCAGCATCTTACGACTTGCTTTCAAAAGGCGATGCTCTCTAATTACTGCTTCGGTATTTCGCCGTCCGTTGGGGTTTTGGTAAGAAGGCAAAACCCGTCGGGAGTGTGCTAGTTGGACATAGTGGTCTTCGATATACCGCACCTCTGGATCACGCACATATTGTTAGCCAAAGAGTGCCTAGGACGTGGTATGGGCTCATCCAAAAGCTGCGTACCTTGCAATGCCTCGTCGACCGTGCTGGGGTCCGTGACCTGCCCGAGTGCCTGCCATGCCATATCCCAGATTAGGTAGTTGTCATGCCGGCTGGAGTGAAAAGGGGTGGGACGGCCCGACCCGAGCCCTCAATTGAGCCATGGTAAGATGCATGGTCTTGGGTTCTCTAGATTTGTCGTAGACTAACCGTAACCTATTGGCGCTCTTTCGTAGCATGTCGGCCGTAAAGACCCCCACCGTCGAATTGAACGCGCTCAACACCCCTGAAAAGGCCCTGAGGACATCTAGACCCGGTAGAGAGTATTTTTGCTCTTCGGCGGCCCATCAGGAGGCGCCGTATGACGGGCGTCCGATGGCGTACCGAGCGGGTAGAGGCGCTTATAGGCCTCCTGCAATGCCTTCAAGACGCCTGCCGCGGGGTCTGTGGGGGCGAGGGCAAGACTCGAATTTCCCGCGAGAACCGCATACAAGCGGCTTCCTTGGGTAACGAGCAGATCGGCCAGCGCTTCCGTGTCGTACATTTCGGGCGACGTCTCTCGAAGGTGCAGGATAGCGGCAGCCAATCGATCTGGGGGCTCATGACGAGCAGATGCCTCGAGCATCTTTTGGTTCAGGGCAAAGGGCTGCATATTTCGTCCGTCATAGCGAACATTCTCCAGCAGGCAGCTGAGAGCTGATGGTAGCTGCAGCCTACCGGCGACCTCATCGAGTTCTATGAGTTGCCAAAAGGCACAACATACACATCGCGGCCTACAGTCGCCCGAACCATGCCAATAAGGCCACCTAGAGCATCGATAACCCACGAGCCCGAATCGCCGTCGCGAAGGGGCTCGCCTTCTAGCGTGACCACGCAGGTCTCCTGCAATGGACCGAGATCGAACGCTAAGAAGTTAGTTGCGGGCCGAAGAGTCCCGCTGCTGAGACGGTTGGGCTCTACCAAGATCCGTACAGGCTTCTCGGTGATCATACGGGTAAAGTGTGTGATGAAAATCTCGTCTTTCACCTCGTCACTCGCCACGACGTTGTCTACTTGTATCAAAAATTCCTCGTTCAACGACATGTTAGGTAAGCACTGATTAGGGGTGACGGGAACCAGCTTCCAGTCGCCGAAAACCGGGAGGCTGCATCACTCCACAGCTGAACGCGATGTTGTGGTTGTTGTGCTATATTGATCGACCCCGGGCTGTGAAGCTTCTGACCTTGCCATGAGCCTTCGTCCGGGAAGATGCCGGAGGCCAGCGTCACTTCGGAGGAAGTCAAGATGATAACCGGATCAACTAATTCGGCATCATAATCGTCCGCGAGAAGTGAGACCGAACCATTCGTTGAAGGAGCCGACGCGCTTGGGGATTCTGCGGTGTCCGTCGACCGCGAGCTGGCGCCGTGCGCGCTGGTAACAGCCATAAATACGCCATTCATCTTGACAAGGCCGCCAATCGTGGACCGCTGTATACCACCATCGTGAGCTCCGGTGCTAAACTTGACACCACACATTGTTACGGGCCCACGACTGTCCAGGCTCTCAAACACGTTCGATGTCTTCCCGGCCGCGGCCCGTTCCTGAACCAGTCTCATGTCGTAGCATAGGCGTAGCGGGTGGTACCACGCCTGAATATCCTTGCGCGACAGCACGGCGTGCACTTGCCGTATCCGCTCCCGCGACGTGAGACCGCCGACGCACAAGCTATCCCGGCCCTCCAGACCGGCCGAGCCAGCCCCGGCGCGGGCTCAAGACCACGCGCGAGAAGCTAATGTACGGCACGCGGCCCTGAAGTTTCTCGCGCAGCACGCTGGGCACGCTGCCGTTGTTCCATCCCCTCATGAACTTAGCGTGCGCCTCGGTCGATTCTCGGGCGGCGAACGTCGGGACCCAGACGGCTTGGAGGCCGACTTCGGAGGCGAGATGCACGGTTTGGAGTCTTTCGAGGAGGTCGAGCGGGACAAGGGCCGGAGTCGCGGTTTTCTGCTGCGCGGTCGAAGGCGGTGCCTCAGGCTGCGCTGTTGTTGTTGCGGTTTGCGAATTCGCGGGTTGCGTTACCGGAGCGGCCGGCGGGTATGTCGGTTGCTCCGGTCGCTTTCCCGCAGCCACCGGGGATAGTTGTGCAGTCGCGTCTGGAGGCGGCGCCGGTTCTGGGGTGATTGAACGCTCGATGTCGCGCCCCCGACAACCTGTTGACCATTCTGTGAGAGTGAAGCTGGCGGCGCGGGCTCGGTCTGCGCTGGCTGTGTCGCTACCGCTTGGGCTTGGGGCGGTTGGAGAATTCCATTTTGCTGGACTTTTCTTCTCTTTCTCGTCTTCTTCGGTTTACTCGTTTGTTGTTTGTTTTGCAGCTTCGCGAATCGCTCCGAAATCCAGCTAGAGTAAAGCTTGGTCCGGGATTCGACAAAGTGATTAAGATCATCTTTTGGCGGCGCCTGGCCGAGATCGTCGTCTGTGCCGGGAGCGGCCTGCCGCAGTAATTGCCCTTCGCCGATAAACGCATCGACCGGCATTTTGCGACGATTGAGTCTCTCAAAAGAGACGCGCTGGAGGGAAAATCGTCAATCATCCATATCTATCTCGACCGTCCTCTCAATTCGACGCAGGAGAAAAAAACAAGGCGAGAGGGGAGGGAACGGAAGGGGGCAAAGATCGCGAGGGCAAGCGCGCCCACGTCATGGAGGGTAGGCCCTGGCCCGCAAGACCGCCCTCGTCCTCATGCACGACCCTCAACGCTGGCGAATGAATTGCTGGGAAGCTGACTTGAGGCACGCAGGGGTTGTCACGCTAGAGGAAAAGAGTGGTAAAAATCGACGGTGGCTATTGGCATCGTGCGTCCCGCCTGCAGCTCAGCCCCAGCCTGGTCGCCCTTATTTCGATTTTCCTCATTTCCACAATGCTTGGCTCCACATGCCACTCACGGTTGTGGCGCAGAGGAAAGTGCTTCTTAGATAAGAAGAGAAAGCTTGATCGCGATTCCATTTATCGATCCTGCGTGCGGCATCAATCCTCGAGTCCCAAATAAACTCTTATACACCATGGCGTCCAATGATCCAATAGAAGCTTTGTCGGCAGAAGGAAAAGATGCAATCTTGGGCGCGTTCGCCGATAACAAATGTTACGATGCGGGGGTGATGCAGTGCTATCTCAACTACTTGCAGGATGAGATGGGCCGCACAGCAGCGACGCTCGACGGCTCCGCATCCCCAGAAGCGCCGAGGAGGTCGTTGACTTGTTTGACAAGCTCAAAAGCACTGTCAAGAAGTTGAAAGCCGAGATTTATCCTGCGCCGGGTAAGAGCCCGAGCCTGGACTTTGTTGTCCGCGCCATGTTGGTGACAGCGTGCCGGTCCCCGAAGTTTCCGGCGGCGACAACTTCGACCCCGTGTGGTCGCTGGACGAGAGCATTGATGCTTACATCAACCGCGTCTATCCCAAGACGCCGATGCCCGCGCTAGACTCGGGCTTCGAGAGGATCAGCGCCACACGGTTTACCGCCTCATCCCTCAGCAGCATCGCACGCATCAAGATTGAATGGACCGACCGGCTCACGGATCACTTAAATCTTTTCATCGGTAATGACTGGAAGACGCTATATCTGTTTAGACATCCGCGCTATCTGAAAATGTGTCTCGAGGCGCTGGCTCCCCACATGTTACCGGGAGTAAGTATGCTCTCAGAAGAGTCACTGAAGTTGTAAGTCACGATCCATCCCACCACATACCTCGGTATCCGAACCTCATGAATTAACACGTACTCCGCCATGCTTCAGTGGATGCCTACCTCCGGGTCTTCTTCAGGAAACGCTAGATAGCTACGAGCTCTTCTTCCCTGAATGACCGCTCGTCAAGAAGGACCTTGAAGGCCCACGTCGCCGACAGATCCAAACGTCTCGACGCCGGCCTGCTAGACCCCTTCTCCGCTTCGACAGAGTTAGGACCCACGAACACACAGAGGGACGCGGCGAGCCTGACGAACCTCCGATCGCTCTACCGCAGTTTCCCGCACTGGGGCGAACGACTCTACCGCATCTGGAACGAGCTGGAGAACCCTACGCCGGTGACAAGGTGGGAGAAGTGGTCGGATAAGCGCAAGTCGGCGTGGTACTCAACATGGTGGGGCGTGCTCGGAATCATTCTCGCGCTCTTCTTCGGGCTTGCGTCTATTCTGTTAGGGGCGTTGCAGGTGTGGATCTCGTACTGCTCGTGGATTGACGATCCGTCAGTCGGAGGATGTGAGATCAAGGCGCATGTGCTGGCCAAAATAAACAAGCAGCCTTAATCCCGGGAATTAGAGCAAGAGCTGGTGCTATGGCTGTTAACGGCCAGGACCCCTTGTCGCCGAAGCATAGAGTTCAGGCTCAAGGCCCGGGTGGTATTTACGATGAAGTGTAAGAATAAGATTCCGAGATGGTGCAACATACGAATAATGTTTATAGAAATTGTTTTTACGAGATATAATATAAAGACTCAAGGCCATTTAGGTACTTGTTCTTCATAGCCCTACCTTCCCATCGCCCACACTACTCGTGTACGTTGACGGCATTCTTCGTCGACGCCTTCAGCGCTATCTCCTACACTTTGGTGAAGTCCTTCACACTAAATATAGTTCTTTTATTGCTAGGATTGTAACCGATCGTTCGGACTGCCCAGGGCCCGTCTTAGTCTTCCCAATATAGCGACACGCGTGGTGATGAACACGGAAAGTCGCCACCCATGTGCACGTCGGGATCTCCAGCTGCGGCTCCGCCAAGAGACCGTTTCGGGGGTCTGAGGTTCTATCCGTGTCGCCACCTTAGAAACCTTAGAAACTCCTAGATAGTTAGGTGCCAGCTGCGTGACTACGCGCTTGACTCTAGCCTCAGATCACCGACAGAATCCCAACCTGTTCAGAAGCCTATGCCAATCTCTCCTCGACGGCCCTAGCTTTCACTGTTGGATGTGTATTTCCAATCTTAGAAGATAGTACTCAATAATCTGACTTCTCATACGGCGTTCCCCTCATGTCCAGTCTCAATTTAGACAAAGACTCTCTTGTCGCGCTGTGTGTTGCAAAGCTAGTTTCCGTCGAGGGCGACCAGTGACAGTTGTGCTAACAGGGAAAATTTATTAATTACAAGCCCTTTTTCCATTTTGATATTCTTCGTCTCGCCACCGTCAAACAGCCTTGCCATTTCCCCGCCAGAGGGCTGAAATGAATCGCATCTGTTACAAAGAGGACGGTTCTCGTATCACCTTGTGCAGGGTTGGTGGTACCCTGGGATGTAGCCCGCCAAGGCCGGCGCAGCCACTACCACAGCCTCTGGCACTCTTCGATTTCCATCATCGCTTTTGTCCCAAGCACATGCGGAGCTGGTTAAGGTCAAACCGGCCAATTTTCTTCGTGTGACGGGACCACAAATATTCAAGTATCGCGCCGTGAACCCAATTCCGCCTATCTCATTAAAATAAGAGGGATCCGCCGTCGTTGATCCCCATTCCCAACAACCTGTCAATTACCCCCGCCAAAGTGAGCGAGCCGACGAGAATCAGGATGGAAACCTCGTCGCTAAACCTCAACTCAACACCCGCTGGGACGTCCGAGGGCCCTTCTACCTCGCAACGAAATGGCGCATTCCCGGAAAAGTTCACCATTTACCGACATGCCAAGCTTAGCCGCACCTATATTCTCGGCGACGGCCCCGACAGCCCCATCTACGCGCTCTCGTATCAGGGCAGCGATACCTCGGGCCAGCCGCAAATCATCCTCCACTCGGGGCCCCAAAGCGACACGACCCTCTCGCCACAGTCTCCTACAAAGACCTCCAAAGCCCCATGGTAGCCACAATCATGGGCCGCGACTCGAAATCAGGCCGAGAAGAAGCATTATCACCCCGCATGTCGTTTCCGTACTTGGCATACACCTTTGCCATCGAGACCGTGGCCGGCGAGCGCGAGAACTTTGAGTGGCGGCACAGCTCCGGCGCCGCTATCGCGAGTCTCGGGGTCGAAAAGTCGGGGTGGAAGCTCGTGCGACTGGGCGCTGGTGGCAAAGGGGATTCGAAAACCGACGCGAGCGTTGTGGCGAGCGGTGGAGACGCAGTGGTGGCTGCTTGGGCAAAGGGAAGGGGAAGGAGGAAGGCAGGTTTGCCTTTTTCGGGGTGGGTTGGCTGGAAGCTTGGGCGAGAGCTGGGAGGTGATGGCTGTAGTGACGTCTCTGGCGATATTTCAGAGAGATCGCAGTAATATCCGGGGTCGGCGCTGAACGCTAAGGCTTTCCATTCTCAAACACGTAGAGCATAGCAGACAACTCCGGCGCTGGTCGAACCTCTTAAGCGCAAGCGAAGCAACGTGTACCTAGAAGGAACAAGTGTATTCAAACTATCTCAACCACCTTTCCTCCGCTTCATCCCATAGATCGTGGTGCCGGGATGTCGACGCTAAGTTGCTCCTACCGGTCAGTGTATGAGGTGACCAGTCCCAAGCGTCTTCTCCATAGCCTCTATCAACTCAATCCGTTAGACTTGTGCGATCGGCCCTTACTCGAGGATTTTGATGCCAAGTTGCCCATAGCAGCATGGAGATCAGGGAGAGTATGGGGGAAGGGCTGCTCTCGCTCCGGCTCGTGGGCGTAGGGCTAACCAATGATGCCAGCCTAGATCACATCAACTCCTGAGACATATATCAAGTTTATACTCGTGTCGGTGTGGACTAGGATCACAGGCTGGGGCACATTTAAGCTGTGAAGCCCATTTTGGGGTTGTGGCTTCGAGAAATAGACTATTAACCAAAGGGAATCAACTTGACGCGTGAGTGCCTTGTCTGTGGAAAGGCGCCACCGTCTACCGAAGGGCGTAGGATTAAGGTTTGACATGCGGGCTAATGCAAAGGATCAAACGACGGCGGCTACATGCGGCTAAGCTTCCATGCTCTCAAAATTCCAAGGAAGGTGCGGACTTTATCTTTCTTATCTGCTGCCCGCTCGTGAACAAAACATCGTCTGATTAGAGAGCCGATTTAATCATTCAGATTCATGATATTTCAATATTGCCTCCATCCAAACGATTGACTGCGCTTAAGTCGTTGTGCGAGAGACTCTTCGTACACCCGCCATAATACCCTTGAGCACTGAGCTATGAAAGTAGGGTTCGTAGGTCTCGGCGTCATGGGCACGCCCATGGCTCTGAACCTCGCTCGCAGATATCCCCTTACAGTGTGGAACCGTAGCTCGTCCAAATACCCTCCCCTTCGTCAAGCGGGCGCCCAAGTGGCCGAGTCGCCAAGCCTACTCGCCCGGGATACCGACGTAATCTTCACGATGCTGCACGATCAAACGGCCATCCAGTCGATATTCACGCCCGAGTTTAGGAGCGGGCTTCGGAATAAAACTTTGATCAATACCAGCTCGGTGCCGGTTGAGTTCAGCAAATATATGGCTGATGAGATCCACCGTGCGGGTGGGCGTTTTATCGAGATGCCCGTGAGCGGCAGTAAAATTCCAGCGGAGAAGGGCCAACTGGTGGGCATGATGGCCGGCGATAAGAGCGTAGCGGGGAGATGGGGCCTTTGGTTGAGCTCATCACAAAGGCCGCGGTGTACTGCGGCGAGATTGGCATGGGTCTGAAGACCAAATTCGCCGTGAACACATACCTCATCACCATGACGGCAGGATTGGCCGAGTCCATGGCGTTGGCCAGGGCCCAAGATCTAGACATCCGCGCCTTTACTCAAGTTCTCGACGCCGGCCCCATGGCTTCGCCGTATTCCAAGTTGAAGCTGGAAAAGATGATCGACGAGGATTGGTCGGCCCAAGCAAGCATCAACGATTGTTTCAATCTTACTCAGATAATCGATTCGGCATCGACAGCAATCAATGCTGAATCCCCTATGATTCGCCTTGCCGGCCTTCTATACAAGCGAGCCATTGAAAAGGGGTTTGGGAAAGATGACATGATTGCGGTGGAAAAGGTGTTGGGCCTGGCTCTAGAGAAAGACCCAGCGTGAGGCAGGAATCTTCATTTTGTTCAGGACCTTTCACGATCGGATCAGGCTTGTCCGTTATTCGACACAACAGCTCGATGAGACCTGTACCCTCTTCTCCCTGCTTCCTGGAGCTTCCGAAGCGCCAAAGATATGCGCCGATAACCTTTGTCTTTACTAGAGTTCTTCATCTCTGAAGCAAAGAAGTATTCAAAGAACCTAGATAACATGAAGAAGCACCGGTGAGGGGCATGCTAGGTCAAAGATTGACCACCCAAGCCGCTCAGATGGGGTGGTGGCCTGGCGTCATGTTTTGCCTCGAAACAGACAAGCTTATATAGAAAGCATGTATTTACGAATGTGAGAGAATCTCACTAGCTACGGGGTTGGCACACGATGCCGCGAAAAGGCAAAAGCCATACAAACCCCCTTCTCCTTACATTATTGCCCTGCCACTTCAGTGAGAACAGAGGCGATGACCTCCATGTCGCGGGAAACATCAACCATCCAAGTCGATACGGCTATACGGACCGCCTTTTCTCCGTTCCAGCTCGTAGGGCTGACGTATATCTTCCTCGTGGCATTAATCTTGCTCACAAGCTCGTCATTCAACTTCTTGTCTTTCGCTCGGAAGAGGACAATCATGAAGACTTCGTCAATATTCTCGTCAGGCAGCAGCTCGTAGTGTTCCGACTGCTGAACGAACCGCGCCGCCTGCCTGCTCAGCTCCGTCATGTTGGAAAGTAGCCCCGCGATGCCGGGTCGACCTTCGCTGAGGAGCACGGCGTAGGCGGGAAGCGCCCTGAACCGCCGAGAGTTTTCCAGCCCGATATTCAAGGGGATGGGATGCTGGATTCAGAGCCGGACGCTAAGTAGGCGGCGTTTGGATTCATAAAGACGGCCTCGAGCGTCTTGTGCGAGCGGGTAAAGAACATGCCGCAATCATACGGCTAAAACAAAGAAACATTAGATCGCGGCGCTTGCTCTAGGGGAATTCTTGGCGCACTCCAACTTACCACATTGAGCAATTTGTGCGCATCAACGGTGATGCTGTCCGCTAGCTCTACCCCGGCGCAACGTTCCCGGATGGTGCGATACTCGCTCCTACCATCGAGGGCCCTTGAAAATATTCCAAAAGCTGTAAACTGTCAGTCTTCCTCTCCCGGCTTCTTCGCGGATTTCCTATCAGCTTCGAAAAAGGGGACACGTACCACCATCAACGTGAAGCCAGGCACCATACCGATCCGCCAGCTCACGAACGCGCTTCATCTCCTGCACCCCGCTCACCGCATGCCGCCCCGTGTTCACCTCCCCAGCGCTGACCGAAATCACGCTCACCACCCCGGGCGCGCGCAGCTCGCGCTCGAGGGCCTCCACGTCCAGCCTCCACGGCTCCGCGGCGCTCACCCCAAGCTCCTTGACCGCGCGCCGCCCGAGGCCGACGACGCTCGCGGCCTTGCTCAGCGAGCTGTGCCCCGCGCACGTGAGGACCTGCACGCCCGTCACGCCCGCCCGCACGCACGCCTCCAGGAGGCCCAGCTCCCCCACGCTTTCGCCCGACCCCAGCTTCTTCGCGAGGATCGCCTCCCGCGCGCATGCTAGCCCCAGCACGTTGCTCGCCGTCGCGCCCGTCGTAAAGTCCGCCCCGTCCAGTCCGCGGGGTTGCCCAGGTCGAGGAGCGAGAGGACCATTTTCAGCGCCGCGTCCTCCACGGCCGTGGCTACGGTTTGGTCGGGGAGGTGGACGGCCGCGTTTTGGTCAGCGCGGGACACGACGTTATCCGCCCACTCCGCGATGGGGAGGGTGCCGCCGGTGACGAAGCCGTAATATCGGGACGATAGAGCTTGGCCGTTCAGCCCGGGAACAATGTCATCTACAATGTGTTTAACCGTGTCCTCCTGGGACATGCCGGACAAGTACATTGCGGAGCTCGGATCCGGGAGGCTCGCCTCCGCGGCCTGGATGGCGTTTCGAGGCGGAAGGGTAGGCTCCCCAGCCTGGGCCCCTTCTTTACGGCGGGAGAGCCTGGCTTTTTGGGAAGAGAAGTCGTAAAGATGATCCATTTTGAGAACAATTGGCGCCCTCAGCATGCATCGGAGTCACGGATACCTCTACTCCATCTACCTCGAACATCACTGGACGGATTTTTAGGCACCCTCTTTCCTTCGCACCAAAGAGGGGCTTCAGACTTGATTACATAAAGTCTTACTTCACAAGCTCACAACGCCCCAAATCAATAATGCCGTCCGATGAGTCTTTTTGGAGGTGGACAAGCCCAAAATACAGCGAGCTTCCGCCAGTCATGAGGAGCATGACCTTGACCCAGCAAAATCCATGCTTGGAGGCGCTGTCGACTCAAAGTTCAATTGGTCGACATCGAACTGCACGAAGGGCACAATTTGATGCATTGCATCAAGTCGGTTCCTCGCTTGTCAGAAACCCGCTAATAGAGTGACACGCGCTGCGGGCTCGACATCCAATATTACTCATTACAGAGGGACGCATGCATCCCAGCCCAGCTGTTAAAAAGCTCTTCTGCAAGACGCTACTGATACGTCCATATAATATGCATGGAGCTACCTTCAACGGGCCGATCCCGTTTTCTTTCCTTCTTTTCCCCTTGACTAAGTCTAACCTCAGTGTTACATCCCAGCCTGAATCTTCGCCACAATCTGCGATTAGATCCTGACCAACCTCACCATCAGCCGATAGTACTTCGGCTCAGTGTGAAAACCCCTTTCCTAGCGTTTCAAGCTTGGCGATGATCCATTGACCTTCACATTTATTCTTGATTAAACACTCAATCAGTCAACCCTGATCACGCAAGATCGAAGGTACAAAATTTTTCCGGAACACAATTTCTAGTATATATAAGATGCCAGCTGCCTTGGGGCTGTTCATCCTCACCGCCATAGCATTTCCTGGGAAAGCTATGGCTGGGGATGATGGGGATGACTTTTCGAACAATTTATTCTCGGACCTGGCGCCGTAGGTCGCACCGCCCCATCTTGTTTTGATTCGTACCCTGACGATTTCACGTATGTATGTAGGCTCCTAGCACTTTTCGGAGAACGAGTCACGATGCAATTTATGAGCCACTCGATGGGGTGGGCCGACAATATCCTGCTGGCAATGGCCCCCTTGGCATACTTACAGCCGTTGTTGGCGCCATCAGAGTGGGAGGTCCTCCATTTCTCAAGGCTATTATTGGAAGGGCGAGAGAGAACCTCGCAGTAGCCGAGGTAGAACTGATGTCGTCAACCTCGGGCGAAGTCTGCGAGCTTTGGAACGGCCAAGAGGTCGTACGATGTATGGGATCAGCCCCGGTCGTGGAATTTATATGCGTATTACCCGAGGATGATGGAAGTGATCAAGACGGACACAGGAATTTCAAAATCACCGTGAGGTCGCTGAAGGATAAAGGGGAAGAAGAATGCCTTGATGAGATAGGTTGGTCACTCTCGCCCACTTTATCGAACCGTGGCACTGACTATTCCCAGATCTAAACATCAAAGACGATTTACAGCGCTGGCGTTCGTCACTCCGCGCCGAGAGAGATCCCGAGCAAAGGTCACTCGGTTCTTCGCCAAAAATCACCATATTGCGGAATGCTAAGTTATCCGCACCAAACATCTCCTGAATTGTCATAATCAGTCCGGCAGACTAGGGGTGCGTATCTCTGCAGCGATTGGCGTTATTCTTCAGCTTGGGGTTCTTCTATACTCCGGGTTCGCTACCTACCACCCAAAATTAAAGTTTCCTAAAGGTGATGCACCTGTCTCCGGATACGCATTTACCTGCACCACAGTTGGGACGCTGGTCCTTGTCGCGGGCATGGCTGTGTGTGGGTATGTCGTGGAGGGTCGCACGGAAGAGACTCGATATCGCGCGGGGACGGGGAAAAGAGCTCGAGTGGTCTGGCTGCAACAAACAAAAACAGTGAACGACCAGGCTTTCAAGTCCTTTGCAATCTTCCCTAGCAATGACCAGACCATTATCACAACATCAAGTCGAGTGGACAAGGCATGGCAGATGAGGTCCACGGCCCAGTCTGGCTCGGCAACACCTGTCTCTAAAGATCAACCTTCCGGGAAAGCTGCGTCGGTTCAAATAGGAAAGGGGAGTATCGAAAGCGAGCCTGTAGCCAATGGCTCCACAGAGAGGCTGCAGTCTTTGGCTTTACTTGGTACTGCACTTAGTGTTGGAGGCTACATCGTGCAATTCGTCGGTTTGCGCGGAATGCATTGGTCGGCCTCGGTAGTTCAATTAGGAGCTATTGCTGTGATGACCGTTCTTAGAGCTCTTGCTCGCCGTGGCTTAGCAACTCCTCCAAGATCGGAGCCTCTCACTAAAGGATTCGAGCTTGACTGGTTTGCAATGTCCATTGGAGATGTTGACAAAGCACCTTGGAACGATACGCCAAGACAAACCAAAATGCCCCAGAATAATTACCCTCGTAAAGACTGGAGGATTTTGACCGGCAGGAATACGCTGTACGAGCCCTTGAAACAGGTGGAGAAAAATGATGACAGCCAGCAAAACATTGCAGACACCTCAAACGCGGCACATGCAATCATGATGATAAGGGAGAGTCTTGGGAATCTCGCCCAGTGGCCTGGTCCCGCATCCGCTGAAGCCATCGCTCTTGCAAGGGCAATGGAGATTACAATGGATGCTCTATTTGAACACCGTGACACCAACCTGTCATGGGCCTGGACTCTTGAGGCCCGTTACTCCCAGAGAGCTAAAGAGCCGGTACATTTCGTATTAAAGCGAGAAAAAGAAAAATGGAGGGTAAATCCAGCACAGATTGAGGCGGCGCTGTCACTATGGTTATATTCCGTTGACGAAGTCGAGAACGAGGTACCTCAGGCCAGCGAGTGGCTGCTTGCGAAAGGAATCAACGAGCAACTCGGCCTGCGGCTTCTCGGGCAGTATACAGAGTCTCTCCACCGAGACCTGCAGTGGTGGATGCCTCATGGCACAGCAGGTATCAAAAAGTTCAACAAGATGAAAAGGGTACTTTGAAGGTGAAGAGCCACCGTGTTGTTGGCCAAGGGCCTGACTCTAGTGAGACCTCGAACGAGCTAGCGTACACACACCAGGACCTCACACGTCTAAGTTTTGCTGAAGCCGACGAGAGCTCGACGGGCAGTGGGCCAGGGAGATTAGCTGGTAAAGATACGACCGAAAGTAAACAGGAGACCGTCATTAACAAAGACGATTCCAAACGTGGTTCAGAAAAGCTTTTCCTTGCAAGGGAGACAGTCAGCTCCTTAGCATTGCTCTATGCTCAGGACATGTTCTCGGCATTCATGTGGGCCATGGTGAAGACCTTATCCGACCCGATTGGGGGCGACGCTGAGATACGACTTGAAGATAATGCCGACATTGAGAGCTGGCAATCGTTCACGCTCAAACATACCCGACTCTTGAAAATGACTCAGGAAGTCTCCGACACAGGCATTGGTACTATGGACCAAGTATTCTTGGCTATTATCCCACCTTTGAGCGGCTCAGGGAAGCTTCCCAAAGCTGATGGGCTGGTTGAGCTAGCCCGGCAACACGCGAAGCCACACGAGAAAACACGCCATTGGCGTGCAGCGGGAGAAGTGTACTTAGGGCTATTTCGAGTTGCAAAAACATTTCCCGAAGATAGCAGCATCAGAATCAGAGCTATATCCGTGCTAATAGAGTATCTGAGGACGGTCACGCTTACTCTAAAGTTGAGGCAAGAGCAAAAAGATGAGATAGACCTCGGGGAGTTGGAAGATATCCAACAAATGCTGGCATCCGAGCTCTGTGAAGTTGATACGAGTTTGCTCGACAGATTTAAGCAGCTAGATAAGGCACAGGGCTGTGAGTGGGAATTCAATCTTGCAGCACGAATTAAAGCTAATACTGACAAGATGGCGCTTCCTATTGCATATGGCAGAAGCTATCGCGACAATTTCAACGTCTCGGACTTGCATCGATCTCTCTTATTGGATGATAACGACGGCCCATTGCATTGGTTATCCCATGAACTCTCAAAAGCTACCCGAGACGATGCAACCGCAGCAGATATTCGAGGCTGGTCACCACTACACTACGCAGCAGAGACGGGAAAAACTCCTGCTGTTGGTCGCCTCCTCAAACTTGGCACGAATGTTAACGCAAAGAATATCCTAGAGTGGACACCACTGCATTGTGCCTCTAAGGGTGGACATGTCGAAACTCTGCGGGCTCTCATCCGAGAAGGGGCAGAACTTGATGCACAAGGTCGGGATGGCGTATCGCCATTGCATTGCGCAGCCATAAACGGTCACCGTGACGCGGCCTGCGCACTAGTTGAAGCGGGGGCGTCTATTGACATTATAGACGCCTCAGGAACCACACCTCTTTTATGGGCAGCGTACAAGGGGCGTGAAAATGTTTTTGAATATTTACGACCGAATGCAAATATAAACCTCCGGGATCATCATGGGAGGACTTGCCTGAGTCTGGCTGCGTTGAGCGGGGCGAAGGATGTAGTAGAATCTCTTCTCGATCAAGATATTGACAAGGTACCTAAGGATCGAAGGGGGATGACTCCCATCCATTTAGCTGCGATGAATGGACGGGAAGCTGTTATAAGGCTTCTTATCGACAGGAATTTTGGAAAAGAGACGAAAAACCCTTCAGGCCAAACTCCACTCCACATTGCGGCTAGATATGGCCAGGAAGGCGCCATACAATGTCTTCTTGAAAAAGGGGCAGAAATTAAAGCACAGGATGATAATAGCGAATCACCGCTTTTCATTGCGGCTCGGGGGTCATGATAGTGTGGTCAGGCTCCTTCTCGAAAAAGATGCTAATATTGAAGCAAAGAATCAACGTGGCGAATCACCGCTTTTCATTGCGGCTTGGAAGGGTCATGATAGTGTGGTTAGGCTTCTTCTTGAAAAGAATGCTGATATTGAAGCAAAGAATCACAATAGCCAATCACCGCTTTTCATTGCGGCTTGGAGCTGTCATGAGAGTATAGTTACACTTCTTATTGAAAAGCATGCTAATATTGAAGTAAAGAATCAACGTGGCCAATCGCCGCTTTTCATTGCGGCTTTGAAGGGGCATGATAGTGTGGTCAAGCTTCTACTTGAAAAGGATGCTAATATTGAAGCAAAGAATCACCTTGGCGAATCACCGCTTTTCATTGCGGCTCAGGAGGGTCATGATGGTGTGGTCACGCTTCTTCTTGAAAAGGATGCTGATATTGAAGCAAAGAATGACGATGGCGAATCACCGCTTTTCATTGCGGCTTTGAAGGGTCATGATAGTGTGGTCAAGCTTCTACTTGAAAAGGATGCTAATATTGAAGTCAAGTGTCAATATAGCAGATCACCGCTTTTCATTGCGGCTCAGGAGGGTCATGATGGTGTGGTCACGCTTCTTCTTGAAAAGGATGCTAATATTGAAGCAAAGAATCACCTTGGCGAATCACCGCTTTTCATTGCGGCTCGGGGGCCATGATGATATGGTCAGGCTTCTTCTTGAAAAGGGCGCTAATATTGAAGTAAAGAATCAACAGAGCAAATCACTGCTTTTCGTTGCGGCTCAGGAGGGTCATGATGGTGTGGTCAGGCTTCTTCTTGAAAAGGGTGCAGATTTCAACGTGAAGGAAAAAGATGGCTACACTCCCCTCTCAATTGCGGTCAAACGCAGCAAAAGAGGGTAGTCGACCTTTTGTTGCAAAGGGTGCTGATCTTACCCTCTCGCACGCGGCGGGGAAGGATAGATCAGCTGTGTACCTCTTGAAAGGGGCTCCAGGTGGCGAGGAAGACGCAGGCGGCCACTACACACGGTTCAGGCCAGCCGTGGGCACCCATTCTAATAATGACTGTAGCCTCGCTCGCAGCAAGTTAGGGACTGAGGTTATGACTGTACGGAAAGAAGAAATCTATTGCCTGGGAAAGAAAGATCAGCTTGTTTTCGCGGGGTGAGGTTCACTTCACTGCATGTACTACTCGTAACTCAATATATACATTGGTTTCTATATGTATCGAGAGGCATTGAACAGATTGAGGATCACTTGTTGTTCTGTCGATGTATTATACATGTAGACGTCGTATCCTCGTTCAAAGACCGTTCCGCGTGCGATTGCACTATGTCTCCCTCTTAATTCCCTAATGCGAACCGAATATCTATGGGCGTCCCCGCCCCATTACATATATTCCCGGTCGTGTCGACCTCTAACGCGCACTTCGAACTGCAGATGCTCTTTGGGCTCTCCATGTTACTAGTAGACAACATGCGAATAGTGCCTAGTCTTGCCTGTTGAGTCAAAAACTACAGATACTCAAAACGCAATGTGTTCCGAACACTAGAAGACGAGCTGCGCAGCAGATACATGTAGTTGTCGTCACCTTAACAACTTGGGACGATTCGATGGCCACTTCTCATGCAGAACCGGGCGAATTGCAATTCCAGCCTCGTCCCGGCCTGCCGACAACATTGAATCCATCAACGCCGGCGATCTGGAATTCTAGGTTCCATGAAGAGTAAGGTGAATTACCACCATTTGAATGTTAGGGAAGGATAAAATCCTCATGAAAACCTTGAATGTAGAGCGAGCGTTCCCCTGTCCTTTTGTGGTCCAACATATATATAATATTACCCCAGGTATTCCTGGGGACGAGCCGCTGGAATCAGACTCCTTTCAAGATACATGTGGGTAGACAAACTCAAGTTTTCCTTTCTCGGTTTCATCGAAGCAATCTCGCCTTATCCATTACTCTCACGAGTGGATAGTGTTTTGGGCTCGGCTGATGATCGAAGTGGATAATCGACCCAAACCGCGGCAGTATTAACTCCATGGGATAAGAATCATTTCCCTTCGAATGTGCATTTTTGCTCTTCCGCCCCGATAATTTTTATTCTTGGTGGGATTGGTTGATACAATCCTGCTTTTCAACCCCACCTCCCTTCTTCGGTCAAACTTCGCTTCAATCTTCTCCTCAGCCACCAAAAGCCCATCTCATGTACCCCCAAAGCCGACGATTTGATCAACTATTTGTTAAAGAAAGAGAAATTGAATGGTTAGGAAATTTAGTAGTCTAGGACACTTCATTTTCCAAGCTTATGGAGCTGGGAGCGCCACAGCAAGATTTATGTCGAGTAGACGCCGTTCGGCCAGGTATCACTGCTGCCTTGTGCATCAACTGCGCTGACGAAGAGGATCCCCTCCTACCACAATCTTCGATCTCCCTACCGATATCCTGCGTGAGATATTCAAGTTCTTCAGATATGAAGACGCCATCTCGCAAGGTCGAGCGCGCTGGAGCTCAGGCCAGCAACTGGAAATATGTTCTAGGCAGAGACGGGATATCCAAAACGCCCGCCTCGTCTGCCGCGCTTTCCATGAGCTTGCGTCTCCTTGCTCTTCGCGCTGCTACCCATCAAAGTCGACACAGAGTCACTCGAGATCGCCGACCAAATATCGAAGAGGCCTTACCTAGCTTCCGGGGTTCGCGGGATCGAGGTACAGTTGACGTATCGGCCGCGACAGATTGCACCGGATCTGCGTCCTTTCATGGACTACCGTTTCGTCGAGCTGAGATTGCTGTGTAAATATTGTTAAGATGTGGTCAACGGCGACATGTATCGATACCGACACCGACCGCTGACCAAAGACGCGCAAGAGGAATTTGACCGATGTCAGTCCGCGTTATTCAACGGGGCTAGGCTCAGGGAGGCGTGGTCGGATCCTGTCTACTCTCTAAAGCCCACAGCGCGACATTGTGAAGAGGGCCTTTCGGAAGAGACGAGGAAATATACTAAGATATTCCGGGAAGGCTACGAGGACTATCGCCGGAAGAAGCAGGAACAAGATACCTTCCTCTTCGATGGATCATTTTCTAGGCGCCTAGCCGGCGCGATAAAACGTATGCCCATTTTTCACGCGCTCGGTTTTATGGATTGCCGCGACGATATCGCCAGCAAATATTGGGATAGTCGCATCCTCGCCGATGAAGACCGCCTACGCCGTTTCATGTCCAGTCCCCTCTGTTGGAATCAAGTGACGAGACTTCCTGGGCAAACAGAAGTCCCTACTGCCAAGTTACTATGGGACATACCCATCGCTCTGTCAACCGCGGGAATCAGCATTCGCTCCCTTCGGGTCATGTGTTTCCCGAACCACGAGCATGTACCTGGCGTAGCGGTCCCACGCAATGAAGCATCGCCAGAGATTTCACCATGGGGAGAACTCAGAATCGCCTTTAGCAAGCTTGAGCATTTCTGCTTCAAACCTGATGGGTTTTCAGGCGACTATTCCATGTACCCAGCCCCTACACCCGATAAGGCCATGTGCGATGCGTATCTTTCCGCCGGGCTCTCAAGCCCGTGTTTACGCGGCTTCGAACTCGTCACATTCGCATCGTTTTCTGTGGATGCTGACCGCTGGTACGACATCACGCAACTGCTGACCTTGGTCCTTCCGCGAGCCCCATTTTTGACGTACGCGCGGTTATCGTACACCGCAGTGACCGACCCGGCTATTCTCGAAACATTTCTGAGGGCACTCCGGTATGGCTACTGCAATGGTGGTATGCGTGAGCTAGACCTGCAGAATGTCGAGATCATGGCGAAGAGTGGATGGGAAGGCGTAAAAGCGCACTGCGAGAAACAGTCGCAGCCGACCTTCTTGCGGGAAGGTGCATAGTCTGGTTGAGAGATCTTTATGGGGCCGAACGCAAACGTCGCTTCCGGTACCGGCGCCAATTGCCTGACGCATCCAGAGAGCAGACCTTTGCGCGGGAGTTTTGGAGCTTGGGCCTTGATATACGCTAATCGATATCAAGTATCTCAAGCAAGAGAGCATTGAGGTTGGGGAGTGAACGCTTAATTGTAGACATAGGACAGGTTCTATGTGGGAGAAACATAAGGACAAACCCTCAGCGAGTGTGTGATTGATGCTCTCTGATATTATTGTGGTAGATACGCAGCACACGGCTGGGCAACGCAGAACATGCAACGTTGGCGGAACGTGGAGAGATCAATATTAGTGTGGGAACGAGGCACGACCCAGGTGATTAGCAAACTTTACAATATCGGCATTTGCTGCGATCTAAATAAGAATCAATCTATATATACACATAAGGCCCAAGAGACTGCAATTCTTAAGGAATCTAGTATCGACTCTGGAAATGCAGGCATCCAAATGTTGAAGTGAGCTTTGGCCGACCGAGACTCACGCGGGATCGGTGTATGCACGCAGTTCTTTGGTAGACTCCGGGACGCGCTTCCGGCGTCCACGCGAACCCCACCCTGACAACGTGGACCACCAAAAAGAAACCCAAAAATTGTTCGAAGCCAGGAAATTATAGACAGAGAAGCCCGGGCGATTCATCGATGAAACCAATTAGCTTCGTCGTGAACGGAACCAGGCGACAAAAAGATTACTCCTGCCCTCACTCGGATTCGAACCGAGGGTCTTTTGGTGCCGTGGATACGAGCCAAACGCCTTACCGCTTGGCCATAAGGGCGGGCTATACCAATTATGCATCGTTGCGGCGCTCATCAACAATGGCGCCGTACGAGCTGCAGCTAGTTCGAAGTGGAGTGCAGATAGCTGGCTAGGACTCGACCTAGCCCCCGCATTCCCGCAGAACCCGTTTCCTAGCGTTACATGTAACGTGCATCTCACGGGCGATTGCTTGTCAACCGTGCCGAGAAACCCATTGTTCAGTACGCGTTGGGTCGGCTGATGTACTGTGCACAGAATGCCCAACGCTTCGAAGGACCGAGATGATGTTGACTGACAGTCTCATTCTACATTTGTTGTGTTGGCATCCTGCAATAGTAGTTCGATTAATAAGCTCCCTCGTTGAGCTCTGGCACGAATGAGCTAGAGTTCTGTCAAGGTGCTTTACTAGTGGCGATTCACTTAGCGCCAAGGTAAGAGCAGGTTTCACAGTCTAGACAAGATAACTCCATGTATGGTAGACATCACCAAGTGCAGTTAATATTGTTTCTATTACTAGCGTACTCTTCCGGGACGCTTGGGGACTTCGGTTCCTGGAACCTTATAAATGCAAATTGCTTGCGTATCCACTATAAACTATGTGGGATGGTACATGTATAACAAAGAAAAGTATGAATTAGATGTCAATGCCCTATGCGGTGAACAAGATCTTTCCTAAACGCTCTCCGCATAGTTATCTTTGGAAGGCGCCTGTTTCTTGGAAAACATTTTCTGACCAGCCTTGTCAGTCATGCGATCCACCTTGTTGCCGAGCATCGTCTTGATGCAGCCGTAGACGGCAGACGCAAACCACAAGAGGGAGTTGACAAAGTCGACCCAAACGGCAATCTTCATGGCGCGGGTGTTGCTACCCTTGTACTCCTCATCCTCGCCCGAGTCCCGACCGAGGAACAAGCCGGCAAAGAGACCAAAGACGACGATCCACGCGATGAAGAGGCTGGCGTCCCACGCGAAGGCACGGTACGTCTTGCACATCGTGAGGCGGCTCCCGACAAAGGCAGCGCCGACAAGGGCGCAGCGAGGAGAAAGAGCGCGGCGGTGATGGCGGAGCCGCCGGCGACGAGGAGGGCAAAGATCCACTCGGGCGCGGCGCCGCCGCCATCTTCGGGGTGGGCGGACACGCGGTTGCCGTAGAAGCCGCAGGCGACGAGTGCGAGGATGAATTGCAGGCCGCGGCACACTAGACGGGGATGACCTCGAAGGTCTTGAGCCAGGACTTGCCGGCCGTCTTGCCGATGTCGGCGCCTTCGTTGAAGGCCTGGCGGCCAGCGGCGCGGCCTAGCACGCCCTTGTCGGCGGACTTGAAGGAGCTGGCGGTATCGGCGAGCGATTTGGCGTTTTGGGTCAGCTCGACGGCGGTTTGGCCGGCCTTGATGGCGGTGGTGAGTTTGCCCATGGTTGCGTGGAGGGAAAGGCTGGTAAGACGGGGGCCTGATTGGAAGTTGGGGGAGGAAGCAAAAGGAGGGACGGGTCGGACTCCGGCAAGTGGATAGTTTGAGCGGAGAAATACCGATGGAATGAGCGAATAAATGAGTGAAGATGAGACCAGCTCACCGGGGAACCCTTGTTGGAATAGAGTTCGGTATCGTGCAGATTGTCGTAAAAAGGGGCCGTGAGATGGAAGAGGCCAGGGAGAAATGCAACTCAATTAAACGCCCCACGTGATGCCAAGAAAGGAAATGAAGAGGAAGACGGACAAGGAAAAAAAGAAATTGAGAAAAGGGAAGAATGTGCTTTGGAAATGATATGATAACTCTCTAGGAAAAAACGAGCCCGAATGCAGGTCGCAGCTCTTATATCCTGCGTTGACGACAAGGGGAACCAAGCATGCGTTCGTGCCTGATAATTATAGCACAATGAACTAAAAACGTCGGCGCCAATTCGTTTGTTCAAAGATTTGAAACAAACCTTTTGGGCGCCGCTTTGCCAATCGTTTGTGTTTACGCAGCCCATTGATCTGACCTATTCCGCGACCTGATTGGCCAAGTGGCCGCCCCAGCGCTTGGTGAGACAACACCCACGAACGAGACCGGCGGTTCTTTGGCCGTTTCCCGCTCCGATGGCAGGATGGCGGGAGCCAACCATTATGTTTTTACTCAGGGACCGAAACGCTGGTGGAGAACGAGCCATGGGTCGACCGCAGGTTATATGGATTTTGGGCGCAGCAGCCTGGAGTGGTGTATGCGAACTTGAATGCTTCAATGTTGTCAGCTTCCGATCCTCTCTTTGCGCCCCGTGAGCACGCCCCACTGTACTGGCGCATGCAGGTATGCACAAAAACGCACCGCGCATTTGGCTGGACGCTGGGACTTGCGCGATGTAGGTGCGGCCTTGCGCAAAGGTCGGCCGAGTCGTACCAGGAGATATTCTCGGCGAAGGCTAGCAAGATCATGACCGTAGAAAAATCAATCTTCGTCATGATCAATGCATTGCTGCCCAGAGCAGCGAAAGCCGATCAAAGCCGAATTAAAGCCTGGGGAGAGGTGCATCAAGTCTGCATCACTGTTCCCGGGCAGCTCATCGGGCGAGGAGGTCTTCGCCGTGAAGGCGCTCTTCAAATTTCGGGTCAAGATAGAAAGGCTAGAAGAATCAGCTTTTGTTGGCAAAAGGATGAGACATGAGACTCATATGACGCCGAAAATTTGGAAGAACGATGTGAGCTGGTTTATTCTGAAAGAACCTCCCATTTGAGCCTTATTGGTCCTGTATTGAAGCTGATGGAGAGGCTTATCTGACTTCAAGGGCCCAGCGTGTTAGAGCGTGTTGTGTGCCCGCAAGGCCAGTCATTTACAAATTCTTCCACTCTAGCACTAGGTATCAGACAAGCCCAGCTTCTTCGCAGCATCGATATCCCTTGGAGGTTGGTCTAGCCCTCTATCCTTGCCCATCATACAATGGATGGCGCAGTGCTCCTTTTCCTCCGACGGAATCCGCTCCCCATCGTCCTAAGAACGCATCCCAACCCACCGGTACACGGCGATGGGGTGGACACCGTGAGAAAGAAAGCCCAAAGTACGGCAAAAAGTGTGCATGAATATGAGACAAGCATCGCATGTGTCTCTGGTACTTAGCTGTAGAGCCTCCCTTGGGCAAGAATCGCCATGCTTCCTCTGCATCTCTGCCCTTCTGCAGCACTCATCAGCAGTGCGCTGCGACATCCTGGATATATGTACCCGTGACGATATGGTGCACACCGCCGGAAATCCCGTTTGGTCGACCTAGCATCTCACTTCGTGGTAATTTCCAGTGTAAGTGACCCTTATCAAAATTTCGGCGCTAGCACCTTAGATCGAAGTCTTATTGAGTCCTGCAGGGGACATCTGGCCCGCGACACGTCACAGACTTCACGAAGTCGTCGGGGAGGATTTCTGATGGATGAGTGGCTGTGCACGCCATGGATAGAACGAACGTGTTTTCTCGGGCCGGACCACTTCATCATCGTCGGTGATCTTGAACACGCCCTCATAGGTGCCCACTAGTCGATCACGTCACTTTTGATTAATAAACCAGAACCTTCTCGCTCACCTACAATATCTTTAAATAACGATAGCAACAGACTAATTGGTGAAAGGAAACCAAAAAACGCTTTAAACTCCAGATTTACATTAGTATTGAATCGAAAGGCTTTTACTATATAAGTGAAGCAAGAGATAAATGATTGATGCAATACTTGCCGGGCGTTGTCTGCTGGCGAGCCTGAGCAATCTTTCGTGCGTGACTGAGACAAAGTAAAGGGTAAGGCTGCATCAACGTCCAGTAGCAATCCTCCATATCAAAGCGCACGTATATACCAGAAACCGATAATATTTCCTTGGTTTTTCTACAATAGCCAGCTGGGATAGCATAGCCAAAGCTGCAAGCTGTCGGCATGAATCGTGACTGGCGTACCACATGACCTATAGGATATCTCCAGTAACCTCACATACGTGCACTCTCCCAAACCGAGCCTGATTTGTAATGCTAACTGCCCCTGGCCTTCATAAGGCCCGTTCTTTTCGTGCTCGACGTGTTCTGTGCCAACTTGGTGCGAGTAATATCAAGGCTGTACGTGGCAAGTACGAGGATGAGCGCTCGGAGTTATAAGGCGAGCACCCAAGACGAGCCCTGGACAGAGCTCGAAATAGTCGATTCTCAAGACGCAATGGCCCCGTTTAGAAGCATCACGACCCTCCCAGGAACACACGTACCGTGTGGACACGAGCCCAAAGATGCCCTGGCACGCGTACTCGCACAGGTGGACTCGATTCTCTACGAAACCGGGTTCGCAAAGGCTCTCTGATTCCATATCCGTACAGCCGAACCCTTCGACTTGATGGCAGCGATGAGGGTATCGAGCAGCCTTTCTACGGGATGCCCGGTGAAGTCGAGCACGACCTAGTAGGTTTATATGTCCTTCCTGCCGCTCAGCTAACCTGTTCGCCGGCGGCTCGGGATGACTTTAAGCCAGAATTCCAGGGGGCAGACTCTGTCATGGACCTAGCGACAACAGGAATAAAAAGAAGCCATCCCAACAAGATGGCATGACTGGAGGGACCCAAACAGGTGGTGTCGTCGAAATACAAACAACGCAGAAGAGAGCGGAAGAGGTAGTCCCCGTGCCCATGTTAACCCCTCTCGCGAGCCCGTCTCGCACGGAGCGTGAGGCCAAGTCTACCACCGAACGGTCTTCCCCACGGACCGTTGCCATTCAAAGCGTAGAGGCTGCAAAGCGGCAATCTCCCTCCCATGAGCGTCCCATGCCACCCTTGGGCCCTCGGCGCAGGCCCCTGTTGTGGCTACGAGAGGCGGTAGGGCTCCTTGCCCAGAAAATATGGAGGATCCCACCAGACGGTCACGTTCGAGTTAGCTGGACATGTGTAGGCTTTTCGTCTCTAGCTGCTTTCTCTATCCCATCCTCTAACACTTGCACTTGCTAATCTAATCCCACCCATCCCGTCGTATAGAGGTGCGGGAAACAACTTTCCCTCCAGACGCCAAAGGAAAAACTAGCCAACGCGGTAGCCTTCGCCCAAGAGGCAGCCGGGCCGTACCTTAGCCCCACAATCTCGATAACGCAGCCCCGAGATAGCCTCGATAGTGCGGTGAGATCAAGCTCCAAGTCAGAAGCCTCCGCGGCCCCTCTGACGATGCAAGCGGGATCGCTGAGACCACCACCCCTTAACAGAGCAGGAGGGCCTACAGTTCCCCACGCACCCGGCGAAAACGAAGCGATATCTCGTACTTTGTTTTAGTAGCGGCGCGCACCGGATGGCGGTCCGCAACATCGACCTCACCAACGTCCACCACGACGAGATCCTATTCCGAAAAGCGCGGGAGGCATATGATGAGGCAAAGGCCGCGCAGTTCCGTAACCCCTTTATCGTGGCGCGCACAATTCATTACGTCAGGATTGAGCTTCTGTACCTACACCATACGGGTGAAAGCGTCGGTAACCGAGAACTTGATTCTATCCCCGCAATCGAGGACGTATACAGCGGGGACTACTCGTACAGGCCCTGTCCGCCCGATATTGGCCGGTACCCCATCCACCCCGATATTTTCATGCACTCCTTTAAAGATCCAGGGGATCACACTGGGTCAGTAGCCGTGGCGAGGTTGCCCAAGAAGATGAGGCGGCCGCTCACTTGCGCGAACGATTCGTTGAATATCCCTACTGGTTGGGGTATATACATTGTGGAGGGCTTGAACTGGCCTCTCGTCGGGATTGTCATTTCTCTCTTGATGCTGGTTACCGCTGGTATAGCTTTAGCGTGGAGTGTTGTGCAGAAAGATGTTCAAGGTGGAACAGGAATTGGTTCGTTGATTGCCGCCCTGACTGATGTGATAGTGTCTGTTATCTTTATCGTAAATCAGGATTAAGTCGACTCGCATCGATCTTGAAAGAAAAAGAAGGGATCCCCATCAAAAGAAAAAGAAGAAGAAGAAAAGAAGAGGAAGCCACCAGGAGAGGGCTTTACTCCCGGGTTGATGGAGTGTATGACGGATATATGATCTAACATCATGGCGGACCATCTCTCTTGCAGAAAATCCATTTATTTGCTACGTGTTCCTAATAGTTGTTTATCGTACTCTCTATCTTGTTTGTCCAAGTATCTGAATGTAAATAGTTCGAATCTTTGAAAATAACCGCGTTGGCTTCTCCGCATCACATTGACGGCTAATGCTCTCTATCAATGGCTCACCGTAGGACCAACAACGAGCTCGTGTGTGATTTGGTGCACGTACTTCGTGCGCCGCCCATGGACTTAGCAGCGAATACTGGGTCAGAAGTTCATCACAAGGCGGGGATAGCTCAGTTGGGAGAGCGTCAGACTGAAGCAAGACTTCGGTTCAGTCTATCTGAAGGTCGTCGGTTCGATCCCGACTCACCGCAATCTTTTTTGGTTTTTAGAGGGATGGAAAGGTAATGCCGTGCTCGATCTTAGCCTATTGACCTAGCGAGGGTTCATGCTGTCCCTTAAATTTGATTTTTATATGTTCACTAGGATATATCATCCCTGTACTAAGTGGCTTTTTTATGATGATGTTTTGGGGATTTGTCGGAGGGGTTGTTGCGAGGAAGCTCTGTCCCGCCTTTGGGGTCAGTGGCTATTATATAGTCCCAAGAGCGCTCATTATAAGGCAGGTAGGTTTACATGAAAACGGCAACACTACATTTGGCCTAGAATTCATTAGCGCTGTACAACTCGAATTTTTACTTTTTCCTGTGGTTGAGTGCTCTTGACGAATTGGTCATGGATCAATTGGGGGAAAGAAGCGCGCCATTGATCTTGAGGTTGGATTTGAATAACTACGGGCGAGCGGGGCACGGTCGTTCCTTACATCTACATGTACGATTAAATTGATCCATCCATGGACCCATACATGTATTTATTGCGTTTTAGATCAGTTATCTCTATCTCTAGGTTTTTAGTATAGGACCCCCTCTTGGAGGCACCGCAGGCAAACCGGGATCCATGTAACTGCAGACGCATCCCTGCGGATCTTGCCCTACATGTAGGTTCGGGTGGGTGGGAATTTCGCCACCCCGCCGGAGTTATGGCCCAGTATAGTCACTCGGGTGCAGGAATACATGTAGAAACAGAAGTATTTCCAGAGGCGACGGCCTAGGTAGAGACGGAGGAGAGGGAATTTTCTTATTGGGAGTATCGAATCTTTGCGGTATACAGTAGGGGGCACGCGAATTGGCTACAGGCACGCTTCGTGCGAGTATCTATTCATAAAGTCATTTACGACATGGCTTCTAATTCAAATAAAGATGCCAAAACCTAGCCCACGGTTAATCCCTCACATGTTGATCTGGACCGGCACGATCTGAAAGTTGAGACAACATTGCCCTTGTAGGAGGAATTTGCTAGCAAGGAAACCAGACATCACTACGTGGTAGGCAGATGAACATATGCTGGACGGGTGTATGATGAGGTTAATTTCTTGGTTCTAATTTCTCCCGCGCTTGTTTCACAAAGATCACCCTTTAATGGACTCCGTGGCGCGAAGAGCGGCTACAACCGTCAAAGCGACCAGCGGCGTGACGGCATATGCAAACTGCGTTCGTGTCAATACTTGTCTTTAGATGGTAAATGGATATAAGATTGATCGTACCGTAAGAAGCTTAGCGATTGACATTCTCGTCCTTCCGTTAATACCGTTCACGTCGGCTAGCGCGATGAGCTTCATTGCAGGCGGGCCGACAGGCATAAGCATCATAGCGAACCATACTGCCGGATCGCTAGGCAGGACGTCGGTCTTCTTGGCCAGAACCCAGATTATGGGTATGCTCAGGCTACGAAAAGGGTCGAGATGAGTACATGGCGATTTGAAGTTTGGGATATGCGCAGTTGGGGGGCTTGACTTACAGTGGCATCAAGACGAACCTGCTCCCGATAACATACGCAGCCGCGGTCAGGGAACGTTTCCTTTATCTTCGCCCTTCTTCATGGAGCGTAGGCTAAGGCTGAGCTGAACACCAACCACGATGATCTGAAGAGTAACGAACAATTCTCCCACGTTCTTGAGAGAGCTCGTGAGCCAGCCCTTGAAGTATCCTCCTTCCTGCATAGGGTCGAAAAAGAGCTTGTGGAGCGCGGGGACGAGGCCGATAATGGCGCCGGCTGTGGCGCCGAACGCGGTAGGTGTTAGGAAGGAACGGAGCAGGCCGAGAACCTTTTTACGGGCTCTGGAAGGGGCTCGATGAGTTCGGCGGCGCGCTCGGAGACACGGGATTTGGTCCTTTGCTCCCAGCGGATGAAATTCTGCGGGAGAAGGGGCGTGGTTTCTCCGTCCTGTCCCGAGCCTTGGGGCCGTTGCCCGTCTTGCTCGTCGTCATCGTCTTCGTCGTCGCCGTCACTCCCCTGCGCTTCTTCGTCGTTTGGGGTCTTGCCGACAATCTTTTCCCGCAGCTTGCGCAGGGTGGAGAAGAACGTCTCGTTGGAGAAGCCCTTCATGGCAGGCTCGCCGGCGCCAAACGTGAAGATGTTGTTGGCGACGGCGAACACGAGGAAGTAGGACCTTAGCTTGTCCGCGATGTTTTTGTTTCCGCTGGAGATTGAGTCGAGCACGCCGGTGCTGTCGAGAGATTGGATGAGGAAGAGAGGCAGCGATGTTGTGTTGTTGCACGTAACGGTTGCGACTGTCAGGCCGGGAGGTTGAAGAGGATGGCCATCGCGCGAGAAAAGAACAAGGTGATTGAACAATAGAGGATTGCCCATACTGGTGGACGGATGAAGGAGTTAGCATTGGTCCCGGAAATCGTCAAGTTACGTGAAAGACAGAAGTTGTGTACCAAAAATGGGCAGGTAATCCGAAACATTGTCTGGACTGAGCTCAGAACCGATATTCATCATCAACAGACAGGGTAGGAAGATATTGACGCAGATATGGGAGATGTCCTTGGCCGATTCGGGCGTCAGCAGATCGAACTGAGCCGACGCAACGCCGATGCCGATGGTCACCAACACCGAGGCGGCCGCCTGGATGGCGCTCAACAGCGCTATCACGAAACCCGAGGCCATTCTATCGCTCAACAACCTGTAGTCGGAGTGGGTGTTGGTCGGCTAGGAGGTTGCAAACGAAGAAATGGTCGAGGGCGGAATGGAGAGTCAGGGGAAAAAAATCAAAAACCACTAGATCACGCGACGGATTCCTCCTTGTGGGACACCACGCGATGCACTATGGAGAGGTTCGCGCGCAAGTTATATACTTTGTGCCTCCGGGTGCGTCATCGGCGCGCCGTGGCCCCCGCCCCCGAGCACACCCTCTCGCCCGACACGGCAACACAGAAAAGCTTAGGTACCGGGAGCTACCCGGATTTTAGCATCGAGCCAAGAGGTTCCGTCTCGCGAGCTTTGCTCCGTTGGCGATTTGATTGGGCGGCGTTGTGCATTGTGCCTCGTGACGTCATTCTTGCTTCGTTTCGAGATGGTGATACTCGTGGAAAAAATAAATAAAGCTGCCCGACCATGATCACCAGGACAGCACGAGCATGCATATGTAGAAAATATTGAAAGAGGAACACATTTTATTGACTAAATGATCGTGGAATGGTCTGTATTGAGTGCGATAAGCTTATATCCTTCACATTCTCTTTCGTTCCTGGGTTGTTGTTGTTGGGTTCAATGCCCTCTGCACAAGAATATTGGGATGTGAGTGGAGCTACGCGGCAGCTTCACGCTAGAACGAGCTTGCTCACTCGGTCATGTTGGAAAATGATGCAATGCCTCTGTCAACCTAGTCTTGGCGTCGCTACTGGGGGTTTTTGTGCATTACCTGCCACTAGCTGAGAAATTTTGTAAACAAGCGGCTAAAATGGGACCGTGATTATCGTGTTAGCTAAACCCTCATTCCTCGCAGCGGCATCAATTAGCTATGGAACGATCGTAACTCCAATTGATCCTTCTTAGTAATTTGGAAAACTCGGCTGTGCAAGTTGTGGTGATGAACTTTGCCTCACTCTCCACTGCAGGTACGGGCTGGTGGAATATTCGAACACACGTGCTGTCGGAGCTGGTTTGCTTGTCTGCCCCCTCCGCCCCCTCCCGCGCGAAGGAAGTCTATTGGGAGAGGCGGGATCTCCCGTCTCGGGCTAGTCTTGCAGCCAACAGGGAATCCGCCGCATTTCCAGCGCACATCGTGTCCGTCAATAAGTGTTGGCTATAGCGAACCCAAGATGAATCGAGCTATGAATCAGGGCTTTAATGTCCAATCATCCAGGTTCCACTTCCATTGCTGCCCGTTAGATCTAATGAAGAAGTGATTGGGATATTCAACTTGGGTTTCAATATCGAACCCTTGCCTTGGTTGTTTTCCATTTCAGGTCTCGTATTTGCCTGTTCAAGAGGATGAGAAAGGGGAGGCTGAGATTGGGCAGTGAAGCAGAGACAACATTGAAGACAGAGACAATTCGAAGCATGTGATAAGACAAGCAGGAAAGTTAGCCTCTCAAAATTCGCTGCAGTTCAGCCACCCTTGCTAATGTTCTAATGGCCCGAATCTTGACATAGCCTGACTAGCTCCATCCTGTCCTTCCTTCAGCATGTAGTGCTGTTTTTGTTCCTTCGTGCTGTAGGGGCGGTGGAGAGGTGGAGAGCATGGAACATCAAGAGCATCCACTTTTTCAAAGGAAGAAACAAAAAAGGCCTGAATGGAGATGCATCAGGGGTTTATAAAAAGAAAGAGACTAAAATTAAAGCATGTATCATGTCCGATGTCAAGATCAGATACCCCACGCCGCTAGAAGCGGCTTGGGTGCGACCAATTTGCCAGATGAAGGAAAATGGCGCTTCACGGCCAGTGTGCGCCAGAGGAAGGAGCCCTGGAGCACTGGTTTTACCCCGAACGCCGTGGCGCAAGCGCCCCACAGTGGCTTGGGCGCAACTTGGGCGAGAGATCTGGTGAAGGAATATCAATTGATTGATCCCTTGTCCATGCGTCCGCTTGTGATTGGTGCTTAAGCGAATTTCGATCCTAAACACCGGGAACTAAGCCCCGTTAGAACTCTCCGTCGCTAATCGACTCTTCACATCACCTCGTTGATTGGCTCTCTTTGCTAGAAGCACCAGCAAGAGGATCGAGGAGCATGAGCTTCTTTGCAGGCTCGGGCAAAACGTGCATTTCGTGTTAGTGTATCGGGCCCACGAAAGAGGCTCTGTCGCAGTAGTGAAGTCTGAGCCGAAGATATCATCGCGAGAAGAGATATGTTGGAGAGATTGAGGATAACTTGAAAACAAGATATAAACCATACTCGTCCCGTCCTGAACTATGAGATTTTTGTTATTCATTATTCATCACCTTCATACTCTCATACCACTCTCTACAACTCACACACTCTAATAACCTACAATCGCCTACAAGCAACAATCCTCCATTTCTAGACCACTTCCCAGAAAATCCTTCACCTCCCAACAACAGACACAATGAAGTTCGTCAACACCTTCATCACCGCCCTCTCCCTCCTCGCGGCCTCGGTCGCGGCCATCCCGACCCCCGAGTCGGAGGCCACCGCAGGAGAGGTTTCCATCCCCGAAGTCGAGCAGCAGCAGGCCGATCTCCCTGCTACAGACGCCGAGCAGATCGAGGCCCTCTTCAACGACATCAGCTTCGACGCGGACGAGGAAGCCTACTACGAGCAATTCCAGAACCGCGAATCGGAGGACGACCAGTCCGCCGCCAACCCCTTGTGCCTAGGGCCAGCCATGGCAACAACTTTTGCAGCCCCACGGGTCCCGAGTCCTGCAACTTTTGGCTCATGACCTCTATCCAGCTCGCCGGCACCGACTACCAGCGCTGGTGGGGCCTGTACAGCCATACCTGCGCCAAGATTGGCGGCTTCCGATGGTCCCTCTCTGCTATGAGTGACGAATATACTCTCCGGTCTGCGCTGCCCTACACCATCGAGCTCTCCATCACTGGCGGTGGCTTCCGCCCCAGCGGCTACTTCTGGTACTCTGGCCGCAGGACCGACCTTGGCAAGAACATGTACTGCAAGAGCTGCAGTGGCATTGCTGCTTCTCGCTGCTGCCGAGTTGCTTTCCGGTGCTACGAATAGACTTGGGGGAAGCGAGAAGGTGGGGGAGCTTGATTCAGCGTACATAGGTGGTCCGACTTGGATTTCTTTTTCGATGCATATAGGAGGCTTTTGGTACACGCATTGCATAACATAGACATAGAGAGGGTGACGAAGATAATGAAAGAGCAGCGGAGGGTATTAGATTTCAGATACAGCCGGTCGAGTCATGAGGAAGGAGCACGGGGAGTTTGAATGAGGTCTCAGGGTCGTGGTGTTAATTTCCCTGGACCCTTGTAGATATATAGCCACGGCTTTGCTAGATACAATACAGTTCGATAATGACAAAAGTGCTCAAAGGTTAATTTTCAAGGAAAAGAAAAAGGAAATAATCGAATGGATTTAGCCTGCATCGTGAGAGGCTCCATCATCAATCAACAAGCCTAAATCCCATATGGTGTAGTGGTTAGCATAACGCTCTCTCATCTCGATGAGTGTGCAGCGTAGACCCTGGTTCGATTCCTGGTATGGGAGCATCACATCTTTTTTGGACTTTTTTCTTTTCAAATTTGATTTTGGGGCGTATCCACTGTTGAATATGGCTTCTTTTCCTTGTTGTAGGAGATCAAATTCAACCACTCATCATATTCAGTCCATTGTAGTGGAAGATGAATGATTGTTTCTCGTTTGGAATAATTGTTGCTTGAGAATGAGCATTCTTTTGGAATGTGGGATTCGGCAATATAATGAAAGATTCCAGGACCTCGGCTTGAATCCGTTGAGCTTTTACTTTGACTCTTTTAGCGGCTCTCATCATGTACTCTGTTTTCGAGGTCTTATACGCCTTGAGTTGGTTTCTACGCGCATGCACGAGAAGTTACAATGGTCTTGAAGTGTGTTGGATAGGTAAGTAGTTCATATCGACAGGTTTCTTCTTCTATGTACAAGAAAATAAATGTATACATTCAATAGCATCATCAACAATTAATCCCTCGGTCTTCTTGTTTTCTCCAAATCAATTTCTTTCTAACCCTTCGCCAAAGACGACATTGAGCCAAGTGGCCATGGTACGGGTGTCGCTTTCTTGCTCCGCCTCGGATTTTAGCAAATGGAGGCAGGCAAATGCGAGCGGCGGAGGCTAGATTTACTGCCAGTTACCGCCAGTAGTGCCGGTGCTGCTGCACTGAGTAGAAGCGCTGTAGGAGCGGTTGGGGTCGGACTCCCAGGTGACGGCGCCGGCATCGTTGACCTTGATGAACTTGTAGGTGAAGCTGGCGCCGGCGGGGACGCTGATGGTGGCCTGCCAGAGGGGGTTGCTGTCGGTGTAGGCGTCAGCGGAAAGGGGCTTGGCGTTGGCGGTGTTCCAAGAGCCGAGCTCGCTGATGCTGCCGATGACCTTGACGCTGTCGCCCCAGACGGTCTTGGAGAGCGTGCGGAAAGTGACCCTGTGGAGGCAGACGGTGGAGGTGGGCTCGGGGGCGGTGGAGGTCAGGGTCTCGGTGCCGCCGGGGGTCTGGCTAGCGGGGAAGGAAACGGCGGTGGCGGAGACGTAGGCGCCCTCGAGGGCGAGCGTGGAGCAGGTGGAGGGAGCTGAGGCGCGGCGGCGAGCCAGCCGAACTGGGGGCTGTGGGCCTGGGAGCGGGCGGCGGCGGCGGTGAGGAAGGCGGAGTAGGACCAGGTGAGGTCGCGGGCGGCCAGGGGGTGCCGTCGGTCTTGGAGAACTGCTCGGGCATGGAGCCGTCGGCCTTGACGTAGGTCTTGACGACGTTGACGTAGCCGTCGGCGTAGGCGAAGACGGCGTCGACGACCGAGGTGAAGGTGGTGGTGCCGTTCTGGTAGGTGCCGGCGGTGATGGAGGGGACGAGGTCCTTGAAAAAGGCGAGGGAGGTGGCGGTGACGGTGACGGAGCCTTGGTTCTTCCAGACGGCGACGGCGTCGTAGAGCTGCTCGGCGGCGGCGAGGGTGAGGAGGTACCAGGGGTTACCGTTGTAGTAGACGTCTTCGATGTAGCGGCCCACGGCGACGGCGGTGCCCTGGGGGATGTTCTTGTTGATGGTCCAGGAGCGGAAGGAGTCGGTTACGGCCTTGTGGTTGGCGAGGGCGCGGTCGGAGCAGGGCTGGAAGGTGAGGGCGTCGCAGCCGAGGCGGGGGTCGTAGGAGTGGATGGAGGCGAGGATGCTGTTGCCGTCCTTGCCGCTGCGGGAGGCGCTGGTGAGGACTGGAGTCTTACGTGTTAGAAGGGCTTATAGTGAAGAAATTCGAGGCAAGGGAAGGGGAAGGGGGTGAACGCACTGTTGGAAACCATGTAGCCGGCGTTGTTCCAGTAGTTCTGGACGAAGCACAGGATGTGGGGAGCGACCTGGTCGCAAGCCTTGCAGGTGGTCTTGAGCTGGGCGGCGAGGTTGCTGCCCTCGACGAGGGCGCGGTACTGGCTGATGGTGGTGAAGAAAGAGGCGCCGCTGACTTCCTCCCAGAGATCGAAACCGGTGTTGTTCCTGGAATTCCCTCCGTGTTAGTGATGTTTTTGGGTGGGGGTATCCAAGAGAGGGAATGAAAAGGGCACACTTACCAGTACTGGGCGGTGTAGTACAAGTCGTTGCGGATGACGGGCCAGACGACCTCCTGAGCGGTCTTGGGGTAGCCGTTGTCAATGAGCCACTTGGCGTACTGCGACATGGCGATGGCGCGAAGGGGAGGGCCATCACGCTGGGGACGTCCTGCAGGATTGCGCAAAAGGCTCTGATTAGTCGTTGATCCCATCACAGAGACAAGGAATTTTAGGCCAGGGCCAGAATCCGGAAAGTGAGGAGGACAAGGCGACTTACCCCAAGCACCAGTAAACTGGGTCAGGTCGACGTAGAACTTGGGCTCGCCGAGGCCGCTGCCGTCGACGAGGCCGCCGGAGGGTTGCTCACGCCCTGGAGCTTGGCCTGGGCGGTAATGTACTCCTGAATCTTCTTCTGGAGAGAGGCATCGTAGGGCTTGGAGGCGAACTCCTCGATGACGGTCTTGAAAACCAAGGCGCTGTCACGGGTCCAGGTGTACCAATCTTTAGACGGGTGGTTAGCGGATGCCTTGCAGGGTGTGCCATAGGTCTCGAACACCAAGGTGTAAGAGGAGAGTGCAAAGTTGGATACTTACAGTCGGGGTCAGTCTTGGAAGGAGAGGCAACGACAACACCGGCGGGGATGCCGGCGGCCTCGCAGCCGCCACCGCCAATGTTGCAGAGAAGCTTCGTCATGGAGATGGCGGACTCGCTGGTGACGAAGGCGTCGATGACGGGGTTGGTGCTCACGGGGCACGCGATGGCGCCTCGGAGTGCGGAGAGCACGAGGGCGGCGGAAGTGAAGGCGCGCATGGTTGCGGTTTTGGGACGGAGGTCAAGCGAGCAGCTAGCGAAGGGAAGGCAGCAAAAAAAGGGAGGGGCAAAGAAGAGAGGGGAAACAACTCTTTTCTTTTGTTTCTGAACTTGCACTCGGAAGACGAGGAAGAGGCCTTTTTCTAAAGCGTTGGGCTCTGAGATCCAGGAGACTGGGTTGACTGAGGCTGGTTGAGGAGTGGGAGAGAGGAAATATTGTCGATCAAAGGCCGGATGGGGACGGGATATTTATATCAAACTTTTGAGGTTGACGATGTTTGGGGAAACGGGGAGGGACCCTGTCGGCCGCGATGTCTCCCAGCCAGGTTCCAGTACCTTGGTCGTCGCCCCTTCTGACAGTCAACCAAAGATTGTGGTATCCACGCATTCGGGATACATCTAGTATGGCGTGGGTGGTCTTCACATGTCTGGGACAGACTACTTTGGCCATGGTGGCCGGGGGTGGAGAAAAGCTCCCCCAAAGAGAAGGGAAGGAAAGAAGAAAAAAACAAATTACAATCGCCCGGCCAAGTCGCCGCACCCTGCTCTAGTTCTTCATATTGCATGCCTAGTATTAGTCCGTACGACGCCGTGTGTTGCGCCACAGACGGGAAAGCGATCGAAGCTGCAAGGACCACTCCCCTCCTCTCCTCGTCCTGTCATCTCCATCGCAAGGCACGCAGAGCATCCAGCAATGGTTGAGGTCTGGCGGCCATTGCCCACCCACTTCACTTCCGTTCGTCGGGAGAGCGGGGAGTATCGGCTGGGGCAGACCAGAAATCCAGGGGACTAGGCCGGAAAGAGAAGACGTGTCCAGGTTGGGTATGATTGATGGTGGGGTTGGCGAAACCTGCCATTCGGGGATACAATGCATTCCTAGCCCTCTTTTGGGGTGCGCATGCCAGCGTCCAAGCGCACTCTATTCTTTCTTGTTCGTTTCGGATGGTCCTCGCCATCTTGGCTCTGGGATATTGCTGCTTATGCGATGCTCTGATTTGGCGGTCTTTTCGTTTGCTTCTTTTGGCGTAGTGAGCGACGAGGGAGAGAATACGTCATGCAAATAAGTTAAGGACCGGTCTAGTGCAGGAGACGCCCATTTTGGAATGACAGGTTCGCTTCTAGTTTTTCAATTGGCCATCAACTCTTTTGATGGCGGTACTGCTCGTCCAGCAAAATTCCGCGGTGGCCGGCCTGGCGCCGGTATAGCTCTTACCACGGCCTCGGCAGAAATGACAATTAGTTCTCCGCGCTGGCTTTTCGAGAAGGCAGGTCGCATTGTATCAAAGCACCGGATGATCTTGCGACCCCAGGCGAACCAGTTGTCCCTTGACAGGATGTGCGAAAACACCGCCTTCCGCGGTGTACCACCAACCATGTCAACCCATCAACGAGCCCTACGACTAGGGCAACACTATATTCTAGAATGGAATGGATGAATGAATGGATGACAGCTTCTAGCCAACCCCCATAAATTCGCGTTTCCCTTCCCCACTGCCGTCACATCACCAGGCGCGCACCCGGTCATATCACGGACGATTCGACGTTGGGTAACAGCGCGCCCCACCGGCCACCTCTCGGTCCGAGTGCTCGCCGACATCTGTCCTGGGGGTGTGTGTGTGTGTGTTGCATGTGTGTGTGTTTATGTGTACGGGTTCGCCCTGTGCTGCACATCGCCGTCGTCATCCGTTTTTATTTCGCCTTTCTTGCTTCGGTCGCGCCCAGGCGAGGGGCTCTCTTGCTCTCTTGACCTTTTCGGTCCGTATGCAACCCTCGACTATCCTATGATGGCAAAAGCCGCCACGAGGAGGGGCGGGTTTTTGCTTAGCTGCTGTTTTTCCGCATCCGCGAGTGTGCATGTGTGTGTGGAGTGCACCGAGATGCAGGCCACGAAGAAGAAAAAGATCAAGCCACCATGCCGGCTCTTTTCTCCAGATTTCCCCAACTTTTCCCCATGCGGCACGGACAGAGAAAGGGGAACTCGGAGAGCGAGAGAAGAGGAACTAGGTTGTTATTCGTCCGCGTTCTTACTTTCCCCTCTTCATGCCCTTTCCTCCCCCCTTTTTTGCCCGTCCCCCATTCTTCATTCACTCTGGCGCTTTGCTCCACGTGCACCTCATTTGGCAGCCAACTAGTTCGTCGTCATGCGTGAATCGGCCCGCCTCCTCAAGCTAAAAAAACAAGCCAAAATACACGCTTTGCCCCCTTCCCGCATCTCTATATTTCTGCGTGCTCTCTGTACCTACCTGCCACCACTACTACTACAACTAGCTTGTTCTCTTGTTTTTCTTGTCTTCTGTAGTCTTTTCTCCTCCCCTGGCTCTTGTACTTGCTTGCTTGTGCTTTGAAGCCAGCCCAATTCCCTCCCCTCCCCCTGTCTCCCCTTGCTAGCTCCGCATCCATAGATCCGCCTCTGCTTCGCCAAAGTAATCCTGTTTCGGCAGTGGCCGAGGTCCCTGTCAAATCAAAGTCATCAAGCCACACTTCAAGCTACGGGACCCTAGCGCTGTCATCCGCCGCCCGGCACGGCGCTTCTCCACTTGTAGGCCCTTCTCCGCACTTCCAATCTACGCAACCCGTCTATTCCGCTCATCTCACCCCTGAATGGCACTTGGACAGCTAGCGTGACTAGGGCTGCGAACAAAAGCCGAAATTCGTGCAAGGTTCATGATTTCGACATGTCTAGCCTAGTACTTGTAGTGTGTCCAAGTTCACGCACTGCACTGCCCTACTTGTAGATTATCTCTTCTCCCCGATCCCTGATTTCGTTCTAGCATAACTTCGTCGTCATGTTTAGCGCTATGTAGCTTGGGGACAATTCTATAAGCAAGATGTCCCGCCAAGAGCCGACGTCGTAAAGTGGGTTCTCCAACCTCTCCAACCTGTTCTGCAAGCTTGTCAAACTTGCTGCGGCGAGGTGATGGGCATGGGCCCAGTGGAGACGCAAGTCCTATATTCGACCGAGCACGGTGCTGCCACTGCACCGTCGCTTTCGGCCAGATCGCGCGGGCTTCCTTGCGGTTTCGCGGTAGGCTAGCAATTAGTAAATGCCAGTCCCTCATTTTCTCTCCTCCCTTCCCGTGGCGATGCGGGCCTTGCATTCTCCACTATCGTCTACTTCGCAGTGGGGCGCTTCTCCGCGGTATTTTCCTGGGCGGCCTTAGATTTGGAGTGGGCCATAGCTGCATACGTTGTTGTTTCCCCACTGACTTATCCATCATCTCGATGAGGCATCTATCCGAACTGGCAATGGGAACTGGTCCTGGGACGGGGTTAGGGAATAGAAGATTCTTGGTCCCGGGGCTACTATGGGCCGCCACAGTCACAGCCAAGTGCCAAGGCGGTGGGAGACTCCCAAGATGAGTATCGTGCTCAGAATTGGCCGAACATGAAGAGAAGGTAGAAAGGTAGAGAACTGTTGAGCTTTTCTTATTTTCTTTTCTTTCACTACGATTTTGGCTGCTTATGGTCTTGGTTACGTTATCTCTATGTTGTCTCTAGGTTGCGGATGATGTATCAATGAAGTGATGGCGAAGTTTCCGGCCATTGATTGTTCATGGCCCTGCGTGGCTTCCTACCACCATTGATACCCAAGGGCTTTCTCCATAGCTTCGAGAAACGTAGACGCACATTGCTTGTACTCGCGTGATGCGGCTTGGGAGCTCGCAAGTAAGCGAGTTCTCGGGAGGTCTTGCGGGTTGGACTGTGAGATTCCTCGTGGCGCGAGCCGCAAGGTATGCTGCATCGCCACCTGCAATCTTGAAGTCTCAGGATACTCCCGCCCCCGATTTCGTCTCCTCCAGGCCTAACCTCTCGTCTCTACTCTGCTCCGCTGATCATCTGCGCACACCCTTGCCCCTCTCTCGTGGGAGACGCTCTGCCTCTACTGAACAAGTACCTTACCCCAACTTCGCAGAGTTTCCCCGTTTCCATCTTTGATGCACTATGCGCAGGAGAAGCGAGCTCGTAACCGCCGTAGCATCGCATCATGGTTTCCATCCCATCGTTAAAGCCACAACGGATGCAGTTGTATCCAAGCTCGCCTACGGGTTAAGATAAGCAAGGAGACACGGAGGGTGGACACTTGAGGCTGGGGCCCCAATGTTCCTGGCATTATGCATATGCGTAGTTTCGGAGGCCTCGCCATCCGACATGATGGCTCGAGGTTGTGCCGTTTGTTATTCGCCGACATTAGGACAGTCGTGTTATGCAAAGGGGATAAGCGAACTGAAGAATGGGGCTGAAAGGGAGTATCGGACTAGTCTATTGGGAGGCCAAGCCGCGAATTAGAGGTGAAGCGAGAGTAGCTTGATGCCCGAAAGGGACCATGGGGTGGCAAAGACGAAGCAAGGATCTCGGTGGGATCAGGCATAAACAACGGGACGTACATTAGCTTAATGCTGAGATTGGATGATGGTTGCCACGGACGTGAGCTGAATGCGTGTCCTGGAAGATCCTGTTGAGTTGCCGTTCTGGGTGGGAATGCCCCTTTGCCACTTCCTCAATAACTCCCGCTGGACTGTTGGAGTCTCATACACTCCCTTGTAGAGACCAGCGAGTCTTTTTGTGGGTCAACATACACTGGAAGCTATCAAGGATTGTCACTCTTCGATCAAGAGATCCTCCTCCGCATAACACAAAGTCACTTGTGCAGAGCTTACGCCGCGGATTCTTCGAATCATCCGTTTTGTACCTGGTAAAGAAGCCTGCTTCTAGTTAAGGGTAGCCCTATCCCCTCCAAGGGATTGATCAGTTGCCGATGCTACTACTGGTGCAGATGTGAGGCCAATGATCAAGTCGCAGGCCCTTAAAAACTTGACAAGGCCATGAAAATTGAGATGCGGCTGAGCACCCACTCTATTGAATATCCAGAGAAAGTGACCAGGATGTAGCGGTCCCCCTTTTCGCAATCTCCTGCCACTTTCCACGGCTAGATAGCTTCATGGATGGCGTTGGGTGTGTTTTCATTCGCCGCACATCTCCTCGCTAATTCGATCAAGCAGCTGTGTAACTCTGATTCATTCACCATTTTCCCAACACTATTGGGCGATGGGTTCGAATCACATGACGCTGACTGCAGGTTGAGTTGTTGGTAAGGAGGTGCATGTCTTCGAGATGCTGCTAGCAAGAGGCGAATTTTTGGCTGTGCCTATCGCCTCCCTCCCTGCCGTGTTGAGGTAGGACAAGACAATCCCCTCCCCGCTTTCCTTTCGGCTCGGTGACCTCAGGACATGAGAAAGCATCGTTCCCCAGCTCTCTACTCCCCATATCCCCAACCGGAAGCAGTTCCACAAAAGATGAGCAGTTTCTATTACAACTACGCCAATCTACTCCTTCAGCAATCGGACCGAAGCTCTTCTTCCCGGCAATCCGGATACGAGAAGGGTTGTGACGGTGAGAAGAGCCCACAAGCTGAGAGAATATATCCACCTGTGACACCAGCCGGTCGCCAGAGCACCTCCACGACCGCCTCGGGTTCTACCTTTCGAGGCTCGGAGGCAGACAATATTCCGCTCCTTCGAAAGAAAGATCACGATGAGCGCAGGTTCGCTGATCTGAAAGAAAAGGGAGTCGAGTCGCAAGTGGTATATCCGCCAGGGTCGCTAGATCCGAAAGGACAACCACGGAATGCTCGAACTAAATCCCTGGGAAAACCTGCAGGACTTGGTCCTTCCTCGACAGGTTCGATGAGGCTTCCAATATCGCGAGTCAACCGCCGCGGGCCCGTCGAACTGTCTCGTTGGCTGTATAGCCGAGTTCTCTGCCGCCAGGGTGCCATGATTTCTCGCATCGTCGAACACGTGAGTGGTAAGTCTCCCTGATACCGAGCGTTGGGTGTTCTCTATGCTACATGTATTTGCAATAACTCACTAATTTGTTTCTGGCCACGATCTAGGTATTCTCGAGGTTCATATAATTCCGCCGGAAAATTTCGCATTTGGCTACGGCGACTGGTTGTTCATAAAAGCCGACAGCCCTCCACGGACCGGTCCACAAACTCGCAGGCGATGGTATTGCTTGCCGATAACATCCTGTGCGTTGGACCTGTACGTCTCTGTCCATATACCGCCCTCATGTGGGCTTTGGGATGACATACTCCGGTCACTCGGGAATAGGGCGACGGTCGGGCTTGCGACGGAACTCAGGAGTCCCAACACGATGCCTCGCATACATGTCGGCCGCCCGTGGCTTGTGCCACCCCGCGATGTGTTGCGCGACGATATTGCTGTCTTAGTAGCCTATCGCATTGGGATAACGGGCTGGATGGCTACCCTCCGGTATCTCTGGCATGCGCGCAAAGGAGGCATGGGAAAGCACGCCACAAACCCTCGGCGGCTAGAGCTGGTGTGGATCTGCGACGATGCGAGGGCCTTGGACTGGATCATGCCTCTTCTCAGGGCTTTGGAGGATCAGCATGAGCCCGGCGTGACCCCGACCCCTCGAAGCCGATGGGCGTGTTTAAGCTGCACATATACCTTACCCAGCCGTTTGGGAGCGAAGATGTGAACAACATCACGGTTCACTGTGGCCACGGTCCAGTAGATCCCGTGTCTGGGCTGAAAACGTTGAGCAAATTTGGCCGGCCGAGGTTTGGCAAGATCCTCGGCGAGCTTCGGGAGGACTTGGTTGGCGAAGCGCGTGCGAGCAGTCGCGCCAGTCGGAGCAAGTCAAAAGTCAACGTTTACTATTACGGGGTCTCGGGGGATCCGGCATCGCTTCGTTACGGTAAGTAGATCTGTAACGACTTTGAATGCGGGGGAGGGTTGCGAGGCCAAAGCTAACGTGTTGCCACAGCGGACGACCTAAAAGAGGCGTGTACCCAGATTTCGTGCAAGGATGTTGTCATGCGGTCTTGGGTGGACTATGTCTAGTAGCTCCTTGCTTCCCCTGGAGGGAAGGTAATTTAAGGTTGGTGGGACCCGTTGGCATTGTGATGACGTGGGACATCCTAGAATGGAAGATGGGAGCACGAGGTTAAATTGATTGAATTTTTATATGCGCCTTCCTAATGTGCTAAAGAGAACTATGGTATCGGATGAATAATGTGTCGTCGAAGATCGTGGTATGATGGACCTCTATATACTACCGCAACAATGATAATGATTTATTAACCCGCTTTACAACCACGCTAAGTATGCCTTTCCCAAATGATAGAATGACTCCAAGGACTCGAGAGTCGTTCGGATAGTTGATAAGAAAAGAAATTGCTCTACCCGTCTGCTCCCCTCGCCACCGTGGCGCTATTTTGGTGCGTCCGACATAGGTGTACACGGCGTGTGTGTGGGTGGTGTAGGCGCAGATGGAGGCACGGCTAATGGGGTTGCGGGCGACGAAGATACGGCCGGTGAGCATGTGTCTGGCGGGGATGAAGCTAAAGTGGATGCGCCGAATGGAGATAGGTCCGATGAAGATGCTACTGATAAGGGTGTGTCTAATGAGGATGCGATTGATGAGGTTGTGTCCCATGTAGATGAGATGAATGAAGATGCATCCGATGAAGATGAGATTAGTGAGGATGTGTCCGATGAGGATGCGCCCGATGAAGAGGGGGATGTAAAGACTGCTGTAAGGCGTCAATGCTCTGGGTGATGTCCCTAGGCTGTGGGCGGCCATGCACCTGATATAGCTGGTCCAACACCCGAGATACCACCGTGTTATTCCTAGCGTGGACCCTTAATTCAAGGTCAACTAGCTGTTCGCCTAAGGTCATGGGGTTCTTTCCCTGGAGGTGCAACGCGTGGAAGAGGTAGCGCATGGCGGTGATGGTGTGGGGTGCTCGCGCCCGAGGATGGTGGTCTGCGCCTGGTAGGCCAGCCTGAAGAGCAGCTCGGCGCGGTCAAAGTTGCGGAGGATCATGTACACCTCGCCCAAGAGCATGGCGAGCATGAGGGTGGTGGGGTGGTGGGAGCCGTTGGTGGTCTTGCACGCGCGGAAGACGCGCAGCAGGAACTCCTTGGCCTCGGCGAGCTTTTTCTGGCCCAGCATGATGTGCGCCAGGTTCCCGGCGAGACTAAACACGATGTGGGAGCCGGTGTCCATGTTTTCCTTGCAGATGCGGATGGCGTGCTTGTAGAGGGCCTCGGCCTCGGCGAGCCTGCCCTGGCGTTTCAAGCTCACGCCTAGATTGTTGATGGTGACGAGCATGGACCGCCGGTTCTCCGGTGTGGGGTTATTGATCTGCTGGGTGTAGATTCTCTGGAGGATGGCGGTCCCGTCGCGATCCATGCCCAGCTTTTGCAGGAGCTCGCCATGCCGTTCAGGCAGTCGATGGTGGTGGGCTTGACGTGGTCCGGGTGGGACCCGCGGAGCCGGAGGGCCAGGCGCGATAGCTGGCCGCACCCGTGCCACTGGCCGAGAAAATGGCTAATCATGGCGAAGAGAAGGGCGGCGGCGGCGATTTCGAGATCGACAACGGTGGTCGGGATGGAGGCGATGGCGGTGATCAAGTGGGGCCGGCACACCATCCAGAGAATGTTCCTTTCGGTGAAATGCTGTGATTGGGGAACAGGGACTTGATTTTGTGGACGACCTTGACCATCTGGCTGGTGGCGAGGCCCTCGGTCTCGAGCCAGTTGCGCATGGCGAGGCGGACGAGGCGGTGCATGTGGTAAAAGTCCTTGTTGTCCTGGCTCTGGGTGATGAAGGCGTAGCCCTTGAGGGTGCCGAGGGCGCGGGCCATCTGGAGCTCGTCGTCGGCGGCGGGCAGCAGGATCTTGGGAATGTTTTTCTCGGCCATGTAGCACATGTACTTGAGGTAGTCGGCGGCGAGGGGGTTGTCGCGGGAGAGGTGGTTGAAGGAGATGAGCCAGGTGGTGGCGATGGGGTTCTTGGTCTGGCGGTAGCGGCCGAGGTCGTTGAAGTCCTCGCTCAGCAGCGCGACGAGGCGCTGGTCGCTGGCGCGGCAGTGCTGCAGGTACTCGGCGACGTTGATGCCGACCTGGTCCATGAAGGCGGTGGCCTGCTTGATGGCCAGGGCAGCGCGCAGAGGAACTCGAGCAGCGGGGGATGGCGTCCTCGCAGCCGTCGATCTGGTCCGGGTGCAGGTGCAGGCGCAGCATCTCGGACGCCTCGGCGGCGTCGAGCTCGCTGAGGCGCACCACGTTGGCCGGGCGCACGCCGAAGCCGGTGGTGACTTGGTGGTTGCGCGTGGTGAAGAGGAGCGAGCCCCGGTTGCTGCGCGGGAGGTATTGGTCCAGTGGGGGTTGGGGCGCCGAGGCGGCGTTGTCGTCGCCGTCGTCCGGGGCGAGGAGGCGCGCGTCGTCGGCATTATCGACAATCATGAGCCAGGGGAACTCGCTCGTGCTCAGGGCGCGACGCACCGCGTCCTTGGCGTCGACGGCGTCGGCGGCGTCGGCGGCGTCGTCGAGGAGGCCCGGGATGCCGAGCTTGCGGCCGATGGCGCGGTAGCCATTGTCGAGGGTGGCGGTGTCGATGGCGCAGAGCCAAAAGATGTGGCAGTCGGGGTGTTTGTCGCGCACGCGGAAGGCGGTCTCGAGGGCGAGCTGGGTCTTGCCGACGCCGCCGAGGCCTTCGATGGCGATGCGTTGGCAGGTGTGGGGGCTGGCGCTGGGCGGGACGGTGGAGAGGAGGCGGTCGAGGAGGGGTTCGCGGCCGACGAAGTCGTTGTTGCGGCCAAAGGGGACGAGCCAGCACGGGGTTTGGGGGTTGGCGTGACGGGGTTGGGGTGGGGGTTGTTGGTATTGTTGTTGTTGTTGCGGTTGGTAGTACGGCTGCTGCTGGTATGGTTGCTGTTGGTATGGCTGTTGCTGCTGGAAGGGTTGTTGCTGCTGGAAGGGTTGTTGCTGCTGGAATGGTAGCTGCTGCTGATATTGTGGCTGTTGCTGGTATTGTTGCTGTTGCTGGTATTGCTGCTGCTGAGGTTGTGGTTGCGGAGGGGTTGGTCGGGGAAGACTCTCGTCGGCGAGCGTTGCTCTGAGAATGTCGACGATGCCTTCTCGCGAAAACTGCTCGAGGATTGAATTGTTGGTTGGTAGGACATTCAAGGTTATCGAAGCTAGGGCGCACAGAAAGGTCAGTCGCTTTTCCTTGGTATTTTATTTGATTTCTCCGCTGGCGGTGAGGACTTGTGAAGCCATCGCGATGACAGGCAAATTGCATGGCCAACCACACTGGGGAATTCAAATGACGAGGTAGGACTTACCATGTCGGTTTCCTTGCTGGACCGTACCACCATGAAAGGTGTTCGTATCGAACTGGAGGCCGCGCTCAGCCATGTTTGCGGAGCGTCGGGCTTGCGACGCGCTTCACATCCAGGCTGTCGAGGCAAAAGGGCAGAGTATGTCGCCAAAAAAACTGAGGCGAGATCACGGAGCCTCGTTTGCGGGGTCGGACGGGCATTTCATATGAAAAGTGAAGGACCCCCTTTTGCTTGTGCTGGGCGACCCAATCCGTCATCGAATCAAGTCCGTCATCGACTGCGACAAAGGGGGCGGGCTTGCATCCCAGACGAGCACACGATTGGAGGTGATGGCCTCAGCCCCAATGAGTGGGCGAGACAAGAGTACCGCCACACACCAACTCACCACGCACCCAATCCCCATCCTCCAGCAGCGGGACTGCCCCTCAGTCTGAGATCCTTGCAGCCTTCGTCACGACCAGCTGCGTGTTGGTGCCCCTCCTCCCAGCCTGAGCCCATCCCCCAAGCTCTTTTAATCTTCATTTAGGCCGACCTGCCCTTTTCGAAATTGGCCTTTCATTCTTTCTATTTTCCATTCTTTTCATATTTCATACCTGACTCTTCTCCTACATCTAAACTTTTTTACCTCTTTTCTTTTATTTTCCTCCTTTGGCCATCATCATTTCCTCCTTTGGCCATCATCATTTCCTCCTTTGGCCATCATCATTTGCGTGGAAGACCATCATGGCTGAAGCTGCCGGCCTCGCTCTCGGCGTTGTGTCATTCGTGACGGCCGTTTCCGGCGTTTTCGTGTCTGTTGTCGAGTGCTTCGAGTACGTCCAGCTCGGGCGCAGCTTTGGCAAAGACTATGAAAAGAGCCAGGTGCGGCTCGCCGCGCTCAAATTGGAGCTGACCCGATGGGGTGTCTCGGTCGGCATCCTGCCCGACCCGGCCACCGGCGTCCCGCGACAGGTCGCTCCCGTGGAAAGCAAAATCGCCGCCGTGGTCGTGCGTCTCTTGGAAAGCGTTCGGGACGACGTGGTCGAACTCCAGAGGAAATCGCAGCGCTACCGCGACGACGCGATCCACGGCAACGACGGCCGAGACGTCGAGATCGCCGGGGTCGAGAGCCTGACGGCGGCGTCGCGCATCCTCGAGTCCAGGAGCACGGCCGTGATCGAGAAGCGGCTGGAAAAATTGTCCCTGCGCAAAAAGGTGTCGTGGGCGCTGTACGAGAAAAAGCACTTTGACCGGATCCTCGACGACATTACCGAATTGTTCACGCGCCTCGAGTCGCTCCTCCCGGCCGAAATCAAACCATATCAGCAGAGTCTCTGCGTCTACGAGGTGGAGGAAATTCAAGAGGATCAGCCCGAGCAAGTCCTGACGCTCCTCCACGAGGCCGCCGCCGCGAACGGGGACAAGCTACTGAAGGAGACGGTGGAAAAGGCCCTCGTCGCTCGAGGGACGGGTCATACGTGGGAGCGGACGGAAGTGGGAGATCAAGTCCAGCTCGAGCAGGGCGACCGCATCGCCTCGGGATCCCAGGCCTGGGCGCCGATTGGGAGGGTCGGACATAATTACGGCGTGACGGTTGGGAAAGGCAGCGCAAAGATCTACCAGGGAGACTCTTATCTCTGATTGATTGAATCCGAGGAGAATGGACGATCTTGATGTTTTTATTTTGTGCTTTCTCTTTCATTTGTTCCAAGACAGCGTGCACAATGATCAATTCAGATTAGTATGATAGCAACCAAGAGACTACGATTACCATGACCCCTTCCACTTCTGCCTGTGCTCCTGGTCACTTGTATTTCTGCCGTCCACCGCAATGATGCAGCCTTGCGCGCCGGGCGTTAAGGCGAGGGAGGAGCTCCGCGTGTCGCACTCACAGGGTCTTTTCCAGGGCTGGCCAGAGGGGGGCGTGAAACAATGACGAGCGAAAAAAGGGGACAGGCGGCAAAGACGGCACACCCAGATCGACCAAGGACGAGCCAAACCGGGCCAAGGAACCGAGCATTGAGTGGCTGTCACTGGCTGTTCCCCTGGGACGGTGGCGCGCCGCGCACTCTGGCTGAGCCAATGATGCTCCATCCGTGACACTGCCACACTCCGTTGAGTGGCAGCTTTTCCCTTTATTGCCTCTCGTGGCCTCCGACCCTGGCTCATTTGCTCCACAGGAGGGGTGCGGTGCGTCAATACATCAATGATGTACACGATTGCTTGCAGTGGACGTACAAGTACTCGCCGGCCAAGGTCTGCAAGTGGACAAAGGTCGCGGGCCGAGGGGGTGTTCTGCTTGCCAGTACATATAAACAATCCAACCCGCTTGGCTTCCAAACACCTCCCGTCCCCGTTCCCGTTCCCGAAGACTTTAATTGATTGAATTGATGAGCTGCTTTTCCTGCAATTGCCTTTGTCCATTGTGGTGTGTTTGTGCCAAAAGATTCCCTCGCCTGAATTGTCTTCCTCTTTTCCCCCAAATCCCGGCGCTGTGTGGTCACAGGTAAACCAACGATATCGGCGATAGCTCCCCACATTCACGCGACGTCAGCACCAAAACCCCCGAGCCAGCATGACAACGGGAGCAAACTACGAACAGCCAAGGCCAAAGAGACCGATTAGTCAATCGGCGGAATCCCTCGCTTCCTGGTGTCCGTGCGACCACTGTCGGGACGTAAATACCCAGCAAAATGGGCCTAGCCAGCCAAAGTTGACACTGGTGTCTCTCGATGCAAGCACTAGCTCGGTGCCAGTGCCACTGGCAATTGCCCCCAAAGAGAGGTCATTCTCGCGGACTAAAAGCAAAAGAAAGAGCTCAAATCTGCGGGTAGGCCCGCTGGCTCCCGGCCAGACAGCCGCCCGTTTTGACCCTACCGAAGCCGGCGAAGCCAGACAGCTTCGAGCGTACATGAAATTGTAAGTCGGCTCAATTCAGGCAACACCCTGTAGAAACCGCAAAGCGCAAAGCACCAATTGAAAGGAAAACAAGAAAACAAAGGCGGTAGCTGACCGAAACGTAGATGCGCGAGACAGGTGAACCTAGCAAGCATCCACCAAGTAATGCTAAGTGACTCCGACACCAATGGCTTCAAAGAATACCACACCGCAGCCCAGGAGAGAGTCACCAAGATCCGTCGCGCCCTGCGCAGGAGAGGAACTCCATAGTCCGAGTGGCCATGGGATTAGCGAGGGCCATTTCTGACCTAACCCCGTCCATCCTGTTCCTCGTTACCACCATCCCCTTGCTCGAAGACTGGGCCGAACCGAACAACATGGACCAAATGACCCTCGATACCGACATGGACACCATGCTCGAGGAGCTTCAGCGCATCGCGCGGGACATTGATCCGGACAACATCGGCATTCTCTGCGCCATCGACCGCGCCGTCGTCGCCCGCGCCCTCCGGAAACCCCAAGGCCTGCGCGCCGAGGACCACCAGGCCAAGGTCGCCGGCCACCTCTACCGCTACTACGCCTCGCACAAGACCATGAACGCTTCCATTTCCGCCGACTCCTACCGTCACTTTTCCCCCAAAGACGAGGTTCTCAACACAAACACCTTGTCGTCCTGGGAACGCTACCAAATCTTTGTCCAGCGATTGCCCGCCCCCGACACTTACCGTCACTTTCCCCCAACGACGAGGTTCTCAAAACGGACCCCTTGTCGTCCTGGGAACGCGAGCAAATCTCTAGCCAGCGATTGTCCGCCCCCGGCAAGATCGGGGACATGTACCAGCGCACCATCCTGCACGACGTCGCCACCCACATCGACGACGCCTCCTCCGACGCCGTGCGGCGCTTCCGCTATCTCCTCCGCCGCGAGGACCCCGACGACCCCACATCAACTCCCGCGACTATCTCGGCCGCTCGGCCCTGCATATCCTCAGCGCGCGGGGCTCACGGCCGCCACGCGCGAGCTCGTCGAGGCGGGCGCCGACCCCAACGCCGTGGACTGCGCCAAGCGCACGCCGCTGCACTGGTCCGTCGCCCAGGGCGCCGGGTCGCTCATCCCCCTCGTCATCCCCGATAAAGTGACCCCCTGTGCCCTCCACCAGATCGACGCGGCGCAGAGCTCGCCCATGCACCTGGCCGCGCGTGTCTACGAGATCAACCCGCGCCGGGGCATCTCGGTAGACCACCTCCGCGTCATCCACCAGTTCTCCCTCCAGCACCAGGATAACTCGTTCCAGCACCTGGAGAACCCCATCGACACCGAGACCGAGGCCTGCAAGCAGCTGCAAGGGTGGGGCATGCTGCACTTCGCCGCGGCCAACGGCTGGACCGAGACCCTGCACGCGCTCCTCGACAACGGCATCGTCGTGGACGACTACCACAGCCGCTCCGGCCACACCGCGCTCTCCATCGCCGCCCAGCGCGGCAACGTCAAGGCCGTACAGTACCTCTTGTCCCGCCACGGCTTCCTGTCCCCCAACGACCGCGACAACGGCCGCACCGCCATCTCCTACGCCGCCGAGAACGGCAACGTGGATATCCTGCAGCTGCTCCTGCAGCACCCCGGTGCGCCATGCTCGCCGACCAGCCGGATCACGCGGGGTGCACGCCCCTCTTCCACGCCGTCACCGCGGGCCGGAAAGACGCCGTGCAGCTTCTCCTCCTAGCCGGCGCCGCCAACCCACGAATCGCGACAAACGCCAACACCACGCCGCTGAGCGTCGCGCTCAAAGGCAAGGACGAGGAAATGATCCGCATGCTCAAGGATCCGCCGCCGCTACGTGCGACAAGGGCGGCGCCCCTTCGTCGCTGACGCCCTCTCTCCGACGGCTCATCGGCCCGGACGCGCCGCCCAGGATGCCCGCCCCCGCGTTTCTAAATAGTGGACGCGGCAGCCGCCAGGGCCGCACGTCCGACGGATCTTCCATGTGGGGATTAGATCTCCCTCCTGGTTTCGACGGCCTCGAGAGGAGGACATCGGACGCTAGTCTCCGCTCCTTCAACTCCTTCTCCACGTCTCTGTACGCCATGTCGGAGTACCGAGCAGATAGAGGGCGCCGTCGGCGAGGTCTTCGTTGTCTTTGGCAGGTCTCATGGTAGAGACGGTGTATGACCTTCCATACCGGCAGAATAGCCAGACGCGACACGATCTACCTTGGATATCGCAAGAAGACGAGTATCGGGAATGAAAAAGAAACAGAAAAAAGGCCTGAAAGGAGCCAAAGGCGAAGCGATAACGGGAGAAGGGGCTGATTTCACACATTAACCAGGGAAAACTGGAGTATAGGTCTTGGAAGGTTTAGACAGGGTCATGATCACATCATCACGGGTTCGGGATAGTTGACTGATAAGTCACGACGCAACTGGGCATCATTGGGCATAGCATGGGAACTGGAGGAATTGGTGAACAGGAAATCAACTTTGTAACTTTGTATAATTCTCAGGGTCCAAATAGCAGTAGGGAGTACACGTTCTAGGTCGCCCCAGACATCCATTGTCTGCACATTATTCATCATCGTGGTAACACCCGCGGCAGGTACAATGCCACCGCATTCAAATCTAAGCTGATCAGCATAACTGTAGGGTAAACAAGCCTCTCCTCTCTCCTTTATAGTAATACATTAGCAAGTATGTTATACGGCCGACTGTGCCCTCGCACAAATGAATATCATGGCCCCAAAGTCTCCAGCGGCATTGAACCATTCCAGCAACTGCTGCTCCTTCCCGTCTCGTTTCCCTCTATCCAAGCGAGAATGTCGCTACCTTGGAGCCGTGGTCCGCCACGAGTAACCGCCTCGTTGAACCGCTGCGCCCATTCAATGGCGGTGGGTGCCTCCCAAAGCTGCGGTAGGCAAGGGAGGGGCGCGTCTACGAAATGCGCGCAGAGTAGCGTTGGGTAGCCTTTCCGGGAATCGCGAAAATAGTCTAGGGTATGTACGACGAAGAAAGTTCTAAGAACATTAGCTTCGACAGATAGGCAGGGAGATTGGCTCTAGAAGCAACGAGAAGGGCGCGAAAGAGGCGCGAGGCAATCAAGGGTAGAGCCCCTACCTTATCATTGATTCGTCTATGATCCAGTCATTCCAATCCTCAGGTTGTACAGGTCGCGGTGGTGCGACCAAGTGGACATTCTTGCTGAGATAGTGCTATTGGGATTCTGCCATTAGTATAGTCTGCGACTACGGTGGGTATGACAAGATGAACAAGGAATAGGTATACCTGAGATAACCTTGATGATATCCGGCTCAGTAGGTCCGAGTCAGTAGCCGCGGTATGACAGGTCCTCATGACCGTGTACAAGGTGATGGCTTGCATTGCCGCGACGTCGTCAGACCTCGACCCCTTGGTACACTACAACGTATAGGATTAGAGATACCGCCACAACGGGATGCCGCATGCTCGTTAAAAATGCGTTGCTAGGGTATTTCTCTCTTTATCCACGTGTACTCACTTGCGCCTGTATCTTCTCCAGCTCTCCTTTGATGGCATTCAGGAGAAAATCCTGTGATCGCACAGGCCCATTCGCGCAGAGCTGAGCAATCGATTCTACGGCGGCGAGATAATCGTTCTTTTCACTCTCTAACCACTGCCTCGCGTGGACAAAGGGGGCCTGCCACCGTGGCCGGCCACAGTATCGAGAATCCCCTGAAAGCGCGAGTCGAGGAACTGGAGGCCCTGCTCGGAGCTTTGCCACACGTTTGCGAGGTAGGCAGACAATTTCGAGTACCCTTCCCTCACATCACTTCCTTGTGGGAGGATGTTCTCCGAGATGTGTGGCAAGTGAGCTGGCTCCACGGATATCTCTATACCTCCCCAGACATGGCACCGAAGCCAAGATCGTGCTCGAAATCATAGGATAAAGGATTGGCCTGCCAGTCCAAATCATCGGTGAACTCGAGATCAATTCCAATCACGCCGGTGGGGCTGTCGGACGACGAACTTCCTGCGAGGGCCTGGTCCGAGGCTCCCGGCGATACATCAGTCAAGGGGTAGGCAGCGCGGAACTTGGTGTAGGAGAGGCTCCGACTCTTGTGGAGCTAGCTTGCGTGAACCCTTCACTTTGGGGATATGAGCAGGATAGCGATAATACGGTGCAACGGGAGCAAGGGTCTTGATTATCGCAGCGCACTTTGGACCGGGAGCACTGCGCGCATGCTTTCTTGCGGCTGCGGGGCCGCGATTTGCACCGCAATCTATGGCGGTCTCGTGTCGTCGCTAGTATGCTCCTACGTCAATACAAGTGGTACATGATATTATCGGCCATCTGTAAGCCGGTGGCTGTATATAGGGGTAGGAGCCAAGGCACCATGTCACTAGCAACCGGCCGGGCAGGACCTGCGGAGAGAGGGAGGGAGTGCACGGAACAGAAGGGCGAAAGACAAAACATACTCGAGGAAAATGCCCTGCCACAGGAGTTACATGGCTGGGGCTGATGGGGCGCTTGGTATTTCTCCATGATCGGAACTGCGAACTGGGAACTGTCAAACGCCGCGCGTGGAAATGGCGAAGCTTGCTTCTCTGTTCGGATTTTCTGGCCGTGTCGGAGTTCCGACACTTTTAGGCGTTGAGGCCAGGATCACGGGGCGGGGCTGTTACATAAGCCAGCACCGATCGGGGCGTCGGAATTGCGGACGGTTGACGGCGTTCCATCAAACTTATGGGACGGAGCGCCGGGAAGTGTTATGCAAAGTACGTATCAAACTTTACTAGAAAGAATGAAAAGATGGAGTATATATATCTTGAGTTGGACTACGGGTGAATATACATTTTCTTTTAGCATTCCTTAGATCCCCGTCATTGACCTGGTTCTCGCTTTCTCCTATATCGTAACTATAACGAACAATATACGCTCTCAATGGCTGGCACCGTAATTGTGACAGGGGCAAACGGGTCTCTAGGCCTCGGCTTCGTCAAGAATTTAATTTCTTCATATCCCGACCACACACTCATCGCAACAGTCCGAAACACCTCGAGTTCGGATCCCAACACGGCCAAACTCCATAACCTCATCTCCCAGCACCCCAAAGCCAAAGACAGGGTCATATTGGAGCGTCTCGACCTCGGAAGCTTAGACGAAGTCCGCTCCTTCACGACGCGGGTAGCTGCGCGTGTGGCTAGTGGAGAACTTCCTCGTATAGATGCCATCGTGTGCAACGCTTCGTCGTGGTCGTTGCGTGGCCAAAAGTTCACCGTCGACGGCCGGGAGGCAGCCTTTCAAGTTTGCCATTTGTCGCAATATTTACTAGTCTTGAGGCTTCTCGAGGCTGTCAACTCAACATCTGGGCGTATCGTCATGTTAGGCTCCGAAGCGCACTACACCGAGAAAGATAACGTTATAGCTAGACTGAGAGCCAAGGTGCCCGAGGATCTCGACACAATCGTCAAGCCCACGCCCGATGAGCCGGGTATGGAACACGACCGAGGATTTCAAAGATATGGCACCGCCAAACTTGCCAATGTCATGTTCATGCACGATCTCAACCAAAGGCTTCAAGCGGTATGTACTCTCCGGCCGCGTTATTTGAGAAGACCCTAACGCTTTGTGTTAGGATGAGAATTTAGCCAACATCACCGCAACGGCCATGGACCCAGGTGGTATCGTGGACTCGCGGGGTCATGTCGAACAGAAGCTCCTTATCCGAGCTATGTTTGCCACAGCTAACGTCCTGATGCCCGTGTTGAAGCATTTCACCAACGCGGCGCGGACCAGCGATGATGCCGGGCGTGCCCTTGTGGCATTAGCTGTGGGCCCTGCGTTCCAAGGAAAGAGAGGTTATTATGTTGCAACAAAGCCGGTCAAGTCCTCGGAAGGTAGTTTAGATAGCGAGTCGCGTTGGAAGGTTTGGCAAGCGTGCTGGAATTGGGCGGGATTGTCTGAAAGCGATACGGTTCTCCACAGGCCCTTTACAAGACCCTAGACTAGATGGCCACTTACCATGTCAGGGCGAATAGCAGCCTGAATTTTATTGATCTTTGGGGCTGAGAAAATATGTACTAGTAGATTTAGAACGAACATTGAACGTAGAGAAATTTGTGGGTGCCCCAAGTGCTGAACTGGATGCTGATCTATACGGCTCAAATAGCACTTAAGGGGTTTAATGACATCAATGATATAGGAGGCCTAGGTAGAGGCTCATAGAAAGAGATTCGATCCAATTTAGATTAGCCTTCCGTACTGCGGCCTCCTTATCTCTACAGCTATATAAAAATATATATATAAAAGGAACTTGCTCCGTATTCAGATACGTTCAATCAATCCGGCAAGTGTTACGTCAACTTCATCCTCCCCTGCGACTCCCGGACTAATGGAAGCGGCGGGGAAACCACATCTGTAGAATAGTATATACATGATATACATGTATCAATATGTTCTTGCAAGTCGTGCATTGTAGGCCACACCTTGTCACAGCATTCAAAATCCTTCATAAGCTCGTTGTGCACCCTGAGCATTGACGAAGCGTGAGACCTCACACTACCTGGTCCGCTTCCCCGGCTTCGAGGGCCCGTAGGGCCACGATTCCAGCGCGGCGATTCCCCATCAAACATTGAAGATGAGGATACAGACTCGGGGCGTGCTCTTTTCATCATTGGAGGTATCATCGGTGGGACATGGCCCAGCTCAGACGAAATGAAATTCGGCCCAAGGATTACGGGAGGCGTTGCTTCAGTGCTCATTTGATCTAGGTTCAAAACATCGTCATTCTCCGACGCTTCGGGCTGTTCGGCCTCGTCCGTTCGGGACGCAACGACACGGGTCTCCTCATCATGGGTGTCCGTAGTGGAGACCACGGCCCCTGCTGATATTAGCTCGCGACTGACGCTCGCGTTCTGATTAAGCATCGCGTAGTCTAAGGGCGTGCGACCTTGGCCATCCTGCAGGTTGATAAGAGGCGGAGAATCATTACGACCCCGTCCTCGGAGAAGACACAACAGAGTAGTCCTGTCCCCCATCTCGGCCACCCAGGATAGTGCAGTACGGCCCTGTTTATCCTGGGCGTTCCAGTCAACACCGGGGGCCCGAACCAAGTCTGACAAAGCCTCGTAATTCTTCGTTTTCGCGGCTAGAGACAGAGCAGTACAACATTTTTGCGACGCGCACTCGACTGGGTAGACTTTGTAGTATAGCAACTCTATGACTCGGATGTTGTTCCCTGACTTAACGGCTAGGTGATAGAGATTCTGGCAGTTCTTTTCTGACTCAGAGCAACCAATTTGGAGGTGTATTTGATACCACAGGGCCTGAATGGCGACGAGGTTTTTTATTTCTGGCATGGTTTGCCTGTGTGAAGGATCCCAAAGGAAGTTATCGTATCCCGGCTCCAGTATTATGCCCCTCCATATGTCGAAAACGAGGTGAAGAGGCGTCCGCCCGAGGTAGTCGGCATGGGCAAACCAGTGAGCCATCATCTGCACGCCGACTTCGCGCAGGATAACTGGAAGTAGGCTGCCATTGATTATGGCAATCCAGTGGATTGAAGTTCTCCCCAATACGTCTTTAGTACCCCGGCTAGCGGGCCGGAGAAGCTTTCGAATAAGGCTCGTATCAGAAAAGGGGAATAGAAGAGAAGTCAGATGGCGATGAACAGATTCTCGATGATATCGAAGTGAGTCAGCAAATGGGCCAACGACGTGGTTCGTGCGTAAGAATTGAGGGAGCGCGCATAATCGGCCATCGATGAGTAAAATGAGTGCGTTGTGGTCTAATGAAAACATGTTGGGGAGCGAAGATGACGTCGCACTTTGGACGATGGCTTGAGCTAAGTTACCGCAGTCGTCACAGAATTTGGCTGTGAGATCCTTCCCTACACTTTGGTGGCGAAGCACTAATGGGGGTAACTGTATCAGAAACGCTGAGATAAGGCATGCGGGGCCCCAATATCCCATGTCACGAACTCGAGCCAAGATACCCTGCAGCAGCTCCCTCATTTTAACTAGGGCGGCAACATTGAGTTTCTTGAGACATGTACGGCCAGGGAGCACCAGAGGGATGGCGGACGCTGTGGCAAATCGAACGTTATGGCTCGAGGAGTTGGAGATGAGCCTTTGCATGGACGCTAGGATCGACATCCGCTCTCGGTCTAAATCTTTTGATAGCTCCGCCATATGGGTCTTGAAGTCTACCCTCGCGCTTGGATCGATGGACAAGGCCGTCTCAATCCTTACAACCTTCCCTTCCAAAGAGCCGTACATTCGAACAGCAGCGACCCTTGAAAATCTGCAAGGGTTAGCTTTAGATGACTTCACTCTGAGTGACTGAGGGAATGTTCCTAAGTGAAACTCACAAATCAACAAACTGTTGAAAGTCGTCTTCAGCCGGTTCGCTACTAGTTGCCAAACTCTCAACGGGCTCGTAGCTATCAGTCGCTCGCGTTCGAGGTGCCCTCTGGTTCTCGGAGCAAGGGAGTCCTTTCTCATTGCAGCGATTGCACTTTTGGCCCGGCCACTGGCGGTCGGCGGGCTCGCACTTATAGGGGACAAGAGTAGTATTAGCCATTTGATTTAAGCAAGAAAGGACCATGATGGCCAAAGGCCCGTTGGGGTGATAGCTACCCCCTTCTTGGCCTCCCTACATTGGAAGCACTTATTCAGACTGAGTCGCTGTCCTCGCCTAGGCATCTTAGTCGAGGTATGTAGCAGGATATTGGTGTATTTCAAATGGACGAAAGGTAGGGAGCTAACTGGTTTAGTTGGTGTCTTGTTCCGGGCCTGAACGGGAGAGGGTGAAGGGTTCGATGAAATTTGCAAAATGGGGGACTTGCGCATCTTATATGCATGTCCAACTCAATTCCATTTCTCGATGTACCAGGACAAAAATCGCAGCTGTGCTGGTCCCTGAGGTAGCCGTAACCAATCACTTCACGTTCCACGAGCGTAAATGCAGCAGCCGTCGCAAATGTAGGTGCTGTCGCAGTTGTCGCAGTTCGCAGTTCGCACTGCGCACGTCGCAGAGCTTGAGTCCAAAGTTGGCTGGATTTTCTTGACCAGCCTTTGGCTCCCAGCGTGCAGGGCGAAAGCCCGGTAGCGCTGCCCCATCTTCAAATACGTTGCCCCCGGGCTCAGATGGCTCATACGAGACTTATATGCAGTTTCGAGCCAAAGAGTATAGGTAGTGGCGCAAAATAGAAGACGGGGCACGAGTGAGACCGTAGTATATTTGAGTCCGATATCGTATCCTCTACTGTCGTCAGCAAGATTCCATCATATAAACTTGAACATCAACTATGGTCCGGCAGAAGAAGGTAGGCGATGTACGGCTATCGGACATAGTGGGAGATCGTGGGCAGCGGAATCGAATGGCTCAAAGGGATCCATCCAAAATGAGCCCCTAGCTGCCCTCCTCGGCCAACGCCAGCCGATTAGGACTGCTCCAAGAGACCTGCAGGCGGTGGCGTTAAAGCGATAAAGATCCTTTGTCTTGTTTACATGCACTGTCTTGCGCATAGCCATGACGGAGGATCTTGATTGTACTCGCCATTGATGGAAGCAGTGCCGCGATCGTGCAAACCACACCTGGAGCGGAGCCAGTCCCTCAAGTCAAAGCTGTGAGGCGATGATGCCCGAGGGCGTGACACGATGTCTCGAGGATAGCGACGAAAATGGATTAGATTTTTTTATTCTTGTTCATTAATCTTTTAGCAAAACCAAGTATTTCAGGCTACAACCTAAGCCGGGCCCGTATGTGGACTCTCTCCATCCCCCGATCGGAATAGCGATTTGCCCAAATTGGCCTTTCGGTGGAACGAAACATTCCACAAGCGATCAAACGTTGATTTGTGTTCAATGCTTCAAAATTCAACCACCCAGATGCTTCGATACTACGAACTCAGAGACGAATGGATGCTTGCTTAAACTACGAAACGGGATAAGAAGTTGCACGAAAAAGAAGAAGGTCGGCTCTAGGTCGGATGGCTACGCCGCGACTCGAGATACGATATCACTTTATTCGGGCCTGCGGGCATAGACAACGGTTCTACACATGGGTTAGTTAGCGACATTATCCCCTTTGACGAGCCTTTCTCTCAATAGAAAAAGGAGAAGAACAAAAAAACTTACAGCCAGAACCAGGGGCAGTAGGACTTCTTGCGCATTTCGCGCCTCATGTTGGCGATAAGGACCATGGTCTCCTCGTGAGTCCAGCCGAGGGTCTGGACGAGCATGAAGAGGACAAAGCCCTCCATGCTCTGATCGAGGGCGGCCTGGGCGAGGTAGCCCATGTCGCGGAGAGTGGCATCCTTGGGCCAGCCGTGGAGAGGCACCTTGATCTTCTTCTCGACGATGTCGACGAAGCCAGCCTTCTTGACGTACTCGAGCATGTTGTGCTCCTTGCAGACGTCAAAGGGGCAACCGAGCTTCCTGCCGCCCTCGTAGAGGACGTTGGCCCAGGTGTTGAAGACGTGGTCCTCGGGGATGGTGACGTGGTCGGACTCGATGAGGACGTCCATCTCGACGCACTCGATCCAGCCGCCGGGCTTGAGGTGCTCGAAGGCCTGGCGGTAGAGGGCGGGGAAGTCGGGGACGCAGCCGTAGAGGCAGCGGAGGTGGATGAAGTCGAACTCGTCGGCGGGGAAGGTCCAGGGCTTGAGGAAGTCGTCGATCTGGAACTTGATGTTGGGGGCACCCAGGAGGGCTGGATGGGGCTGATGTCGGTGCCGGTGACCTCGCACTCGGGGTGCTGGTCGGCGAAGTCGACGGCCCAGATGCCGGTGCCGGTGCCGAGATCGAGGACCTTTTCGGGGTCTCGGTGATGGGGGCGAGGTAGAGCTTGTGGCCGAGGGCCATGGTCAGGACGTGGTGGATGATGTCGAGGCCGACGTTTTGCTGCTCGTCGTTGGGGATCCAGTACTCGGTGGTCTGGGGCTTCTGGTAGGTGCGGCCGTGGAGCTTCCGGTAGTCGAAGATGCTCTCGGTGAGGGAGACGGTGGAGTCGAGGATGCTGCCCGAGTCGCTGTAGCCGTCGTCCTCGGCGAGGGCGACGGGGTTCGCCTCGAGGGAGTCGTCGGGGACCTGCTCGACTCTCGTGGGCTCGGCGGCCGGGGCGGGAGCGGCAGGCGCGGCGGCGGTCGCGGGCGCGGCGGGAGTTTCGGACGCCATTGTGTGTGGAGGGTTTAATCGGATTGATTACCGAGGGGTGGGAGGAAAAGAGAAAAGAAAAAATGGGGAAGGGCGAAAGGGCGAGGGGAAAAAAATCCGGATGCCAAGCGACGGATTTCTTGTATTCTTTTAAATAGCTGTTGTCGCGATGAGATTCCACGGGGAGAATCCGAGGAGAAGGGGAGGAAAGGGAGGAAGGGGAAAAAAGAAACTGAGGGCGAATAAATCAGGCGAGATAAAAAAGGTGAAAAGAGCCAAGGGATTCCAATCCACCGTGCGCTGGCTTCGCAACAGACCCTTTAGCGGACGGCTTTGATGAGGGGAAATCGCAAGCAAGAAGCGGGGAGAGGAACAGAGAGGCTGACGAGACAAGGTGTGACGGTGGAGTGCCACGCCCACCCCACTGGAACAGACACTACAGTAGACACTGGAGCTCTGTGTGCGAGAACTGTTCTTGATGCTGGGACTGGAGCAAACTGACCTGTCACAAATTACACAGCGACGGTGGTGGTCGAACCACAAGGGAGAACATTGCCCACCTGGGCGGGAAGGGGGAATGAGAAGAGAGCAGAGGGGAGGTGAGGGGCAAGCGGGCCAAGGTCGTCCAGCTTGGGAATAGACACGAGTTGGCAGAGTCTCCTGATGGGCGAACCAATCGAGTCCATAGTGGCGCGGGGAGAGGACCCTGTGCAGCCGGGGTGGGGAGCCCATTGTCGAGATTAGACTCGCAGGGTCTTTTCAGGAGCGGAGGGGCTTCTGGTTGGATTCAGAGGGAGACGCCACCAAGACCGTTTTGGGCGTAGCGGACTGGCGTTCGCTTGGACGCTATCCCTGCCTCCTGTGATTCCGGGGCGGGAAGGGTGGGGGCTGGGCGAGGAAGGAAAAGAAATACACCACAGAAGTGCGGATAGGCTCATCGAGCCGGCCGTTTCTTTCTTTCTCTTTGCCTTTTCGATGAAAACTGGGTTGGGTCGGGCTGGCTTGGGGGAGAGCGAGCGCATGCGGGCCAAGGCAGGGTTTGGCAGCAAAGGACCCTTGAACGGGGACGTCAAAAGATACTTCGTGGGCCGCGTTCGCTGATGGATCTGGAGTATTGATTCCGAGTTGGGAGGACAGACCGGGGTCATGGAGGACAATGACAATGAACCCAGCCTTCGTTGCATTCCTGGTGCCAATTATTACGTGTACTCTTTGCGGGTGTACTTGCTCGTACAAGGTCAAGTCTGTACTCCCTTGATTCTTCAAGTAGGCGGCATGATGATATCTTGTGGAACAAGAAGAAATGCGACACGGGAATCGGACGAGACCAGTGGGGGATTTGACATGGGGTCAGTCTCGCACGGCTGGGGACATGGCTATGACGGTTGTCTTTGATCTTTACCAGTTCATCTTCCATTTCCTTTGTGTGCACGGGTTTTTCATTTCAACGGACGAGGGGCGTCGAGGTTTCCCCGCACGCGGCGTGGAGCCTGTCCCTCCCACGGAATTCGCTCGTCCATCAGGACAGAACCAACAATAATCCTTTGGCCATAATGCCTCAAGGAGGGGTTCCCTTCATCTATTTGGTGGGTGTCGTGACCCAAGCCCAAGGTAACGGGTGTCCCAACCCAAAAACTTAATTGACAACCGCTTCTGCGCATGAGCTTGCTGCGCCCGGGTTTAATTTTCCTTTTCTTTGCTATTTCTCCTTCATTCTTTTTCCCGAGACGCCATGTACCGAAGGAACCTGCGTGGGGACGAGACTAGACTGGGAGGGGCTTTGTTCCGCTCTCGGGTCGGTGGTGATGTGACGATGCATGAAGGGTAGGCCAATCACGGTTGAAGATGCCGCGTGTGACGAAGAAAGGTAGCAGGGAGAGGAAGAGAGAAAGGCAGGGAGAGAGGGTTTATTGCTCTATATAAAATACAAGTATTCACTATGCTACCAGGGTCCGCCGAAAACAAGTTGTGCTAAGAAATTTGGGAGGTTTTCCTCCTTTATGGGGCGGAAATTGTCGAAGTTGAGATATAAACGAGCGGGATTCTGAAAGGTCGCCATTGTGATGATTTTGGGGCAGGTGAGCATGACAGCAGAGCCAGGCTTGCTAGGACAGCAGACAACATCCTTGATGTACATGTATCCTCAGACGTACCGTTGAGAGGATTCATTGCCAAGCCGATATGAAGAGAGCGCAAGCACACTCCACGCCAAAGCCCACTCAACTGGTCACCAATGCACAACCGAGCCCTCCCAAACGAGTTAGCCCTACCGCCGAGCTTGTCACAGCACCAATCAATGGCACGGGCGCTTCGAAAAGCCTAGTGCCGCGCTTTACCAAACAACAGGCAATTCCGTGATGCCAACGTCCTTTGTCAGAGGGCTATACGCCACCTGTTCGAATGGGACGGCAAGATGAAGATTGGGTAGGCGTTGGAACAGCGTGCCTAAGAAGGTTGATCAGTTAGAAAATCTCAAGTCATCCGAGTTGCAGGTGAGGATATCCCCTCGAGGCAAAAAGGTCGAGACTGTCAAGTGCCAACGAAGGGACAAGGGAGAAGTCCAGCTTCCTCCCCTGTCGAGGTCGGTACGTACTAAACACGGATTCCATCTCGGCACGGGCCAGCCACTCGGCGACGCACCGATGCGGCCCGAAACCGAACCCCAGGCCGTCCGCCTTGAACTCCCGGTGCATGTCGAACATATCGGGGTTGGGGAAGACGTCCTCGTCGCGGTTTCCGGATTGGTTGGAGGCGATGATTCCTTCGCCGGCCTTGATATGCTTTTTTAGGGATACAGGTTAGCAGATATTCTTACAAAGAGGGGGAATCGTCGATCCCGACAAGTGCGCTATCATAATCGACCAGACGCCCAAACCCGGAACAGGGGATAGATAGGGTCAGGTTTACCTTGCCGCCGAGTTCGATATCGACCTTGGCCACTCGCTTCATTGCCATGGCGGAAGCGGTGTGGTATCTGCAGAGCTCGCTGACGAAGTTTTTGGCGAGCTCGGGCTTCTGGATCAGCTCTTTGAGTTGGTCCGGATGCTTCAAGAGCTCCACGACACCCTATTCATGCGCGGGGTAGGCACCCTCAAAAGTTAGAACGTTTTGTGACTTGAGAAAAGTGGAATCTTTCAATGTTCCTTGTTATTGTCTGATGTGTACGTACCAAAGCAATCATGTTTACCATTGTAGCATTTCCTGCGACGAGCAAGAGAAAGGCGATTTGTACGGCGTCAGACTTCTCAATTGTGCCGGGTTTCACTTGCTCAATAGCCAATTTGCTGATGATGTCGTCCTTGGGCTCCGCTGAGCGAAGGTCGACCAGCTTCGCCAGGTAGTCGAGGAGTTCCCTTGAAGCGAGTTAGACTTGTCCAATAATCTTCAGCAAGACTAAGAAGAAGAGCCGAAAGCCACTCACTTGTTCGCGTTGGAAGCCTCGAGGGCGGTAGAGCTGCCATTCGTGCGGATGGCGTTCTGCGTCGTGAGGTAGGCAAGGTCCTCAAAGGGGACGCCGAGGAGGGTATAGATCACCTACGATACGCAAATTAGATATTATATTCATCCTTGAGTTGGTATGGAGATGGCGGGAGGCGTACGTAGGAAGGGAGCGGCAAGGCAAACTTCTCCACGAGATCCACGGGCTTATCGCATCCTCCCTGGATCATGGCGTCCAGGAGCTGGTCCGCCGTCTTTTGGATATACGGCTTGAGGGTCTCGATGTGTTCTTGGATGAAAATAGGTTCAACCATACCCCTAGGAAAGTAGGATCTATTGTTAATACCTTGCCACGATGTGGAAACTAAAGGTTCGTCTTTCTCACCTTTGGTTCATGTGATCTGGTGCATCCATATCGACAAACGTGGGCTTATTCTTGGCCGCAGCTACGCCACCTAGCGATAGCTCGGGAAATCCAGGTCGGGTTCGTTGCTATCCCAGCGTCAGTGCTCATCTTGAACCTTATGTGAAAACCTACACCCTGAGCTACTCACCTTGGACAATCGTTCGTCCGTCGCAACCTTGCAAACGTCCTCATACTTGGTTACAAGCCACGCCTCCACGCCGTTGAAGAGCTTGACCTTGGAGACGGGATCTGTCTTGCGAAGCTTGGCAAACTCCGCCGGGGGCTCGGGACCGCTCGCCCGCAGAAAGGGAAAGCTGGCGCGGCGGATTGGGTCATTGCGGTGATGGAGAAGGTTCTGGTGGAAATGGGAGAGAAGAAGAGCTTGGATTTGGGGAGGAGGGTTCGTGTTTGGTTCGAGAGTAGACGACTCATCGTGGTCAGCTTCACGCAACACAATGCGGCCGGTAGGTCCTATTTAAATAGTCCGTCGATGGGGAGGGGCTGTATACGTGTTTCGGGATACGCGATGAGGGGTCTTGGGTTTTTTTCTTTGGCTCGTGTAGCCTTGGCTGTTATTGCTGTGTTCAATATGTGTATGACAAGTCGCTCAGGTATCATCCAACGAGATGGACGGGATATGCACAGCACAGGCGATGTCCTTGATATAGCCCTTGTCCTCTTGACGCAAGCATCACATGCGTGGATCGTATCATTGCTCCTGCGACGACGATATATTACATCATGGACGAATCAGGACGACGCGAATTGGCCGAGAGTTTTTTTCTTTTTCTTTCTTTCCTTTAATTTTTATTGTGCCTTGTACATATGCGTTTCCCCTGTTGTCTCCACTCAATCCACCTCGTACATGGCGTCTCGGCCGTTCCCGCCACGGAGAAGCACGGCCTATACCAATGAAAAGGCCCCGAATTCTCCCAAAGGTAAGCTACATCCGCGGAGGCGTTCAATCCTCGATTCTCTGCTTACGAAAACACTGCTATCCTACAGCTCGAGTCACGAGGGGGGATGTGGGCTGATGACCCTTGTGTTACGGCATCATTTTGTGCCCCCGTCTCTCTCTATTTTCCCGGACGAACCGGACCCGGCGAGTTTTCGTGCCGCATACCGGTTCCTGCCTTATAGGCGGGAGAATGCCAGGAGGAAGGTCGCGTGTGATTAGTAGGGAAGGGATTGATAGAATAATCGAAAAATAAAAGAACGTCGGGTCCCCGGCGCCCCGCGGAGATGCTCCGTCCGGGGGCCTGCGCCGTGTCGTACCGTTTTCCTACTTTCTACAATAGGACTAGACTCCGCCTGCGGGATGAAATGTGTCCCACTTGCCCATTGGCAATGACGAGAAGATGATTGGGCTATACTTTTAAGAGGGCCTTGAAGGTTATTTGGAATTGAAATGGAGGTGCATCTTGGCCCGGGACGTTGATTATGATGTGATTACAGGTGGTCGCGGATGTGGCCGACACGCCAAGGACTCGTCTGCGATCGCGGGCCACATTAATCCCTGAACCAGTCATCATCCCTTCGATCCTCGAGTAATGTACGACCTCAACTCCCTTTCATAGCTATTTTCTTCGCGTAAGTCAAGGCACAGCTTGGAAATGATTGATTGAAACTATGCGGTAGACCTCGATAGCCCAAAGGCTTGATTGTTCGCTGTACAATCAATCCCTTCTTTCCGGCTATCCATACAATATTTGACCGTTAGCAAGCGTTCGGGGCTGTGACTAAAAACCATGCGACGCCGAGTTATCCTTTCGTCACTGGACATCTAGCAATGGATATAGCTTTTCTAACAACCTAGACCAGAGACCAGCCCAATAAACCTATCCACAGCTTCAGCCATTAGCATCACTGTTATGCTGGCCAACCCTTGATGCCATCTGTTGTTTATGCCCACTGCGTCATGGCTCAGCAGGCGGAGAAACCTGGATGCAAGAATCAGATAACACCTCACTTCGGGAATTAAAAGGCCCAGAAGGACTGGTTCATCATCACAAAGACCCAAGTGAATTAGTGGGTTATTACATGCGGATTACCGAGCAAAGAGTGGAATCATATCAGGGCTACAGCTGAAAGGGCCCAACTGCCTTCAATCGCATCTCCAACCCGTGGGTGTCTCTGTTTCCCCGTCCAAAGATTCACCTAATCCTCGCCCTCAATAGGTTCAGGCTCTTCCTCATCCGGTTCATCTCCTCCACAAAGGTTTCCCGCCAAGCTCCCTTTCGCCCTCAAGAACGGCACCTCCACCCACAGTACCTCGCTCGTGCGCGGGTCCTTGACGAAAACGATCCGATCCACCGCCTCGGACCCATAGTACACCCAATCCACAGCCTCCCACGCAAGGCAGTCGTAGGCGCTGACCGTCTGGCCGGGCAGGTCGCTCGATTTCTCGCGACGCACGTCCCACACGAACCGCCAGTCCTCGCGCACGACCACGTTGCGGTCGTCCGTCTCGTCTTCGATCTCCACGCCGGCCGGGTACAGGCGCAGGATCAGGCCCGGCTTGTAGTTGGGGATCAGGGTGCCGTACGTGACGCCAAAGATTTCGCGCAGCGCGTGCACGATGTCGGAGCCGTTGTGGCTCACCGAGTCGAGGATGAGGCTGTTCTCGTCCATGGCGATGGTGATGTTGAACGCCGCGTCGGCGGTGGCTCCGCAGCCGGAAAACGTGCCGACGTAGCCTAGCTCCTGCGTCTGCTCTCTTGATGCCTGCTCGATTGCGGGGATGAGGGTGGCGACCATGGCGTCGTTGATAATGCTGACGGCCTTGGAGTCGCCCGCGGCCAGGATCACCAAGCCGACGCCGTATTCGTCGATGATGGATGCGCGTGCGCGGTACCCATACGCAGCGCCGTCCTTGGTGTAGATGGAGATTGTGTGGCCGCCAGTTTCGGTCTCGGGGTCGTACTCGGGGAACACCGCCTCAGGCGGGGTCTATAAATCTCCCACGGCATCCCGAAGAAGGAGTAGCGGCTCCCGGCGAACGAGCGGGGCTGCAGCCACTGCCTCACAGCCATTGGTGTGTCAAAGATTGTGTAGTCGAGAATATGGTGGACGAAGCTCGTGAGGTCCGAAAGCGTGGACACGAGGCCTCCGCCGGGCGTCGCGTCTCCAAACCAGAAGCCGTAGCTGTTGTTGACGGGCGGGACCACCGAAGAGTTGAGCAGCCCCGGACTCGCGTACGTATTGACCATCTGGAGCGGGCCGGTGATGTACTCGTAGAGTACCTGTGTGTAGGTGGAGTCCGTGGCGGCCCCGACGGCGTACATCAGCAGGGTGAAGGCAACGTTGGAGTACACGGGACGTTGCATGGGCGGGGATACGGGATGAGCGCCTTTCAAGCCGACGATGTACTGCGACTTGGCGCATCCGAGGTTGAGGCCGGCCACGTCGCACATGAGATAGTCGCTGTTTTCGATGGGGGAAGGCCGAGGTCTTCGAACATTTCCCGGAGATAGAAGAATTCGGAGTATCCAACTGCGATCAAGTGGTGCACGGTCAGCACGAATTACAGCATACAAGGTTGCTGCGGACGCAAGGGAATTGTCAGTAGTCCCCTTTGGACGTTTACTCACGGTTTGGCGGAATACCACCTAGGTTAGATGCCAACGCTCGCAGCGTCACGGTTTCCCAAGGGATCAACGACGGTGACCCCCGAGCCCGGGTAGGTACTTGGTGATGGGATCGTCCAAATTCAAGTTGCTCCGTATCAACACCGCATCGGTGATGAGCTTCGAGATGGACCCGATCTGGTACTGCGCATGTCGATTCAAGTTGCGCGTCCCGAGTTCCGTATTCTCCGCTAGGTGGTGATACTCCCAGAGAGGCTCTCCCGGGACGCGCTGACCCTTCGCTACGAAGGCTACGGAGATGGTAGTGTTGGGAACTTCCCAGCCCGCGTTGATATCTCCAGCAATGGCGGAATCGAGGAGATCCTGCAGCTTGCGAAGTGCATCATCAAAGGTGGCTGATTTGGTGAGGTCGGGCTTGGGGAAGATGGGACCTTCAGGGCGACATTCCAAGGCTGTAGTGACTTGCGGTAAGAGGAAGAGCGTGCTGACAAGGGCGTGAATCCCCCATCCAGCTCTCCGTCGCAGCATCATTTTCGAGGCTGTTCTTTCGGACCCTTTTGAAATCTAAAGTTGAAGCCCCATCGCGTGACGACTTCAAGCACGACGATGGTTTGAAGGAGCCCATCGGAGAAATTGGGAGTAAGGGTAATGCGCTCCAGGTTCTTGGACAAGGGGCAGACATGATTCCTCCGCAATGTGCCGGGATAGATAATGCAGATTATCACCGGCTATAACAGGGGGATAACTCATTGAACCAGAGGGCTCTTGCAATTACCCGATACAGACTCCCGGCCATTAGTGCTCGCATGGCTTTTACATATGAAGCGCCGTCTTCCCCATGATTGGGGAAATGGGACAATTCTCCGAAAAGGCCAATGGTAAGCGAGGATTTACAGATTTCAATATCGATGCCCACGTTACGCCATCGGTTCCTCGACATGCCAAGCCCGGTCTTGGGATCTTTGTTTGCCGCCCCCGCAAGACAAGCAATTTACGGATGTCGGCATTTTCTTCTGGATTTCTATATACGAAGACAGGCGACGGGAAAGGGGAGCATTGGACTTTGTTGGTGGAAAAACATATACTATGGCGGTAGCATACCAACTGGTAATCGAGCAAGCTGGCCATATCACCGACGCGAACGATTGATCTACAAATATTTCTCGTTGGAATGTGGTCTATCACCCTCCCACCCAAGACCAAATACCATCAAGTGGAAAAAACCAGTTCCTACAGGACGCATCAAGGAGCAAAAGGAAAACAAGCGAGCCAAGAGAGAAAGAAAAAAGAGACGAAAAATATTGGTGCCCAAGGGAGGAATCGAACCTCCGTTTTCACGGCCACAACGTGACGTACTAACCACTATACGACTTGAGCTTTCGGTTGTGGTATTTGATGGCTGCCCTAATGCGGAAATGCGCCTATGGTGGTATGCAGAGACAGTAGAAGCAGTGGGTTCAAAGTTTCCTCGATTTCACCAGCTTTGCCCCCATTTGGTAAGGACGGCCCCCAATTCTACATTAGCGTCTTACACGAAGATGGGGGTCCGGGATCGGTATTTCAAGAACGGCCCCGGTGTTTTCCCACAGTGATTGATTGTAGAATCAATGTTTACGAGCCGAGCAAAACTCATAAGCTACCGTCTAAAGCTCACCCACGAGATACCCGGCGGCACCGCGGCGCGAAACGGATCCGTAAACCAAGCAAAAGCTAAGCGTTGGTGCTTGGTGAGAAGCGGCTGGATACACATACAAACTCGAGCTGCCATTTCATACTGGATATAATCGATTTAAATCTATAACATGTAAACCGGATAAGCCACCCACCAAGGCGAAAAATATAAGGACGAAACCCCACATCTTGAAGCAATAGAACCTTTCACGGCAGATGTATCGTCACTGCAGACGAAACTTGTCTAAACAATGGTAGGTGAGGGTCTAACTAAGGGCAGGCACCGGAAAAATGACACTCCACTCAGTTCCAATCCTCACACGACCATATGAAGCGCGCAGGGATGTGATGGAGAAAAACATATTCGTGCCTGGCATTGTTCCCAACGTGACTCAAATCCAGACCAAATTCATCCGCAAGGTCTGGTACCCATCGATGTTCAAGCCAGCCTTGGCGGTGTTGCGTGGAATCGAAGTTGATATTGTAGATCTCTACGCTTCTCGCGAGTAGCGCTTCGCCTCGAATATTGCGTTACCCGGCGCCTTGCCTCGCGTACGGCAGCGTTCCAGTCGCCGTATGTGGAGATGAAGGGAGAGGGGCGGTCGCAGTCCCAATCTTCGTGACTCTCAAAGGCCGCTGCCAATCTATTGCGGCGCGGCGAACGTACGGGGAGGTCCGCCCAGTCAAATGACAGATGGAGATCAGATTCGGACCATAGCCCGTCATTGTCAAGCTGGGTTCTCGACCGGGCGTCTTGGACTCGGTAAAAGTTGTAAATGCGTCTCGGCATGTTGTTGGTGATCCCCGGTGAATTGACGGCTGCGGTGTACAAGAAAAAGCCCAAGGACCAAATATTGAACAAGGCGACTCGACGATGAGGTGGTTAGGAGCGACGACAAAGAGATTAGATTTGACTGGGGACGGCCATGACTGCGAGCGAATGTTGAAGTGGGAGGAATCGAATTCGATGCGTTGGCCGGAGGGAAAAGAGGGGTTAATTGATGAGACGGAAGCCGCGATGGAGATTGCGTGTGTTTTGAAGGGTCATCGGATTCAGAAGGAGCTATGTGCGTTGAATAGAAGAAGGGGCTGGAGGAGGAAGATGCGATGGAAGCAGCGATGGGGACTGCAGATGGTTTGAGGGGCCATCGGATTCAGAAGGAGAAGGAGCTACGTGTATTGACGCTAAGATGTTGACTAGGCATCAAAACGGCTGTGAGTGAATGCACCGTATGAACCGGAGTTCTCAAGTTGAAGCAAAGATTGATCAATTGATGATGCCCAGGTATCATCGTCGACTCGAGTGCCCTCCGGACGCTAAAAGTCTATAACGAGTACCACCCCGGCCCGTGATTTGTATGTAGGCTCCCGGGGGTCAATACGAAGTTTACAAAAGGCGTTGCTCACGGCATGTAATTCATAATTCGCATGATGGTGCTTTTTCCAACGTTCCTACCCCAGTGGCTCGTTCCTCCGCCACCAAACGTCCTCTCTGTGGCCATTCCCATCCAAGAACGCTCACACCGTAGGATGAGCCGTTAGGTATTCGATCATTTCATCATGAGCTAAGAAAACATTCAACACGAATCCGTTACGAACACTCATTTAATTCATTACATCAATACAGACAAAATAAGGATCTTAACATATCTAGCAGCTTTCCCAATGTGCAAGGCGCCCACCATTGGAGCATAAACATGTCACTGATCCTCTATGTTTCTCCTTTACCAAGCCTCCCACATCTGAGACCCCATGGCCACCAGACGATTGAACAGCTCGTCCCTTGTGAGAATCGCCGTGAGGTGGTATTCGTGACCGAGTACATCAGTAACGTAGAGGCCATCCGCAACCTCATGGTCCGTCGCCCACCCTACAAGAATCTTGGACTTCCACCCAAGGCCGCCCATCTTACGTACATCCTATCCAACGTCATAGTCAGCACCAGATTCACCAAAAACAGTGAGGAGGTCGGGGTGGATAGATGCCACTTACCACAATATCCTCCACGGCAATGGTCCAGGCAGGGTTCATATCGGTATTCTCGGCCGTCCAGCTCAACGCGGGCGTCGTCGCCGTCGTCGTGATGTAGGCGTGACCCTTCTTACCGTCCCACCGCGCGGGGAACTGCACGGGACCGGTATCGGGGTTGGACTCCCTGCGGATGACGCCGAGGCGCTGCTTAGCATGCTTCGCGCCCACCTTGGCCTTGACCTTGTCCGCCGCCTCGGTGGTGCTGATACCTCCCTTGGTCGTTCCCTTAAAGAAGCGCATGATCTTGTGGCCCTTACTTTCCTTGTTCGCGGGTCCGTCGGCCTCGGGGCCGGCTTCGCGAGGGGTTTATCCGCGGAGAGGCGGGCCGGGTCCGGGCGGAGTGCTTCCTGGATTTCCGCTTCATCTGCGCCTTGGGTGGTTTTGTATTAGTCTCCGTGGGGAGGAGGAAGGAAAGACAAGTGAAGACGGTATTAATCGCAAGACATACCTAAATGGTCCAGATCTTCGGGGGATGCCTGGGGTTCGAGCGATGGGGGTTCGTTGGAGCTTGGCGGAGGCGGGAGGGAGCTTTATTACGCTCACCAATACGTAGGAGGGTGATGGTGAGCTGGGCGTTGGTGGGTACACCTTTGAGCAGCGTATTCTGCAGCTCAACATACTTCTTCCAGCGGGGATATGTCCTAGTAAGGGATGGTTAGCATTTGGTATTCCCTCCACATGATATCCGAGGAAAACGTACCTGTTCACGTAGACTAGGCCACGCTGCAAGACGGGGTCGCCGAAGAATAGGAATCCGGTGAGGAACCCAGTGGTCTTCATAGCCATGTACGAGGTGGTCAAGAGAGAGAGCAAAAACACAGGCGCGAGACACGACGCCAAGATGAGACGAGGCTTGTGTTGAGGGAACGGAGCCGTGGGGCTCAAAGCGTTCCCCATCCTTTCAAAGTTATCCACCAAGTCCGACAAGCCGTGCATCACGGGCCTCGCCTTGACCCATACCGCTTCCGACACCGGCTGCTTCGTCTTGTCGTGGTGCGCGTTGGGTTTGCCGCCCGCGGCGGACATTTTCGCATCGACGAGATTAGCCGCCGCCTTAGTCGGGTCCGGCGCCTCCGTCTCCTTGTCACCTTCCTTGGGAGGGTCCCCTTGGGGGTGCTTACCCGCCGCGGTGCTGACCACGAGCGTGGAAATGCTGGACACGAAGTTGTGCGCCTCCTGCTCCACAGCTTCGCCGCGGTGCTTCTCGGGCGCGCCGGTGACGGAGTCGCCGGAGCCGAGCACACCGGCTTCGGGTTTCTTGAGCCCGCCCGTCTTGCTATCGATGACGGAGGGAGGGGCGGAAGGGAAGCAGAAGGAACGGGCGGCGGGGAAGCGACGAGGATGATGAGGAAGCCGACGAGGGTGGGCACGACGAGGTCGAGGAGCCAGGCTACGGTGTAGACGGATAGGAAGGACACGGTGCGTCTGGTCTCGCGCCAGGATCGTAGACGGACGATGTGTTTCCAAAAGGCGAAAAGGACGACGACAACGCTCATGTAGAAGCGCTCGAGGTGGGCGCGCAGCTTATCGGGAGAAAACTCTTCCTCGCTCGCGGTTGTGAAATCCAACTCGCCGATAGGAGCCTCTGGAAGCGATTGAACGTGGAATATTTGCTACAACGCCAAATTCCGTGTTAGCTAGATATTCTTTCTCAAGTCAAGTACTTTTATGCCCCGGCGTCATGCGTGGCTTTTGTATCTGATGCTTACCTTGTTAAATCGACGGACAAGGAGCCAAACCTGCTCGTTTGTCAACCCGCCAACAAGAGGGTTTGGAACCAGGTCGGGACTCTCATTCCACCCCATATCCTTGATTTCGGGTTCTCCATGGCGAAGTTCCGCGAAGCCCTTTTCTTCGATAGGCTTATTCTTGGTTTCATCGGCAAGTTGGTGGCTAGCCGTTGGGTTTTCGTACTCGTGAGCCTCGATGACTTCGGGCTCCGAGTCTACGTGAGGGGCCTGCACAGCAGGAACCTGCGGCGGCGGAACCCTTTGACGTAGCTCGGCCTCTTGCGGCGGCGGCGAAGTCCTAGGCGGTACCAACGGAATCACTCGCTGGGTGCCGGTTGTAGAGACCGGCGCGGCAGCGGGAGGTTGCTCCGAATACGCCGGAGGAAGGCTGAAGGATTCTTGGTCGTGATCCATATTTGAGATGGCTTGACTTTGTATCGTTGCAGAGAAGGATCTGCTGCAGGAAGCTGAAGCGTCAGCTATTTTTGGGGATTGGGTTTCATTTAAAGCGAAAGCAAGCAAGCACGAGGTTTTCGTTTGGGGAGCGTCGAAACTGGCTGAGCTGGTTCGATATTTTGACGTCACATTGGCGTGCGCTGCCAATGGAGCTCGTGGTTCCACCGGGTTATCTTGACGTCACTTTGGTGATGATAGGGTCGACGCTAACCTAAAGAATCAAAAGGCGTGCAACAGGCAAGGAATGGCTGTATTCTTATCATAACATACTAATACATGTAATCAAAAGGAAACTGCCTCCTTTGATTTTCTTTCCCTTTTGTTTCACTTTAAATTGAGCGCCTTTGGATTTGCGTGATGGGCAGTTGGGCATATTCTGCGTGGCTGTGATGGGTTCGTTCTCGATGGTGGGGCGAGCTTGCCTGCCACGACAGTGTTGGAAATGTTTAGGCCGGCGGTTCCTTGCTGGATGATTCGCTGATTAAATCGAATACAGACCTCGCTGCACGACTTACGCGGGCATTCATGCGTTAACAAGCTGTGAGCTGATCACTGAGCGATCCTCCCGCGCGTCTCACGCTGAGCAACGAGTGACATCAAACTGGGGCGCGCTAGTACGCGGCATTTGACGATTGAATGGGCTGCATCGCTGGTGAATTAGGGTTGTTCGGGTTGAGAGTGGGCCTCAGCGCTGTCTGTGTCCGTTGATCAATCGTGGGCGGACGGATTCTGAATGGGTCCTTCGTGGTTAATCCGTCGCCCCTCTTCGCTCTTCAGTTGGACCAAAATCAACGAATTCCCTGTCGTATCACAGCCACAAACCCCTAGTCATGGTGGTATGGAGGAATAGATGTCGAGCCACAGCTTCAAATACTAGGTCAACAGACACTCCCCACTCCTCTTAGCCGGCGACGTGAATTATAGGCCCGCAAAATGGATGGAAAATGCTCTTTCTCGCAATCATTCCGGCCTCACTTTAAGAATCATGACACTAGGCAAGGCGATTTGATGCTGAGGCATCCATGGCTCACTTCCCTGGGATGGGAGTGCCTCCGACCATCGGCCCCATTCCGCGCTGATTGATAACTCAGGCGCAGCGCGAACAACGCCAAGAAAATCCTGCCGGAACAGCTGCTCGCACCACCATCCAACCACCTTCTTTCGCAGCCCCCTGCTCCGGTGGGTTCGACGGGCAAATCCCACCCACCATGCGCAGTGGCCCTGCATTTTCGCTCCTCTCGTCAGCGGGAGCGCGGGAGATATCTCTGCTCACGCAGGAATGGGATGGTCTGGCAGGGTTTCAATTACCACCGCCGCTGCCACTGGGCCAAATCTTCTTCCCTTTTTCATCTCGCACCTCTTGATCACTCGTCGCCTCTTTTTTTCTCGCCCTACGCTTCAAGCCCGCTTTAGAGGACTCCTAGGCGCGACTCCTGCAGGTTGTTCGGGTCCATTCAGCAAGATTCCGGGCTAATTAGCTTCCCGCACCGGCGTCAACCCTAGAGAGGATGCGCACCGCCGGCATGTCCACGCCTGTAATCACCGTGGCGGCCGTCGGGGTTGCGATCTCCGCTGCTATCGCCTACCTGGCGCTGGCTCCGGACAAGACCCTCTTTGCACCCCACGTCCCCGGCAAAAACAACACCGTGCTCTTCCTCGTCAACAGCAACCATGGATACTCCAACGTGCACCTCGCCACGGCCCACGCCATGATGGAAAAGGACCCCACCGTCGCCATCCACTTCGGCACCTTTGACAAGATGCAGGACCGCGTAGCCCGCATCAATACCGTGGCCCGCGCGCGCGATCCCGCCTCGCATCCCGTGGCCTTCCACCTTCTGCCGAGCATCGACTACCTGGACGCCCTGAATGCCCGCGACATCATGACCCTCGACAACATGATCACCCCGCCGGGTCTCGCGGGCAACAAGCACTTTAGCGGTAATTTCCGCTGGATTTTCTCGCCCTGGACGGATGAGGATCACCTAGCCATCTACAAGCGTTGCGCGGAACTCATTGACGAGATTGACCCTTCTCTCGTTGTGCTCGATCCCATGTTCCGCCCCGCCATGGAGGCGGTGCAGGACCTGAACCGCATGTACGCCGTTGTGTCACCCAACACACTCGAGGTATTCATCATGGAACAGAAATGGGGCAAGATGTTCTGGAAATATCCATCGTAAGCCGACCAGTCGCCCCGCGCAACTTTTCCTGCCCTGTTGCCTCCCTGCTAAAGAGTCACGGTGTAACACGAAACTAACTGTGCCTAGAATCGCCTCTGGATTTGACTACCCTCTCAAGTGGAGTCAGATCCCCGCCAACATCTTCGCCCACGCTCGTCTGGCGTACAACGTTCTCACGGTGCCCGGCGGCGCTGCTTCGAGGGCCTTTTTGCGCAAGAACGGCATCAAAAACCCTCTGGACTTTATCCACTCACATCGCATCGATAGGCCGTGGATATGCCAAGCAGTACTGGAGGCTGCCGTGCCTCTCGACTACATCCCCCAAATGTCCACCCCGTTGGGCCCATGATTCTTTCCCTGGCCCCGGCCGAGCAGCAAGATCCCGAGTTAACGGCGTGGGTCAAGCAGAAACCTACGGTTTTGATCAATCTGGGGAGTGTCTTCGTTTACGACGAGGGTAGGGCAAAGGCAATGGCAAACGCGATTGCCAACGTCTTGTCGCAGGTGGACATTCAGGTGATTTGGAAGTTCAAGAAGCTTCACACGTATGGCGATGATTTCAAGAGTCCTCTTCAGTCGTTTATCGATACGGGGCGGGTCAAGCTCATAGACTGGTTGGCGGTAGACCCTGCCGCGCTACTAGAGACGGGCGATATTATGGCGCTCGTTCACCACGGCGGATCAAACTGCTACCACGAGGCAATGAGGTAAGTTCCACCAGAAGAATGATGATCAGTGAAGACGTGAAGAGGACTGACTAGAGACTAGTGCTGGAATCCCGCACATCATCCTTCCGCTGTGGGTCGATCTATACGACTTCGCCATCTACTCAGAGTACTACGGTATTGGGGTTTGGGGATGTAAAAGACTGCGCCTGAGTGGACTGAGGACGGTCTCACTGAGGCCTTCCTAAGGGTCGTTAGTGACCAGGAGGAAGCGGTTGATAGGAGGCAAAAGGCGAGATTGTTAGGAGAAAGACCAGAGCGGCATCGGGGAGAGATACCGCCGCGCAGATGGTATTGGACCTCGCGAAGACGGGCTACCAAGATGAGGTAGTCGCACCATCTGATAATCATGTTTGATAGAAATAGGAGAGGTTAGTTATCTTTCTCCAGGCGCCTCAAAGGGGCGGTCTCTTTGTTTAAGTAGCAACTATAGTGTTTTTGAGCCTGCTACTCATCATACGGCGGATCAGATCGAGTTCTTGATTCTTACAAATTAGATGGGATCAATTGCATTAGTGTATGAACATAGAGTCTAAAAAGTCTATAAACAGGAAGAGTCTATCCCATGACAAAAAGAAATGTGCTAGGAAGCGGATGCGCGCTGCGGTGCTACATGCATGCGAAAAGAAAGTTATTTACGGGAGTTTTTTCTGACAATCTCGCTTATTTCAAGCCCTTGCCCTTCTTCTTAGGCACGCGGACCAACCAGTACAACGTGACTGCCGCGGCAATGTTGAAGGCGCAGTAGGCAAACATGAAGCCAAAGTCCCTCCAGCGGTGAGAGAAGCTAATGTTGATGCCGGCGAGGAAAGTGTTGGTGTTGTCCATCTGGCAGAACTGGCACTCGGAGCCGTTGGACGCGCCCGGGTTGACGAGATAGCCGCCGGCTGCGGACATGTATGGCTCGAGGTACTCGCCGCACGTCATGCCCTCGGGGAGGAGAAGTAGAGGAACTCGTTGTCGGCGCAGTGGACGGGCGCGTTGGCGAGGGACGTGCCGAGGAAGCCTTCGATCACGTAAGTCAAGGGGTTGACGCGGTACATGAAGATCCAGAAGCCAGGGAGATCTTGGGGACCGGCTAGGACACTGGAGGAAAAAATGACATCGTTAGACTTTGATGAGTGAAGAGGGGTGATCACGAAGAGACGAAAAGTTACTTACCCGCAGAACGTAAACATCATGATGACGAACAGATTCACAACCGCACCGGCAATTTCAACGCTCGTGATGGCGGCAATAGCCATATCGGCAAAGGTGCTGGAAAAGACGAAAAAGGCCCACACGTGGAGGAACATGGTGATGCCACGGGAGTCGGTGGCATCAGTAGGGTAGGCGTTGCGGTACAAGCCGATGGGGAAGTACCAGCACACGAAGCAGAAGACGGACATGAGGGAGTTCCAGGCAATCTCGACGATGACGTTGGCGAAGATGAAGGACTGCCACGAGTACGAGTTGGAGGGCCGCTCGCGCGCCTCGTAGAGGGTGCGCTGGGACACGAAGAGGGGCATGATTTGCTGGACGATCTGGCCAAAGGTGATGAGGAAGATGAAGACGCCGAACATTTGGTTCTGGAGGCCGCGCTGGGTGTTTTCGGCGTTGATGAAGGATAACCCGATGAAGAGGGCCTGGACAAATGGTTAGCACGCAATTCTCGATATCAAGAAGCGGAGGGGAATCGGGGTGAATCAGAGTATGGCTATCTTTAAAGGAGGACGACTTACGCTGCCAAAAGACAAAAGACACTTGGAGTAGATGTAGGTCGGGCTTCGCCAGTACTGCTGGAAGACTCGCCTGGTGACTTGGGAAAGTTGTGTCATAAAAGGTGCGGCAAACTGGTTGTAGGCGGAGGGGTCCTTGGAGCTGGGCTGTTCTACGGGTGCGCCTTGGCCACTCTTTAGTTGAGCGAGCTCGTCCTGGACACTGCGGTACTCGGGGCTAGCCCTCCAAACCGCGGGCCAGTCGATATCGGTGTGCGCGCCCGGAGCAGCGCCGATGACTTCAAGCATGTATTCGGCGGGGTTGGCACCGGGCGGGCAGGCGGGTCCTCCATTGCGGACAAAGTAGTCGGTCATGACATTAGCACCCTTGCCAATCTCGCCAAAGTAGACAGTCTTTCCACCCTTGGCTAGGAGAAGAAGTCGATCGAAACGCTGGAAGAGCATGGCAGAGGGCTGGTGGATAGTGCACAGGATAGCCTGGCCGCTGCGGGTCAACTTCTCCATGAGGTTGCAGATGGACCACGACGTCTGGCTGTCCAGACCCGATGTGGGCTCGTCGAGGAAGAGCAGGAGCTGGGGCCGGGCAGCGAGCTCGACGCCAATAGTCAAACGCTTGCGCTGCTCGACGTTGAGCCCTTCGCCGGGCACGCCGATGATGGCGTCCGAGTACTCTTCCATGTCGAGCAGGGCGATGACGGTGTCGACGTACGCGAGCTTCTCGGCGCGGGAGTAGTGCGTGGGCTGGCGGAGCAGGGCGCTGAAGTTGAGGGCCTCGCGGACGGTCGAGGTATGCAGGTGCAGGTCCTGCTGCTGGACGTAGCCCGTCTTGCGCTGGAAGGATTGGTCGCGCTCTTGGCCGTTGACGAGCATCTCGCCGGTGATGACGCCCATGGTGACGCGGCTGGCGAGGACGTCGAGGAGGGTGGTTTTTCCGGCGCCGGAAACGCCCTGTTGGCATTGTTAGCTCGGGTTACGGGTGTGGTGTATTTCAAGTTGTGGGAAGTTACATACCATGAGGGCGGTCAAGGTTCCTGGCTTGACCCATCCGTCGACGTTGTCGAGAATCCTCCTAGGCTCCTTCTTGATCTTGATATCGTAGCACACGTCTTTCCAGTGGAAGACGGAGACTTGCTTCTCGACGTTGGAAGGGGCGTCCGAATCATCAGCCTCCCTGCGCACGACCTTGTTGGAGGGCCCGTCTTCGACGTCGCCCTTGGGCTGCTTGCGCTGCTTCTTCATGCCCTTGCGGGTGAAGAGGAGGACCTCGCCACGGAGCGCTCGGCGGCAATGTATTCGGTGGCGACGAGGTGGAGCAACATGAAGAGGATGGTGAATGCGACGATGGCGCCCCAGTTCCTCCAGCGGTTCTCGCTGCGGAAGCCGTATGAGCTTAAAAGATGGGCGGCGCCCTGCACGGTATCCTGACCGGGGACGGCACCGGTGGTGGCGCAGATGCGCTGGTTGGGGGCGACGTTGTCGTAGCCGGGGCCGGAGGGTACGTAGGTTGTGCAGGGAAAAGAGCGGCCGACGAATTCGTTGACGAACAGGCTTTCGAGACCGTAGTAGATGGGGTTGATCCAGCGGAACCAGCCGATCCACTTTTCCATGTAATCGGGGGAATCGCGAAACCGGTGTACAGGACGATGGCGAGGAGAAGGATGGAGGCCGGGGCGAGGGCCTGGTCGATGGAGCGGGAGACGGAGGCGATGAGGCGGAAGAGCATGGACATGGACATGGTGATGGTGAAGGAGATGAGCAGGAAGTAGAAGTACGGGCCGGGCTCGCGGCGGAGGTGGCCCATGAAGTACATGATGGTGTTCATGAAGATGGCGTTGGTGATCTTGTAGGGGAGGTCGACGATCATGGAGGAGAGTGCCTCGGCGCTGGGGTGGTAGAAGGCGTAGCGGGAGTGCTTCTCGATGACGTTGCGCTTGGCGTAGAGCATGAGGATTTCTAGGATGCTAGAGAAGGCGTTCATGAGGATGACGTAGAAGATGAGAATCGCGCGGCGGAACAAGGTGCCCGTGGTGGCGGGGAGGTCGTAGAAGACGCTGGCGACGATGAGGGCCTCGAAGATGTTGTTGATGAGCATGACGATGGGGATACTAGGATCGTTTTTGAGAAGCACGGCGCTGCGCCAGAGAGTGAGAGCCATCTGCTCAAAGTAGGACAGGGTAAAGGGGACTTTGTGCGCTGCGCGCGCGACTGATCGGCCTTGCGGGACGCGAGGAAGCGCTCGTAGTGCTCGCCGCCAAAGGGGTGGCGGGCGAGGTAGTCGTCGACGTCGGCGGCCACGGCGGCGCGCTGGGGCTGGCGCGCCAGGCGGCGGCGAACTCGTCGGCACTGCGCGGGGCTTTGGCTTCCCAACCGGGGCGGACGATGCGCTCGGCGGCGCTGGTCATGGAGGTGAGGAAGTCGGCGGTGGTCTGCTGCTCGGGGCAGACGAAGCCGAGGCCTTCGAAGTAGGCTTTGGCTTCGTCGGTTTTGCCGAAGAAGATTTGTCTTCCGTCGTAGAGGACGACGACTTTGTCAAAGATCTGTGAATGGTGGAAAGGATGGTTAGTTAGTTGCTATCACTAGGGGTGGATAAAAGGGTAAAGCGACGACGCATGAAGCAGTTCATTTTGTATCTTGGGGTAGGTACACATACATCGTACGCGTCCTGGGACGCTTGGTAGATGGCCACGCACGAAGTGCTTCCCATGACGTCGGCCTGGGTCCTGAGCGTGCGGCAGAACTCGAGAGCGTTGGCGGAGTCGAGGCCACGGGTACTGTTATCCCAGCACTGCAGCGGGAGTAGCTCAGCGCGGCCTCGGCAATAGTGACGCGCTTCCTCTCGCCGCCGCTAACACCCCGGATAAAATCGTCGCCGACGCGGGTGTTTTTCGTGTGCGAGATGCCAAACATGGCCATGGTGACGTCGCGGAGGTGCTCGGCGTACTCGCGGCGGGAGACGCCCTCGGGGATGGTGCGGGGGCAGCGCGCGCGGGCGGCGAAGTACAGGGTGTCCCCGACGGTGAGCTGGGGAAAGTGGTGGTCGACCTCGGCCGTGTAGATGGCCTCGCCGCGGAAGGCGGTCCTCATCTCCTTGGGGTGGACGCCCTGGTAGTTGATGACGGCGTCGTCCGACACGTGGTAGCCGTGGGTGTCGCCGGCGATGGTCTTGAGGAAGGTGGAGCAGCCGGAGCCCGGTGGGCCCAGGACGGCGAGCATCTCACCGCTGTGAACGACACCCTCGAGACCGTGCAGGATGTCGATGCGCTGCTCCTTGGCGCCGCTGACCTTGCGGAGGGCGGACACGCTCTTGAGGTAGACGTTGCCCACGCTATTCTGGAAGGAGGTGGAGGTACCGAAACCGAAAGCGCTGAGGTTGCGGAAGGCCACGCCCGTGGTGCGAGGGGCGCTGCCCTCTGATGTGTCGGAGCGCAGGTTGTAAAGGCCTTGGCCCACTGGCGCGGGTTGAACTTGGGGCTGCTGGGGTCGAGAGGACCCTCGACGGGGAGGGGGAAGAGGGTGCCGGGGACGGCGTGGGACTGGGTGGTGAGTCGGCGGGCGAGCTCATGCACCTCCTCGTCGATGCGCTCATCGTCGTTATCATCGTGGGAGGCGGGCGAAGCGCCGTCCTTCTCGGCCACGGTGGTCGTGGATCCGCATGCGGACGAGGGGACTATTTCCTTTTCTTGGGGCATGTTGCTGGAGATGGTGGACGCGGCCCGGGTCGCGCCCGGGGTCGTGTCTTCCGCCCCTCCGGCTTTGATGTCGGAGGTCATGTTGGCGGTGGCCAATCTAGGTTGGAAAAGGGGATTTGACTGTTTGACGGGATGAGGGTGTTCAAGATTGGTAGTAAGGAGAAGAAGTAAAGACAAGAGGAGGGGTCGCGCGCATGCAAGCGAGAATCCCTAAGAAAGAGTGATGCGGACAAGATGAAATCCTGTGATCTATGACGATAGAAAGGCACAATCGCAATTCGGAAAGGGAAAAATAAAATGAAACAGGGGAATAGCTTATTTATGGGCACGAGCTAGGGAGAGGCAAACACAAACGCCGATTCTTCGTTGCTCCGCATCCGCTTCCGATGCACTTGCAATTTTTGTCGCGTCTTGGCGTGCTCGTGCTCCAGTCCAACCGAAAAAAATAATTGATGGAGAGCTGCCCTGTTCTTGGGCGAGAGGTCCCTAGCGGACCATCGGTCATAAAAAGCCCGTAGGGCCGCCTCCGTCTCTTTAGGGTCTGGACTGAAGGACCTGGTCTCATCGCGGATAGTTTATCGCCGACCTACCTCACCCGCTCCTCGACAAGCCCTGTGGGTTTTCCCCGATGGCCCCTCCCCCACCGGGCTGCACAGCCGGGACCCTCTTTGGGAGGAGATCCGCCCTTGGCAAGAAAAACAACATTAGATTCCCAGGCGGAAAAGTGAAAGTGAGAGCGATGTGTAATCAACGCGGGCTCGTTGAAGGGGGCAAAAGGAGGGTAGCGGCCCGGCAATAGAATTTTTGGTCTAGGGAAAGCGGAAGTTCGGACTTTCGGACTCTGCCAAGGTGCGAAGTACGCTGCCTAACAAGAGAAATCAAGCCGCAGTGACAAAGTGCGAGCTTCAGGTGAGTACGCTTCCGCTTTTGGCTCGCCGCGCTGGGCAATTTTGGGAACTTGTGGATCCTCAATGACAGCTTGCTTGCTCATTTGTACGAAGTACGAAACGAACTGGCGCCCAGGTCATTGTTTGAAAGCACGACATTGCACGTATTCCATCCTTGGAACCATCCATCGCGTTGGACGGGTGCGTCAACGGTGACAAGGAGGATGCATGCCTTGGGGCAAGGAGGCCAGGCAACAGAATAGCGCACCGAATCCTCGGGACCGTACCCTACCACCACACATCAGATGAAACGGTCATTGTCAAACAACACCAGCGGAACGGACCTACTCTTCCCTCCGCCCCGCTGCCGCTACCCGCGGAGACCGGCTGACAAAAGAAAATGGGTGGTCCTCTTCCGGAACGAGTCATCGAGCCGACCGGGAGAGGAGAGTGAGCACTGGGCTGCTAGCTCCTTTCCGACTATTATTAATAAACAAGCGCCCAGGGACGGACTGAGCAATGGTAAAACCGTCTACGACGGTTTGGGCGGACTCTCGAATCTCCGTCACGCAACAATTCTTCCCTTCTTGGGCCAAAAGCAACCAAACCCTCCTCGCCATCTAGCAGCTACGTCCTTTGCACGAACAATTGGCGCATCAGTAGCTTCACCTTTCCCCGAACGACGCTGATTCCTTCTTTTTCCTGCTTGGCACCATTAGTCACCGCTCATTTCTACCAATCTTTGTCCATTGTTTTTCTTCACTTTCGTGGAATGGACGAAAGGGGTAACCTGAACCCAATTGCCGTGAGTCGAGCTGCCTCCCTGTGCGGCGGACTTTCGCACTTTCGCACTTTCGCACTCCGCCCCGTTCCACTCATCCTTCCCTCCCCCTGGTACTCCCACCCCACGTTTTTTTAATCCCTGAACTCGTACTGGATGTATTACATGTCAAGTATCAGGAGCGCTGACGAAGAGGACGGAATAGTGCAAACGCTGCAAGGACCGCAAAGTGAGTATGGTTTCGGTTTGTCCGCAAAAGGCGACGATGAAAAAGGATCAAATCACAAAGATCCCCTACGCCGCACACCATGTTCCACTTCTTCCCCATCATAAAAGAAAAATTGCACTTGCCCCGTCCGCGTTGCGGAATCCCGCCTCGCGCGGATCACCAATGGCTGCATATCGCCATCCCATTCCATTCCACTCCCCGCACACATTTTTATCCTTCGCCCTGAATCCCCCTCCCCCAGCCTTAGTAAGAGATGCCATGCGCCTGGTGCGCGTCTGCATGGACGCCGGCTGACGTAGGTGCACAATGGCCTCGTCCGGCGACCGTGCCCACCATTACTTAGATTCGATGCAGCCGTATTCTCCCAGAATGCGAAAGATGCAAGGCTCGGGGCGTTGCGTGCGTGTACCCGCAGCGGCTGAAGAGACGGCCCAGGCCCGCAACTGACCCAACGGCGTATGTACCCACACCCTACGAATCCCCTTCCGTGACACCCCGTGCCGCTTTCGGTGCAGCCTCACCTCTTCCATCACCGGCCTTTTGTTATTTCCTCTTATTTGAGTGGACTCACTCTAACACTGCCTCAGACCGACCGATTCATCCCCCTCTCCATTATCCTCGAGAGGCTCCAGCGCGTCGAGGAATCCCTCACAAACAACAGATCCAATGCCGACAGCAGCAGCACCGGTCCCGACACGGACCCGAGTTCCGGTACGAGCTCTCGAGCGCCCGAGCCATTTGCCACCCCTTCCCGCGCCACCAGCACAGACCTAGACTCCCCCACCTCCAGAACGCATCCTCCGCTGCCGGTTCCGCCGCCGCGTGCCGCCAAAATGGGCAGCAGCAGCATCTCTTTCTCTGGACCATGCTCTATATGGACGGGGACGCGTTCGCCGGATTTCCTACGCGAGGCCTCGGACGGGCTTCCTCTGGACGCCGCGGCGGTTTTGACCAATGCGTTGATTCAAGTCGAGAGGATCCGCGTCAAGGGGCTGGCGACGGCGACTGTGACGGAACAGATTTCGATCCCTTCCGATCTAGCCAAGATATGGATCAAGAGTACGTATCGAAAAGAAGGGAACCAAGAAAGACAAGGGAGGCCCGCCTCGTTCTCATGCTGACATGAAGCTCCTCAAGACTACTTTACTAGGATGCCCGAGGACGCGTTCACCAATCTCTTCCCCGGAAACTGATAGAGATGATGCCTGACCTTGAGGGTATTCCGCACGTAGACATCGATCCGGCGATCTGGGTCATCTACTACTGTATCTTGTTTGAGGGCTGCTGGTTCCCGGTAAACGACGCCCAACAACCCAATCAATCGTCCTACCTGAGGCAACTCTACATCTGCTGCCTCCGTACGCTACCCGCATGGCAGCGCCAGGCCACGGGGACCTTGATGGATTTTGTGGCGGCTCTCTCCATGGTAATTGCATAGACATCCCCTTTCCCTCCACATAGTCATGGAGAGAATATCCAAGCGTTCTTACCAAAAATGACATCCCGCTAATCCCCAACCCATGCGTCGTTCATCGCTCCAGAGCCGCACAACCATCGAATACTTTGACCACGAGCTCTTCTGGAAAACCTTCAAATTCACCTGCCGCTACGCCCAGGGCCTCAACCTACACAACCTCGACGGCAACGCCTCCTCCGCCGTCGGCTCCATCATCAAGGACGGCGACCGCAAGAGCCTGTGGATGCTCATCCAGATCGACCTCTTCTTCCGCCTCCTCTGCGATACCCCGCCCGTCCTCGCCTCCAGCCTCGACCACTGGAAGGTCAACCTGCCGAAAATCTCCCCGAGGAGACCGCCACGGGGCCCGGCGCCGTGTCCACGTCGTGCTTCATCGTCAGCTCGCGCATCACCCTCATCTTGGCGCAGTTCTTCCAGCTCGTCGACTCGCCTGCCGCGGCGATGGATCATCCCGAGTCCGTCCTCGATCGTACGATGGAACTGTGTTCCGATATTGAAAAATGTTTAAAGAGTGGCAGTTGGTAGGTTCCAAGCCTCCCTTGCCCAAAACCCATATCTACACTCGAAACCCTACCAACTTACTAATCTCTCCCTCAGGACGACTGGATCAAGAGACGCTCCGACGACGTCAACCTCGTCTGGGCCCTCAGCGACGTCCTCATCACCGGCTACATGGGCATCATCTTCATGCTCCGCAAAGTCGCCGCCCTCCGCGCCGGCGTCCCGACGCCGATCCAGTGCGACGCCGATCTCCCCGACTACCCCGTCGTCCGCCGGGTATCCCGCGCCGTGCTCCACATCGCCGACGCCGTCCTCGAGCATCACCCGTACCCGTCCATCGTCGCCATGCTCTTCGGCGCCTGCCAAGCCAATATTCCCTGCGCTTTTCTCCTCCGCGACGCGCTCGGCGACCAGGGCGGCAGCGCCAAGAATGACGTGTCGACGACCAACCTCGCGGACCGCGAGGCTGACCTGGCCCTCGTCAGCAGGGTGGCGCGGCATCTCGCGGTCGTGAGCAAGACGGAAACGGACTTCGCGCCGCTCACGGTCGCGTTGGATAGTTTGTGCGAGGAGGCGGCGAGACAGATAGAGCGAGAAAGGGGCGTGATATGAGGTGATGGTCACCTTTTTGTTTTCTTAGGTTTCTGCTTTGAGCAAAGGATCAGCGTTCGATGGCTAGGTTTACTCTTTTTCCTTGTACTTTTTCTATCTTTCTTTTTTTTTTTTTTTTTAAACTCCCTTCTGCCCCTCCGGCATCCCAAATCAAAGGGGGAAAGGCGAGATAAGAACAGGAAGGAGTTCTGGATATGCTGGGGACTCCTCTCGGCGGTTGGATTAGACGGAAAATGATATAGAAAATCTGGGCCTCATAGCAAATTGGTTGGCGGAATGTCAGGTCGATAAGACAGGCATGAATGTAGATCAACGCTGTTTTCTTAGTGTTTCCATCCGGATGTCACGCGGTTGGCTTCGGCTAACTAGCGGCGTATGCTCCGTTCACTTCGTACCTTGTGTGGGGCCCGCCAACTAGTCATACATGTAGTCACAGTCACTCGTGTGCTTTGGGGGTCAGAATGCGACAGAATGGCCCCTCCTGGGTATTTATCCCACATGCACTCACATCTATCCAATGGATCCCAAGTCAGCATTGTCGCCATTGCCATTGACTCCTCGGCCCCACTCCGCTTGGACAAGACTCGGGCCGGCCTGACTAGCCAAGAGATTGGCTGCAGTTGATAGCAATTATCCTGGAAGATGTTTGTCGAAGACCTGGTCATGGTTGTCCCTAAAAGCTGAGTTGGAAGAAGTGAAATAGGGCAAAAAGAAAAAGGACCAGTAGCACAAATGAACAAAGGACGATCAGGACTCGAGGGAAATGAGCCAACCGTTCGGGCCGGTGAGGGATATGGAGCAAGACGCCACTCCCCTTTGTTCTGCTGTGCTCGCGAAACAAGGTCTGGGGTTCGAAAAGGTTTCAGTGCTCTGGGTCTATGACCAGAAGCTCTCTCTGATTGAGTTCAGGAAGGTCGGTCCGAGTGGGTGTCGCATTATATCAGTGATATCAGCAGTGTCGACGCCAAGACGCACGAGGTCCATTGATCGAAGTGATTGGGGGAGAGGTGGGGGTGGGAGGGGGAAACAGGGCCGGAGAGGAGACATGATGGCAATGATATACCAAGAAACGTGAGAGAATCTTTCCGAGGGACCACCGTGACGCTTGCAGACAAATCTCAGGTGTAGGTCACGGTGGCGTTCAGGCATCGAGACAAGAAAACACGAGGATGAGGGCATTTGGGCTCGTCACTCAGCATGCCAAGTTATCTCCGAAGATTCTGGCAGCAGAGGCACAGCGGAAGGGCGGCCCACTACCGGCTTAACGAGCTCCACTTATAGAAAGAATGATAAAAAGAGAAGAAAGAGATTCAGGTGGAACAAATCCTACATGTATTCGTTGGGGGCGAATCCAGATAAAAAGACGCGGAACCTTTGTCAATATCCCCTCTCCAATTAACCGTAATCTCTTCTCCAAAACCCATCCCCTCTTGGGAAGAAGTATGCATGAGACACGAAGTGGCTACCTAACCCGTTGGAAGGAGTCGAGAAAAGGGGAAGAGACAGACTAAGTTGACGGCTCGTTTGTCAATGTCATGGAGACTCTTGGCCCAAGCAAGGTGCCACGAGCCGCGATCCGGTCGGGGATTTTGGCGCTTGAGCAAGAAGAGGAAACGTTCCAAATAGGTGGATTTTCTCTTCTTTGTTTTGTACGTGGAAAGTATGAGGATTGCCTTGTTACCTCGGGTGACCGAGGCTCAAACGAACGATGACGCTTCGAGAAAGCTTGATCGAGGAGCTACACTTGCAAATCCCTGCAAGCCCTTCAGTCCGAAAGAAGCCTAGCGCCCGCCCTGGAGGGACATGGGCAAAAGCACCTTGCCAATGCCGACATTTCACCGCCAGACTCATACATTTCTGCTCCTGACGAAAACTCATCCATTGCAGCGCGGTTTCGAAGAAGATGAAAATGAAATCGAAAATTTCGACGACTCAGGATTGTTCAAGACTTTGAAAGATGTAAGAAAACCAGGTGTCAAAGGTTGCCCAGGCAAGGCGAGCATATTGGTAAAGGGTGGGTGCCGACTTGAACGCGCAATCAGGACGTCGTGTCGTGAATCTCTCCAAGACGTCCAACAACAACCAAAACCACGAAATCTTGGCCAAATGTCCCCAAAGCCCCAAGACATCATCCTCGACAAGGATTTTGTTTTTTTTCCTCCTTGCTCCTAGCGTCCGTAATTTCACCTAGTCGCCATCACCCAGTTCCAGTTCCAACAGACACGCAAAAAAAGACAAGAATGCCCCACAGATGCCGAGTTATCCCCCTCGACCACTCACAGACGCTCGTACGAGCCCAAACCGCCCCCACATCCCAGAGAAGCAAAAAAGAAAGAGGGAAAATCTTTGAAAAAGGCGTGAGCTCGGGCCAGACGCAGGCGATGGAGCCCTATCCGCCGATCACCATTGGCCAAGCCGGAGACAGTGGGGCCCGGTACGTACCGAGCGGCCGGAGCCAAACCGGCGCTGTGGATGAGCGTCGATGATGCGCAATGGCCCTTGGGTAGGGATGTACGCCTTGGGACAGCGAGAGACGTGGGCCCTCCGTACAATCTTGAAGTGGGGCCCCAGCTCCGGTCCTCGTGCCTGTCAAGGGGGTTCGGCGTTTACGTTAGCCTTTTTCTGCTGTTGGCTCCCCAGCACGTATCTTTTTTTCTTTCCCTTCCGCCAGAAGCATCCATCTTGTAGCCGCGGGCCTTCCGGTCGGGGATGAGGCGGAAGGTACGAGGTGGAGCCTTGCGAATTTACGGAAAATGATAAATAGAACACGGCGGCCCTCTTTTTCCCCTGAATCTTGTTGCTGGCTTGGTACAGTCTTTTGGTTCAAGTTCTTTCTTTATACCCCTTCTTGTATAATCCCCCTTTTCTCTCCCCTCCTCTTCCCTTCCATATCTCATGTAAGAAACTTGGAACAGCCAACCATTCTGGTTTGAACATAACACACACACGTATATACACACACACTCTCTCTCAGAAAAACTCTACCGTCTGTCCGCACCCACGCCATGGAGCAAGCAGCCAGTGCTTCCTCCTCCACCCTCCCAACCCTGGTACCCACCCCACAAGCCTCCCACGCCCGGCTGCAGGACCACCACCACCACGATGCCCACCACGACTCCAGCGACACCGACGCGGACGTGCAGTTCGCCCCCATCGTGACCCGAAATGCCCACCCCCAACCTACCCGGCGGGGTCGCGCTCCTCAGCCTGCGCCGCCTCTCCCGCACCAAGACCACCGAGTCCGTCAAGGCCCAGAGGGACGACGCCCTCGACGTGAACTTGCCCTACCGCACCCTCACCGCCGAGGCCAACATGGACGAGTACCGCGTCGAGACCCGCGGCGGCGAGATTCCCGGCCCTCCCAAGGAAGGCACCGGCGAGGCCGGCAACTACAGGCTCGTCACGTTTGAGCCCAACGACCCCGGTAACCCCAAGAACTGGTCCAAGGCCCGAAAGTGGTACTGTACCATGGTGGTCGCTTTTACCTGCTTCGTCGTCGCTTTCGAGTCTTCCGTCATCACGGCCGACATTGGCGGCGTCGCCAGGAGTTCAACGCCAGCACCGAGTTGACCCTGGCCAGTATCTCCTTTTTCGTCATGGGTTTCGGTATCGGTCCCATGGTGTTTGCGCCCTCTCTGAAATTTACGGCCGACGCATCATCTAGTGAGTTCTTCTTCTCTTTATTCCTGATTTATTTTCTCTTCGCTAACCCTCAATCCTCCCAGCGCCTCCACCCTCGCTCTGGCTGTCATCTTCATCATCCCCTGCGCCGTTGCCCAAAACATCGAAACCCTCCTCGTATGCCGCGCCATCGACGGCATCGCCTTCTCCGCCCCCATGACCCTCGTCGGCGGCACCCTCGCAGATCTGTGGAAGAACGAGGAGCGCGGCGTCCCCATGGCCGTCTTCTCCGCCGCCCCCTTCATCGGCCCCGCCATCGGTCCCCTCGCCGGCGGTTTCCTCTCCGACGCCGCCGGCTGGCGCTGGCTCTACTGGCTGCAGCTCATCCTCGCTGGCGTCGCCTGGATCCTCATCACCTTCACCATCCCCGAGACCTATGCCCCCACCATTCTCGCCGCCCGCGCCAAGAAGCTCCGCAAGGAGACGGGCAACACGGACTACGTCACCGAGCAGGACCTTGACCTGAGGCCCATGTCTGAGCGTCTTCGCATCTTCCTGTGGCGACCCTTCCAGCTCCTCTTCGGCGAGCTCATCGTCTTCCTCATCAGCTTGTACATGTCTGTCCTGTATGGTCTTCTGTACATGTTCTTCGTTGCCTTCCCCATCATTTATGAGCAGAGGAAGGGTTGGTCGTCCGGCCACACTGGTCTCTCCTTCATCCCCATCGCCGTTGGTGTAAGTAATCTCTCAGCAAACCCTTTTGTTCCTTTCTTCTTATTTCTCCCCCTCCACGCCTTAATTGATCATCAGCTAACAAACGACCTTTTCAAGACTCTCGCTTCGGCTGCTTGCGCGCCCTCGTCAACAAAGACTACATCAAGCGTGTCAACAAGCACAACGGCCACCCCCGCCGAAGTCCGCCTTATCCCCATGATGGTCAGCTGCTGGTTCATCCCCGTCGGCCTCTTCATCTTCGCCTGACCTCCTACCCCGACCTCCACTGGATCGGCCCCATGATGGGCGGTCTCCCCGTCGGCTTCGGCTTCATCTTCCTCTACAACTCGGCCAACAACTACCTCGTTGACTGCTACCAGCACCAGGCCGCCTCCGCCCTCGCCGCCAAGACTTGCATCCGTTCCTTCTGGGGCGCGGCCGTTGTCCTCTTCACCGAATACATGTACGACAGACTCGGTGACCAGTGGGCCTCGTCCCTCCTCGCCTTCCTCAGCCTTGCCTGCTGCGCCATCCCCTTTGCCTTCTGGAAGTACGGCGCCAGGATCCGTGCCAAGAGCAAGTACGCCTACGGCGGTGATGATGTTCCCACCGGGACGAACGACGTCGAGAAGGCGGCGCACTAAATCGTCGCCCTAGACGAGAACAGCCTTATCTCGATGTGTCAATCAAACTAGAGACAAATTCACAATGGTTTACCTACTCCGAAATCGTAGGTTTAACGGAAACGCGCGGCGTTAAAATATTACATGCCAGCGTCTTCACAAAGGAACAAAAAAGCAAAGACTATACACAGCGGAGGATGATACCACAGCAACTCGGGGGTTGCATTATTCCATTTCATTTTTCCTTTGTCTAGCGATTTATTGAATTATTCAATAGACTTTATAGATAATAAAAATTCATAATATCCACATTAAAAGTCATTCCATTTCGATAGGCGTCTCATTTTCCTTTTCGATCGATCCGACTATCGATCCGACCGTCTGTGATCTAAGCCCACCATCGTCCATCAGGCCCGGCGGGCACCTTGACCCCAATTCTGCTTCGATGTGTCGATCGATGATGCCGGAGTTGAGTGGCCACCCGTTTGACTCTCGTGTACTACTCCACCCACCCGTCTCTAAGCGAACGAACCAAAGAGTCGTATTATTAATTCAGTATGTGCGCCCCGTTCCAACTTCCATAACGTGAGACCCTATAGGGTTCTGGTAGGGGTCCCGAGGGTTATAGGGCATTTGAGAATCAAGAGGGTTTGCGGGGTCTTGGCTTCGATCTGGGTGGGAATCTTGGAGCAACGCCGCTGATCTTGCTCGATGCGGATCGAGAGTTGTCGAGGACGCCGTGCGAACGGCGGGTTGACGCCACCGATTGCATCAACGATCCGTCAGGAGATTATACATGATCATGATGTTTGCCCACCACGGTACCAGAGGCGACACATATAACCCAACTCTCGCCTCGTTCCTGGAACATGCTCGCCTGATCTTCACGTAACTGTGTATGTGTGTGCCTTCAATTTTCCAGAAATCACACAACCATCAACCCACCCATTTACAACACAATGTCCAAGGCTACCGAGAAGGCGAAGGCGAAGCTCGCCGAGATCCTGAATGACCCCGGCAGGCACGACTCTAGCGGTAGGTCCCTTTCCCGTTTCATTTGCGACCGACGCATATATGGCCCTTAACATCTCCCCATTCCCTGTATAATATCAAAGTCCTTAAGATGACTGACAAGCCTATTTCGGACTGGAGCAGGTATGAAAAACAAGGTCATCAACGGACGGCATCCGTCGATAGGAGGATCCGAAGTCACGAACCGGGTCGATCGTCGGCTCAGCGCCAGCAGCCAGACCTCGGAGGAGGAAGGCTGCGAGAATTTTCCAAGAATCTGTTTTCACGGCCGGCGTACTAGATTGAATTCTTTTCTTTAAATCTCTGGAGTTGGCGTTTGTAACATTATGGACATGGGGGAGATAGGATTTGGGTCATCACGGCTTGGAAGAGCAACAAGCCCCGCCCTACTATTCCGTGGAAACTCGACACCGGTTTTGATCCTTGTATCGTACATATTCTATACTCAAATATGCGTTTCTGAAGGTCTCAGTGTTGTAATGAATGCCTTAAATGAGAGTCCATACATGTAGCCATGAGTCCCATCCCTCGGTGGTGAAATCGAGGTGGGCCAAGCTCTCCGATCTTCCTGAAGACTGATGCCCCACCTTGCTTGTGGCCGCTCCCTAGGTCTCAAGACTACACGAGAGGACGTCATTAAGTAAGCAGCACAAGACATCTTTTGGAATATGGGCGACTGCTTGACTGCTACGTCGCGTTGAGCACGAGAGCTCTCTTTATATACCTTCATACTTGAAACAGATGGAGAACTAGCCTACTGTGGTCACCTAGACGTCATGGCCAGCTAAATGGTATTTCTATTGTCCAAACAGGCCTAATGAAGCGGTTGATGATGTAGAGGTCGATTATGTTGAGGTCGACGGGTATCGTGGAATCTCCAAAAGACATTTGACGGTGATCTTTCAGGGATTGAGGACCTTTGGGACACTTGAGGAAACATCAGTCCTCGAACAGACCCTTGGCCAGGGGCAGGTGAGCACAGGCACGGTCATGCTTGAGCCGCAGCGTCTCACCTCTTTCCCAAACTACGCCACTTGAGAAGGATGAAAGGAGAAGTATGCGACGCTTCCGTGGTGAAGATGGAGAAGAAGATACTCCGTATACTGCAAAAGATGAGTCTTTATCGAGTAGTGTATTCACTCTTAATGGACCAGGAAAACAAAATCCGGACATGCTCGAAACGCAGCGCGCTACGGAAACCGGACGTGGATGTAGAGTAACGGCGATGGATGGAGCTGGCTATAGCACTACTATGTCATAACTTATACTAGACCGGTCACAGCCTTGATGTGAAAAATCACGTATGGAAAGCTCTAATGGAAACCTTTTACTGTGGTGATTCTTCGTGATTTGCTCTCTCGCTTGCTTGCCAGCCTCCAAGTCTATCCTTAAACACGCTTTTCCCTGTTCAGACATCTAGTTAGCCTTGCCTGAGGCGTGCTACATCGGAAAATCTAACTTTCTGAGTCTTTATATCGAGTTCGTATCATATCTCAAGCCCTGGGATCTTGACATCCGCACCCAAACCTCATCGCTGGAAGTGGCCACCCACGGCATCAACCTATTTTCTCGCAATGTTCGGAGGAAAATCCAGCCAGATGGCAAGACCCCGGGAGAAATTTCGGCGAGTCAGTCCAGAAGGGGAGGGAGGTACTTTTCGAGAAGAACAGGGTCATAAAAGTGAGGGAAGCGAGGGGGCCTTGAGGTGCAAGGCCCCCATCACATGAAAATTGAGGTACGCTCTGCTCTCCCAACTTGCAGACTCTTTCCCCGTGACTCACCGGCCCTGCGGTAGACTTGCCCTCATTCTCGGTGATTCAGCTTTTAGCCTTGTATTGAGGGCGTCAGCTCTATCCTCCGCGCCTCACGAATCCTCAAAATAGCGGATTTTTGTTCCACCATGATCCAAGGGATTCCATTTGAGGCACCCTCAGATGTCAAACCTCATTGCCTCCATCCCTCAGCCCTTGTATCTCGAATTATGGAATATTGAGGCCCAGACTTAGAGTATATAAAGGACCCTTCCTTCCCCTACGAGCCCAGAAATTTCTCTCCTCCAACACATCACTTCTTTGCATCTCTTCTCTTCTTCTCTTCTTCACTCGGTCTTTCTTCTTCCTCCTTCCTCCTTCCTCTCTTTCTCTCTTCCTCTCTTCCTCTCTTCCTCTCTTCCTCTCTTCCTCTCTTCCTCTACTCCTCTCTTCCTATACCTTTCCTCCTTTGCCTTTCCTTTCACTCACCCCCATCACCTTAGACAGCTACCCTCAATTTCCCATCCTCCCCCAATACCCTTGCCCATGCTGATGCAGGTTCGACTCCTGTCACCGCCGCTCCATGCACCAAGGCGGCGTAGCTCAATGGTAGAGCAAGCGTCTTGTTTTCTTCTTTCTACAGCGTTGCTTTTGTCAGCGTCTGATCCAGGTTCGACTCCTGGCGCCGCCATGAAAACACATGCACGATGTAGGGGTTTCCCTTCGGTGCGTTTACCTCCCTACTGTGTCGTTTGCTGACCTCTATACTACACGGTCTTAGGGGAGCATTCACGGACGTTGATACGGGTTCGACCCCCGTCGCTGCCCTTTATATACATTTAGGCGGCGTAGCTCATGGTAGAGCAGCGTCTGTTTTGTTTCTCTAGCGTTGTTTCCTATTGTTAGCGTTTGATCCAGGTTCGACTCCTGGCGCCGCCATATATGGATGTCTAGTTAGAGATGAAGCAGGTTTGATTAGGGTTCATGTATGGCTATTAAACGTCCTTGGTTTCCCACTATACCATCCTTATCTAAGGCTAACATGACATATAGCAGCCAACGTTTACACTCACTAGCGACCAATCGCTCACTTCCTACGCAAGGACCGTGGAGGCCTCAGCTCGTACACTGAAATTTCTTAGACGAATAACCTCGAGGCGGTGTAGCTCAGTGGTAGAGCAAGCGCCATTGTCATTTTACGCGCTGGGCCCGGGTTCGATTCCTGGCGCCGTCCTCGTCATAGATTTCTTCAAGTGTTAGAGTGATGGCCTTTAACCGGTTTGGAGGATTGGTTTGCATGAAATCGATTCCATCTTGGCAGGGCGATAGATTTATCTATTTAGTTGTTACACACGTCAACTGGATGCAGAGTACATGGGGTGTGGATGCGTAAGGATTCACTACCCATGGCCATTCCGTTCAAGTTGAGATTTCGGTGATAAAAACTATATATTTTTACCCTCTTACGCTGCGGTCATGATAATTCCTCGTTTGTACGTGTGCCTCAGAACGGTAGATAACCAACTAGCAACTGCATCGCCAAACACAGCATCTACTCATTCCCCACCTTCCTACATTCTTCTTCCCATTCCCTCATCATGACTTGTCTGAAATCCAAAAATGACATGTCGCTGTTGGGCGTAAAGGGTTTGGATTGGAGGTTATCATCGGCAAAGTTGAAATACTCGTAGTGAACCTTGTCACGCTTCTCATACCTTTGAGAAGAGTCACCTGTTAGCACGATATTAAACACCCCAGTGGCTCGAAAAGTGCGACGGTGGAAGGTATCCTATATCAAGACTAGACGTACCTGTAGCACTGGATTGTGCAGCATACTCGAGGCGATTTATTGTGAAGCTTGTGGATTTGGAAATCCTGCGGCCCAATCCAAGTGATGCCGCCCTTCGGGAACTTGGCGGTACCGATAACGTTCTGCTTGTTGAGAGAATCGTAGTAGGTGGCCTCAATCTCTCCGTGAAGTACCTACCGTTGTGGTGACTGTTAGTCCTTTATATTTTCTAATCGTCCCGCCCCTACTGAATATGAGACGAGCCATACCTTGATAATCGCACATGAGTCTCCGTGATCATGGATCGGAGAGGAATGCCCGCTGGGCCAAATCTCCAGCACATAGGGCACACCCGGGGAGTCTCCCTTCATCCCGGGGCGAGTCAGTAAAAAGGTTCGAACGATAATCACCTAAAATGGGGATCTCACCTGGTTTTCCCCAATAGTAATGCGAAGATATGTCATGTCCGGCTTCTTATGAGCAAAGTTTTGCCCCGACACGCCCTCGTGCGGCACGGCTTTCTCCACCAGCTTCTTGTAGCACCAGCCGTCGGGGTTTCTGCAGCTCCGCTCAATCGCCTCGCTAAAGTAGGGAAGTCGTCGTCGTCAAGGACAATACTGACGCCGGCAACGTTACCGTAGAGCGTCTGACACCCTAGCGGAAGGTTTGCAGGGACCGTTCCGGCGCCGCGCTCAAGGTCCACAAGGCTGATCTTGTCGCTAGACACAACAAACGGGGATCGTCCCATCACGACGGCGACCGGCTGCACCACAATTTCAGGTTTGGTAGCACCTTTATCTAGCGTGACGCTGAACGGCTTCAAGCGTTCCAACCAGTTGTACGTCTCGGGCTCTTTCCAAACGAGAACGCCCTTGTCGTCCCTGGTCTTGAGCGAAACTTCAGCGAGAGTGAGCTTGGCGTTGGTGTAATACTTGCCATAGCGGATTCGGCCATTTTCCTTATCGAGCGAGAGCCAATACGTCGTCTTCTCGCCTTTGTTGAGGTAGCAAGCTTCAACACCCTTAGAGAAGGTAATAGGGATCTCCCACGGCGCTGTCGCGCCCCGGGTACAAACAATCCGAAATTCGCTTGGACCAGCCAGGAGATTGAGCCGTTGTTGCCCGTCCTCCATCCAGACCTGGACTTCTAGGAGGTCTTCAACGGCCCCCGGACGGCGATTGTCCCTTGGCCCTTGATACGGAGTCTAGAGTGCCCGGGCTTAGGCATACCCGCTGGAACGCGTCGAGCAACGTCGCCGGGGGCACCCTGGAGGCCATTCGAAGGAGTGTAGAAGTCGTACTCAGGCGACCCCAGCTCCGGCTCGTTAGAGTCACCCTGGTGGATTTCCTCGTAAACAAATGGGTCAAAGAATTCATTGCGGGAAGCCATGATGAAGGTTGGGGGATGTCTCAGACTGTGGAAGTAGTTTTAGTTGCTATCTTTGTCTCTTCTCTCTGCCTCTTTTTTTCTTATGGCCGGACTTGACTCCTTGTGAATCGCGAGACCTCCCTCCTATTTATATTGGTCCGCATCGGGTGTTAGATGTAGGGATAGAGCTCCTCAAACCCTGAGGATATGGATCTCAATGATCCCCCTTCTCCCCTGCTGTTACCCCTCTCCCGAAGCCATAACAAAGCGAAGCCCAACCTGGATTCTTCATCTTCCCCGCGGCTCATTGCATTGTGGCGTCCACCGAGAGTTGATGAATTAGAAATATTTCCCTTCCGGCCTGCACAAGGGACGGCCCGCACAGGCCACCGCAGCACCTTGCAGACTTCAGCTACGCCACGAGGTAAACTAATGAATCGTCGCTGGACAGAAGAGGCATAAAATCGGCGGGGCAAACGAAACATCAACGGACGCGTGTTGGATATAGCAAAAAACCAAGGTCTCGAGAGGGGTATATGCCAGCGACCTTGTTGAGCCCTTTGATGTGAGCCTGGCATTGGCAACGGAGACTGAAGCGCATGCAGGATGCAAGCAGTAACCCAAAGCCGTCCAATCTTGTGCCCGGATTGGACGATGCCATGTCGAGATCGTCGCAAGTTAAAAGCGCCGAGACCTTCCGCGGGCCCGCTCAATTGTCTTGAGACTGAAGGCCCCGCACTATTGCCGAACCCTCTTGCCCTTCCTTAGATGTCAATGAATTGTTGAGAGATGCCTAATCTCCTGAGTGTCCCGAGTGAAGGCAGCCGGCTGGACGAAGCTCTACCCCCTTGTCACGTCGGATTCACCTCTTCGAGGGTTGTTGTCTGCCTCCCGATATGATTATAGCGTTGACTCATGGATTGATATCGCGCAGCTTTCAAAGCGATGTTGGGATATATGCTAACTAACAAACGTCATCTCATAATAAACGTGATGCCTCCGCTCCAAGCAAGGAAAAAAAGAAAAGATATTACAGTACACATCAATCATCCACGCATTAGTTAACGGAAACTCCAGGATCTCGTCATCCTCTTCAGTCCTGTTCTGTGGCCAGGCAACTCATCTTTCTTCCTCGTTCGCCCGCAGGATTGCGTGCAGGAGTCGTTTAGGCGAAATCCTGATGGTCGTTTCTTCGGCCAAGGCACGACCTCGTAGAGTGATGGAAATATCATCAGCGCTTGACTCCTCCGCAGGCTCATTAGATAGTGCCGCCCTTTTACCCTTCACCGAATTCACAACGGCCTTTAGCGCCGTCTTCAGTTTTGTATTGCCATCTTTCCTCGCCAGAGCAGGCGTGGCGCCAGAGGTGATGAAATCCCTGGGGAGGGTATCCCGTCTCCCCAGCGTCCGCTCCTCGCTGATGATGACGGACGTTTTGTTCTCATCCTTGGAGATCAAAGCAATTTGATCAGTCACAAGCCTACCGGATCTTGTCTCGATGATGTCGATGGACCTCCTGACGAGAGTGGCCTTGGTCTTCGGCTGGTTCGTAGCTGCGCCGGCACCACGTTCGCCAGGAACCTTGGGGCCATGGACTCGGCGGCTGTCTTCCCTTGGCCTGCGTACCACTGCTAACGTTCCTACCATGATGGTATTTTGCTGAGAGATGGCAGCGAGTGAGAGCGGAGGGTGTGGGGCAACCGCGGCAGGAAGTTGGTCGGCACGCTCCAACATCCTGCCAACATCGGTAACGTCGTGAAGAAGTTTAATTCCGAACTGGCTGATTTCGCCTTTTGCATATATCCCTGACTGGACAAATTCTTCCCAAGCCTTGACCCTGGAGACCAATTGTTGGCAGTCAACGTAGAACCACTCCTGATGCTCTTTGGGGCGTTTCCCGCATCCCTTGCACCTCACAAACTTGACACGATACCTTTTATATCGTTCAATATCAGCGTCTCTGCCCGGTGGGACCCGACGTACGCCTTTTCCGATTCATATACCCATTTCGAATCACGCTTAAAGGTATCGCAGCTCTCATTCGCGACCCGATCTTTGTGGACCCCGCCGTCCATCCGACTTTACAGAAGGAGGCGTTGGACTTGTGTTGGAACACGTAGACAATGCCCTCCGTGTCATCTGTTTTGTTGAAAGACGCTTCAATTTTACTAATCAGGTCTCCCCGGCTGAGCTGAATGTCAGGTGCAGGAGGAAGTATAATCTTGCCGAGATGCTCATGATCAATTACCCCCTCGGTAGGGTTAGTTCGGCCGATCGGGATGGGCGTGTCCGAAGGGGTATCGTGCGCTCCGCATCTTGTACACGTCTTTGTATTCGCATGGGCTCTCCTTTGTGCTGCCTGGAGCCTCTCGCTGGTCCTTGTCGTTCTAGCCTTGATTGGTGTGTCGTCCTCCACGTCCCAGCCGCCTGTGGCTGCGCTAGTTGGTGTTGTTGGGGTTGTTGGTGTTCTGGGTGATGTTCTGGGTGGAGATCTACTAGACTCGTTAGGTCTGACAGATGGCGGACTGCTAGGCGACGTCATCGCGCTGGAAGGTGACTGGGATCCGAGACTGGAGCTCTTGTCCAAGCCTTGAGGGCGCCCTTCAGGTGATGTTGTTGGCGCATCATCAGACGTGGCCGCGTTAATCCTCGCTGGGTCGAGTAAGGACGAGCTTGGTGATGAACCAAGAGCGCTCCTACGTCGAGGCGTCATGGGTGTTGGTGTCGAGAGCCGTGCTATGGGAAGTTCTAACAGCTCGCCATCTTGGTTATAATTCTCCAGCCCACCAAAGCTATTGCTCTTCGCATCGTAGTCGAGGATACCGTCATCCACGTAGCCCATGTCTTCCGGATCAGAAGGGCTGTCTGGCGATATCAGTAGAGTGCCGGAAGAGTATGTTTGGCTAAGCGCCTGGCTTGCTAGCATGTTTGAAGTTTCCGCCTCCCGAGCCTCTCCCAACTTATTATCCCACCACGTTTCCAAGTGCTTGAGTGCGCCGCGGTAATGTAGGTGGCAATGAAGGAGCTCGATAAGTCTCGCGACCGGGCCGTAAAATCTGTGGGTGTAGTCCACCCGACTCAACTTGGCCAGCTCGGCGATCGCATCGTCGATTTTGTTCTGCTTTCCGTAGCAGGGCTTTTGCACCGCCTGCCTTTGTTCAATACATGGCGGCAACGCGTGGCGGGCTCGACCCAGGAACTGGCGTCTGGTGTGCAGAGGGCGCCGTGGAGAGCGGCGAATGCCACGGATGTCGAGATGTCGAGTGGGCTCATGGCTTTGAGGAGCAGATGGCCCGCTGGGGAGGGGTTTCCTAATGGTGTTAGTAGTGGGCGGGTCAATACTAATTCATATTCGAGGCAGAGCCGAGGGTTATAAGTAAGTAGTGAGCCCGAAGATGTCGATCACATCATCGAATCCGCAAGGCGCATGGGGACGGAAGGGGCTGGGGAAGAAAACCGATGGTTTGGGAACAAAGTGGACTCCTGGCGTGCTAAGGACCTCTCACGTCTATCTCGCAAACTACTTGTACAGCCGGGGACGGAAAGGGGGAAGAGCCCTGGCTTGGCCCGACAGTTTGGGTCACAGGATTGCGATGTTACCTGCTGCAGCCATTCCGGTTGCGAAATATGCAGTTGGTTCGCCTCTTGCAGCGGAGGATCCGTGCCAACCCGCCCGCCTGCCCCCTCACCCAATTTTCCACTTTGTATCGGCCGTCTCTCCTGCCTCTTCTGAGGTTGTTAGGTACAAAAGAGCGATGCAGTAAGTTTAAATACTAATTTCGCTTGAAGGCGCTGACAGAACGAGGGCCGGGGCGGGGTGAACCGGCAGTACGAAAGAAACGCAGTTCCATCGATCAATCGCAAGGAAGTGACTCGGCTTGTCACTCTCTTGGGTTGTCGGGGTCCCTTTTCGGTCGCCTTGCAGCGGTTGGCCAGACCCCAGTCAACTAAAAATATGATCACTCGCAGTCGCAAGCAACTTGGATTTAGGCGGATGAAACTCTCTCTCGCATTCGGAAGGGGCTGGGTTGGCGAAATGTACAATCCCTCCACATCGCCTGATCCTCGCACCCTCTCATACTTGGTCTTCCTCTCTATCCTCAATCTTCTTTTCGCCGATGAGCTTTCTACCTGACCGCCGCAGTCAACAATATAACACAGGATGAACAAACTTGCAAATATCGCACCCGATACTAGCGATGGCCTAAAGTCTAGTGTAGTCCTTCCATTCGCCGAACTTCATTGGATTTACTTACGGGATCCATGTAGCAACAGGCGGCTAGGCCACAGAAGGGGTCAGGCCCCCAGCCATGGCAAGAACACTCCCAGCGCTTGGAAAGCCCATCTACCGAGATATGCGCTATATTCAAGAAACCACAGCAAGTTCTAGGCCATTGAGTGGATCTACCTCGGGACTTAGAAAGATAGAGTGGCTGGGACGGGCCGGCGTGTTAGTGGGGGTTTACCAGGGTGCATGATCCTGCGCGATCATCAGATAGGGGTTGATGAATTATATTCCTCACCCTTGTGTTAGAGCCCTGCACCTCCGGCCTTCGCCGATTTAATCGAGCAGTAAGCGAAAGATCTCATCTGACGAAGATTGCGAATTGTACAGAGAGGCGGGGGTGCCCGGGGTGTCCATGGCGGGGATTTGTACAAACGGCCCGTTTCAGCCTGTCTATAGTACAACCTCGCATTTGGCGCCTGACCGATAAGCAGCAGTGATGAACGTACATCTTGGATGTATGCTTGGCATGCAGACTCTAGCAGGCGAGGGTAGGCGAGTTGCGCAAACAGGGTTTCTTAGGTGGACAGAAAAGTAGAAGCGTGTATTGCCAGTTACGAATTTGGTGCAAGTCCTCAGGAGTCGTCTCAGCACCCAAGTACGAAGTAGACTTCGTACACACAAATATACATATATCCATGGATGTAAGTGAAGCTGAGGCGTGCCACGGCTGTGCGGCCGTTGACAGCCACACTTGTGGCTCTTTAAGAGTCACTTCGCGTGACTACATTGTGTACTTAGTCTCCTTGCTCGTTCCTTCAAGCATGGGCGCGCCTCCTCAAAATCGTACCGCTTGTTGCCCAGTCTATTGTGTTGCATCTCAGTGATCGTAGCCTGTATCTTGTCGGCTCAGATCCCGGGTTGATGCAATACCCTGGCAGGGATAGCCAGGAGCCAAGCGCATGCAAAAGTTCCGCCGTTTCTAGCATCGTGGACGACGGCTTGAATTTTGTAACACCATCGTTCACCCCATCTACATGTAATCTATGTTCCACGGGTGTATTAGAAACAGCTGGTGTATGGTTTCCTTCGTGGATGGCCTAGGAAAACTTAGCTTAGTTTTCATACCACACCACTGGAGGCCTGAACTTGCTCATAAAATGTTTCAGGGTCGGAATTCTCTATTTCTCTCAATGTCACACCCGGCAAGCCTGATTATATCTTCTTCTCCCGATTCTCTAGGACTGCCCCTTTCCAGCCACAGTGCTTGAACTGCAGGGGTTTCGTAGAGCGGCGATGGCTGTGCTCGCCTCCCTCCATTGGTGTGGCTTGTCCCGTTGGACTGCACAAACGGCCAATCATTCGGCCGAAAGCTGTCTCGACGCTCCCCAGTGTCATTCCTAGCTCGCGTTCCTGGATTGTCGTCCTCAGCCCCAGGACAGGTCCGAACCCGCGTGTGGAAAACCGTTCAATCATGACAAGGGAATGTCATGCGGTTAGTCACTCGGTTTCCTGTGACGTCGCAACGCAGCCAGGTACGCTATTGAGATTGGCTGACTCTTGAGGCATCTTCATCCAGGCTTCATCTTAAGAGAGGGCAGGGCGGACAGGTAGGACTGATGAGTGTTGTCATCTTATCTTTGTGTCATAGATCGGTTGGAGCAGGAAACCGTAAGTATATAAGAGACCAGTCAAGCCATCTATGGATATTCTTCCGCAACACTATCGAGTCTTGGAAATCATTGCTATATTGCGACAGCCAACAAGACACGAACAAAAATAGAAAGGATGGGGCCCAAATCGATTCTCCCCTTAATCCTCCAATTCCTCATCTTGCCTTTCCTCGCCCTCGCAGCATGCGACTACGGCCCGGACACATGTCTGCAAGGTAAGCAAGCCACGACTATAGCCAGCTCCCCCATCCTAGCACCCCGCTAACAAGACCAAGGATACGTCTGGCGTGAGGCCTTTGCTGGCGACCACGTCTGCGTGCCGCCCAGCAGTCGCACGGCGGCCAAGGCCGACAACGCGGCCGCCGCCTCGCGCATCCAGCTCGTCGGCGGCAACGTGGGGCCCGGCGTGTGCAAATCCGGCTTCGTCTGGCGATCCGCCCGTCCCCTCGACCGCGTGTGCGTCACCCCGGCCACCCGCACCCGCACCGCCCAAGAGAACGACGAGGGTCCCTTCCGCGTGGTTTGCAACTGCAGCTTGCCCCTCTACACTTACACCCAGCGCTGGTTCGGGACCGCGCCTTTCTGCTCTGGGTCGTGCCCCGCAGAGTGGACGGCCATTCGGCGGGCCTCGAGCGGAGGCGGCTGCGAGCGTAGTCGAAAGGGGTTGTGCATCAACTGCGAGGCTGCCTTTGGGAGTAGCTGCGCTTTTGGCACCAAGGTCTTGTGCGAGTCCAATATTGCCTCCGTTACCCAATCGTGAGGAGCCAGGGCGTCTTGAACAGTGGAAAAGAATGGATGTTATCTGTCTAGCAGCATGTATACTATAGGCCAATAGTAGCCTCTTAGTTTCTCATGTGACATTTCTTCATGCTGCCCTTCCTAGTGCTATATGTCACAGACGGAGTCGGAGTATGGTGAAAGAGAAAGACGCAGAGTTATCAGTATTCAGGGTCATAACATTAAAGCTCGCATACTCCATAAATAAGATCTAGACACAAGAACTTCCCAAACTTTTATCAACTACCGCCTGTCAGAGGCTGCTCCGTTTCGGCTGCATTCTTTTTCGCCTTCGGTTCCACTCGGAATATATACACCGCGATGATCAAGCCAATCGAGACGGGGGCAAGAAAAGGAAGAATCCGACGAATGCTTCTACACGGGGCGACAACGGGTCATCTGAGAGGAGACGACCAACAGCGAGACCCAGTTCGGTAGTCACCCCAATAGCGACAAGAACGTTTAGGATCGAAAGTTTTGAGAAATCCTAGCGGGGAATAAAAGATTAGCCAGTTGTCGCTACACATGAGGCGCTCAAGCCGTGAGGGGTTTGGGCGGAGGCTCTCTCCATGTACCTTGCGATATGCCATATCAGCCCACTGGTATCCAATGTGTACGATCGGGTATATAGCGATAATGCCTACCCAAAGGACGCACGTATACACCAGTCCCAGGGTATTTCTCAATTCTCTCTTCTCCTCCATGAACTCCATAAGGATTCCGTAATCGTCTTCGTCGGAAGTCCAAAGCATCAAGGGGACGAATTGACCCAGCGCGATCCCCGCGAGCAGGACGAACAAACCCCAGGCACCCCGCGAAGATATGTATCGTGCGCGGGGCGTCGTAGCTTCGCGAGCAGCGCTTTAAACGGACGGCTAGCTCGACGGTGACGGGGATCACGGCGGCGAGGACGAAATAGAGAAAAATGTCGAGATGACATCGAATCGGTATTCCGTGTCAAGATAGCCGTAGGGACCATTATAGACGACGGCGAGTGCGGTGCCGGCATGCGTACCAACAAACAGCAAGGCACTAAACATGTCGAAAAAGGCGAGCAGAGCGCGCGGGTAGTCAGTAAACGAAGAGTTTCCTCAAACGGCACCAACGTCAAGGAAATAAAAAGAAATTCCACCCTCGATCTCGATAGTGGACAAGCGCCAGGCTCTTTCCTTCACAGGAAGGGGGAAAACGTACATGATCCACGCGCCAATGTAAACTCGCAGCAATCTCTTCCCGGCTTCAACACATCGACCTTGGTGCGTCCCCAATATTGCCGCGACCCCAGCAGGAGACAAAAGACAATCAAAAGAATGATGACGAGGATTAACTCGCCCATGGGGGCATTCGCCGCAGGGTAGCGATTGGATGACTTGCTCCCCGCGGCGTGGCGCCAGCTCGCGACTCGATATTGCGACCATGGCGCAGATGCGATTGAGGGTCGGGCCTCCCTTGTTCGTTTGGCTTTGGTGGTGGATGCCAACCAGTCGTCGCACGTGTCGCCGGATCTTGGTCCTGGGCGATGAAGCAAGTCGAAGGTGTCGGCGGGCACGCGACGCGACACACGGAAAAAGGGGTCGCTTTTGCACGCACGAAGAGTGAGTGAGGAGCAGAATTTCAACTCGCCCGCAATGGGAGGAGGGCATCGCATGTTTAAAATAATAGGGTTGGAATTGGGCGAGAGCCACCGTGATCAAGGGTTACATCGGAGACCTCCTTTTGCTTTGCCGTGCGCTTTCTGAGTGGCTGAGGTTGAATCAAAGACTGCCCATCGTCGACCCATGTCGAGTCCAGGCCGTAAGCAAGGACAAACTACACGCCTTGTCGTCCCCCATTAATCCATTTTGTCTTCCTTCTTTTGATTAACCACCCGTTTCAGCCACTGCCGCTCCCACTTGGTAGCGTTGCCGCTCCCACTTAAGAACACATGCGAGTGGGGCAGGATCGCCGATGGCTGAGGGGGAATTGTAACAAACCCGTGGCAAAGATCGATGATTGATAACGGGTAGGTATTCTTGGTATTGAGAATAGAAATGGACAAAAGGGAAGCGATTAAACATTGGCCATGCTTTCCATCAATCTTTGTCGTGACCACAGCAAAAACCGAGACCAGAGAAAACTTGAAATGCCAATAGCTATTAATAGCAGCAGCAGCCCTATTTGCACCACCCCTCTTAACCTTAATACAATCAAGCACTCAAGCAAATAGCGCATCAGTCGTGGTGCCATAAGGCGTGCCTCGTGGCGACTATGCACACCACACGTGTGTTATTGCGCCTTCGATCCTCGCGATGTATTTTGTTTTTCCCAGGACGGACCAGACATCAATGCCCTCTTCGATCGGAAAACCCCCATGCGACCAGGGCGTTTTTAAGTTGCAGACCTGTGCCCTAGAAGAGGAAAAAAGCTTGATCGAAAAATGATCCTGGCAGATGGAGATGGTGCTTCTGCCTGGCATGGTCGCTCCAGGATGTGGCGCAGCAATGGTAGCCAAGACCTGCCATCGAGAGTGGCAGGCAGGACTCGACCGCATTCGACTTCTCCAACCGATATCTATTTCTGACGATACCGCATTTCTCCACGCACATAGAAATCTCCCAGAACATCGTGTCAATCCACAATGTCACAAGAGGCCAACCAACCGCCGTCAGCCTCCGCGCTCATGGATCTGCCCACCGAGATCCTCCTCGGCATCATCGCCCAGCTCGGGGCGCGGGACGTCACCGCGCTTTCGGCAACCTGCACCACCATGACCAACCTTTGCGACCCGGTCCGCTACCGTTGCGTCAGTCTCCGATCCAGGAGGAATTGCACCAGCCCGCAGGCTCTCGTGCGGCGACATGTGTGCCTCCTCCGTGCTATCCTGCGACGACCCCATGTGCTCCAGTACATCAAGACCCTCCTCGTGAAGACGAAATGGAGGGGTCACGACGGAGGTAGCGCGCGCGCGAGAGCCCTCATGGTCTTTGAGCAGTCCAGTGGCCCAACGGACAAGGGTATCAAAGAGTGCCTGCGCGAGATGCGGCTCCAGGAACCGGAGGCCCTTAGTCTACATCGATTGCCTGCGGCAAGCAGGGCACTGGTGGACGTCTGCCTCTCCGAACGCCGGCAGCGCCGGCAGAGGGGCGAAGACGAACGCAACTGGGCCGAGGACTTGGAACAGGCGTGGTCCTCGTCGGAAGATATCAAGGCCTTGATCGCGTGCCTCACGCCCAACCTCAAGACTATAAACTGGCTTGGGACATGCAGCTCAGGCAGGTTTTTGAAAACGTTTCGGGATAATGTCGACGCTGTGTATGCAGACCCGCGGTTCAGACATATGCTGCAGCATCTGGTACGCTACCCATACTTTAATTTTGGACAAGTGTGCGAGAAGTGCGGGCGGAATCATGCCGCGGAATCATAGTCCTAAGCTACCTTGAACTGGGAGGCGTGGAAAGTCCTTTGTAGATGGTGATATCGAACCCGTCAAAAGACAACTTGGTCTTGTAGAGAGATATGAGGGCGGAAACACGAATCGGAAAGAGAGCGCTCGATCCTCTACATGTACTGAACAGAACTTCAGTAGGGTACATATGTAGTGCCCAAACGCCACTCACAGAAAGGCGCCACCTCAGAACGACCTACACACCTAATGGTTCGCAGCCTACGTATCAATGAGGATAGAGCCCATCATCAAGTCTAGTAGCAGGGAGGAACCACCTCGCGACCGACGGCGGGCGAAGCACCTCCTCCAAAGGTAGTAACGCAGGCGAAGAGTATAGCTGTGGAGCGCAAGCTTGGCGGAGCTATATGTCAACAGTCCTTCAGAGCGGACTCATGACACCACGAGCCGAGAGCCGTGCGAAGACACGGTGATGGCCAGTCGGGAGCAAGATACCACTGGGTTTTCACTAAGAATTAGGAGGTAGAAGGACTAAATACTATTCACAAATAGTGGAATAATGAACGGGTAATAATAACACTCAGGATAGATCCACGCCTAAACTTTTTAACTTTTTTCTTCCTCTTTTTGCATCACATCTCCCACGAAAACGGCCTTATTGTCCGTTCTCTCCGCGAGCAGAACCAGCCCTGGTCTGGGGCTCGGATTTCTCGTTAGCAGACTGCTCAGAAGACTGCTCCTCCTTGGCGATCGCCCTTCTCCTGTTGAATACAGGACCGGGGTGGCCAGCGTTGAGCAGCAAGACAGCGATACACATCATCCTAGAAAGCAGAGAAGCGGGGGTTAGCATATTGACGGAGATCGACCAGCCATCACAGGTGGCCAGAACAACGGGGCCACGAAAGAAAGGACGAAGCAGCACGTACACCGACTCAAAGGCGATAAAGAGACCCTCATCCCTGAACAACTCGCTAAAGTAGCCCTGGCCCAGCTCCACGATTCGGTAGACGCAGCGCACGAGGATGAAGAAGGTGGCGGCGAACATGAAGCCGAGGAAGATCATCAGAGGCCGGTCGAGGCGGTCGCGGGAGGGGAGCGGCGGGCGCGGATGACGTAGTCGGCAAAGGCGATGGAGAAGACGATGAGGGTGACGACCTGGAAGATGAGGCCGGCGAGGGAGATGTTCTCGCCAATCTCCACCGCTGCCTTGTCGGAGCCAACGCAGGAGAGGCGCCGCCGGTGGCCTGGAGGATGAGGGAGACGATGTCGCAGGGGATGAAGACCCAGTAGAAGAGAGCCGGCTTGAACCTAGATACGGCGGGGTCGACGTAGTTGGCTCTGTTCAGGTTCGCGCGTTAGCTCGCCGGGTTCGGAAATATCGGGCGCATCTACACCGGCCGAGATGGGGCCGGGAAGCCTGCCCGGGAAACGGGCGCAACACGAAAACACGTACACTTGGGATAGCAGGACATAGATGGCCGAGCAGAAGAAAACGGGAGCGATGGTGATGCAGACTAGCGACACCGAGGTTAGCACGCCAAGAAGATTCCACACAACCTAACAACCACGCGCTGCCAAGAAAGCTTTGCGCCGCCAAGCGCCCGCGGGATGCACATACTGATCTGCATCAAGAAGCCCTGGAAATCAAAGGGATTGCTGTGGATGATTAAACGCCCGATGTAGCCCACGATCTCGAGGATGCACCCGCTCAGCATGCTGGCCATGAAGCCCCATGCCTTGGTCCGCACGCCCTGGTACGCGTGCACGAGCAGCGACAGCCCGAACACGGCGATGAAGACGATGGTCGAGGGTTTGTTGGGCTGATACCGCAGGAGACTGGCCTCGATGGGGCAGAGCTCCAGGGTGCAGTTGGCCAGCGGGCCGAAAGTGATGAGGCCGTTCGGGAGAGTCGCCATTGTGTCTTTGGCTTGCGTCCTTCAGCCAGGCTGCGTCGGTGGTTGTTGTTCGAGCGTTATCTGAGGAGGGGGCGATGTGCGATCTATCGTCGATTGGTTGATTTGTCCGGCCTCTTTCGCTCGCCTCACGAATCTTTTGTTTAGTCCTGGGCTAGATTTAGTAGAGATGGGCCCGGGAAAGAATTGTCGTCGCCTGAGGAAGTTGCCCGAATCGCTGTGGTCGTTTTAAGCTTGGTTTCGAGGTTTCGAGAAAATTTGCAACCTGAGAAACAAGAGCGTTGGCGGGAGTATCCGGGAGTTTTTGAAGGTGCCTAATCCGATGCTCGATTCGACTATAATAATAGATCACATCATAGCTTTCCCCGGGGGCCAGATCAGAGAAAATCCAAGGTTTTGGGGGAACGGGTAGGAGCGTATTGACAGGGGTTCCTTTGACACGAAGCCGCGCAAGCGTTCGGGGCCAACGTAGGGACGGAGACAGAGGCTTCGACCGATTCCGTTCCTCCCACGAGGCGTATTTGCATCATACCATCCTTGTCGACGCCCCTGATTTGGTGGTTTGGGCGGAACCACTGATCCGCTATCGGATCCTTCGGATGTGTCTTGCGAGACTAGTGGCCAGGGTTTTTTTGCGTGCACTAGCCCAAGAGGGTCTTCATTTTGTTTTACTCCCACGGATTCAATGATTGATTGTGTGTCGAATGCACCTCATCTTTCCGCCTTGGCCCGTACATTCTCGCTTGTAGTGATTGCTGTGCTGGTGTCTCCACCGTAGAAATCCCAACGGGTCCAATCTATTCCTTTCCATCCAACTCTCCACTTCGAGCTCCGTGTCTTTAATGTTGCCATTGCACATCAGATGGGCTTCAGATCAATTTCATCATCATCACGGTTGAACATGAGTCGAGTCAAGTAGCTCCCTCTCAAGTGAATGGGACGATGCTGCCAACAACGCCTGAGCCATAACAATCCGAAACCTTCCATCAATTGATCTCCATTCATTACATCCATTACTTTGGCGGGCTTTTTCTCTCATTTTCTCGCTGGTGAAAGCTCCATGCCCTCTTTTTCCACCTGGACACTAGACTGAAACCCAGCGAGATTCTTTTCCGTCTCCGCTCAGGTGCGCTCGGTTCTGCAAAGATTGATATTTGTGACGTCTCATCAGCCCTGCTTCGCCTCCCACCAGCCCGTGCGACTAATCCTGAAAGGGAATAGCTCCACGATGAACCCGAAAACATGTTTTCCCTCAGACACGAGACTGGTGCCTGGAAGCTCTCGAATTGCTGCGGTTCCATATCCACCCGACTCCGACTCCGATCGCGCTCCTTGCCCGCTCCTCCTATCCAAGCCCATTCCTGCCAGGCCCTGTCCACTCAACGCCGTCTCCGCGCCGGGGGCAGCGAGAGCGCAACATTCCACCCGATTCAGGCTCAAGGAGGAAACCCCAGATAAGAAAAAAATTCTGTACCAAATGGAAAAGCAAGCGAATCCAAAATTAGGAACGAAATCAGACAGGAGCGGACAACACGAGCGCTTCATGGATGAAGTTTGCACCCGGGGCAAGGTGCCGGGTCTTGACGCCCCTGGTACACATCGGGCCTTGGCTTCCCGTAACGTTGATGTAGCCCACGCCGCCCTTATCGAGGCGGAAGATGGCGTGGTCAATGTACGAATACACCCCGGGCACGAGAAAGCGCGTATCCACAATGGACGAGCCGCCCGGCGGCACGCTTATGGTCTGGATGAACCGCCCCGGGGACTGAGCACATCCCCATCGCGAAAGACATTGATAAAATTGCTGCCGAGGATGTGGAACGAGCTCGTCAGGTTCGGGCCCGCGTTGCCGAAGAAGATGCGCACCGTCTCCCCGCCTTGGCCTTGAGCGGTCTGTCCCGCGTCGCGGCCGACTCGCTGCCGTTGAACGTCACCACGTCGGGCTCCTCGCGCAGCGCGTTGGGGTACGAAAATTCCACCGTTTGGGAGAGTCGCCCGTCGTCGTCCCGCTCGGGGGCTCGTGGTAGAATTCGCTCTGCATCACGTAGTACTCCCGGTCCGCCTTGCGGAGGTCGCCCTCGGCCGGCTGCACATACATGAGCCCGTACATGCCGTTGGCGATGTGCACGGGCACGGGCGCGGCCGCGCAGTGATAGATGTATAGCCCCGGCCACAAGAGCTTGAACCGCGCCGACTTGGTTTCGTTCTCGTCTGCGGCCGTGAGCGCCGCGCCCCGCCGGGGCCCATGAAGGCGTGGCAGTCGATGTTGTGCGTGTTTCCCGTCGCGTCCTTGTTCGTTAGGTGTAGCTCTACCACGTCCCCGACCCGTGCTCGTATAAAGGGCCCTGGCACCGAGTCGTTGAACGTCCACTGCTCGTACTTGTGCGCTCCCGTCAGTTGCCGTATCTTGGTCGTGGTTGTCAGCGCAACTTTGAGAAGCACGGGATAGTCTCTCGTGATGGGTGGAGGCACATAGGGGCCTGGGTAAGTGTCGCTTCCTCCACCGGCATGTTGTCCTCTTGCCGCGAGATCTCATCCTCCACCTCGTACAGCGGCCGCTGCGACTCTGTCGTTAACGTGATCCTCTCGTCGGTCGCGTCACCGGATGTGTCGAGGAGCGTGGGGCTACAGAAATAGTTGTAGACAAGCGACCCGGTGGCCACCAGGGCGAGAGAAGTGGCAACGGCGCGTGTGCGATATGTGGACGCGCCCGGGGAGCTTTGCCTGGCCGGCGCTGGCCTGCGGAGAGCCGCGGCCCTATTTTGGAGTTTGCGGCTCGCCGGCTGAGTAGCCAGTATGCCCTCCATGGGCGTGACATATTTAGAGAATTAATTCAAATCGGGATAAGATATATTCATGAATGAAACCCAGTCCATTTAAACATATTTCGTGAACAGACTGGAGACAAAGAAGGAAAACAAGCATTATGGGTATTCCCGAGGCATATATGGTTGGGCTAGGCAAGAACGTGTGGTGGCTTGTCTCAAGCGCATTATCATGAGGTTAATTTCCTAGTCTCAACGTCATGGCTTGTCTGGGAGCAAACTCAAATGTGTGCCCGGAAGTCCAACGAATTGTCACTTGGTGGTAATAATGAGGACTTGAAGACATTAATCATACTTCGTTAATAGGTCTAGTTTGTTCCGACTCCTACATGTACTTTTATTGATTTGCCCATAGACGGTAATCACATTCTTACAGCAGACAAGCTTAAGCGGACGTTGTTCCTTGATTCATTCTTTTTTGCTCCAGTGCCTCGATAGATTCTGAGCTTGATCGGTGTGTTTTGGTGCACTCGGTTACTGGCTCTCGTGGAATACATGTAGACAAGTGAGCACATATGACAAGGCTCGGCAAAAGTTGAGGCAATCACGACTCCCAAGTTCTTCCGTGGTCCCGATAAAATCCGTCGTAGCTGGGCGCCATGTCGTGCAGATTCTCTCTCTCTCCCTTTTCCGGCTTACTGTGAGCCACCAGGGATAAATGCCGATGTCCGCGCACCATTGGAGGATGCGACAGGATACTTCATCGCGGGTGTCCGCAGATGGTCTTCAGGGCGTAGACTTTTTCTATACTAGAGTCGGGGACGGTGCATTTTTCTACCCAGCGGCTTGTGTTCGTGCTGCTCGATGTTGTTCCTTTATATGTGACCTTCCCATGGCAAAAGTATTGTATGCCAAGGGACACACCCGGGCTAATTACACACTGTAGTTACGCGACTGAGACGCAGGGGAAACTCTGCAGTATTACCACGTGTGGTATTGGAAGGGTCACGATGGAACCTTATTTCAGCCACTTTGCCTCAAATGAGGTGCATCCCGAACCACGAGGGCTCTTATATATATCACGGAATTTGACTCGCGGAGGAGATTTTGCTCGAATCTGGTTCTTCCGTTACCTCTTCTCCATATTTCAACGACTACCCCATCAACCCTTATCGCCAACTTAGGCCACACCTTACTGGAACATCGTACCTTCCAAAAACAAGTACTGCACGCCCAAGTCAAAGCCAAAATGCAGGAGCTACCCATCGACGATCCCGGCCACATGGCGGCCGCTGACCGCCAGCTTCAGGACTGGGAGGACTTCATTGTGGGGAAGAAGCTGACAAACGACACGTCTGACGAGAACGCAAGTCAATCCGCCGGTTCCAACCGCTTCTAGTTCTACTGACTCTCGGCCCAGATGATTTCGAGGAGCAGCTGCCCAAGGGAACCAGGGTCATTGAAACAGATGACGAGATACCGATGGAGAATATGGACGACCGCATTAGCCTGGTGGTAGATGGGGATGGAATCGTCACCCAGGTTTTCCGGGGATAATCTTGAGCCGGATACTAGGCTTAGTCTGTATTCTTGGTATTCCATCCCATCTATGGATGTATACGTTCAAATACATGCACGAAATGGTTCTAGCACTTTCGACGGAAAATAACAGTGCGACAAGGGAGGACATGCACGTTTATCAGGATAATGTAGGTTCAACCGGATTTCATTGAGGTAGACTGCAAGATCGAGCTCTAAAAGTTGATCTTGATGAGGATATACGAGATCCCCAACCTGCCAGTCTAGTTGTGAGTTGGCCTGCGGTTAGAGGCTACCACGCCTACATGTACTCTCCTTTCATCTGATGGCGAGAGAAAGGTACGGCAGCCAGAGATTGCCCACTTCCACTACTAGCCCCTTAACACCTATCGCCTCGAATGAAGACGACAAGGCCCAGAGGGTCCCATACCCTGCCAGTAATCTGTTTGGGAGGCGACTCGTTGGCGCACCACTTCAAAAGAGGCCCTTAGCGTAGTCGGCCACGTACCACCAGGGCAACTCGTACACCTTGGGCGAGTCTTTGTTGGGATCAAAGCAGACGTAAATGGCCGAGTCCCACGAGCAGCTCACGCGGGTGCACGACCTGGCCTCGAGACGGCACGTGTCTTTGGGCTTGGTGTACAGGTAGTGGATGCCCATCTTGATGGGGTTCCGCAGGGCCCTGGTCCCGATGGCGGAGCAGTCCAACTTGCTCACCTTGCGCTCGAGCCAGGCGTCGTCCTCCTCGAGGCCGGCGGTGTGCGCGGTGTTCGGGTCCTGCTCGGCCCACACGTAGTCGGGATTAATGCTCGCGACTTCCTTGACGACTTCCTCGATGGTGCCGAACAAGGTCATCTCCTCGCCGTTTTTGCCAAACTGGCCGCGCCATTCGGCCGGCACGATGGGAAGTCGCTCAGATCGTCGGTGTCGGTGACGTTGGCGGTGGGCAGAGGATCGGCAAGGACTGTGCCGGTCTCGACTGTACCGGTCTCGACTATGACGGTCTCGACTGTGCCGGGCTCGGATGCTACGGCTCCTCGCGTCTGAGGGAAGTGGTTAGCGGCGAGGATCTCGTGATCTGAGTTGTCTCGAAATTAAAGGGAATTGGGGAGATTGGGGTATACCTGGTGTGTGAGGGCTAGAAGCCCGAGAAGAGCTGAGCCAAGACGAAGATGCATCTTGACAGATTTTGAGGGATTGATTCGTTTTCTTTTAGCTGGATGTCCTCTTCAGGGAAAGGTGTAGAGCACACGAAATAGAATGTGAGTGTGAGAAGATAAAACACATTCTCTAGATGAGGGAAAAGGGGCCAGTAGGTGGTATTTATATCTGTGTCAACGGTAAGTGATTCATATCATAGCCATCCCTTACATGGCAGGAGCGAGCGGCCACACCTTGCTCCAGCTCCAAGATCAAAACATTGAAAGGAAAGAGGTCCATTGAAATGGAGACTTTGACTTGCACCTTCCTGGAAAAGAACAACTAGGACATGACTTTATTCACTAGCTATGGAAACTAGGCTAGAGATAACGCGTTCCTCATCAGTAGATGTAAACAGAAACCACATAATCTCCAAAAGATTTATACCAACTCACTATAGAGCCACCCCTCAGCTATTCTTTTCCTTACCTGTCAAACCCCGCCGGTTCCATACTCGATGGAAGAGAAGAATGGTGGCGCCTTCCCAAGAGTATAGCGACAGGTTATTGGCGGAGATCTTATTTAACCTCCCCAAGGAAGCACTGAGGCTGGCCTTGCATGATGAATATTCCTCTTGTTCCACGAACTGGAGGTGAGGCTGGGGATGGACTGTAGCAAGCGCTTATCACGCTTACGAGAACTATTTTGTTAAGGGGCCATGTGATGGTTTTACTCAAGGGTTAAGTGTGTGTCTCCTGTCCTTGATGTAGGGGAGGGAATAATAGACACGATATATGCGTGGCTCACGAGGCGTCTTGAGGCCAGCTGATATCGAACAACCAAAAGGCCCTAGCCAACTCTATAGAGAAGAGATGACGCTCAGGACTTGCAGTTCGTGGAGAAATTCCTGCGTCAGCTCGCCGAAAACCGGGCACCGTGCCTGCCTATTTGTCCGTCACAGAGTATTTCCGTTTTGCCTTCGGGCAAGTGGGAGCCAAAATGTAGCTGTGTCAGCGCATTCCATAGCTTCGTCTAATGAATGGCGCGCGTTGCCTGCATGAGGGGTAAAGGTAGGGGAGGGTTGGATGGTGGAATAGCACGGCGGGCGTTCATTTGGGTCGGCCATCGGGCCAAGGGCGAAGGAAGAGGCCATCATTTTGGACGGAGGGGAGAAGAGGAAGTAGCAATGGAGGAGGTATAGATGGCATGGGATTAGTTTAGAAGGGAGGGATTTCAGAGCAATACGAGAAGTCCCTTCCTCGACCCTTCACGAACCTCCTCCAGCCAACCATCCAATTGTAGTGGAAGGGTTGGCTTCGGGGCCTCGGATCATGCCGCCTAATAAACAAGCATTGACAAAACCAACACTTTTTAATCTTTGGTGAGTTCGTGCACCCAAATTCCACCGAGCTCGATAGCGCCCGGCACCTGTTGGTTGTAATGGGGAGCTTCAAAGGGATCGGTACTCGGACATGCTCTGTCGAAGCAAGGTGGAAGGACAACGTCAGGGAGCGACCCATAGTGGCTCAGTCCGCGGTGTTTATTGGTTCACCTATTTACCAGGCGGCACGCCTCGCTCCTTCTCTTTATCCGCAACCAACGCGCTTGATGTACCTGCATTATCAATGCTGGACCTGCCGCACCAACCAGCCATAACGTCTGATTCCGAAATATTGTTCCACATGTTGTTGGCGTCTTCAAAACGCGAAAATGATACTACCGCCCGCTCCTGGAGTCCCTGTAGAGACTCAGAAGTTTGCAAAGAAGACTCCCGCCCGGAGACGAAGTCGGACCGATGGCCCACTCTACAACTACCCGCCAACCGCGGCAACACAATCTCCTTGAGAGGAGTCGTGGGTGGATATATAGAGAGAGACCTTTCACCAGTATATACCCAATTGGAACGCAAAGCGCGCGTTAGCATCTCCCCATACCTATTCTAATTGTTTCCTCGGTGGTTCCATGACTAATATCGCCCCCTTCGGCACCTTCCTTCTTAGCATTATGTTCCAACTAGTATTATCTGGACTAGTGAAGGTCACTAGCAACACATTTCTGGCCTGTACGATACATTGTGGCGGGGATATAAAAGGGAAATGCTCGCGGCAGCCATCGTAGGAGGTCTTAATACGATATATATATCCGGCTAGTTTCCATGCCGTACCTACGTTCTACCTCCTGCGCGAACGAGAGAACAAATCACAAATATTGCTCCGGAGGTAGAGAATATTGCCCCGGAGGTAGAGGATCAAAGCGGATCGCGACCTGGAAAACGCATAAGGAGCTCTAATATTCTAAGAGAATTTAACCGCGTTTCTCACAGAAGAGTTAACTTTCCACCTGCTCCTCTTTTGCCGGGCGCCATCCATTCACCAACTCCCCAGCCAGTTCCATCCACTGGTGTATAGAACTGAACTCATGTCGCAGGATGAGTCGTATGGTATACGGGGTGGCCGTCAGAGAATCGATATCGATATTGCGTGCCTCTATAACCCGCATTAGATGGCAGAGGTATGTACGGTGAGGCAGCGGACGTTGAGCGCGAACAAGGTAACGCAGCGTCCCGATCTCGAGATTCATGATCACGATATCGACGGATGGCGGGCCAGAGCGGCCGCACACTGGAGCCTCACAGATCTCGCCCGTTTTCGGATCTACGTATTTCCCGTCGACGACCGGACAGTCTAGATCAGGATGCCACCTTGTTCCATGAAACTCGTCGGGGTGCCGAGGTAGCGGGGAAGGAGGGGACAAGAGGGTGCGGACGTCATTCCTTCGAGGCGATGTAGTCTCCAGTCTTGCAAAGGGGCAATGGGGCGGGTTTTTTGGTTGGCGTTGGTTGTAGTTGGTAATCGTGAGCGGCTGGGAGGTTGATCGAAAGACGAGGTCTTGCCGTTTTATATACGCAAGAGGAGGCGCTTTATCCCCGAGACGTAGCTGCCGCCGGCATGCAGGTAGGAGGTTTGAATCGGCTAATTAGCTACCTGAGAGCTGGAAAATCGAATGGAAAACGTGCAATCTATAAGAAGGCTATATCCGTGCCACACAGACCGCCAACAAATGTTAGGGAAGAGGTTAGATTAGTTTGCTTGATTGGACATTTGACCAACACTATCTCTAGAGGCGGCTGTTCAGTTCCGGGCCCCGCGGTTTCAACACGGACTGGCGAGTCCCGTCTTGAGCCGAGGGACTGCGAAGGGCTACGCCACCAACAAAAGCCGTGATAGCAATAGATTGCCGCGTCTCGCCTCAAACATCGGCGACCTGCTGTCGAAGCCTAGCGGTGTTGGCTATCGTCTTCATGGTACTTCAACTGTAGCTCGCACCGTTGGTCAGAGAAGGGCCGCTACGTAAGTTCGTTCCACATAGATCGTCAATAGCGTTCGGGATGATAAGCATCATATCGGTTGGTTGGTTTCAACCAGCATCAAGCGTTGGTATACCCTATGTGGTCAAGGTAGCATTCCCACTTGACCCTGGCCTTCCAGGAAACCGCAACCTCTAAATCTGGGTTGTGTTTGGGCCCCCACGTCGTTGTGAGCGCGGGTGTCTGGATGGAGTAGCCAGAAGGTCCACTGACACAATTCTATTAAAATCCCTCATGCTCCCTCTTCAGCTAAGGATATTTGAAGTAAAGGCGCCAGCCCGATAGTAGCTTGAGACTACGCTCTTTCGACGCCGCCAGTTTCCCAGTCCAGTACGCTTGGAAGTATTTCTCGAGGCAGCCATTAACACTATGGTCTTTGCTACAATGAAGGTAAGTTTACACGCAAGAACTAAGAGCATAATCATATTGAGCCTAACCTTCCATGACCAGGGCTTGTCGATTCTTCCCATTGTCGCCTTGGTCTGGCTCCCAGTCGAGGCCATGCCTGAGGACACGTCGTTGATGGGTGGCTCAGGTGAACTCGCCGCAAACCCATTGTTTACTCATCACTATCTCGTCTGCCATGTTGATTACGAAGATCAATGCCTCGGCCCCTGCGCGACATACTGCACTAACTTGGGCAAGCCCAAGAGCAACTGCAACATCTGCCAGGAAGCCGCCTGCGACTGCTTCCAAGTCTGGGGAAGGGAGTGTTTGAATCCCGACTTGATTTGTCTACTGGAAGAAGAAGTGGGAGCCTACCGAGAAGCCAAGGAATGGCCTGCGGAGATCGTAGCCGGCAAGCCGGCGGAGATTGACAAGGTGAATTTTGGCCTTGACGACTAGCTCGTGGACTGCGGCAGCCTTGAGGATAGGGGACTCCCGTTACTCATCTGTCGATCTTTGGGATATCAACCTAGCTCCCAAGTAATTGTATGTCGAAATTCTATCTTATACATATCAGCTCGGAAGTGTGATGGACGAATGGAAAGTTATTCTCCACAAAATTTGTCATATCTACTTCTACATGTAGGTTCCAGGTTGGGATGAAATATGAAATGGAAGCTCTACTATTCTCGTGTAATGCCCCGATTGCATGATATCAGAACTCCATGTAAGGTTAATCTACGGTGGAGGCTAGCTGCGACCCTTGGGCGGCTTCTTGTACAATCGAAATCAGAGTCCATGCAGCAAACCTGAACTCAATCTTTACACATGGAATCCGAGTGAGAATACATATATTGCCACTACGACCTCGAATAACGGGCGAATGCATTCCCGTGAACATATTCTGGGGATGAGAAGAACTGTGGGACCCCGATGGCCTGCGCACTACCAGTGTATATGTTCTTCGTTTCCCGCTTCTTTCACCCCTCTAATATCCAAGTGTCTACCCCGGCACGTTCGGAGCGGATGGGAGCACGAACAATACACTTGGGTGTCACACTTTCGTGAACGCGCTTAGTAGAGGCCGGCATCTTCGGAATGGTACACACCCGTCAAGGGAGGGAAAGCAACTGGCGTTCAACTAGTCTCGATGATAAAAAAGAACACTCGTATTGGCTTTGGAGAAAGTTTGGTAGGGCTGGGCTAATGCTAATTGAACCAAACAAACACCAAAGATCCCTCGGCGCACTGACGCGGTTCCTCAGAACCGTTCCCATGGCTGAGAGCAAATTGTTGTTGTGCGGGCTTATTATGATAAGCTTTTTGCTTCTAGCTAAAACAAGGTGAAAGGTGGGTTTAGGGGCACGCTAAAGAAGCAAGCTTTCTCAGGCGGCGGCAAACCTGAGACTCATCACAGATGCTCTTTCGCAGACGTATTTCTGCCTCCCTAGCGAATGGGGTTATGGGCTTTTTTGGTCTGTCGCATCTTGTCCTGTTGGCTGGCCAAGCTTTCGACGAGAGAGGGCAAACAAGTAAACCCGCATGCAAAGAGCTCCGGGGATTGCATTGGCCTGGCGCCCCGAGATTAGCACATCTTACATGTGCTCACCGGCGACTTGGCGCGTCCGTCCACCGGTCTGGTTTGGGACCCAACTCACGGGAAAAGAGAACGCGAGGCTTTCTCGCTTTGCCTCTCCTCGAATTACCGTCATCGGGGGTATATCAGGAATTGCGAACGGTCTTTGCCCCTGACTGAGATGAGAGATGATACTTGTAGACCTCGCCTCAACTGTCCGTGCCGTCCGGGTAGCCGTTGTGACAAGGAAGGTGACGGCGCGACGCACTGTTCAGAGAGGTGGCATCCACAGGGAACATGAGAAAAAAGAAAATACGAACAGATTCATTGGTTAACACCATGCCGTTTGAATCCAAGGGTGTGTTCGCAACGAAGAATTGAAATCCCGAAAGCGATGTTCAGAAATCCGTGGCGCTAAGGCCAGGCAGGATTTGCTGATCACTCCATGTCTGGGGGAAGGATCCCCAACCGGGGGATCATTTGCTCTTCCTCCACCATGATCCACACAACTTCTTCGGCCAGTCTGCGTTTTATCGTGGCGCCCCTTTCCATTCAACCGGGTACATTGGCTTGCCTTGAAGGCGCCCCCTTTCAGTAAAAGGGGAATAAACAGAAAGAAAGCAAAATAGAATGATTACGGAGACGACCATGGTCCTGAAGAGATGGCAGTTGGTTGAGGAGCCATCTTTTCGTACGCGAGCGGTTTCCTGGCCTGCCGTTCCCCTCTAATCGATAATGGAAACAATGACGTGTCGATCAAAAGACCTACAGTGATGCCCTTCTCGAGGGAGACTCGAAAACGAAAAGTAGTGAAACAGAGGATGGGCATCGCAATTGTCTCCTTTCTCCTTGCATATCAAATATTCAGTAAAATCCCGGATTTGGCAGACTGGGGTCCCCGATGGAAGGACGCAGCCAAAGCCCTATTGGACTGCACATGCATCGTTAAGATTCGCTGGATTGGATGTCCCTTTCCCAAGGCCGGCAAGTCGGCAGCTCTAGCGACCAGAATATTGGGACGCCTCCAACTCGAGACATGGGGGAAGGGCGGGGGTAGGCGGAGGTGAACATCTTGCATCTTTATTGACGACTATTGCTCATGGTGGCTAACCCCCTCAACTCCAACACGGATCTCGCTGCTGGCGAGAAGAGGAACGACGCCACTCGGCCTACGACTGACCGGTTGGCCATCAAACCGATGAGCAGTCGTTCTCAACGAACGGAACTCACAATCAACAATACCATGAATAAAGTCGCTTGATCGATTGTAGCCGAGCTCGAGCAATCTCGATCTCTGGCTGCCTCTGCCAATGCTGTGTAACCGCCCCTCCTCCTCCTCTCACGCGACTGGACCGCCTGTCCCATAAATGGGGGTTCGGAAGCCAGGGCATGCCGTCCCCGGCGACCGGGATCTCGCTCCTTTCCTTGTCTCGCTCCTGCACTGGCCACCAAAAGCGGAAGAGCTTCCCATGTCACTGTCACCATCGCTTGTCACCCTGATCAGGGCTCCTGCGACTGCAATTGCAGGCCTGCTCGAGCAGTGACGACCCTCGGGCTCGGCTTGAAGACAAGTCGAGTTAACCGAATATCAAAAAGAGAACGGAGACCCTTGAACCCGGATTCCGAGCGGGAGAATCGCAATCCAAGGGAGATCCCGAGAAATCTTGAGGGGCAAAGGTAAGCCATAAGAATTGAAAGGAGGAAAAAAACAACGGCAGGAAGAATGAGATTAGCTGTATTACTGCTTGAATTTTCTTTCGTCACTCGGCGGTGGAATAAAGCCGAAAAAGATGATGAGGAAAGGGGGCAGCCAAGAAGGCGACGCAAATGTCCCCCTCCAACAGGTCGAAATCTCGGTTGGCTATCCGAACCGCACCCAACATCACTTGACAGAGCTGCTGGGGTAGCAGACTGGACTCGCATTCGGCAATACAAGTCTTGGACAGCTTGATCACGATTGTATTTCCAACATCCTCGAGCAGACTGGCTGGCAAAAAGAAAACGAAAAAAAACCCTACGCTACCTTGCTCGACATGGGGGACCATTTGTTCCAAGCTGCCTTGTCCCCAGACATTGCGTTCGCCCGGTTGGGCCAGGGCGATCTCCAAGATTGATGGAGGAGAGGTCCCCTTGTAAAACAAACCCGATTTGAACAAAGAATGAAAACGCCACATCCATCACAGTTAAATTCTCCCTGCGAGGATGAATGAGAGCATTGTCTGATTATTCCAGCCGACATTCAAACCTTGAGGCTTGTCCTGTTTCTGTCCTGCGTTCATTTGGCTGGCTCGGCCTGTTCGCCCCTTCGTCCCTAGCAGGATAGACTTCGGGACCTTGTTTAGTTCGCGCCCGCTAGCGAAACTCCCGAAAGGCTGCATCACCTCGCATCCACCGCCAGCGAGCTGGACAGGACAGAAAGTACGAGTATTAAGCACTTGGCCAGGTATGGAACAGTGTGGTTTGCTGCTCGGGAGACTCGTTGGGTTGACGAAGCCACTTCCCAAAATTGGGTTCGGTCAACTTGGCGCGCCGTCTTTAATGTCCAAGTTCCAGCAGAGTGAGCTTGGTTCATACATGTACTGCATACGAAGCGAAGTGATTATTCTTTGCCGTGATTTGATCTTCTCCTTCTCCCTCTTCTGCCCGTCCTCGTTTCCCCACCCTTGCCAATCGCAATTACCACAACGGCCCTTTCCTCCATTCTACGCTAGTGTCCGCGCTAAAGAGTGCGACAACAGCAGTGTACGTATGTGTAGTGTACGCAACATTGAAGGCTCCTCTCTCGCCACACCCCAGCTTCTCCCAATTCAATACATGCCCAGCACAGGTCATCCCTGGCTCCCCGATCCCGCGGTCCGGCTCAGGCGTGCTTTTTCTGCTTGGATTGGACAGTCGCTCTGCCTCTTGACCTCTCGTACCTCGACCTTTGATGCATGAAAAAGATTTTCCACTATTATAGCGGGCAAGACATACAACTACGTCGACGTATGTACAAGGAACGTAGTGTGACAAAGCTCTTTCCCCTTTGTTTCTCACGGCCCAGCCGGGGATACAAGGAGTGTGTGGAGGAGGGCCTTGAAGAGCTCGGATTGGCCTCCTCGCAGAAAATCCGAGGAGCTGGTAACCTTTAGACTTCCCTCGGGGCGTTTTTCTTCTCCCCTCCATGGATGTCTCCATGTCTCCACGTCGCTGGGCGCTGACCCTGTCGCTCTCGCATTTCCTCACCTTGTCCTGTTTCCTCCTTCACCACCAGGTCCCCTTTTTTCAGCTGTCGTAAGCAGCCCCCGTCAATTTTAAGCTCAAAGCGTCGTGTCGCATTGCCGATTTGTCACAAAACCCTTCTCTTATCCCCGCGGAGGCTTTGTTTCCTCTCCCTCCCTCCCTCCACTTCACTTTGCTTCCGTTTTTCTGGCCCTGCTCATTGCTCGCTTGTACAGTAATACAATACATCGCGAGCCTCAACTGAAGCTGAGGGTTGCTTCTTTGTGCGTCCTTGCCGCCGATCCGCCCTCTTTTCGGCGCCCTGCTTCTGCGGTGTCCACCCGTGGTCAGCACCACTTGGCGGCCGAGTCTCAACCATTAAAACCGGGGGAACCCCAACTCTTCATGATCACCCTCCTCATCCCCCAAGTACATCTTTTCCTCTCGTCCTCCAGTGTAGGACGACGGGGCAGTTACGCCGATGAGAACCTCGCCTACGAGAAGTCCAACTTTCTCTCCATTCCAGTTCCACATCACTGGGCGCGTGGCTTTCCTCCACCACCGACAAATAGATCTTAACGCCGAAAGACGGGGAATACGCAAATTACGGATTCTTCGAAACACACGACACTCCACTGCCCTAGGTGTTTATCGGGAGAATTTCGCGTGCGAAAATTGAATCGAAAAAGGACTAAAAAGAAAAGTGCGACAAGATGCAGGACTTTCCCGGCGGCGACCCTTTCGCCGGGCTCGACACCACCGCCACGGACAGTCTGTCGGGATCCATCATCGCCTGCGCCGTCGTCTCCTTTGTGGTATCCGGTCTGATGGTGGGCTTGCGCTTCTATTCCAGAGGCGTTGTGACCCGGGTCCTTGGACGTGAGGATTGGTGTATCCTCGTGGCATGGGTACGAACTGAACTGCCCCTCTCTCCCTCTTTGCTTTTTCTTCACTGTTTTCTTGCGCGGTTGCTTTTTCCGATCTATTGGCGTTGTTGTAACCCAGCCCACTCTTGAGCTGGGGGTCATGCGTTGAGCTGGTGTGGTGGGGGTGCATCGTTGATCAAGCGGGCTAACCAATGGCGGCTATCGCCGAACAGCTTCTTGTCATCGGCTTCACCGTCACCACTATTCTCCGTAAGTCCTATCACGCACTCCCTTCCTCCACTATACTGGCCACCATCTAATAGCGACATGTAGAAGCCAGCGTTGCCAGTGGTCGCCATATATGGACCCTCAAAGAGGGTGCCATGCCTAAATACTTGCTCGTACGTTGGTCCTCGCCCGACAGAACACTGTTCTAGGCGTAGGCTCATGGCGCTAACCCTCGCCTCCTGGGTCTTTTTCGCAGTACTCCTTCATCAACGTCATCTTCTACCAGCTCAGCCTGTGCTTTTCCAAAATCTCCATTCTCTTCCTTTACATCCGCGTCCTCACCTACAACTACGCCCGCCGCGCCGCCTACATCCTCCTCGCCATCGTCATCATCTACAACACCCTCGGCTTCATCTCCTCCATGACCCTCTGCCGGCCGCTCCGCGCCTACTGGGACTTCACCATCACCGAGAAGAAGTGCCACCCCGTCTCCTTCATGTGGGCCGCCATCGGTCTCCACATCGGCACCGACTTCCTCATCTTCCTGCTGCCCATGCCCGTGATACTGGGCATGAACCTGCCTCGCGGCCAAAAGATCGGCTTGGTTGTCGTCTTCGCCTTGGGTTTCTTGTATGTCGCCGTGTCCTCATCCACCGTAAACCGAGTCACATTCCGCAAAGGGGAGAACCCTGAGAGAAAGGCGGAAGAGACAAAAATGTCGGTCCAGAACGGGTTTTGCTGACTTTCTTATAGCGTTTGCTTCATCTCCATCCTCCGCGCCGTCTGGATCCACGGCCTCTTCGACGCGATAGATTCCACGTACGACTTTACCGCCATCACCAACTGGACCGTAGTCGAAGTCAACACCGCCATCGCCATTCCCTGCCTCCTCGTCCTCAAACCTCTCCTCAACAAGATCCTACCTCGGTTCTTCTCGGCCTCCGGCCCCCACCGCAATCAAGTCTACAACCTCGACGAGCACCCTGCCGGCTCCGGGAGCACGCCACGCCCGAATCGCGGGGATGAAAGCGCGCATGAGGCGGGCTACGCATCTATCCAATCCGCCAAGTCATCGTTTCTCGCCGATGACCGCGGCAACGCGGAGAGAAAACATCCGAGCTCCGACATTGTGTGAGGGCGGACCTTTCTTCGGACGGAGCCGGCAACGTCTTGAGAAGCAGTCACTTTGTTTTGCTTTTGGCCAGCGTTTTCTTTTCTTTTTGTTTCTCACGCGTCATGGTAGCAATTGGTGAGGAAACTTGGGAGGGAACACCAACCCATTCATTTACGGTTACGTCTACAAAATCCATCGGGCCGGCGCGCCCTCGAGACATTGGGATTACTTTTTCTAATCTACACAACCAGGGGCGGCGTCCTCTAATCTTGTAACAATATTTTAGTCTTCTTGAATAGGGGCATGGAATCATGGGATCATCAAGCCACGGAGGATAAAAAGGGTACGGAACAATACGGATACTGATATTTTGTTGCTTGCTTTGACGAGAAATTCATTTCGTTAATGACTCCATGTCGCTTTCGCTTTCGCATCACTCATCCTCCCTTGCCTCGCCTCCTGTTTGCACTCATTCCCACTAGCCTCTTTTCGTGATGTCTATAAAAAGAGCACAAACGGCGCGAGACTTTCTGTGCCAAGTCCCAAGCGCGCCAGGACGGACACATGTTATTGAACGTCAGAATAGGGGCGAGTTCGGATGGGGATGCTGCGGGGTAGATATACCATTTCCCATTGATGCAATGAACCCCAACGTGAAGAAGAGAGCCCCGACCACCAAAGATAGCCGGTGATCCCGGACCCTCCCCGCCTTTCCCGCATCGGAGAATTCGGCAAGAAGTAATACGGCCTAGCGCGGTTTCCCCATACTATTATCGCCCGCGCACAGCGCTCGTTCAGTTCTTTCGAAGGTCCCCGAAAACAGTCCGGGAATGCCAACGAATGCCCCCGGCTTCTAAACGTACCCGAAATCGACCCTGGAATGCGTCACCCCGCGTTTTTAAGTCCGGGGAAGCTGTGCATTGTCGCGCAGGATGGCTCAGTATAAAATCTCGCGGACGTGACTGCTTTCTTGGTGGACTGCGAAACCCGCAGAGGTCAACTAGAATCAAACTTTACATGTAGAAAAAGGAGCAACAACCTTCTCATTCCTCCACTTGACCTTAATCCCGTCTCGCAAACCAACCGAGGAACAATCACCCTCTCTGCCCTCCACCTTCCCACATCACCAAATAATACCATGGACTTTTCCCCGCAGAGGTATGCATGCAGACATCTCCTCTTTCCCCGTCCTTCGACCTTGCCCATCCCCCGTCTCCAATCTCTCAGTGCAAGCTCCTCACTAACTCTGCTTCACAGCGTCGCCTTCGTGACTGGCGCCGGCGGCACCGTCGGCCGCTACACGGTCCTCCAGTTCGCGCGCGACGGCGTCCGCAACATCGCGGGCCTGGACCTATCCGAAGAAGGCCTCCAAGAAACCCAGAAAATCCTCGCCGAGGAGTGCCCAGAGGCCGTGTTCCTCCCCTCGTGGCGGACCTCCACAACGAGAAGCAGGTCGAGGCGGCGTTCGCCCAGCTAACGGAAAAGTTTGGGAGGCTGGACCACGCGGTCAACAATGCTGGCGTGGGTCAGACGCTCAAGCCCACGTCGGAACTGGAGTTTGGGGAGTTTGACAAGGTGATCGGGGTCAATCTCAAGGGTGTTTGGGTGTGCGAGAAGCTGGAGCTAGCCATAATGGAGAAGCAGGAGCCTCTTCCCTTGACGTCGAAGGCGTGAGTCTCTCCGGCCGTGTCCCTTTTCTGCTCGAAGCTCCCGAGTGTGGAAGCGACAAGCAGCTATCTCTAGGAAATTGAAGCTAACGACTGTCCTATGTAGCTCCGGTCGCATTGCTTCTCGGGGCACCATCGTCAACGTCAGCTCCGTTCTAGGACTTCTCGCGATGCCGACCCTCGGTGTATATACCATGTCTAAACACGGTAAGTTGATGGCTCTCATGCATGCACCTGAATGAATATCATCGTTAACCTGTGTGTGACGTGACAGGTGTCGTCGGATTGACGAGGTCAGATGCCATTGACTACTCGAAAAAGGGAATCCGCGTCAACGCAGTATCCCCGGGGTAGGTGAAAGCACATCTTGTATTTTTGTTACTTGGGAAACACATGAAAACTAACCTGTGGGATTGTAACAATCCCTATGAAGATTCATCGACACACCGTTGCTCAAGGAATCAAGTCGCAAAGCAGTACGTGGACTGGTTTATCCCGGCTCCAGGGGCCATATACGAGATTTGGATCAACTAACGAAACGTAGCTTGCTCCGTCAATTTCCAAGACACCTTTGGGTCGCCTAGCAAACCCTCAAGAAATCGCAGATTCCATCATCTACCTTTCAAGCCCGAGATCGAGCTACGTCACAGGCACCGTACTAGCTGTAAGTGTGGCAACGAAGTGCAATCCTCGAAAAGGTGTCTAGTATCCTGTAACTAACGAATGCCCTGCAATCCTTGCTTGCTTTAGGTCGACGGAGGATACACTGCCCATTAGAGAAGTAGTGAACAGGCCTAGTGACGTATGGGTATCAGGGTGGATACCATCGGATAGTAGTTATCTCGTACCTGCTATTTGACTCTGGATGTTTATATACTGTATTCCCGACATCCATTTCGGCAGTGATTCGATGTCCTGCTGGCGGTTGCTCTCGCCTGGTAACAGCGAAACCGTGGATGTTCATAGCTTCAATCTATCCACGTTCAAGCATCTCAGTTCATGTAGTGACCCTAACCTGACGCAGCTCCGTAGCCTCCTCGGATCGTCTCAACTCGACCGCGGCGCCTGTTACTGCAAAGGTTGAGTCTCTCATTTTCTATGTCAGCATACAACTCCAGTCTACTCTAGCTTGACATTACGCAGTCTTTGGCTACCCAGTTTGCCGTTGCCATATCTCTTGTCCATTCGCAGTGCTATGCTCACGGAGGTGCGTGCATCATGTACTCTTATTCCCTACACTATATGTAAATATAGAACTTGAATGCGGATATAGTTGAACGAGAACAGGGTGGTGAACGAGTTATTACGTCGGGAACCCGGTTAATAAACTACCCAAGTGCCATATCAATTCTCCTTCACGAGGTCACTCAAGTTCACATATGTTATTCATAATATTTTGTTTCTCACGACGGTTCGACTGGGGTAGTACAACGGAAACCCGCTTCTAATAAATAACAATGCTGAATTTCCTTTCTTTCTCTCTTGGCTTTTCCTTGCTCCGCCACATCCCCTGGTCAATAGATGTTTGCTGGCACCACAATATGTGGCACCAACACGCGCTGCAAGTTTGTAGAAAGTGGGCCGGAGGGTCACACAAGCCTTGGATAAGTCAACCAGATCAATTGTTAAATGCGCCCTGGTTTTCGTTTCTCCTCGGCGTGGTCTCGTCACCTCCCAACCAAACTCCAGGACCAATCACGACCAGGATGTCAGTTGCACGATATGGAGATTTGCGCGTGGGGCACGTAGAAGTTTGCCCCCTGCATAATCCTTCCGGCGCCCAGCACGGACTTGGCGGGCAAGGCATAGTCGAGTTTGTTAGTTAGTTGGCAAGTTGGGTCTGGCGTTCTTCTCAGACCGTGCAGCCCGGGTAGTCCAGTTCATCCCTTTCCGACCCTCCCCCAGTTTAATCATCGCTCCATTGGCAAGGCTGTTTCGAGGCATCCCTCTTGTTATCATGTTCTATCCGTTTTAGGTAATGAAGCGGGCCACCTAGGCATCGCATGTTGTCTCAACCCTGAATCCTTTCTATAATACGAACTGTGCTCGTCTGCGGCACCCAGCGATAGCGCGAGATGTCCTCCTTCCCCAGCTGGTATATGTACTTGCTGTTCCTGTAGACTCGGCCCATCCTTCCTAATGAATCTTTTCGCCATATACTCGCGACTGTCCATGATCTCACGACTCATTAATAGCATTCGCTCTTCGATACGGCGTGGCCGGCCGGGCCTCCTATTCATATGCGCCACGGTGGTTCTTTGGTACATCTATCGACATCCAGCACCCGGCCCTTACGACCCATCTCACGGCCGCCTCCCTCCACTCCAGGCCTTTTCTCGCTTTGCCATCGTCACCTTTCTGGGTAGTGACACCTTTGGGGGTGCAGAAGACAAGTACTTCATCGCTTGCCGCCTTCTCGCTTACCAGCTCCTCCACGCTGACGAAACTCGGCTTCAAGATGATCGGATCGAATTTATCGTGGCCGTAACCCCCACTGTCAACATCTGGAAGCGAGACCAGCTTGAATCCGATGGCGCCAAGGTGGTCGACGTCGAAGACGCACGTCTAGCGTGGTGGATCAACACGGGCGTGACGCGCTGGAAGGACCAGTTCGCGAAACTGCGCATCCTGACGTGGACCGAGTACGCCAGAATCCTCTTCATCGACGCCGATACCCTTCTCCTCTCCCCGCTCGACGCGATTTTCCACTCCAACGAGAGCATGTATCCCGCGCAAACGAATTTTCAGCACCGCAAGGGCGACGAGGCCGCCCTGCCGGCCGAATACGTGTTTCTCGCGGCGCAGGACCACCAGTTCGTGGGCGAGCGCGACCACGCCGTGCCCCCGGACCCGTCCTCCACGACGGGATCCTTCAGCGGGGGTTCTGGCTCGCGGCGCCGTCCCGCGAATTGTACGACCACCTCGTCAGCATCGCGCGGCACTACCGACGCTTCAACCCGACCACGATGGAGCAGAGCCTCTTCAACTACGCGTTTCGGCGGTGCGACGCGAGCCAAAAGGCCAAGGAGGCTTCGTCGGCGTGTCCCCGCGGCGCGACGCCCGGCCCGATGCCGTGGGGCGAGGTGGACTGGAGGTGGTCGTCGACCTGGCCTTCGATGGCTGATGTGGAGGGCGGCGTGGTGAGCTTGCACGAGAAACTCTGGAAGACGGGCCCCGCGCCGTTGAGGGATATGTGGCAGAAGTGGAGGGTTCGGATGGAGACGGAGCTGGGTGCTTGACGAAGACAACAATAATGGCTTGGAGACATGAACCGGGTGAGGATTAGTTTGGCTATACCCCTACGATGCTCATTTTCCCAGGACGCCGGGTACCCATATTATTACCGAATGGTCCTCCAATCCGTCGCAACGCACCGCACCACTCGTCGTATTCGGGCAAGTTTGGCCGCATGAGGCACACCTTAGCCACAAACGACGCGGACATCCGACCCCAAGGTGAATACAGCTGCTCATCAACAGCTTGGTATAGCATTGTGTGAAGAAGCTTGGTATCCTCGTGTGCCTGCAATGCTCTACAGCCGAGCACCCAGAGCCACACACGCCTACCGCCGGCTACTTTGCTTACATCCAATCATCCTTAGACGCTGTCAGCGGAGATTCTTTGGGCAACATTAGGAGGGTGTCAAGGGGCTTATCCTTGATTATCAGGGACTTGGTTTTCCGGAAAAGCTGATACTTCGCGTGAACCCGCAGTTCTGTCAGTCACGTTGGGTTCCCCATGCGCAGCTACTCAGGCGATGGATGCGCCACCGATGGAGAAGAGACCCTCACTGCCATAAGGTGGATCAAAAGCTGCCACAACAGCATTGCGATCGGGATATAGTCTTTGTGACCTCGTTCCAAAACCGACCAGCTACGGCCCGGCTGCCGAGGCCTTAATGGTGCCTAGTTAGTAGACATTGTGTCTGGTACAGGATGTCCAAGCACGTCTACAACCATATGGCAGATAAGCCATATTCTACAGTTGTCAAAGAAATATCCATCAAGAAGGGTCTTTCTGCGTTCCTATACCGCGTTCGGTTCTATCTGCAAGCGGCACAGCTCTTCGGTGGCGACGAACGTCAGTGGTCGTCGTGGCGAGGGCATTGCACTAATAAAGAAGATCGTGGATGGATTTGTAGCTAGCCAAGGGTTAACCAGCGGACAGGGATCAGTGCGAGAATCAAAGCTCTACATCTAGATGTAGGGTCACTGCACTGTTCGAATGACAGCGACAGCCCGGGAGTGTTCACGTCATTGATGGCGAAGGGGCCTGCCCTGACCGCTCATGACACCTCCTACTATTAGATTCTGTTCTCTTCCTACATCAATTGAAATAGTCGAGAAAGGGCCATTCTACCCATTGTTCCAAGCTCAGAGCGACATGAAAGACGCCAGTATTTGATGAAATTTCCATGGTGGGCCTGATTCGGTACCGCTATTTAAGCGCGGTACTTGTACGAGTAGTCTGGATCCAGCTGGAGGGCTTCCGAAGGTTGGTGCCCTCGACGGGGAAGACAAAAAGGGGGTGAGAAGAAATCCACGATTCTACCAATGAAGAACTGATGACATCGCTGATGGACATGGTACTTCAATCTTGATATTGATCAATTCATGATGGATCTGTTGAGCAGGTTCAATCTTCATAATTCCAGTCAGCAACACGTCAAAGAATTCGAGGGGAAATACACAGCCACCCCCGCCACCAAGCAGGGCGAAAACAGGCAACGAGCTCAAAGCGATCGTCTGTGTCCCAACGGACAGCAAATCCAAAGTGAAAAAATGGGGCGATGAGCGCTGCCCTCTTCGTCTCGGCTGTCAAGGTGGCGCAGGACCACAGGGCGCTACCCACCTCGAGGAACACAAAGGAGGGAGGCCTCTACTCAATTCATCCATTGTCAGATGTTGCTCAAACCTCCGAGCTAGGCTAAAATAAGAGCTCTAGACAATAGTGCGCTTTCAGCCGCTTCTGAATAAATACCCCTGGCCAACGTCCTGAACAGCGAACGAACAATCATCGTGCTTCCTCCTCCATAGTTTGCTTTTTTCATCCCATCTCTCGTCTTTTTTCGTTCTCATCCACTCATCCTCCCTTCTCTGGGCAGCTACGGCCGTTTAAACGAATCTCCCACAGTTTCCCCGCCCCGCAGCGCGATGAGCTACCAACAACCACCGTACGGTCAGCAGCCGCCCCAAGGATACGGTGCCCCTCCCCGCAGGGCGCTCCACCTGCCGGATATCCTTCGACGTCGCCGAACCCGGGCGCCCAGTATCAGTACCCGCCCCCGGGCCAACCCCAGGGTCAAGGCTCGTATCCTCCGCAGCCTCCACAGCAACAGCAGGCATACGCCGGATACGGCGCCCCGCCAGCTCAGCAGCAGCCAGGCCAGTACCAAAATCCTCAGTACCCGCAGTACCCCCAACAACCTACACAGGGCCCTCCTCACGGGCAATACCCCCGCAAGGTGCCCCGGCTCCTTATGGGCAACCGCCCGCACAAGGAGCGCAGTACGGCCAGCCTCCACAGCATAACGCGCCTTACGGACAACCTCCACCTCCCCAGGGCCAATACGGCGCTCCGCCCCCGGCACAGTATGGCCAACCGCCAGCTGGCTACGGTCAACCTCCCCACCAGGGGTATCCCCGCAGCAGCACCAGCAACAACAACAACCATATCCCGTAAGCGCTTTTCCCTACCCTTTTAACTATTTCTTTCATCGTGTTCCCCGAAAACACCGCAGACCAGCGGACTAACCTTTGTCTTTCCTCCCACATTAGCCCCAAGGCCAGCAATGGCAGCAGCCTCCCCGCAACAACAGCAACCTTACGGAGGCGGATACGCCGCCGCCGCTCCCCGGCCCAACCAACACCCGCCTCGCAAGGGTACGACCAGGCGCAAAAGTCGTGGGCGCAGCCCGTCAACACGACCAACGACGTCGAGGCCCTGCGCAAGGCGATGAAGGGCATGGGATGCGACGAGAAGGCGCTCATCCGGGTCTTTGCGAGCCCGCAGTACGCGAACCCGTGGGCGATGCAGCAGCTCTCGCGGGACTACAACACCCGCTTCATGCGCAGCCTGGAAGAGGACATCAAGAGCGAGACGCGCAGCGGGCTCGAGACGGCGCTGCTGGCGGTCCTGCGCGGACCCCTGGCCAACGACGTGTACGTGCTCGACAAGTCGCTCAACCGCATGGGAACCGACGAGGAGGCCCTCATGGACGTGATGCTCTCGCGCTCCAACGCCGACGTGCGCGCCATCGCGGCCGAGTACAGGCGCGTCAAGGGCAAGGATCTCATCGTCGACATCAAGGAGGACGTGGACGACAACCTCGCCCGCATGTATAGCATGATCTTGGCGGGAACCCGCGCCGAGGACGCCGCGCCCGTGCTGCCCCACGAGATCGACCAAAGGTCACCGAGCTCCAGCGCTCCACCGAGGGCATGGTCGGCGCCAACGCGTTGTCCGTTTGCCAGATCTTTGTCAGCAGCAACGCGGCTCAGATCCACGCCATCGCCGACGCCTACAGGCGCAAGTACCACCGCGGCCTCGAGGACGTCATCGAGAAGGAGTTCCGCGGCGACATGGAGGACTCGTTGCTGCGCATGCTTTCGACCGGCCAGGATAGGGCGAGGGCCGATGCCGTTAGGCTGCGGGAGGCGCTCACCAAGAGGAAGGATAAGCTCTTCATCAACCGCGTGGCCAGCCTGTACTGGGATAGGCCGAGGCTCGATGCCGCTAAGGAGGCTTATAGGAAGAGGTATGGCGTTGCCCTGGCCAAGGAAGTCAAGGACCAGCTCAAGGGTGACTTGGAGGATGTCATGCTAGCTCTCTTGGGCGAAAGGTGGTAAATCATGGAATACATGCAGGTTAATGGATATGAGCACAGATTGGCAAAAAGAGGGACTAAGAGCGCCGGCATTTGTGTTTTCTTGCTTTTCTAGGATACCTTTACGAGGAGTGTTTCTTTTTCGCCGCATTGAACCTTTTTGAGGATTAGTGGATGTTATGCGCGGACCCCTCTACTGTATGATTCTGTTTTGTCCCCAAGAATTGATTATACGAGTTTGCCTCCGGGAGTATTACCATTTAGGTCCTCTCATCTCCGGCCACGGTAGAGAAGAAGGTTTCTAATACGAGTCTTTTCCAGAAACGGTAAAAAGAAAAAAGGGAATACAACCAAAAGAAGTTGGACACACCCGGAATCGAACCGGGGACCGCCTCTATGCTAAAGAGGAATTATACCACTAAACCATGCGCCCTGACTTGATTGGAATTTCCGTTGTCTCGTCGGAAACATACGCGCATCGCGAGCGATTTCTAGCAGACAGGCCAAATCTTATATGTAACCACTTCCGGTTCCATGTGAGATCCAGAGTATTGAGTCTTCACGATTCTCAGGTACATGATGGACAGACTAGATTATATTATGTTGTATCTATGTATCTCGTAAAGTCGTAAAACCTCCCACTTACGCCGCGGCACGGACCTTGTCCGCCAGCTCTACAATATCATCGTTGCTGATTACACGGGTGGGCTTGCAGTAGCCCTCCTTGTAAGGAAGTCGCTCCTCGCCTATCAAGTCGAGTTAGCTTATGTTGCGGACTCGCCAAAAAAGCTTCTAGCACAGAGGGAAGGTCGAGAATAAATCTTGACGGGCGCCAGAGGATAGGGTAACGAGGGCTGGCTAGAACTTACGGAACAAGATGTTGACATATTTGGTAGGCGCGTTACCCTGGGTACCAGTGCCGAAGGTAGCAAGGTAGAGGGCGGTCTCAAACAAGCTGACGGTCTCCTCCTGCTCGCCATACTGGAACTGGGGGTTGGCGGCGGCGGCAGCGGCGAGGCGGGCCTTGCGGGCGCGGGCGGCGGTCTCGATGGAGATGGTGGACTTGGTGAAGAACTTGGCGACGGTGTCGTAGATGCGGGAGTTGAAGCTGTGGTTGTCACCAAAGTACAGGTCATTTCGGCTCAGACTGCCATCGTGCTCGATGACTGGTGAAGGACGGTTAGCACTCGATGAGAAAAACAGAACAAATTTTGCGAGGGGAGAGAAGAAAAGTCAGATGAAACTCACCTCCATGTTTGTTCAAGTCACTGAGGTGGAAGGTGTTGGGGTTCCCGGTAGTAGAGGTCGTGGCACCGAACTCGACGACGGGGCGGGTAGAGTTGGGGCTGATGTTGATGGCCTCCTCAATCGCGTTGACGAGCTGGTCAATCGAGATGTCCTTGCCGCTGCGCGCGATAAAGCCGTGGTTCGCGAGGGAGTTTAGCATAGGGCAAGGGCCTCGGCCTATGATGAAGGGGAGGCTCTAGTTAGCTACCAAGCTAGCTTGAAAGTGTACTGAATCCTAGGCACACAACTCACGGTCATTTTTCGTGGGCGCCTTCCAGGGGTGAGTGTCGACAACACCGGCGATGGCGGTAGTCACGACGGCCGCGAGGGAAAGGAGGGTTGTGACCTGCATTGTGGAGAAAGGGGAGACGTTGATGTGCACAACCGAGACTAAGGACGGGAGAGGAAAGGGAGAGTGGTTAATCGGGGATGTTGAAGATCTACCAAGAACCCACAACGAAAGATGCGCTGGGCCGCGCCCATCTTATAGCTAAGTCAAGACAAGCTTTTTCCTCTGTACCCGTAGCTCCCCCTCCCCTTCCCCTCGGAGCCAATCCCATAAGCAGGATAAGTGCTGACCATCATCCGTCCCGTCCCAGAGGCTGGGCGGTGGGGTGTGTGAGCGGGGGAGAGAAAGGGGACGTCGTGAGAGCCTCGCCTCGACCAACGTCGACGTGCATTGGCGACGTTGAGGCGCATTTCTACGGCGCGGGATATTGGGAAATGGAACCGTGCAGGTAGGTAAACCTTGGCTCGTCTAGCATTCTCGGACCCAGCGATTGGTTGGGTTGGGGCCTGTTCGAGGAGGGGAGGGGGATGGTGAGGATTCCACGCCCCCTTCAATCCCGGCGCCCCGGCTGCGCCCTTGCACCTTGCACGGCGGCCGCGGTTGGGGCAACATTGACAGCTGTCGCCGCGACACGTGCTACGGCTTCGAATCGTTGTGCCCGTGCTTGCCGGTTTTCCTCGTGGCTTATGAAAGGAAGGTGGTAGGGGAGGGGAATGAGGAGGGGGCACATGGAGTAGCATGGGCATTCAACGCTAATAGAGTCCTAGAGAGAGAAAAATAAGACCTGGGGAGGAAGATGGACGGGAGCTGCGAGGTGTTTTCCCCGGCCGCGGTGCTCGGACGAGCCTCGTTCGCGTTCATTCTTTTTGGTCCTTTTCGGCGTCTGCTGTTGCTTTGCTGGTCTTTTTAGGAATAAGATTACTCGGGACTGAGCGAGCCGCGCATGTTGAACGGACGTGCGTCTTTGGTAAGCGATGCGTAACGTGGGACACCCGGCACTTTTGCCCTTTTGAGGGGGTCAGAAGCGGATTTCGGCACGTCATGGTGCAAGAATGGGGGTGAGCGCAATGCTGTCTTTGTTCTGCTGTCTCTCTCGATCATGGTACGCCCTGAGGCGCGCAGAAGCTACCGGGGTGAGGATGACAATCCCTTCCGTAATGAGAGGGAGCAGCCCGGTCAAAGCGGGAAAAAGCTTCTTCTTCGTCAATTGACATTGAACATTTCAATGCACATGCACGTTGGTTCAAGCTGGCGAATGGGAAGCTGGCCAAGGGTCAACTTGCTCGACTTTCCCTCAACCCTTGTTCGCTGTCTGTTTTGTTGTCTCCCCTTTCCCTTTCCCTTCCCATGCCACATCTGCACGTCTACCCCGTCTGCCCGTCCTTTATTATTTTTAGCGTTGGTAGGCACACACTTTCGTTCGCCTCGTATAAGCTAAACAAAGATAACCGGCGAGCTTGGAGGATGCTGTACCAACAGGGAAGGCCCCCGAGCTCTGGAAGCATTCGAATGGCACTCTAGAGTACATGTACAACAGGCCATCCAATTATTTAGTCATACAGCCGCCCAGGAGACGCACGTTGCTCGAGAAGAGAGAGGATTTCCGCCTGCTCCCCTCGAGTCTTGCATATCTTGCATGGATCGCAATGTAAAATTACTAATTTCGCGCCCGAGAGATGCGGCCTCTCGATTCCTTTCGCCAGTTAACCTGGCAAAAACACACATCTTGATGCATGTATTTCACATTCACTAGCTCGATTCCTTCCACTCTGACAACACGCTGTCGGGCTAATCGATGAGCCCGAGAATATGCGACTGCCACACGTTGGACACCCCGTCAATCGCCCGAATCGCGCTCGAGCCCATCGTGCCCTGGACCGCGAAGCCGGGGAAGAGATCCCAGATCCAAATGCTGGTGAACAGGGCGGCCGGGTCCGTCTCGAGCACCCGCTCGGCCACCGTGCACACCACGGATGCCTACATATACGAGCGCAGGCCCCTCGCTCACGAGTCAGCCAGCACGAACCTGTTGGGGAGGGGAAGAACAGCGAGCGGGGAGGGGAGGTGGTGTGCGGGAGTAAACAAAAAGACACTTGCATTATGAACCTCTACAATCCAGCGCGTCGCCGCCCCGGTTGTCGGGAGATCTAGGGCGACCGTGGGCGTGGGGACGCCGCATTCTGCCGTCGTTGTTGGGGGATCAGGGCTTTGCGTGGTTGGCGTCCCTGCGAACTCCGAGGAAGACGCAGTCAGCACAAGTGTCCAAAATATTGGATGGATTACTAAAGATGCGTAAAATCTCATGGTGTCCCCAGAACATCAATATATTCGTGCCTTTGACTTGGACCCTAGGCGAGGGACAGGGGAACGCAAATTGAAAGCATGTCAAACCTGGCGGGCGGATCAAGAATGATTAAATAGAGCGTCGTGGGCATCCTACCCTCACCGTCCTCATCTCGCCCATGCTTGTAACTTTCCCAAAAGTGAGTGGTAGACACTCCAACTTGTCTTTGTTTCCCGGGGAAGCGTCGCTGCAGTCAGCATTCAGCAAGGAGGAGGTGGCTCAGCCATAACCAATTGTCTGTCTGTTTACCCGGTAAATTCACCATCGCCTCTGGACCAGTCACGAGGGTTCAAAACGCCTGTTCCTCTGCGGCGCAGAAAGCGGGAGGAAGCTCGACATGATGATTGCAATGGATGTATATGCAGATAAAAAGCGTTCATTTGGCGAAGAATACGCCCGGAGAAATGTGTAAATGTCGTCTTCATCTCCAAATCACATGCCGATGCTAATCGATATTTGATTACCACTTCACCCACCAATGCCTCATTGCCAAGACACACTACTATTCCTTGCCTTGTCCGGGCCGGACTTTCGGAGCCGAGGATATTGGAGCTTAAGGTGAATCATGAATCACGAGCAAAAGATGGAGGGAAAGCACCCATGTCTTCGGACCCTTGTCGAAAATGTCATGGCCCGGCTTGGCGAGGTGACCCTTTGGCTTTGGTGAGTTTCATGGGACGCCGTGGTATTCTCAAGGGAGCCCTCCTCAAGTTCAGCAATCGGAGTCATTCACTTTCCTAGATCCCAATCCGTTTGACAAGGAGTCAAAGGGACGCTGGCCCCTCGCTGAAACACCGGAATAAGGAATGAGTCTTAATAAGAAAAACGAAGAATACATGTACACCTACCTTGATTAAGAAAGCGACTAATGCGGCATCATAGAACCTGCGTCTGACAATACACCTAATGTTATCAGACCCCCGTTTTTATCGTCCCAGTACGAATCAAATTGATACCAAGCCAGACGACCCCGGGTTTTTTGCCAAGGGGAAAGTCGCGGGTAAGGCTGATGTTTTGGCTGCAAGCGGGACGAAGAGTGTTGGCGAAACCGCAATGATTCGCTATGGATTCTGCATGGACTGTCGGGGTTGATGGCCTGGACAGGTCTCTATGTTGTCTGCTGAATTTACTAGCTAGCCGAATTGCCAGAGCATGGCCGGGAAGTACGTGAGACATGAAAACTTGTAGAAGTGAATTATCTAAGTAGTGAAGCAGCCAGCCGCACATACACGTTCGTTGTGATCTTCGCTTGGAGGCGACCATAAGCATTCTCCAGCTTGAGTCCTCAACGCCCCTGCATTTACTCGAGGCGGTCTAGACCCTGCTTGCGTCCCGACCGCCCTCCGGATCGATGGGCAAAAGGCGGTTAGAGATCTTCGAAAGATCCAATGTGGCTGATGCCAAGACCTTCCACAAATGCTTTGGGCCTCCGCAACGTGCATTGAAAATCAAAATTTTTTTCCTTTAATCCTCTCTTTTTCTCGTTTTCTGTTTCCTTTGCCGGTCGGCCACAGAGGCCAAGACTTTTCGTACGGGTTTTGGGCCTATGGCCTTGACGGAAAAGGAGGCTCGGCATATATTACGTTTACAAACCACCGGAATGTCCAATCGCCAGGTCGAAACGAAGCCGTGCCTGTGGGGCCGTGATCTCCTTTTGCGTGGCTAGTGCTGTGATGCGACCCGGTGCCTGTCTTGGCAACTTTACCAGAAGGTCTTTTTCTGAAAGGGGGAGAGTGAATCGAGGAATAGGAAGAGCGGAAAAAGGCCTAAATGAAAAAAAAAAAAAAAAGAGCCCAGCCAAAAGTCCTATGGCCCGAGCCCATGGTTAGGCGAAGACCATCGAGTATAAAAGGATGGTCCTAGTGTTTTTTCTCGGATTTTTCCTCTGGAATTTTTGAACCCATTGCATCGTCAGTCTCATTGATTCCTTTCGATACACCAATAATTCACTCCCAGCACCTATAACACGTACCAAGAACGCGTAAGAGGGAAGGAAAGACGGAAAGGAAATCAGGATTCCACAGAGGATCCATACCATCTAGGTATCCTACTACACTAGAGCCGTCATTCCTCAACTTGATGGCTGTGAAGAAAGTGCTCAATCGCCCTATGGCCCAGAGGTCTATCCATCTCATTCTGCCCCGTCAAGCCACGCTCGCCGTAGAGGAAAAGGACTTCTACCTTGGTTAAGAAAAAGAGAGAGAATACAGGGAAAGCCTCTCTTTCCAATTTAGAAGTGTTCTCTTGCGTTGATCCTAAAGACACGAGCATAAAGGGAGCTGGAACCATGTCGATCTCAGAGGAGCCCATGTACGTGTTCGTCCAGGCGGCCGCCCCTGGTTGAACCCGCACATAAAGTCGTATATCCAGAAACATGTGCCCAACATCGTCTTTGTCGACTCCTTCGAGGAGCTGCCCAAGAACCCGAAGAAAGTGTTTCAGTTCTGCGACGGGTGGGAGCTCACACGCAACTTTTCGGTGGGGAACAATGCGGACATGAGCCTCATCAACGCGTACCCCAACAGCGACGCCCTGGCCCGCAAGGATCTGCTGGCGAGCGTGGCCGAGTACTGGGCCGCCAAGAGGCCCAGCAGCAAGCTGGGCGACCACGTGCCGCTGACCGTGCGCCTGAGGCTCGACTACGCCGAGTACGTCGAGGATGCGCTGACCGAGGCCGACAATCTGGAACTCTTTACACGCTCGAAGAGAACGCGGAAAAGGTTCCGTCCCAGCGCCAGTGGTGGATCTTGAAGCCGGCTCTTGTCGATTGCGGGGCGGGAATCCGTCTGTTTAGTACCGTGGACGAACTTGCTGACCACCTCGAGCTGGCCGAGTACGAGTACGACGATGACGAAGATGAGGAAGAGGAAGAGGTAGAAGTGGAAGCGGGTGCCGGTGCTCAGTCAGGTTCAGTCGGAGGAGACATGGTGAAGGCCGAAAAGGTCGAGGAGGGCGACGGGGACAACGGACCGTACATGACGGCGCTGCAAGCGGATCAACTAAACCTCGACTTCCTCGTCACCGCCACGGGCAACCTCACCGTGCACCAAGCGCCCGCGGAGACCTGCCGCCCCAAGCGCCCCGAGTACGTCTTCAAAGAGAACGGCCGCATCCCGTCGGCGCAAATGCGCGCCTTCGTCGCCCAGCGCTACATCGCCGCCGTGCCCACCATCGACGGACGCAAGTGGCACGCCCGCGCCTACGTGCTCTGCGTCGGCCGCCTCAAGGTCTACGTCTACAAGGAGCTCCTCGCCCTCCTCGCCGGCGAGCCCTACCAGCCCCCTGGGAGAACCCTAGTCTCAAGGCCTCCCTCACCAACACGGGGCTCCAGGAGGAGGAGGACTTTATCCGCAAGGAGTCCATGCGCGACTATTGGAAGGTCGAGGCCGATGGGGGCAGCTTGGCTCCCGGGTGGAAGGAGCGCGCGTTTGAGCAGATGCGCTCCGTCGCGGCCGAGGTCGTCTGCGCTGCCGCTTACACCATGGCCGACAAGTTCACGGCGCTGAACTCGAGCTTCGAGCTCTTCGCCGCTGATTTCCTCCTTGACGACGCCGGCAACGCTTGGCTGCTCGAGATCAACGAGACCCCGGCCTTTACGAGCACGGTGTCGCTGGGCCCATTGCTCGGCGCCTCATGGAGTCCGTCATGACCATTACGCTGGAGCATATGGGTGTCCCCGTGGCTCAGGACGAGGAGAACCGTGCGGTCAAGGACCGGTTCGTGCTCGCTGTGGACGAGACGGACCGCATTGCCAAGAGCAACATTACCCAGATCGTGTCGGAGGATGATGCTGCGATATCGTTGCGTTGAGGATGGGGAAAATGGGGCCGGCACTTTGCTGCCTAGGTAAATAAGAAGGGTGTAAATGTGGTTGCGGCGCAGGATTTCAATCTTTGGGTTTTGTTGTGAATTTTGTTGCCTTGACTTGTTCCCTGCTTACCGAAAAAGAGAAAAAAAAAAAGACCCAAAAAAACAAGTTGAGCTTTGCATGCGTATCCCAGCCAGTCCTACCCAAAGTGAAGCAGGCTCGGAGTGTGTTCTCGTCCAGGCTTCGGTTGAATAGGTTTGTCTCACAGGTGAGCATCACTATCTATCCAATCGGAAGGAGCGAGCCAAGCACCCATCGAGCGTCATCATCTTCATACTCGCCCCAATCATTTCCTCCTGCATCTGACGTTGAAGCACCTCCAGGCTGCCCCTCATTCCAAGAATTAATGGCTGCCTAAAAGAAGGGAATCGCTGACATGCAGCGACACAAAAAGATCCTGACAATCCCTTTCGCACCTCTTCATCTTTTTGTCCTTGAGAATATTGTGAGCCCAGCGAGCATGCCCTCGGCTCAGAGCACCGCCTTTCTTAAAGGAACCCCATTCTTCGACTTTGTGAATCTCTCCATTTCGCTTCTACCGTAATACTTGAAACCTGTCACCCCGCTTCAATTTCAGTTCTATAACTTTATTTCCACCCAGATGCCTGCAGCAGACAATCGCCGCCTCCAGGCCCTCGCGGCCGTCGCCGGCGACTACGAATGGCACCGCGCCGAGATCAGCGAGCGGACGGACGGCACCTGCGAGTGGATCCTCGAAAACCCCGAATTCTCCGCCTGGATCGCCGCCGACGGGCCCTCGCTGCTCTGGCTCACGGGGAATCTCAAGTCCGGCAAAACCGTCCTGGCCGACTTCCTCGCCAGCGAACTCGCCGCGCGTAACCCAAACTCCACCGTCTGCTCCTACTTCTTCCCCGAAAACGACCTCTTCGAGGACCACCCTCCGCCGAAGCACGAGGCCAGTCGCGCGCTCGCCGCCCTCCTACACCAAGTGCTAAATAACCAGCCCGCGCTCGCCACCCACGCCCCGGCGCTCCAACAACAAGATGCGCGACCAGATGCGGAGCCCCGTTTGCCTTCCGTCGGGAGTTTATGGGCAGCCGTCTGCGGTATAGCGAGAGCGCTAGGGGGCCGGAAAGCGCAATTGATAGTACTTCTCGACGGCCTCGACATGTGCCAAGAGCCCTCACGAGCCGAGCTTCTCGCGGAGCCAGCTGCCGCGCCGGCAGACCTGGGGCGTCACCTCAAAATCCTGCTTACCAGCCGGCCGAATGCCGATATCGCGGAGGCGCTGGGGTCCCCGAGCACCCTGGTACGCCTCCGGAGCGAGGATGCGCCCTGGATCGCGAGGAAGGAGGTCAAGCGTGTCCGCGAAAGCGCAATCGAAGCCCTCAAGAGCAAGGGAGATCTCGATGAGACAAAGAAATCAAACTGCGCCGGCAAATGGATGAGTTTGACAGCTCGTTCGTGTTCATGGTACCGTTCTTGGACGCCATGGCAGATTGCTCCGACGAACCCGAGGCGGCTCGCGCGCAAAGCGAAAGGGTCTTTGGGAAACTGCATAGCGGGTATAGGCGCTGGCTGGAGCCGCTCTTGGAGAATCCAAAATTGCGCGAGCTTGTCCACGTGGTGGCTACCAAAGGAGATCTCGAGCTGAGCTTGAATGACATCAATATCCTGCTTGCGCTAGACGGCCGCGCCCGATTAAGGACGCAAACGATTGAGGACATCAAAGCGAAATTAGATCCCAACATCGAGGCCACGATCCTTCGCCTAAGTGACTCGTTGCTGACCACCGCGTCATCCACCGTAGAATTTGCCCATAGCACGATTGCCGGATACATCAAGGATCTAGGTGGTGCAGGCAGGATTAGGGGAACCCCGCCAAACCAGCGGAAGAGTCTCGGCTGCCAAACTTGGGCAACATCCATCTAACAATGGCCGACAAGCTCACGCAACTCCTCCTCCTCAAGACCCCCACCCTGACCAAGGCCGTCTGCCCCCGGCTGTTCGACCTCGCCGTCAAGTCATGGCTCTCCCACGCCAAGTTCCGCGGCGAGCGGCCTCCCAAAGACGGCGACCCGTCCCTGGTCGAGAGGCTACGTGCGTCGATGACTGACTTATGCGATCCCTCCGGCGACTCCATCGAGCTCTGGTGGCAGGGTTTCGTGAGCACCAACCATGGCTTCGTCCGTGCCTCGAGAGACAGGCCCGGACCTTGGTTCGAGCAGACGGGCGGCAGGGCTGCCTCGGAATTGACTTTGTACGCTTCGCGGTGGTTAACGACAATGCCACGGTCCTACACTTTATGCTCAGCCAGCTCGACGCCAGGACAGTCATCTTGGATAAGACCGCGTGGGACGACCAAGACCTGCTCGTGTATGCCGCGGAAAACACGCACACCCAGGTCATGTCCTACCTCCTACGCGTGCACGGTCATCTGCCAATGGACAGAGAGCAAGCCTTCGCCGCGGCTTTCACCGACCCGTCGCCCCCGTACACAAGTCTCTTGTTCCCCGACAAGACGAATGGGAAAACGACGTGGCTTTCGCGAGCACCTGCAGACTGCTTCAAGGAACAGATGCGATAGTGCCCGAGCATATCAGCCCTTACACACAGTTCCCGGCCTTTGTATTGATGGTGTCCCACGCAAACGACAACTGGGATGACCTCGTCGAGATCTGCGGCAATATCAACGAACCGGAAAGCGGGTTATCGCCCCTCATCATGGCCGTGCTCCTGGGTGATCCCGCCAAGGTCCGCGGCTTGCTGGCCAAGGGCGCGCGCGGACACCGTGTGCAAGTACGACGCCGCCCGGGACGACGTCGAAGGGGAGCTGATCGAGTTGGAATACAAGCGGGAGCACGAAGATCCCGCGGCCCTCCGGCACAACATCCGCGTCATCCTGCGCCAGGTGTGGGATTTCCTGGGGCGCGAAGCCTTTCTCGAAACCCCGCTCTCCTCGCCTACCGGCTGGGCAAATTAGACATCGCTTCCATCCTCGTCGAGAGCGGCCAGAGTTCCGCCACCGCGACTCTCGTCGCGCGCAAGGCCTTCCAGAACGAATCCATGGAACCCAGCGCCGAGATGTGCGCCATCATCCTGCAGAGCATCGAGGATTCGAACCTACTGCAAACGCCCGTCGCGCTGGGCCAGGAGCTGTGCCACATCTTTGCCGGGAGCGGGCCGCCGTCCGTGCTGCGGGAGGCCTTGGACGCGGGTGCCATGGGTCTCTCTACGTATCACGACGGCAAGTCGCTCGTGCACACGGCTGCCGAAAAGGCCGCGCTCGACAACGTGGACGTCATCGTGGACTACGCCGGGCCAAGCGCGCTCCTCCAGCCTGATGCGGAGGGCAAGACGTGCTTGCACTATGCCGTCCGCGCCGGCCAGTCTGCCACGGCATGGTCCCTCTTGTCGGGACGGTATCCGGCCCTGCTTTCTATCCCGGAACGTCGACTCGGTGGACTCACCCTGCTGCACGACGCTGCGTACGGCGCGGTCCACAGCGGCAGCGTAGACATTATCCAGATCGTGCTCCGCGACGCCAAGTGCGCGATCGACGCGCAGGACAGCCGGGGCCGCACCGCCCTGCACCATGTTGTTGCCGCCGTCCGAGATAGTGGGCTCGAGGACGAGAGCGAGCTCACGGACGGGGAACGAGCCGTTCGGCTCTTGATCGTGGAGGGGCTCGAGTATCTCATTGCGGACGCGCAGGGAGAGTCGCCGCTGGCGTTTGCGCGGAACTTGCGCGAGAGGGCGGAGAGCTGCGGGCAGGTAAATGACAATGTGGTGAGCGCGTTGAGAAACGTCGAGGATATGCTGCGCCGGGCGCCTTTGTGGGGGATAACAGACTGAACCAGGCGCAAATCATGGCCAACTACCAGCAATTCCTCGCTAAGAGTGCTGGCCTTGATGTTGGCCTTGAGGACGACATATAATAATGGACGGGGGAGTAGAGTGCCCAAAATGTCTTTTTACTTGGCGGGATACTGGAGTTTTTTGCGACGTAGCCGTGTCCCATAGAATGAATAATGATGCTAACGGGTCTAGAAGAATCCAATATAATGATTCACCAGGTTTTTACAGTTCTCCATCTCACGACTTGGAAGTGCCTTGTCCTTTTATATTGTGCGCTATATTTCATCTCTCTGTTTGATTCATCTTCGGCTTTTCAATTTCGGTTTGCGCCGCCTCTATTGGGTCATGCTTTCTTTTACATTTCTTCTAGTTGCTTCCATCGTCTCCCATTTTTTTATATTCCTTGCCTTAGACGTTGAGCTCGGTAGTCTTGGACTTTTCAATCACCGCCATATAAGGCTTAATCTTCTGCGCCACAACACCGTTGGCGCCGCAGTACTTCTCCACAATCTCGACGCTGCGCCCAGTGTACAAATCAGCGCGCAGCATCTCATCGAGCTCGTCCCAGACGGGCTTGAAGAACTCGGTGGCGCGGATCCTGGCAACCAAGTCGTTGGGCTTGCCCTCGTTCTTGACGACGCTACCAGCCTGGTGGGAGAGGACGCGAATCTCCTCGTGGGCGTCCTGGCGGGACACGTTCTTGGCGACGAGCTTCATGATGATGCTCTCGGTGATCATGAAGGGGAGCTCCTCCTGCACGCGGACGGCGACGCGCTCGGGGTACACGACGAGGCCGCTGGTGATGTTGTCGAGGCCGCCGAGGATGGCGTCGGCGAGGAGGAACATCTCGGGGATGTCCATGCGGCGGATGGCGCTGTCGTCGAGGGTGCGCTCCATCCACTGGTCGGAGTGGGTGTTGGAGAAGCTGGCGGGCTTGGAGAGGAGCTCGCGCGCCAGACTGTAGACGCGCTCGGAACGCATGGGGTTGCGCTTGTAAGCCTGTAGCGGTGTCAATAAAGAAAACAAGGTCAAGATGAGGGTGAAGGACGCACCATGGCGGAGGAACCAATCTGATCCTTCTCAAAGGGCTCCTCGAGCTCCTTCCACGTGGCTAGGTGGCGGATATCGCCCGCAATCTTTGCGCGGTGGCGCCGAGGCCGCAGATGGCGTTGGCGATGATGGTGTCGACCTTGCGGGTGTAGGTCTGGGTGGAGACGTCGTAGCAGGCGGGGAAGCCGAGCTTCTTGCACAGCAGCTCGTTGAGCTGGTCGCACTTGGCACCGTCACCGTTGAAGATTTCCAGGAAAGAGGCCTGGGTTCCGGTGGTGCCCTGGGCGCCTGTAGCAGTTCTGCGTCAACATACACAGAGCTCACGTAGCTTTACATGCCCGCTTAGCAGGGTTGAAACTTACCACGAAGCTTGAGTCCCTCGCGGACGTGCTCGATGTTCTCGAGATCGAAGACGAGGTCCTGGGCCCACTGAGCGGCCCGCTTGCCAACGGTGATTAACTGGGCTGGATACCAGGGAACATCGTTAGTAAGAGCCAACAGTAATAAAGGCACAAAAGCGATTTAACATGCGGAAACGACAAGTGAAACCAGGCGCCTCATCACGTGTCACTTGCGCGGCGCCACGGGTGAAGTCGGGTTGCGGCATGTGATCGGATGAGGGATGCATTGGTCCTTCAAGACCGTGTTTGCTGCCACTGTCCCTCTCATTGCCCGCTCTCAGATACCCGTTTCAGGCCGAGAATGTGAAATATAGAAGGAAAAGGCTAGAAACATACCGGGTTGGAGATGCGTGTAAGCCATGGTGGGCATGGCCTTGAATTCCATAGCAAACTTGGACAGGTTCCAGATGACCTTGGCGAGCTTGGGGAGGAGGAGATCCATGGCCTCCCTCATGAGGATAAGTTCGGCGTTGTCAGTAACGTAGCAGCTGGTCGCCTATATGTCGCGATAAGTGTAAGTCTTTCGTGCATCTCTGTCTTAAGCCATAGGGCACTCTTCCATGGGCCAAGCCCAGAGCACATGTGCAAAACTTACACCGTAGTGGATAATGCCCGCGGCAGCAGGAGCCACGGCTCCGAAAGCGTGGACATGGGCCATGACGTCGTGTCGGCGCCTCTTCTCCTCGACCTTGGCGACCTCAAAGTCCTCATCAGTGACGGTGAGGTGGTTACGCATCTGCTCGAGGGCCTCCTCGGTGATGTTCTGGATGCCGAGCTCGCGCTCGCTCTCGGCCAGGAGGAGCCATAGCCTGCGCCATTCCGAGTGACGCGAGCGCTGGCTAAAGAGGCGCGACATCTCGGCGCTGCAGTACCGGCCCGTCAGGGAGGTCTGGTACGTGTCGAAGCCCGAGGCGGGGTTGGCCTGGGTCTTGAGCTGCTCGAGCTGCTGCTGCAGGCTCTGGACCTGAGCCTCGAGGTCTTGCTGGTTACCCGCCATCTTGGAAATTTTCCGTAGTACTAGGCGGTTTACTTTGTAGGGTGGGGAAGAGGAAAGGGCAGTTTTCTACGGTGTGGTGGGGGTGGGTTGCGGTGACGAGTGATCGATATATCACCAAAGCGCAAGTGGTTCGATTAGCACGAACGTAAGACGTTGCTGCCGATAATTGTGCGCCTGGCAAGCTAAAACCCCGCGGACAAGAGAAAAAAATCAATTTGATTATGTAAACTGTCGGTCTCGATTCCACTCACACCTCAAAATGCGTCGCTTCCCCAAAGTTAGCGCCCATAGGTTCCCGAGCCTCTTGATCGGTTTTGAGGTGCGTGATTTTGGTCGGCGCAGGCGGGAAAGCTTCTTCTGCTCCACTTGTTGATTACATCAGCATATTCACGGTTGATGCATGTGGGCCGCTATAGGTGGTCCAGCCCAGCGATTACAGTTATTACTCACATTATTATTCCAGCCTCTTTCGAGAGCATGGGAACCAGAAGAGGCGAGGGACCTGTCAGGTCGGTCCACCTGTTGCTGTTGACGGGATATAAGCAGAGCTCTTTAGACCTCTAATAGACAGGGAGCATTCTCACCTCAGGAGTTTATCGCGCGACAGATCCCCATTTTGGACGCTGAGGTAGACGTCGATAGCCATACTTATATTAAGCTTTCCAAATTTCAATTTGGTCAGCCTTTTTCATCTATCCCTAGCGATGACTTACTACATAATCTATAGTAAACTTATATAAGCCGAAGATAGGCTAGCCTTTAACTAGATTATCTACATCACCTATTATTAAAGCATTAAGATATTCAAAGGATAATCTAACAGAAGGATCATTACAACTCACCCTAGGCAGCAACTGGGTTTGCGATAGGAGCACTAGATATTTGCGAAATCATGGCCGTTGCCGGGCCCTTTCTTAGACACAACCTATTTAGCCCCTTCTTAGATCCTAACACCGAAATGCCCTACCAAGTGACTGTGCTGGATTGTCGGAACATTAACCAAGTAAGAAAGTTGACGTGAAGTATAATCAGATAGCTCCGTTCCGTCGAGAACAAGCAATTACTGTATCTGACATCATACGCATTGGAGACATTGTAGAAGTACCCCAGAGTGCTATCAGTTTCAGACCCTATATTCAAAAACGACACTGAAATGCCCGTAATTTAAGAAACTGTCATTGGAAGAGGAGGCAAACTGTTTATCTAAGATGCACGATTGATCCGGCCATATTCATGTATCAAGAGAGAGCAAGGCAAGCTTAAGCCTCCACCCCAATTCTCCAATGGACTGCCATCCGACGTCGACGCCTCGCTCGACGCTAAGCATCCCAAATGCTCCTCCCGCCATGGGTGTTCCTGCACGATACCAATGGGAAACCATCGCTGAACTTCTGACAGCTACAATCTTGTAGGGTTGGCTGAATTTCTGCGCTTCCGCTGGCTTGTTATCGCTACTTGAACATGCTAGTTTAAAGATGAAATCAAGCGGCAAATTCTGCCCTTACACTTGGGGCGTGGGAGTAGGTGGAGTAAATTAAGTTGCACGTATTGCGACTTTCCGTAAAAGCGTAACGAAAGACCTGTAGTGAGAAATCTGGTTAATTCTTGGATATGGGAATTGTTCTTCAGGTTATCTATTGTGTCGTTGTTGTAGGGAAATACGACGAGACCGTCATCTGGAGAAGTGTTTACCGAAAAGAAGGAGAGAGTAATAGTAGAACCTACTCTCGGCTGCGAATCTACACGATATCGGTATTCCCGTGCCGAGAAAGGCTGACGCTGAACAACTAATCTACCGCTGAGGTGGAAAACAGAGTACCTGCTGGTCAGTCACCACTTGGTCTCTGCCAAGAGCCCTGACCTATATATAAAGCCTATTGTTTGTTTAGGTAGAAACGAGTTGGGATTGCATTACATCCATGCCGCTTTTCCTCCACTCAGATGGCGCATCACTATATGCAAGCGGTTGGGTGAACAGCCACCACCCGACATTTCATTCGTGTATACTTCTTCAAGGTGCGAAATGCCTATTATGCCGCCATTGGTTAGAATGGGTTGGTCGGCGTGACTGGTCAAAAAGCCACCAAGTTGAGGGGCTGAGCGGAGAACAATGGATGACGCTCGAAATGCATTTATTGCCGCCCATCCCCTCTCACATCCACTAGCTTTTGCAACAGTCTCTGGTTTAGGAACCATCTTCCATGCCTAGAGTAGAAGTACTGCGAACGATATGGCAGAGACTTTCGGTGTTATCGCTGGCGCCCTAAGTGTCGCCGCTCTCTTTAACAACTGTGTCGACTGCTTTGAATATATTCAGCTCGGTCGCAGCTTTGGGCGCGATTTCGAAAGATGCCGGCTCAAGCTATGCGTAATCACGACGCGCCTCAGTCGATGGGGCGAGGCAGTGAATATCAATAGCGACCCGCGATTCCAAAGCGAGACATCTTCTGACGAGTCAATCCAACTAACGCGATCTATACTAGAGGAAATCGACCTCCTTTTGTGTCTGCGCAAAAGACATCGGCGCGATATAAACTCAAGGTCACCACGCAGGAACTAGCCCTTTATGAGGACAAGGATATGCAGCCCGCCGGTCAAAGAGTACACCGCCGGCTCCAAGACATTGTTCGCCGGAGACAAAAAGCGACGAGTCTCGCAAAAAGGCTACCTGGGCATTATATGACGGGAAAAGTCTCGAGAAGGTGATAAGCCAAATGACCGAGTTCATTAGCGAACTTGAGGCGGTGTATCCAATAGATGCTAGTTGTCAAAGGTTGGCCGAGATGGAGATTGAAGAAGTCGAGGAAGAAGCAAGTCTTCGGGCGCTGGAAGACGCTGCGCGCGAGGTCGACGGTGTTTTAGCAGCTGCCACCCAACACAAGATCAGCGCTATTGTTGGAACAAATTCTGCCAAGGACGTAAAGACCGAGGGCTCCGCAAGGGTTCACATTGGGACTGTGTTTTCTAGGGACGGGGTGGCAAGATTATCAGTGGCCGTATCGATAACTCGGCCGAGATGATACTATCAACGGGTACATCCGCAGTCCAGGTTGGGAACACGTATGGCGGGAGGAGCATTTGGGATAGGGATGCTTAGGATCGGGATGGCAGTCCCTTGGTGGGGTATTTCGTTATAAGGATCTATTAAGGGGCTAAAACAAGTTGTGTCGACGAAAGGCGCCGTAATTTCGCAAATATCTAGTCCTGTTCCAGCCCATCGAAGTTGCAAAATTCACTTGAAAAGCTTCCGCACCACTGTTCGTATTAGAGACGTTTTCTTTTCGGTATCGCGCGCAACGACCCCTGGCTCCACCCCGCTGTTGTCCCCATCACTTATGCCCGCTGCCATAGGTTAGCTAGTAGTACCGAAAGCAAGAAGGGTGAAAGCAATACCGTTGCAGGGCTCGAACGATGCCGTGAGATGCTCCAGCCGTTCGAATTCATTGCCGGACAGGCTAGGAAGGCCATGGTAGGCGAGACGTACTCGCCTGTGCATCTTCTCCGCCTCATCGAGTTTGCCCTGGTCAGCGTAGAGTTTGCCTAAGTTATAGACTGTGTCGAGCGTCGATGTGTGGTCATAGCTATATACCTTCTCTTTTCCAACTAACGCTCGCTTATATATCTTCTCTGCGTCATCGAGCTTGCCCTGGTTGGCGTAGAGAGCGCCTAAGTTATTAACTGTGTCGAGTGTCGATATGTGGTCATAGCCATACACCTTCTCTTTTCCATCTAACGCTCGCTTATACATCTTCTCTGCCTTATCAAGCCTACCCTGGAAGGCATAGAGGTTACCAAAGTTACCGACTGTGTCGAGCGTCGATATATGGTCATAGCCATACACCTTCTCTTTTCCATCTAACGCTCGCTTATACATCTTCTCTACCTCGCCAAGCCTACCTTAGTAGGCATAGAGGTTACTAAAGTTACCGACTGTTTCGAGCGTCGATATGTGGTCATAGCCCCATGCCTTCTCTTTTCCAACTAACGCTCGCTTATACATCTTCTCCGCCTCATCGAACTTGCCCTGGTTGGCGTAGAGAGCGCCTAAGTTATTGACTGTGTCGAGCGTCGATATGTGGTTATAGCTATATACCTTCTCTTTTCTAACTAACACTCACTTATACATCTTCTCTGCGTCATCAAGCTTGCCCTGGTTGGCGTAGAGAGCGCCTAAGTTATTAACTGTGTCGAGTGTCGATATGTGGTTATAGCTATATACCTTCTCTTTTCTAACTAACGCTCGCTTATATATCTTCTCCGCCTTATTAAGCTTACCCTGGTTGGCGTAGAGAGCGCCTAAGTTATTGTCGGTTTCGAGCGTCGATATATGGTTATAGTCTGACACCTTCTCAAATCCATCTAACGCTCGCTTATATATCTTCTCCGCCTTATTGAGCTTGCCCTGGTCGACGTAGAGAGCGCCTAAGTTATTGATGGTTTTGAGCGTCGCTATGTGGTCTCAGCCCTACGCCTTCTTAAATCTATCTAACGCTCGCTTATATATCTTCTCTGCCTTATTGAGCTTGCCCTGGTTAGTGTAGAGAAACCCTAATCGGTGAAGTCCGCCTTCTATACTATCAACAAAAACACTCCTATCAATTACATTACGCGAGCACCTGCTGGTATGTTAAAGTAGCTGCCTTTGTGTTAGCTACGGCTTAGTATCCTTCTCCCTTGGGATATGTGAGCTTGTAAGCTTGAGAGCCAGCCTTGTAAGATCATAATTCCACTCTTGGTTTAATATATGCATCGTCCACGCGTGCATGCACCTGTGGATACTATACCCTCTTGATTCGACCTGCTCCTGTGATGACATCTCTATCTCCACTAGTCTATGGTCACTTAGCACCTAAACTGCTACGGTAAAGGTCAGCTCGTCCTCTGTAAGCTCATGTATCTACTCTAGGTCATCTAAGTCACTATGACGAAGAAGCTCAAACCAAACGTCCTGATTATCGAGATAGGCCCAGAGCCGCAGAAGGTTAGCTAAGAGCTGGTTTCGCTTCTTAACATGGTTAAATGAAATCTGCTATATAGAGTAGAGCATCTGGTCGGTGTATGAATCTAGCTCTGGGCTCGTCTTCTAAAGTTTTGCCTACAACTTCTCATATAGGTGAAGGTAATCTAAGTATTTTATTGTAGTGTTATTGAGGTATGCGCTGGCTATGGCTAATATAAGGGGGAGTCTATCTAGCTTCTCAGTGAGCTTCCTAGTATCAAGATCTAGATCGAGGTTAGATAGTGTGTAAGATTGACGTATGGCTTAAACTACTTGCTATCTGTATATTCTCTCTATCGTGGTTTATTTGAAATCTTGCTGAATAAAATCTTGAGACTTTCGTCTATATTGCTTAGCTTTTTACTTAGATCTATGTGCTGAGTGTGACTTGCGAAGATCATATTATGATGACAATAGATCTATAGTCTGATTCCGGGAGGAATGTCTGAATGTCCACTGCTGCTAAATCTATCTCTCTAGGTACTCTCGGGTTATCGTAGTTGTCATATATCACTAGCCATTTCGTGTTTTCGCGGAGACTTAGCCAAGCGAGCGTGGCCTCGGCTACCTTATCTAAGCTCTCCATCGCGTCTGAGCGGGATAGATAGTGGGCTAATAGGTATTCCTGTAGAATTCGCTTAGCTACCTTGATGAAACTCTACTTTAGAGAATCCTCGTCTTTGATATTAAGCCAGAAGATAGCTGAGTAGCTATCCTTATATCGTTTCGCGTACTCGACTGTAAGCTGGGTTTTACCTATTCCTCCTAGGCCTTGAAGAATAATAGTGCGCCGACGAATGTCGAGGCCGCTAAGTTTCTCGTGCATCCGAGCGAGCTCATCTTCTCTCGTAACAAAGTTATCGATGGCAACGACATTGGAAATGCCAAAGGTAATGGAAAAGTCGTCGCTTTTAGCTCCTATTTCGGTCAATACCACTACGCTAGAGCTAGGTGGATGTAAGCTATGACTTACCAGTTCGAGAGCCGGTTGTTTGAGGGTCGGCAGGTGCGGGGTAGTAGTGGTTATCGCCAATCTGAACTCTAGCAGAACCGCTGGCATGGATTTCCCCTGCCGTGTTCGACATTGTCTCCACTATTGGCGTCGCTGTTAGGTTAAAATGGATATATAAGATATTGATTCAGAGATGATGGTGTGTGGTAGCTGAAGTTATTTTCTGGATTCAACGAAGAGCGAGGACCAGCGGTCTGCAGAGATGATATTCAAGGCGACGTCAATTTCCCCTCGCGAAGTACGGCCCAATCACGGTCCCTCACTTACGCCTCATAGTCGGGGTGTAAAAAGTACGAGGTGACAAGGTGGAGAGGGGAGAGGGAGGTACTTTAGACTACGAGCAGGCGGGTAAGGGACATTCAGCATAGCACAAGCGTGCGTCGCCTCAACCCCTACGTTACCAAAGACGGTGAAAGGTCGGGCGAGTTATCGAGAAGGATTTGATGAGTTAACACGGAAAGGTAAACGAGAAGTTCCCTCCATTCTCTCGTACCAGAGGTCACCATGGTTGAGCATGCCGAATTCCCCTTTTCATTCTTAGCCGGAAGACGCAAACTCTAGCTCTAGAGGGTGATGGAAAGAAGCGGAATCTGGACTCAGAATCCCGACTCAGCAAGTCTGAGTTGGGAAGGGGTTCGTTTATACCTCGGTACCTCGGACATCTTTATATCATCGGGCTACACACAGCTTGCCGCTACAAAATGTAAGGCAATCATAGACCGCATCTGTCGGGTCTGACCTGACAAGGGGTCATGTCTGGAGCGTATCGGGTATCGGTTCCAATGAGTTCTGTGGGCTGCTATGAATGTGTTGGTGGACGCATTCATTGGATCAATGACAGGCGGCCAGGCTTTGGGCCGGCTGAACCAGGTAGGAAAAGGTGGGAAAGAGGGCAAGGGCAAGGTAGCTTGATTTTGCGAGTGGACAAAGTGCCCCGAAAAGCACAATTGAACTTGATCAGAATGGCTCAGGGTCCGCGACATGTGATGAAAATCTGGGGAATCAGAAAACGGCATTCCTGGCAGCCGCACACACATTACAGACGTACATCAGCTCAATCGCCTTGATAATCTAAATCTCGACTTGACCCAATCCGCATCGCATCAGCGGCCACTCCTCTCCGAACGGTGTTGGGGTTCAAAGGGCCAAGATAGCCCCAACCGCTGCGGCAGCGGCTAATGTGATCGATGCTAGAAGCACCGCCACTCCACTCTCCGTGCCACCAACTTGGCCAGAATTTCCCTCGGACCCCCGTTGTCGGGATCCTGAGGCTCGCTCGACGGCGTGGGAAGGGCAGTGGGTAGGCACGATTGCTTTGTTGGCGCCACAATTTCCTCATGGATCGTCAACGGGAGAAAAGCACCAGAAAAACTAGCTGTGTAGCCGTCAAATCCGCTAACACTACCGTCGTAGCTGGTATGGTACCAATTGCACTCAAAGCTGGTCGGCGGGCAGCCCGCCATATTGCAGATTTCTGTTATTATCCTAAGGAGTTAAAGGCAAGGAGGAGAAGGAGGCCAGTCATTAGCAAAATTCGAGAGAAGTGAGAGCTGTGATTGGGACAAGTGACTCTTCGCTTACCGTCCATCTGGCAATGTTCCAGAGAAAGCGAAGGCTGGAACGCATCTCTTAGCATCTTGCAACATGATATATCTGCAGCACTGCTTGGAACTGCTTCTTACTATTAGGACCGACAGTGGCCGTGACTGTCTCGGGCCCCCGTCAATGGGCGTGCAGGCGGCTTCCGTACAGCTGATAGCAAGCACGACTTCGGGGTCGTGCTAAATAGGCCCCCTGGCATTAGCAGGTGCAATCTGATGTAATGGGCCTGATCTCCGGATGGTTCAGGGACTCACTACTCTAATGACGCTCGCTCGCAGTTCCGACACCATGGTTGACGGAACGAATGGGAGCCAGGCCAACTGCAGATCACGAACCATTAGCTATATCTTCTTGTCGTCGCTGACCTTTATTTATCCAACGCCCACAGAGTCCTTACCACAGTGGTTACTTGCTCCTCTTCGCTCCTCGCCAGTACCGCGTTGGCCATGAGGCCGATCATGATCGACGTGTACCTCATCGTGCTTGAGTTCAGGAGATGTCTCTTCTCGGAAAGGTGGATTTATAGATTTTATCAATATCGTAACCTGCTAGAAGCTTGGGGCACTTTCACCAGCTTTCTGATGCGAATTCAAACAGCGTATGTCTCCAGGATCGACTATCTCGAGCAAGATGGGTGCGGAACAGTTTCTTTTAAGTACGTGCTAGAAATGGACTGTGCACCGGCTATTTCATACGCCGCAGTCCCTTGGTCTGACGAGCACGGCAAGATATGGGCGCGGCGCTATTTAGAGTCTTATTTAGCTTACCCGCTGCCTATTCGCGGCGAGGTTCGGTGTCAGACGGAGCGCTACGCTGCGGGTGAGATTTCGTGTGACACGAAGACGTTGGGGGCCCGCGGTGGCGCGAGGTGCGCAGCCAGCTTACCACCCACGACGATCCAAGCGACTGTGCCACCTCCGCATTTCTACTATAATTCGCTGGGGAAGAGGTAGTACTTGTATGTCGAGACAAACAAACAAACGAAAAAAGCTCGCTCGTTCATTCATCATTCTATGAAATTCGTGGGGGTCCTTCAATCAGCCTTGGCTCGGCACCACCTCGCCGTCTTACATGTATCCGCAGCCCTACCCGAGACCTATGGGTGCCATCATTTGGCAACCTCATCCCCAGCTCAGTAATCACCCTATAAGCCCTCATTTTAATTTGAGGCCCTTGACACCATTACAGGCCTTCTATATGTCTGGGATCGTTTCAGATATCACTCCCAAGCTTGGGAGATGGGGTATTTCTGGCACCTGTGGTACGGTCAATACAAGGAGGAGTAGGGGAGAGCAAGGGGGCAAAGGAGAGAAAACGAACATGCTGCACATAAAACCCTGTAATCATGGACCCCGGAATGGGCCTCACTACCACCCTTTTCAGGTCTGTGGTTGCTTCAGCACCATCGCCCTGACCAGTTACTGTTCCAAAGGATTTCCGCGTGTCCCGACTTGTTATGAGCTATAGACCAATCAAGACACATGGGTTAGCGCGCGAAATATTGTACGAGTGTAACACAAATGAGTTGGAGAGAATGATATCCTTACCGTGAAGCCGACGAGTAAGTCGTCTCCAAAAGCTCGGCTGGATGAACGACGCGACGCGCGAGCCGGACTTTCTTGCGTTTCGAGAAACAGCTCGACGCCCATCACGACCTCTCCCCGGGTCCATCGATGGCGAGCGACGCTTTGCTGCCCGCGCCGGCGGCAGGCCCCAGCCGTAGTCTCTCGGGGTGGATGCTCGGCGAGTCGTACTGGAATTCGATGGTGCGCGGGCGGTTGGACACGCAGTGGACGTGGACGGCGGTCAGGCTGCGGAGGAAGATGCCGCCGGGGCCTCCGAAGCGAAAGCGCTGCAAGGGTTGGAAACTGGAATTCGTGTGCTCGAGTTGGGGGTAGGAGGCGTCGTTGAGGTCGAGGTGTGGGCTAGGGACGTCGGGGAACCAGAAAGCGTTGTCCTTGAGAGTGGTTGTGCGCTCGGCGGTCGTGTTTGGTACCGCCAGGCTCACAATTTTCAGGCCCTGGACCAAGGTTAGTCTTGTCACACAATGTGTCTCTCGGTCATATCCGCCAACACACGGGACATCGCGAGAGCGTTCTCGATGACCTGAGGGGAAAAACATACGTCAAACCCAACTTCAACCGCCGCCAGTTCTTCCTCGCCACGGCCCAGCCTCGTAGTCACAGCCATACCCTCAAGGTCACCCATCCACCGGCTCGTGCCACCATCCCTCGACACGACTTGTATCGCCCTAAACCCCCTCAAGTCCGCCGCGAAATTGAACCCGACAACGCCCGCCACCCTAACCACGACGGGGTTATCCGAGTGCCACCCGAACGCGAGCTCCTCATCGGCTGCAATAAGCCGTATCCCCGCAATGTAACTCGCGTGGCCGATTCGGACGTGCGACACAGCCACGCGCTTGATCCCTCCAGGCACGGTGAAATACCGCTTCTGCAAAATCCGACAGCCTTCCTCGATAGGCCTATTCGGAGGAGAGGACTCCTCATCAAGCCTCCCGGCAACCCTCAGCCAAGGCCGAGTATCGCTCTCAGCCGCCTCGAGGGCCTGCGGATCCGACGCCGCCGGGGTGTGCCAGCGCAGGGAGAGCAGGTCGCACAGGCTCCGGATGCACCGCCAGGTGCTGAGCCTCTGCTTATGCGTAGTCAGGTGGATGGCGCTCTGGCAGCCCCAGGGGCACTGACACCCGCGGGTGGCGTGCCACATCCACCGCCAATCGGGCGGCGTGAGCGCGGCCCTGGCACGCTCCTTGGCCTCCATGACCCAGCCGCGCTCGCCGTGCAGGCGGAACTTGACGGCCCAAAACTGCTGGCCGTGGAAGATGGGCCAGAAGGCGCGGGACGCGAGCCGCAGCGTGAGGAAATCCGGGGTGGACAGGTGCGCGGCGACGGCCTCGCAAATCTCGGCGGGTAGCGCGAGAAAACAGTCGCGGGCCGGGGCGCCCCGTCACACGTGGGTGACGATGACAGCGACGACGGCGACGAGGAGGAGGTGAGGGCCGCGTCGACCATAAAGGCCGGGTAGGCCGGGGCGGTGTCGAGGGCGTGGCGGATGCCGGGGACGTCAAAGGGTCCCATGTCGACGTCGCGCACGGCGATGACCGAGGAGGGCTGGAGTACGGATTCGCGCTTCGCCCACGGCGGGTGCCGCTGCTGTCCTCGGCCAGGGAGCGCGGACCTTCGGGGTCCAGGGCGTCGAGGACGTGTCGGGGCAGGGAGACGCAGGCGTCGAAGAGCCGCTGTAGGGGAACTTCGTCGGGCCGGAAGCAGGCCTCGAGCAGGGACCAGCAGGCTTCGTGGACGGGGAAGCCGTCTGCTCGCCGGCGGGGCGGGGAGAGGATGATGCCGAAGATGGCGGCGGGGAGTTGGCTTGGGTGTTCTCTAGGTCGGAGGCGTCTGTGAGAGAGGCGCCGTCGACGCCGGGAGATACTAAGCGTGGTGAAGATGCATGTTAGCGAAGTGAGTGGTAGTGTGGAAAGAGTACATGTAGTATCGAGTGGGCAGTTTTATTCACATGGACGTCTCACGTACGATTACGAAGCCGCGTTTGCCAGGTTTCGGACCTGGGGAATTTGCTGATGTGAAGTGTGCACACTAGACATTTTTCTTGATTGGCAAACGCCATTCTCGATGAAAGCTGATAGCTGGGAAGGGGAAGGGGTAAAAGGCAGCGAGGTAGTTTGAGAGATTGATAAGTACGAGTAAGCTGAGCTTAAAGGTTAATGACGTGCAGGGCTGTCGGGGTAGTAAGGGGCGGTCCGACGGATGCTACTAGTACGGTTTAGTTCTTTTCCTTGCTTGTTTCCTTGGCCGCCGGAGATTTTATCACGTCTTAGCTTGCCCTTTTGTCTATTGTTGGATCGACTCTCTCGTTTTTTCCGCGTATTGTTTCACGTTCGGTAGACAAGTAACGGTCCTGGGCGAGCGATGTCGGCGGCCGAGTTCAGCAGATGATGTTGAGAAGCAACATTGTTTTTTTCTCTAGAAGGGAATAAACGCGCGGCCGGCTAAGCCTCAGATGTGACATTGTTGAGAAGCGTCTCTTTTCGTCTCTCACCTCGACTTGGCGGGGGTTTTTATTCTGTGCTTCCCCTCCTTGTTCGGTGCCTCCATGTCGTCTCTCGTCGGGCGTCGTGTGCCCAAGTCCCAAGTGGCAGCCAACCCCACGTTCTCCCCGTTCGACCAACGAAAGAGGCTTCCATCCCCCCTTCCCCCGGCATGTCATCCTTGGGTACTGACAGGGCTTCGAAAAGGAAAACGAAGAAAGAACAGAAAAAACGGGAAAACTTGAAACGTCGTCGTCGTCGTCATGAGCAGCGGCCCCGGTAGCTCGATTGGGAAAGATGGTCCTTTTGAATGTGACGTCAAGCGCAGAAATGCCAATGAGGAGCCGCTTTCGAGAGGCAACGCACGCATGGATGGAGCAAATGGATCAATAAAGACTATGTCGACCCTGGTCTCCACCGCGTTGCACTCGTCTGCGCCATCCACCGGCGCAGACAGCCGCAAGAAAAAGCCCCGGGACTTGCAGCTTCAGACCCTCCATTTTCCTCCAGTTGGGGACTCCAGTTTCATCTCCGTAGCGTCTCATGGGGTCATTTTCTTTTAGCGTGGGGATCTGCTTTCGCAATGCCATTGCCCATGCTTGTTTCCATCTCCCGTGCTCCCGCGTATTAGTTTCTTTGCCTCCTTTTTTTCTTCCTCTCGCTTCCTTGTTCCTTTCCTCGGTTTAATCTCCTCGCGAGATCAGCGGAGTGGGGGAGAGATGAACATGATTTTCGTCAGCTCCACATCATTCCCCTGCCGATGAGATTCTGAGGGCAGCCACAGGTCCTTTGTCTGAGGCGGGACCAAGCCGTCCATAACACATTGGTGAGGGCATTTCGCTCTTTATCAATCTATTAGTAACCAAAAGCACTTCGCTTCGCCGTGTAGATTGTCCTACTCGAGCCCCGTGGTTCGGGAACGGGATTTAGGGGTTTCTCAGGGTCTGAGCCAAGGCTTTTTTTTTTTATCTAATCAATCAATCTTGCCAAGAAAATGCACCAAACAAGGCTGGCCTCGAGAAGCAAGACTTTACTAAGGCCGAGGTGGCCCCGGGATTGGCGTGTCGACGACGTAACATTGATCTATACCACGCTGGCAAGCACATCAACTACCGCCCCACCCCCAACCAAACACAGTCTAATACTAATAATCTACTGCTCCCCAACAACCGGGGGATTGTGCTCTTCATCTCTCCTCATTCCTCCCTCCCTTCGGCACATCAATGGATGAGATGGGGTTTCTTCTGGCCCTTGCATCTTGATGCGACTACTACCACAGCGGCGGCTACCTGATTGGGAAATGCCGGGCCAAGCACTGGGGATCCCAGCCCTATCATGAGCTCCGAACGCAGTGCCTCTGTCCGCTCAGTTCAACAGGTCGCTTGGGGTTCTATCTCCCTGCCGTCCGTCGTGGGACTAAAAGGGCGTTGTCAAGCCAAATAGAGACAGACGGCTACGAAATTCGGCATGTAAGATTAGATGTCCATCGATTGGCCTCAACGCTAAAGATGCTCGGTCATAAGAGATTACGAAGTGTTTCGTACGATAGGTTTAGTTACATCGTCGTACCCCAATACTTACGAGGCATCAATTGGGGTATGGGTCAGGCTGAATATAGGGTAGGAGGTAGAGAAGAGTTGAGCGCGTGGCACGCTCACGTAGCCGTCAGCCTATCAATAGGCAATTCCGGTAGTGAAGGGAGGAGGTTGCCTCTTCTCGAAAAAGAACAAACTTAAAACAGAACAATGGGTGGCGTGGAGTATAACACATACACGCCTCAGTAACACGGGGACGAGAAAGACGCGAGTGTGTGGGGAAGGACATGCCTCGCATCAAGAGGCGACAGGCGGGATAGATGCAGGAACAAGGCCGCTGGGGCTCCGCGCCTGTAGTGACATGAAACAGCGATTAGGTTAAGCTCCTTGTGGTTTCTTTCATGACAGCGGCTCGTAAGCGATGGTTGCATGGTGAGGAAGAGGCGTCAGGGTGAGTAGGACGCGGCTAGCCTCCAACCAAGCGCCGGGTAGGACCTGATCCGGCGCGCTTGTGCCTGTGAAAGATTCATCCGGACTGTCAGTTTAAGGAGGGGCGCCTACACAGCTGGGGCGTGTGGCATGCTTAGAGGGTCCCGGGAGACAGGTGACAGATGCACTACTCAGCGTGGGGGAAGAAGATGGGGGACAGGGAGGTGTGGCTGGTGCTTAAGGTCGAGCCCCAGTAATCATAGGGAGGAGGGGGAGGAGCAGTCGGCCGCGTGGCAAAATGGAAGACTGGGGCCAGCTTAGACATAGCTACAGGTACGGGGAGACGGGTAGAAGGGATTGGGAGGAGAAAGCGAGGTGGGTGGAGGTGGACATGTAAGTCGCCTTGTATGCCAAGCGACGGAATCATTTCTCCATGCACATGAAAAGGGAAAGAGCAGAGGATAATGGAGGGGGGAAAGAGACATATGGAGGAAAATCTGGATGTTGGCATCGTGTTGGCATCCAGCATATTTCCGAATGCCGTGGATATCGCAGATAGCAAGAAAGGTGTCCTCGAAGGGGCAGTGGGATTCAAGGATGCGGAGTGAGACAGGTCACACTATACTATGCGTGGATGCAAGGCACTTGCCATCTAGGAAAAGCCAACTCTGCGCGGAATCTTGGTCCAAGCAAAGTACTAGATGAAGTGAGATATGGGACGGAAGAGGATTGCTATTCCTTTGGGGAAGAACAAAACTCCCTTCACTATCGTACCACTTCGGCAAGCTGCACTTTTTCTCCAACTGCCATGAACGACATGGGGTTAGCCGTGCCGCTTGGCCTTCCCGGGGTATACGAGTCTCGAACGAGCATTGATAATCACCACGTACGATTGGACAACTGCGCCAAGATCCCCGCGGGGAGGGTATATAAAACACCTTGTGCGGAGGACGGGGATTGCCGCCACAGGAGCCGCAGTGAGACAAGAAAGGGGTATGGGCTCATCTGGGAGTAAGGAGGGAAGGGGGTGTGCGGATGGGTGAGGGCGGAAGTAGGCATATCCCCCAGTCCAAGGCCTAAAGAGTGTTGATGGCGGCGTCTCTTCAAAAGCAAGACATCTCTCGGAGGCTCCCGATGGGAGCTGGGGGAGGGGGAGGGATAGTAAGCTAATCCTTTAAGAAAGAACCCATGATGCCATGTTCCGCTCCTAGAGCGGATCCTGCCCTCGCTAGATTGTCTCTAGAAGGGGAAGAGCGAAGAGACAAGGTAAGGGGCACGCCGAGGATACGGGGCTCTCGTCCTCCCGTCAGGGGAACATTGAGGGGGAGGAGTAGGACTGGGTCGTGAACCCGGGATTTTCGAGCAAGTTCTCGCTTGTCGGAGGGTATTGCGGGGATACCGATCACAACTGCCGCCGCCACCGAACTAAGAGCAGGTGGAGGGGGTGCTTGGGGTGGTGGGCAGCCCAGTGTGTCCCCTGGGATCGCAAAGCCAACGCCCGTGATTGGCGCTCCCTCGATGGGTCCTACCTAATTTCCTCCTCCGGGGACACGCATCGAGGGCAGCAGCAGGGTTTTTGGAGGGGTTAACTCCCGCATCGGAAAAGGCAGGAGTCGAAAGGGGGAGGGGTGAAAGGCGACTTGGGGGAGAAGGCTTAGCCGGGAGCAACTGCCAGACAATGTGCCAAGGGCAAGGGGGACTTAAAGCATTAGCCGAGGGCAGCAAGGTAGGCGGAGGTGTGCGAGGGGACGGCATCGGCGAAAGAGCCTTTATCCGAGGGCGAGTGCGGTAAACGCAAGTCTTGGATAGATGGGCGGTTTTGCGATAGCTGCATTAACCCCTCATTCTACCCTTTATCGAGGGGTTTCTCCTCCACAATCTCTCCCCGGAATCTACATGTGCAACAAAGCGGAGTATTGTGGAGAAGGACCCAGATGTCGCCATCTGCGAGATTGGCCCGCTAAGCAATCGATTGTCGATTCTCGGTGCATTCGCGATTCGGCGATACAACAATGCATCGCTCGCAGCAGAACAGTCGTGCTAGCAACTTTTGGAGGCGGGATTTCTCCATCCAAGGGCCAAGCCCTCTAGCGTGGGCGTCTTTACTCCATTCGCACTTTCGCCCCCGCCCCAAACAGCGCCTAGGAAGCAGAAGAAAAGTATTGTGGCCACCTGGGCAGTGATCCATCCCCTGTTCGGCCTGTAGGACAATTGAGACCACCAGAAATTGATCCAAGAACCCCTCCGTCCATCCCTCCGCACTCTTCTCCGCGCCAGCGCCAGAACTTGCACCCTCCCTCCTCCAAGATATTGCCGAAACCTTTTGCCGCCTGCGATTCTTACTCGTATGATTCGTCCCCACATGCCGGTAGACACTCTGATGGGCCCAGCTCTCCCGAAAGGAAGAGAAAAAAATGGAGGACTCGCGCTACGCAAGGTTCGAGACGGAACGGAAGCGGGTCAAGGAAGGAGAGCGGACAAAGGAGAGAAAGAGGGACAGAGAAAAAAAGATATTAAATATAAGCTTTCCGTGCCGCTGTCTGGCACGTTTTGATTGAAACCCCAGATCATCCAGAACAATCATCCCTTTTTAATATCCCATCCTTCCCCCTCTCCAACACAGCCTTTCTCTTTTTCTTTCTTCCATTCTCGAGATACCCCTCCCTCATTCAACAAGCAACCACTCACACTCTACCGTCATCATGGCCTCCAACACCGCTAACGGCGCCGCCCCCGCCAAGTCCAAGTTCGACCCCAACTTCACCCAGCATGTCGTTGACTTGATGTCTCCCGAGACCAAGCCCCGCCACCGCGAGATCCTCACCTCCCTCATCAAGCACATGCACGACTTCTGCCGCGATGTCGAGCTCACCCAGGACGAGTGGATTCTCGGCGTCAACTACGTCAACTCTCTCGGCCAGGCCTACAAGAAGAACCGTAACGAGACCTGGAGGGTGTGCGACATTCTCGGCATTGAGTCGTAAGTTTTTTCCTTTTTTTTTTTTTTCCACCTTCAAAAGAGAATTTGAAACAACAATTGCAACCGCTGGGAACACAAAAAAAATCTTAAGCTAACGCGACAATCTCTCCCCAACAGTCTCGTTGACGAGATCAACCACAAGATCGAGACCGAGGCCGGCCGCGAGCCCACCTCCTCCACCATTCTCGGACCCTTCTGGTCCCCCGAGACCCCCTTCCGCGACCTCGGCGCCAGCGTCGTCCAGAACATGCCCGCCGACGGCCAGCTCACCTTCTTCCACGGCACCATCTTCGACGTCGACACCGGCAAGGGCATCCCCAACGCCGTCTTCGACATGTGGCAGGCGTCCACCAACGGCAAGTACGACGTCTTCGACCCCGAGAACCAGACCCGCCACAACCTCCGCGGCAAGTTCCGCACCAACGAGGAGGGCAAGTTCTGGTTCTACTGCCTCAAGCCCACCGAGTACGCCATCGACACCTCGGGCCCCTCCGCCGAGCTCCTCCGCATCATGGGCCGCCACCCTTTCCGCCCCGCTCACATCCACATGATGGTCACCCACGACGACTACATTGGCGTCACCGCTCAGCTCTACCCCAGCGACGACCCTTACCTGTCCACCGACACCGCCTGCGCTGTCAAGGATGATCTCCTCCTGACTTTCAAGCCCGTCGAGAACGAGCCCAAGGGTGCCATCCTTGACGTTGAGTACAACGTCCGCCTCTGCTCCAAGTCCTACAAGCCTGACTCCACCATGCTTATGGGCAACGCCAACCAGAACAAGTTCTAAGCAGACTTGTACGAACAAGCCAAAAACCCAAACAAAAGCTCGCCCTTTTTTCTGATTGGTCCCTTTAGTGGAGACTGAGAAGCCGAACAAGGCGGCGTTTTTGTTTTCTTTCACTTCAACGTGAAAACCTTTTAATGGGGCGGTGGCCAAAAAGGAAGAGGCCATCTTTTCTCGAATCACGGAACCGGCATCGGATCACGAGAAATGACGTCACCTCTTGCTGGGACCTCTCGGATCTTGCTCGGGCAACTTGAAACGGACGGAAGAAGAGAGGGAGAAGAGAGAAAGGAGGGAGAAAATCCCCGTTTGCTATGATCAGTCTCGGAAATCTTGCTCATCGCTGTATTTGTCTATATCATTCCTCACCTCGGGTGGGGAGGAAAAGGGAGGAGCTTCAACAAAGCCATCCATTACGTCGATCATGGGTTGATGTTTTCTTTTTTGCATATCTTAGAAGCCAGTTTTCCATTTTACAATTCATAAACCAGAATACAATAAAAAGTTCAAAAATCAAACTCAATGCTCCCAACTAGCAAAATCATATAGGATCAAATGAAAAAGGCCTGATGCACAGTGACAGCCTGAATGGAAAAGGAGGACAAGCTTTTCAGGGTGTTCCTCTCGTCCCCCCCTCAGTCCTGTGGCTTCGGCGGAGGAGGGGTCCTCGACTCCCTCGACCAAGAGCCGTTGCGGGGCTGCTTTCGAGCCAAGCAGATGAGGAACGCACTAATGCACGCCGAGGTTAGCGTGACGCCGGCACATCCGCTCAGAGGAATTGCCAGCCAAACTTGAGTGTCGAGGTGTAATTTTTTTTTTTCATTTGTTGCTACTCCCCGGTCTTACCCATGGCGTGGGGCCCCAAGCCGCGGAAATAAGACCGGGATCTCACCTCTACTATAGTTACTCTTTCCCGCGAGAACAGAGCCGAAATCGATTCAATGAAGAAGAACCCGGTATTGAAGAAACTAAATGTGAAGATCTTGTCATCCAATTTTAGAAGCAGCGCTCCCTGTTTCCTTGGTTGAAGAATGGGGGCATCCATCTCGACTGCGGGGTCTCTACCAGCTGTCCCGATTCCCACTCTTGGGTGTTCCTCGGTGGACTCCCAATTTGCACAACCAATTGTGCTATCATTGTTGCCGCGGAAGGGAAATGCAAGTCAAACCACGAAAAAGAACTCTCTGCATCTAATCTAATACCTGATGGCCCCGGCTAGCCTGGACGACTGGGTTTTCGAACCTGTCCCTTGGCACGTGTTAGATGGTAGGTCGCCACGTAGGATCAGGGCACACCACCAACTTCCATGGGCTTTACCGCGCTGCAGCTTGTAGATGATGCGGCGGCAATCCTTCCTTGCTGCATGGCGGGATTGGCAGTAAATGGGACGGAGCTCAGGAACCGGGCAGTGGTCGGGACGTGGACTATACTCTTAAGGTTGTGGTACCTGCCTAAACCCGAGCCGCCTTGTCACCACTTCTTTGCCGTTCAGGATCGGTAACTTGGCTCCGGAGCCTTGAAACAACATTGCCAAGAATCACTTATGGGGTTTTCATTGAAGAAGGCATCATCCTTTAGAGGCCTACGCAAGCAGGTGCAGGTTCTCTTCCGCAAGGAGTGATTATATGTGGTGCCCGAGCCCCTCCCCCAGCTTCTTTACCTTCCCATGTATGTAGGAGTCTTCACTGGATGGAGAGTCCATATACCAAGGCTCAAAGATACAGTTAACAATTAACAGCGTTTGCTTATCTCCAAAGATGGGCGGTGGCACGCATAGTTTCGTTAACTAGGGCTCGAAAGATCCATCAACTCCAACCAGGCACAACGCCAACGCCCAGTCGGCGCAACTCTTATTAACGACGACGGTAGTGAGAAAAGGGAAGCTCAGTACGATCAGTCTTGTTCCAGAGCCCATAAACTTGAGATAACTGTCGATTTCCACGTTTGCGATCATGACAGAGGGGGCTAGATTGTTTCTCATCATATATGAATGAGAGCACGCTAAACCCTGACTGGAAACCCAAATCGTACTAGCACAGGCAAACGACAATTCGTCTGAGTAATTGTTCCTGGAACCCCAAGTCCGGGCAGGACCTCGGCCGGCCCCGCAGACGTACGAACTAGGCCTAAAGCCAGGCATGATCCATGTACCTCGGCATTCGGGGTGACCCCGACGGGCTTCATCTTTTAGGTTCAGGACAATTATAGCCGCCATTAGAATACCAATCTTGACTTGACCTTTGAAGCCTCATTGAATCGCTACCTTATAATTCGCAAAAGGCATACTCGAGTGAAATTTACGCCCGACCACAGACCCAGTCTGAGCTTTCTCTACCCCCTTTTGGCGTGCCGTAGGCCCTCTCCCCCACTCGGCCATGTCGTCGTCACCATCTACACCTTCCGGCGTAAAGCCCACAGGCCAAACTCCTCGCACGTTATGCGAGCAGGTAGCTGTGAAGGAGATCTCCCCGATCGGTTCCAGGCCCTCGCCTACCCAGCCAAATTTGGAAACACGGGCGACATCGCCTTTGGCGGCTACGCCCTCAGCGTCGGGGTCCAGGCCGCCTGCCAGACGGTCCCTTCAACCCACCTCCTATACTCGGCCACAGGCAGCTTTCTCGGCCCATTGACCACCACCAAGAGGCCGCAGTGCTCGGTGCGGAGAATCCGCGACACCCGGACCTTTGCGACGCGGCAGGTCGAGGTCTTCCAGGAGCACGTCGACGGAAGCATGCGCATGTGCATGATTCTCCTGGTGGACTTCCACAAGAAGGAGGCCGGGTCGGTGCTGACGTATTCGGCCCCGCCCGACATGGCGTACTCCGGCCCCGAGGAATCCTCTCTACCGCGGACGCGAGTAGGGAGATGGCGCGCCGCGGAGACATCCCCGTCGAGATGGTGGCCGACCTCGAGGAGCGGTTCGGGCTGCTCTCCCGGCACTTTGACCTCCGCCAGACGCCCGAGGGCATCTCGGCCCAAAACCTAAGCGGAGCCGTCAAGCACCTCCCCACCACGCAGGACAGCCTACCCGTGCCGTCCCGGACCTCGGCGGACTGGTTCCGCTGCCGGGACCGCGTGGAGCTGTGGACGGACCAATGCGCCGGCCTCGCGTACATCATGGACGGGTTCTCGGCGTCGTTGCCCTTTGCGCACAGCAGCGCCAACTTTGGCGACACGTCGGCCTGCTCGAGCCTCGACTTTGCGCTGCGGCTGTTTACGGACGAGATCGACTTGAACGAGTGGAATCTGCGGGAGCTCAAGACGACCTCGGCGGACGTGGGCAGGACGTACACGGAGGCGCGGCTATGGAACCGGTCGGGCAAGATGGTGGCTAACATGACGCAGCAGTGCATCATGCGGCCGCACGCTCCCGCAAAGGCGGCGTTGTAGATAGAAGCTACGGTGCAGCACATCCCTCAAGTGCTCTTTCTATAAAAAGAAAATAGTAAAGAATTGGAAGGGCATTTTCCCTCTCACCTTTTGTCGACCGAGTGAACATTCCTGATTAGACAAACAAAGTCGTCGTGTGTATCAATGGCTCGGATCGATTTTGATGATTTAAACGGTAGACTATATGAATCGGCCTTGGGCAGAAGTGAGTCGATGCGGGGGCTCGCGCGTGATCGAGGATGCCTGATGCGTTGGCACGTACCCTCAGCCGCGATGACATCCTCCAGCCACCTCAGATCTAGTGGATCAATGCATTATGCACCAGATACCTCTTGTTCGCGCGCGCGGCCGTTCAGGGCTCCCTCTTTCCAGGCCCGGCATAATTTTCTCCAATCGCAGCACAACCACTTCTCCGAAAAGGTAGCTCGAACCTGCAAGCGGGAATGAGGTTCAACGGCATCCCTGTCATCTTTTTTTCGGCTGAAAATCGATCCGCTTATTCACGTGAAGCCAGGCTTTCTAGCTTCAATCGAGTTCAATCTCAGCCCTTCCCCGCTCGCTCGGGCCAGGCTGGTGCCTAGGGGAAAATAAGGGCTGATCAAAAAGACCCCTGAATTAGTTTCGGAGATATAAACCTCAACGTTGTGCGAATTACTGAACCTCTCTCATTCCGGGCTGAGAAGACAAAATCCTCTTTGCTTCCAAGTTTAGTTGAACATGGCTCAGACTACCACTATTCTCTCTCTCCTCCGAGATTCTCACCCAAGTAGTCTCGCACCTCAATTGCTTCGACCTTGAGAATGTCGCGAAAACGTTCAACCAACGGCTTTACGCCGTCACTTTCAGCATGCTTAAACCACAGATAGCGTGGCTAAACAACGCGCGAGCGATGTGCGCGCTGTTCCCCCTTGAATATCAAAAAGCTGGTGCCGACATTCCCAGAGCATATCGGCCCATTCGAGCCCGATTGAGCAACCAGCGTGACGAGCTTGAAGGCTACTTGGTTGACAAGTTCGGTCTGAGATCAAAGGCGCCTCTGTACCGCAGCTCGCCGCCGGATCTCCGCAGCTGGATGAACCTGGACGGCACCTTTTGGTGGCTCGAGGCGCCCAACGGAAGTTCCTCGGACCGAAAGGGGTTCTCAAGTGTGGCGGAGGACTGGCAGATCGACGTCGTCATCGCGCAGGCCAAAGCACTAGGCCTCACCTTGCCGGTAGGCTATGAGACATTTATGCGAAGCAGGCATCTCAGCTACCGCATTCCCAGCTACAACGGCTGGTACTACGAGCTGGGCAAGCTCGTCCCCTGCCCTCCGGAAATCGACAACGGCGCTGGTGGCTATATCCAAGTCTTCCACTTCGACCAGCAATGCTGCGCTTTTGCGTACCTGTACTTGAACAAGGCTGGAAACCACTGCGTCCTTTACTCGCATCGAGAGCTCTACGACGATAACTTTGACTTTGACGACCCCGTCGTTGCGGCTACTGATGTCGATGAAGACACTTTAAAACGGAAGGAGAATGTCGATTATAGCGGGACCAACGCTGATTATAATATTGTCGGGCTAAGTTTCGAGGAGTATCTGGTTGGCGTGTACTTTGAAGAGCAGCTCAATTTCGCCAACGACCTGTTCCCCTGTTGCAAGACTACATCGCCCACATCTACTACTCTCCTGCAGAGGTTGAATGTTTGCGTCACCAGAGTAAGTGAGGGACCAGAAAAGCCTGCCTGTAGCTCCCGCCGACAGCAATGCTGACAACTTGACGTAGGCAAGGCGATTAATACTTTTCTCGATTCAATCAAGTGGTCTTCTAAGGAGACGGGCGGAAATGCAGCGCACACTTCTACATCTTGACTGCCCATCGACGATAGTGCAAGCCCGAGGTCGGAGAGCATCCATACATGGATAGATCGACCAAGGTGCAAATAAGGACGCCGGCCCCTCGAAATCCATTTACTTTAAATTTAGGGTGCCTTCACAATCGAAATCTGTAGAAATGGGCTATAAAGCCAGCAGGTGTAAAGGGGGAATATCAACATGGGGGTAGGCTGAAGCTCGCCTAGATTGATTGTGGCACACGATTCTTGCATAAAACCCGCCGCAAACACATCGTGAAGTTTGAAGCGGAGACGACAAAGTCGTATGCGGGTAAGAACATGGATGCTTGGAAGGATATGGCTTGTGTAAATGGTTTCAATGTTAAACATGCGTTGCTAGGATGTTCGGATCCTCACGTCTCTTTTCGCGAGCGCCGGAGAATTTCTCATTTTCCCCAGATTGAGATTGTACCTATCAAATCGTACAGGAAAGCCCAATGCGGCATGCCGTGATCCATAACATCGTCTGATATGGATCATCAAACGGACAGGAGCGAATGGATTCATCCGTCAAAACCACACAACGGAATTCGGGCCGAATCCAAGCGCAGCCTGCCTCGAAAACACGTCGATCTCCATTTGCCAGACAGATTTCGATTTTATAGAGAATACACAGTCAAAGCCGTCGCTTCAGAATCCTTCTTTCACGGGAGAATCGACATCACGAAACCAGTGTGGTGAAATCATCGTAATAGACTATTAGGTCATTATAAACGAGCATAGTGCTCCCCTTGAAACGCAATTTACATAGGGAGGTATAGTGATCCTCCATAGCCTATCCTAGCGCCCCGAAACCTCATCCACCTCCATTACCAATTTGTCCGTAAGGTGCGTCCGCATTCTCCTGCTGTCCCATGGATGGCTGTCAGAATCTCATCGGGTCCAGTAGCCTAGGCAAGGTAGGCGACAGAGGCAGCAAGGGCAGCGACGAGAGCCCAGGTGGCGCCGACGGTGGAAGCGCCAGAAACGACAAGGGGGCCCGAGGGAGCGGGGGTGGCAGCGTCGGCGCCGCTCTCGGTGCCAGAGACCTCAGGCTCGGGCACGGTGCTGGGCTCGGGAGCCGCGGTGGGCACGGGGCCGGGCTTGGTGGGAGCGGCAGACTCCTTGTCGCCCCACTTGCCACCGTGACCGCCGTGGTCACCCCAGCCGCCGTGGCCGTGACCGTAGTCATCATCATCCTCCTCATCCTCGTCCTCCTCATCGTCATCCCACTCCTCGTCATCCTCATCCTCCTCGTCGTCACCGTGTCCGTGGCCGGTGGGCTTGGGGGAGGAGGGGGAAAACGAAAGAAGGCTTTCCGGGAACGTCGGGGACGATGGCACCGGGAGACGGGGTGCCGATGACGATGCCACCGGCCTCGGCGCCAGCGGCGTGGTCCTCACCGTCGTGGCGGCGGGCAGGGGCGACAGCGGCAGCGGCCGCCGCGAAGAGGGTGACGCAGGTAGCGAGATGGACCATTTTGTTTATTCGACTTTGTTGGCTTTTTGTGTGTGTTGTTGGCGGGAGGTTTCAAAAATGAAAAGAAGCAGGAGGAAAAACGAGTGTGGTGGCTGGCAGGAGGATATCAGACAAGTAAGCGACGGCGGTTCAGAGAAAGCCAAGTAAAAGCCAAGGGAACTCACGAAAAGCGGCCGGTGCAAGAGGAGGTGCCGTGACTAAATACCCATCGTGGCCGGCAGGCGAAGGAAAGGGTCCTTGACGAGCTCAACATGTTAGGCACCGCGTAAATAGCAACCCTCCTCCTTCAGGAACCAATCCCGCCCATCCATGGACGAGTAGATTGAGGAGCACTCTCCGCGGGTGACGAAGGCTTGCGCATGTACTATCCAACCACTTCCCGCGAGCAAGCCAAGTATCTCTTCCGGGAAATCAACATTCATTTAGACGAGCCAAGCCGTGTGTTGGCCCCCGAGAAAAGAATAGCAAAAGCACTTTGGCGAGACGGCTAAAAAGAGCAACAACTTCGGCGGGAGGGAATAAGCTCAATCCTGCGCAAATTGCGCGAGCGCCAAGCTCGAAATGAGCCCAGCGGGTGAATGGGCATGGAGCAATACTGCCGACCATTTGGGCCGAGGATTAATATAAAAATGGTGGGTTGACGAGCATCGCATGTCGGGGCCACACTTTAAATCGTTCCTGGGGGATGAGACCACCCTCATTCGGTCGGGATCCAATTTGGACGGCGGCGAAATCCATGGCAATTGGGCCTCGCACGCCACTGTACTTCGGAATTAGCAAAACTATGTGAGAACTATGGGCGCCCAAGGGCCGTATACGACCCGTCCGCTCTGGGATCGAGGGACGCGGAGATGCAGGACCCGCCATGTAGTATGACGCCGATTTATGGATGAAGTCGCCAAGAGCGCGAACAAAGGGGAAAAAGGGCCACGCTTAGTGAAGCGGAATCGCTAACCTGGGGGCTTTTATCGGGGAGACCGTATACACCGAGAGATGGAGGCCTGTTTTTAATTCCATTCAATGCTCTTTTCCTTACTGATGGGCAGGCAAGTCGCCACGCGGCAAGTTCGGCATCGTTTCGCGAGAGGCACGAACACGACGCGCGGGCTGCGGCCGGTCAAGGTACTCAGAACACCAGAGCCTACTGTAGGACTGAGACTTGAAAATGTTGAGGCCCGGTTGAAGAAGAAGCAGGAAATGGAAAGATGATATGGGAAACAGATGTGCGCTCGGGGAAATGCATTCGCAATTCGTGACCTATAGCAATATCCGTTCATGGGATTGTTCAACCCTCTGGCCGCTGGACCATGAAGCGTCCATGACTACCTTGAAAAAGTGACAGAGTTAGAGGCGGTGAACTCAAGTTGAAAAGGGGAATAGCAGGACACCAAACGGTGTCGGTCATGCCCTCCTATTCGGCCAATTTTGCGGCGGCAGAAGGGGAGGCAGATCGCGCAATGAGGAAGAGATGCCCGCCAAGCTCTGGAGCCATGGGTCTGGGAAGGGGCGGTTGGATCCGAGAGACGCATCCTGGAGGTCGGAAAGGGAATAAGGGGCAGGTGTTTTATTTATCACTTTGCTCAGGAACTGCAGCAGTCACAGCGGCAATGGATGAGGAAACATGATTCGCAACCGGGCGCACCTGAGACGTGAAGCGGCGTGAAATTAGACTTACTTAGAGACGATGGAGGCTGGGATTTACTTGTCGTAAACAGACAGGTTCCCGTCCGTGTGATATCTATGTACGAGCTAGAGGCGCCGTCCGTCCACACTCACCAGCGTGGACTCGCACCCAAACGCTAGTCGTGGAGAACGGACGCCGCCGCGACGACGAAAATTATATTCCAGTATAGCTAGGGTACGAGAATCCTGCAATCTTTTCTCCTGCCACCGACTACAGGTCCTTGCGTTAACGCGCTGTTTGTTTCCCAGCCTGTTTTCACGACAACCCACGCGGAACCAAATTCGAGCGCCATCGAGAGGTTGGAAGAGCGGCATGGCTCTCTACATGTAGACCACATTGCCCTACACTAGCGAGTACTAGTAGATAAACTAGAGTAACACATACCGCTCCTCGCATGGCCTTGACAGCTGTGCACGATTCCGCTTCTGGCCCCAGGCACATTTGCCTATCGTCGACTTTGACAAGAAGAAGATTGTTAGCTAAGAAGATCTGATAGATCGTGCCAGGCATCAACAGCCCGACAAAGGACTACGGCGGAAAGCCGATTCTCTTTGCTCAACACAGCCAGCGAAGATAAAAGGAGATGTTGTACCTAGCGACGCGGCCCAAATGATATCAAGCTGCAATGGAGATGCAGGAACCCGAAAAGAGGCGCTGCGTGCCAAAACCAAACACACAAACCACACGTCACAAAAGACAAAAGGGGCACCTTCAAAGAATATCAATAAGATGAAGGATCACGATCACGGGCGGTCTCTCCTTTTTTTTTTTCGCGCCCTCATGCGAGGGGACGCCTCTTTGCTTTTTTGTCACCAAATGCGGATACAAGATTCACAGCAACAACAAAACTCGAGCCATCGTCGTGGTGTGCGCCTCTCAGAAGCGTCCACGATAGTGGCAAAGTGGCTGAATGCACTAGGTAATGCCAAGCTATTTTTGGCGCGATTTTAGGAAAAGCACCAGCTCCTAGCTATATCAATCGGACCTAGCGCAAGGAACGTTCAATATCCGAGAGTGCTCACTGAGAAAATACTGGATGTATCACAGACCGAAGCGCCTTCGAAGAGGAACCGGGCTGTCGAGGGCCAGAACAATCAGTGCAGTGAGAGAAAACAGCGCAGGGTAGGGGGAAAGCCAAGAGCACTGGCCTGCCGTGGGATGTCACTACCCGTTGTGTATTCGATGTGGCGTCGAGGAGGATTGCGCTCTATTAGATGACACTGAACTCATGGCGTAAAGAAAACAGGCAACGGGGCCTCGGGACGTCTGCCTTGGTAGGGCATCGCAGCTTGGCCGTGCCACGGAGGATGAACAAGATTTGCCAAGGAATCGATACCGGCTCTCGAGGGGTAGTCGATTCCCCAAAAGGCAAACAGCGGCGTCCAGCAGCCCAAACGCGGTCAACACGGACCACGATGGTGTTTGACCGGGCCCATCAATTGCTCTCTCCCTTGATGTTCAGCTCCAGTATTAACACCAAAACGAGCAGAAAGCACGGCCAACTCCAAACAGGCTCGACATGGTGTGGAACGTCCGCGGTCCTTATTAATCCAACCTGACTCGACTCATCGAGGCTCCCATTGATCTGGCGGCACGAATATGCTGATGGGAGGGGAGGGATCGAGTCACGGCCCCTTGTCTAGCTCGTCCCATAGATCCATACATAGTGCAGTGGAGGCAAGGATTAGAATACCTCGGTCGGGGAGCACGATGGAGAACAAACCCCAAAATCCAATGGATTCATTCCGCGAAAGGTCAATGGATTTAGAGTAGGTAGCGTCAAAAGTGGCATAACGCACAGACACAACCAAGTGACCCAGCCAAAGTACTGTAGAGTATTTCCGCACCTTCATCATCAATCGACTTTCATATAGAATTTGAAAGCTTGTGGGAGTGAAGGGGAAGGGATAAGCTAGGGCTAGGATTTACAAGGGTAGAATAATTCATTCTTAGTATATACTACTGATTTCCTTAAAAAGAAATATTAAATATAATAAGATAAGATTATTAATAGTCTTTTAAAAATAAAGAAACTTAGTTAAATAAAAATTAAATAAAAATTAAATATTAAATCTAAAGTTTTATTTTATTTATTTTATTTATTTTATTTATTTTATTTATTTTATTTATTTTATTTATTTTATTTATTTTATTTATTTTATTTATTTTATTTATTTTATTTATTTTATTTATTTTATTTATTTTATTTTTTTATTTATTTTATTTATTTTATTTATTTTATTTATTTTATTTATTTTATTTATTTTATTTATTTTATTTATTTTATTTATTTTATTTATTTTATTTATTTTATTTATTTTATTTATTTTATTTATTTATTTTAACTTAAGAAATCTTTATTTAAACTCTTTTCTATATTATATATCTTTTATAAAATTAGGTATTTTTTAATAATATTTATAATAAAATCTCTTTTAAATATTTTTACTTTATAACTTACTTTTATTTAATCTTTACTTTAGCTTATATATAAAATAATATTTTAAAATATATTATTAAAAGTTTTAAGTTATTTTTAAACTATATTTTTATATTTTTATTTATATATATATATTTTATATATTTTATATATATATATATTTTATATATTTTATATATCTTATATAATTTATATAATTTATATATATATATATATATATATATATATAGAAAAACCTCAGAAATAAAAATTAATATTTTTTATTATATTATACTAATTTTAATTATTATATATAATCTTATAATATTTTAATTAATAATATTTAAAATCTTAATATTTAAATATAATAAAACTTTTAAAAATATAATTATATATTATCTTTTAAATTTTATAATTAAAATAATATAATTAATATATTAAAGTTTATAACTATATTATCATCTTTTTATTATTTCTTTTATAAATAAAATAAAATAAAATATATATATATATTTTCTAATTATATTTATAATTATATTATATTCTAGTAAATTCTAGCTATATATTATGCTTACTATTTTTATCTTAATAGTGTAGCTAGTGTTAGAACACCCTGCTTAAATACGTGATGCGAGTGCGAGCAGGGCAACGCCTGCTTGTCACGACCTGGCCGCCTGAAGAAGCGGCCCAGGGAAGGCGGTGAGGACCTGCAGAAATACTAGACTAGAGGAACTATAGGTAAAAGGGATCACCCCAGTCACCCAGTGATCCAGGCGACCCAGATCACTGTGGTCACAGTGATCGGAGCTAACCGATCACCTAGATCATAATAGGACAATATAATCCACTATCTATATAAAGAAGTAAGTAGATCTTAGAGGGAAGGAGGTTCTATAT